CCCTTACCCTTACCCTTACCCTTACCCTTACCCTTACCCTTACCCTTACCCTTACCCTTACCCTTTACCCTTACCCTTACCCTTACCCTACCCTTACCCTTACCCTATGCCCTGTGGCAACCCGGGGCTATGCCCTGTGGCAACCCGGGGCTATGCCCTGTGGCAACCCGGGGCTATGCCCTGTGGCAACCCGGGGCTATGCCCTGTGGCAACCCGGGGCTATGCCCTGTGGCAACCCGGGGCTATGCCCTGTGGCAACCCGGGGCTATGCCCTGTGGCAACCCGGGGCTATGCCCTGTGGCAACCCGGGGCTATGCCCTGTGGCAACCCGGGGCTATGCCCTGTGGCAACCCGGGGCTATGCCCTGTGGCAACCCGCATATTAATCATCAGGTAAACCTGACGATTAATATGCGGGTTGCAGATAAATTGAAGTATAATAAACTATCTTTTATTTCTTTAATTGAAATCTTGAATAATTGATTGAAAGTACCTTACATTATTTTTAGTTTTGCATTTTGTCCTAACATTTTTGTCAAAGTAAACCTTGATGATTAAGAAGGGAGTAGCTTTAAATTGTTATAAAAAATTGTTTTATATCTCAGAAATTCCATTCTTGATCAATTGAATGAAGTTTAAAAAAAGTATAAAATACATTTTGCATTATGGGCATGAGTATTTATATATGAAAACTTCTGTGAAGAATAATTATTTTTACTATATTAGATAGAATTGATTACCTAGTTTTTAAAAAAAAACTTTGATTTACAGAGATCGAATTTTATTAAATTACATGTGATTTTATATGGAATATATTAACTCAGAATTACTCTAAAAATAAACCAAATTACTAATAGAACAATTGATTCTATTATTGATTAAATATTGATTGATTTATTTACTCATTTATTCATTAATTCATTGATTTAATTATGTATTCTATTCTTTCAATGTATTAATATATTTATAAAGTTTGAATGGATACATATTTTTATATTCATTTTTTTAGAATTAATTCATTTATTAATCATAGATTCCAAAGTAAATGAATCATATCAAGTCGTGTGAATCGAATAAATAAATATCATTTATTATTTTAAAACTGAAACTATATGTTTCATTCTTGATCACCACTATTCCAAAGTATGTAGTTGTTGATATTCAATCTATCCTATTGAATGACATCTTCTTTCAGTATCTGTTATCTAAATTTATAATTTCCTAAATGATAATCAATATATATAATAGTAACATTCTATTAATTAATAAATCTTTTTTCTAGAATCATTTTTCTTCTTCTAATTCTTTCCTCTTACTTAATTGAAGCATTGTCTTTTAATAACCATTCGGTTTGTTCTTCATCTTCATCCTCTGGTTTATTTGGAGTGATTTGTTAGATGTTGCTTGAAAATCTTCGTTGGCCATTTGAAGTGGTGTCATATCTGGTTGTTTCTGTTTCTCTTGCAATTTTTTATTATTTACTTGTTGATTTTGTTGTAACTTTCTATTATCTACTTTTGGTTGTTGTTGTTGCTGTTGCTGCTGCTGCTGATGTTCATATTCAACTTGTTGTTGATGTTGCTGTTGTTGATATGCACCATAATTTCCTAAATTATAATCAATAAATGTTTAGTAAATTCTAGTAATTAATAAATTAATGTTTCTCTTACTGTTAATCTATCTGTAGCAATTTAAAGATTGTTGATGTCGATTATTGTAATCCAAATGTAAATTATTTGGAACATTCGATCACTCTTGCTCGATATTGACTATATCTTCTTGTCAGATGGTAGTTGCTGCATTGACTTTTATCAAAGTGTTTCACATCTTAGCCAAAGAGTCGATCACCGCTATTGTCCTATCTCACATAGCTTCTAAAATAAGTATCTATCTTTGAGAGTATGGTCAATCTAATATCTAATATTCATTCATCAGAACCAACCACTCAACTAATATATTGACATTGCTGTCAATAAAAGATATCTAACCAAACGTAGAATATTCTGTATCTATTAATAAATTAATATTAGTTTGTTAGTTTAGTTTAGCTTTATAGGAATGATCATTATCTCAATATTACTCTTCAAGTTTACTTTTTGTGTTCTAAAAAGATACATATTGAAGAGTGAGACAATATAATAGACAAACAATACTGAAATCATTGACTGAGCTTACATTTGAATTGAATCTTATAACTCATTACTTTCTTTAAATAAATAGGTTTCATCTAAAGATAAACTATATTTTGGTATAGTGTCTATTAATAACGATCTTAAGATTAAAATGAAAGTAAAAAAAAAAAAAAAAAAAAAAAAAAAAAAAAAAAAAAAAAAAAAAAAAAAACCATTTAAATGAATGACTTTAGAACTGTCATTTATTAGTTTGTTTTTTCTGTTTATAATAAGAATGAGATCATTTCGAACATATAAACATTACAGAAGGGTTTTATTATTTTTAGTCTTATTTATTGTAATATTTATTTTTATTTATTTAAAGTTATTTACAGAACATTTCAATCTGATTTATGTCGGTATGTTAAATTAATTGTCGAAGATCGATTTGCAATTTAATTTATATTTTTAAACAACAAACAGATGGAAAGATACATGTTTTTGATAATGGAAATGGTATAAGGCAAATAAAATTTAGTATAGATGGATTCCGACAGTCCGAGGTCAAAACAGGAGATGTAGAATACCTACCAATAGCTTATACAAGAGCAGTCGTTTCATCACTGATATTCCTAACGGATGTACCAAAATCTATTTTGTTGATTGGCCTGGGTGGAGCTACCTTCCCATCATATCTAAAGAAACACTTTTCACACTCAAAGATCGAAGTGGTGGAGTTGTTCCAAGGAATGGTTACGGTTGCAGAGAAATATGGTAACTTCAAACAAGATGAAAATTGTATAGTAATCATTGACGATGCAGCAGATTTTATCAATAAGAATCACAATAAGAAACAATATGATTTGATCATTCAGGATGGTTGTTCGATTGCACCTTGCCCTCTGTTGATATTGGATACTTTCAAGAAACTTTCTTCGATGCTCACACCCAATGGAATCTATATACAGAATCAAATTGGAATGGACCCACCCGTTATAAAAAATATCAAAGATTCATTCAAGGATTTCTATTATGTAGAATCAAAATCTATCAACCAAGTAAGTTCAAAATATAATCATATCGAATCAACCAACATAGTAATTAATAACTTTACATTTTTTTATAAAAATAAATATAATAGGTTATTGTAGCACACAACAGTGATAGAATATATACAAAGGAAAACCTAATACTACGAGCTCAAATGTATCAAGCTGCAGAGAATCCTACTTTCAATGTTGTCGAAGAATATGCAAGGAACTATAAGCGATTAACTGATATAATGATAAACTCTGAAAACTATTTAGAATACAAGTGAGGAGATCATATTTCACAAAAGCGATTAGTAGATAACATATAATATTTAAATCATCATCATCGCTTGTCACTAAAACAAATGTAAAATAAAATCTTTAGATATAACTATTCATAATTTTTTTTTTCAATAAAAAAAACACATTTACAAAATGATTTATTGTATTATTAAACAGGAGGGTTTTAATTGGAATTCAACAAATGAATCTGAAGATTTCTCTTTTATATCATTGATCCAACCATACCTTGTCCACATAGTGCAACCTTTCTAGTGTAGGTAAACTTGCTCCATTTACCAGTTGGAATATCGTAGGCATAGTTGTCGTTTTGATCAAAGAGATAGATACGAGTCTTTGAATCGTAGATTAGTGTTGGTCTACAGGTGGTGTTTGTCAAAGGTGGGAATTCAAGAGTTTCAAACTTCTTGGTGGCAAGTGTGAATCGCTTAAAATGGGTAGAAGTGATATAGTAGATTGATTCATAACGGCCATCGATGATTGCACCTTGAACCAATCCACCAGCGCCGAGTGAAGAATAAACAGTACAGACATTCTCAACTGTATCGTAGACTTCTATTTCCTTGCATGCACGTCCGTTGACGACTTGTCCACCAACCAAATAGATGTATCCATTCAACGGATCAAAGCATGGGTAGATGGTGTACTTGTGACGAGTGAGATTGTTGAGGTGTTCGATCTGTTTGGTCGAGGTGTTCATTCTCTCGATACGATGAACGATTTGGTGGTATTGTTTGGTTTCCTCGAGAACTTTACCTCCAAAGAGATAGACATACTTCTTACCGTCGTATTGGGCTGCGATACCACCACCTCCACGATTGAGTTTCTCCAACGATTTGTCCCATTGCTGTTTGGCAAGATTGAATCTACGATAGGTTGTGATTGTATAGTTACCACCAAACACATAGATGTACTTGCCATCGGTGATACACGAGGACGATACGAAAGGAACACCATCAGTGGTAGACAGTCCCTTCGATGAGATGAAACGCCATTCGTTCTTATCGACATCATACTTGTAGATCGACGAAAGATCAGATCCATTCTCGTTCCATCCACCAATAGAATAGAAATACTTGAATCCTTCGTTGGCCGAAAAGTGGTTGGTAATGTTGAGACGGTTGTCACGCAGAGTCTTGGCAGCTGGTGGAGCAGAGGTAGATGGAGCGGCAACAGTTGGTGATGACGCACTTGGTGTTGTGCTGGTACTTGCTGGTGGAACGGTAGACTTTTTGGTGGAAGTAATCAATCCAAGTGATTGCACTTCCTTAGTGATCATACTTCTCTTGTCAATGTCAACCTTTAAATCAAATTGAATGGTTAGATCGACGGGTGGATCGTGTTCGATACGTGGAATCTGTTTGATATGGGAGTAGTTATCGAGGAATTCGAATCGCTTGTTATCAAAGAGTTCCTGTGGATTGGCGGTCTGGTAGGATTTTGATGGTTCCAAAAGTGGGTCAGCCTGAGTCAACTCACGGTCCAACTGGCTCATACGCTTGATTAGTTCAGCCTTGGATTGCTCGTATTCAGTCTGAATCTCTTTCTCCAACTTCATCTCGCGTTGCTTGATGAGGAATTGCAAGTCTTTGAATTGCTCGACAATAGAGGAACGACAAGATTTAAAATTGTCTTCGAGTTGCTGTAGCATCTTGGAGAGATGTTGACGTTCGTCCTTGAGTACTGTGGTATTTTCAGTGAAATTAGAGACTGTTGGTAGCAATGCGCACAATTCCTCGACATTGAGCTTGTCTATGGTTTGGTGTTGCTTGTGTGATTCCTTGGTACATTGCTCACAGATCACTAAATAACAATCCTTACAATAGGCATCACACATTCGATCGGAATGACTAAGACATTTTCTATCTACAACTAAAACTGGTGGTTTTAAATCTGTTGCTATGGTTGGTGGTAGTGGTTGTGGTGTTTGTATAGTTGTCGTTATAGGTTGTTCTATATTTGTTTCTTTTTCATTTTTTGTTGAACCTTCATTTGGTTGTTGTTGTTGTTGTTGTTGTTCAACATTGGTATCTGGTGTTGGTGTTGGTGTGGTTTGTTGTATGTTTACATTGTCATTATTATTATTTTCATGAATTTTTGAATCTTCCATTTTTTAAAAAATGTAAATACCAAAATAAATATACAATGATCTATATGGTTATTCTTTATTAAAAGTATATAAATAAAGATAAATTGTAATATAATAATAAATAAAAAGAATTAATTAAATAAAAGATTAAAATTCAAAAATTTTTTAAGAAATTTTTTGTTTTTTTAGATTAATGGGGTTTCAATCAACCCACTTCAATAAAAAAAAAAAGTCTTTTCTAATAAAAATAAAAAATCTGATAACAAAAACTCATAAATGTTTGAAAATCATTTTATTATTAAGTTGTTTATTCTTTGTTTCAAAAAAAATAAAATAAAATAAATAGTGTTATATGATAACAAAAAAAATGTAGTTGTAGATTCTTATAAGGAGTTTCATTTTCCACGATAAAAAAAAATAAATGAAAAATAAAAAAATCTTGTAAAAAAAAAAAAAAAACGTGTTTGAAATTTCTTATTATATATTGCTTTGCATTATTACTCTTTGTCGTCAATAAAGTTTGTTAGTAATTGAAAAGGTTTAAGTTTTTGTCAAAAAAAAAAAAAAAAGTCCAGATAATATTTATCAAAAGTAATATGTCGGTCGTAGGTGAAAAGATCATTTATAACACTAAAACCTATTGTCCAAAATGTACACTCGTTGATAGAAAAGGTTTGGTGTTGACCGATGCTCAGGTTGTGTCAAAGTCTGACAATAAAGTATACCTGAAATCAATATGTTCAAGACATCCTTCACACTACACATTGTATTGTTCATCATTAGATTTCTTTAATAGAGTATGTCAAATAGAACCAACTCTTTGTTTTATAAAGTTTAAATATTAATTAAATATAAATATTAGATATCAAGTTATTCATTTGAATTGAACGATAAGAAACAAAGTCAAGATATAGAGGATCTTTACCAAAAATATAGCAATGGAACTAACAATAGCAATAATAATGGTAGCAATGCGACTGTACAGCAATCATTGATTATAGAGTTGAATATATTTCAAAACAATATATTCTTGAATGACGACCAAATATTAAATAATATTAAACAGTTTCAATCTATGTACCAAAAGAATAGGAAGGTATGGCTTTGTTTTCAGTATTTTTTGGTGATCTGTAATTATTAATTTTCGATTTTAACTGTTGTAGTTTGCTCTCAAAGTTATGGCTAAAGGAAGTAACGACGTACAGACAATCAATGACAAAGTTATTTATATTGCATCTTTATTGGTTGGATATCCTATTTTGGTGGAGGTGACAGTGGAACGTTTGAATCTGTTGGGTAACTTGGCAAATAGCTGCTTCCTGCTGGGCAAAGTTTATCCAGCTTTGAAATACTTTTTGAAGCAAGGTGATGAAGAGTTGTTTATCAAAGACATGCACAAGCTACTTTCGATCCTTTCAGAGTACACTGGTATACAGGCAGTGATCACGATTGCACTGGAACGAAAGTTTGCCAATCTCACCCAGATTCTGCAGTTGCTGAGATCCAAGAACGAATTGATCAGAATCATCATATTGTCATTGGAGCGGCCACCCAAAGAGATTGTTTCATCACTGCAAAAGAAGATGGTCATACAGAGCAATCAGTCGACGTCGACCACTTCAGCCACTACAGCATCGTCTCTAACTCTGGAAGATGCAGAATCGCCTGACCTTCAGATCAACTGCAACGACCCATATGAGTTGATTCAAGAGGTGGAGCGAGCAACCGAGCGTTCAATTACATCCGACGACTTTTATCCGGTGAATGTTGGCAGTGGTTTGGAGCCACTGCTCAACTTGATGGGCTATGGAATGTTCAGTATTAGACCATCTGCATTTTGTGGATTCGCCACTATCCTTATGAACACTGACACCATCACATCACGACCTATCAACAGACTATTCAACATTGGTAAATTCTACCGTGAAGTACAACCATTACTGCCTTCACTCGACGAAAAGATTGGATTCTTTAATGGCTTAAAATTGAAATCGGTAAGTAAATAAAAATGAATGTGTACAAACAATTATAAAAATATGAATACTAATTAATTTTTCAATATCAAAATTAAAATACACACTAATAGATAGTAAAATCATGTCATTTAGAGAATGTACCACTACCGAATTTGTTTGATTACTTTACAGAGAAATCGAAAGCAGACATCACAAAGAAGGTGATCGATCAAACACAAATATTAATTATACACAACAATATGGATATTGCTGCTCTTGATTTAAGAAGGCGATGTAACTGTGCAGTAAATACAAAGTCTAAAGATACTTTTGTTTCATCTTGTACTGGTTGTATTTGATTTTAATTCTAGAATAAATGACAATATTTAAATAAAAAAAAAGACATGATTTTATCTATTTTAATAATATTATTTTAAATCATGAATTATTTATTCATCACATAATTCACCTATATATACAATTCCTTCAGTTTTACCATCCTCTGACATGTCCAACATTTCGAATGGTTCGTCTGTATTGTGAAACTTCTCAAAAAGCTCAGAGCAATCTTTACCAGCATGGTCAGCAATGTATTGGTCATTGATACCCTCACCTGGGTGAAGGGCATGGAAGTGACTGACATCATATACCTATTTTACAAACTAATATTAGTATAAACGAGCAAAACCACAATATAAGTTTCCTTCAATTCTATTAACGATTTGGAAAGTACCTTTGAGTTGACAATGATCCAACAATCACCTCTTGTATTATGTTTAGCAACTTCTGCTCTAGTAACCATTATTTAATATTAATTATTGGTTTTGTGAAATATGAATAAATAAGGATAATAAACAAAACTAAACTATTTTGGGAACTGAAATTTTATCGTCTTCATTTGTTTTATAAACAAATGAAAAATAATCTTGAAAAAAAAAAAAAAAAAAAGTACAGAATTTGTTCTGTTTAAAAGTGTTGTTATTCAACATTTTATTAGTAATGTTTAAAAAAGTTATGAATAGTGAAGCTTAATTGAATATTTATTTATTTCTTTTTTCCTTTTGGTGCCTTTGTATGTACCTCTGGCAATTTCAATGGTGCCTTCAATTTGAAGTCTCTATATTGTTTATCTCTAATTACGTTACATCCAACTCTTGAGTAATGCTTTTCAAGTCTAAGATAAAATAATCGATTAATTAGTAAACAAAATTATTATTGTGTTTTTATCTTTTGACTTACTTATAATCTGGTATCTTGAATGCTTCAGCAATTAACTTTACCATCTCTGATTTGACAGAGAAGTTCTCGAGATGTAGTGAAATAATGACAACATAATTCATAAGTCTGGCATATTCCACATCACCAATCTTGTGTTTACTATAAAATTTTTTTACAATTGTTAGATTTGCTGCCTCGATCAGCGAATGTAATGAACTAGTTTATACATACAATTTAGATTGTTGCTGAGAAAACAGATACAACATATGCTTAATAACATCATGTGGAACCTTATATTGCTTCAAACCATCTTCAAGGGTGAGTGATCTCTTATTTACTGCCAAACTATAATAATGAATGAATAAAAGGAATGAATAAAAGGAATGAACATTAAAATGGTTTAGTTTTAATTAGCTTACAGTTGAAGATAATAAAGATAAGTAAGAATTTTACTCTCGTGCTCAATGTCATCTTGATCTTTGTCATTATTGACCAATTCGTCTTGATCGTTTCTCTTTTTGGTGTAGAGCAGATTTGTAAGTCTCTTTTTGATATAGTTTGGTAAGTCTTCTGGTGCATTATCATTCTTTGCATAGCCAATGAATGTCTCTGGGTTAATAGCAAAGTATACTTCTTGTGGCATAACTTTTCAAGATGAGGGTGTGTGTCGATTAGATTAACGATACTTATTAACTCGATTATTATTTGCGATTTATACATACTCTCTTCGATTGGGTAGATCTCCTTTGCATCGACAGCCTCCAAATTGAATACAGGCAAATCTTGATTCTTCTCTTCGACTACATCGGTTAGATTCTTGTTTTTAGCAGTGTCGGCCATCTGTTTGGTCTTCTCACTGTCGAGTGTACCCAAATCTTCAGACTCGATCTTGTGAATGATCTTCTTGGAGAGTTTAGAACCAAAGCTGGTCGACAACAATTTAGATTTGTCCAAGAATGACAATTCATCTGTATTCTCTTCCTCTCTCTTGACATATCCAATGATCGATTGATTCACTTGACAAACATCTGGAATTGGAATCAAATCTATTTTACCTGTTTTTTCATTATATTTACCAATTACAAGTCTAACAATAGTTGTTTTATGATTAGTTTTGTTTGATATACTGATATCATTCTTTACATACTTTTGATTCTTTTGTTGTTTATTGTTTGATGTTGAGAATTCTGTTTCGTATTCGATTGAGTCTGTATTTGATATTAATACACGTTGTTTCTTATTTTCATTGGTCAATGATTTAAAGTGTGTAGATTTATCATTGAGGTAGTGAACAGGTGGTGCTCCACTACGGAAATTCAACACACATGGTGCACAATCTCCTAGATCATCTACAACTTTAAATGATAAACTTCTTTTTGACATGCTTTATTTATCTATTTTAATTAATAAATAATAATATCTATAAATTTATAATCTAAATTAAAGTCTATCTTTAATCTAGTTGTTTATAATTAATGATGAAAAGTAAATAAAACACAAATAAATAGTGATCCCTAATTAAAGAATAATGAAAAACATCTAATCGTTCGTTTTTTTTTTTTTTTTAAAATAAATTTTAAATTTTTTTAAAAATTGATTTTTTTTGTTTTATAAATCAGTAAGATTTATTATTAATAAGTTACATAATTATACAATCATTTTTCTCTATATTGTAGTTACTTTTTCTTTCTGATTTTCTAAGACTTTTGAGATCAATATTTTTGTTGTATGAGGGATCTAGTTCGAAATTCTCGATTGCGACATTGGTAAATCCTTCGGTTCGGTTCAAGAGGAGGAATTCCACAACTTGGTAATGGTTATTGGAAAATGAAAAGTCAATTGCATCGGTTGTACATCCTTCACTCCGATTTTCATGTAGGAATTTCACAATCTCCAGGTGGTTGTTAGCCGCCGCGAGATCCATTGCTTTATCTGTAAAAGACTCTGTGCGATTCAGGGTAAGCCAACGAACCACTTGCAGGTGACCATGCTTAGCAACCAAATCCATTGCCTCTGGAGAAATTTCCAGTGAGTAGTACTCAAAGTAACGCTCTTTTAGATAATCTAGAATATTGAGTCTCCCAGTGGTTGCTGCTTTTTCAAGGGTGTATGCTTCACACTGATGTGTACTATTCTCAATGAGGTATTTAATGACTTCCAAGCAACCATGTTCCACTGCCGTATTTAATATTTCACATGTGGAAGGATCGATTGGATGATCCACGGTTTCATTGGCCCACTTTACAGTTTCTACCGATTCACTTGTGACTGCTGCTAGTAGAGTATATTTATTGATCTTGAAATCATTATTTGAATCTTTTAACTGTTGGTACAACCATTTTGCTACGTCCAAACGATTGTTCTCCAATGCGAAATTAAGGCAGAGATCAGAGATTGGTAATGAAATAAGATGTTTTTTCATGATCTTTAATACCTCCAAGTGTCCTCTGGATGCAACATCTGCTATCAAAGATTCGCTGACACTGACTATACCAAGATTATTATTCTTATCAAGCAGATAGTCAACTATTTCTGCATGACCTTTGATGACAGATATCTCTAGGGCAGTGGGACAGTCATCCTGAGCTTCTTTTCTATTCGCTAGGAGATACTTTACGATGTCGGTATGGCCATTGGAGGTGGAGCCTCTCAATGCTTCAAAGTTGCATCCTTCACTTCTATTTTCATGTAAAAACACAACAACACCGAGGTGTCCATTAGTTGCAGCGGTATTCATCGCGTCCTGACTGGCCAGCGAACGCTCTTCATTTAAGAACATCACAATATCTAAATATCCATTGCCAGCAGCTTGATCCAAGGCATTGTAGTAATTAGATTTTCCATGAGAGAATGGTGATAGGTGTTCGAATAGATATTTGATTATTTCCAAATGTCCGGCTTTGGAGGCATGACATATTGATCTCTGAATATCGACATCTTTCATAAGGTAGTAATCCTCACCGAGTATCTCTCTAAACTGTCCAATAACTAACTTGACAATATCCAGATTTCCAGACTCTACAGCACCCATTAAACCAAATTCGAAACTCATTGGATACCTCTCTAGGTTCTCAATTAAATAGTAAAATATCTCTAAATATTGATGTTTTGCAGCGAAACCCAACTCCATTCCACTAAAATTTGAGAATAATCCTGAGATAACAATATTGTAATGTCCTCTTTGAACAGCAATTGTACTATATTGTCCAGTAAAATCACTATCTAACTGATTTCGATGAAATGTTGAATCTAATGCATCTAAATATCCATAGTAAACTAAAGCATAGGTAGATAGTTTGTTCAACTTTACACTTTGACCTACAGGACTTTCATTCTTATTTATATGATGTACAAAACTAAATATAATCTTTCTAACAGTTATATTATTAATAGTCTTTCTAAATATATTAAATAATTGATCATTCATATTTACAGCTTATTAATTAATAAAATATTTTTGAAAACAAGAAATTGCTTTGATCTTCTTTTTTTTTTTTTTTTTTTTTTGGGAAATTTCCTTTTCTCTTTTATTTTTATTTGAATATTATCGCTTTATTTTTGATTTGAATGTTGGTTGATTGAAGGATCCTTGATGATTTGTGGTTGGTAGTTTGGATCAACATATTTGGTGAGGAATTGGGCGTAGAGTTCGTATCTTCCAGTCATTTGGAAGTTCCATTTGTCCTTGACTTGTTGGCAAAGATTGAGATCTACTTCACATACGTTGAGACCGTCGCTGACACGGCTGAGACCTGGCGAACGACAGTTGTCTGGCGAGCTAAAGTAGGAGCTACCGTAGAAATGTCCAAAGTCCTTGTGTGCTGGCTTACCGTTGCCACTGGTGAATTCATTAGGGAAGTGTTCAGTTCCAACACGATTGATCGATCCAACAAAGTAGTTGTTGGTCATTGCAGCGTTTCTGGCTTCGACACCCCACATTGGTTCTGAGAGCTCACCAACGGTTGCCGATGGATTGAAAACAATTTCCGAACCATTGAGACCGTAGGCCAACCAATTGAGATTGTGGTGACGTCCATAGCAGATGTTGATACCGATCTTTCCATAGACCGTTTCGAATACTGGATGTCCAAGAGTTGACTCCATGTAGTAGGTAGACTCGTTAAAGTCACCGGTACGTGGGATATGGTTCTTACGCGACTTTCCAATGATGTTACCGTTGTTACCGACTACAACAGCGGTATTGTGGATAGTGGATCCGTGTACAAGATCACGCTCCAACATTGGTGATACAATGACCATATTGTATTTGCGTGCCATTCTTTGAATGAATTGAGTGGCTTCACCATCGACCGGTTGAGCAAACTCTACCCATGGATAACGCTCACGAGTGCAAAAGGCGAATGGCATGTGCCAGGTCTCTTGAAGACACAAAACATTGACACCCAGAGCACCGGCAGCATCAATCATCTTTTCAATCTTGTTTTGGATGGCCATGTATTGGTCGTGTACTGGGTCTGTAGTTGGTGCACCGATTGCATTTTGAATGATACCAATCTTTACGATTCTTGGTTTTCTCAATTGCTCTGGTTCAGCAGTGATCCTTTAAACAATGATATTAGAATAAATGTCATATGATATCTTATTTTTATTTATTTTTTTGATGATCAAACATACTTTGAACTTACAACTTCGAAATTAGAAGCTTGTGCCAACTTTGAAACATTCTCTGGAATTGGTAATGATTCTACGATTTGACCACGATTCAAACCATACAAGATACGTTTAACCTCTTTCAATTCATCCTCTGGGATATATTTCTCAAGTACTTTTTCAACTGACTCTATCTTTTGTGGTGGTACTTTAATACTATCCATTTATATTTAATTTTATTTATTATCTACTTTTACTTATATATATTATTATTATTATTTTATTATTTTATTATTATTACAAAAAAATTTTATACAACATATGATTAAGATTGAATTGAATTTTCTTTAAAATGGGGGTAAAGTTTTGATCAAAAAAATTAAAAATTTATTTTAATTAAAAAAATATCTTTTTTCATCTTACCAGCTGTAATTAAATTTAATTTTATTCACATGGTCAAGGTTATTGTTGATTGAATCTTCTGATTCGAATAAAACCAAAAGTTTAAAAAGTGTAGTTATAAAGATTAGCAAAGTATTTTTTTTTTTTTAAAGAACATTTATGTTATTTTTATATTATTGCATAAAACAACAAGTTTGATATTTTATTTGTTATTAATATTATAAAATATAATAAAATATCAAACCTACTTGGATTTTAATAAAAATTAGATAATAGAAAGCATTTTTATAGTAGATTTAGAATATAAAGTTTTATTCTTTAAAAAAAATTTGAAAGAGTTTGGCGTTTATATTTCGTTAGGGAAAATTAGTTTTCCAATCTGCATCGGAGTTCGGAGCAGTTACACCAAACCGTAGAGATCAAAGAATACAGGGACAGACATATTTATCAATGTTATGAAAGATTCAATCAAATTCTCAAAGATCTTCAATCAAAAATTTGTGTTCAAAAAATGGTTATTGTAATATGGGAAATTTATATGAGATAATCAATGATTAGCAACTAGCGGAAAAAGCACAGTTTATTAATTTTTTTTCTGTTTTCAAGAGAATAAACCATTTATAGAATTAATTTAAGATATAAAAATAAAGATACAAAAAAGATACTAAAGAATTTGACAAATGAGTAGAAAGATGTAATCTTTAGCTTATTGCATGGTGGCACGAGCTTGGTTCCCATATCAGACTTGAATCTCTTGTTATAGTTCTCACTGAACACTTCAAAGTAGTAACAAGCACCGTTCCACGATACTGTTACAAAAATGAAAAACAAGAATGATGAGTGTGCAATGAATGAATTCATAAAGAATGGAAGTGCAATCAATGTGCCGAATGTATAGATAAGTTGTGTAACTATTGATAAAAAAATAATAAATAAAAAAAAGTTAATAAATTGTAGTCATTTACGATTATTATTATTATTATTATTATAAAGTTAATTAACTTACTCATTAAAACTACAACTGGTGAAACATTGATTCCACGAGATTTGAGAAGTTTGTAGATTGGGTGTGGTTGCTTAACTGACATCCAACGTGAAGATGTCATAATGTCTTGATCGTTTGCCAGTTTAACTTCATCGATATACTCGGTTTTGATGATGTAGAATGCCTGCCAGAAAAAGTAGAGAAGAATCGGTACGAGGTATGCCTCACTATAGGTCATGTCGCACGACGCACCACCACAAGCCAACTCCAGTGGATACTCGAGTGGGTACCAACGCAGACAGAATGTGACAATCGGTGGACAGAGATGGATGAATACCGAAGTCAGCTTGTCGACATCGTGGAACACCATACTGTTACGCCAGACGATACAACCCCATGCCAGAGGTCCGTTTGACAGTGCGAAAACCAATTTGAAGAATGCCGGTGTAACACGATCGCCCAGTAACACTTGGTGACCAAACAGATAGGAGATCAGTAGGAACTGACAAAGATAGCAAAAGTCCAACATAAAATAATGATATTTAGCACGGTGATACATCAAGAAACGGATAGCCATCAAAGGGAATATCAGAACGGTGTACCACACATACATATACTCTGGTGCACGTAACAACACAAACTCTGAAACCATCAAAACAATCAGACCGAGTGTGAAAGCAAACTTGTCCATCAATCTCAAAAATGGTGGTGCATTCATTTGATCATTTAATTGCTATTAATTTTAACAAAAAAAAAAAAAAAAAAAAACATGTTAACACATCATTATCATAAGAATACACAGTAAAAAAAAAGTAAACTTACATTCTTCTTTAGCTTGATCAACTCTTTAATTTTCTCTTTCTCTTTTCTTAGCTGCTGTCCTCTGTCTTTTAGTTTGACGTTATCTACCACCTTCTTGAGTCGTAGTAGCTTAGAGTTGAGTTGTGCATGTCTTTGTTTTAGATTCTTTAGTGCTTCTCTATTCAAGAACTTTTGGAACAATCTAACGAGTGGTACTTCGCCACTGTCATCTTGTTCTCTGTTGAGTGGATTGTAATCTGCATCAGAGTCTGAGAGGAAGTGATTCGACGAGTGTGATGATGCATTGCCAGAGACAGGACTGTCATTGCTGCCAACGTCTGTATCCTTGAGTAGCTCTGCTGCTGTTGTTGTTGCCGATGTTGTGATGACGGGCGATGACATTGGAGAGATCGGGAGGAACTCCTCATCGTCGTCATCAAAATCATCGTCATCACCTGCTTCATCGTAAGCCTCGTATTCCTCTTCCTCCTCTTCGGCATCAGCTCTGCCATTGATATCAAAGTCGTCATCATCATCAAAGTCATCGTCGGCAGTCTGTATGCGATCTGAACTTGCACCATCCAAATTACTATATTTAGCGGCGACACCGAGCATCTTCTTTTGTTTATCTATCAATTTTCTTCTAACTGAATGTCCACTCTTTCTAGTTGTAACAGGTGAATCATCTGACGACGATGATGAACTACAACTAATAGCTAACATTTTATTACAAATATTAATATTACTTTACATTATTTTATTTTTAAAATATTACGACGACATACCTTCCATTTATAATAATAATAAAATGTACAAAAAAATTAACAACTTTTCTTAACTATCTCGTACTAATGTATAAATATTCTAAAAATGTGAATTATGCAAAGAGAGTGAATCAAATGCAAAAGAAAAGTGAAGTGAGTGAGTGAGTGAATCAAATAAATAAAAATAATTGAATTGAAATGGTTTAACACATTAGCGCAATACAATGTTTAACAGATAAATATGAACGATTAAGTTACCTTTTGTGAAATGAAAGTGTATTTGTACAAATAATTGAATATTGAAAGTAATATGATATATAATGTATTATTACTGGTTGTGTAGTTTTAATCAGTTTATCGATGTGGTGCCCTTTGCTTTGAATAAAAATCATTGGATCTTTTTAAAAATAATAAAAAAAATAAAATAAAAAACCAACAACAAAAATTGTTTTTTCAAAGAGAAAGGTGTGCTTTTTTCAATGGGGGATGACAATCCTAATTTTCATGTCACAATTCATAGATTGGGATGTTTTTTTCATTTTAATTTTTTTTCTAAAAAATTAAAAAATCGATGGAATAGTTAAAAAATTATTTGGATCTTAAAATTTAACATTGGCAATACCTTCATTAAATTTATCATAATATTATTATAACATTAATTTTGGAAAAGGAATATATATAAATATAATACTATGATAAATCAATTCAACCAACCTTTGTGACTGAATGTCTAGTAGTTAGAACAAGTTCACACTTGGTGTAATGATATTACCATCAACAATAATAATATGATAGAATGATTAAATTGTAATATATAAGGTTAAGATTATACATAATCATATATATATATATATATATTACCATTGGATTCGGTGGGTATTTACCAGTGATATGTAACATCTCTGTTAAATAGATAGTGTCTTTTTTATCTGTACAATAAACATACTGTGATCACTATTATCTTTACTCTTATTGTTATTATTGCTATTATTTTTATTCATTCATCATCATCATCATTATCCTAAAGATTTCAAACCATTTAAAATGCCACTCTTCTCCTTATCTTCTTCTTCTTCTTGTTAGGTGTTGAATCTTTAAGCTTGACAATCCGATATTCTTTGAACTTTTTAATACACACTTTATTTTGTTGTTTAAAAAATTTGAAAGAGTTTTGCCTCTATTCTTAAAGATAACGATTCAAATAAGTAGACCTGCAGTTGTGAATGCATCAGAATGCAGAGGTTGATCTCTACGGAATGTATCTGGATTGGTTTTTTTAGCCAGTGCTAAATGGTATGTTAACAATTGAAGACATCCTAAATTGGTAATAATACTAATTGGATCTGGTACATCAACCAACTTAATGGTATTCTCTACTCCAACAATTGATTCAGTTGTAGTATCGCTCTTGGTTGTAATGGCAGAGATAACCGATCCAACATGTTTTGCTGCATCTAAATTAATAAAAAAAAACAAGTTGTTTAATATTCTAATACATACATCATATTTTAAAAATAATAATATCATACTTAATAATTGATGAGATCTTTCTTTACCAAGTGGATCTGGTGTTATTATGGTAGTCAATGCAGTCTTGTTGTCGACGGCTACGAATGGACCGTGGATGAATTGTTCAAGTTGACAACCTTCGGCAACTACCCAAGCAGCCTCTTTGATCTTGAGTGCAACTTCATAGCAATTGGATACGTTTCCAAGGTATCCTACGAATGGGAGGTATGAACGGTCCTTTGCAGATTCTGCCCATCGTTTGTAGGGTGTTTCATCTTGAAGCAATGACTCAAAATACTCTGGTACTTTTGCGAGATGATTCTGCTTCAAGTCCTTGGCAGTGTCCACACCATTCTTTAGTCCTATCTCGACCGATAGAATCAAAGAGACATAATAAGAACAGGAATGGCTGATAGTGAATGCCGACGATTGCTCTTGCTTTGAAGTTCTAATGACTGCATCGAGCGACTCAATAAGAGCGCTACCGACACCAGTGAGCAAAATTGTATACGATCCAGCTTCCTTTGCACGGATATACGATTGGTAGCTGAACTTCTTTACACCACGATGTGAGAAAATAATGACTGCAGAGGAACTATCGATCTTTGGTTGTTGTTGAATAAAGTCGAAACTATTCCAAGCTGTAACAGTCTTGGTGTCTGAGAGACCCAGGCCTCCTACCTTATTTAAAAGATAGGCCGCATTGAGAGTTGCGTGCCATGAAGTACCGATGCCTACAAGTAAGATACGATTGATACGATCAGAGTGTAACACAGTAGCAACAGACTCGATAACGGCTTGTTCCTCTTGATAGACTCTTCTAAGGGCAGCTGGTGTATCAGTGATCATATCATACATATGATATGGATGTGCATCTTTATTTGGTAATCTTGGTTTCTGTAATTTAAGTAATTCTTCCATCTTTCTAAATAATTATTTCGTAAATAAAGATTGATTACAAGCTTATATCTCTTTCATTAATTAATATTGAAATTTCCAAAAAAAAAAAAAAAAAAAAACAAATTAAAATTTAAACCACCAGCAGTGGAATAAGCTTCTTTTACATTAAATTTTTAATCAATAATCAACAAGTGACTTTTTTGGTAAAAGATATCTTTTTTTTTAGATATTTATTTTGATCTTGAGACAACAAAGAATTATTACATTAATAATATTTTAATTAATTTTGAAAATCAAAATAATCTATTTTATCTATTTTATTTACAATTAATAACAACAAGGTTTCTTTAGAAATCAGTATACTCTTCCAATTCAAAGTCATCATCTTTCAAATTAACCAAATCTAATATCGGTGAATCATATGATAACTGTACAGGTGACTGTTGTGCTGATTGCTTTTTCAATGGTTGAATTATATTTGAATTACTTTGATTAAAATCACCATGTATACTTGATTCAAAAAACTTATTCTCCTATAATTGATTAGATATTTGGTTAGTAAACGTAATAATAATAATAAACAATAATAAACAACAAATATTACCTTAAATATTGATAAATTAAATCTATTTCCGGTTATTGGTGATCTAATGATTCTTTTCAATACGATATCGAATAGAATTGGATTGAATTTATATATTTCATTTACTAGATTACGTTCGTCTGGTGTGATCAATCCTCTGTTGGCCAAAAGTGTGGTTATCACGGCTAGATTGACTGCTGGTATCGGATAGTCACTTGAATATATAAATCTATGGTGTAGGTAGTGGTGGTCGAGCATAGGCACCAAACTATCAACTCTATTATAAGCTATAACACCACTTAGATCTCCAATTAAATTATCTTCATATTTCTTTTCGTGCATAAGTCTTAAAAATAACTGATGATATTATTATTATTATTATTGTACAATCGCAAATTGATTAGTAAATCCGTTTTTTTTTTCCACAAACTAATAATATATTTACATGTAAATTAGGTGTAATAGTTTGTTTTGGATCATCGAAATCCACAGATTTTCCTTCACCTCCACAATGTACACCAACTATTTTGACACCGATATCCAATGCTCTTTTGAGAAGTAGTGGGTTGCCAAGTGCTGAATTTGAATCTGGTGGTTCAATCAATGAATGTTCATTACCAACATGTACAAACAATATAATATCATTTTCAACCAATGCTTCATAGAATGGTACTAATAATAATAATCAATATGTTAGCTTATTTTGATCTAACCTAAAAAAATAACACATACCACATAATTCACTACTCATATCAATACCCATTGATATTGGTAACCATCTAACGAAACGAACACCTTTAACTATCCATTTCAAAAGTTCATCGATTGCATCTTTTCTATAGGGGTGAATTGAAATACATGGAACTAAATAATTATATATTAATTCAACCTGTTAAACTACTTAAAATAGATAAAAATATGATAGATAGTTTAATAACAATACATACTAAATAAATCAGAGAAATCCTGTACAATATCAAGTAAATAATCATTTGGTACATATAATCCTGTCATTTTCATCATCTCTTGTCCTTCTTCACTATATCTCTTATCAATTGCAGACAATATACTCTTACCAATCTTTAATAAAAATAATAATATGTTAGTTTTGTAATGTATTAATCGATGGGTGCTTTGGTTAACTTACTGGATAAGTTGATTTCAATTGTCTTGTTAACTTTACTACTCTGTCAACGTATTGTCTGTCCCATTGTGAGTTGTTATCGATTGCGCATGCCGATGTGAATGCCTTGAACTTGATGAATTTGAATGGGTGATGGAATCGATCGTAGATCTCTGCACCATTGGCATAGCAGTTGGTGTCTGTACCGATTCCAAACAAGTTGACAAGATGATCGATCAGACATCCACTGGGTGTTCTTACAAAAGGTTCCAGGGAAACATCGATCAATTCTCTTGCACCGACACTTAGTGTCGACATGTCCAACGTAGATGACGACGACGACAAAGATTGTGTATTGCTATGGTTGGTGTGACCATTAGGGCTCCCTCCAGAGGTATTGCCAGACGATACGCTTGAACTCGAGAGAATACCGATTGCATTGTTATCATATTGATCATTTACATCTAGATCACTCTTACTTAGACTTCTACCAAATGCAGTGATACTAGATGTAATGCCACTTGTCTTTCCACTTGAATCATTATCATTATTCTTTGATTTGAAATTACCTCCCAATTTTGAAGATAACCAAGATAATGACATATTTATCTATCCTTTATTAATAAATTCAAAAAATTAATATTTCTCTATCTATCTTTTATCTATATTAATAATTATCTATCTATCTATTAAAAAAAAGATAAATTCAAAAAAATTATTATACTCTTTATACCTCTCTTGTGCTTTGCAAACACAATTAATTGAAAAAAAATAAAAATAAAAAATAATCAATTAAAAATTGTAAGATGGTGTGGTTAGGGAAGCTGATTTTGGTGTGAAGTGTGAAGCTGTTTGACTTGTGTGGTAACACATTTTTTTTTTTCACAAATAAACAAATATTTAAAGTTTTAAAAACACACTATTATATTAATACAATGAACTCTTTAATATTAATTATTTTAGCATATGATTATCTATTGTTATAATAAATAAAGATATATTCAATATTAATAGTAATAATGAATAGAATAAATAGGATTTTAATATTCAAGATACTATCATTAATATTTGTTATATCTATATTTATTCAGTTGATCTTGTTGTTTAATTTGAACGAAATAACCTTTTCAACTACTACAGAAGAATCAATAGATCAACCAACGAGAATACTCAGAGCACCTAGACCAATCGATAGACCTCGTGAATATGCTTACTTTGACGATACTATTAGACGATACAGGATAGAGTCAAGAGTAGATGGTTTCTTTTTGGAATCAAACATGTTACCGAGTCCTAATCGTGTCTCTATGTTTACCATTGACAATCCAACACATTCATGTAGAAGAGTTGGAATAAATCTAGAATTTCAATTGGAGGATGACAATAATAATAATGATGGTGATATTTTCAGGGATATCACTGAAAATATCAAATCAATCTATCTTGGTAAATCGCAGAACGTTACATCGGATATCTATGTTGTAGAGTTGGCTATTCTCAATGATATGTTTGATGATATCTTTCATAATGACTCGGGAATTATTGAAGATGCATACTCAATTACTATCGATCATCATGTTGTAAAGATTACCTCTCACTCGGCCAATGGTATTATCTATGGATTACATACATTTGGTCAGCTTCTCCAATTTGAAGAAGATACAAGTTTGTATAAACTCTGCAGACTTCCCATTCACATACATGATAAACCGTTTAAAAATCACAGAGCAATTCACCTCGATACATCAACCAAATTCATCCCAACCTCGAAATTCATAAATTTTATCAATCAAATGGGAACACTAAAACTTAATTATCTACATTGGAAACCATTTGATTTCAGAAATGCTCAACAATTAGATTTATTTAATAATAATAATAATAATAATGTTAAAAATATTAATAATATTGATGATAAATATAAAAAGAACGACATACAATTAATAATTAATCAATTGAAAATAAATGGTATCAAATTAATTTTGGAAATACCATTATTTGAAACAATAGACATACCAAACAATAGTGATAAAGTTATTTTTAATTCAGCTTACAATCTAAACAATAGTAAAATCAATCAAACATGTTTATATATTCTAAATCCAATTGATATAGAATTCAATCAAACAAAGGAAATACTAAATTTATTTCTAAGTCATTTCCAAAATCATGATTTAAATAATTTGGTTTATATGTTTGTATAAAAATATAACAGATCTTTAATTTAAAATTAATTTCTTTTTTTTTTTAAAAGAAATATTGGAGAGGATAAAATTAACTATTTAGATCGTTTAATTGCATGCCTATCTAGTATGAATGAAAGTTCTCTTGGAAACAAAAACCCAATTCAATATATTGAATATTTAAGAGAAAATATTGTAAAGTACCTTCGGGAAAAGGGTATTGAATTGATCATATACCCAGAAGAACGACAAAATCTCTATGATTTGTCATTTTTCGATGAAAAGATATTGATCCAACACAATCACAAATCAAAATCATACAAGAACATTCATAAGCATCCAGATCAATCTATATTTACATTAGAAATCAATGAAATCATCAAAGAAAGAGATAAAGAGTAAGTTATAAATATATTTTAATTTATTATCTTCTACTAATTTCTTTTTATTTTCTATTAAAACAAGTGTTACTAGAGAGATATGGGAATATGTTTATAATGACCTCAAGTTTATATATGAAATGCCGATGTGGATTGGAGGCGAGATATTGATGACAAGTGAATGGCTTGATAGGCAAGACTATGCAATTGGTCCACCAGCAGCTGCACTATCCGAAAGACTTTGGACAAACCCCAATACTCTACAATCGAATGCATATCTACTGGAAGAGAGAATAATAAAATTTAATGAAAGAAATAAACTTCATGCACAACAAAAATAAAGAGAACTTAATTTAAAAACAAAAATTTGTTGTTGACAGCATGTTTATTATTATTTTTTTACCAATATCTTTTTACTATTATCTATTGTTGTTATTATCTTTCAATATCAAATATGATCGTATTTGAAAATAGATTCAATCATAAAAGTCAATCTTTCTTTAATTTTAAAGAAACATATAAATTACAGCTATTGAAAGAAGATAATTGGAAGAACTACAACTCTTTATTTCCATATCCAAACAGTAATATCATTCTAATGCTTTATAGTATTGCAAGAAGATATAGCATCAATAAAACCAATGTACACTATGCAATATGGTATATAATAAACAATTATAACAACTATTAATAACAAACTACTAATGAACTTTGTTTTAATTTTTTATTATATTAGTTTATTCCAAAGATATCTTGGTCTTAGAGATATTAATCAAAAGAAAAGCAATAGAAATAACTTTAATATAAATAACAATAGAAATTCAAACTATGAAACACAAATATCAATTTGCTCTTTAATATTGGCTTGTAAAGTATGTAGATGATTGCTATTGCTAATTAAACATTTGATTGAACTAATTGAAACAAAGATGAATGAAACACATATGGAATATACTCTTAAAATGTTAATTAATACCTATTTTGAATTGAATACTTATATGAAGATTGAATTGGGTATACTTTATAGATAATAATTATAAAACAAATGATTACTACTAACGATATTCTTTTTTTTTTATTAATTTTAACAAATTCGTTTAGATTTTCTTGATATTATCAGTAACTATCTTAGAATACCATTAATTGATGAATTCGTTGGATTGGTATTAGAATGTTACTTTCCGTCGAATGTAGAACAACTTCAACCAGTTTGTCAAAAGATACTTGACTTTTTATACTTATATCCTAAAGAGTATCTTAGTGAATCATTCTCATTGGTTTCAATTGCTGTAGTCTCAATAGCATACGCAATCTATACGAAATCTAAAACCAATCAAATGATACGTTGGGGTAAGTTTTACAAAACATATTATTTGTTTTTTTTAATTTCACTTTAACAAATCAATGACTTTTGGAACAATATAACTTTTTTGTAATTTATCTATTAATATTGAATCATATTCATTAGCATCGTTAGTATCAGAATTTCCAATACAGGTCATAACAAACATGATTGATAAAATACAGATACTCATTTTCAAAGGTAACAATGTTATACTTTCATTTTTGAACGACCATTGAAACTCTGTTGTGTATGTCAACAACCATTTTATTTTATAAGTACCCAATAGACATACTGCAATTGTAAAAATAATAAAAACAATCTTATTTTATCATTTCTATTCTATTTATAGATCAATAGCATTCAATTTTGTAAATAAATCAAATCAATTAAACAAAAACAAACTAAAATTTATATTTAAAAATCAGCCACTCTCATTAATTAATTATTTAATGGAACATTAATAGGAAATTAAATGTTTGGTTTTTTCAAAAAAAAAAACACACCCCACTTGTTTAAATTAAACTCAAGAAATTTTATCTGTTAGATTACAGATTTCCTAACAATATAGCTATATTTATTGTTACCTTACTCAAGAGTATTAAACAAATTTAAAATAATAAAAAACAAAACTAAACAAATAAAAATAGATATATATATAATAAATAAATAATTTTAATTTAAAATAATAAATAATGGATTTAAATAATAATAATGCTGAAACATTGGTACCTCCAATGAATCAATTATTAAATCAAAATACAATGGCAGATGAAGGATTGATGAAAAAGATGGTAGAGAAAAATAAAAAAGATATGAAAAAGAAGGACAAGAAGAAGGATAAAAAGAAAGACAAGAAGAACAAAGATAAGAAAAAGGTTACCATCAAGAGACTCGAATGGAAAAAAGAAATCAAGAATGCCATCAAAGAGTATCCAGAGGGTAGTTGCGTACCAATGAAACAAATTCGTTCGAAAATATTGGCTGCGCAACACGCAAAAATCGAAAAAATACTTGGTAAACAATTTAACAAAAAGGTATTTAATCAATCAAATAATAATAACAATAGATTATATATACAAATATATCCATCTATATATCAATTAATTGATTTCTAATAAATAAATTGTTGTTAAATTTAAAGATTCTTAAAGAGAATGATAGATGGACTGTAACATCGCAAGGTGATCTTAAAGTTCTTCCAAAACCTGTTAAACCAATTAAATCTCAAACAGGAACACCTTCAATTTAAACATCTGAACCATCTTTTTAATAAAAAAAAAAAAAAAAACAAATAGTAAATAATAATAATAATCTAAAACATGAAACATCATAATCAAATAAATAGTTTTTTTTACAAAATATAAAGTTGTTTTGTTTTGTTTTTTGGTTTGGTGATTAAATTTATAATATATATGTTATGAAATTATATTGGTAAATTCGATCATTTAGACTCTGTTCTTCTCAACATACTCCATGAGGAATTTGTATTCTTCGGACTCCTTACCGAAGGTTTTGATGGCAACACAGGAGCAGGCAACGACCTTACGGGCGGTGGCTTCCTTGTCGAGCTTGCAAAGACCGGCCCATTCTCCCAACAATTTTGAGTCTTCAACGGTGATCAATGGGATATCGTGTTCAGCGCACAATCCCTTGACCAAACGAACGTAGTTTGGCTCATCACAGTTTTCAGCCAAAACACAGAGACGGGCAGCTCTAGTGTCCAAATCTCTGACGACTTCGTGGAGACCACGGGCAACACCTCTGCAGGCCAAAGCTTCCTTGAGGACCTTTTGGAGGGCAACCATTGGGTCGGTTACCTTCTCGACTGGGTTGGTAATAGCTGATACAACATCTCCTTCAGACATTTTGTGTTCTTTTTGTTTATATAAGGTGATATCCTTACTACATTTGATAGACGAATAGATAGTAGGTAAGTAAACTAATATAAGGTAGATAAATGAAATCTAGATACATACATGAGTACCAACAAACAGAATTTGCAAACAAGATTCTATCAATTTGAAATCATTGTATATATCAACAGTGCGGATACTCGCTGCACCAACTCTGAGAGACGACCAGAGACCTCTCCGCCACACTAACCCCAAATTTTCATTAAAATTGTAAAAAATTCAAATTTTATTCGAACTTCAAAAAAAAAAAACAATTCAAAAAAGTAAAATGATAATTAAAATCTTCAAATAATTAATTAAACAAAAAAAAATTAAGATTAAATAAATAGACAAATAAGAAATATAATAAAAAGTTTAAGATTATAATAGCAAATTAAAATTTTATTTTAATGAATTCAAATAAATAAATTATAAGTGGTAAAAAACTGATCAAAATATTGTTTTTTTTTTTATGCCTGAAAAATATTTATAAAAAATTAATAATAATTATAAATTTATTTTTATGTATAGTAGAAGATCAAGTGTATTTATATAAAAATAAGGATCGAAGATAGAGAATGTCATTCTTTGGTGAGGATATTGTAAAGTTAAACAAATTCAAAGAAAGACTGAGTCATGAGAATGACGGTATATATATGGATGATGAAGATGATCCTTCCATCGATCCTTCAGAGTACTCTAGATATAAACAGTTGGTAGAGTTGGGTGTTATCAATATGGATGGTTTAGAATCGACTTCATCTTTATCGATTGTGCAAGATGAAGATGATGGTGAAGCTGAGCGTATAAGAATAGAGGCCGAACGACAAGCCGAAAGACAAAGAAAGATGGAAGAGGAATTGCAGCGTGAATTTGAGAGATTGGCTGCCGAAGAGAAGGCAAATGGCGATGGTGTAAGTGAAGAGGAGTTGGCTGAAGAACAAAGAAGAAAGGATGAAGAATCACGTAGAAGAGTACAGGAAAGGCAGAGAAAGATGGTTGCCAAAAAGAGATCACCAGAGGAAGAGGAGAAAGAACGACAAAGACTACAGAAACAAAAGGAAAGAGATGAAGAGCGTGCCAAAATGAAACAACAAATGAAAGCAAACCCTGCACCTACTCAAAGAGATGTAGAGATGGTCACTGACAAAGTTGACGAAGAAGTACAACAACAACAACAACAACAACAACCAGTGGCAGCAGTAGTTCAACAGCCATCAGTAGCAGCAGCAGCAGCAGCAGTAGTTCAACAACAGGATGTAGTTATGGATGAGAATGAGAATGAAGATGAAGAAAAGAGAATAGCTTTGGAATTACAGAGACAAGCTGAAAGACAAAGAAAGATGGAGGAGGAATTACAACGTGAATTTGAGAGATTGGCTGCAGAGGAGAAGGCAAATGGTGGTGGAATTAGTGAAGAGGAGTTGGCTGAAGAACAAAGAAGAAAGGATGAGGAGTCGCGACGAAGAGTACAAGAGAGACAGAAAAAGATGGCTGCTGGCAAGAAGAAAACACCGGAGGAAGAGGAAAAGGAGAGACAAAGATTACAGAAGCAGAAGGAACGTGATGAAGAGCGTGCCAAAATGAAACAACAAATGATGAGCAATACAAAAAAGGTAGAGGATGAGTTGGTAGTTGAGGATTTACAACCAATGGTGAGATCTCAACCAACTGTATCTGCACCAACACCTACACCTGCCCAACCTGTACAAATACAACCAGTTCAAGAGGAAATCATTGGTGAAGACACTAACGATGAAGAGAGATTTGCAGCCGAAGCAAAGAGACAGGCTGAAAGACAGAGAATGATGGAGGAGGAGTTGCAACGCGAGTTTGAGAGATTGGCTGCTGAGGAGAAGGCAAATGGTGGTGGTGTAAGTGAAGAGGAGTTGGCTGAGGAACAAAGAAGAAAAGATGAGGAATCAAGAAGAAGAGTACAGGAGAGACAGAAAAAGATGGCAGCTGGCAAGAAGAAAACTCCGGAGGAAGAGGAAAAAGAAAGACAAAGACTACAGAAGCAGAAGGAACGTGATGAAGAGCGTGCCAAAATGAAACAACAAATGATGGGTAATAAAAAAGAGGTATTGGAAGTTGAGGACTTACAACCAGCTCCATTACAACAAAATGTACAACAACAACAACAACAACAGCCTGCACAAGTCGAGGATATTCCACAGCAACAACCACCACAGCAACAAGAGAACGAAGGTGATGAAGAGCATAGAATGTTGTTGGAGCAAAAGAAACAGGCTGAAAGACAGAGAATGATGGAGGAGGAATTACAGCGTGAGTTTGAAAGATTGGCTGCTGAAGAGAAGGCAAATGGTGGTGGAATGACTGAGGAGGAGTTGGCTGAAGAACAGAGACGAAAAGATGAAGAGTCACGCAGAAGAGTACAAGAAAGACAGAGAAAGATGGCTGCTGGTAAGAAAAAGACGCCTGAGGAAGAAGAGAAAGAACGACAACGTCTTGAGAAGCAAAAGGAAAGAGATGAAGAGCGTGCCAGAATGAAACAACAGATGATGGGGAATAAGAAGAAAGATGTTGAAGTTGAAGAGGCACCAGTTGTTCAACCTGAACCAACACCAATAGCAGTACCAATACCAACAGTAACATTACAACAACAGCAACAGAGTGATTTAGATGAAGAGTTTGAAAGAGCAAACAGAGAAGCACAGAAACAAGCCGAAAGACAGAAAATGATGGAGGAAGAGTTGCAACGTGAATTTGAGAGATTGGCCGCAGAGGAAAAAGCAAATGGTGGTGGTGTAAATGAAGAGGAGCTGGCTGAAGAACAAAGAAGAAAAGATGAAGAATCACGAAGAAGAGTACAGGAGAGACAAAAGAAGGCTGCTGCCTCCTCAAAGTCAAAGTCACCAGAGGAAGAGGAAAAAGAACGACAAAGACTACAAAAACAAAAGGAAAGAGATGAGGAACGTGCCAAAATGAAACAACAAATGGCCAATGCAAAGAAAGTCAGTAGTAATAGTACAGAGTCATTTGATAGTAATGAAGAACAACAAGATGAGAAACACCAACCTTCAATACAATCTCAACAACAACAACAGCCACAACAACAACCACCACAGCAAAAGTTACCAATGCCACAAACATCACAACCACAACCACAGCTGCAACAACAGCAACAGCCATATCAACCACAATATAATCAACAACAACAACAACAACAACAACAATCAATGTATAATAATAATGGTAACAATAACTATAACAATCCTACATCGCCTACACAACAACAGTATTTACCACATGCACAAATGTATTATCAGCAATCACCACATTCACCATATCAACAGCACACACAACATCATCCACCCTACTTTGTTCCACAACCAAACTTTTACCAATCAAATGCATTTTACTCACAAGAGGATGTCGATAGAATGATTGAACAAGCAAGAAAAGAAATATTAAAACAAGTAACTATTAAACAATCAAACAATCAAACAATGTATTAATGTACTGACTAATTTTTTACTTTTTAAATATGTTAACAGGCATCAGATGAGAGTGCAATTCTAGCAATTGAATTTGAAGATATGGAAATAAAGTATGAAAAGGAGCTTAGAAACTGTAGTTCACTTAGAAGTGTTTTGGCACAATACGAATCGACCATGAAGAAGATGATCGACCAACCAGCACCCGTACCACAAAACTCTGCTAAACTGACAGAGACACTGATGGAGAACGATCATCTGCGCAAAGAGAGCAAAGAACTGAAAGAGAACATTGCACAGCTCAATAAAGAGTTGGCACTACAGCAATCGCGGTTCAACGCACTCAAAGCGCATGCCGAACAGAAACTAGACAGTGCATCCGACCAGCTACTCAAACTTAAGGAGGTCGCAGCCAAGGAAGTTGCCGTACTCAACGCCAAACTAAACAAATCCGAAACGAAATTGGTCTCCAAAGAGAAAGAGAATGAAGAACTAGCAAAATTATGTGATGAATTAATTTTCAAACTACAAAAACAATCGTAATTTTAAATAATAACAAATAACAACAAATAAAAATAATAATAAAAATGATATCTTTTACAAAAACTATAACAAACCAAAATCAAAATAAAATTAATAGATTTTTAATACAAATGTTTTCTATTTTAATTTCCAGTCATTTAAGTTTATATGGTGCCACTCCAACTTCCGCCGGTAACTGAGTTATTGTTTAAAAAAATTTAACAAATTAAAACAGATAATTGTGACGAGGAAAGTCGGTTTTCAAGTTGTGCGGAAATTTTTGTGTGAGCAAACCAGATTTTAGTGTGGAGCAAAAAAAATTAAAAAAAATATTTGAAAAATTACAAATATAAAAGAACGAATGAATTTTGTTTTTTGTGTGTGTTACTAGTTTGGATTTCAAAAAAAATGTCAACCAAAAGAAATAATAATAAAAAGAAAAATAATAATAACAAGACAAAGTCAGTAGTTGCACAAGAACAACAACAGGAATCTAACAATACTGCCGTAGAATCTCTTGAAAATAGACAATCTAATATCATCGAGGATCTCAGCAATTTAGATAATAAAGTAGAACAACTCATCGAACAAACAAACAACAATCAAACTATGGATAGTGTAATCGTAGATGAAAACAATGTAGAGATCGCCAACAAGGTCGTCGTAGAAGAACAAAAACAAGAGGAACAACCAACTGTTGCCGAACCAATCGTCGAGCAACCAGAACCAATCGTCGAACAACAACCAGAACCAATCGTCGAACAACAACCAGAACCAATCGTCGAACAACAACCAGAGCCAGTTGTTGAGGAAACAAAGGTTGTCGAAGAAGTTAAAGTAGAGGAGCCAGTTGCTGCCGTTGAGGAATCAGTTATTACCGATTCAGTTGTAGTTGTAGAACCAGAGGTTGCTAAAGTCGAAGAGCCAGTTGTTGAAGAAGCAAAGGTAGAAGAGCCAGCTCCAGTTGTAGAAGAAGTTAAAGTAGATGAAACAGTTGCTGTTGTTGAAGAACCAGTAGCTGCTCCAGTTGTCGATGAAGCTAAAGTTGAGGAGCCAGCTCCAGTTGCTGCCGCTGAGGAATCAGTTATTACCGATTCAGTTGTAATTGTAGAGCCAGAAGTTGTCAAAGCTGAAGAGCCAGTTGTTGAAGAAGCAAAGGTAGAGGAGCCAGTTGTTGAAGAGACAAAGGTAGAAGAGCCAGCTCCAGTTGTTGTTGAAGAGCCAGTAGCTGCTCCAGTTGTAGAAGAAGTTAAAGTAGAGGAACCAGCTCCAGTTGCTGCTATTGAAGAACCAGCTGTAGCACCAGCTGTAGAGCAATCACAACCAGAGCAACCAAAGATTGAAGAACAAGTTAATGTAGAGGAACCAGCTCCAGTTGCTGCTGTCGTTGAAGAGCCATCAGTAGTAGAACCAGAACAACCACAACAAACAGAGGAAGAGAAACCAATGATTGAAGAATCATTTGTTATAGTAGATAAAGAACCAGAACAACCACAAGAACAACAACAAGAACAAGAACAAGAAAAACCAAAAATAGAAGAAGAGAAACAAAATGAATATGCTCACATGAATGGAAACAATCATGTAGAATCAACACCAGAACCAACTACCACCACCACCACTACTACTGTTGCTGAGGCACCAGTTGAGGAAGAGGAGGAAGACGACAGCACAGATCCAAACGTTTTGTCAAACGAGGAGATGGCCAACCAATATAAGAATGAAGGTAACGAGTTGTTCAAGAGAGCTTTCTTCCGTGAGTCGATCGAGAGCTACACCAAGTCACTCAAGTACAAGCCATCACATATGGTCTACAGTAACCGTTCGATCAGTTACTTCAAGTTGAAGATGTACGAGCATTCCATGGAGGATGCCGACAACTCTATCAAGTTGAGTGCCGATTGGACCAAGGGCTACTTGAGAAAAGGTATAGCATTGGTTTCTTTGGAGCGTCTCGAAGAAGCCAAGGCCGTATTCTACCAGGGCCTCGCCATCGACAAGGACAACAGTGATCTCCAAAAGAACCTCGAAGATGTCCTCCAGAAGCTCCAAGCTAAATCCAAGCCTGCCAACGACATTGATAATCAAGTCGAAGCTACCGACAAGAAGAACAACAAGCAGATTGTCAAGAGTTCCTCATGGATTTCAAAGATTCTTTCATTCGGTTTGCTCGGTGCTGTCACTGGTGTCGCTGCATTTACATTTAGAAATACTCCATTCGTTAAGAATATGATTGGTTTTATTGGAAAATTAAAGAAATAAATAATATTGCACAATTTTAAAATAATAACAAACAATTAAATAAATATATAAAAGTTATATAGTTATATTCTATAAAATTTACTCTTATTCTTTAATTTAAATTAATTTTTTAATGAGTTAATATAGATGGATGTGATCTATGTTTCCACCTTTTTCAATTCCACACCCCATAACATTTTAGATATTTCTTTTATTTCTACAGATTTCGATTGTGAAAGTAACCAACAATCTTTTACATTTTATCTGTAGTCAATTTTAAAAAAATAGAAAAACAAATTTATTAAATTTTAACTTGAATCTTTTTATTTACAATAACAAATTGTTGGTATTAATATAATTTACTATTTGAGTTTGTTGATGTTGAATTGCTGTTTCCATTGCTCTATAAATAGAGAATGAGGACTTTCTATGTTTATAAAGAAATTCAAAGATTGAAAGGTGACCATTTCTAGCAGATTGTATTAAAGCGTCCTCTGTAAACCCTTCTGTTCTATTGTTAAGAAGGAATTCCACGACCGAAAAGTGACCTTTGGCGGCAGACCAGTCGATAGCATTGGTACTACATTCTTCTTTTCTTTGATAATGCAGGAATTTAAGAATATCAAGATGTCCCTTCTTGGCAACATTGTCAAAAGTATTCTTATAGTGAATCGTTCTATTGTTTGATTGTACAAATTGGACAATCTTTAGAAAACCACCTATAGAATTATTTATCGAGGCAAATCGATCTAATCCTTCGAATCGATACTTGTGAAGAAATTCCGCAACTTGAAGATGACCATTCTCACAAGCTAACTGCATAGCCTTCTTTGTACATCCCTCTTTTCTATTAAAATGTAAGTAGCGTACAATTTCCAAATAGCCTTTACTTGCTGAAATGTCCATTGCCTCTGTTGTACATTCCTCTTTACGATTCTCACTTAAATATTTAACAGCATCTAGATTTCCAAATTCTGCGGCTCGATCAATACACAGACTCATATCTAATTTATCTCCACCTATTTTAGATTGAACCACATATTTTAATAGTTCCGAATTACCATTTTCACATAAAACCAACATCTCTTTATTTAATTTATTTACATCTAAATACTCTCCATATTTTTCTATTATTATTATTATATTACTATTTACACTATTATTACTAATTTGATTATTTCTATTAAATAAATAAATTAAACTCTCTATATATTTATTTTTAATTTCTATTTTTTCACTTTCTTTAAAACTATCAAAATATTCAAAATATGATGATATATAATTATAATTTATTAATTGGTAAGGATTTTCTATTAATTTATTCCAGTTATATCTTTTTAAATTTGAATAGGATTCATCTATTTTGGTTTTTTCTAAAATATATTGATCGTTGATTGTTCTAATATTCGCAAAAATTAAATTTCTTATTACTTTTGATCTAATTAAATCAAAAATTGTATGATTTTCCAATTTATACATATACACTATTTACTTGATTATTGAATTATGTTTGTTTTGGTTTATTTTGTTTTAGTTTGAATATTAATATTTGGATTTTATTTTATAGAACTTTATTTTTTTTTGATCTATTTATACCCAGGTACATATGATTTATATGGTAGGATATTTTATATGATTTTGATATTTCTTAAAAAATTAAATAAAATAAAATTAAAATGGTTGGATTGATTCAAAAAATCTTGAACCATATGTTTTTGTCATAAAGCGACTGTTTTGGGTATGAAAAAAAACAAAATACTTAAAAAAAACCGCAAATTTGCTTGTTTCACCACAAAAGCAAGCTCCTCTTTCAACAACAATGAAAAATTTTGTGCATTACAATCTTTATCGAAAACAAACAAATAACTTAGTGTTTTTTAAATACTTTGATTCTAATAGATGACAAATAAGATACCTTCATGTTAATAATATATTTTTTTTGTTTATTTTAAATATTTAAAATTAGATTAGACAAAGTTGTTAAAATGAAAATAACATAGATCTATTTTCAATCAAAAAAATATTGAACAAACAAACAAAAAAAAACAAAAAACAAAAAATTATTGAAATTATTTTTCTGTGTGTTATTAAATACGCCTCTTGAAACAAAACTAAATTGATATTTTTTGATTTATAATAATTTTTTTTTTTTGTCATTAATAGCATCAACCAACTTTTAAATGTTTGGTTATTTGTAGTTCAATTTTGAAAATTTGCAAAAATATAAACCTATATTTATTTAGATACATAGCTAAAATATATAAGATCTGATCTTGCAGCAAGAGATAATATATATATAATATTTTGTATTATTAGTTTGTTTTATTAGATAGTTAGATAATATTAGTTCATTATTTCATTAGGTTCTATCATTTTTAGATACGACAATGGAGAATGGAAATATAGATGATGATGGATTCGGAGATTTTCAGATATCAGACATACCACCTCCAATTCCACCATTAGTTATCGAACATCAACCTCCTATAAAGTCATTCAACGCATTAAGCGATGATTTTGAATCGACACCTCCTCTACAATCAACTAATCATCAAATAAATCATCAAATTCTATTCGATGATTTCACATCTTTTACATCCTCAAATAACAACAACAACAACAACAACAACAACAACAACAACAACAACAACAACAATAATAATAACAGCAATAATAATGATATATTAGTATTAGATGAGTTTAATGATTTTACATTTAGTTCAACACCTTCACCTTTACCTTCACAAAATATCAATAGTAATACTAATAACAATAATTTTGATAATAATAATAATAATAATAATAATAATAATGATTTTGGTGACTTTGATCAATATTCAATATCATCATCAAATATAAATACATCGTTACAATCTGATCATGGACAGCAACAACAACAGAATCAACAGAGTAGCAGTATGAGTCAGATGAACGATGATCTAGATCATTTCTCATCGTTTACTACACCGTCGATCAACAGCTTCGATACCTATAGTAATAGTGTAGTGAAAGGGCAGAATGACAACACTCTGTCGTTCGAACAGCTCTCACCAGCCTCCAGTGTCAATAGCAGCATGCTTATGAGCTTCAACAATAAGAATAATATCAATGCCAACAACGATCACACTTTTGACTCGTTCACATCGACTTCCACCGAGAGTACCATCCCAGCGGGTTCACAGAACGATGACAACGACTTTGGTGATATGACAACCACCAACATTGTTGACACTAACAATAACAATAGCAATAACATCGACAACAATAACAATGATAATAATAATAATGGTGATAACAATAGTAATACTGATAGTAACAATGATAATGATATTAATATACCAACAGCAGCAACACAACAACAAGAGGAAGAAGAAGATAATACATTTGATAATATTACAAGTTTTACTGCATCTACTCCAACTCCAACACCCACACCTGAAACAACAACAACCTCTACAATAGTAAATGATAATCATTTTGATTTTGAATCATTGACACCAACTACAAATCAACAGCAGCAGCAACAACAACAACACGAACAGTTTGACGATTTCAATGATTTCATATCAAGTCCTGCAATTCCACCTGTTAATAATAATAATAATAATAGTAGTAGTCAAGCAACAACAGGTGATTTCGATCAGTTTGATGATTTCATTTCAAGTCATGTGTCAGAATCTGTTGCTACACCAACTACCTCCTCCAACATCAAATTATCAGATAGTATTGAAAATAATCAACTACCATCACCACCACCACCACTACCACCACAACAACAACAAAATGATACATCGGGCAATGGTGATTTCGTATCTAGTAGTATCGTAGAGGAAACAGCAGTTGCCACTACCACCAGCGAGCTTGAGAATAATAATGATTCATCACTACTGGCAACTACCAATATCAACAACAACGGTATCGTAGAGGAGACCACTCAGCAACAGGAACCATCGGCTGAAAAGGAAACAGAACAAACATGTAATATAATAGAGCAACAACCTATACAACAACATCAGGTAGAAGATGAACAACAAGTAGTACAGTCACAAGTTTTAGATTCTGCCATTCCTGGACACCAACAAGAAGAACAACAACAACAAGAACAACCACACCAGATAGTAACCACAGAAGATTCTCAACATCATCAAAACACAGATGACTTTGACGAGTTTGATTTCGATGAGCCACAAGAACTTTCACTCTCTGATATCCAACATATTACAAAATCTATATCACCACCAGCACCAACACCAATACCAACTTTATCTACTATTTCTACATCCGATAATGCTGAAGAAACCACAACAACAACAACAACAACACTCGTAGAACAACCTCAAACAATACCAACACCAACACAACAAGCACAGGTAGAAGATGAACCACAACCACTATCACCACCACCACCACCACAAAAGGAAACTTTTGAATTCGATGATGACAATGACAATTTTACTTTTAGTGAACAACCAATACAACCACCACCACTACCAATCAATGATGACATCAGCCTCAACTCATTCAATAATAATAATGATGCTACTCTAGACTTGTTGGATGAAACTATTGTCACTGTGACACCTCATGTAGTAATTGAAGGTGATGATAATAATAATAACAACAGCAACGATAATAATATTATCTCTAACAAATCAACATCTGCACCTTTGAACCTAGACTCTTCTCATCTAAGCGGTGTTGCGCCACCAATGAACATAGCACCACTTACTCCACCAATGACTCGTTTCGTACAACAAACTCCTGCCATCAGCATTGTCTCTGACAGCTTTGAAGAGAATGAAAACGATGAACCTAAAAAAGATGATTTCGGTGACTTTGGTGATTTCAACGAAGGTGATTCTACAATTCCTGCCTTTGAAGAACCAGAACCAGCTGCTGCAAAAACAACAATACCAACTTTAACAACAACCACCACTACCAATGATAACAACTTTGAGTCATCAAGATCAAACAACAATGACATTAACAATGACTTTGGTGACTTTGGTGATTTCAATGAAACAAATAATGATAATGATGATTTTGGTGACTTTGGAGATTTTAATCAATCTACAACCACTTCTTCATCATCATCATCATTTGAACAACCAAAGTTACAACAATCATCATCATCATCTTCTACTTTATATACATCAAAGGTAAAAAAAACAATTATACTTTAATCAAATATTTTAAAAAACTAATCTAATTTAATTATAACTTAGGATTCAATTGCAGTTATTAAAACAACATTTGAACATGTAAAAGAGAATATGTTAAAGTTATTACAACAAGATCTATTTGAACAAATAACAACATCACCACAAATAGTAACAGAGAATGAAACAACAAACAAATCTTTAGAAGATATTTTGAAACAATCAACAATTGAAAAGTAAGATTATCATAATCAATCATTAACTAAAACAAACATAATCTAATAATGAATTAAACTTTATTATTTTAGGACACTTTATCATAAACCAGAGCAATCTGGATTTGTAGCACCTCCATCACCATTTATTTTAAAGAAATCCAAGATAGAACAGTGTTTCACCCAATCTCTACGGCTTGGCCAAGAAGCTATTGATATTGTAAGTGAACATCAACATCATCATCATCACTCTATTTTTAATTAGTATTGCAATATTAATAACAATTAAACATCTACAATAACTATAATAGATAAACAAGGTAGAAAGTGAAAATATAATTCAACCATTAAAACCAATTTCATCAACAACAGTTTTACCAACCACCGTAAGTATCGACTAGAAAACAAACAATACAAGAAAATATTGTTATATTAATCAAATTATTATAATACAGTCAACGAAACCCAATAATACCATTGTTACAACATCGACAAGCTTTGATTTTATCGATAGTTTGAATTCACAACCAAACTCGGACAAGAAGATCAATTTAGGTGCTACAGAGCCTTCGACTTTGCTTGGAGTTGATTCGCCAAAGAGCATTGGATTCGGTGCCAACTCTGTCAATCCATTCAACGAAGTGATGTCAAAGATTCCAGATTTAACCTTTATGATTTCGACCACCTTGAAGATACCTACCAAAGCTAAAAACTCAAAACTCCCCACCGTTCCATTGAAGTTCAAAGATTAATACTTCATACGATATCACTTGTCATATTTATAATAATAAATAAATTAATCATTACTCCAAATTTTTTGCTTGTGGAATGATACAAATGTTTTTTTTTTTTAGATGATAAAGATAATTTTGATTTTAATTGATTGAAAATATGAAATCATTGATCTTTACTCATTGTTAAAGTATCTTGTAGAAAGACTTAAGCTGGTCAAGCCAATTATAACTGATATATCAGTAGTTGAACTAAGAAGAAGTTCCTAGAGAATACACCTTAGAGTCTTGAGAAAACTTAGTCAATACTGGTTTTTGTTGGGCTTGGCTGCAACTAGCAAGAAAGTTTCTATTTCTCGATACAACAAATATTTTTCTTTTGTAAAATACAATATGTAAAGATCTAATATCATCAATGTCTTCCATTTAGGAGGTAATTTAAAGTTGCAAAATGTTCGATTTTTTTGTGTAGGGTTTGTTTTTGTTATTTTTTGATTTTTATTAATTTATGTATAAGATAAATCAAAGTTTTATTACATTTAGCAAAGATAAAAATATTTTTGTCTCAGGTCTTTAAGTTAACACTTATTTTGAAAACGCTGGTTTCCAACATTCACAAAATCAATTATATTCTTTTTTTTTTTTTGTTAAATATAGTTACTATATTAAGTCTTGTTTCGATTGAAGAGTTCGCACGCTAGTTCCAACAAAATCGTCTAAAGTTTATTACGACCAGTCTTGTTTTCAAAAAAAACGTAGATCTATTTTCTATAGTCGTTTTCAAGAAATGAGACATCTGATGTCATTTTTTGAAAATCGAGAAAATTTGTTTTTTGGTTTTTTTTTTACAAAAAGGTGATTTAAGGTGGAAAAATATCATAAATATCTATGATTTTTTTTTTTGGGTGTTCTAGAGGATTTATATCCAAAGGATTGTTCGTTTACAAAATCATCAATTTTATATCTTACAAATAATAATAATAAATATATATATATATAAAATGTCAAGCGATAAAAGACAATTTTATATCTTAGAAGGCTTAAATGTTTTAATGTTAATAGGTGTGATTGGTGCTATCATTGGTGATTGGTACCATCTTAAAACAGACCTTGGAAATGGAACTGTAGTAACCAGCGATTATAATTTATTCTATACTAAAGTAAGAAATAATCTACAAATCTCTTGAAATTTAATATTTACTTATATAATATATCTATTATTATTACAAAATTTTAGGTAAATTCAGATTTCATCTATAAAGACTATTATGTGAATTATTTAAGATATAATGTTAGTAAATTATTTGTTGCTATTGGAATTTTCCAATTCCTGTCGGCAATTTGTTTAGTCATTAGCTCAACAGCACTCACTACATCACATAGAAAATGTACCAAACAATCCTTAAAGACCAACAAAATCTTTTCAGCTTTAATGCTCTTCTTCCAAATCGTTGCTGTTTGTGCATTGTTTGGAATTAATAAGGCATTCGACTGTAGTGAATCTGCCAACGTCTCCAGCTTCTGTAATAAGTTTGCCGGAAGTGTAGAATCCAATTTGGCTTATATTAAATGGGGTCCAAGTTATGGTTGGGGATTCGCCATTAGTGTTGTCTTTTTCTCGATAATCAGCATCATCTTGGTCTTCAAGAGAGCCAGACACCTCGAACATCATTGCCATGACGAAGGATACTCTCAAATGTCCGGAACTTCTCCACTTGCACAACAAAACTACCAACAACAATATCAACCTCAACACCAACAACCATACCAACCACAATACCAACCACAATACCAACCTCAATACCAACAACAATATCAACAGTCAGCTCATAACCAAAAGCAATTCCCATAAAAACCTCTTTGGTTTTTAATTAAATTCTTATTTAAATAAAAAAATTAAATTCCTTAAAATAAATATTTAGTTCCATTTTTAATTTAAAAAATAATAAATGTAAAATCAACAAAATCTTAAAATATCTTGGTGTGCGGTGTTGTTCCACCTCATCTCAGTTTTTAACGTATTGATTTTTAATCTTGAAGAATTTTGCACAAAAAAAAAATCAAAAGGATCAATTTTAGCAAAAATCAAGACGAAATTTAATTCTTTGGAAAGTAAGATCAATTTTAAACAAGAATCACTATTTATTTGAGTTACTCCTTAATTAAACATTCATTGTATTCTTATTCTTAAATTTATCTTTTGTTTTTTTTTATCTATTATCTTTTTTATCTGTATAAATAAATTTAACATTCCTATATATTTTCAAAAATGTCACACTTAGAACGTAATTATTTTTATGCTTTGGTTGTTATAAATTTTTTACTGGCAGTCTCTGTCATTGGATCAATAGCCGGTGATTGGTATCATGTTACCACTGATGTAGAGTATGACGTTGGTAAAAGTACATATGATCTATACAGAAATAAGGTAAATTTAAATAAATCAACCTTTTATTTCCCAACAAAACATTAATATATTAACTTATTATTTCATAGTATACCTCCTCTGGTTTAAGATCCTCAGTTTACTATGTAAATGAAAGTGGTATCAATATCTGTAAATTCTTTATTGGTATTGGATTCGTCCAATATTTGGGTCTCGTTTGTTTTATTGTTAGTGCAATTGCCCTTTTAGTATCATACCGTACTTGCCACAAGAGAGCATTGAATGTAAATAGAATTTTCGTAATCCTGATGTCACTCTTTGAAATTATCTCGGTAATTTCTTTCATTGCCGTTAACAAGGTCTTTGAGAGCTCTGGAATGTGTAGCTATGGTGGATCTTACTGTGATAGATTCTTTGGAAGCTCATCAACCAATGGATACACCCAATCCTGGGGTCCAAGTATTGGATGGTTCTTTGGCCTCGTAACTATTTTCCTATGCATCTTCAACAACTCTTTTGTCTCCAGCAGATACAAGGAAATTCACAAACACGAACACTGTCACTCAGGTGACCAAGTTTCACTGATCCAAAATCAAACCGCCATTTACCCGCAAGGTTACCAACCACAATATCAACACCAACAACCATATCAACCACAATATCAATATCAACAACCACCACAACCATATCAATCCCAATATAACACTTCCAAACAATAATTGTATTAAATTTTCCAACATTAACAACAATATTAGTTTTAATTCATTTTAAATTCTTTTCAATCAAAAAATAAATTACTTCTTCTTTTTTTGACTATTATAAGAATGATTAAACCATATATTCAATCTTTGATTTTTCAAAAAAAAAAAAAAAAAAAAAAACCAAAAAAAAAATCTGAAAATACTTAAATTTGATATGTTCATTTCATTAGGTCTTTTAATATTCAATTAAATAAATAAAAAAATGTCAGCAGAATCACAAAACAGAATGTTGTTTGTGATGGTTGATGGTCTTGCAGATGTCTCCATACCCAAATATAATGGATTAACTACATTACAGAAAGCAAATACACCTACAATGGATTTAATGGCAAGTAAGTAACAATAGATTTCTAAAAAAAAGGTTAGTTTTCTAATATATAGATTATAATTGCTTTCAAATTAGAATATGGTGTCAATGGTATAATGGATCCTGTAGAACCTGGTTATGCATGTGGTAGTGATACTGCACATCTTTCAATATTTGGTTATGATCCAAGAATGTATGTATGAACATCATATATATATATATAACAATTGTTACATTTAAAAACAGATATACTTATTATCACATTGTTACATATTTATAGATATTATAGAGGTAGAGGTGCATTCGAAGCGATGGGTGCTGGACTTGATATGGTGCCGGGTGACATTGCTTTCAAATCAAACTTTGCAACCATCGATACTAAAACAGGTATAGTTACATCAAGAAGAGCAGATAGAAACTTTGAACATTTAGGACCTATTCTATGTGATTATCTTACTGGCGTGTATGTTTAAACATTATTTAATTGTTTGATTGAATATATATTAACATTTGAGAGAATATAGTAAATTACCATCATTCCCAGATTACAGAGTTGATGTTAAATATGCAACAGAACATAGATGTGGTATTAGAGTTAGAGGTCCAGGTTTGACAGATGCAATTACAAATACTGATCCACTGAAAGACAATCTACCGTTACTTAGAGCACAGTCATTAGATGGAAGCAAAGAGGCAGAATTCACTGCTCGTTTGGTTAACGAGTTATCCGATGTTATTCGGGCTGCTCTCGAGAAGCATCCGATCAATGCGGAGCGTGCCAAAGAAGGATTGGCACTCGCCAATGTAGTGCTGCTAAGAGGTTGCGGTGTCAGAGCAGAGGCACCCACCTTTTTCGAGAAATACAAGATGCGTGCATTCATGATCGCTCCAACCTGTATCATTGCTGGCTTGGGTATGTCCATTGAGATCGATCTCGTTGAGGCACCAGGTGGAACCGGTGACTATCACACCGACTTTGACTCCAAGGCAAGAACAGCAGCCGCTGCCATCAAGAGTGGAAAGTATGACTTTGGTTTCCTTCATATCAAGGCGGTCGACGATGCTGGACACGATAAAGATGCTGATCTCAAAGTACGATTGTTAGAGAAGGTCGATGCAATGCTGGCCAAGATCGTCGATGAACTTGGCCAAGCAGAGTTGGAGGGTGTAGCCAAGTTCTCTATTTGCGTAACCGGTGACCATTCTACACCTGTGTTATCGGGTGACCACTCTTGTGAGCCAGTTCCTTTCACCATTAGCAAACCACTACTCATGAAACAACCGCAATCACATGAAAACTGGAAGTTTATCGACAAAGTTCAACAATTCTCAGAGATTGACTGTAGCAGTGGAGCATTAGGTAGATTCCCAGGATCACAAATAATGAACATCATCACTCAATATATGAATACAAAACTATAATTAATTTAAATAAATAGAAAATAACAAATGTAAAAATACAATATATATATATTTTTAAACCAAAATTGACAAAATAGTTTCAAACTACCAAGTTGGTTATTTAAATAATTTATTTGTTGTTGCTATTATTATTATTAATCTCCTAATTATTTGTATAAGAAGATGAACTGGGAAATGAAAAAGTTAATGTTAAAGTAATATTACTTTGTTCGTTGTTGTTTGAGGAGTATTGTGACAAAAATTGTTGATATATGATTGTATATATATATTTAATGTAATTTATAAATTTAGTCGACTCTTTGCTTTGGATTTCTGACGACTCTGCTGTTGAAAGTGAAATCGTCTTGATTCAAAAACTCGTATAAGACTCTCCAGTAGGAGGTGTGGTAACGCAATCCCTTGGTGTAGTATTCAGAGGCGATCGATGTCAATCTTGGCAAGTAGATCCATGGAACACGTACGAAATCGTGGTGCTCATTGTGATAACCAATGTTGAAACCGAGGGTGTTGATGATACCGTAGGTCGAGTAGGTCTCTTGCTCGGATTGGGTGACGGCGAAATGCTCGGCGATCCAACGTGCACCGAGTGGATGCATCAAGAATCCGACCGACATCAACGAAGAGAGAATCAAATAGACCATACCCCAAGTACCAACCCATTGGCTCATTAAATAGGTGAACGCAATGTTGCAAATGTAGTTCAAGACCATCCAGATACCGAATGGCGATTGATCCTTCAATGGATAGAAAGCCGATCTCAAAGCAATGACAATCGAGTAGAAACAGAACCAAATTGCCTTACCAAGTGGTGAGTGTCCAAGAATTGAATTTTCATATGGAATTGGTACATCTGGATCAGTGTAAGTTTCATTCAAGAATGAATGATGAAGCTAATAGTTTTTAAACAAAACAAAAATAAATAAAGAAGTTAGAAATGAAAAGGATATTGTTTTCTTTTTTTGTTTCAAACATACTCTGTGATAATGACGGAAGCTGACACCAGCTGGAATGAGATGTGGAAGATCGGCAATTAAAAGGAAGATACTGTTCATTGTACCTTCTTTGAATACAAGGTCATGAGTGAGCTCATGAATTAATACCCAGAGAGCGTGTGAAACAGTTGCTCCGAAAACATATGAGACCAACAAGATGGTCAAGAATGAGGCGTTCTCCATCATCTTGGCTGTAATCATCAGTGCAGAAACCAATGCAACCACCCAGAATGCAGTTGGTGTATGATAGGTTGGGAAGTTGAGTACCTCTGGGTACTTTTGTGAGATGAGCTTTCTTCTGGTCCAATGTTGTTGTACTGCCTCCACACGAATATACTCATCCTTTGGATCGTATTTCTCCATTGGTCCTGTACCATCCAGTGGTGGTACACCCGATTTCGATGGATATCTAACTCTCTCCTTTGTGCTTGCTCCTTTACCTTTACCCATTTTTTCTATCTATCTAACTACTATATTTATTTATTGTTTTAAAATAAATTAATATATTGTTTTTATTTTGTAAAAAAAATAAAAAATGATAATATCATATGATAAATATTTTGTGTTAATTTGATGTATCGTTTTTTTATGATTCATACAAAAAAAATGATAATCTATCTTTCTATCTGGATTTTTTATAACTGATATCTTAAAACAAAATATTAATTATTATTATTATTATTGTTTTTATTACTATTGATTTTTCAAAGTTTATTCAAATATTATAATATTTGCTATTATTCTTGTGAAATAAAGAAATAAGAGGATATTATATGTGGTAGATGGTGTAAATTATGAATGTGTGTGTTTTTTAGTTTCACAAACTAAAAATTGGAGGGAATCTCTAGTAGTGTGTGTGTGGTATTAGTCAAGTCAGACAAAACACACATATCTTAATAATAACTAGGGATATACCTTATTTTTTTTAGAAACTAAAAACTTTTGATAAACTTACACACTATATTATGTCGTTGTATGAAAAATAGCTATTTTTGTATATAAATATGAAATTGAAAAAACAAAAACAAAAATTATTACTAATAATGTCAATTCAATTATTTGACAAAAATAATACTAAAAAGTAAAATTACAACTAGATCTTAATTAATTGCAAAAAATGTCGATTGACAGCCTGATACCTCAATCTATTTTTATACACTAATACAAACATATACTACTTTTGAATATTATTTTAATTTAATTAAATTATTACCTACATACAATTTGAAAATATATAAAAAAAAAACTATAAAAGACAAATGGTGTAATATAGATAAAATTTTGGTTTTAGTCGTTTTTTTTTTTTCTTCATCAAAATTAATAGAGTTAGATAATTTGCAAAAAAAAATTAAAAAAAAAAATGGACAATATTGTGAAAATAAAACTTTTTTAGTAAAATTTGATGTAACCACTCCTGTCTAACCAACTTTGAACCAACGACAACTTTACGCAATCATGATTAACATTATCTTTCTCACCACAATAATTAAAGGTAAAGATATAAAATCTTTGAGTTCAAAGAATTTTGATCCCTTAGATTGGATGTTGACCTATGAGTAGTCAAATGAAATAGGAAATGGACCTAACCACTTTTTTTACCAAATTTGTCAGATCTAAATCCATTCCTTTCTGTTTTATGTTTCACTAAGACGTCCAGATTTTGAACCTTGAACATCCACATACAGATTACTTTTCATAAGCATTGAAAATCCGTCATTGTTGCAAAGAACTTTTACAACAAAGGTTTTTGGATTTTTTTATCACAACCCAATAAAAAACAACTTGTTTCACAGTCAAAAAAATACTGAAATATTAATTTTCTATCTTTACAAAGAATACTTGATGTGAAAAAAAAAAAAAAACAATTCATTTTTGTTGATAATAATAAATATAATCAGGTGAATGGTTAAACTGTTTTGAATATCTTCACGACCCAAAGAAATAATATTTTAGCATAGTAACGTTCAAAGGAAAAATTGAAAAAAAAATGAAAAAAAATGAAAAAATAAAAAAAATATTTTCACACAATAATATTCGAATGATTTGATCGTCATAATTTTTTATTGATATTATCATTTTTATATTATAATTTATTGTTTATCACAATGAGACAACAACCACTCGGACAATTCTTCAACTACCAAGTCAAGCAATTCTGGCCATTCCTCGTCGGTGCTGGTGCCTGGTCTGCTTTGATCGTCAAGGTACATATGGGTATCGATGGTATGTATCTTTTTTATTTTATTTTTTTACTACTCTTGAAGATCATCACAATACTAATTTGTTTACAATCACCAATTATAGACAAAGCCAGAAAGGAATCACGTATGAATCTAACATAAATATAACTATAATCATATAAAAATAATAGCAGCAAACAACAACAACAACAGCAGCAGCAGTAGTAGTTACAACACCTATATTTTAAATATACAATAGATCAAGTTTAGCAGCAAAACATAGAAATCTATTGGAAATACAGATTTGACAGATTTAAAACATTTTAGAAAAGATAGATTGGATTTATATCACTTAATTAAACATATTTTGATCATTAATTCAACATTATCAATAAGTTTGTTGAATTGTCGATTAATCAACAAAATACTTCAGATTAGATACCACTACAGCTGTATAGATCATTATTTTCAACAACAGTTATGATAATAATAAATGAATGTTTCTATTGTTAATAATAATAATAATAATAATAATAATAATAATAATAATAATAATAATAATAATAATAATAATAATAATAATAATAATAATAATAATAATAATCATAATCATAACAATTAATAGTTATAATATTAACACGATAAAATATATTTATTAACAAAATAAATCTTTATTTTATAGTCTATTGGGAAAAGGTACAAAGATTGCAACACCCAGAACTCTTCAAGGACAAGCACGGTCATGGTCACCACTAAACAACTTATAGAAATATTGCTCGATAATATTATTATTACAACAATATGTGAAAGTAAATTGGAAACAAAGAATATAACACCTAATAATGAAATATCTTTGGCTACAAGATATCATTCACAAATCACCATCACCACAACCCAACTTTTGATACAAATATAGATACATACAAAGTAATAATAAATTAAAATAAACCTTTTTCAACATGTATACATCGCTATAGGTAATATAATTCATTCGTACCTCAAACTAAAATAGTAAATCTATGAAACATTATCAATTAGATATTCAAAAAAAAAATAGAAAAAAAAATAGAGATTATTTAATTTGTATACAAAATCCTTTTTAATTAATTGGTTGTATAATAAGTTGTGATCATCTAAAGTGCATATGAATGACTACAACATCACAATAATTGATTTATATTTTGATATTTTTAATGTATATCAAATTTTTGCATTTAATGTCAGTTGTTGCTTTATTATGGTCGCCTTACAACACAGATTACCTACAACCTATCTACCAACCAACCAATGATAAGAGGAAAGGATGTTTAAGTCCTTCTTTATTAATATTATTGATTCATTAGAGAAATCTTTGATTGGGCTCTAATAGGGAGAGAAAAAGAAAAAAAAATCATTATATTATGTGAAAATTGGTTGTTATATGATTATTGAACATGCACATATATTATTTATATATATTACATGCTATTATACAATGATTGTAATATTTGTTGTTGTTGTTGATAAAGAAAGTGGTTTTGTGTAGTAGTTATATAAAAATAAATATAATATTGGTTTTGTTTTATAGTTGTTATAGTTGTTTGTTGATTATGTAGACGCAGCCAATGCAATAACAACGATCAAAACCAAAATTAAAACACAAATGCAAATCCAATGACCAGTTGTCTTTGAATCCTTTGTCAAACGTAAGATACCTCTCGATGCATTTCTAATTTTCGTTGATGTGCCATCAACGTGGTCATTCAGGTCGTCTAGCATGATACCCTGCTTCTCTGCTTCGTTACCGATGGTAATAGCAATGTCTTTCTGTCGCATAATGCTATTCGAGAGTGAATCTAGCAGTTTATCTTGATCTGCCATCACATCTTTCTGTTTATCTAAAAGTTGTTCATTATTAAAGTGACGTGTATATTCAGTGTCTTGAGGAGGTGATCCCCATTTTCTTCCACCGCCATCTCCACCTTCAAACAATTTACTCCTAATTAGTTTCAAATTAACAGAATTAGTTAAAACACTACAACAAGATATCTTTCAAACCTGACTGTTGTTTCAAAAACAACAACAACAACTACTACTACTTACTTTGCATCTTGTGATAAATATGGTGTATTAAAGTTTGGTCTATTAAAACCACTATTATTACTGTTGTTACTATAATTATTATTATTCATTTTCTAAACAAAATATAAAATATGAAACTATTAATTTCCAAAACTAAAACTTGTAAATCTTAACTATCTATCTTATTTTTCCAATCAAAAAAAAATTAAATAAGTAACTTTAAATAAAAATTAATTTATTATTATTCTTTCACCTTTTTTTATTTTATTTTTTATTAATTTTTTTATCAATTAAAAGATGAATAATAATAATTTGTATTATTTTACTTTTTTTTTATTATTTAATTAATTTTTGTGGGGTGTATGAAATGAAACTTCTTTGTATTTTAGGAATAACGTTATTGTTTGGAAACAACCAAAATTGGTGTGAATATATTGCAAATAATATATTTTGAAATTATTTTATTTTTTCAACTTTTCTTTTCATTTTTTTTTTTTTTTTTGCAATATATTTATTTTTTATGGTCAAAATGAGTTGACTTTTTTTTTTTTATTATTGTGTGGGCATTTTTGATCCAACGCATCAGCAGACACCCCCAAAATTACTGTGATATTGCAAAAACGACCAGAAAAAAAAAAACTGAAAATATATTTTTGTATTGGTCAAATCAACATCAAGCATTCAATTGAAATTTATTATTGTTTTCTGTATCATTCAAAATTCATTTGTTTCATTTCATCTCATTTCATCCAACATTTATTTATTTATAAAACCTTTCTTATTTTTAAATTAAAATAAAAAAAACAAATAATCTTTTAAAAATGGTATGTTCATAATTGATAATTGATTGTTTAATATGTGATATGATAAATAACTAACAAATAAACAATTGGTTTCCAACCTTATATAAATTAATTAATTAATTTAAATAGAACTCACGTACCTTAAGACAAAAGACTGAAAAGTATCACAACAACATTGAAAAGAGAGGAAAGGTTGAAATCAAGAAGAAGGAAGAATCCATTGGTCTCTCACCATACGTTCTTGCATTCATTGTCTTTGTAGTTGTTGGTTCATCACTCTTGCAAATCTTCAGAAGTCAATAAACAATCAATCGACAACAAACAAATTGCAACATAACAACAAAACAACAACAACAATAATCAAAAAAGTCAATCAATTGTAAAGTTGATTGGAAACCAAAACACCTTCACCTTTCTCATCTTTTTAACAACCTAACCATACACACCCACACAGATATCCGATCATTGAATATAATGTGATTGTCATGTCAATATATAACAAAACCTGTACAAAAACAATCATTCCAGTGAACTTTTAAAACCCAATTGCCATTAATAAACAATTAAAACAATATTTGTTTTTATTTTTTTAAACAAAATTGTAACATTAAATAAAATCAACCAACTAAACAACAAAGTATACTTTGTTTATCTCTTTTAATATAAAAATATCATAATCATTTGATGACTTTTTTTAATTTTTTTAATTTTTTTTTGAATAGTGTGAAAAACCGAATGATCATTAATTTTCATTGATTTACATATCTATCTTTCTATATTCATTTCATTTATTCTTTCTTTTTTTTCTTTTTTGTTAAAAACAAAGATAAATAAAGATGAATAGTTTAATAAGATCAACAACATCATTGTTTAGTAGATGTAATGGTGGTGTAATTGGTGGTTTGGTTAGAAACATCACTGATTTGAAGAAGAATTCACCACGTGTCAAGAAATCGATTTGCATCTTATCGAACGGTGCTACCATCCCAATATATACATCATTACCATACGCACCAGTTTGGAGATCAACTATCGATATCTTTTCAACCGTTCCAGATTATCATTTCGACAGCATCAAAGACATCAAACAAAAACGTAGAAAGCACCAAACCAGCAAATATAGTGAATTCAAAAAGAAGAGGTAACTAAACAAACAAACAAACAAATTCAATGTTATTAAATAATACAAACAATAAAAAACTAAACCGAAACTAACTAATATTTACCAATTATAGATAAACAATATAATAATATGTTAACTTTATAATAATTTATATATATAAATAAAATTAAATAAACTCGAGTAATATAATAGTTTAAATTAATAAATAATAAATAGTAGTTTTATTAGTTAGTTAATGTTGTTGATTCGGGCTTTGAAGATGTGGTTGTTGAAGTTGTAGTGGTTGTTGAAGATGTATTTGTTGTTGATGTCGATGTAGATGTTGTGGAATTATTATTATTATTATTATTATTATTATTATTATTATTATTATTATTATTTAAAATTGGTTTGTTTTCACAATCTTCTATTCTTTTAATAAATTCAAATAGACCAGGTATTTTAGCGTGTGTAGATAGTTGGTCAATCGATTGTTTGTTGTTAAAGATTGAGTTATCGAGTTGTTGGTGTTCTTTGTAGAGTATTTTGTTGTGTTGTTGTGATACACGCATTAAATTCAATCCACCTTTTACAGCCATCAAGTGACTATAGAGTCTGTAAAGATTCCAAGCGAGAAATACATTAGGTCCCGGTAGAATGGTTGCCGCTGCAGTCAGTGGAATCAACGCCAGATTTACACCTGCCCAAAACTTATGATATTGAACACGTTGTCTCACCACGATATGAGTGTATCTCATTGCACGTCTATCACCCAACGCCACAGGATAGTTAATAGTAAACACAGGTCTTTGTTGTCTCTCGTGAAACTGTTGAATTGCCAACTGTGTATTATTCTTATGATGGTGATGGTGATGATCTAACAATGGATTTACTTTGTGATGTTGTTCAGTATTGTGTTTAATAAAAAGATTATCATCATTTATTTTATGAAATCTGAATATGTTAATATAAATAGACATGTTAATATTAGTGATAGTTTATTGAGTTGTTAAAGCAACAGCAACATACGTTATCATTATAGATTCTTCAGGATGTATTCTCTCATCTAGTTTACGAAGTAATTGCTTCATTTTACCTTTTATACCTTGACCTTCAACAGCATTGTCAATCTCTTGCTTAGACTCTGATGCTTTATCCTTTAGGAATTGTATCATCTTTGATATTCTTCCTGGTTTGTCTAGTGTAGCAGCTGCACCCGAAGAACTCGAGCTAAAGTCAATGGTAGACTTTATCAAAAACTCTGACTTCTCAGAGTAGAGTGTCCATCTTTTGTTTGCCAGTTGAATCAGAAATACTCTCATTCTAATTATATCTGACTATCTAACACTGTCTCTAGTATTATTAATAAATATCCAGTCAGAAATTCTATTGCTTTTCGTTTACCACCACCACATATTTTCAAAAAAAAAAAAAGATAATTTTTTTTTTTAAAAGAAAAATTAGTACAACTTTTTTGTTTTTTTGTTTAAGAGAATAATAAATAGTGTTGGTCCTAATTTGTTATCACTTTTAATGTTTTGTTTAATCTCAACAGTATGTCAATCTGAAGAATATTCTCTTTGAGAATGAGAGCAAAAAAAATGTAATTTGACAAACACTTGATGCGATCGCTTTATGTGAAGATGTATACTTTTACTACTTCACATTTTAAATATATATTTTAAAATACATATCAAATCAAAGAGGTATATTGTAATGGTAACTAATATTGTTTTTACTACCTTTGTAGAGAAATAAATTATAAATAGAGAAATGTCAAGTTTAGAAATTAAATCTGTTGATAAAGTTTGGTATATCACTGGTGCTTCGAGTGGAATCGGTTTGATACTGGTAAAGCAATTGTTGACCTATGGATTCAAGGTCGTTGGTACGACAAGAGATAAACAGAGGTTGGTCGATGCTGTCGGTCACGTTGGCAACACCGATCATTTCTTGGCGGTACAGGTTGACTTGCTCAATGAAGACAGTATAAAGCAATCGCTGAACGATTCACTAAATAAATTCGGTAGAATCGATGTTGTCGTTAACAATGCTGGATTCTCGATTTCCGGTGCATTGGAGGAGAATTCCGACAAAGAAGTCCGTGCTAATTTCGACACCAATGTGTTTGGCGTTTTCAATGTACTCCGTAATATAACACCAATCCTTAGAAGCCAACAATTCGGATATGTATTCAGTATGTCGACGATCTGTGCACTCCAAGGTCTTACTGGCCACAGCACCTATTGCGCCACCAAGTTTGCACTCGATGGATTGATGGAATCCTATGCTCAAGAAGTTAAACCATTCGGTATTAAAGTGACTATTATCAATTTAGGTGCTACCAGAACCCCTATTTTAGATGTAAGTAAAAGAGAATATTAATATTATTAAAAGTTATGTAATATCAATTAATTTACTTTAAATTATTAAAAAAAGGCCGATGTCTATAAACCAAATAAACAAATCGAAGACTATAAACATGTTCATGGTGTTTTAGATTTCATTATCAATCAGTATAGTGGAACTCAACCATGTGATCCATCGAAAATATTGGATATCTTAATTAGAGTTTATCAATCAGAGGGTGATACTGCACATCTCTTTATTTCTCCAGAGTCACACTCAATGCTTAAAATTAGAACAGATCTGTTGTTCAATGACCAAAAGAGATGGGAAGAATTTACCAATCAAACTGACTTTGAAACAAACGGATCAAATTCAGATATGACACCTTAAACTGAATCTAATAAAACTATTGGTTAAGTTATATCAATGTATTATTTTTTTATCAAACAAAAGAAAAATGTTTTTTTATCAATTTAGGAACAAGTAAATCATATTATAATTTAATTTTATAGGAAGTAAGAGTTAGTTCTTAATTTATTTTATTTGGAATTGAAAAGATCTTTTGTTTTCTAATTGATAGTTTGACATTTTTGACATTACTATCCAGGTTTAAAAGCCCGATATCTAAATTGTAAAAGAATAATATCTTTTTTTTTTTTAATAGTTTATAAAAAGATCAAAAAATCTACCAATTAAAAAAACTTTTAATTCTTTGTTCAATAGTGGCCACCCGTAAATCACTAAAGTCACTGAATCTATCGAATCATTGCTATAGAGAACCTTTATATAACAGTCCTATCATAGATAGTGCATCATTCCATCTTTGTACTGCAATCAAGACAACCGATTCATTGAGACTTACTGTATCTTGTCATATTCTCTCAAGTTCATTCTATTATGTATTGGCTGGTAATGAAAATCGATCCATCCAATACTTGAAATTGAGAGGTATTGACCTTAAGCATCTGAAATCAATAGGAGAGATGTTGATATACAACAATACTCTCAAGATATTGAATATCATGTGCTTAAGTGATATATTATAGTACTCTACACTCGAAAACAGAATCAGGTACAGAACAACATACTAATAGCAGTAATATTAATAATATAGAGTTTAAGATCGAAGCAACAGAATTATTTGTAAGAGGTATTAAAGCTAATGAAATTTCAAAAATATTAAAAATTTTATTATTATTTTTTAATTCCAACAATGAACACCAATAAAAATATTTATTTATTGTTTTTGTTTCGAAAAATAGATAAATTCCAGGTTTAAATATTTTTTTTGTAAAAAACAAATCTTTAAATAAAAAAATAATATTACAAATATTTTTTATCTGTATCTATTTTACAAATATAAAAAAAATATCTTTTATTTTTAATTTGTTGACTTATAAACAAAATTATTGAAACCAATAGGCAATCCAAAAAAATTAAGAAGTTAGTTATAAACTATTTACAAAAAAAAAAGATATTGTTCATAAAAGTACAAAATAAGAGTTTATTTGTAATAATTAAAGAATATGATATTTTATTTAATAATTGAAAACTTTTAGATAACTTTAGTAAATATTTAAGTAACAATTTTAAAAAATAAAATATTTAAAAAATTATTAAAAAAAAAACTTAATTAAAAGTTTGTTTGTTTTTCTGTTTTTTTTTTTTTTTATGTTTATTAATTATTAAAAGTATAATAATAGATAGATAATTATATTATAGTTAATTGATGAATTAAAAGTGTAGATAATATATTTATATAATAGTAATCAAGTAGTGTGATAGATAAGATAGATAATTAGATAGTTTAGTTAGAAGTGTATATAGTTAGTTAAAGAACCATAATATTATTATTTATTAGCATCATCATCATCATCATTCACAAACATTTATATATTGTTTCTTATTTTTCTTTTTTTGTTTGATATTATTGTGCACTGACTTTTTGTTGTAGTGTAATTGAGAGGCAATCATTACGGACTCTCAGAATAGATCATCAACCTTGGAGGGACAAACACCTTCACAACGACGAAGAAGTCGACAACAACTTGAATCTGAGGAACAAGAACTACAACAACTACAACAACAAGAGCAACAACAAGTAGAAGAAGAAGAAGAAGAAGAAGAAGAAGTATTACAAGATATAGAAGAACAAGTAGAGGTAGAAGTAGAAGTAGATCAATCACCAATTGTAAATAATAATAATAATAATAATAGCAATAATAATAATAGTAGACCACTAAAAAGAGTTAGATTCAATATGTCGAGTGACAGTAATAATAATAATACAAATGGTACACATCCCCTAACCAATGGAGTTGGTACTGCTGATTTCCTAATGAATCCTGACGAACTGATCACAATGAGTGATGTCAATGGCGAGAGTACTGCATTCAACAAAAATGAACTGATAAGACTTTTAATTCAATCATTACATTATCTTGGATACAAGTATGTTATCAATTATATATTAATACTTTTAAAACATTCACAAACAACTATGATAACTGATGGTAATGACGATGAATATCTTATTAACAAACACCATTTTTAATAACATTATAAAAGGAAATCGGCAGACTTTTTGGAGAAAGACAGTGGTGTTAACCTACAGACACCAGAGGTAATGCAATTTATAAATAGTACAATGGAAGGCGATTGGAAGAAAGTTGAAAATCTACTGCCATACCTAAAGATTAAGTCACAAAACGATCTTGATGTATGTGTCAATATTTTTATATTTAACTGTCATCATTATCATGATCATCATCTTTAGTAGTTATTAATGTTTTATCATTAATTATTTTAGAGTGTAAAGTTTTTAATATATAGTCAAAAGTTTTTGGAGTTGTTGGAGATTAAGAAAGTTAAAGAAGCATTGGAGTGTCTGAGATGTGAGATCACACCAATCAGTAAAGATCCGCACAAACTACAGTCACTCACCAGTTTAATAATGTGTACAGATACCTTGGATTTAAAGAAACGTTCATTTTGGCCTGGTGCTGGTCATCTTTCGAGAACTAAATTACTTAATGACATAAGAAGTAAGTATAGATAGATTGCTGTTGATCAATATCAATCAATCCTTTAAGGATAAATGTCAACAAACAACAATCACTTATTAACTTGTTATTATAGAATTTGTTAGTTCAGAGATAATGGTACCTGAAAATAGATTAGAACAACTCATTATGCAGGCAATACAATATCAAACCACTAAATGTCTATATCATAACACTACGAAATCACATTATAATTTATTTGAAGATCATGCTTGTAATAGGTATGTCATCAACACAATATTATTGTTATTGAAATTTGATCGATCAAATTATTAACAACAACAATATAAATCCAATCTTATATATAGGAATCAAATGCCATTGGAATGTAAATATACTTTAGCAGGTAAACATAGAGATGAAGTATGGTACTTGAAGTTTTCGAATAACGGTAAGAAGTTGGCGTCTTGCTCCAAAGACTCACAGATTCTCATTTGGGATATGTCTACGTTGTACGAAGCGGTTCCACAGGAACCAAGGGTGTTGGCCACTCTGAGCGGTCACAACAAAGACGTTTCGTATCTCTCATGGTCACCCGACGATCGCTACCTCATCAGTGCATCCTCTGACAACTCTGTGAAGCTGTGGTCGGTCGACGAAGCCGTCTGTCTCAAGACCTACTCGAAACACACCGACGCTGTGACATGCTGCGCTTGGCACCCGGACGGCAAGCGTTTCGTCAGCGGTGGCAACGACAAGAATCTCTACCTCTGGAACATCGCCACTCCAGAGACTACACACCAAGTCAGTGTACCAATTAGAAGTTGGGCATGTGCTCGTGTCAACGACATGGCGATTCACCGCGACGGCAAGCAACTCATCGTTATCTGCCAGGAGAAGAAGATCCGCATCTTTGACATCGATGCAGAGCGACCAGAGATTAGCATCGCCGAGACCGAGGCGATCATGTCGATGGCGCTCTCACAGGATTCGCGCTACATCATCGTCAACACCTCCAACCAGGAGATCCACTTGTGGGACCTGGAGAAGCGCATCATCGTGCAGAAATACCGTGGACAGCGTCAAGGTCGCTTTGTCATTCGATCGTGTTTCGGTGGTGTCGACGAAGGTTTTATATTGTCGGGCAGCGAAGACTCTAAAATATACATTTGGCGTCGTCAGAACGGTGCACTCCTCGAGTGTCTCTCTGGACACACCAAGACCGTCAATTGTGTGGCATGGAGTCCTACCGATCCCTATTTATTTTGTTCGGCGAGTGATGACGAAACCATTAGAGTTTGGACCAGAAAAGAATTGGAATTATCCAACTCCTCCAATAATGATTCAGTCTCCAATAATAATAATAACAACAATAATAATAGCGCATCTGGAAGTAAATTAAAATCAAAATAAACATATAACCAAAATTTTTTTATTTATACATCTATTTATTTTTTTATATTGAATATATAATAATACTTTGATTTTAATGATAAATTGTTATGACTATTTAGTGATTTACCAATGTTTCAATAACAAAGTCAAAACTCTTTCAAAAATTTTAAAATTCTATAAAATATATTTAAATTCTAAGATTTATTATTTATTTGATCAGTAATTCACGCTTTAAGAGTGCCAAAGTGTAGAATGTATATTGAAGTGAAAATAACTATTGACTCTTCCCATATTTTCAAAAAACATTTTACTTGAATCTCCCAATTAAAAATTCTATAAACATTCTTTTTTTTGTCTTTAAAATTCCAATAGATACATGTCAATTAATTTTCTAAATACTAGTAATAAATCTTCTGGACAATCTAAAAAATTGAAAAAAAAAAAAATCTCTTTGTTCAAATTTATTTCTTACGCGTTCAATTTTAATAAAATAATTTGATAAAAAAAAAATGGTTTTTTTACCTTTAAAATTTAAATGATTATTAGTGTAGATCACATAAGAAATTGAAAGAATGATAATATAGCGTTGCTAGGTCAACTATTCAATACCATGAGTGGAATACTGTGTAAATGACCAAACACCTCTTTTATTAGAATTTTTATTATTATGAGAGGGTTTGGTGAGTTTCCGTTGTTGGAACTTAACTCAATTTGGGGAAAATACAAAAAATTTTCTAAAAAGGAATTAACTTACCCAACAAAAAAAAACTTTAGATACAAAAAAAAAAAAAAAAAAAAAAAAACTAAAATTTTTTTAAAAAAATAACTTCAATTAATTATTGAGTTTCATTTGTTCGAATTTTATTAGTAAATATATATATTTTAGATATATAAATCATCTTACAGAAAATGAGTAAAAAGAAAGTATCTTATTTCTATGATAGTATGTATTTATAGCTAATAACTGTTTTTTGTAATGATAATTATACTTTATTTATTTATTTATTACTTTGAATAACATAACAGATGAAGTAGGAAATCATTATTATGGACAGAATCATCCTATGAAACCACACAGAATTAGAATGACACACAACCTTGTCTTAAACTATGGAGTTTATAAAAAGTTGCAAATATTTGTATGTTTGCAAACATTAGTTCGTTCGTTTAATTTAAAAGAGAGTTTACTAATCAATCGGTCATCATTACAATTACTTTATTATACTATAATTAATTAAATAACTATAGAGACCAAGAAAAGCAGTTGAGAATGATCTCACCAATTTCCATTCGGATGATTATATCAATTTCCTAAGATTGATTACACCCGACAATATGAATGATTATTCAAAGCAATTAATTAAATGTAAGTAAAATAAAATCATCATTAATAAATTGATATCTAGTTACTTACTTACTTACTATCTTTACTAATAATAACACAATAAATAGATAATGTAAGATATGATTGTCCAGTTTTCGATGGAATGTATAACTTTTGTCAGATTTCATCGGGTGGATCAATTGGAGCAGCTATCAAACTCAATAGAAAAGACTCTGATATTTCAATCAATTGGGCAGGTGGATTGCATCATGCCAAGAAATCAGAGGCATCCGGTTTCTGCTACACAAATGATATCGTTTTAGCTATTTTAGAGTTATTAAAGTATGTTGTTTTGTTGGTGGTGTTGTTGTTGTTGTTGTTTTTATTAAATCTTTGGAGATCTATCGATAGGATTGATTACTAAATTTGGAAATCCGTCATTTATTTTATCTATCTTTTAATAGACATCATAAACGTGTAGTTTATATCGATATTGATATTCATCATGGTGATGGTGTAGAAGAGGCATTCTATACTACCGATCGTGTAATGACAGTATCTTTTCATAAATATGGTGACTACTTCCCCGGTACCGGTGATGTCAAGGATTTAGGTGCTGGCAAAGGTAAATACTACGCTTTGAATTTCCCACTTAAAGATGGTATCGATGATCACAGTTATCAAAGTATATTCAAACCTGTAAGTTATCATTGTTTTCTACACAAATATACAGATTGCTCAAGTTATTAACAAACTATTATTGGGCAACCAATAATTAAATTCTATTAGGTTATGCAAGGTGTTATGGATTCATATAGACCAGAGGCTATTGTTTTACAATGTGGAGCGGATTCTTTGACAGGTGACAGGTTGGGTGGATTCAACTTGTCTCTGAGGGGACATGCTCAGTGCGTCGAGTTTATGAAGTCGTTCAATCTGCCGTTGATGATTCTCGGTGGTGGTGGATACACAATCAAGAATGTCGCTAGATGTTGGGCCTATGAAACATCGATTCTGGTGGATCAGGAACTCTCTGACGAGCTGCCATACAACGACTATCTAGAGTACTTTGGTCCAGACTACCGACTTCACATCACTCCCAACAACATGGAGAATCAAAACTCCAAAGATTATTTAGAGAAATTAAAGTATGTTCCATATATGCTAATTAAACCCAATCATTTATTTCAAATAATTAACAATTAAAATTTTATTTTAATTTAGGATTCAAATTTTAGAGAACCTTAGACACTTGAATCATGCACCAAGTATTGCACATCATGATATACCACCCGATGCATTCAACGATTCCGAAGACGAAGATGATGAGGATCCAGACGTTAGAATTTCAGAGGCAGAGAGAGATCGTCGTGTTCAAAACGCCGCAGAGTTGTCCGACTCTGAAGAAGAGGATGGCAGAAGAAATGAGATGAACGGTCTCGAAATGACATCCACTTCAAAGAGAAGATCACAAGTCTCAATTATGGCATCCGATAAAGAAGCGAATTCAACACCTTATAAACAATACACAAGAGATAGACTCTACAGTGGTGAAGATTCTGATTGCAATATGGAAATGTAATATAAAAAAAAAAAAAACAATAATAACAAAAACAAAAACAACAAAAACAAAAATCATCATCTTATGCAAAAAAAAAAGAAAAATATCAAAAACAATCAAACAGATATCTATTAAATCCAAATAAATAATCAAAACTTAACTATAAAAAAATAACAATATTTTTACAATTGTATCTAAAATAATCTTTTTATCTTTTTGAAAATCAGACTTACATAATTTTGTGAACTCCAATGCATTGCAATTGTATAAGCCTGGTCCATTATAAATACGTACAAAAAAAATAAACAAAACTTATTTTTATCTATTCATGATAATATGTTGATTATATCATGATGCTTTGAAGTGAACATATCTAATCATTTTTAAGTTTGTATTTTTTTGTGGTGGTGATCATCTCCACAGAACATTCTAATTCAATTTCCAATGCATTACAATTGCCCATCAGCAAAACACACAAACTTAACTTTTAAAAAAAAAACAAATCTAAAAATTAAAAAAAAAATTTGCGAAAATTAAAAAAAAAAAGAAAAAAATAGTGCAAACAAGCTCCTTATCCCTGTTTGGATGTTTTTTTTTAATTTTTGTTTTTGTTTATTCCAAAAAAAACAGAACCATCCATTCTTTTCTAAAAATCGGATTAAAGTATATTTTTTTTGATGTTTTTTGTGATTAATCAATCTGTTAATTTTTTTTTTTACTTTTTTCTTTTGGTTTTTTTTGGTTTTTTTTTTTTGATGAAAGGCTTATAAAAGTTAAATTTGATTATTGGAGATAAAACTGTTGATACACAACAATCAATATAACAACACTACAACAATAGCAACAACAGATATTGTAGATAAGGTCCTTGTTATTTAGTAAACAATTGTTAACAACTAGCTAGGAAAACTTCTATGACAATTGTAGAACGATCAATATTGTTTTAATATTTTGAGAAATTCGTACCACACCCATATAATAGCCCCTTTCCACTCACAACTTCACACCCACTAATTAGAGGCTCAACACCTTTTTATTTCACATCACTTCCACTCACCAAAACCCCCTTATTTCTCAAATTATAATAATCTTACACACTCAAATACATTATCAACCAAATCTGATGTAAAAGAAAGAGATATCACGATTAGTCAGAGCAAGAATAGAAAGAACTTTAGCAATCAAAGTTTAAAAGTGTAAAAATAGATAGAATAGTAGTAGAGTGCTAAAGTAGTAGTTAGTAGTTGATAGTAATATATTCAACTACCTATTAAATATTTGCTTATTTTTAATTTATTTGTATACAATTATTTATTTATTTATTTATTTATTTATTATTAATTAGTTCCAAAATGGAAGAAATCAAATTCAGTAAAATATCAACACCCAATAATAATACAATTTCATCACCATTGGTATCACCAAGTAATAGTAGTAGTAATTTATCAATGAACAGTAGTATGAGCAGTAGTTTAGGCGATTCAAATGGATTGAATAATTATTATAGATTGATAGACTATTATATTGTTTGTGGTATAAATAGATCAATTGTAATAGATCAGATTGAAAAGCCATTCCAAGTAGAAATATTAGAGAGATACCCAACACAGAATCATGAACAAGCATTACCACCTCATATTTGGATGGTATGTCAATCAATCAATCAATCATTAAAAATATATCTTTTTACAATCAATCATTTTATTAATATTATTAATATTATTAATTTATTTTAGTTTTGTTTTCCAAATGGATTATATATTAAAGATAAAAAAGAAGAACCAAGTTTATCAACTTTTTGTTTAACAGAATTGGATGGATCGAGATTTTATGCTGCATCATTGGTTTATTATCAACAAATACCATCTGATCATATTGTATGTTTAGTTAATCTATTAAAAGAAAAAATAATGAAACAAATTGATTATTTATTAACACTTTTTTTTTATATCCAGGATTATAAAGATAAAAAAGTATTATATTCACCAGTTTCAATTTGTTTATTATCAAGATTTCCATGTTATTATTTATTACGAGAGTTACTTTGTTATATCTATTCTATTCCAAAGGAGCACCATCACCGATTTCCTTTTGAACGTTTGATCTCCAATGTTGTCAACGATTTGCCACGCATGATCGCCGGTTATGAATTCACATATGTTGCACCACCATTACATTCCTACCCACTGAAGCCTTTCAAGTATGGAATTCCCTCGCAATACATGTTCCCACAGGTCGACGTCAACTTTGGTATCATCTTTAATATTCTTGGCACTCAGAACGTCCTCAAGATATTCTCACTGGCGCTACTCGAGCGACGTCTACTCTTTATCAGTTCGAACCAATCGCTTCTCACCATTGCCTGTGAATCAGTGTCGAACTTACTCTACCCATTCTCATGGCCACACGTCTACATTCCAATTCTCCCGAATATTCTTATCGATTTTCTTCAGGCACCGACACCACTCATCGTCGGTATGTACTACAACGATAAACGTCCGTTCCAAATGGACAACAACGATATCACAATCGTCAATCTCGATCAACAGACAATCACGATTCCCTCGACAATAACACCACCGACACTTCCCGAGCAACAATGTACAATACTTCAAAACCGTATCCAAGAGATACTCTATCCCGACCTATCAAACATCAGCATAGCATTCCCACCTCCAACACCGGCACACCAACAACTCCCAAACCTGAACAACGATGACAAGATAAGAGCAGTATTCCTAGAATTCTTCCTTTCATTCTTCTACGATGTAAATTCCTACCGATATCTACTTAGAAAGTATCCTAAACCAATCACATCATTCAACACTGCATCCTTCTTAATGAAACATCAAGATACTGAAGTAGTTGTAAGTTATATTCGAATAGTAACATTGAAATAGATCTAATTTACTTATAATCTCAATATCTTAGAATTTCTTAACAGATTTAATTGAAACATCAGCTGTAACAACATTTTTAGATCAAACTCAAGATAATCTGTCATTCTTTAATTATATATGTCAGTTAAATCAATTTGAGAATTCACAAAGTAAATTAGCTGCCGCAGCAGCAGCAACAGCAGCAGCAACAGCAACAACAGGATTAACAAGTAGTAATAGTAGTAATAGTAGTAGTAGCTCCAGTGAGAATGGAAATAGTGTTGGTAGTGCATCGACCTATGTATCATTCTATCAAACAATAGTTACACATATTTCGAAAGTAAAGACTAATCCTGATTATGAATCAGTTGAAATACCTGGTTTGGATGACACGAATGTTGACAATGAGGGAAAACCTCTACAGCCATCATATAGTTACACTGATATTCCAGAGATGAGTGAGACTCTCTACTCTTTGAGAATACCATATTCCAAACAACTAAACAATTATAAACCAAGAAGACCATCATCATTAGCAATGAAACCATTAAATCAATCAACAATCAATAATAATAATAATGGTCATAATGATAGTAGTAATAATAATAGTAGTAGTAATAATAATGGTATAACATTATCATCTTCACCATCTAGTTTCAATGGTGATAGTAGTTTTAGACGTGGTTCATTATTAAAGAATATACCTCAATCAACTATTATTTTGGCAAACTATAGTGGTAGTAATGGAAGTAACTCTAATGGTGCTGCCAATGCAAATGGTAATGAGGATAACGAGGTATTGAGAGAGTTTATCGATCGTTATACAGAGGCGATATTCGATGATAACGAAGAGGTACCAATCAACATTGAACAACAAAAGCTGTTACTCGATGTATTTGCTATTCGTAAGAGTAGAACTTACTTTGTAGAGTCACTGGCTGCTCATTTCAACACAAAGAAACCGTTGTTAACATTTGGAAATTGGCGTCTATTCCTCCTAGTAGAGATCATCAAGAAGGTATTCAATGAATGTGATCGATCTGCTGACTTTAAGACTGCATCTACACTATTAAACAAAATCAAAGAGTTTTACTATCAAAACAATAGTAATCAAGAGCCATTATATGTATGTAATAGTTAATATTAGCTATTTAATAATCATTCTAACGCTAACTAATTAACAATTCTTTTTAATATATATATTTAGAATCATTTCATAAATTTATCATTATGGAAGAATATACATTTCTGGGAATCATCATTCTTTGATGCAGTTCAATTACTGAGAAAAGAAAAGTTGACATCAAAGTACAATGATTATCATTTGGATAACTGGGATAATCAAACACCAGAGAAACAAAAGATAATGATTGAGAATGAAGAAGATATATTGTTTACATCGTTGTCTTCCTATGCCTATCAGATGATCAAACTCAAGGTATCCCCAGTAGCAACCTCAAAGTTTATCGGTAAGATGTCGATGCTCACCTCACTCAGCGAAGAACATACACAGACACTGGTTGAACTCATCGATAAGATACACAAAGCACATACAATGGAAGCACAAACCACTGGTTCAGTAGGTCCTCATATTGCATTATTAAATAATGTAGATAGTTCATTTGTAAGTACAAATTAGAATTATTATTCATTAATTAATTAAAAAGAAATAGTTAGTTACTAATTAAAAACAAAACTCATTATAATTATAATAGAATAAATCAGATATTAAATACTTTACAGCATCTGTTAGAAGAAATATTGAAATCGAAAAGGATGGAGCTAAACAGATCTATACAAAACTTATTGAAAGTACAAGAAATGTATGTATCTAAATAAGAATTAAAGATGATTCAATATCTGATTCTTTTAATTTAACTATATATATAGACAAAGGTAGTATATCCAGATAGACATGAAAAACATACACCTAAAGATACATTGGTTGAAACTGTATCGGAGAGAAAAGATGGATATACAGTATTAACCTTGAAAGGTTCAAAAGCTGGTATTTCAAGTATGGCAATACATAATAATCCAAAGTCAATTATAACAGGTGATCTATCTGGTCATATAATGATTTGGAATTATGAAGATGGTCAATTCCAACAAAAGTTAACAAATCATAAAGATAATGTTACGTAAGTTATTATTATTAATATTTGATTAATATTCAAACTAAACTAATAATCATATAAAAATATAGTTGTATTGGTATTGGTGATTCAGATGTGTTTGCAAGTGGATCAAGAGATAGAACATTGAGAATATGGAATCATTCTAATAGTGAATGGAGATGTGTTTCAACACTACAAGAGCATACAGCAGAGATATCTTGTTTAGAGATTAAGAGAAATGTAATTCTTACTGGTTCATATGATTATTCTGTTATTGTAAGTATAAATAACATTATATAGGTATTATTAATTTGAAAACAAATGTTAACTTTTTATAAAACTACAATTGTAGCTATGGGATGTAAGAACCAATAGAAAAATAAAAGCTTTTAATGGTCATAAACAACATATTCTTTCGATTGCACTGGGTGGTCTTGGTGGTGATTCAATGGCAGTATCAACATCGAGTGATACCACCGCTCGTATTTGGGATTTGAGAACGATGAAGTGTCTACATGTCCTGAATGGTCATAACGATTGGGTTGGTAAAGCCGTTCTCGATGGCGATCGTAACTTGTTCACTGCATCCTATGATGGTCTAATCAAGATTTGGGATATTAACAGTGGATCGCTCAAGAAGAATCTCACCGGCCACAAAGGAAACATCAGTTGTCTCACTTACAACCATAACAACGGTGTTTTGTTGTCGGCCGGAGAAGACACTCTGATTCGAGCATGGGATTTGAAGTCCGGTCAAGTTCAAAAGGTTTACAAGGGTCACAAGGATGAAGTGAAATCACTGCTCTACGAAGACGATCTCATTGTTAGTACGGCGAACGACCAGACCATCAGAGTATGGAATGCATCGACCACTATGTGCAGCAAGGTGTTACGTGGACACAACGATTGGGTGAGAACATTGGCCGCGCCTAAACATGCATCGCTCAACCGTTTTGTTACCGCGGGATTCGATGCCACCGTTAAGATCTGGGAGATGGATGCTGTAGTTGTATCACCACCACCCGTCGTCATAACACATTCGCTCTCGGCATCCTCAACTTTCAGTCACACCGGTGTCACCAAAGACAGCGCCAAACTATCGTCGAAATCATTCATAACCAGCAGTACTTCCAGTGGCATTCCCATACAACTCAGCTCAAGTGGTGAGATATCGATTTCCGGTGGAGGTAAACACAAAAAGTCATCGAAACAACACAAAAAGAAAGCAAGCTACGATCCTAATCTTCATTCCAACATGAGTAGTCTAAATCTAAGCAATCCAACTCCTACTTCTTCTTCCTCAAACATTCAAACAATTAATAATCATATTAGTAATCTTGTTGGAAGTAATCATATTCTTCCAAGTAGTAGTTTGAATAGTTATAGAGATAGAGATACAAGTATAAGTAGTATCAGTAGTAACAGCAGTAGTAGTGTTGGTGGTGGTGGTACAAGTAGAGATAGAGATAGTACAAGTAGTATCAGTAGTATTAGCAGTACAGGTAGTAACAATAGTCATCTTAGCAGTGGTGTTGGAAGTCTAACCAGTGGCGGAAGCAGCGCCAACTCACTACTGGTATCGTCAATGTTATTGTCGACCTCGTCCACCTCATCGTCGTCACTCTCGTCATCACTCTCATCGACACCATCGACAGCACCCTCACCTGCAACCACACCACCCAATGGATGGCAAGTCTGCTCTCCTACCAACAGAGAACGTAAAGCATTCGATAGTAGATAAACAAACACATTAATACATACACACACACACACAAATACAAATATTTATTTATTAAATTATTAAATAAAAACTATTAAAATAAAACTATTTTTTTTTATTTTTATTTCTTTAACTAAAACAACTAGTATACTTCATATTCCATTTTTAGTCCACTTTGGAAATTAAAAAGATTATGAGTGATTCTTCAACGTGGTTTTTGCAAACATCAAAAAAAAAATTGAAAATTTGATCAACGTGGTTTTACTGACTGATGGTGAAATTTGGTGAATCTTAGTTAGGAAACCAAAAAAAATTATCGAATCAATGTTTAATAAAAAACTATATATAGATATGTAATTTTCAATTTTAAGATATCAAATCAAATCAAAACAATAAAATAAATAATAATATATTTAAATATAAATTGCTAATATTAATACATAATTAAATAATTAAAAATGGGATTACTTTTCACTAAAATTGCAGAATTATTCGATCCAAAAACAAATCATAGAATTTTGATGATTGGTTTGGACGGTGCTGGAAAGGTAAGAATTAAAAAAAAACAATTTAAAAAATAGTCTATTAATTAAATTCCTCAATAGACAACATTATTATATAGATTAAAAGTTGGAGAAGTAGTTACAACAATTCCAACCATTGGATTCAATGTTGAAACAATCGAATATAAGAATATCAACTTTAACGTTTGGGATGTTGGTGGACAATACAAAATCCGTACTCTATGGAGACACTATTACCAAAATAGTACTGCCATAATTTTCGTTATTGATGCTACAGATTATGAAAGAGTCAGTGAAGTTCAAGAGGAGATTGCCAAATTGACCACCGAAGAATCTTTGTCAGGAACAACTTTACTTCTATTTTTGAATAAACAAGATCAACCAAATGCAATGAACTCTGCACAACTGATAGAACAACTCAGACTCAATGATATTAAAGATAGAAAATGGTATATCCAACCAACTACCGCTACTACTGGTGCTGGTATTTTCGAAGGTTTAGATTGGTTATCTAAAAGTCTAAAGAAATAATTGTAATAATAATGTATATAGATATTTTTAAAAATAAAGATCTTTAGAATGGATTTAAAGATCGTGATCTAAATCATGACTTCTTTATTTTTACTAAATTAGATTAGTTTTTTAACTAGATATATAGAGTATACTAGAAATAACTAATCATTTCGAAATAAAAACAAAAAAAAAACATCTTTAATTAATAGACAAATCAAATTTCTTTCTGATAGAATATATTTATAATTCTAGTTTAATGGTAATTATGATAATTAAAATAATTTTTTTCAAATATATTTATGAAGCTCAGAACTTAAAAATTTATTATTATTTATTTTAATTATATTATTTATAAAAATTAAATTTTGTGTTCTATTACCCAAAAAAAAAAACTAAACTAAATTATCTCTTTAGATTATACTTTAGTGCTTCACTTTACTCTCTTTTACCAAAAGAAACCATTCTTCAATCTTTTTGGGTAAAGAAGCATTATGCAATATTTTAGAACAAGTGCGATTCGACAAAAGATCATTATTAAATATCAAACCTTTAATAAAAAAATTTGTCTATTTAAACAATAAAATAAACTATCTTCTAAATACTATGATCACTACATCAGCCAATGAAATAAGTAAAATCAACTCATTAATTAAAACAATAAAACAAAATATTACTTAATTTAATTATATAACTACAGTGCTGGTGGTAAAGTCAACAAATGGACAGGAATGTTAACAAAACACCGATGCGCATAGATAGATACCTATCTATTATTAATGTAGTGATTATAGAGTTGAATTATTGGTGTAATATTATTGTCAATAACATGTTATTGCCAACAAGATTGTTTGAAATTTCTTCTAAAGCTGTTATCAGTTTACTTTTAAAGAAAAACAGCAACAAGAAGAATCATATCAAAAGCTCATTGTTCACTAACTTTATTGTTTGATATCGATTCAAAGTATTCAAAATTCTAGAGTAATTGTTTTTATCAAATTTTTTAGAATTTTTTTATTAAATTTTATTGTTTTAGAAAAAAATAAGAAATTCGCCCTTGACAACTTTCACTAAAAAGGGGGAATTTCTTATTTGATCAACGTGGTTTTACTGACTGATGGTGAATTGTGGTGAATCTTACAAAGCAGGAAACATAAAAATAAATATTAATTAAAAACTATAAATAGTTGATTATCAATTTTAAGTTATCAATCAAATCAAAACAATACAATAATAATAATATCTTAAATATATTTCTAAATATTAAATTTACAAAAAATAAATAAAATGGGATTACTTTTCACTAAAATTGCAGAATTATTCGATCCAAAAACAAATCATAGAATTTTGATGATTGGTTTGGATGGTGCTGGAAAAGTAAGAATTAAAAAAAACAATTTAAAAAATAAAAATAAAAAAATAAGTTATTAATTAAATTTTTATATTTCTTCAATAGACAACATTATTATACAGATTAAAAATTGGAGAAATAGTTACAACAATTCCAACAATTGGATTCAATGTTGAAACAATCGAATATAAGAATATCAATTTTACAGTTTGGGATGTTGGTGGACAATACAAAATCCGTACTCTATGGAGACACTACTACCAAAATAGTACTGCCATAATTTTCGTTATTGATGCTACAGATTACGAAAGAGTCAGTGAAGTTCAAGAGGAGATTGCCAAATTGACCACCGAAGAATCTTTGTCAGGAACAACTTTACTTCTATTTTTGAATAAACAAGATCAACCAAATGCAATGAACTCTGCACAACTGATAGAACAACTCAGACTCAATGATATTAAAGATAGAAAATGGTATATCCAACCAACTACCGCTACTACTGGTGCTGGTATTTTCGAAGGTTTAGATTGGTTATCTAAAAGTCTTAAGAAATAATATTATAGTAATAACAATACAATGTATATAGATATTTTTAAAAATAAAGATCTTTAGAATGGATTTAAAGATCGTGAACTAAATAAATACTTCTTTATTTTTACTTGATTTGAATGTTTTTTAACTAGATATATAGAGTATACTAGAAATTAACTCAACGATTCGAAATAAAAAAAAAACATCTTTAACAAATAGACAAATCAAATTGATTTGTTGTCTTTGTAGTTGTATAATCAAGTTAAATAAATATTAGTTTGTTGTTAATTAATTAGAATCTAGGTGTTAAAGTTTTTTGAAAGAAGTAAGTTCAAATCTGAAAGGGGGTTAGATTTATTTTAATTTATCAATTAACATAGAGGAAAAATAATATAAAATAATAAATAATATAATAATTTAAACTATAATCAAATGAAAATCAATTAGTTCATCTAATATATGGATAATCTAGTTCACCAGACGTGGTTTTTCCAAAAACGGTGATTCAAGTCACTGTTAACAGCGACAAATCACCTTTTTTTGATGGTGTACGCCTGTTAGCAGACCAGGTTGCTGTTTCCGTGGAAAACAGGTCTCATTTATATATCAAAAGCGCAAAACTTCTCACATGGATGAAATACTCACCATACTTACATAACCTGATGTATATGGATAACTAGTTGCTCGATAATATAATACATAAATAACTAGCAACTTTAAACTTTAAGGGATTTTGTAAATGTTATATAAACACTATATATCGTAAATACACATGATATTTCAATATTTATATTAAATATGGACCTCATGTGTGTATAGGTTATGATAACTCGAGATTTATTCAATTTAACATATATGTATAGACTTCTGATTTATGATGGTTTCTGGTTATAAATAACCTTGTGGTTCCAATTTAATAATTATTGTTAATCTTAATGCAATCTACTAATACATATATTCTTTATTCGATATGAATAATTTTGTAAAGAAAAATGAAAAATCTTTCGCTTAATAAAAAAAATAAATAATGATAAAAAAATTTTTTTTTAGAAATTAAATTTATCATATTACCATAATTTTAGAATTAAAAAAAAAAAAGAGTTGCAAATATTTTTCAACGTGGTTTTACTGACTGATTGTGGTGAATCTTAAAAAGCAGGAAACATAAAAATAAATATTAATTAAAAACTATAAATAGTTGATTAATTTACAATTTTAAGTTATCAAATCAAAAACAATAAAATAAATAAAATCTTTTAAATATTTCCAATATTAAATATATAAATAAATAAACAATTAAAAAATGGGATTACTTTTCACTAAAATTGCAGAATTATTCGATCCAAAAGCAAATCATAGAATTTTAATGGTTGGTTTGGATGGTGCTGGAAAAGTAAGAATTAAAAAAAACAATTTAAAAAATAGTCTATTAATTAAATTTTCTTCAATAGACAACATTATTATACAGATTAAAAATTGGAGAAATAGTTTCAACAATTCCAACCATTGGATTCAATGTAGAGACAATCGAATATAAGAATATCAATTTTACAGTTTGGGATATTGGTGGACAATACAAAATACGTACGAGACACTACTACCAAAATACTGCTGCCATAATTTTCGTTATTGATGCTACAGATTACGAAAGAGTCAGTGAAGTTCAAGAGGAGATTGCCAAATTGACCACCGAAGAATCTTTGTCAGGAATAACTCTGCTGCTATTTTTGAATAAACAAGATCAACCAAATGCAATGAACTCTTCACTACTGATAGAACAACTCAGACTCAATGATATTAAAGATAGAAAATGGCATATTCAACCAACTACTGCTACTACCGGTGATGGTATTTTCGAAGGTTTAGATTGGTTATCTAAAAGTCTTAAGAAATAATATAATAAGAAATCAATATAATTTAATTTAAAATATAATTAATAAAATTTTTAATTTTTAAACATAAAAAAATCTGTAAAATTTATTAAATTTAAAATCATGATTTCTTTATTTTTTAGCAAAATGATTCCCAATATTTGTTTATAAGTATCCTGATCTCAAATCCAATCGATAAACCCATAACTCTATTTTGTTTAAACATATACTGATATAAATAGGATACTGGGATAATGGTGAAATCGGAGGGCCATTAAAGTTCGTTACTTCGTAGAAATATTAAATTCATAGGTAGTGAGATCGAAACCCACATTAGTTACTAGCTAATAAGCTCAATTGGTAGAGCGATGAAAATTCAAAAAAAATATCCACACGAACTTGGCAATCCCTCTTTTTTAATATTTGAGATCCATTAATCTGAACAACAACATTGTTTGTTTCCTTTATAAAATAAATCAATATCTTTAAGTAATAAAGTAATTTAAAGACTAGAAATACAATGATTTCCATAAATTAATTTAAATCAACTCCTCCAATTCACTATTTTTTCACAATTTATTAGTTATAGAGAAAAAAAATGGACATTCTTAATTATACTTATCAACTTTGAACTTCACACACATTAATTTTATTTAAAAATTCATTAATATTTTTTAAAATTTTATAAAGTTGTTGATTTGATATTATAATATGATATGATATGACATGATCGATAATAAAACAAGTATAGATAATAAAAATAAATCATTTACAACAATAGCTACTAAAATAGAATCAAATCAAAACAGCAATAGTAATAGTGGTGAAAGTCAAACTACTAGTACAGCAGTAACTACAACAATTGAAACTACAATAGTTAGAAAACCGTTACCTTTTAATAGTTCATTTGTTATAGTTACTGAACAACAACAACAACAGCAACAACAACAACAACAGAAACAACAACAACAACAACAACAACAACAACAACAACAACAACAATTTAGAAAAGAAAAAAGAACATCACAAATAAAAGATAGAATGCTTTCAATAGAATATCCATATGATAATGAAGCAGAGTTGGTTCGATGTTGTGTTAGTGTTGGTGATAGTGTCGATATAGGTGATACTCTTGCTATCTTTAAGATAAAGTCTGGTACCACTCCACCAACACCTACATCCCCAAAATCACCATCTTCACCAACTAACAATGATCAGCAATCATCATCATCATCTTCTTCTTCTTCTTCATCAACAAAAACAACATCATTAACTTCACAATATGATGGTATAGTTAGAACAACAATCGATAAATCTATTAAATCTTTTAAAAAAGGGTAAGTTATGTTAACATATGCTTTAAAATTAATAACATGTTTTTTAATGTATTTATAAATGTAACAATTTAGTGATAATCTATTTACTATTGAACATTGTTCACATGAAGTACAATTTAAAGGATTATGTGCAACATGTGGTCGTGATCTATCGGAGAAGAAATCGACCAAGCAGACAGGACCTTCGAATCTTTCAATTCTTCATGGACATTCTCATCTGACGGTATCACACAACGTAGCACAAAAGATTGAGAATGAGAATGCTAAACGTCTTATCAAACAAAGAAAGCTATCGCTCGTATTGGATATCGATCATACAATCATTCATGCTATTATGGAACCACACTTTATGGAAGTACCTTACTGGAGAAACATCGATTGTGAAAAAGAAAACATACGTTCTATAACTTTAGGAAATATGAAATATTATATTAAATTAAGGTAATACTAATATCGATATTTATGTTGATTATTCAAAACTATACTAATTATATTACTATTATTGTTGTTATTCATTCTTTTAGACCTTTTCTTTATAAATTCTTGGAGGATGTAAATAAGAAATTCGAATTACATATTTATACTATGGGTACGAGGAACTATGCTTTGGAGATTGCAAAATTGATAGATGAGAAACAAGAGTTGTTTAAAGAGAGAATTCTGTCGAGAGATGATACCACCGATATGAGTTTCAAAACATTACAGAGATTATTCCCTTGCGACGATTCTATGGTGTTGATTGTTGATGACCGTTCAGATGTATGGAAAAGATCAAAGAATTTAGTTCAAATTTCACCATGTACGTTAACTTTAAAAAAAATACAACATAATAGTGATTATACTAATTATAATAATATTATTATTAGATTTATATTTCGTTGGATGTAAAGATATGGTTAATCTATTACCATCAGAGAAACATTCACCTCATCAAACTAAATCAGGTGATGGAACAACAACAACAACAGAAGAAGAAAAGAAAGATGATGAACAAAAGAAAGAAGGAGAAGATCAAGATAAAGATAAAGAGAAAGATAATGAAACAACAACTACAACAAATGAGATAAAGAAAGACAACAATGAAGAAACAAAAGGAGGAGAAGTTATTAAAGAAGATGAATTAAAAGAAACTAAAGATAATAATAATAATAATGGAAAACAAATTGAAATCACTAATAATAATAATAATAATAATAATAGTAATAATAATAGTGAAAGAAATATAAATATAAGTAGTAATGATATTAAAAATGATAAACACCTTTTAACTGTTTGGAATCAACTTTCGGAAGTACATAGAATTTATTATGAAGAGTATGATAAAGGAAATAAATTACATGTAGCCGTAAGTATATATATATTTATATCTCCAAGAATAGAAATGTATGATTATTAACATCTTTATATATAATTTTTTAGGATGTATTATCAATTGTAAAAAAGAAAATATTAAATGGTGTTAATTTGGTTTTTAGTGGTGTCTATCCTTTGCAACTACCAGCACACAGACAACCACTGCGGCTTTTAGCAGAGGAATTGGGTGCTACCGTACAGAATGATATTACTAATACTACAACTCACGTTGTTGCTGCAAGAGTATGTTTATAATGATATGATATTATTATTAGAAAATTAATTATAAATTAATTATTAATATATTTTTTGATATTTTATTATTATTATTATTTGTTTTTATAGAAAGGAACATCAAAAGTACATAAAGCAATTTCAAAAGGTTTGAAAATTGTTAATCAAAATTGGATTGAACAGTCTGCTTTCCAATGGCAACGTTTGGATGAAGCTGACTTTCCTGTTCAAGGTGAAGAACCGGCTCTAGAGAACATACCCCCAAAGTCAACAGAGAAATTGGACAATATCATATCGACACACATCGACGAGTTGAAAAAGACGTTTGACGATGCCGATCAAGAGTTGAATGAGTTTCTCGATGGCGAAGATGATTCCTCTGGCTCAGAGAATGGCAGCAATAGCAGTGGTGACTCTGACCGAGAGATGGAAGAAGATGTCGATAGTGATGAAATGCAATCGAATCATACCGAAGATATGCAAGCCGGAGAAGAAGAAGAAGAAGATCAAGTTGGTGCCAAGAGAAAGAGAATCGATGGAAGTGCTTCAATTGATAATGGCTTTGAAGAAAAATCAACCAAATTAAACAGAAACGGAAAAGAACAAAAGCATAACGATGAAGAGGAAATAGATGAAGTAGAAGAAGAAGAAGAAGATATTGGTGAGGAAATGGCTGATGATGATTTAGAAGATTTCGTAAGTGTCAACAACAAATATATATAACTCGAAATACTGATTACTAATTCATTTATTTGTATTTTTTAAATATTATCTTAGCAAAACATGTTGGAAAATGCTATCGACAATGAAGAATAAATCATATTTATATAAAAAACTAGACAGCTTACATATTTATTTCTTATACTGTTTTAAAGTTAGTCAATGATTTATGAAAAACATTTATATTTTAAAAAAATTATTTGTAGAATTTATTTGAACATTTATAAAAAGTAGTAATATTCAAAGATTGGCTGTGTTTGCTTTTAAGATTACTCTGATCGATAGACAAAAGGCTGTGTTTGTTTTTAATACAAAAATATATGTTAGTTATTGTGTTTAAGTGTATTCTATAATAAATTTATTACCTTGCAGGAGTTAAATAAAAGAGTTTTAATTAAGTATGTTTTTATATAAAATAAATTTGAAGTTGCCGATCATGTATATGAAAACAATAGTTAGTGAGTCTACTTATGTTTCGTCCCTCTGGAATTGAATTTAACTCTTAATAGGTAGAAAGGATTAAATCTAAGATATCATCTTTTTTAACTAACATGTTAGAGATTTAATAAAGACAAAAAGTAAAGAGTGGAAGACTGTATTTCTATTTCTTTTCTTTCTTCTCCTTAAAATCAGTTCATGATCGACAACTTCAAATTTATTTTAAATCAATTTTTGAAAGTTTGATAATTTCTAATAACCTTTTTGTTTTTGTAAAAATTTATTAAAAATTAAAAAAAAAAAAAAATTAAAAAACAAATAAATTTTTTGCAAAGAAAAATTCATCAAAGGTCAGGATGGTGTAGTTGGTTATCACAAAACCTTAACACGGTTTGGGTCATGGGTTCGATTCCCATTCTTGATTCAAATTTTAAAGGATATTACCCATTATGCGCGCATTTTAAACCTAGTTGGGTGAAGATTTTTGTAAAGTAGTAATACCAGAGGTATTATACCTCTTAGGATAGTACTCTTTATCAAAAGGTTGATTGAGAGATATGTAGAAAAGGTCTTGATTCGATATTAATAATGAGATCTAACTTTATTTATTATCTTTTAATTAAACATACAGCAAAAATCTATGAAACCGGACATAGGTTTCAAAATACCAAACAGTAATACATTTATTGGTTATAGAAACTAATAAATATATTCTAAGATAGATCTTTGTAAATGATTAATAATTAAAAAGAAATTGAATCATTTATCATTTTACAAAAAAATAAAAAAAATAAAAGATAAAATTAATTTGTGCATTATTTCTGAAGTAATAAAATATTTTTTATTATAGTACTTTTAAATTTATTTTGAAATATTTAATTATATTATATATAAGAATGATACAAAGTAAAATGTTAACAGAAAGATAAAAGATTTGTGGAATACTTGATTTGGATTACTGAATGGCACAAGAAGTTATTGGTTCAAAATACAATTCTAATTTTCAACGGTTTACAAGACTAAAGAAAAAGTAAGCAAAACAAACTCAGTACTGAACACAAATACTATATGTATAAAAAAGAGTATATATTTAAAAGATTACAATTATATTTAAAATAAAATTTAAAAATTTTTTTTAAAAAAATAAAAATAATTAAAAAAAAAAAGGATAACAATACATTTTTAATATGATAAATCAATAACAATATTAGAAGAATAATAAAGGATTAAGGAATTTCTTTCAGAAATAATACAAAAAAAAACCTTTTAGACTCTTCTTCATATTCAAAATGTAAAGGTTTTTAACTGATTTTACAAAAACAAGGATATTGTTTTTTTAGAAAAGTAATTTAACAGATGAAACGAAAATAAAACAAGGAGAGAATAGTATAAAGAAAGTTTATTCTTTAAAGGAGTTCCTGATTATAGAACAACTAATATTCTATCATTAAGTTGAAAGTGGTAGATTCAAATTCAATCATTTCTCTCATTAATTTAATATGGAACTGGATACTTAGACAATCTATCTTAAGCTCTAGATTCCCAGATTTTTTAGAAATTTTAGAGTATGATATAGATCGACGAATAAGTAATATTGTTTAACTAATTTTAGTATATTCCACAACTGTACAAGACATCTCACTTGTCATCAATATACTAAAATCATAATATTTTTTACTTAAAATGCATTCTTAACTAAATTTGATATATATACAAACCAGTCAGGACCTGAATGTTTTTTAAAATTCTTGGGTATTCTTGAGATAATATATATTTACTAGATGCCATTCATTCTAAACTCAATAGAGCTCTTAAATAATGTTAATAGTGATGATATGAAATGACACCGGAGTACTGCCAATCACTATATCAATCAATGCCAAACATATTGAATCAAGTATTCCTCAACCAAGGTTATTGAAGATCCTATTAATTGTTTTCTTTTAAATCAATTTAAATGTATATAAATAAAAAATATTTTATCACTTCAGAAATATTGCACAGATAATTTTTGTTTTTTATTTTTTTTATTTTTTTTTTAAATGGTAAATGTTTCAATTTTTTTCTAATAATTAATCTTTAACAAAGATCTATTTTAGAATATATTTATTAATTTCTATAACAAATAAATGTATTAATGTTTGGTATTTTCCAACCTCTGTCCGGTTTCATAGATTTTTGCTGTACCTTGATTCGATATTAATAATGAGATATCGAAACAAGGAGTTCTCTCGGGTATTTATACTCTTAGTTTACCATCGGTTGGACGGGATTCGTTGATGACTTCATCCTGGTAAACAATTCTAGAACTTCTCCGGTTGGTGATTCATCAATGGACCGTTAATAAACGTCTTCTGGAATTTCTATGGAATTTCTATGAGTGTTCACTGAAATATCCATGACCTTTCTACACATTCCCTTCCAGGATAGAAATACACGAAGAGAGATGATAAATAAAGGTTAAAGTTGAATTTGTAAGTTGAATTATTAGAAGTTGAAGTTCTTGTTGTGTGTTGAAAAATTTTTTTTTTTTAAAAAATTTTTTTGAAATTTTGCTGAATTTTGTTGATCAATCAATCGTACTTATTTTGTTTTTTATCGACATGAATGATATAGTTATTATTATTATTACTAGAAAGAGACATCTGTTGACAGTTGTAGATTGGATGAAATCTTTCACTATAGATTGTTATGTTTGTTGATATATAGGTATGACTTATAGTTGATGATCTCACATCGTGATATTGATATCCGACAATGAAAAAGAGATCTTATATTTGTTTAAATTCCTACTATTGTTCTAACTGTTACTTATTCCACCATTTAAGAAGTGCCATTTTGATGAAATAGAGTCAGTCAAATTAGAATTACTAGCAGTTGTATGAAGTTTGATGAATTGGTCTTGGATCTATCAGTAGCTTCGATACTTGTATACATTTAATCAATTTGATTTGGCAACGTGTTTAGTCGATGTATTATCTTTGGAAGATCGACTAAAATGACAAGCTATGGCTATGGTTGCGATAACTACTGATCGTTATGAGGACTTTGGAATGCGATTACAGTGAATTGTGTAGACTTTAGACGGTGTCCGCTATCATAGATAGTATGGATACATATGTTTGACCTCTGATGTTAGACAGTCTACACTTGGATTTAGCAACGAATATTTGGTTAATCCTGGAGTAACCTATAATAGCTTGTGGTATGATCTTGATATTCTTGACTGGTTTGGTTTGGTTTTGGTGTGCTGTGCTGTGCTGTTGATATCGGAACGTTGATGTACTATACCTATTGTTTATTACTGACGAACACTGGAGTGGATGTCAACTGATCTATTGCTTCTGGTGTCGTTGTGGCGAGTCAGAAGTATGTTTACAACTTGGAGTATGTCGTGTACATCAATTTGGACTTTTATCAACTGCGAGGTGATTGGTTGTAGAAATAAGACAGTGAATCCTTGTCAGATGGTATTTAGTGGACTATGGCATATACTTGGCAGTTTCTTTAGAACATGGTTGATGTCACTTGAATCTTCTTCTACTTGGTGATTATGGTTTGGTGTGACCGTTACAGAGTCTTGGCTTGTTTTCAATCTTTGAAGATTGACCATTGTCTGGCGGTTTGGAATCTAGGACAGGATAAGATTTGCTTGACTTGTGCTCCATCCTTTCAGTTCCGCAATTGGTTTGCTTACAGATCTTTATTCTCGCATTCTCTTAATGAATCAGACGAGCTTTGTTCGATGATTTCATCCCCCCAAGGAAGATGAAGACGTCGTATCACCGCAAAGTGGGATCTTCTAAGAGTAAAAACCATTGCTAGTGTTGGGTTACATCTTTTTATATTATCCAACTCATATCCCTACATCCACATTATGCATCATGTGGAGTGGATATGTCAACTACATTGCCATCTTTCTGTGGGTGTAGTTGCTAGCTGCATGACCATCTTTTGTGGGTGCAACCGTGCCAGAGTAATAACGCAAGAAATTTTATTACTCTAACTGTTTAGTTTGGCAGCCATCTACTATCTCTATTGGTGTAGCGCTACCTTATATGTTAAAAGTGACTGGGCTGCGATTGTAGAGGATCACTCCTACCAATGTATTATTTATCTTTGGCCACTTACGATCATGAATAAGTGCTACTGATCTTACAACCTGTCGAACATATAGTGTGGATCTATTGGTAATAGGTCGTGTGCTCGACTGCTTGTATAGACAAGAGAGACCTGCGATCTCTAATCTATCAAGGGTCTATTACTACTCTTCATCTGCAGTCTTGATGATGAAGGAGTATGCATTTTTACCAATGATACTTGCTAATTTACACCTGCCATTGCTGGTGTCTTAGGACTATGGTCTTTGGAGAGTTCGCGATTACTTCCAGGGTTGGTACCATGCCTGTTAACAGTCTTTCCTCTATTCTTCTTTGGTTGGGTAGACATTTGTTGGTTCTTAGGTTTAGCCTTTCCATTGTTCTTATTTGTTTGGACAGACTTATGGTTATTGGATATGGACTTATCTCTAGGTGTTTGAGCCACAGAGATATTATTGATATCTGAATTGGTATCTGACATATTTTTAATTATAGGTATATGATAGATAGATGATAAAGATATAATATGATTTAAATAGATATATATAAGGTAAGATAATTATTGATTCTTATAATTGTACTAACATATATAGATAATAGATAATATTTAATCTAATAAATTTGATAAATAATAAAATATATGGTTATATTATAATTGTGTAGATAATATTATTTGGTTTAAATGGTTATAATAATATTAATGATATAAGTGTATATAATGATTATGATATTACGGCCTTACTTTTACCCGCGCGGAGTAAGGATATACTAGAGTATTAAAAAATTAAAAATAAAAGTTTTGTAAAGTAGTAATACCAGAGGTATTATACCTCTTAGGATAGTACTCTTTATCAAAAGGTTGATTGAGAGATATGTAGAAAAGGTCTTGATTCGATATTAATAATGAGATCTAACTTTATTTATTATCTTTTAATTAAACATACCTTGATTCGATATTAATAATGAGATATCGAAACAAGGAGTTCTCTCGGGTATTTATACTCTTAGTTTACCATCGGTTGGACGGGATTCGTTGATGACTTCATCCTGGTAAACAATTCTAGAACTTCTCCGGTTGGTGATTCATCAATGGACCGTTAATAAACGTCTTCTGGAATTTCTATGGAATTTCTATGAGTGTTCACTGAAATATCCATGACTTTTCTACAAGATTCTGTCGACAAGATGTGTAGTCGAAATTGGTTGGTGATAGAGATAGTTGGAACTGGCCATAAGTTAGCGGTGAATGCCATGTTTGATGATCAATAGGTGGTCGTAGATTTGCTTCAGAGTGGGTGGTAGACCATCAATCAGAATAGGTTTAGCAGATCTGATCTTGTCCAGATGTATGAGAGGAACTCCCAATTGGTGCCACAGACTGTAGCATATATTGAGACAAGGCGAAGTGATAGATCTACATTGGATTTGAGATAGACAACTGGTATAATAACAAACTTTGGAAGGATAAGAGGATGAAAGTAGGAACCTGTTGAATATCCATACGTGTTGCACAAGGCTTATCAAACACCAGCGTGGACGAAACACTGTCTTCCGGTTCTTCTCTCGTTCGCTCCCTGGATTGGCTTACAACAAAAACAAAGAATGTGAACTGTGCTTCACACACTGCTCTGACCCATATTTCCATACTTTCTTTAATTGTCGAGCAGTTATGAAAGATTAATCTTAACACCATTCTTGATTCCCTACAGCTTCAGGTTGTCTACGGTTCGATTGGATAATGGAAGATACGTATCACTTGGTAAGAAGAAAGGACAACATCACTACTCTCGCTTCACTTGTATTTCATCATATCTGGAAATTCTATTGTAAATCCTATTTTGGCGGTACTCCTCTCCACGAAAATACCCTACTATCTAACGAATCTATCATAAATGAATATATATTCATTTATAGCACATATCTGTATATAAATTAATTATAAATAACAGTATCAGTAACTTACAATCCAAACTTAAATAACAAGTATCCACTCAAATGTCAGCCTACTATTATTTCCTCTTCTTCTCTTCATTTTCAATTAACCAATTCAATCATAAGTATTCTCATCAACTTAAAAATCTATATTATAACAATAACTAAAATAATTATAATAATAATCAAAATAGCAATCAATTTGCAGAAAAAAAAAAGCTTATACCAGTTGGGATGTTGAAAGAATGCATCGCATGATCTGAGAATAATAGGCTGAACCAAAAACTCCATGGTGAAGTTCCATCTAAAATGCTCACTACCAAACTTGCTCAATCCAAGAAAGACTCATCCATACCAGGGCTGTAAAGAAGTAATAAATACGTTATCAAATAAAAAATTAAAACACTCTATTATGTTTTTATCAAATGATTTAGTAAATATTTTATTACTTTAGTTAATTTTTTTGAGATGACTTAGTACAACCCTACAAAATATCATTTTTGGTATACCAAAAAAAGCAAAAAAAAGTTGGAATGAAGATTAAAAAAGTTTAATTGAAGAAGATTCTAACTCTACTTAAATAAAAAATAAATAACAATGATAATTTCCCTTATCACTGAAGTGGATACTCTCTTTGACTAAAATATAATTAAAATAAACAAAAATTTTTATAATTTAAGAAAGTGATCTTGTCAAAATGTAATTTAATTTAAAAGATCTATAAAACAACTAATTTAAAATTATCACTGCTTTTTGGTAAAGTAAATAAACAAAACCAATGAAACGAAATTTGAAAATATTTATTAATGAAAAAAAAAAAACAACTAAATATGTAAAATACAAATTGAAATACTTAATACATGTAACATTTCACTATTAAAAATATTATGAAGAAACTACTCAAAAAAAAAAAAAAAAAAAAAAAAAGGTTTTTCAAATTAAAAAAAAAATATAATTAATTTAATTGCATTTTGTTGGTATTATCTAATTCTGGTGGAGGTAAACCTGGTGTAGTTGGAGCTTCTTCTGGCTTTGGCTTCAGCTTTTCAAGTGCTGTCAAAGCTCTTGTATTCTGTGATGTTTTTGCAAAACCAATGAAAGTAGACAACTGCAGTTTAAAGGTTGTGATTGCCCACTCCACGACTGGGAAGTGTAACTTTGACATTGCTTCAAAAATATATAGCTTATCACATTGCAAATTATGCTCTTCGTATAGATATTGAGAAACATTAAGGTGTCCATTTGATATTGCTTTGTTCAATGCCAAATAGGTGCACGGTTCTGTTCTGTTCTTGGTTAACCACTGTACAACATCTAGATGGCCACCAGCAGATGCCAACTCTATCGCCATATTTGAGTTTAGATTCTTTTTATTTCTGTGGAACCATTGGACAACATCTAGGTGTCCTGCTCCAGCGGTTTCATCTAACGTATTTTCTCTACATCCTTCCGTTCTATTGGCATGAAGAAACTCTACAATCTTTAATTGTCCATTAATCGCGGCATTGTGCATAGCCAAGCTTGTGCAACCCTCACTACGATTTTGATGGAAGAATTTCAGAAGATCTAAGTTTCCTTTGGCTGCGCAGTTCATTGCACGTGTGGTACATCGCAGACCACACTCATGAAGTATCTTTACAATTTCAAAGTTATTGTTGTACGCAGCAATATCGATGGCATTTCTAAAGTTGCAGGTGCCAACGTTTCTCACAATCCATTCGACTAGCGGCAAAAAGTTTTTGGAAATGGCAAACTCAAAGTCCTTCTCTTCGATGAGCAAAGGACACTTTTTGTGAAGGTATTTTAGCATTGCCAGATCGTTGTTCTTTATGGCGAATCCATAGCCAGCAGCTGTGCAACCTGCTTCTTCTTGATTGCTCAACATCCAATCTACCAATTCCATATTGCCATTTTCAATTGCCCTGTCAATAGCTCTTGGCGTACAAAGCTTGGTTGGCAAATTGTCTTTCATCCACTTTAAAACTTCGAGATGCCCGTGCTCCGCAGCAATACTCCATAGATCTTCATACATACGGGTAATTTGATCTGGTCTAGTTAGGATAAACTGTAAAACCTCGATGCTTCCTGATTCCACTGCTTTGTTAATAGAGAATTCCAACATTTTATATTCATCTTTACAATTGGTTATCGCTCTATCCTTTTCAATTCTATCTTCCACCCACAATAGAATCGGCAGATGTCCGCCATCCAATGCACCGTCCACAATAATTTGATAGTGATCTCGATTTGGCACGAGGTATTCTATCATCTCTAGATTTCCGACGATCGATGCATGCCACAACGTTCTGCTGAGTTGAATCGATTTACGATCGGTACCCTTGAGGTTGATCAACTTGTCAAACACCCACTTTAGTACCGCCATATCGCCACTGTATGGAGCAATCTCAAGTGCCTCGTGATACTTCCATTGAAACGGTTTGGTCTTTCGATTGGGAATGGGCTGACGCGACTCCAGCTCCGACAGCAACTCCAGGATATCGAGATTACCATGCTTCGAGCCGTAGTAAAGTAGATCTGGATCGACATCGGTTGTCTTGTAGAGTGATTCCAAACACAACTTTCTCGTTTCCAACATGTACCGTATCATCTCGAGATTCGGAGTGATTACGAATTCCCTCAAAGTATATTTGATCAACTTGCAATCGCTATCCATATATTGATATTGGTCATTGTAGAACTGTTTAATCATATCGAAATAACCGTATCTCGCCTGTATGTGTGTCAAGTTCTTTACTCTTGTCCAACTGAATATCTTTTTCAACTGAAGGACCTCTCTATGAATCCATTTTATATCTGCGAAAATGATATCTCTTAATAATTTATTTTTATAAACATTTAAAAATAGATTTGTTTCCATAACTAGTTATATAATAATAATAATAAATAATGAAAAATAAATATTATATATCTCTTTTTAAAAATAATGTACATACAATAAAATGATTTTTTATGATTGGTAATCAAAATGAGGATTCAAAAAACAATTTCTAGTAATTTTGGAATTTGATTTTTTCAAAAGATAAAACCTTTTTTAGGAATTGCACATATAAAGGTGATCAATTTATTTATTAACAATGAAAATGAAAGAGTAGAAAGAAAAATAAAAATATTCTTAATTCTTCAATTTTTTAAATCTTATCTTTAATTAATTAAAAAATTAAAATTTTAACATCTAGATCATAGTTTTATTAATGAAAAGTTATTATTATCCTGGTTTGAAATTTATTATCAAAAATTTTATTAAACTTTTTTTTTTTTTTTTTTGATTTTTTTTTCAAATTGAAAGTGTTTTATTCCCACAACTGCACCATTAATAATTTGAAAAAAACATAATAAAAAGACCTTCAACCTTTGGTTTGGTGTCAAACATATTACAAAACTATATAATTTAGATATTTAGACAAATAATTTATAAAGATATATAAATTACAAAAATAATACACTTTTTTTTACACTCTTTATTATTTATATTCACACTCAACACATACACATTTACACCTTTTTTAAAAATAAAAAAAAATCATTTTTTTTTGTATTTTTTAATATTCACATAAAATAATAATATAATCAATAATTTCATTTTATTTTTCTTAAAACAAATATAAGTTAAATTCGTTTATTATTATATGGCCGCACATTCGGCAGAGTTTTATGTATTTCAATGGGCTGCCATTACATTTCTAGTAGCACTGTCAGGTCTTTTTGCAGGTCTGACGCTTGGTATCATGTCTTTAGATATAACTGGTTTAGAGGTAACTATCTATCATTTAATTTTATAGATTGACAATTCATTTTTACTTATATATCTTTATCTTTTCTTTGTTTTTTACTTTCTTTCTTTAAAATTTTTTAGATTGTTATAGCTAGTGGGTCTCCATCGGAATCAAAGTATGCAAAAAAGATCTATCCAGTTCGTCAACGTGGTAATCTACTGCTGTGTACGCTATTGCTTGGAAATGTATCTGTAAATACGCTGCTCTCTATTCTTATGGCCGATATGACCTCTGGTTTCGTTGGTTTCCTCTTGTCGACAGCTATCATTTTGATTGCCGGTGAGATTATACCACAGGCTGCATGCTCGCGTCACGCGCTCGCCGTCGGTGCACACACCATCTGGATTGTATATATTTTTATCTTTATCTTCTTCCCGTTCGCCTATCCCATCAGCAAGGCACTCGATGTGATGCTCGGTAGCGAGATGGGTACGATCTACTCGCGTCAGCAGTTGAAGAAGCTGCTCGACATCCACAGCACCCACGCACAAGAGTCGGGTGTCTCGCGTTCCGACGTCACCTTGTTGACCGGTGTACTCGACTTTGCCCAGAAGAAAGTTATGCAGGTGATGACACCTCTCGAGAAAGTGTTCATGCTCGACATCGACACGAAACTCGACACTCATACACTAACATCGATTCTCGAGAACGGACACAGCAGAATGCCAGTGTACGACGGCGAGCGTACAAACATTGTCGGTTGTCTTTACATGCGTGATCTCGTTATTCTCAACCCAGAGGACAACGTTCCACTGAGGACCGTACTCGGTCTCTTCCACAGACAACTACTGAAAACATGGCACGACACTACTCTCGAACAGATGCTAAATGAATTCAAAACTGGTAAATCTCACATGGCTATCGTACACAAAGTAAACAGTGAAGGTGAAGGTGATCCATTCTACGAGAATCTCGGAATCATTTGTCTCGAAGATGTATTGGAAGAAATACTTCAAGATGAAATCTTGGATGAAGCTGATAACTATGGTAAGATTTATTTACAGAAATTGCTGTTTAGAACTATACTAACTTGTTTATTATTATTATTATCTTAGAAAATACTACAAGTGTTGATTACAAGACAATCAGTAGTTTCCATGGACAAGCTAAAAGAACTACAAGTAAGCTATCACCACAACAAGTGACTGCCATCTATTCTTTCCTCTCTGGAAGCATGCCAGAGTTTGCTTCCAAGCTGATATCGGAGCAGGCATTCTCAAAGATGTTGTCCAGTAAGGGTGTTATTGTTGGTGAGTTTGAGCGTCCCAAGAAGGGTGACACTGTCATCTACAATCGTGGTGTCGTCGATGAGTACTTCACTATCGTCCTGCAAGGAAAGTTGGAGATCAAGTCGGGTAGCGAAGGATTCGTCAGTGAGGGTGGTCCTTTCACTACACTCGGTGTCAACGCACTAAAGACCGAGCAATTCACTCCGGAATTCACTGCTCGCGTCATCTCTCACTCCTGTCAGTTGTTGCGTATCAGCAAGAGTGCCTACGACACTGCTATGCGTGCCACTGCCGACGAGTACAACAGCCACGTCTTTAAGAAACACAACAACGACATCGATTCGACATCGATCACCACCTACCACATGGCAACCTCTGGTTCCAACTCGTTGGTCGACGACGAACCAATCTCACCGCCACACCCACCAGCCAACCAACTTAGCTTTCGTGGCTCCCCAAATACCTCAGCAAACAACGTCAACAACAACAACAACAACAACAACGGACTGAGTAGTGGTTTAAGTAAATCAAATAGTGCAACCAACAACACCATTCTCAATAACAATGTATCCAATAAGACAACTACAACCACCACAACCAACAACACTCACTCTGTAATCGATGTATCATCAGAAGACGAAGATGATGTAGGTGGTAGAAAACCTTTTCTTCATCACCAACCACATTAATATCAAATTCTGATTAAATAAATAAATAATCAATAAATAAATAATTTATTTATCTAATAATTATATGTTTATATATTGTTTTTTTTATTACTAATATTTAATTTATCGAATCTTTAATCAGAAAAGAAATTAAATAATAAAACAAAAAGATAAATAAAGAACATAACCATATAGAATACTAATTTGAGCATTAAATGGTTACCCATCTTACTGGTGTGTGAATATACTTTTGTTGGATCGTTCTTATGAGTTCTAGTTTGATATCTAAAATTTTAAGAGGTTATTTGATAAAAGGTTGTTTTGAATGATGATGATTTGGTTAATGATATTTGTGAATTGAACATATTGAATTTTCATGTTTCTTTTTAAAACTACCACTACTACTCACCTTTGGAAGTGATAATATAATACAGGTGCATTGAGGAGGAAAAGAACAAATCTAAATGTAACTAAAAACCAAACAGTGAAAACAGCTTGAACGATGTATTCTGGCATAATGAATTTGTTGTATTTCTTGCAAAACTCTATAGAATTGATATCATTTCCTTCTAGATCCGTCAACAAGAGTAACTGTAACAACAACAGAGTTGTTTGTTAATAAAAACTTCTATTGTCATATTAGAATATGATTGATGATATTTACTTCGTAGACAACAATTGCCAATAATACACCCGAAGAAAGCAATGCTAAAAGCATTGTATAATCGAAACCAGTAGTTGAAAGTTCATACATTTTTCTGAAACTTTACTTTTATATTAAAAAAAAATAAATACTATTTATATTTATATCTATATTAAACTGTACACAATTGTTTAAAAAAATGATTAATTGAAGTTACAGTTGGTCTTGAATCAAAAAAAAACATTCTTGACAAAAAAATTGGGTTTTTTAAAAATTTTTTTTGCAATTTTTTTTTTGCAAGACCTTATCCTTCCATTTTTTGTGAAGATCAACAACAACAACAAGATTATTATTATTATTTAGAATTTAAAACAAATAAATTGTTTATTTATTTAATAATTAATTAAAAAAAAGAATATGTTGTGTTTTTTTTTTTTTGCAAAAAATACATTTATATATTTTTGAGAAACGAGAGTAAGGTAGTTTTATAGGTTTTTTTTTTGTTTGTTGGAAGGTTGGGTGTAAAAAACAATATTGAAATTATTTGAATAAGTTTAAAGATGTAACAGTATTGAAACGAATAGTATGACGAATAAAAATAATCCATTGGTACTTGATAATCTAACAGCGGGTGAACCATCGTCTGCGTTTGGATCGGTGCTATATTTATAGAATGCAACGTTGTTGACAAACATGACACCTTGAATATCGGAAAGATCGGTGTACGCTTGGAATCCATCGACTTCAGCACCATCCCAAAGACCGAATTCGTAGAATGGAATGTAGAAATCGATCCATTTGTTGAATTCGAATTGTCCACCGTAGTACTCAGAGAGACCGATACGCTGTGTTGGTTTGCCAGCGACCGTGAACATAATGTACGCTTGGAGTGCACGTGGACGTTGAGTTGGATCCGCCTCATTGCCGTAGTACTCAAAGTTGTTGTCGGGAATATATTTAAACGAGATCTTCAATCCATTGTATTCGGTGGTGTCGATGGTTCCGTTGGTGAACGACAAGCTGACACGTGTCGCCGACTGGAGTGGCCAACTCATCACAAGAGTCTTGTCGTCGTCGGCAGCCTTGAGATCGATTTCACTGTTCAATACGACACCGTCTCCAAGCTTACCACGCTTGTAGATGGTAAGCAGTGTGTCGTTCTCCTGGCAGATCTTACCGTTGTTTAGGTTGAGATCATCGATGAGTGCGTATCCACTGTACGCGCTGTCGACGACACTCTTGAAGATGAAACCTTGGAAGATCTTTTCGTTCTTGTTTGCGGGATCACTGAATTTACTCATGGGAATGTTTACTTTACGCCAATCTTCACCAGTCATTCCACCGATGATGTAGTCGTTCAAGTTGACCGAACCACGTGCAGAGTTGTTTCTCATAATCCAAACTTCGATCTGAGAATCCTTGACACCGTCACCATTGGTGATCCAGAACGACAAGAATTTGTATTTGGTCTTATCGAATGCTTTCTTTGCTTTGAAGTAGACGTTGGTTGACTTTTTGAGATCGAAACGGAATGCGTTCTGTCCACGATGTGTCTTTTGTGTCCAGGCATTGTTGTGGAACGAGGTTGTGGCGTCGACCCAACGCTCCGACATGGTATCATTGTAGATCCAATCTGGATATTTGTAGGTGCAACTGGCATCGTAGAAAGCGTATGGATCACGTTTCTGAATGTAGTTTCCTTTGTCTTGTGGATCGGTATTCGCACAATACTCTGGATCTGGAATGACATCGACCGATTTAATCAGGGTGGCGGTTGGCAGTTCAGCGCTGATATCCAAATGACTCTTGTCCACGTAGGTACTAATATAGAAACTGGCATGCAAAACATTTCCACCGATTGGATTACCGAATTTGATGATCGAGTTGTTGTTAAGCAAGAATTCAACGTTGTACTCTGACCAAACGATCTTGTAGTTGTTGTAGGTGTTGGTGACGTCGATACCGATGATGTTACGCACCGGTTGCTGTGAAGTCGATGTTCCACCACGAACAACACCGAATACCACTGGGTAGGTAGTGTTGGAACCGGTGATCTTGATGAACGCAGTCGATTCCTTGCTGTAGACACCGTCGGTAATGTAGATCTTGGTTGTGACACCCGGCACATTGGAAACACGTAGATTGGCAGAAAAATTACCTGGTGGATATTTGTTGTCGGTCAATTGGACCTCTGAGCAACGATAGGGAATATCACATTTATCGGTACATTTGTCGACGGCCATCTGAAGAGTTGGAATATCACCGTCGCTACCGAATTGCACCAGAGTGGAGTCACGATTACAGAATTGGTATGGACGTTGATTGAAGAAATCAACCATGGCACGCACGTTTTCATCGCTCGATGGATTCATCGAGTAGTTGGATGGACATGCACCGATACCATCGTCAGAGGTGGACGATTCGCTTACACTGCTGTCCGTAGAGCCAGAGGTGGTAGATGGTTTGGTGGTTGGCTTGGTTGTTGGTTTGGTGGTTGGTTCGGAACTGCCTGCTGTCGCAGAGGCTGTTGTTGCTGCTGCTGGTTTAGTTGTGGCTTTGGTTGGCGTTGGACTTGGTGTGGTAACAGTCTTACCGGTGCTTGTTGTAGTGGCGGTAGTGGAATTGGCTGCATCCGTAGCATTGACCATCGCCAAGCTAGCCAACACAACCAACAATATAACCAATGTACTTGTAACCAATGGTTTCATTTTTTATAAGTGTTGGTAATTATTTATTTATTTTGATTTTCCAATTTTTTCGAGTAAATAGAAAAATACTAATACAATTTTATATCTATATATATATATATTAACCTGTTGGAAAATTTGAGAAATTAAAATATAAAATTAATATAATAATTAAATATTTGATTTAATCTTAGAAATGTAATATTATAAAAAGTAATTTTAAAATAAAATAGATTTGTTTTTATTTATTTGGATAGATAGATAAATAAATAACAAATTAAACAGTGATTTTTATGATTGATTTAAATAGTTAATTAAAATTATCTTTTTTATTTGTTTATTTATTGATTGATTGATTTATTGATAATTTTTTTTATAATTGATGATGATGATATGATTATTATTATTATTATTGTTATTTTTAACTTAAAAGTTTGTAATTTAAAAATATACTTACAAATTAATTAAAAAAAAATAATGAATGATTTATCAATTCCAAAGAGTCGTCGGACAATTTAATTTCCAATAGTTATTTCTAACTGCTGTGATTTATGGTTTGATATCAAATATATAAAGTATTATATATGATACAATGGAATAATAATTAAAGATTAAAATAAAGATCAAAAAAAAACAGAACAGAATTGATTAACAAATAAATAATATTAAAAAAAAAAAGATTTGTTTGTGAATAGATAAGATAAAATTTATAAAATTTCAAAACAATAGAAATGGTAGTGATTTAATAAAATGAATAGAAATAATAGTTAAGAACAAATTATATAATTTTAATTATTTTTAATTTTTGTTTTGATAATTATTTATTTTCTCTATTTCTTTTTTTTGTGTTGTGGATTGGATTGGTGAGTGAGCAAGAGAGACTAAAATAAGTTATTAAACGGGGTGTGTGATTTATGTTTTGGTTAATTGTTTTGTGTGTATCTGTATGTTTATGTGTTTAGTAAAATAATAAATATGTTTTTGATTATCTGTATTAAAGTTTTTAATGAAATGGTTTAATTTCCAGTTGTTGTTGTTTATATTGCAGACTTGTCCATCATTTACTATTCATTTTAATTGAATTCAAATAGCACCCCATCATCATAATAATCATTCACCTCCAAATTAAATGAATTATATATTCAAATTTATTTTATTGATTTTAGAATAATGATATTGATGATAATCATATTGATCAAAACAAGTAAGATAGGATAGACTGGTAATATAATATGTCAATATTATCATTTAATAGCAACAACACTGAAAATAGTCTGTTGTGGATCAGAGTGTGTGTTAATTTTGAGTAGTGTGGAATGTGTGTGAGTGTTAATTTTGTGTTCGTGTCAATATGTTTAAATATATTATATATTTATCTAGAATATTCTAGGGTGACCGAGTTGAGAACTCATGTATGATTTGATTTGATGATCGCACGAAATTAAATTAACAAATTATTAATTTGTTTTTTTTTCAAGAGTGTGGTGTTAACAATTCACTTCCATTTTCTCATTTCTTTAATATATTTGATTTCAGTTCTTTTGATATGCACTGTTTTGTTTTAAGGGTTTAATGTGTGTGTTAGGTGTATGTTGAATTAAATTAGTGGTTGTTTAACACATTAAAAACACTTCTCTTTTTAACATATTTGTTTATTTAAATTCATTCTTAGAGTGTGGTTGTTTGATCATTTTTTAATATTTTTTTTTACCCTTTTAAATTTATAAAAACCCCATCACAAACATATATACAAATAAGAAAGAGGTAAAAAGCAAGAATAATCAGAATTTAGATCATATTTTTACTTGTTAAAGTTAATAGGTTTTTTAACTTCCACAAAAGGTTGATAAGATGATCAAATATCGTTTTATTTTTACTTTATACTCGCTTTACAATAATCACCACCATTATTTACTGACATCAGCAACTTAATCTCTTATTTAAAATAATTAAATTAAAATCTACTTTATATAGAATTTATGATATCCTACAGTTCAAAATTGTGAATTTACAGATTCTATGTTTTTGATTTTAATCATTATATCACTAAAAAGAATTGGGAACTTCGAAGAATCTTTAAAATTAAACTACAGAATGGTAAAAATATTATTTATTTTTCATCTATGTTTAAAATATTGGCCGAGCTCCAGGTTCAATAGATAAGTTTTATTTGATGGTAATGCATCAAAATGGTATAAGAATTGATTTGTTTATTACAATTTAAAAAACTATTTTTTAATTAATTTTTTAATTTATAAATTTAGAAATAATAATACAATTTTTTTGAGTTCTACTCAATAGTAAGAGTAGTGAGAAGAGATTGCCAAACTACTCAGTGTCTCCAATAAAATTAAATTTTGTTTTTTTGTTTTTTTTATGATCTGATCATAGCAAAATTGCGTTACATTTAAACATTTTTAACTTTTCATGGTCCTAAAGCAAAGAAATCTTAAAAAAATTATTTAGTTTTGAAACTCATAGATATAAAATTGTATTACTTTCCATGTCAACGTTGCAAAAAAAAAAAATTAAAATCACACAAAAAAATTTTTTTGGTACGTCTTTGATTCAATTCCCCCAGATAAAGAGTATTAAACGTTGCAACTATTTTATTATAATATATTATTCGATTGATGCTTAAATCCAAAGAATAATTAAAAAAGAAATTTATTTTACTCTTTATTCTTTGGATTAAAAAAATGTTTTTATTTTAAATGCTTTATTCTCAAGAGTCCAAGAGAGGAATCCGATCTTTATCTGAATATTAAACTTATGATGTTCTCCTCAAAACGTGGCATTTGATCAATATCCCAAATGAAAAGGTATTGGATCTATTTAGAATATTTTAGTTTAAAATTAATTCAGTATATATAGAGTTCTAGAACTATAGATATCAAATCAAATTCATTTAAAAAACACTATTAAAAATGAAAACAAATATATCAATTTTCTTCATATCTTCATTATTGTTAACTATTACTTTATTCAACCTCGTTGGTGCTGTACGAGAAGTTCCTATAAGTGTTAGTAGAAACACTACAAGTGGAAAACATACTTCAGGATCATCAGGCAATTGGACCACTGGATCATCTGGTAATTGGACAACATCAGGTAATTGGACCACTGGATCATCTGGTAATTGGACTACATCAGGTAATTGGACCACAGGATCATCTGGTAATTCGACTACATCAGGATCATCGGGATGGATTTCCACATCAGGAACATCTGGTAATTGGACCACTGGACCATCAGGTAATTGGACTACTTCAGGATCATCGGGATCATCAGGTAATTGGACAACTGGATCATCTGGTAATTGGACAACTGGATCATCAGGTAATTGGACCACAGGATCATCTGGTAATTGGACTACATCAGGATCATCGGGATCATCAGGTAATTGGACCACTGGATCATCAGGTAATTGGACTACTTCAGGATCATCGGGATCATCAGGTAATTGGACCACTGGATCAGGTAATTGGACCACATCAGGATCATCAGGATCATCAGGTAATTGGACCTCATCAACTACAGGACCTTTCCCATCTGGATATACTTTCAAGACATTGACAACTACAACAAATAATGATTATCAAACAATTACCAATACAATAACTGTTAGAGAGTCATCACTCAACACAGTTGTTATCAACACTACCACAATCTCTACTGATTACTCGACCACTACAGTAACAGAGACCACCACATGGAGATACCATGGTCTCTCGAATGTCATTACTACAGTAACCTATACAGTTGGTACCACAACTACCACCGAGACCTCTAGCCAACAAAAATATCTTAGAATGATTATAGGTAGAGATTCTATTGAATTGGTAGAGTATGAAACTGATTTGTTATCTTCGAACGATTCTGATAGACTTCAAAGTAACTCGATCAAGATGATCATTATGGCTTTAATAGCAATGTTAATGTTAGTATTTTAATCAAATCTAATTTTTAAAAATAAATAATTTCTTAATGATAAACTACATATTATCATTCACAACAATTTAATTTATCTTTTGAATTTATTGTATTATTTAATATGAATTTTGAATTCAGAATAAATTCTTAATATTATTTTAATTTTAAACCCTCATTTATTATGTGAACTTACACCAACGAAGATGAATGAACATTTTGGGGTGTGACGAAGTAATGGGGGAGTTCATAATGCTGTAGTTTGGATCGGTTTCGATGCAAATTTGGATTATGTCATCAGGTCATGAAGTACTCTGGTACTGTTTCACATTTGATAAAGTGGCATTCCAAACATACCATGATATCTAAAAAATCTTTATTTAGATTTCAATTTTGTCTTTAGATTTTTTCATAGGGGGCTTTTATCTTTTAAAAAAAGATATTTTGAATAAATTTAATTCAAAACTACATACCAACGTTGCAAAAAAATAAAAAAACATAAAAATCCATCTTTTTTTTTTTGTGCACTCTGTTTTTTGTTACCAATTTGGAACCTGCAGTCTAAGAGTTGCAAACGTTGCATTCTGCTTAATAGAATTTCCACAATTAAAACAATCATTACAAAGAAATTTCTTTCACTATTTACGAAACAGTTTCGAAAAAAAGATTGATTTTAATTAGTTTAATCTCAAGAGTCCAAGAGAAGATCCCGATTTTTATCTGAATATGATACCTATGATATCACTCTAAACGAGACATTGATCAATTATATATAAAATCAAAAGGTAAAGATCTATTTTAGAATCTTTGCGGTTCAAATTCATTTTGTATAAATAGGCAACCTTCAGGGTTCATGAATTAAAAATCATACATTAATCAATTATAATCATATTAAAAATGAAAACAACAATTCTCTTTATCTCTTCTTTATTATTAGCTGTTACTTTGTTCAACTTGGTCGGTGCTATGGAAGTACCAGATAGTGTTACCAGAAACACTACAAGTGGAAATCATACTTCAGGATCCACTGGAAGTTTGAATACCACTACTGGACATTCGAACACTAGTACTTCAGGAGGTTGGACAACCGGAGGATCGAATACCACTTCAGGATCAACTACTGGACATTGGAATAGCACAAGCGGATCTTCTGGAAGTTTGAATACCACCACCACCGGACATTGGAACAACACTTCAGGTTGGACAACTAGAGGATCGAATACCACTTCAGGATCAACTACTGGACATTGGAATTCAACCACTACTGGAACTTCTGGAAGTTTGAATTCCACCACTACTGGACATTGGAACACCACATCCGGAAGTTGGACAACTAGAGGATCGAATACTACTTCAGGATCAACTACACATTGGAATTCCACCACAACTGGAGGAAACACCACTTCAGGAACATCTGGAAGAGGCAACACAACCAGAGGTTTCCATGATATTGATTTGGAGGAGAACGACTCTAGTATTCTCCAAATCAACTCGATCAAGATGATTATTATTGCTTTAATGTCAATGATAGTGTTCATATGTTAATCTAATTTAATTTTAAAAAAATAAAATTTCTCAATGATAAAACGACATATCATTCAAATTAACAAAAAAAAAAAAATCTTTAAGAATTATTAAGAAGCTTCACTTTTGATTATTAAAATTAATTAAATGTTAGAAAATTCAATTCAATCTTTGGTTTGTACAAATAGTTGAAGTGTGGCAACCAATCCTTGAGTATTAAATTTGACATTCTGGAGGCTTACACCAATAAAGGTTATTGATTTATGTCCTTGAACATAGTTGAGGAAAAGTTGATTTTCCTGTTCGTTGTTGACTTGCACAAATATTACCCTCCTGGGGTGCGACTCGGTCTGTGGTGAATTCACAACTCTTTCGATTTCTTTGATTTCTTCGATGTAGTAGTATTGTTGTTTTGTATTTCCAAAGTCGATTTCCGTATTTCCTGATTGCCGACAGGCCCTCAACCACATGTACTTTCGCAAAAGATTGGCCAACTCTTTGCATTGTTGATGTTTTCCTAATATCTCTGCGAGTGCCTTGACCAAACCAAATGGGTCATTAACGATTAGAAATGACTGTTCGCTTTTCAAGAGTTGATTAACTACCCAAAAGCTAAAGATATCTTTCTCTGTCCATGTCCACTCCCGAAAATATGATACAGGTATTCCAGTTGTGAAAGCCAAGACTTCCTTGGTAAAGCGGATAACCTTATTCTAATTATTTTCCCTACCGAGATACACCTGTTGCAAATATACACCCAAATTAGCCATTAGCTCCATGGAAACCACAATGGTTGTATCTAAGAGTGTACGGGTTATCTCTAAGATGATGTCGTGGAATGGCTCAATGGTTGGATTGAGTCTGTAGAGCTGTCGCTCCATATCCCAGCGAAAAAAGTCTTTTGCATGTCGTAAACAGTGTGGCATTCGAACGGGCTCCTGGGTAACTTGTGGAATATGCCTATTTGGATTTGTTAGGGCCTGGATGAAATTCTTGTGTGTCTCGTTGTCCATGTACTTGGCAATGTCACAATAGTAGCTTTGGTTACTGGAGATAGTTTTGATAATGGTTCGAGTACCTTCGATTGTTCTGGTGGATGATGATATTTGATCGGAGAACTTACATGCCTTTGCTATCTTTTCAGCGAAATCCTTGAGATGCCATGACAAGGAGGAGGTAATGGCCGATCGTTGGCCAAGCCTATTCACCAATGCTTTGATATCTTCAGGAGTTATTTCGTTTTTGACAAACAAACTCTTGAATGGCACAGAACGGTGGCAATTTAAGAATTCCGTAATGAACTCTATGACTGATTTTCTCACTGAATTGAGGTCGTTTCTTTTCTTTTTTATCAAACAAGTGATACCATTTCTAAAAAACTTTGAAATTAAAAAGAGTTCTTCAATGTCATCCTGTTTGTTTTAATATTTAATAATATTAGTAGAGGAATAACATATAGGTATTAATATTAATTATACGTACCATGCTGATATTGTTGGAACCATTCGCTTTCTCTGCGTTGGTCGAAACAGTACTGATGCCACTCAACCAATTTCTAATCACACTTGCGAAGTCCAGTTGAGAAGAAACCTCTTGGATATTCAAGTCGTTGTCTCTATTGGTCTCAGCATGGGTGCTGATCGGTTGTTGAAGAACAGTTGGCTGTTTACTACGATCGGGTGGGAGTACTCTATCGGGTATGTTGGAGTTGTTTCCAATCACACTTGCGAAGTCCAGTTGAGAAGAAACCTCTTGGATATCCAAGTCGTTGTCGCTATTGGTCTCAGCATGGATGCTGATCAGTTGTTGAGGAACAGCTGGCTGTTTACGATCGGGTGGGAGTACTGTAGGCATAGCCGCACTATCGGATATGTTGGAGTTGTTGTCTTTGCTAACAGCCATTCCGACTTCGATCACCAGAAAACCATTGGCATTAGCAAGTTGATTTGGATTGGTACTACGGAAGATGTTTTCTACATCGCTTGTGATCATAGGATTTAAATATGCGAGCTTAACATCCTCTAGTACAGTATCTTGATTTTGGGGGTTCACAACTAAACGACTGACTTTACTTGCGTCTCCAGGTGAAATTTCACGAACGAATGCTGTGTACTGCTCAGCTTTACTACAAAGAAGCACTGATTTTTCAAAAAATTTAATTGTTTTCATTATTTTTTTTAATAAAAATAAAAAGTAAACTAATATTTTGTGGCAATAATAGATTGTTGCAATGAGAAAGGTATTTGTACAAAAATAAACTTTTTAAATGAAGAAAAAAAAAAAAAAAAAAGAAATAATATTAACTTAAATATGGTAGTTGGGTGATTTGATGAAAGTGAAAATAAAATTAAATGTTATTTAAAACTAAACGATTACTAAGGATTATGTTACTAAATATTAATTCTTTTTTTTTTTTTTTTTTTTGATCAAATCTTGTGTATTTGTTTTTGATTTTCCAATTTATAAATAAATAAAAAAACAAACAAGAACCATCACTAAAAGTTCTTTGATCCATCAGCATAAACATTCGATTCAACAAAAAATTAATATAATGATTATTTTAAGTAGATCTCAAAGTTATGAAATCTTCCCAAACTCTGATATCCTAATATATTTTTGTCAACATGTTCGTTCAATATCGGATTTCCAAGAGGTATACAAAAGGTTTGTCAAGTGTTTTACAGCTCGTTCAGTGGATTTTCTTTTTGTAAAATGTGAACCAACGATAATCAAATTTATCTTTGACAACAATCTACCTTTTGGCAAACAAGCATTGTTCAGTGCAGTATCAAATGGTCACATGACAACAGTGCAGAGAATACATGCGAAATATCAATATACAAAATCAGTGTGGTCCAAAGCAATGTTGATGGCAACCGAGAGGAACAATGTAGAACTGTTCCAATATCTTTAGAACCGAGTACAAGTAGACAGGTACTGGACAGCAAAGTTAGTCGATGCTTTTGCAGCGCATGGGAATCTACCGGTGATCGAAATGATCTTCAATAAAATGGATGGCTTATTTTTCGAAAGTGTATATCTAAATAAACATATTATCTGTACAATTTGTTATAATAATTAATAATACTAATTTATCATAGTTGTGTTATTTAATAAAAAATTTCTTAGATTCTCCCGTAGATCAAGTCACTCTGAATCTTCATTTTTGATTTATCTAGATATTATAATTGTATATGAAGAACAAAGTAGATTCCTAGAGAGTAGACTACAGTGAAGATGTAATGTTAACAAGCTTGGAATCAAGAGTAAATACATATAAACAGTTTACAAAAATGGCCATGGAATGTGAGTGAGCCAAAAGTGTTATCCATGGAATGATCGAAGTAAAAGAAAATATTTGTTTTCTGTTAATTTTTGTAAAATTGAGTATACTCATTTTTAGAACGATTTTTTTTCATTCGATTGATAGATTCCCAGATATTTTTTTTGGATTCCAAATCTTGCAAAAAATCAAAATTTCGTCCTGTTTCATCACGCAATTAATTTTTTATGTTTTTGCAAAAATAACACTGGTGTTAATTAATTTATTTAAATAGGGACCTTTTAAATCATTTTTTTGTAAACTAAAACTAAAACTAAAAAAAAAATGAAACTTATTTATACTATTATATTTATCTTTTATTCAATTTCATTACTAAATTGTTTTGAAATTGATTCATTCAAACAAGATCAACATCAATTAATCAAAGAGTATAATAATCTTAAAGAAAATAGAGGATCTGTTATCGAATGTTTAATAAATCAAGCTCTCCCAAGTTGTCAATACGCTTCAGGAGGATTCACGTAAGATATAAAAATAAGAGAATTATATTCTAAATTCTAAAAATATTTATCATCATAATTTTTTTTGTTTTTTAGATGTCCAACAATTTCAGGTTGTTTAAGATCAATGGCTAGAATACCAAATCAAATATCATATCAAGTTTTGATTCCTGGTGGATCATATTTTGAAAAAGATTGTCCAGGTGTATATGGTCAACTAGGTATTTCTGGTATCCTATTTTTCATCGGCTGGCAAGGTCAAGCTATTTTTAACTGTGGAAAAGTATGTAAAATATATATGAAAAATATGTAAAAATTCTATTAAATATTAATAAAATAATAATCAATTCAGTCTCAATTTATTTCATTTGATTCTGGAAATTCAACGCTTGATGTTTTCATTGATGGTTTAGACCTTCAAGGAAATTCTAAAATTAGTGGTGGTAGTATTAATATTTTTGGTGGACGTAAAGCATCAGCTTTATCTTCAATCACTATTATTAATGTGTCAGGTGAAGGTAGCTCAGCCACTAATAATGGTGGATTTTTAAGTACCACTTATGGAAAAGTATATATTATCAACAGCAACTTTAAAAATAATACTGTTGAAAATTCTGGTGGTGTTTTCAATGCTCCCAATGCTTTTATTTTGTCACTCAACTCTACTTTCATCGGTAACTCTGCCATTGAAGGAAATGGCGGAGCTCTATATGGTTACAACGCAAGTATTGTAAACTCTACCTTTAATAATAACTCTGCTGATATTGGAGGTGCTGTAAATACCATTGGTCCAATCAATGTAGTCAACTCATCATTTTCGGATAATTCTGCAACCTATGGAGGTGGAATCTTCTCTATCGAAGGAGTTAATGTAGACAATTCCTTCTTCCAATACAACTTTGCCAGTGATGGTGGAGCAATTTTTGGTATCAATCTGACCGTTTCAAACTCAATATTCGAATCGAATCAAGCTATTAATCGTGGCTCTGGTGGTGCCATCTATGCATCTTCTAAAACTCAAACCAATATGACTGTCTACAACTGTACTTTCTATCAAAACGAAGCTGATGGTGTAGGTGGTGGTATCTATTCGATTGGAACATCGCTTCTCGTATCGAGCAGTCAGTTTGACTACAATAGAGCAAAAGCTTCAGGTGCTGGAATCTTTGCAGCCTATGGAACTGATTACATCTCAGTAGATGTTATCGATTCATCATTCACATATAATACTGCAGAATTAAATGGTGGGGCAATTGTAAGTATTATTTTAAAATCAAAAATATTGGTTGATATTAATATTGATAATTTTTTACAAAGTATTTGTACCAGGCAATCTATGGACAGTTCTTGGTTAATCTCTATGAGTCAGTATTTGATTCCAACTCTGCTGGTCTCGTAGCTGGTGGTATTTATTTCACAAATTATCCAAAACAACTGTTGGGTGGTGTATTTACCAACTCAATGTCGAATGAACCAGGTTCAACCACATTCTACTCTGACTCTATTATCGATGCTAACATTGCAAATGTTACCATTCCAAATTCACAAACCTCATATTCTGTAACACTTTTCGATGAAGAATCATTTACCTATGTAAGTATTAAATTATTTTTTAAATTTATATTTTAATTCTCTTTTACTAATCTTATCGAATTTGACAATCTAGATTAAAGCTATCGGTGTAATTGGTTCATGTTTTAATGGTGTAGCCACAATCGATCAATATGGAACAATTCTTAAATGTACATGTTTGGGAAGTTCAACCGGTCCAAGTTGTGATAATTAAATTTAATAATAAATTTTTAAATTTTAAATCTTTAAAGCCCAGATGTATTATATATATTATTTAATTTAATGTTCTAAAAATAGAGTTAATTATAGTTTCATTTTTTTAACAAATCTAAACTTTAGTAAATTTCAATTATATAGTTCCAACAAAAGTTTCCGAATCTATTCTCCAATATACACAGGTTAATCGATTGATAGATTTATATAAATTTGAATCAAATTTGTACAAATAAAAATTGATTTATACTTCTACCTAAATAAATTTTGCTATTTAACTTCACTGTTCCATTTTATCTTATATTCATCTTTTGATGACTCAAATTCTCTTATCTTTGATTAGTGAATTGATTTCCTCTCTCATTTGTTTGATTGTTTCTTCATGTTTTTCCACTTTAGGTTTTAAGCTTTCTAACTCTCTAATATAAACACTTAGGAAGCAAAGTTCCTGTTTTTTCTTTTCTCACACTTGGCTTATACTATCAGTTTATAGTCTTATCACAACTGTCGATATGATGTTTTAATATTTGAATTGGCAATGGCTAGGTACCTGTTGATCTAGTTGTACTTGTGGCCGTACATTTTGTCTATATTTTTTCTGTTTATTCTTTCGAACCTTTGTATAAATTTGTTTATAACAGATATATTGAATTGACCTTTACATTTTATACAAGCACTGATAAGTTTTCACTGTTAAAACTTAATAAAATTTATTGTCCGACCATTATTTAAACAGAACTTACTTTTTATGTTGCAAAAAAAAAATAATTTGATATTAATATTTTTTGATTGATTCATCATAATTGTGCAATTTATATGATATGAATCCAAATCAGACATCTACACCTACTAATGTTGGTGGTGGTGGTGGTGGTCATGCAGCAATGCAAGTATCTAACCAGCCAAACACCAATGTAATAACACCATCGGTTAGTATAGATATGCAAGCAAAACAACTAAAGAAACATTTTCAACAGATTCTTGTCACTGCAAACAAAGTCGTTATAGAGTATGTATTCGAATCATTAACAATGATATATATATATATATATAATAGGGATTGATTATTTATTAATACAAATCAATGTTCAAATTTTTATTATTATTATTATTATTAGTGAACCAAATAAACGTGTACAATCTTGTTTGGATCTATCACAAAAGTTAGAAGAGTTTGAACTTTATTGTGATGATGTATATGCTTATATTGTAAGTATATTATATATATATATATATATATAGAATAGTTAACTTTTTAAAAAGTAAAGTTATTTATATATTAATGTTTTATATATAAATAACTTTAATCAATTTTTAGGAAATTAATAAACAAAATATAATATATAATAATGTAAATAATGGTGGATACAATCGATATGATAGTCCAGAGTCGTTGTATCAGTCTTTGAATGTAAGACTATCGAGTGTTAAACAGACTAGAAATACAGTGGAGAGATTCTGCAAACAGTTGTCTACCGTACAGCAACAGTTGGCACAACACAACAATAACTACAAAGAGAATCAAAGAAAGATACAATTACAACTACAACAACAGCAACAACAACAACAACAACTACTCTTACAACAACAACAAGCATTACTTCAAAAAGATGATAATAACAATAATAATAATAATAATGTTGAAATGGTGGATCAACAGCAACAACAATCTTTAACAACAACTGAACAACAACAACAACAACAACAAGAGCAACAACAAACTCAGCAACAACAGCAACAACAACAACAACAACAACAATTACACCAATCTACAAATTCACCATCTGTTTATTCACCTTCTTTCTTAAAGAGTAGTACAGGTGATCAACAAGGTACACCTTCGATGAATGTAGAGTCTGGTCAACACCAGCTTACTCCTTCGCAACAGGCAACCGGTGCTTTCAATCCGTTGTCACCAGGCGGTTCTATTAATATGCAGTCACCTTCGCCAGGTCTCAGTAAGAAGTCACCGACTTCGTCGATGATGGACAATAGCTATGATACACCATCGCAACAACACAACCCTATTACACCGTCACAACAGCATAATCCTATTACACCGTCACAACACAACCCTATTACACCTTCACAACACAATCCAATCACACCGTCACAGCAACTGAGTCAACTGACACCGTCACAGCACAACCCAATCACACCATCACAACACTTACAACAGATTGTAGAGGAAGTAGATATGACAATGACTGACTCGACATATTCTGTAGATAATCAACAACAACAACAACTTCAACAACATCATCAACAAACAGAACAAATACAACATGAACAGCAACAACAACAACAACAACAACATGAACAAGGACTACAAGAACAAATACAACAACATGAACAACAACAACAGCAGCAACAACAGCAGCAACAAGAAGAAAATCAAGATGATATTGATGAAATTGAAAAGTTGGTGAATGAACAACTACAAGAACAAGAAGAAGAGGAAAAGAGATTACAAGAGCAACAACAACAGCAACAACAACAGCAACAACAACAGCAACAACAACAGCAGCAGCAGCAGCAGCAGCAGCAGCACGAACAAGTAGATCAACAACAGCAACAACAAGAAGATATGTCAAATCAAGTAGATATGATCGATGTAGATAATACATTTGAAGAAGTTTATAATAGAGGTGAGATTGTTGATTTGGATGCCGAAGAGAAACCAATGACAACCGATGAAATTGAAGGAAATCTAAATGATATTAATCATGACAATCAAAACCAATCTGATACACAACAACAACAACAACAACAGCAGCAACAAGAGCAACCACAACAACAACAAACAGATTTATCAAACAACACAGGTGATCTAGACGATGAAATCGAAATGGAAGAGGTCATGGAGGAGGTAGTTGAAGTTAATCCAGACGATATGTCCACTGTCCAAGATGTCGACTTTAGTAATTCAATGATAGATCAGTTAACTGATGAACATCAACAAAACTTATAATAATCAAATTTTATTTAATATTATAAAATAAAACATTATTGTTACAATTGATAGCAAAGAAGGCTACCGTTAAAAGCATTTGTCAATTAGTTTGGGCAAACAACAAGCACTGGAATTTAATTTTTTTGAAAACCTTTGTGGTGGTAAAGTACTATCATTTCCTAGACACCGATAAATCAATTAAATATACTATTTCTTTTTTCAACTGAAATAATAACAAAGATAATTTGACTATACATGTATCAAATATATACAGTTTCTATATGTTACCATATTTGTCATTTTTTTTTATGATAAAAAGTTAAATTAACCTAGGTTTATTTCAATACAAATACATATGTGTTGTTTATAAAAAAAAACAATTGAGTTCTTTTTCCTTGATAGATTATTCATTCTCAAAATTGGTAATTTGCGAATTGATGATATTTGAAAATGTAAAAATTAATGTGCAAAGATTTTTTTTTTTTTTTTAGCAAAACATCCATGTTTCTATTCGGACAAGAAACATACTCATTCAAAAACCTGTTTAGATGACATTAGATAAAGTATTTGATAGAAAAATAGAAGATGCACAACATGAACTTAACATACCAGATGTCAAAAGAAAGCTACCACTTTTATTGAATTCAATACTATTGTAAGTTAAGTGTAATGATATGTTGTTGATGAATGACAAACAACTTACTAAAACTAACATTTAAAATGATACCTAATATAATAATAGCTTAAGATGTAATAATAATAAAAACTGTAACATAAACGTTGATTCCACATCATATAAATGGATTATATCATTACCTATTGATTATAAATATAGATTACAGAGTGCATACAAGTAAGTTTTTTTTTTTTTTAATATTTTATTGATCTTTAAAAGTTAATGCATTGCACTAACCTTAACGATTATGATTGATTGATATCTATTATCTACATATTTAGTTGTGGGTTGGTTGCATTAAGGTGTGCAGTTGAACACCTACTACAAAGACAATTCTTAGAGAGCTCAGTAGATTTATTAAAGATAGCGATAGATCGTGGCTATTCAAAGGAAGGTGAGATGTTCTCAGCGAATGATCTTTCATCGGTTGCAAATAGCTATTTCAGTGGTTTGGTGGAATCATCTGTCATTGAAAATCCAACACCTATCTCAATACTTCGACACCTCTCTGCTAATCTACCGATTCTGATACCTTATGATGCAGAAAAGAATTGGCGACCTTCCAACCTCAAAGGTTACAGACCTCATTGGGCTGTAATAGTAGGTTTCATCATACCAACTTCAAATATCAATAATGATAATAACAACAGTGGTATTAATAATATCAATAATATCAATGTTAAATGGAATAGAAGTAATAGTAGTGGTAGTAGTAACAACAATCCAATATTGACGATGAACTATATAAATGATAACAATAGAAGATCATCATCATTATCTGTAAATGAACATTTAATATTTAATACAATGAATGATGATGATGATGGTATAAATGAAAATCAAGATAATAGTAATAATAGTTTAGAATCAGTTTCAATTGATTTAGATGTAGATGATATCTTTTTGATTTGTCAACATCCAAAAAGTAAGGTAATGGCATTGTGGGAGTACACAGTTCTTAGAGACTCGAATTCAAATTTAGAAACACCAGATCCACAAAGACTTGCTGAGAATAGATGGATCATACCAGCTAGATTAGATAATCTAAGGAACAAATGGATATTTTTGTATAATAAATTAAATAATCAATAATATATCGATATTAATAATAATAATAATAGATCTATAACAAAATAACTGAACATATCATATAATAATAATGTATTAATAAAAGAAGTTTTAATATTATACTTTTTACTTTCAAATAAACTAAAAAAAAGTATTTAAAATCATTAAATTATTATTATTATCATTTTTATTTAAAACACAACTTTATATTTATAAACAGACGACTTTCACAAGTCAGTTTAATGACCTGTACTATTAACTATAATAATATATTAGATATATAACATCAAATATTTGTAAATAAGATTGAATAAGTATCATAACCCAACAACATTCATCAATAAAAATAACTTGTTATTATTGCTTTGTGTTGTGTGTTTGTTTGTGTTTGTGGGTGTTTAAATTCTAAATGATGTAATGAGTGTGGTTATTGTGAACACACTCAAAACTAATATTATATATATTAGTGTATAACATTTATCATCACTATCTATATAAAGATAATTGTAAATCAAATAGATAGTGAATTAAAACAGATAGATAGTAAATAAGATATACTGAAATCAAATCAAATCATGAATCTACTACCTCTCTCTCTCCCATTCACTTTAGTATATAATAATAATTTTTATAATACTTAACTTACTTAACTCATCTAATAAATGAAATGATAATATTGAATTTACTATCTATCGAAAATACCAATATTAACATCAAATAGATTCAAATCATCATATGATCAATAGAAGGAATGTCTTGTCTGTCAATTGACAAGTAATAATAACTGATGGTCAAACCAAAATTGTTATAACCCAACAACTACAACAACCAATATTAAAATGAATGATTAGAATATCAAACAAAGATAACCCACAATTAGTAATATTAATTTGATCAACTTTGTAAATTCGAATTTCATGACCAATGTTAATGTTGTTTTTGGATACAAGAGTTGGGTTTCTGATTATTGTTTTTGTTAGTTGGAGTAGTCTTAAACAACATCAAAAACCAATCTATAAATTATAATTTATATCTGTTTTGTTCTGTTCAAACCGTGTATCTATTCTATTGACTACTGATTTCATCAATCTATTTATATTTTAATTACTCTTTTCATTCATTCTTCATTCTTCAACAAGACTCCAAATACTTTAACAAAAAACATTAAAAAACTAAAATACAACTATATGAACTAAATATATAAGTATTTTAAATTATAAAATATTTCTAAACTTTTATATATATATCTTATTTTTTTTCTATTTATTTAAAAAATATTTCACAAACATGATTAAATATCTATTTATTTATTTGATTATATTATCATGTTTATACATAGATAAAATAAATTCATACAAAACCAATAATGTTAAAAGTTTTCCACTATATCCAATATTGTCAATCGGTAACTATTGTCCATATGTAGCTGTAAGTATTAAAATTAAAGTAAAATATTAAATACTATAAAATTATTAATTGATAATTATAAAAAAGTATGGAACTAAATCAAGAGTTGGAGATCAAAATGATATAAGATTAATTCTTGATACTCAAAATACAGCTACCTCAATCGCATCCGAAGTTTGCACAGCTGGATGTCTTCAAATGAAAGGTATCTATAAACCTGGAACCGGTTCAGTTATTCAAGGTACTGCTCTGACTGGTGAATATAATGATGGAACTTCTTATATTGCGTAAGTAATAATATATATATATATAATTGGAAATTATAATATAATTTATTTACTGAAATTTTCTAATTCTTTTTTTTATTGAAAAAAAAGTAATCAAGTTTCAGATAAAATATCACTTGATAATTCAACATCGAAAAATAATTATTTGTTTAATACGATTACGACTCAATCTAAACCATGGTCACAACCACATTGTGAGGCATCGGCTATTAAAGCAACTGGAATTCTTGGTCTTGGTTTCAATCGTGAGGAATCCGGTTACATCACTCAGTACGCAGCGTTCAACAACGTAGAACAAGTATTTGCTATCAACCTCTGTAAAGCGAATCCACGTATTTGGATGGGTGGTTTCGACACTCGAATTGTTGACAAGGAGATTGCCACTGCACCGATGCAAGACACCACCTACAGTATCAGCATCAAGAATGTCTATGTCGGTGACCGTACTCTCTACCAAGTGAAAGATTTCGTTTGGACCACAAGAATCGATACCCGTACGCCATTCCTTCACGTGCCATCGGCCGTCTTCCATCAGACACTCCAGCTGCTCACCAGCATCAAGACGTTCTCAAAGTTTTTCACCTCGCGTTTCTTCATTGAAAAGAACTGTGTGCTCAATCCAATGGCTGGAATGACCGACGATGAAATCAATGAGTTGCTCCCAAAGTTCCGTATTCAATTCGCTTCCGACCGTGGAACTTCCTATATCGAGCTGAATGCCGTACCGGGCTACTTGCTCATCGAAGGACCAAATGTATGTCCGGGTATGGTTGAATCGCTCGACTATAACATGGTGTTGGGAACACCGCTCCTTCGTCAATATCTTGTTATTTTCGATCAAGAGAATGCAAGAGTTGGATTCGGTAAGGTCGACGACCACAATTGTGACGTTGGAAAATGGAGAATTGGCGAGTGGTCCAACTGCACCCGGGAAGCTACATGTTCAATGCAACATCGTAATGTCACTTGCATTTCACAGGCGTTCAACACCACCATCAACGAAACACAATGTCCTGGCTTTACACCACCCAGAGAGCGTATCTGCACCAACACCACCATCACCAAAAACGATACTTGTCTCACCGACGATCCACAATGGGTCGTTGGTTCCACCTGGTCAGAGTGCGACCAAATCTGTGGATCCGGTGTACAGAAACGTCAGGTGTATTGTGTCGACCAGTTTGGCGCGGTAACAAACGACACCAAGTGTCTGGACAAACAGCCGACCTCGCAGAAACTCTGTGCTGTCGAGCCGTGCAAGGAGGAATACCATTGGGATGTCACAGAGTGGTACGGTTGCTCCAGTTCGTGTGGAGACGGAACGCAGCAGCGTATGATCCAGTGTATCGATTCATCGGTGTGGCGTGTCGTCGACAGCTCACTGTGTGTCGCGCCACCACCAACCACCTCACGTCCATGCAAAGGACAGCCATTCTGCAGTCGTGTTCGTTGGGACTGGGAGCCTTGTGAACCGCTATGCTACCGACAATACCAGAGTTCCGACTCGAAATCCAAAGAGAAAGATTCGAGCGACGAAGAAGAATCATCGAGTCACCACGAGGAGCTGTCATTCTCGTACTCCGAGTCGTTCGATCCCAACAGCGTCTGGCAAAACATGGTGTGTTTCAACACCTCCAACAACCAGATCGTCAGCAATACCAATTGTAAAGGTATTCCAAACTTTGATCTACCAAGAGCGTGTGACTGCAAACAATTCTTCCCCAAGAAGCTCGTTAAAACCTCACCATCCTCCGCATCCAACCTCAACCTAAACTACCAACTTTTTTTATTTATATTGTTTTGTTCAACTTTTTTTTTACTTTTAAACTAAGTTAAAAAAATGATCATAATTATAATCACACAAACAATCATACAAATACAAATACAAATGAATATCGAATATAAAGATTTATAAAAAATAAATTTATAAAAAAAATAATTTTTGTCGTTTTTTTTTTTTTTTTTTTCTATTGATCATTTTTTTTTTTTGGTGTGTGGTTGCAGTAGTGTATCAAATTTGATCGACACAACTTTATTAATTTAAATCATTATTGTTTTTAGTTTTGTTTTGTTTTTGTATAAAGTAGAGAAGAGAAAAAAAAGAGAGATGTCAGGTTTAGTTGGATCAGCAGCAGCAACAGTTGTAGGTGCAGGTAGAAAGATTGTTAGTTTTCAAATGCATGGTGTCGATAAGGCATTGCCATACATTGCAAAGAGAGTAGCATGGGCAGCCAAGCTGTCGGGTATCAAAACCAGTGGACCATTCCCATTGCCAACCACCTCAAAGAAATACACAGTCAATAAATCACCGCATGTAGATAAGCGTTCCAGAGATCAATATGAAATTCGTGTGATGAAGCGTGTCGTACAGATCGATGCACCAATCGAAGTTGCCGATAAATTCGTAAAGTTTGTCGAGACTAAACTCCCACCAATTGCCTCCACTGTAGATATCAAGATTGTCGAGAAGCGTTATGCACCAGTCGAAGAATTATACTCTGGAAAGCGTGTTGCCTAAAACAATCAACAAAACATAACATAGCTTATATATATATATATCAATTCAATAATAACTAATTACACCAATCAAACAACAAACAAACATCATTCACCACTCACCAAAGAATCAATCATTTAGTACACAATAGTAAAAATAGCTTTACGAAAACTATAGCAATAACGCTCAAACAACAATGCATTGGTAACCAATACCTTCCAACATAACGACACATAAATGAACTTTATTCTTCATTTATTTAATAATTTAATAAATAATAATAACAAGACAATGACAAAGATAGTAAAAATATACTAATTTGTTCATTTATCAATATTAGAAACTTAAAAAAACAATCAATTTTGAATGTCACTAACACAAATGGGTAGTTTTTACTCTATTTAGTTGTTGCTGTCATTTAGATTATTTAAATTTTTATTTGTTAATCATTGGTTTAATTAAATTTATTATAAATAAAAATGAATAATGAGTGAATAAAGATGATGATAATCCATTATACTAAACTAAATTTATTTATTATTTTTGTCTGAATGGACTATGAAGATGTCAATGTCAGAAACAAGTGATATAGAGTGGAAGACGATTCAAGATGAACTTGGTTTGCAGATAAAGGTGATCAATCGATTCCAGTTTCCTTCGAATCTTACCGAGGTACCAGATTTCGATTGGTCTTCCATCAAACCAGAGAGAATCAATGGTAAGACAATGATGACGGTATCTTCCAAAGACCAAGAAGTGAATGTAAAGGAAGAGGGGGAGGAGACTATCTCAACAACAAACAATGAAAATGGTATTGGTAGTAGTAGTAGTAGTAGTATTCGTAATATGAATAATAAAGGTCAACAACAAGAAGAAGAACAACATAAAGAAGACGAACAACAACAGAAAGATAATATTGAATATTGTATTGATCATTTGAAGAGATATTACGATCTTGGAGATGGTAATCAATATCAATTCTACAATGTCTCCGATAGGGGTGATGAATTCCTTTATACTGCACTGCCATATATCTCTTTTATACTTCAGGGTTGTGTGCATGTAGTTGTTTGTCACCGATTGACACCTCCAGAGGAGTTGGATTCGCAAATCGTCTTTGCCATTGCGTTGTGCGACTCTGCCGAAGCCGTTGTCAACAGTAGATCGCAAGCCTACTCCCAGCTGCTGGCAGCTTCGATTCGCTCGAGTGTCCCTGTAGTACATATCACCACGAACCTAGGCGGTTGCTGGCGATTCCGTTGGATCTTAGACAACCAGACACTGGCAGTGCACGCACCCACCACAGCAAGCGAAGCACTGGAACTGATGCGCATGAGAATCCGAACGATCAAGTCGTTCTCCAGCCTGCTACACCCCACGCTCTCCAGAGAACACCAATTCATCAATCCAACCAAAATTCAATTTTGGGAATCATCATTATCATCATCGTCGTCATCATCGAAAGTCAAAAAACGTTCATACCCCGCCAACAGCACCACCTTATCAAGATACAATAAATATTGAATGTTGAACTTCAACATTTTACAAAGATTGGTTCAAATGCGTTAATTGAAAAAAAACAAAATTTTTTGGGTTTGGAAATTTAAAATTGCTGTAAATTTATGTGCCAGGATTAATATGAAAACATTGAAACAAAGATATTTTATGATATTAAAATGTGAGAAACTTTTAAATGTGTAAATTTACAAAAACAAAGAAAATACTATTTGTTCATTCAATATGAGTATTTGTTTATTTAAAGATACTGATTGATTATCCAAAATCGCTGAGTTTAAATTGATCAAAAAAATACATGAATAAATGTATTATACGGTTTAATGGAATAATCCAATGGATTATTCATTTCATTGAGTTCAAATATAAATGAATTTCATAAAAATTAAAAGGACGAAAAAATACTAGTTTTTTTTTTTTTTTTTTTTTCATGACCAACCACATAAAAAATACAAATTTTTTTTTTTTTTTTTCCAAACGCTTATTTTTCTTTTTTCCTGCTTACTCAGTTTAACAGTAAGTCTTATCAACAACAACAACAAAAAACAACACCAGATATATATTTATATTTATATTATTGTTACATCGAAACTTATAAATATTAAATATTCAAACTATTTCATTATAGTTTTATATTTTTTGTTGTTGCTATTCTATTTTTTATTTTTTGAAAGAGTAAACAGTAGTTTAGTAGATAGGTAGTAGGTTAGAAGTAGTTTATGTTTATTTAGTTTAGTTTAGTTTGTAGTTTTAAAAAGTAAAAAGTAAAGAAAGATAACAATTCAAAAGATTCAGAAGTAGAAAGTACAGATTAAACTTCAAACAAACAAATAAAAGCTTCCTCTCTTTATATATATAAATATTTGTTTGTTTGTTTGTTTGTTTTCTATTCTATTTGTTTTTATTTAGATATTTAATAAATAATTTCAACAACTTTTTGTATAATAGTATAAACAAACAGAATAAAACAAAAAATAATAAATAGTAACTAAAAATTATTTAATATTTTTATTTTTCAAAAAAAAAATAAAAATCAAATAATAACATAACAACAACAACCCAGTCAGTGTTACACTTCATATTTAAATAATAAAAATATAAATTTCGGTAACCTCTCTCTATATATTTCTATATATTTCTATAAATATATATTATAATATCAGCAACGAGTTTCACACTGACTTGTTGCAACACATTGTAAACATTGTTTAATAGTTGTATATTTCTCAAGTACTCCTTTTTGTGTCTATATAATATATATATTTTCTAAACCAAAACCAACAAACAACTGAATAGAAGTAGTAGTTTTCCTCTCCCTCTTCTTCTTTCGTCGTCGTCCACCCTTTCACATTCACATTCACATACTCTCACTCATCTCATAACCAAAAAACCACCCAAAAAAAAAAAAAAAAGAAAAAAAGAAAAAAGAAAAAAAAAGGCAATCTTTCGTTTGTTCAGAAGTTTGGCTTAAAATTTTTTATTTTTTTTTATTTTTCACCTTTTTTTTTTCTTTAAAAAAATATACATATTTTTTATTTTGTTGTTACATTATATAGATAATAATAATAAGATAGCATTAGTTAGTTAATCATTAATATTCACAAACCGAGTTGTTGTTTTTATATCAAAAATAAATTAGACTTTAGAGATAGAAATAAAAATAAAATAAATAGTTAGTAAAAATAATAATAATAATGGATAATTCCAATCATTTCTTGGGAGATGATTTCAATGGAATTGACCTTTCAAAATTGACGATCAAATCGAGATTCGATCAGACCATATCGAGAAGTAGTTCTGCACCACCCGTCTTACCGGAGGATGAGTTTCCACAGTATAGCGGAGAGGTAATCTCACCACAGGATCCACGTCTCGACATCCAATACTATAACTACTACTATTCACAGAGACCATTGGATCCTAGATTACCACCTCCTCTCATCTCTCCATATCAAGCCTATTTCAACAAGAAAATAAGTATGTCAATTTCTTTTGTTCTAGTTTTTCAAATGATTGAACAATCGCTAATAACTTACCAATTCAATAAACAGATGATGAACCATTTCAAATGCAACAGATGCAACATCAACAACATCAACATCCACAACATCATCAACAACAACAACAACAACAACAACATTATCAACATCAACACCAGCAGCATCAACATCAACATCAACAACACCATCCACAGCCAATGAATAAGCAGCAGCAGCAACAGCATCAACAACAACAGCAGCATCAACAACAACAGCAGCAAGAGCATGATTTCCCAGAGTTGAATGCTCTTCAAGAGAAAGAGATGTCATTGAAGAAACCTCTGCCCTCTCATGCAATAGGGCCAACCAGTATCTTGAGACAGCAGTCACCCGATATCGTGTTGAACAACTCGCCTTCATCGGTGGATTCGATTTCACTCGAGGGCAAACCAAAATCATTGGTCGACATGATTCAACAAGATTTCCCACGTACACCATCGCCAGTCTACCAAAAGACAGCACTCGATCCAAAATCACACCAACGTCGCCGTTCACAAGCTACCATCGAAGAGAACTCTCCTCCATCCGCTCATGGATTGTCCTCGAAATCCTTCCCACAAATTAGTGAACCATCACTAAACGATCCTCAATTTGAATTAAACGGTAGAGATCATCATAGTCATCATGATGATTATAATAGCAATGATGTAAGTACAATCAAACACCTCTTTAAATCATAACAATCAATCATTGACAAACAATCGAAAATAGGATGAAACTTCACAGAATTATGGATATCCATATGGTATGTCCACCGGTGGCGTAATGGTTCCACATATGTATCCACCACCTCAGATGATGGGTAATGTATCGATGAATCCAATGGTTGCAGTGATGGGATATCCATCGAAAGATTCTAGACGTGGACAGAATATTGTTACTCAAAATGGATCAAGTTCAAAGAGAGGTCCACAACAGATGCAACATCAACAACAACAACAACACTATCAACAACAGCAGCAACAACAACAACAATATTATCAACCACAACAACAACAACACATGAAGAACGATCCTCAACAACAACAACAATATCTTCAACAATCGAGAATGCAAAATCAATACCAACAACAACAACAGCAGTCACAACAACAACCACCGATGTTGCCAAGTAGCTACCTGAATAGCAACAACAATAACAATAACTCACGCGATTACTACCAGCAGGGTATGAATTTGAACATGAATATGAATATGAACGATCAACAGAAGCTATACAACCAACAGCAACAACTCTCATCGATGCGACCCATTCGCCCCAATGAAGACATCAAGGAATTCCAACCAAAACGAAAGCCAAACATTACCTCACCAAATACACCATCGCCAGTTATCAATGCTTCAAATAGTCCGAGTTATAATCAATATGGAATTCCAACATCACAACAACAACAACCACAACAACAACAACAATTTATGAAACAACAACACCATCCAAACAATGTGAATAGTCAAAACAATCACCAACAACAACACCACAACAACTTCAACAACAACAATCACCATCATCACCCAGAGGACATGTCAGCTCCAACCAATGTCAATAATAATAATAACAACCAACAGACTCAAGTATCACCACCATATAATACAAATCAACAATCACCACAACAACAACAACAACAACAACCATCATCAGCACAACAACATGGTAACAACAACAACAATAGCAATGGCAATAACAATAGTAATAGTAGTAGCAGTGCTTCGTCTACCTCTAGATCCCAGTTGCTCGAAGACTTCCGTGCACAGAAAATGAAGCTTGAGCTCAGCGACATCAAAGGTCATATAGCCGAGTTTAGCAAAGATCAAGTTGGATCGCGTATCATTCAACAAAAGATAGAGTCGGCCGGTCTAGAAGACAAGCAACTCGTCTTTGACGAAGTGATATACGCCGTGCATTCACTGATGACCGACGTCTTTGGAAACTATGTTCTACAAAAGTTCTTTGAGCACGGAACCGCCGACCAGAAGCGCACCCTTGCCGACAAACTCAAGGGACACATCCTGCCATTGGCACTCCAGATGTATGGCTGCCGTGTCATCCAGAAAGCCATTGAATCCATCGAACTCGACCAGCAGATCATGTTGATCGAGGAGTTAAACGGTCATATCGTTCAGTGCGTCACCGACCAGAACGGTAACCACGTCATTCAAAAGTGTATCGAAAAGATACCAACCAACCTGATCCAGTTCATCATCGACAGCTTCAACGGACACATCTACGACCTCGCCACACACCCCTACGGTTGCCGTGTCATCCAGCGTATACTGGAGCACTGCAACGACAGCCAGGTCGCACCGATTCTCGAGGAACTGATGCGTTGTGCCGTCTCGCTCGTCCAAGACCAATACGGAAACTACGTGATCCAACACGTGCTCGAGCACGGAACGCCCGCCGACAAGACCGCCATCGTCCAGAAGCTCCAAGGTCAGATCTACCAGCTGAGTCAACACAAGTTCGCCAGTAACGTCATTGAGAAGTGCGTACAGTACGGTAACACCAACGAGAGAGCAATCATCATCAACGAAATATTGGGTGATCCAAGTGCTGGATCAAACGTAATGCTCAAGGTCCTGAAAGACCCATACGCAAACTATGTAATCCAAAAAATATTGGATATCGTCGATAACTCTCAGCGTGATTTAATTATCAACCGTATTCAACCGTATATTCAAACTCTCAAGAAAGTAACCTATGGAAAACATATAATATCGAGAATTGAGAAAATGGCAACACCAACCAATAATCAGAATATTTATAATTAATTAAAATATTAAATAATAATAATAATAATAATAATAGTAAAACAAAACAAAACATTATAATAATAGCATATGAACATTGTCACATTCACCAAAACAACATCTAATACACCACCACCACCATCATCACCATCACCAAAATACCAAATAGTAAAATAATAATAATAATATCTTTTTTTATACATATATTAATCATATATATACTATATTTTTTAATTTAAACTAATTAGTTTGGAGAGGAACAAACTGATTTTATACAAAATACAGATAGAAAGAAACAAAACAAAAAAAAAGAAAAGAAAAAAAAAAAAGAAAAAATAGTAAATCAACCAAAAAAAAAATATAAACTTAAATTAATTTCTTATATATAATAAACTATAGATACAAAAAATATATTTTAATTTATCATTGTCTTTATTTATTTTGATCAAAAATATTGCTACTTTTTGACAAAATCTTTTTTTAATAAAAATATTGCTACTTTTTTTAATAAAAATAATAAAATAAGTAAATTGTAAATTGGAAAGGTCACTAGAAACCAAAGGAAGTAGGAGATGTATACAAAAAAGATAGTAAACAACATCTATATTTAAAGTAACTAAATAAGTGTTACTGCGATGATATGTGGTTTCAGTATGCTCTTGTTAATGTTTTTTTTTAATCATCAACTTAAAGTTGGCAATGGTATAATAATGGAGGTGGTATGGCACATGCACCACTATCGATTCGAATGTATGATATAATTTAATACTTACAATTTATAGATATATTGTTTTTGATTGATATATTTTGAGATCCTCAAAAGTTTTATTTTTAAAATAACGAATATTGTTGATTATAAATCTCTAAAACATTTTTTAGATTTAAATTCTGATTAAAATTTGTGTAAAAACTAATGATTTTACCTTAAAAGGAAAAAAAAAAAATCAAATAAATGAAAAAAATGAAGGCACTGCATGTTTTTTTCCTATTTTGTCATGACTTTCAAATCAAAAACCTTTCGAAAAAAAAATTTAGCAAGCCCCTCATCACACAAAACCATGATTTTTTTTTGTTGAATCAAAGGCTCTCAATAATATATTTTTTTTTTTTTTACTCTTAAAATAAAACCCAACATTACTTATTCTTCTTCACACAAAACAGTTTTTGATACTAATCACCCCTCAACCAAGTAATCATTATCAACATCATCAACAACTACCTAGTAGCGTATCTTTGTCTTTGTATTTTGTTGAAACACCTATAAAAGTTTTGTTTTGTTTTTTTTTTTAATCCATGTGATTTTAAATCTTTAGCTCAAAAGTTATCCCTGTGCACAACTTTAGATCTCTCTAATCAACAACATTACAAATAGAGTGTGTTTTGGTTTTGATTATGCACCACATGTGTTAGTAAATCTTTCTTCACAAGTTCTTTTTTGTTTTGTTTTTTTTATTCTTCTTTCTCCTTTGAACACTTTGTGTGTGTCCTTAATCAACCAACCAATAACAAACACAACCAATTCAATTGAACGGTTCACTTTTAATTATATTCTATATCTATATCTATATCTACCTTCAAATTTTATATATCTGTATATTATATCTTTTGTTGAAACAACCCTTTAGACTAAAACAAGAAAGTAACAGATATAGTAGTAATAGTAGTAATAGTAGTAATAGATAGTAGTAATAGATAGTATTAATAATAGCAAAATAGTAATAGTATTATCATAGTAAAACAAACCCAATCAAAATCTTAGAATATTAGTCAATTAATTTAGTTTAATTAGAAGTAATCATCAACGTTTGAATTGTCAGACATCACCAAACAAAACAAATTCGTTAGATTTCACATCCTCTGTTCAATTCAATATTACAGAAATAGTTATTAGCATACATACATCATTCCATTCAATCTCTATTTATTTATTTAAACAAACAAAACAAAGGTAAAGTAGGTTATAATAAAAAAAGAATAAATAGTGTATAGATAGATAGTTATCATAATAAATCATCGTTCATCGTTGTTATTATTGTAAGAATCTGAACAAATTATTATTTTTCTACAATTGTAAAGTAGTCAATAGTCTTTATATTTATAAATCTGTCATTTATCTTGATAGTAAATTTGAAAATCTGCCATTCAATCTTGTTAATTAAATAAATGAATGTGATTCGTTGGTTGATCACCTCTCAGACCTCATTTTTGGTTTTTTTTATTGTTTTTTTTTTTTTTACAAAAAAAAACATCCAATCCCAAACCAATCAAAATCTATCAAAAAATTAATTAATCATAAATCATGTAAAATCTATTTTCAATTCTGTCAGTACCAATTATCAATTAATTAGCAATAATAATAATAATAGTAATAATGGTTATATAATAGTAGCGGAAATATAAACTTTATTTTGGACCAAAACCATCAATTTTTTATTTATAAATAAATTACAGCAGAGGTACAGCAAGTAGATATTAAATATAATCATCCAACTATATCGAATTAATAATAAAAATAATTAATAAGATTAATTAAAATAATATTTAAAACAAACATGTAATAGTAATAGAATTGACATGATTGTTATAACAATAAACAGACAATCTAATAAGCAAAATGATCTGTTTTATAAATATATGTTTGCATGCACTCGAGAATCGATGGGTAGATTCCCACCATTTTGTTATTATTGTTAAGAATCTGGATTGTTGGATATTTTATGGTTTGGAAATTTTAATTTATAAATAGATCAAAAAGGGAATACCAATTATTTAAGGTATAATTGTGGTGGTGATATATTTACAGTAACATTTCATATTGCAATTCCACAAAACAACAGCAACAAACAATCATAATTAAACAACTAACAACCAACCATTTAACAACATCACAATCTAAATCATAGAACACAAAATTTCAATAACCTTTTTGAAATTTATTATTAATTTAATTGCAATTGAAAACAAAGCACACTTTTATAGTTGTCAATATTGGAAACCAAACCCTAACTAATCAAATCAATCAAACAAATTTCAACCAACCAATTTTATTAAAAAAAAAAAATCAAAATCAAAATTCCACCCCTTATTTTTACTTTTATCTTTTTTATTTTTAATTTGTATGATGATGTGTGAGTTGTGTTGTTAAATCAATCATGTGTGTATCAAACAACAAACAGGTATTTCATCCTGTCTTAAAATTAAAATTTCAATCATCATCATAAATCAACAACCAACTTATTGATTTATGATGATGATGATGTTTTTGGTTATTTAAAAAAAAAAAACTTTTGGCGTGCTTAACCAAATTATTGTTAGATGGCTGGAATGAGGAAATATATAGTAGAGGTAGACCATTTCAAGGGGAGTGTGGTTGTATATCTATATTTATATAATCGTGGTGTGTGTGTTGGTTTTATTTAATGGCATGAAGAGTTTGAAATGAATGAATAAAGGAAAGAAGTAAGAGTGACAGAGTGTCTTTTCCTTCTTTTATATAAAAACAAACAAAAACAATATAATCCAAACCCCAACCACTCCAATCAAGCTCATTACCCAGGCAACCACCAATAAACAATCAAATTATATATATATATTGTCATTTATATATTTGATACATCAAACTACTACTGCTACTACTATAATTACCACTACCACCACTACCAATTATTATTTTTACATTTATAAATATAACAAAAAATCAAATTATCTCCATTTTTCCAAGCTTGATCAATTCAATTCATTCTATCCATCTAATATGGTTCTTCATGAATTTGTTATATTATTACTTAGTTGTTGTTATTGTTGTTACTGCTCCTAAAAAAAATAAATAAATAATAATAATCAAAATCAAAATCAATCAATCAATAAATTACCCACCATTTCCACTTCCTTGTTCTTTTATATGCTAGAATACAATAACAACAACCAACAACAACAAATAAACACACCTTATAATATCAATAAATAATTATCATATCACTCTGTTTTAATAAATACAACTCAATCACTCACCTACACTCACTCACAAGTCACTAAGTCACTAACTCACTCACTCAAAACACACCATACACACACATTTACTTACATAGATAAATTAGTAAACTAAATATATAGTTACTCAACAGTGCAACAAACAACAACATAGCAACTATAACAGTTAATTAACAACAACAACAATAACAAACAACAATAATAAAAAATAATATAATAACAATAATAAAAAAATAATAATAATAAAATAATTATTTATTCAATTTTGTCAAACTAACAACCTTTTTGTTATTTCCTTCTTTTTTTGGTTTTAGTTTTAAAATTTATTTATTTGTTATTTATTTTAATTAATATTTAATAAGTCAATCAATCAATCAATCAATCAAGTTATCAAGTTAACATTTATTTAAAAATCAAACTTTGTAGTGCTTGAAGCTTAATAGTTAAAAGCATCATAACAATAATAATAATAGATACTAATAGTAATAATAAATTAATTATTTATTTAGTTAGTTAGTTAGTTAGTTTCCAACAATCGATTTTCAGTTGGACATATTATATATTAATTGAATTCACTTGTTCAAATCAAATCAATTTCTTTGTCAAAACAAACAATCAACATAGCAAATACTCTTCAAACTTTAAAGTTATGTGGAATAGTTGGCAAATCTGGTGTGATAAAAATCATTCATCATCAAAACATTATTGTTGATTAGGATCAGTCTATAAGTTTAGAATCAAGAAATCTTCATACAGTCAACTCAATAGTTATTTTATTGTTGATATCAGTCATCAATATTAATACAACAACAACAATTTTACATCTAACTCATCTATTTTGTTTATGTACAGAAATTATCATTATTTTTTTTTGTAGCTAAACAAAACAAAAAAAGAAACAAAAAACCAAAAAGACAACATAGAGAGGTTTGTATTTTAATTTTAAATAATAATAATAATGATAAATTATTATTATAACATAAAGCTAACATACTTTTATTTATTAATAAATATTTTATAGTTGTTTTTTTTATTTATAAATTTTGTAATTTAAACATTACAAAAATATCCATTCGAAAAAATGTTTAGTAGTCATAATAATAACAATAATAATAATAATAATAATAGTAATAGTAACGATGTGGAAATGGTGGATCTGAGGAAAGATCCAAATGATGTGGTGGTTGGAGATTCAGATGGAACACCTCCATCTCCAGGACATTTAAGTTTTAGTATAAATAGTAATAATAATAATAATAGTAGAAATAATAATAATAATAGTAATAATAATAATAATGTACAATTATCGAATTCTTTAGGATATAATAATAATAATAATAGTAATAATAGTAATTTAGAAAGTTCACAAATAAAACGACGTTCCTCACAACCACCACCTCCACCACCACAATTACAATCTAACAATCATAATAGTGGCAATCTGCCATTAAGTCCGACTGCCGGTGCAACAATAGTGCCGGCCTCTCCACAGCTGACGCCAAACCTCACCAGTAAGTTGTGTCATCACAACGGGCTGTGTTGCGACGGTATGTCGCCTTGCAAAGGCACACTCCAAACACTGGGCCAGGACATAGCACGAAAGCGTCGTCCACATCGCGCCATCCGCATTCGCAGTAATCCACGCGAAGTCCCAACAAAAACGAATTGCGACCCGTTCAGTGAGTACTGTTCACTGCTGGGGATGGGACGACGCGCCTGGGCAATCATAGTCGGACTGTTTATCGTTGGAGCATCGATTTCCGTGCTGGCTGTGCTCGTCCTGCGATACGCAGAGAGCACGTCGATCTCCTCTGATTTCTCGAGGGTGGCGCGTGACCGCTTCACTATGCTGCGGGTCGAGTTTGCCAATCGGCTATACGTCACCCAGACACTGGCGCTACTGATGTCTGTGTATCCGGCGCCGTCGATCGACCAATTCCTACCGTTCTCCAATTTGTGGACGGTAAACTCTGAGGGTTTAGAGGGGATAATGTGGGCGCCGCTCGTAACGGATCGCGCGCAGTGGCAGGACATGTACAGCACTATCATCACCGACCACATCTTTGTGAATGGCACCCTGAAACGGGTGCCTTCAGAGCCAGCGGAAATGTACTTTCCCATATTGTATTCCGAGCCGGAATCGGCATTCGACAATCATCTAGGTTATAATATTATCAATGATACATGGCGGCGTGAAGCGTTGTATAAGGCGCGTGACACTGGCGAGCGAGTCGCTGTTACCAGTCCTTTTTTCGAGGACGATACAATGTCGTCGTCATCGACATCTGCTTCGGATTCATCGTACGATGCAACTCGAACACCTATTCTCCTCTATATCTATCAAGCTGTCTACAGAGTTGGAACTTTGTTCACAACGGTTGAGGATCGTCGTCGAGCATTGATTGGCTATGCTTCTTGTCGTTTCTTTATTAGCAAACTCGTCTCTGCATCACTAAATCGTCTGACTGAAGAAGATTCACTTAATCTCTATATTTTCGATCTCTCCGATAAAAAAGTCGGTGGAAAACTCATTTACTATCGTCCTTCTTATGCTCCTACCAATTTGGATACCAGTTACTCGACGAGCATCGATTCCGTACCAGAGTTGGAATCTAATGAAGCTACGCTCTATTACAATACAATGAATGTCGGTGGTCGTAATTGGATGATTGCTTTCACGCCGTCACAGGATTTCATCAACAAACACTACTCTTTCTATCCGTTTGCCATTGGTGTAGTCTGTCTGATTCTGGCGGGACTGGTTGCATTCTGGTTTGCCGTGAACACCAAACACAACATCAAACTATCGCTTACGAATGCCGATCTTCACAAGGAGATATTCAACAGAAAGCTGGCGGAACGTGCACTCGCTGAGAGTCAAGAGCGTTTGGAGTTGGCGATGGAGGGTAGTGAGGACGCTGTGTGGGATTGGAAGATGAATTCCGGTGAACTCCACATATCATCGCGATGGTTCCAGATATTGAAATCCAAGGAGAATCACTACCAGTCGCGTTCACTCTGTGAGGAACTGCGTTCACAAGATTCAACTACGCCCGGTGAAGTGTTTGGCGACGAACTGTTCAGTCCGATTCTCCTGGAGGAATCGATAGCATCGCCAAACACTCATCAACTGGCCGTTTGGAATATGAAACATTTGACACAGCTCATTCACCCCGAGGACAAAGAGCGATTCATCGCGGAGATTAAAAAGACAATCATCAGGGAGACCAGTATCTTTGAGATTGAATGTCGTATGCGAAAGAAAACCGGTGGATATCTCTATATTATTATGCGTGGTAAGGTTGTTAGTGAGTCGTTGACCAAGGATTCGCAGCTGCGTATGGCAGGAACACTACGTGATGTGACATCGCGTAAGGACATGCAGCGTTTGATTCTCGAGAAGGAAGCAGCGGAGGAAGCGAATAAAGCTAAATCTGCTTTTGTTGCGACGGTTTCTCATGAGGTGCGTACACCGCTGTCCGGTGTCATCGGTGTGTCCGACTTGCTGCTGGAGACAGTGTTGAACGAAGAACAAAGAGACTATGTACAAACCATTCAAAAGAGTTCACAAGCATTGCTAACCATTATCAATGATATTCTTGATTACTCCAAGTTGGAATCGAAACAGTTGAAGATGGAGACAATTCCATTCTCTATAATCGAGACTGGACAAGCTGTTATTTATATGTTGTCGGTGGCGACTAACGATGATGTCGACCTTTTGTTTAGAGTACCTCCGAATGTGCCCGATGTAGTTATCGGTGATGCAATGAGAGTTCGTCAAGTTCTGCTCAATCTCGTTTCGAATGCTATCAAATTCACTTCGCACGGTCATGTCCTATGTGATATCAGTGTCGTGGAATCGCTGAATCCGCTGCACTCGTCGCGCTCCGACAACACCATACATCTTTGTATCACTGTGGAGGACACCGGTATCGGTATACCGCAATCGTTGTTCGAAGCAATATTCGAACCGTTTTCACAGGCTGACAATTCCACCACAAGAAAATACGGTGGAACCGGTCTGGGACTGTCGATTACCAAGCGACTTATCGAAGAGGTCATGGGTGGAACCATTCATGTCAGTAGTACCGTCGGACTTGGAAGTACATTCAAATGTACAATTCCATTCAAAAAGTCGAATACCTCACCGAGCCAACTCAGTCTTGTCTCACCATCGTCACTGCCAAAGTCATTCTTTAGTCGCTCGCCAACCGGTGGACAAGAAACCTTTGGCATTGAGATACTCAACAAGAAACTCTGCCTGATTGCTTGCCGTGATAAAGTGAGTGAACGTGTATTGAGAGAACAACTCGAGTGGATGGGATTGGTTGTTAAATCATTCGATGAACATCTGAGTGCGCCCTCTGGCGACTGGGGTGCCAATCACATCGACTTGGTGCTCGTGGATTTGGAAATCTTCTCAGAGACCTACATGATCCCCAATGCTCCCTATGTCATTCTCGCACCAACGAAATTCAATCTCTCCAAACAGAGCAGTTACTTTAAGAATAACAAGCTGCGTCCAACGATTCCGCCCGGCTCCGAATGGATGCGTCGTCCTGCCCTCGCCGACAAACTCATTCCAATGCTTCTCAAAGTTGTCAAACCTATTCCTCCACTTCAATTGATTGCAGTTGAGCATCAACATCAACAACAGCAACATCAACATCAATCTCAGACTCAACATTACTCCACTCTTTCTGCACCGAGAATTGAAGAAGTTCCATCGGCACCAGTCACACCACTTCAGATCTCCGAAAACAGCAGCAACAACAACAATAACAATGCGGTTACACCAATATCGTCACCACAAATCAACAATGTTGCAAGCGGTGTTGTAGCTGGTGATTCCAGTCACAGTCCGAATAGCACTACCACCATGAGCACTCCTGCATCCTCCATTCCCAGCACTCCAACCATCGAGAGTTTGAAACCAACTGCACCCGCAGCGCCACAAACACCTGCGATAACCTCTGCTTCTGCAACGGCCACCACAGCACCAAGAAAATTGGCGCTACTCGTAGAAGACAACGAGTTGAATCGAAAGGTTATCACTCAGTTGCTAAAGAGACTCGGTTGGCAGACTGTAGTTGCTGAGAACGGTAAGGAAGCACTCAAAGAGATACTCTCGGAGCGATGCTTCCATATCGTTCTGATGGACTGTCAGATGCCAGTGTTGGACGGATTCCAAACCACTCGAATCATTCGTAGCAAAGAGAAAGAGAATGCATGGAAGCGTATGAACATCGTAGCACTCTCCGCTGGATCATCACAAACATTCGTTCAAGATTGTCTCGATTCCGGAATGGACGACTTTGTCAGTAAGCCAATCACACTTTCAGGTTTGAACGACGCACTTCAAAAATGGGGAGTTTACAACAATTGACAATAAAATAAAAATAAAACAATTTATGTAATCCAAATATTAAAACGATATTGATTCACAAATATATGAGTTAATAGAATAGATCTAATAATTGAATTATTTCAACACAATCCACAATCCACAAAAAATCAATATTCCTCTTGATACCATATCATTTTGTTTTAAGGATTTTAGATTTTTTTTTTAATTTTTTTGTAGAATATAGTTTGCATGATTAAAGATTTTTAAGTAAGATATCCCAAACCAGGATTAATATGAATTGTAAAAAAAATAAAAATATGATAAATTTTTTTTTTAATAAAACCATCATGTGAAATTCATCACACCCCCACAATCAAATTTCAAAAAAAAAAACCTTTTAATCCGCTCTAACAATCTTAATTTAATTTAATAATTTATTTTTTTCAATCAATTCTACACTGTTTGCAAACACACCCACCATACTTTTCTTTCTTTTTCTTATTCTTTTTCAAACATTTATTATTATTATTATTATTTCATTTTCCTATAATTATATATATTTATTAGTTTAATTTAGTTTATTTTAAATTATATATACTAATAATATAATTATCATGATTCATTCAGTTAGATCATCATTAAAACCAAACTATCTAGTCAATGGTATTGTATTATAAACACTTTTTATTTAAATCTATTTCTATATATACTTTTTTATTTCTGAAAATTTTCAATAAAATGTTAATTCAATTTCTATAATCTTTAGGTATTAGATACTTTGCTTCGAAATCATTACCATCAAGTCCATGTCCAGATTTCCCAGGTGAATATCGTGAGCCAATTGTAAAGACCACAATTCCAGGTCCACAATCAAAGGATCTCTATAAAAAGTTGAATAACTTACAAGATCCAAGAGCTACTCACTTCTTTGCTGATTATTCGTATGTAACAAACATCACATCTATACAGACTTAATAAGATTGCAATCACAAACTAATATTAACCAATCGATCAATCAATCTATTTATTTTTAGTAACTCACGTGGTAATTATATTTCTGATGTAGATGGTAATATTCTTCTTGATCTCTATTGTCAGATTGCATCAATTCCAATCGGTTACAACAATCCAGAGTTGATCAAGGCAGCCAAGTCGGACAAGTGGATCTCCACAATTATCAATCGTCCATCGCTCGGTGTGTTGCCACCAAAAGACTGGCCAGCACTCATTGAAAACTCATTCATGCAAGTGGCACCCAAGGGATTGAACAACATCTTCACAGCGATGTGCGGATCATGTGCCAACGAATGCGCCTACAAAGCGGTTTTTATGCACTACCAACACACTCAGCGTGGCGGTAAGCCATTCTCCGAGGAGGAGATCCACTCTTGCATGAACAACAAGGCACCAGGTTCACCGGAGCTCGCTATCCTCTCGTTCCGTGGTGGTTTCCATGGACGTACCTTTGGAACACTCTCAACCACCCGTTCCAAGGCAATCCACAAACTCGACATTCCCGCCTTCGATTGGCCAGCAGCGGAATTCCCCAAACTCAAATACCCACTCGAGCAAAACGCCGCTGCCAACCGTGCCGAGGAGGATCGTTGTCTCGCCGACGTCGAGCGTCTCATCAAGTCGTGGCACATCCCAGTGGCCGGTCTCATCGTTGAGCCAATCCAAGCGGAGGGAGGTGACAACTGGGCATCGCCATACTTCTTCCAGGGTCTACGTGACCTCACCAAGAAACACGATGTCTCAATGATCGTCGACGAAGTCCAAACCGGAATGGGAGCGACCGGTAAATTCTGGGCACACGAACACTGGAACTTGAGTTCGCCACCCGACATCGTGACATTCTCCAAGAAGATGCAAGCCGCCGGATTCTACCACAACATCGAATACCGTCCATCGGAGAGCTACCGTAATTTCAACACCTGGATGGGTGACCCCGTTCGTGCACTCGAGCTCGAAGTCGTCGTCGAGCAGATCAAGAAGAATCACCTACTTGAGAATGTAACCGTCACCGGTAACTACTTGAAGGCCGGTCTCCTTGAGTTCCAATCAAAGAATCCATCGCTCATCTCGAACGTGCGTGGTCTCGGTACATTCATTGCATTCGATCTTCCAACACCGGCACTTCGTGACCAATTGGTAAGCATCCTCAGAGCCAAAGGTGTTGAAACCGGTGGTTGCGGTGTCAACGCCATCCGTATGAGACCGATGCTCATCTGTAAGCCAGAGCACATCAACCAATTCTTTGAAAGATTCGGACCAGCTCTCAAAGAATTGAAACATTAATAAACTAAAACTAAAACAATCAAACAAATTGTACAATCATTAAAATCAAATCAAACTAAAACAGAACAACACACTTAAAAATTAAAGTTTAAATTAATATTAAAATTTTTGAGATTTTTAATAATTTAATATATTTTTTTATTTATGTGTAAATTATTGTTGAATTTTTTAAATTAAATTAAAATTACTTTGAAGTGTTGGTTGTTTTTTTTTTTTTTTTTTTCTTCTAATTATATTTTTAAATTTTTAATTTTATCAGTTACCTTTTTATTTTTTTTTGTTTGTTTTGTTTGTTTGTGTTCTTCATTCATTCAACAATCACAGATATCTACATTTTTTATTTATATAAATCTATCATATATATATCTTTTTTTTTTTTTTTTTATAAATCTCATATTATACTTTAATTAATCAATCAACCAATCAATCAATTAAAAGTAATAGTCTTTTTTTTTTTAATATTTTTTGTAAATTATTATAAATTATGTCAGTAACACCATCGACAGACTCAAAGAATAAATTAACATATCCAACAAAGAATGGAAAGGTTCTAGAGTTTGATATCTCTGAAGGTGCATGCAGTAAGTTTGGATTTTTCCATGGATCTAGAGTAACCACTCCAAAAGGTTCAGCTACAGGTAACTTATCAATGACAAAAAAGGTTATAATACTATATATATATATAGTTATCTAACAATTGTGACATTGATTGATTTTGTAAAAATATATAGTGATTGGTGTAAAAGATGATAATTTATGGTTTCATATAGATAGAGATTCAGGTGCCTCCTTCTGGGACAACGGAAAAGACTATGAAGCACTACTCTATCAACTAGGAGTACAGTTAGATGATAACGATTTCTCTACAATCACTGTTTGTATTTCACTAAATAGCTGTTATTGATTTACATGATGATTGTTGATTTACTTACCAAATAACACAAACACAGGATAAATCAGGTCAATACCGTGTAAAGAGAGTAACTTATATGAATAAACCTATCAGTATAGTATTGCAAAATGAAAATGGACCATGTCCATTGATTTCAATTGGCAATGTATTGCTATTACAACAAAAGATTTCAATAGATCAAGATATCAAGACAATCACTCTGAAGAAGCTTGGTGATAAAATTATAGGTTATGCGAGATTAATTTATCATGATGTAAGTCATTACAATATTATCACAACACTAAAGATATATTTATTCTAACTTGAGAATTTTGTCATAAATTTCTATATTTTTAGAATCCTGATATATTACCAATTATCGATGATTATGATAAGAATGTTTTACCAAGTCTAGAAACTGGATTGATTGTAAATATAAAGTTTGACAATATTTGTGGATTTGATAAGACAGAGCCTTGTCAGATATTTGATTATTTAAAGATTAAATTAGTACATGGATGGATTTATCCAGAGGAAGCCGAGGGACATGTTTTTGTTTCCGATTTAACATATAACGATTTAGCTGCTAAAATGACTTCTTTTGGTCAATCTTTTCCAGATATCACTTCAAGTACAGAAGAGCAAAGTAATTATCAATAATATATCTGTTTCATATTGATTCTCAGAAGGAGATACTAATGTAATTTATTTAAACAATTTTTAGTTAGAGACTTCTTTGCATGTAATCAATTGACAATTAAAGGATTGGAGTTAATTAAAGAGAATCTTGAGGAAGATGAATTGTGTGTATTTTTTAGAAATAATCATTTTGCAACGATGACCAAGCATGCTGGTGATTTACATATTTTGGTTTCGGATGTTGGATACGAGTCAGAGAGTGCCGTAGTTTGGGATAAGATCATTGGCATTGGTGGTGAGAATCTTTTCCTCTCTGGTGAGTTCAAGACCAGAAGAGAGAATCAAGTCGAAATTGCCAGACTCGATCTTTTGGCTATCGGTTACAACGATGAACAGGTCGGTCAAGCCATTGACCATGTCAACCAATCAAAGCTTACAGACTCTAGTGAACCATTCAGTATCGCAATCGAATACCTTAACAGCAAAGGTTACACACCTGGATAATATTAACATTCCAAGAAACTGAACAGCAGAAAAGAAAAAAAAAAAAAAAAAAAGAAATCTACAAAGAGAGAAAAAAAAAAGAAAAAAAAAGAAACAAAAAAAAGTTTATATTATATTATAATAATTCACCAAAAGATACCCTTTAAGCATCTAAACAACTACATCATCATCATCACAATCAAACAAACTCTTACAATAAATAAATATTCTTTTTTTTTTACTTATTATTATAATCAATTTTTTTTGTTTTATTTTGATTTGATTTAATTTAATGCTCCAAGTTTGACAGATAATCTACTATTTGTTTTCTTGATGGCTCTTGATTTCTTGATCATCACTGCAGCAACCACGGTTCCTGCAATAGCGACTGCTCCACCTACAACAATTAAAGAAATCCACCATAGGGATTTCTTCTTTGAGCAACCGGAATCATTGTTCTTTGGGTTGATGAGAACTGAGAAATTTGGATCGATTGCGACAAACTGTGAGAAACTTGGAACGGTCAAACCAACAGCAATGATCTTGGTTGCATTTGAATTGGTAAAGAATGAGTCTTGGAAGATCGTGTCTCCCTTTTGCAAGAGTTTGGTGTTGGTTGTGGTAACTTTCTTGTCTACAATGATTCTCTTTGAGAATTTAGTAACAAAGATCTTGTCATTCAATTCGATTTCAATGTAACGTAGGTCATCAGTGTCATCATTGGTAGCTGTGGTGGTGTCGACATTTCCATTGCAGTTTTCTGAGGTTGATGGTGCGCTCAATGAGTAAATCAGCTGCAAAGAATTGAGTGGCGAAGTGAAATTCCAACCGGAACAGTTGACCTCATATTTAAGTGTGTTGGCACCCATATCGATACGTTCACCAGCGAAATAAATGGTGGTGGCATCCTTGTAAAGAGTTGACTTGACAGTGATGGTGATATTGGTTTCTGGGAAGATTCCGAGTGAGAAGATTTCATTTGCATTGGCATCGCTGACAGTTGAGTTCTTCCATGAGATCTTGCTTAATGGATACATAAGCACGGTATTTCCTTCTTGATCCAACTCTCTGACGTGACTGAAGAATACAGAGAGATTCGATGAGAAATTTGCATTGTCTGGGTCGACTGTTCCTGGTGATGTTCCATTGTTATTGTTTGTCTTTTTCTCACATTGAATACCGATGTATCCAGTTGGACAGGTGCATATTCCTTCGACACATTCACCACCATTAAGACATGCTGGATTACAAACTGGTTGTTGATCATAGTAGAAATAATCTCCGGAATCAGTCAAACCATCGCAATCTATTTGGACATTCAAACCATAGTTCTTGACCAAAGGAATTGATCCATTGAATTCACAGGTGTATTGTGTACTACTGATAAATGTTGGACCAGTACATACTGAACCAGCAATATTAATGGCAGCCAATGGTTTTGGAATGAAATTGGTACCCTTGACTGTAACGATACCAGTTGATGGATAATAGAATTTTCCATTGGTAATGACCTGCTGTATGACTGGGGAAATTGCAGAGTAGGCGAATGGTTGAGAGATAAATGATCTTTGGCTATTTGGAGTCAAGGTAACATTGATAGTATTGTTGGTACCGTGTGATCCTGATGGAACTCTACAGATAACTCTTGTATTGCTAGAGGATTGAGCTTGACACGCACCAACAGATGACATGACTACCATTGGGATCTGAGGAGTGTTTGCCATGTTATTTAAGAAATAACCTCTAATTGTAATGAGACCACCATCAACAGGTGCATTAGAAATACTATTCAACATTGGTGTTAAATAGATTGTCACTGTATTTGAGTTGATAGATGGAGTATTTAAATAGATAAAGATCGATGATTGTGATTGCAACAATCCTCTCGCGTCTTTAAGATCATTCAAATCACATTGAATTTCAGTGTGATCGACTGTGACAACACATTTCAAAATGTTATTTGAGATACTTAAGTAGACTGTATTGTTAACACTGTTGGTTCCGAAACTTTCACCTTTAACTGTGAGAATATTGGATGATTGTGAATAGTCAGTGATAACTGGATTGGAATAACCTGTTGAAAAGATATTCGACTCCTTTCCAATTACTGTAATGGAGATGTTAAAGCTGTTGATATAATCTGGTCCAACATATATAGAGATGGTTGACTGATCTACAAAAATAGTTGTATTGACTATTTCATTTATCAAGGCATAGTATTGATTTGTGTTACCAGTTAGAATGTCATTTACAAAGTCTGCTGTGATGGTGATATTTCCTCCACTGGTTGGAACATTTGTGGCTGACTTGATAATCGGTGTCAAATAAAAGAATTTGGAATCTTTATTTCCACCATAGCCAGTTACACTAACCAATGAGTTGTTCACTGATAGTGGCAAGTCACACTCGATCAATGTTTGAACACTTGTCAACTCACAGTCGAGTGAAATTTGACCAAAGCTAACCTCTGGGGTGAGATCATTATTTCCAAAAGTATGACCATTAATTACCAATTTGTATTTGTTTTGGAGAATTGTTGAAATGACTGGAGAAGAGTATTGATAAGCGATAGTATTTAAACTTTCCTTATCGTTAATTTCAATCGAGATAATTGGAGCGTTATCTAAAATTTCGGCTGGCGATGGAACATTGATTTCACAAACAATTGTATCGGTTCCAGTTACTGGTTTTAAGGAGATGAAAACGACATTTCCAATGGTTCCAGCATAGGTATTTGATGAGACATTTCTGAAATACCATCCAGTCAGAGTAATGGATTGTGCATTTGAGGGAGCAGGCTTCATTGAATCGATAATTGGTGACAAATTGATGTTCATAGAGTTGGTCTTTTGTCCTAGAACATCAACGATGATATTACCAGAGGATGCATTTTGTGGTACTGAGCAATCCAAAGTGGTGTCAACTTCAACAATGGTGCAGTCGAGTGGAACACTATTCAATTGAATATCGAGGTCGTTGATATTGCTACCCAAATTCATACCTTGGATAGTGATGTTCTTGAGTGATTGGGTGACACTTGAAATACTTGGTTTACCATATGAGAAAGAAGCAGTTCCAACACTTACGACTCCATCAATGGTTACTGAGACAAGGTAGTTTGATCCAGTTCCAGCACCCAAGTTACATGTTAGTCCAGTATTATCACCAATATCAGAGATATATGCGCATGACATTGATCCAATAGCAATGGTGATAGTGGTGTTGCTAAGATCAGCTCTGTAGGAATTCAAATATGCACCAAACACAGAGACAACACCACCTGAAGTTGGTACACTGGTTACAGAGTCGACAAGAGGAGTCAACTTGTAGTTTTGATCTTGTGTTTTGGCAGAGTGGGAGGTTACACTGAGATTACCATTCTTTAGAGTAGAGGAAACTCTCTGGATAATTTGGGTTTCAGTAATTTCTGCACCAGTGTGAACTTCTTTTGTGTTGATGGTAATAAATGAATCGATATCAAAATTGGCACCAGAAATTGTGAGAAAAGTTGTTCCACTGTGAGAAATGCTGGTTACAGTTGGTAGGAAAGAGAAGATTAAAGATGTTGAAATTTGTCCTTTGGTTGTTGTGATTGTTGTTGTCTTGTTGATTCCGGAGCCGGTCAATGGGAAACTGATGGTATTAAGATCAACCTTGGTAATGCTTGCCAACCCAATGGTTTGAGATCCAATGTTGACACTATTTACTTCTTGAACGAAATAACCATTGATGATTACAATACCACCTGAAGCAATGCTATTGATGGATGTCAAGATTGGTTTCAAGTTCAAATTAGAAGTACCAGAAGTACCATAATTGCTAACGGTTACTAGACCACTTTGGGAAGATGAATCCAATAAGCAATTCAACTCGAATTGAACGGTTGAGATGGTACATGAAAGTGTTTGGATTCCAAGAGTCACTGTTGGGGAAGTTACACTTGTACCCAAGTTATTACCGCCAATAACAATGCTGTATGAGTTGTTTTGAGTAACCGATGAAATAGTTGGATTGGAATATTGATATGGAATTGAATTACTATCGATATCAGCAATGGTAATGGTGACCAATGGTGTGGTGTCGACAGTTGAGGCATCGGAAGGGCTTGGTAATTTACATTCGATGGTATCGGTATTTTGAATATTGGTGACTTGTGTACATACAGTGGTTCCAACTGTTCCCTTGTAGGTAGATCCAATGGTATCTCTAAAGTAGTTTCCAGAGACTGTGATTGCAGAGGCATTGGAGAGAGCGGGTGTCATTGAAAGAATTTGTGGAGTGAGGTAGGTCGTGTAAGAATTGGATGCTTGACCACCGGCTGATAGAATACAATCTCCAGAGGTTGAACTTGGAATGATTTGACAAGTCACCAATGTATCACTTCCTTGACTGCAAGTCAAAGTTTTACCGGCCAATGTTACAACCACTCTTGCGAGTGGACCAAAGTTTGTACCTTGAATTTCAATGGTTGCTCCTTTTTGAGTGACAGTTGAAATATATGGAGCAACAAATGAAAAGTTAATACCAGTAGCAGTTACTTTACTAAGAGAAACAGTGATTGGTAAATCTTTTCCTGAACCTGGTGGAACAAGACATTGGAGTGTTGAATAGTCAGAGTTGGTATTCTGTGGGGCGGAACATGTAAATGGTCCAACTGTTATCTGGCTATTAACTGGATTATTATTGTTATCGGTAATACTCAAAAACTTTCCAGTTAATACGATGTTTCCTCCGGTAGTTGGAAGAGTTGTTGGTGCTACTGAGCTAATAACAGGTGTTGGGTTGAATTGAATGGATGCTTGTTCCTTTCCTGCGGTTGGACTGGTGGTAACGATGAGACCAGCTCTAATATTGTTGGGAATAGGTGCGGATATTTGAGAGATACTGATCCAAGTGGCGGTGATGTTTGCCGCTGCTCCTGGAAGTGCTACTAGTGTGGAAACCCAAAATCCACCACCGTTCAAAATGACTGTGTTATCACCAGTGTGAACAAACGATGTAATGGTTGGAAGATGATAGTATGGATAGGTATTTGAATTGGAACCTTGGGTGGCAATTATTATATTATGGTTGGTACCTCCACCAGCAGGAATTGTTATCTGAACAGCGGTTGAATTGATTTGGGTTTTTGTAATTGGCGAATTGTCGAAAAATACATTGATAATCTTATTGAAATAGGCACCTTGAGCAATGACAACACCTCCGCTGATATTTACAGGTGGTACATAAATGATGTATGGGTTCATCATAAATGAATAGGTAGCAGAATCAATGCCATTTGAGCTAAGAATAAAGTTAGCGCCAGCAGAAATTTCATATGGCATATTGAAAGATATGGTTGTATAGCTGACCACTTTAATGTTATATGCCTTGTAGGTTGAGAAACTGATAGACAAAGCGCTAGCATCTTGTGCAAAATTGGTTGCTGTCATTGTGAATAACAAACCATTTTGGGAAAGTCCAGTAATGGCAGGTGCAGTGTAGCTACCGGTGATAGTATTGGAAACTTGACCTCCAACGGTGACAGTGATTGTGTAATTACCATAACCAGCTCTCAAATCGATATTATACATATCGTGTGGTGTATATACAGCTTTGTTGGCTTGATAGGTTTGACCGTTGTTGGTGACGGTAGCTACCATTGTTGTGACGGTGGCACCCAGGTTTGCTCCTTTAATTTGAACTGTCATTCCTGCAATGAAGGCATTTGGTGTGACAGAGGTGATGGTTGGCGCGATATAACCAATTAGAATTTGATTGTTTGAAACTAGCGAATCTGCCACTACTTTGAATGCCGCTGGTGCACCAGTACCAGGAGGTAGAGTTGCGGTAATAGTTTGATTGTCTAGTGGTCTAAAGTTTGGAACGAGAGAAGTAGCAGCTCCCAATGACCATTGAGAAGTATATTCACTGCTAGTCAATCTGAGTCCATTGAAACCAAATTTAACTTGACCACCCTTGGTTGGAATTCTAAAGACTAGTGATGGGTCAACGAAAGATGGCACGGTATTGGTGAGAGTGTAAGCATAGTAATATCTACAACTTCCGATGGTTGCGTAACCAGGTGATGCGGTTGGTGCATAGAAAGTGTTGTTCGAAGGTTGGAATGCAATTGCAATGGCTTTGTTGGCATTGGCGACGGTTGGATCGACAGTACAGGCAGGACCACCTCCTGGCAATGTACAAGTGGTTCCAGTGATAACAGTGGTGCCAACATTAGGACCTTGTTGAATAGTAAAAACATTATTATTGAAATTATAGAGGAAACAGACCATCTGAGGTAGAGCACTGGCAAGCTGAGTAATGAATTGACGATCGCTAAGAGTGTACGGTGAGTAAGTGTATGCCGGTTTACCTTCTAGCCAGAGTGTTGGACGTACCGATGTATATTCATTACCAGAGAATGAAAACAAGGTACTGGTTTGTTTGTTATAGAATGGTGTTCTGGTCTGATTGAGCAATCTGACTCCATTGACGTTAACAGATACGTAATCTAGACCGTAGTTTGAAGTATCTGGAATAGTAGAGAAAATATCGGCGGACAACGCACAGACGAACGATCTGAAATATGTAAGAATACGAACAGAACCACAAGCAATGTTTTTAGTGGAAACGGTTACTTGAATATCTGCAGCATTATCTGAAAAACCTTCACCATTAATAGTGATAATTTCATTTTTTCTCAAATTAGGTGATGGAATAACACTAGATACATATGGTACTGAAATAAATAAATATTAGATAAAATTGTTGAAGATTTAGATATTATTAGATAATATACATACAATTTGGATGAACTTTTGCTAATACAATTGAATTGGTACCATCTGAAATAGTGATATTGTATTCACCAGTCATATAGTATGGTTGTTTGTTACATGTTACAGTGGTTGTATTATAAGAAATGATTGGACAGGTAAAATCGGTTTTACCATTCAAACTCTTTACATTGATAGTTAAAGTGCTAGTCGAATATGATTGAAGATTAATAAAAACTATAGTTTCAGCATCACCATCTGGTTGAAGCATAACAGGATCTAAAATAAAAAATAAATTAATAAAATGATCATTGAAAAATCAAAATTGATTCAACTTTTACTCACCATTTTCCCCACCTGTCTCAAGAATATATCCTTGAATTGCGCTCCAATTTTCGATGAGATCGTTCATCATGTTTTGTGACCACAAGTGGAGATATCTTTCATTGTTTGAGATATCCGGTTGATACGGTAGCCATGAGCAATACGAAAAGCATTTGTTGATGGTTCTGTCAAACATTGTCATTCCTGCCTCTGGACCGGTTGCCCACTTGAAGATGGCACCCTCTGCCGAGTCTGAATTGTTGGAGTTTGCACCCAGCCAAACAAAGATCGGTATATTCTTCAACACCTGATCTCTAACGAAATAGTATTCGTTCTGTGAAGTTAGGGTGGCAAGATATCCACCTCTTCGCTCTGCATCGAGTTTTGCATTGTTCCACGACATCGTGGTATTTATATACTCGTAGGTGTGACCATTCCAAGGATTTCTAACGGATTGAGCACTTGAAATAGTTACTAATAATGAAATAGTAGATAATAATAGTAATATATAAATATTTAGTTTCATCTTACAAATATAAGATACATGTATGTTACAAAATAATAATAATAAAAATGAATAGTAGATTTTTTACAAAAAAACATTAAGTAAAGTTAGTAACCACAACAGAACCTAAGATATGTTTTTGTTTCAGATGAGATTTGTGAGAAAATGAACCATAAAATCTAAAAGGAATAATACATGATATTTCTTTTCTAATCTAGATTAGATCATTGAATTATATATGTGGACGGGTTTTTTTTTTTTCGTAAAATCATGAAAAAAAAATAATGGCACTTTGCTAAAACCTGGGTGGTTTTTTTTTGACACCTGATTCCCATTGCAAGTCAGTTGAAAGAAAATATCTTTTCTAAAAATCTTAAAACTAATATCATTTTACGAGTTGGTTTCCACATTGTTAAATACACAAAGTTTTATAAATGTCATCATTTTTGGATTTTTTTGAACAAACCAAAATAGATTCTTTTACTTTATCGAGTTTTTGAGATTTATAAAATAATAAATAATTGCAAAAAAGAAAACTAATTTATTTGTTATCTTTTTTTTTTTTTTTTTTTAGTTAATTCTTTTAAAAAAACTATTGGGGTGAACAAGAGATTAGATAATAGCAATTGTTTGGATACTCCTCCAGAGGTATTGTTTGGTAGGGAGTTGGTTTTGATCGCAGAGATTAGACGAATATATCAGATATATTATGAACAAGTGTAGCATAATATTGTTCTATTCCAATTTTGCTAATTGGAGAGACTTCCTGAAGTCTGTTTGTTTTCCAACATAGTTGGCAATGTTGACTGTTGAATGCCACTGAAACGAAAACTTGGTGAGCCATATATTTCGATCTAAAAAGCCAGTGGATCGGGTGTATGTATCATGTGAGGGATCGTTAGGTATCCTTAATTCACCAACCCCTGTTTTCTTTTGTCTTTGCAATTGCTTCTTGCTGGTCTCTTGATGTTGAAAATGTGTCTTGGAATACCTCGAACTATCACGATTGCAAAGTTGCTTGATCTCTTCTTCCCTCCTGGTCGGAATAAAGAATCGATAAGTTGGTTGACCTGATTATCGTTGTGAAATGATAGCTAAAATATGAATTGCTGGGAAAATACACCGCATTAAGATGCTTCTTCTTTAACTTCATAAGGATATAGTGACAAATATTGTTTTCCGATTCCAGATGTGCCGGCACAAAGATGAGCTCTTTGAAGAGGTAGACTGAGGGAGTTTAAAGAGTTCCACAAGTCAATGTAACATTTTCTTACATAGAGATCTTCTCGAATCGTACTAAAGATAAATCTTCAATTTCTCTCCTTCAGAATAAACATTATATTTAATGGGTTAGATATTTAACAGCTCTATATGTTAAAAGTTAATTAAAGCTAGTGAGAAAAACGAAATAAAATTAACATATCGAACCACAGCTGTTCACCCATTTTTTTTTTTGCATAAAAAAAAAAAGTTTGTGGAGACTGCAGAACACTATTTTCGCTATTTTTGGTCAGGTGTGGGTTTATTAAGAAAAGATGGAATGGATGTTGTTTGGTCAAAGTAGATCCATTAGTAATATCGTAAATGTTCGTCTACTTTCACACTTGATTGAATCACTTATCTTTGCTTGAAAAAATCATAAATCATATGAATCCTATGATTATTATAATAGATGATTATATTATATTATTGTGTTTTATTAAAACACTAAAATTTTATTTATTTGTGGTTATCATTCCAAATTCTAGTTTTTTTTTTTTACAGCAAATCTATCAGTTGATGTTAATTAATTTGGTGATCTTCAATCAATTTAATTGAAAACTGACCATTTACGAAGTGGTTTTTTTTTTTTTTTTTTTTTTTTTTTTGTAATTTGGCCAATTTAGTTGGTTAAAATTTGGGGTGAGAAAGGAATGAACGAGAGTGTGGTCTGTTAACACTTTAAAGTTGAGTGAAGGATAAAATCAATGTTTTAATTTGATTTTAAATTAATTAAATAATGAATTTTTTTAAATTCATTTTAAACTCTTGGATACTTCAAACAAATTGAACTTTCTATTTTTTTTTTTCTTCTTCAAATTCATATATTCAATTGTAACCTTTCAAGCAAATAATAATGTCCTTTGTTTTACCAGAATTACCATACCCAAAAGATGGTCTTGCCCCTCACATCTCAGAGGAGACTCTTGACTTTCATTATGGTAAATATGAATATTAAATTGTTTAATCATTTATTTCCTTTTTGCATCATATTAACAATGTTATTTCATTTTAATAACCAAACAAATAGGTGCGCATCACAAGACTTATGTGACAAATCTAAATAACTTGGTAAAGGGAACTGAGAATGAGCATAAAACAATCGAAGAAATTATTAAAACAACAACTGGTCCAGTTTTTAATAATGCTGCCCAATGTTGGAACCACACTTTCTATTGGCATAGTTTATCACCAAATGGTGGTGGAGATGCAGACGGTGCCTTAAGAGATGCTATCATTAAGAATTGGGGTTCTTTTGAGTCCTTCAAAGCAGAGTTTTCAAAGGCTGCAACCGGTCAATTCGGTTCGGGATGGGCTTGGTTAGTTTTGAAAAAAGATGGTACCTTGGCTATTACTACAACTTCAAACGCTGCCACTCCAATCACAACTGACGATAAACCATTGTTGACATGTGACGTTTGGGAGCATGCCTACTACATTGACTATCGTAATGCCAGAGCAAAGTACATTGACGCATTCTGGGAAGTTGTAAACTGGAAATTTGCCAATGAAAATCTAGCCAAATAATCTTAGATGGTAGACCTACGATGCCCTACTATTCTTTTATTTAATAATAAATAAAGCATTGGGTTTTCATCTATTTCTTAACAAAAATTTTGTTCTTAATAGATTTTATTTGTTTGATTTTCAGAATGAATAGTAAAAGTTACTGATAACCACCCTATATATAGATATTTGTATTATTGAAGTCAAACTAATTTGAAATGGTCATTCCAATTCTTGAAATAAAAGAAATAGGGTGATGGATAGCAATATACTGAGAAGTTCCAAAATAAATGGACATGTTCTAGATAGTTTTGTTGATGTATTTCGAATTATTCATATAAAACAAACTACTTCCCTTTAAACTTAACGGAAATGACTAATCACAGAAAAACAAACATGAAAATAAATATAAACAATTGGACGATAATTTAAAATAAAAAAAAAAAAGAAATTGTTTTTATTTGTAAAATAAATTATAATTATGATTATTAATATTAATATTATTATTATTATTATTGTTGTTATTGTAATTTAATCTTTTCGTATCTTTGGATTTACAATTAAAATATTGTTTATATTTCCATGCTCATCGGTGACAACTGGTTTGCTAATTGGAAGAGACTTCCTGGAGTCTGTTTGTTTTCCAACATAGTTGGTAATGTGACTGTTGAATGCCACTGAAACGAAAACTTGGTGAGCCATATATTTCGATCCAAAAAGCCAGTGAATCGGGTGTATGTATCATGTGAGGGATCGTTAGGTATCCTTAATTCACCAACCCCTGTCTTTCTTTTGTCTTTGCAATTGCTTCTTGCTGGTCTCTTGATGGTGAAAATGTGTCTTGGAATACCTCCAACTATCACGATTGCAAAGTTGCTTGATCTCTTCTTCCCTCCTGGTCGGAATAAAGAATCGATAAGTTGGTTGACCTGATTATCGTTGTGAAATGATAGCTAAAATATGAATTGCTGGGAAAATACACCGCATTAAGATGCTTCTTCTTTAACTTCATAAGGATATAGTGACAAATATTGTTTTCCGATTCCAGATGTGCCGGCACAAAGATGAGCTCTTTGAAGAGGTAGACTGAGGGAGTTTAAAGAGTTCCACAAGTCAATGTAACATTTTCTTACATAGAGATCTTCTCGAATCGTACTAAAGATAAATCTTCAATTTCTCTCCTTCAGAATAAACATTATATTTAATGGGTTAGATATTTAACAGCTCTCAATAATATTATAGTGGAAGAAAAGATGGAATGGAAGTTGTTTGGTCAAAGTAGATCCATTAGTAATATCGTAAAAGTTCGTCTACTTACTTTTTTTTTTTTTTTTAGGTCCATTGCACAAAGGAGGTGTTTTTTATCACCTCTGCAAGAGTTGGTGTCAATGTATTTATTGCCCCATGGGCTCTTAGGACATCAGTTTTTTTTTTTATATACGTTCCGGTAGCGGGGAAACTTAGTCATTACCAAGCCTCGAACCAGGGTCGAAGTAATGAAGGCCCACGAATGAACCATTTCACTAACTACGTCCTTCGACTTTCACACTTGGTTGAATCGCTTCTAAATTCTGTCGTGCATCTATCTATCTATATTTATTTGTATTAGGAGTCTAAAGTTGGTGGTTATTTAAATACTTTGCACTCTTTTATTTTTTTATTTTTTTTTGTAATTTGGCCAATTTAGTTGGTTAAAATTTGGGGTGAGAAAGGAATGAATGAGAGTGTTAAATTTAACACTTTAAAGTTGAGTGAAGGATAAAATCAATGTTTTAATTTGATTTTAAATTAATTAAATAATGAATTTTTTTTAATTCATTTTAAACTCTGGATACTTCAAACATATTTTACTTTTTATTTTATTTTTTTCTTCTTCAAATTCATATATTCAATTGTAACCTTTCAAGCAAATATTAATGTCCTTTGTTTTACCAGAATTACCATACATAAAAAATGGTCTTGAACCTCACATCTCAGACGAGACTGTTAACTTTCATTATGGTAAATATGAATATTAAATTGTTTAATCATTTATTTCCTTTTTGCATCATATTAACAATGTTATTTCATTTTAATAACCAAACAAATAGGTGCGCATCACAAGACTTATGTGACAAATCTAAATAACTTGGTAAAGGGAACTGAGAATGAGCATAAAACAATCGAAGAAATTATTAAAACAACGACTGGTCCAGTTTTTAATAATGCTGCCCAATGTTGGAACCACACTTTCTATTGGCATAGTTTATCACCAAATGGTGGTGGAGACCCAGACGGTGCCATAAGAGATGCTATCAATAAGAATTGGGGTTCTGTAGTGTCCTTCAAAGAAGAGTTTTCACAGGCTGCAACCGGTCAATTCGGTTCGGGATGGGCTTGGTTAGTTTTGAAAAAAGATGGTACCTTGGCTATTACTACAACTTCAAACGCTGCCACTCCAATCACAACTGACGATAAACCATTGTTGACATGTGACGTTTGGGAGCATGCCTACTACATTGACTATCGTAATGCCAGAAGAAAGTACATTGAGGCATTCTGGAATGTTGTAAACTGGAAATTTGCCAATGAAAATCTAGCCAAATCTTCTTAGATGGTAGACCTACGATGCCCTACTATTCTTTTATTTAATAATAAATAAAGCATTGGGTTTTCATCTATTTCTTAACAAAAATTTTGTTCTTAATAGATTTTATTTGTTTGATTTTCAGAATGAATAGTAAAAGTTACTGATAACCACCCTATATATAGATATTTGTATTATTGAAGTCAAACTAATTTGAAATGGTCATTCCAATTCTTGAAATAAAAGAAATAGGGTGATAGATAGCAATATACTGAGAAGTTCCAAAATGAATGGACATGTTCTAGATAGTTTTGTTGATGTATATCGAATTATTTATATAAAACAAACTACATCCCTTTAAACTTAACGGAAATGACTAATCACTGGAAAACAAACATAGAAAATAAATATAAACAATTGCATGATAATTTATAATAAAAAAAAAAAAGAAATTGTTTTTATTTGTAATATAAATTATAATTATGATTATTATTAATATTAATATTATTTTTATTATTATTGTTGTTGTTATTGTAATTTAATCTTTTCGTATCTTTGGATTTACAATTAAAATATTGTTGATATTTCCATGCTCATCGGTGACAACTGGTTTTTGAGGATCATATTCCCAATTTCCATCAACAATGAACTTGTATTCATACCTGCCAGGAGCGAGATGGAGTAGAGTCGATAATATACTATCACCGACGTTTACACCACTGCTCTCCGCTCGCTTCTCTTCAATTCCCAACAAACTGCGTTGAGGAGAGGTATTAATCGACAGCTGATCTGTAAGCGAAACTCTTTGGTCCCACATGAAAAATGATCCTGTCAATTGAATAACATGTCCACTATATGGCCATGTAAAAGAAACCGGTACTGTATCTTCATCAAATTTCTTTGAGTTTACCAGTTCCTAAAGGATAACAACAATAATAAGTAATTAGTAAAAAAGTAATAATAAACAACATAAAAATAAACAAAAAAAAAAACTTACATTGTTGTTGTCATTGGTTAAATCCTTTTCTTCTGTTCTCTTTTCTTCACCTGATTGTGTGTTCTGATTTTGGTGTTTATTGGATGGTTGTTCTTCAACATTGCTACATATCTTTAGAGACGAAAAGAATGTTAGTAAACAAACCATTAACATTGCATTTAAACATGGAATTACGAAAAGTTATAATAATATTTACATTTGAATTTTTATAAGTTAATAACTTCTTCTTGAGTGAGAGTTCTACCATCGAAGTAATAACCGCCAGTGGCATCTCTTTGAGTTCAGATGGACCAGATTCCTTTAAGAACAATGCAAAACCGTATCTTCCATTCTATTTATTTATTGTTGTTGTTGTTTGGTGATGGTAAATATAAAAATAAGAAATAAGTTATCAATTAAATAATAATAACATTGATTAAATTTTACTTACTTTAGAAACTGGATGAACAGATTTCAAAAAGTCCTCAAATACCTTCCATGTATGTTGTGAAAAGTAGTCTGGATTTGGGTTGGATGGATCGATACCTTCGTAACGACCGGTTGGCGGGTAGATAAGTCGATTCGGTTTCTCACCCTCAATGATAAGTGAGTGTGAAACAGCCAGAGGAAGTAGTATTACATCAAAGTTATAGCAAGGTAACTCTAATGTTTTCATTCTTTTCAGTATTTGTGACTCGGTCGGTCTAAAATAGTCGGTCTTTAGACTATCGAGAGTTTGCAACAGATGTAAATAAATCTTTTGGAAATTCTTTGATAGATCAATAGAGGATCTATTCTCATAACTATACTTTGGATATGCCCAACTATAATAATAATAATAATAATAAAAAGATAATTAATTAGTTACTTTCTTTTTTAAAACAATAATAATAAATAAAATATTATTTATACTTACTATATTTGTCTAATTTGTTTGATTGAGATTAATCCAAGAGCCTGTGCATCGTAGAGGTAGTTATTGAGTTTGGTATAACCGAGTTTGAGGAATTGCATTTTAATTCCAATCTCTGAGAATACCAGTCTTTTGTTATCACTCTTTTCCAAGAGTTCAATGAGTGGAATGAATCGAGTGATGACTGTGTTGAGATGTGGACATTTGATGAAAGTAACCGATTGGTATGGATCTTTTGGTGGTACTTTCTCAACAACAGCTTGTGTCTTTGATTTCAACTGTTGTTGTTGCTGCTGGTATTGTTGTTGCTGCTGTTGTTGTTGTTGAATTTGTTGAGCTTGTTGTTGAATCGATTGTTGTTGATAGTTCTCAATTAGACTGTCGTAGGGCAACGAAGAATCTACACTAAAGTCATTCATCAACTGATCTTGTTGCTGCTGATATTCAAACGATAAACTCTCCTCGTCGTCAACCTCGTACATCTCATTGTTATTGTTGTTATCGTTGTCGTCGTCACTGAAATCATCGCTATCATCCAATCCATTGTTATCAGTACAACCTGCAATATTTACAGATTGTTGTTGATTGTGAGGAGAATTCGATTCATAGAAACTATCGTTTGATCTTCTTTTCTCATCGCCAACCAATGTCTGTGGAAGCAGATCGATCTCGTTGAGTTGGTCGACACCCAAGCTTTCGAAATCCAATTGTCCAGTGATTCTCTCCGTACTCAAACTTCTAATGATATGGTTCGTAGGCGAGTTATTACCACTCTGTTCTCTATCTTCATAGATTGTCGATGTATCGTTGAGTTGGTCGGACGATAGAGCACTACCAATATCGACCGCCTGTGATTCGATCTCCTCTTGATTTATATTTAACTTGAATAACTCTTTATCCACCTCTATTTTCTCAACCTTTCCTCCTACTTTTTGATTTGAATAATTATTATTTTGATAATTATTTTGTTGTTGTTGTTGCTGTAATTGTTGCTGCTGTTGGATTTGTTGTTTGTTGTTGTTGTTGTTGTTGCTGTTGCTGTTGCTGTTGCTGCTGTTGTTGCTGCTGTTGTTGTTGAATTTGATTTTGTTGCTGTTGTTGCTGTTGTTGCTGTTGCTGATTTTGTTGTTGCTGTTGTTGCTGCTGTTGCTGTATTTTGTTGATTTGAATAGAATTGATTGTTATTGTTATTATTTTGGTTATTATTATTATTATGATTAAAGTAATCTCTTGAATTTGAGTGAGATGGACTACTTAGATTCACATATGTTTGTTGCTGTTGTTGAGATGTGGAGGAATTTGAATTGTTGTTATTGTTATTGTTACTATTATTACCATTGTTGTTGCTGTTGCCATTGTTATTGTTATTACTATTGTTAGAATTTGTATTGTTATATTGTTGATTCTGTTGTTGTTGTTGTTGATTTTGTTGATTTTGTTGATTCTGCTGTTGTTGATTTTGTTGTTGTTGATTATTCTGTTGTTGTTGTTGTTGTTGAGATGTTGACGATGGTAACATAATCGGGGAGGTAGGTGCTTTGATTGTTCCCTTTAGTAAGGATATCCACTCGTACGACGCAGTTGCAGAGTATTTCAGTACATCAGAGGCGTGTGTCGAGTGAATGAGGAACACTTGGTAACGTCGAAAGGTGAGTGTGTTGAGTACGTTGCTAAAGTCACGATCACCCGAGATCAACACGATGCAATGTGGCGGTTTGTTATCGATCACCAGCTTCAGTATCTCCACGAGGATAGCGATATCCGATGCATTCGACTTGTTTCTTGAGACATCGTGTAGTAGAACACCGCACTCCTGGAGATTGGCACGCAACTCGTCTTTGATCAACTTGAGGTTGGCAAACGCCGATATATTCTTGAGAACACCGCGTTGTAGTGCAAACGATCGAATAGCATTCACCACATAGATTCCTTTCATGTGCGAGGGCACCGCACAATTCTCTAAATCCCAGAATACATTTACTGCTAATTCCGGTTGCATTTGTGTGTTTTTTTTGTTTTTAAACTAACTCTGTTTTTTTTTTCTTTTCTTTCTTTTCTTTTCTTTTTTTTTTTTATTACTAAACCAAAATAGTTTACAACTCTTCTCTTCTACTACTTCTACTTCTACTACTTCTCTTTCTTCTACTACTACTACTTCTACTACTACTTGTAAACTATTTTAGGTATTTTCTAAAATAAAAATAATTAGTTAAACTTTCTCTCTTCTCACTTTTTCTTTTGTCGTTAATTCTCGCAATTAATCAAAATATGATATTAAATTAATATGAATGATTTAAAAAAAAAAAACTAACCACAAAAATTAAATGAGTTTAATAAAAATTAAATTAAATTAAATAAAAATAGATTAAATTGGAAAAAAAAAGAAAATAAATAAATAAGTGAAATAAATTGATTGTGATGTATATTTATTTATTTATTTGGTGTGATTATTATTGTTGTTGTTGTTGTTGTTGTTGGTTCAAATAGTGTGTGAGTGAGTGTGTGAGTGAAAAGAAATCAAAATAAACAACATAATTTGGATGTCAAGATAAATAAACAAAAATGATAAATAAATACAAAGTTTATTTTATCTAAAAATAATCAACAATCAACACATGGTAATATTTATTATCCCAAATCAAATCACTCACCTTTTTTTTTTTTTTTTTATTATTGTTCAAATAACTACCTTCTTCTATCAATTAAACTTGTATGATATGTATCTGATGTTTGAAGATGATGTTGACATATCACTTTATTTCTATCTATTTACTATTATTATTATTTATATTGGTATAGAATTACTTTTGATTGAACATTAATGTTTGGTTTTATTTTAATATTAAGGGAAGATGGGAGTGGAGTGAAGTGGAGGTGAGGTGTAAAAAAAACAAAATTATTTATTGGGATTTGTGTGGTAGTCTTGCTTGGTAACCAGTTATTTATTTGATGTTGTATTGTTATTGTTATTGTAGCTAATGAGACAACTTGACTGATTATAACTTAAGATAATAGAGACTTATAAATTAATATTTAGTGATGTTCATTTTTTTTTTTTGATTAAAACTAATATATCTATAGCATTGTGATTGTGAACCTTGTATTTGTTTAGTTGTTTTTGGATACTTATTTGTTTAAAAAATTAATCTCACAACTCAACATATAAAAATATACATATTAAAAATCATATGATTTTTATTTGTTTGTAAAAATGTAATAAAATCAAATATGATTCTTTTGCAAAAGATTGCAATATATATAACTCATTAATCGATCAAAGAAAGGAAGAAGACAATAATTATTTGTTTTTTTTTTTTGTTTAAGACAATGTTTTAGTATTTGTTTTGTTTAAAGAATTTGATTTAAAATTTTTTGTTTTGATTTATTTACTCCCAAGATGGATTGGAAGAGCAAATGGTACGAAAGATTTGCAATCTACGTTTACTGGTATCTTGTTGTTGTTGTAATGGTTCTTCTTTGGTTGATTTAAGTTGTGCAATGACAGAGGCTTGTGGCATTACTGATTCGTCTGGTCCCCAGGAGTCAGTCCAATTGATTGGAGCACTCAGATCTATTGGTTTGGAAAGCATTAAAGGATTTTGTTTAATTGGTTGTGGTGGTGATTGTTGTTGTTGTTGTGGTTGTGGAGGTGAAAGCTGTTGTTGTTGTTGTTGCTGTTGTATTTGTTGTTGTATTTGTTGTTGTGTAGCCAAAGAGTTGGCAGCTTGTTCTTGAGCAAGCTCCAACTTTTCGGCAGGCGATGGCTTGGAGTGAATAAATCTACATCGAGAACCATATGGACAGCTGCCAACGGTGTGGAATGTTTTACAGGTTTCTGTTTTGTACTTCGGGTGTCTCATGACCGGTCTCAGCTCGTCACGACCATGTGCAAACTGACATTTAAATCCATATCTACAAATTCCGGTCTCTGCAAACGATCGGCACAACTCTGTCTTGTATCGGCTCTGACCGTTGATCTCCTCTTCTATATCACCGTTGCTGCTGCCGTCGTCAGAGAGCTGTTGCTGAGCAAACTGCTGTGAAATCTGATGAATGCTGTCGTCACTTGAGCTGGCAAGTGTTGAAATTACTTGCGATGTTGCTGCTGCTGCTGCTGTTACTGCTGCTTCTTGTTTAGCTTTGAGTTGTTGTTGGTGGAGAATTGTGGCTTTCTCGAGACTGATTGCCGAAGATACCCATGGATCTTGAGCAGTGACACTCGAGATATTTATAAATTGAGAGTTCTTGATTGACGATGGAACTTTCTTTGGATCAAAAGTTGGCTGTTGTACAAAATTCGAGGGAGATGACCAAATGATTGATGAATTGGCTTGAGTCGACCAAGGATCCATCATATTTGAAGAGTTAGATCCACCAAAGATCTGTGAGTTTGAAAATTGTTGAAAATCTGTCATGATTATTTTGTTTTTGTTTTTTTGTTTTGTTTTGTTTAAATACTAATAAGATTTGTTTTTGTTTTGTTGGTTGAATATGATATTTGATTGATTATAATATTTTAGTTTAGTGTATGTTTTTTGTTTGTTTTTGTTTTTTTTTTTTTGTTTTTTTTAAAGAATGTTTGTTTTTCTTTTGTTTTGTTTTTGTTTTAAAAAAGTTTGATTGATTTAGATCTTAATACAAGGTGAAATAAAGGTGATGATGATGTTGAAGATATATAATACTATAGAGAGATGAGTTTTTTTTTTGTTTAAACAAATTTGATGATAAATAATGATAGTTTGTTTGTTTAGTTGATGATGAAAGAAAAAAAAAAAAAGAAAAGGATTTGATTTAAAACAACTTGTTCTGGAAGTTAAACTTTGAAAAATAATAAATAAATAAATAAATAAATAAATAGAGGATTATATAAATATTTTATACTATACTAAAACATAAAACTTATTTGTTATTATACTATATAGATTATGTTAATTCTTGATACAAATATATATGAACCAAACATATATATCGGAAAAAGATGATTAAGGTTTGTTTGATGAGATATTGAAAGTGCTGATTGAGCTACTAATATTTCAGATGATAATAAATAATAATTTATAATAAAAAAAAGCTAACACATAACAAAAAAGAAAACTATAATTATCATTTAATAATTATTATTCATAATGTTTGTTATTGTTTTTTTTTTGTTTTTTTTATAGGAATATAGTTTGTTTATATATATAAATATAAAAATATAGTATAGTAATATATATATATATATATAAATGATAAAATTGTCCAACCACAAAGTTTAAGTAAAAAAAAAAAAAAAAAAAAGTTTTAGTTAGTAACTTTTTTAAAAAATTTTAAATTTTTATATTAATAATACTATTATTATTATTTATATTGTTGTTGTTGTATGAGTTGATTGGATATTATTGTTTTTGGATGGCTGGTTGTTTGACTGTTGTAGTAATTGTTGTTGTTGTTAAACAATTGTGTTGTGTTGTTTTTCAAAAATCCCAAGATCTTACTCGGCAATGTGTAAAGAGGGAGAGATTTGAAAAATGTGTAGTAATGGTAGTAAGTACTTACAAATTCTTAGAGTTATTCGACTGTAGATCTAAAAAGGTAATGGCAAAGTCTGTTGAGGGGATATAATATGGTTGGTTGTGTTGTTGTTATGGTTTAAAAAGTCAAACTGATAGTTTATATGTTTGGAGGGGGATAAATCTACTAGAGAATGAAAATATATAGAAATTGATGATGGTAAGTCACTGATACTTTTGGTATTATTACAACATAATCGTTTAATTAAAGTAAAGGAATCAAAAAAAAAAATAAAAAAATGTTTAAAGAAAGGAAAAGGAATTATATTATAATGAAAGGAGAGAGAGGAAATGAAATGGAAAAAGGTGGTATTTAGGGAAACTATTTTATCACCTAGGAGAAAAAAACAACAACAAACATTCAATGTTTATAAATCAATATGTTGTTATTGTTGTTGTTGGTTGTAGTTGTTACACAAAAACATTGAACGAAAGAACAAATTAAAATATTGATATTTTAAAAAACACAAATAAAACAACAATTTGGTTTGTTAAAATACATTTTTTTCAAACAACAGCTGCAGCAGCAGCAACAATTGGTATAACAATATTGTTTACTCTTGTTTTGCTGCTGTTGTTATAATTGTTTTTTTTTGTTTGAAAAAGAAGCGTTGATATAATATGGTAAAGATTTAAAAAAGGAAAGAAAAACAAAACACAACAACAATAGTACTTGTTACTTTGCTGATAAGATGATGAGATCAAGGATTTATGGTTATTGTTGTGTTGGTTGGTGTGACTGTGTGTGGTGGTGCGTAGTAAAAAGGTAACCAAAGAAGAAATCCAAAAAAAAAAAAAAAACATTAACAAAAATAGATAAAAACAAAATGGGATCAATTCAACAAACAATCAATATGGTTGTCTTGATCTCGTTTCTATCTAGAATTGGTAAGAGGAACCGTTTTGGAATTCAACGATCGTTAAGTTATAAGTGAGAGAGTGAGTGTAGCTATCTATTTACGTTTGTTGTTTCAACTTTTAATTAATATGAGCAAAAGTTGGTGTATGTTGTGTGATAGTTGTTGTTATGGAAGCTGGTACTACTACTGAAATAGGTAAAAAAATAAAAATGAATATAAAAATATATTTTTATATGTATTTATAAATAAAAATATTTTGATCGGATTGATGATGATGATAAGGATAAAAGAGTGGTGGTAGTGGTACTGATATTATTATTGTTGTTGTTATTGTTTCTTTAATTAATTAAAATTGCTAGTAAAGTTATTATTATTATGATTATTTTAACTATATATTATTTTTATATTTACTTTACTAATAAAATTAATAATATTTTTATAATTTATAAAATGGACGTGATGTTTGATTGATGGATAGTTAGTTTTTGAAATTGATAATATTCTAATGGTTGTTGTTGTTGATGATGATGTGAGAACTTATTACTATTATGTCTTGACATAAAATAATTGGTGGATCACTTTACTTATTGAATATAAATAAATAGAGTGTGATGTTATAGATAATCTTGCTTTGTATCATCAGATTTGGATAATATGTTTCATAAAAATAGTTTCTTTTGTGATCAAGAGTTGATGGAGGGGTTAACCGATTTGTATGCATTGCTTAAGCAGCTGAGCTGATTATGCAGGAGGTGATATAAAAATATATAATTTATACGTTAATCGTTCAAAAACAATAATAACAATAACAACAATAACAATATAAATTTGTTTGATGGGAGGGAAATCTTTTATAAATTCCTTTAAATGTTCGAGTGGTATCGATGATGGGAGTGAGTGGTGGGTGTGTAGGTGGGTGGGTATATATATGTGTTGTGTGACCAACCAACTAACTGTAATAGGAAGAGGTATAGGTATGTAAGGAGTATAGTAGTACAGTTGTTCAGTGCAGGTGATTTGATAATTGTTGTATCTGATCTGATGATTTATGATGAGCCGCTTAATAGAGAGTGGAGTGGAGTGATAGTGAGTTGAGAGAACGTAGTGTGCTTGATCGATAATGTGTTGTTAACATATTCTTGTTATTTTTTTTATTTTTTTTTGAAGTGTTGTTGTTTGTTATTTGTTATAGTGATGGTGTTGCCGTTGATGACATTACTCAGTCAGTCAAGTTAGCTTGGCTGGCTAAGGAGTTTGTTGTTGTTTATTAATTTATTAAATTACATATTAAGTATGCTAATGGATATTGAAAATAAAATATGGCAAAAATCAACAAGCAACTATTAAATTGTTGTGTTTATCTTATCGATATTGATGAACTATTAAGATGTTGTTATTGTTGATCAACAACTACTTGTATGCTTGTTTGGAATGTATGATATATATATTTATACATTTGTTGGTTGTTTTAATCACGTTATAAATTAAAAATGGTGTGTAATAATAGTAGAGTGGTAGTGGTTTATGGATTTAAAACATTATGAAAAAAAAAATTACACTCAAACTCTTATATTAAAAAAATAATTGTGTGTGTGTGTTTGTGTCATTTATATAAATTGTGTGTTTGTTGTAAGATATTTGGTAGTTGATTGGCATTGGTATTGAAGTGTTTGATCAGTGTTCTCCTAACAAAAATTAATAGTGGTAGTCTTGTTGTCGTTGTTGGATAGATATCGACACACAGACAGACAAAAGACAAATTAAATAAATAAAAGTAAAAAACCCTTTAGATTTTAATTAGATATAGAAGAAAGACAAACACACTAACCAATTAATCTCCAGATAAAATTGGCGATTCTATTGTAATTAATTGCTATACTAACATTATATATATGTATATGTATGATAGTTATGAATATCATTATTATGATTATTACCACATTGATTGATTAATTTGATTGTATATTAAATAAATGTTATAGGAGTAATGAGTATTTTTATTTTTTGTTTGATGGTAAGTTGATGGGTGGTGGGTGAAAAAATAGTAAATAAATTTTGAAAATAGTGGGTGGTAATGGGTTTGGGTGAGATTTAGTTTAAACTATTTATAAATTTCTAATGAGGTGATAGAGTGAGAGGTAATGGCTGTTTTTTCTTTTGTTTTTATCGTGTGGTATGATTGTAATAAATATCTTTGCAAATTTATAAAAGTGAGAGATGATGATAATGATAATAATATTTTTTTTGTTTTAAAAAAAAAAAAAGGATAGAGAAGAGAGTATATGAAATGACAGAGGAGAGAAAGAAAGAAAGAAAGAGAGATGGAGATCATCAACAATTGTTGCTACTCAACTCTATTTACTTTTGTAGTAATATAAAAAATGAAATGATATATACTTTACTTTTTTTAGAAATATATATATGATTTGTTTGGTGTTGTTGTTGATGTTGTTTGTTTATCTGTGACAGGATATAACTGGTTATGGCTATGTACCTACTGAGATTGCTGTTGCTGCTGTTTTAGCTATTGTTATTGAGAGGGAGTTAGTTATCACGATGATGATTGGCGAAGAGGTTTCCAGTGTGGGTGTGTAAATTTGGTATAATTTGATTTGGATTAATGTCGTATCACTTTATATTTTAAAAGTCAAACAATTTTGAATTTGTAATTATTATTTGTTTGTGATTGCTGATAATCTTTGTTTTGGTTTTTTAATAAATAATTAAATAAATAAATAAATTTATGTTAGGTGACTAATGTGATGAAAATGGATTTTTTTGGTATATATATATGATAATTTGTTTTGTTTTTTTGTTTAGATTTTTTTGTTTTAAATTAATTGAATTTAAATAAATAAATAAATAAATAAATAATAAATAAATAAATTTAAATAAATAAGTTAAATAAATATTGTTTTTGTTTGGTTTGGTTTCTGCTTTTTTTTTTTTTTTTATAAATTAAATAAAGATATATAACATATGCCAACAAAATATAGTATTACTATACTAAACTAACTTTAATTAAAATAGAATAGAATGGAAAAAAAAAGAGAGAGAGAAAAATATTTTGATCAATCGAATGGGAGAGGGTATTTTGTTTAATGTATAAAAATTGTCAGTGATGACAGTGATTGTGAATTTGTCTGGGGAGTGGCTGTGAGTGGCTGTGGTTGTGATTGTTATTGTTGTTAACAGTGATGTTGGTGTGGGCTGTGGGTATAGAGATAGGTGTGTCAATTAATTGTAACAAAAAAAAATAAATAATAAAAATCAATTGACTATAAATATCGATTTTGATAACAAGAAAACAACATCAATGATTTATATTATTTACATAGGATGTTGAATATAACTAGTTGTTGTTGTCGTTGAGATATGATTATTATTTGATTTGATTGATTTGATTGATTTGGTTATAGTAATAAATAAACTAATAATACAAATAAAAAAATAAAAAAAAAGAAATAGAAAATGTAGTGAGTGAGTAGTGCTAACTATCGATGGTGATGATAGTGAAACTGAAAAATGATAGGACAGTGTTAAATAACAGAGACAGAGATGAGAATAGAATAGAATAGAATGAATAAAAGTAGTAATAAAAAAAGCTAGCTAACAAAGTATAGTAATACAAATTCAAATTGAAGTTACATAACAAAAAATAATAAAAAGAGGGTTGTTGTTTGTTTTTGATGGTTAAAGTTCAAAAATCAAAATATAAAGGTAGGGCGAAAAATAAAAATAAAAACAACAAAATAATAATATTACAAAAGCTGTGCTGAACATATAAATAACTGAATGTGATGAAAACAGCAGAACCACAAAAGCCCTAATTTAGGAGTTCACAAAGGGTTCCTGTTTTGATTAATAATTATTGTGTATCTAACAATTTTTTTTTTTTTTTTTTTTTTTCTAACTTAAGCTTTACTATCTTCAGAGTGATAGAGTTTGATCCTACATATCACATCACAACTCCATTGTTGTAGTAGCCATCATCTTAAAGAATTTCAACAATGATGGGGTTTGTGTGTGTGTGTGTGTTTATGTGTGAATTTAATTTAGTTTTAGTTTAATGGGGGATCAATTGATTGAGTGTGTGAGAGCTGATGATTGTTTTAAAGGGTGATTTTAAAAAACACAATGTAATAAATTTATAAAAAAAAAATACCTCTTTAAAAATCAAAAGGACCTTTACTATTTTGCAGATGTTTTGCTATAGAGTATATTACAATAACTAATTTTTTTTGTTTTTTTTTTTTTTTTGTTTAATTTATGATTGTTGATGGTAATGGTATTTGGTTGGGTATTTAATCTGCTTGATTTGCTGGCTGGCTTATGATCATCATTATTATTGTTGTTAGTGGTTTGGGGTGGTGATGGTAATTAATTGAAGTGCACAACAATAAATGAAAGATTGTCGTAATGTAATTATGGGGGTGTGGGTTTGTGTAAATGAAAAATGTTGATGGGATGCATAGGTTGTCGGCAAGATGTTATATTACTGCGTTGTTAACATGTCGAAACAAAATCAAAAACAAAAAAAAATAAAAACAAAATCATTCAAAAAGTTAAATATTATAAAATATATCTTATCTACAAACCATTTGATTTATAGGGTTTGATATGAAGATGATGAATTTTGATTTAAATATGAACAAACTAACTGTTGGTGTGTTTGTTTTTGTTTTTTCTTTTTAATATGGTGTTGCTATTGAATAGGTATAGTAGAAATGATAAATACGCTACTTTTTGTTAATTGTTGCTATTACCAATTGATTTGAATTCACTGCTATTGTAACTGTTGCTGTTATTTCTGATCAATTGCTATTTCTGCTTACTGAACTACTAAAATCAACTAACTAACTATTGGTTGGGTGTGATATTTATTTATTTATTGCTGTTGTACAAGATATTGGAGGGATAGGTGGTACAAAGAATGAAGTGGAAAAAGAAAAAAATATGTAAGTAACCGAGACTTGTTGATTATATATATATATGTATATTGTTATTATTATTATTGCTGTTTTAGATTTAAGAGAAAAACTGTTTGTATTGATCAAGATGGTATAATTTAGATTTCGATTGTTTAACCACCTGTGCTATTATTGTTTGTTGTTATTGTAATAAATTAAATTAAATTAAATTAAATAAATAAATAAATAAGTTAAATAAATAAATAAAGTTGGTTGGTTGGTGAGGGAAGAGGAAGGAGAAAGAAGAGGAAAAATGAATATTGATATTTGACTGTTTGACGAAATATGATGTAAAATAAAAAAAATAACAATGAATACAATTTTTTTTAGTAATTAAAGGTGGGTTTCAATTGAGGCTGTGAAATTGAGAGAAGAAGGAGAAGGAAAAACCAAAAATCAAAAAAAATCAAAAAAATTGAATTAAAGAGGAGATGAACTATATTTACAAAGACACTAATAAAAAAACAAAAATGAAAATAAAAATAAAAATAAAAAGAAATTATGGATTGTGGGCTTTTTGTTGTTGGATGAACTTTGAAATATCTTGAATGGGTTGTCGCAACATAAGTGGAAAACCTTAAAAAAAAAAAACATCAAAAATAAAAAATAAAAAGTAAATTTAATGAAAAATATTTCTTGAAAATTTTGCAAAACAATGATGTCTTTGTCAAGGTTTGATAGGTAATATGTAAAAAGTTTTTGGTGCCCAAAAACAAAAAATACTCAAAACTAAAATTAAAAAACAGATAAGATTGGTGACCAAAAATCATGATTTCTAGAGGAATTGAAAACAAAAAAACAAACATTCGATTTCCATTATAATTGGAGAGCAAGCACACCCATTATTATTTTAATATCATCATCTAACCAATAATTTTGTAATACGTCGACAGTAAATGAAAGATTGTACGGAGAGGAGGCGAGGTGAAAGTGAGTCTTTTGTGTTGCCTAGCAACAGTAAAACTTTATTAAAAAAATGATTGCAATTTTTAGGAAATTTTTAGGTGATTTTGTATTGACCGAGGTGGTGAGTTTTTATTTTCTAGAAAAGGGTTTGTTTTTTTATTTTGATGGTCAATGAAATGGGTTGATTAGATACTATTTTTTTTTTTTTTTGGTGACCTGGTGTGCATTGATATTGGGTCATTGCAAGTCGCCAATAAAAAACATCATCAATCGATTGTTTTTTTTTGGATGGAATAGATGAGAAAAATAAAAACTAGCTGGTTGATGATTATGTGAAAACAAAAACAACATGATATTGATTCACATACATTTTATTGCTACACTTTTGACCAATTTCTCACTGTTATAAGATGTTAAGATAATATATAACCACACACAAACACAGCAACAAGTAAAAGAGTGTTTTACTCAATTTGTAAAAGATCTTTTTTAGAGATATGATATAGAGTGAGACATGGGCTTAATTTATCACAAAAAATAAATAAAAACAACAAAAATCATCAATGGGTGGACCAGATAGATATTCTATTATATTAATAGAGAGGAGTTTATCGATGATCATTATTTTGAAACCCAACAATGATTTTTTTTTATTTTTAACAAAAACCAACACCAGGCTATGCAATTGTTACAAAAACTTTCCAAACTTTGAAATAGCGCTGATTTAAGTTCATCTACAATCAACACCTCAAAGGTTGGGGCAAACCATGTTTATGCAAACTTGGCAGTAGTACAAAAATAACAATTAGAAAGATAGGAGTTTATTTATTATTATAATAAAAACGATCGATAATAAATATATATTTCGGGCATCGACAAAAGAAACACAAACAATTGAACGATATAGATACATAATAATATGGTGATAACCCACTAATTTGTGTTTTGTTGGGTTTGCGATACACATTTATAGCTTATTGTAAAACAAAGTGGAAAGAGCAAAGTGCAAAGTGCAAAGAGAAACTAGTAAAACTTTGAGATTTAATAATAGATTTTCATTATTTTACTTACTATTTTAAAGAGTTTGATGGTTTTTAACTAAAAGAGAAGTTGGTAAAGTATTATAATAAAATATTTTTGATTAGATTATTAATTATAAATATTATTTATTAAAAAAGATTTATAAAAATTATTAATTGATAAAAAAAAATAATAAAATAAGTAAATTGTAAATTGGAAAGGTCACTAGAAACCAAAGGAAGTAGGAGATGTATACAAAAAAGATAGTAAACAACATCTATATTTAAAGTAACTAAATAAGTGTTACTGCGATGATATGTGGTTTCAGTATGCTCTTGTTAATGTTTTTTTTTAATCATCAACTTAAAGTTGGCAATGGTATAATAATGGAGGTGGTATGGCACATGCACCACTATCGATTCGAATGTATGATATAATTTAATACTTACATTACACTGAGAGTGGAAAACTGGATTCCAATTACAAATTGCTATTTTGTTTTTTCTAAATTCTACTTAAATGTGGGGTGGTGTAAGGTGTATTTAGTAGTGGTTCTTGAAAAAAGTAGAGGCATATGCAAAAACAACAACTATAATTTTTTTGGTAATTTGGGATATGGTGGTAAGAATATACATAGATCGTGCCATAGGTTTATAGTGTTTTATAGTTGTTGTTGTTGTTGGGTTGTTCTACGCCAAAGAGTATCATCTTACATCTGATAGGCACGATAGATCGACAGATCCGATTCAATAGAATTGTTTTATGTGGTGTTAGATTCTGAAAAAACATTAAAAAAAAAAAAAAAACAAAACAACAACAATAAAGAGTATTTTTATTTCATTACTTTATTCACTCAACTCATGTTCATATTTTCAAGGATCTTTAAATTTCAATCTAAACATACAAATTAACAAAAAAAAAAAAAAAAAAGTAGTTAGATTTAAAAAAAAACTGAACTGTTTTTTAAAGATCTGAATAAATATTTCCTTTTTTTTTTTTTATATGTGTGTGAGCTCATACAAAACTGACAATTTACAAATTAAACAATAAAAAGTAGTGAGAAGTGAATGAATAAATTAAATTGTTATAAATAAAAATAAAACTATCATTTTAAAATGTGTAATATGTGTGAAATACCTTAAACTGAGAGTAATTTTCACAAACTGAACGAACAACATTACAAAATCGAAATAAAGAGGAAATTTGTGGCGAGGTGAAGAAATGAAATAGCTATTTCCACGTGTAATAACTCATATTTTTGTCAAGTAGTTTACAAAAAACTGAATATTGTAACCAAACTAACGATCGATATGTTTTTGTGTGTGTTTTTTTTCAATAAATAAATCTACAGAGGAGACTTAAGAGTGGAACATCCTATTTATTTATCTCCAATTTGATTGTGCTATAAATTTACTTGGCGGCGGTCTTCTTAACAACCAATGGGGCTATTTTGTTATAATATGAATTGAATGTTCGATATTAATATCCAAAACTAACTATTTCTTCTCTCATTCTTTTATAATCTACATACCCTCTCTGAAACCACTGTTGAACTTCTTTTGAACAACCTTAATGTGTCTCATTCTACCAGTACCGGTGGTCTTTCTTCTGATAGCCTTAACACTCCAGTTGTAGCTTCTGGTCTTAGCAGATGGATATCCACATCCAGAGCAAGTCTTCTTTTGAATATGGAATGAACGGTTTCCACATCTTCTGCAAAGGGTGTGAGACTTGGTGTGTCTACGACCAAAACTGTATGTTCCCTTGGTCTATAGGTAGGTAGTAGTAGTAGGGTAGGAGTAAGATATGTTAGATATCACTAAATAGACATAGTAGATGTAAAGTAGATAAGATATATACCATTTTCTATAATATAACACTTGGAGATAGGTATGAAGCTTAGTAGAGGATTCTTTTCGTTTTCTCGTAGAGAGCATTGTGTGGCACAGACACTGGCGAGCAGAACTCACACCACCAAACCCCCACACCCACTATTCGAAAAAAAATAAAAATAAAAATTTTAAAAAAATAAAAATTCAATTTTCACTCGAACTTCTAGAAAAATGAATGATTTATACTACTAAGTGGTCTATTATAATGTTTAGTTATAGTAATATAATAATGAATGCAATACATGTTGATTTATGTTTTTTTAAATAAAGAAATAACAATAAGATAATTAATAAAGTTTATTAATATATTTGTTATATTTGCTATTGTTGTATTTAGTGTTGTTGTTGTTAGCAATATTGTTGTTGTTGTGTCGATAAGAAATCTCTTCGTAGAGTGTTATTCTTGGTGGGTCTTGCAGCTCTAAAGGGTGATGTTGTAGGTGTTGAGTTGTTAGCAATATTATTATTATTATTATTATTGTTATTGTTATTATTATTGTTGTTGTTGGAGGTGACAATTCTTTGCATTTGTCTGTGGAAAGATGGGAATACTTGTGCGGTTGGTTTCTTATCGGGTGCACTGAAGCTACCGAATCCACTAACAAAACCACCTTTGATATCGTTGATATTGACACGAACCGACTGTCTGGTAGGTGATGGTTTCTTGACGAGAAGATATGATTCCGATGGTGGTGAAGGTGAGCTAGATGGTGAGACTGCACTACTATTCGATAAAATCGAAGGTGTTGTCAATGTATTTAAATTATTATTACTACTATTATTATTACTATTATTACTATTACTATTATTAATACTATTATTAAGATTATTATTTGATAATCTTAAATTTGAATTGTTACTCATATTCAATGTGTTTCTTGAACCGATCAATTGAATTTGAGTTCTTCTCTTTTGAATCTCGACGTGTCTACACCTCTCACAGACTTCTGCGGCGCCTCTAGAGTAGTACTTTCCACCTTCTAATACATCGTCGCAAATATAACATTTGAAGCAACGACTATGTAGATTCTTACCATTCTTTAGTTGACAATAGTTTTGTTAGTTTTCGATAAGTTTGTTGACTTGTTTCGTTTGTTTATGATAACTTACTACTTTGAGATAGGTACCGACAATAATATTATTACAAGCAGTACACTTTGTACCAAAGATCTCTTCATAGTGTTCTTTACAATAGATGGTACCGTTCTCATCGCCGAAAGGACCATCGATCTGTCTCCTACAAACAGAGCAAACCAAACAATCGACATGCCATTTCTCACCGATTGCTTCCATCATCTCTTCATCACTAATAACCAATTTACATGCATGACAATAGAATTCATCTATTTTCTATATTATTATAATTATAATAATTATTAGTTTCAAAAGTCTTTTTATCTCTTTATAAATAAATACGATAAATACATTTAATTTCTTGTCACAGTCACAACATATTGGTTTCTCATTCTTTATATAATAAATAGAGGTATCTATTACTTTATCACATTCTATACATGAAAAGCAATCCTAATAGTGTGTAGCAATATTAATAATATCAAATCGATTAGTAATCTATTAATTGACATAACTGCAACATATATCAATACTACTTACTTTATGCCATACACCAATATCTAAAATAAGTGGACGTAATCCAACACTCTTCCGACATTTTTGGCATGTTATTAATGAATTATTGTTATTGTCATCTAGTTGTTGTTGTTCTTCTTCTTGTTGTTTATCGTTTGTTATTGATGTATTGATTGTTGCTTCAGGTTTAATGGGTTGTGGTGTTGGTTGTTGTTGTTGTTGTGGTTGTTGTGTTGTTGGTTTTATTGTAGTCGACTTATCATCATCCAACGTCAGATTCTTCATAACCTTGTCGCTCAAGGTTAATCCTTTATAAAAGTTCTTCTCTCTCTCGATACACTTGATACACTCTAAAAGTTTGTCTTTAATGATAAACTCTTGATTCGAGAGGTAGTTGAAGCACACCGAGCAACAGAAACATGATCTGTGGAAAATGAGTTCACCAACCTCTTCAAAATCCGATGTCTTTATAACTTTTGAGCATCCACTGCATTGCTTGAAAAATCCACTATTCGTAGCACAATCTTTAGTTTATAGATAAATATAAACATGTTAGGTTATTATTTTTGTCAAAATAGATATAACTATTTTACGTTAATTATACATACCAGCACAATGAATATCACCATTCTCTTGGAATAAACAATCACTTTCATTTAAAAGTGATTTCTGACATCTCATACACTTCATACACCTCCAATGGTAGTTATTCTGACCGTCGTTAAGTGATACATCGGTTGGATATATCATTTCATTACATTTTGGACATGTAAATAGTTTAATTGATTGATTTCTATCTCTGTTGCTATTGTTATTATTATTGTTATTGTTATCTGTTTGTTTTGATTGTTGTTGTTGATCGGTTGATTTTACTAATGGATTACTATTGTTGTTGTTGTTGTTATTGTTGTTGTTGGAAACATTGGTTGTCTTATTGTTGTATAATTTTGTAAGACCAGTTTGGAATGTTGTTGAAAATGGATTACTATTATTATTATTATTATTATTATTATTATTTGAATCTGAAGATGTAGAACTATCTTGTAATGTAATTTCATCGAATTCATCTTCAAGATCTTCTGCAAACTGTAGTTCAATCGAAAAATTTGGATGGAAATGTTTATGTGTAGAGTCTTTGTGTGCTTTATCGATTTCCTGTCTTCTAATATGCATTTTAGAACCTTCAATAAAAGCAGTATGGAAACAAAAACTAAACATATGTCCCTATAGTTAATTAGATAATAAATTACAATTAGTAATTTTTTAAGTTTATATAACAACATATCCAACTTTTCTATATATATACCTTTGAATTCTTATTATAAAATTGTATTTTTACATCACTTGACAATATTATATTTCCACAATCAATCTCAACAATGGTTGTTCCCTTTTTTAATTTCTATTTGTTGTTTTTTAAAATGTTAGTTACCAAAAATAGATTTTTGATATTTTTGATATTTACCATTGGTTTGGTATAGAATACCGATTTATCTTGTTGTCCAATCGAGAGATATGGTTCACATCCACCAGAGATATTAAAGTTTGGCAGTGGATTGATACGAATTGTCGAGAGGATTTTAGTGACATGGTTTGGAACGGGTGGAATCGGTTTGCCATACTGGAGCAGTGCTTCAAAGTAACGGACGTATCTCGCTTGGCTCGGGATAGTGATACCTTTGCCATTGTGTGTTCTCTTGTTGCCAAACATTCTAATCGATTCCGAACCGGTCTGACACGATCTGTTATAGAGAAGCCAACAGGCAATCATAGTTCCAGTTCTTCCCTTTCCGGCTTTACAGTGAATGGCAGCGACATTCTCAGGATGCTCCTCCAGCCAACTCTCCACATCCTCACAGAATTTAACAATGACCTCCAAAGCTGGAGGATTATGATCATCGAATGGATATTCCGAAACATTGTTTGCAAATTTATCATGTGAATATTTTCTTTCACTACATCTGTTTATTTTTATGTATTTTAATTAATTTTTCAAATTAGTTTTTATCTATTTTTGTTTTTTGTCTTTAAATCTTATTAATTTTAAATACATACAAATTATAAACTTTATAATGTCCATTATGAAGAGTATTAAAGAATCTTTGTACCTACAATAAGTTGTCCAGAAAGAATGGATTATTAATATTAGTGATATATCCCTATAGAAATGGACATTACGACATACATCTTTCATATTATTTCTATAAAGACCTTCGATTGATTCACTCGGAAAACCCATAGCAATGATCCTATCGTTGATATAGGTGAGATCAAGATCGAATGTTCCCCATTCAAATCTTCTCTTCTTCTTTGATACCATTTTACGAACGAAATCCATTTTTTTTTTCTTCTTTTTCGGCTCTAGTATCTTCTAATTCTTGTTTGTTGTTGATGTGTAAAGTAGATAAAATCAAAACTGTTGTCTACAATCTTTTGTATTACTACACGACACTATATCAAATTAAACATATATAAATCTTGAAAAAAAAATGAACTAAAATAAAAACAGATAAAAAAAAAAAATTTTAAAATAGATATCCCTACAAAGATTTTGTTGTTTTTTTTTTTTTTTTTGGTTTTGATCTTTTTTTTATATTTTTATTTTAAACAAAAAAAAAAGAATCTGTTTTGTGCCTATTTTTTGGATTTTGATTATTTTGGCTCCATTTAATGACCGTCGTGCACAAAAAAAAATAAACAACCAAAAAAAACAAAAAAAAATAAGGATGAACAATTTCCCAAAATTGTGTGCGTTTTGATTAATTTAGGGGCAAAAAAAATATACTATTCTTTTGTGATGTTGTTTGTTTTTTTTTTTTGTTGTTTTTACACCACAACAAATAAGTTTGTTGTTGCTTGTTTATTTTAACTTTTGCTCTCCTCTTCCATCTTGAATTTAACTTTTAATGTGGGAAAGCCATTGGTTGTTGTGGCTGTTGAATAAGTGGTTTTCCACTAAATTTGGCTGCCAGAGTAACAAGTTTGATTGTTACCTTAAACATTAACAATGTGTAGTAATATTTAAAAGTAGATACAATATCATTGGATTGATAGATTCCTTTTATGCATGATTTTGCCATCAACATAAATCCATTTTCAATCTTAAAATGACTTGTAATTTGTCTTATAAGATTACTAAAATAAAAGTTTTTATTAAAAATAATATATATTAATATCAATCAATTAATAATTAAAATTAAGAATAATAATTATTTATACATACTTTGTTTTCAATACCAATAATATTTCTTTTGGTAGATTCTTGAGGATGTCAGTGATGGCTGTGAGTGTTTGGTCGCCAAGTTCTCTTCTCATATTACGAAGATTCTCTCTGGATTTCTCTGGTCGCAAGTTGAGGAGGATTCCGAGATACTTGGCGTAGTCACCGGCACCGAGTTGACGAGCGTAGTACTCACCACCCTTGATGTCACCGGTGCAAATCGATTTCCAGAAATGACAGAAATTGATTCTTACGGTCTCGTCGATCTGCTTGTAGAGTCCGTGATCGAGTAGGACCATCTGAGGTTTACTAGAGTTGGCCATTCTTCTCACCAAAATGTTTCCGGGATGTGGATCGCTATGCAAGAATCCATGAATGAAAATCTGCTCGGCAAACACCTCGGAGAACAAATAGTAGAGTTCCTCAGTGTTGATTCCGAGTTTCTCCAGTCCTTTGTTGTCGTCGATACGCACACCGTGAATGAACTCCATCGTCAAGATACGCTTGGTAGTCTTGTCCCAGTGGATCTTTGGAATGTAGAGCTGCTTGTTGTAGGTGAAGAGCGATGCAATCTTCTCGCTGTTTCTCGCTTCGTTGATAAAGTCGAGTTCTTGGTGCAGACAACTGGTTGCTTCGGGTAGCATCCAGCTGAATTCAAACTTGGGGAAGAACCAATTGATGTAGATCATCACATTGTAGACCGAACGAATATCCTGCTCGAAACGCTCTGTCAAGTCGGGATACTGAACTTTAACAGCAACCTCCTGTATCTCGCCATTTGGCATTTGGAGATTTGCCTTGTGAACTTGTGCCAATGATGCACTTGCAATTGGTACTCTCTGGAAATCAGAGAATCTAAATAATGATAATTAAGTAAATTAAGTTCAGTTAGTAAACAAAGTTTAGTTTTTTGTTTTTTTGTTTGTTTGTTTGTTTGTTGATAGGTCATACATATCATCTGGGTGTAGTCCAGTCTCTTCTTTAAAGAGTTGAACAACCTGTGTGAATGGAACGTATGGAGCATGATCTTGGAATACAGAGAGTGCAGTGATGTATTCAGTTGGCAAGATATGATCCAACGAGGAGAGAATCTGAGCCAACTTTATAAAGATTCCTTTGTTCTTCTTACACAAGTCGACCAATGCTTCCGATGCCAACTTGTTAGCAATCTTTATTTGTTCGTGGAACTCTGGATCACCTCTCTCCAATCCATATAAATAATATTTATAATAGAATGTTATATAAAAACCCTATATTATATAATAAGTAACTAATTAGTAACTATACACAACAGCTTTGCTTATAGATTATTATTATTTATCAAATTGACATACAGTTAATAATACTCTGGCAGAACGAACATTACTACTATCTAATAGTTTCTTTATGAAATCATCGTTGTTGTAGATGTATGCACCACCAGAGATGACAGCGAGAATCACCAAGTTTCTAAAGTTGAAAATCGATGATACTGTTGATGATGAAGATGATGACGATGATGATTGATGTTGATCGTTTTGATAATCGTTATTATTATTATTATTATTATTATTGTTATTGTTATTATTGTTGTTGTTAAATCCAGAATCTACAACAGGATTACCTCTACTTGAATCATCTTCTAATATTAATTTTTTAGATAAAAGATTCTCGTAGGTATCTTGACGGAATAGCGTTGCTTTTCCAGCGATGACATATGACGGTTGCAAATATGTCTTGCTATTCAAAGATGTTGGGTATCTTTTAACTGCCCTATCAACAACAAACTTTGATTTTGGTCGCTCGGCACTACCAGCAGTGCCATCATCTCCAGAGTTCTCTCTTTCTTTTACTTGTTGTTTTAGTGCATGTATGAATTGCTGTTTTTGTTTTTCTTTGTTTTGGTGTTGTTGTTCTCTTGTCTGTTGTTCTTTAGCTTGCTTCTCTAGTTGTTGTTGTTCTTTAAGTTGTTGTTGTTGTTGTTGCTGTTGTTGTTGTTGCTGTTGTTGTTGTTGCTGTTGTTGTTGGAGTTGTTGTTGCTCTCTTAACTGTTGCTCTTTAGCTTGCTTCTCTTTAAGTTGCTGCTCCTTGAGCTGTTGATCTTTAAGTTGTTGTTCTCTCAGTTGTTGCTCTTTCAGTTGTTGTTCTTTTCGTTGTTGTTCTTTTCGTTGTTGCTCCTCGAGGAATGCTCTTTGTCTCTCTAACTTTTGTTTCTCTTCTTCCTCTCTCTTTAGCTTCTCAGCTTCTCTTTTCAGTCGTTGTACTTCTTGTTCTTCTTGTTTGGCTTGTTGTTCTGTTTTACTTGGTGGTGTAACCAAAAGAGTTTTTGGTGTTGTTGTTGTAGCTGTTGTTGTAGCTGTTGTTGTAGCTGTTGTATTCTGTTGTTGCTGTTGTTGTTGTTGTTGATTCTCTGATGGTTTCTGATTGAGTAGCGATTGTTTTGAATGTATATACGATTCAATCTGCTCGATATCAGATTCCGATATACTTAATTCAGTGGTAGGAGATAATCTGACGGCATCCCACATGCTTTTGACATTCTTATTGTGCACAAAGAGTGGATCGGTTAATTTAAATTGATACACCAACTTTTGCATCTCCAAGTAGTTCCTCTTGATTCTAGGATATAGACTGCTACGTTGTTTCTTCTCATTCTCTGTACCATGTTCCGGTGTTATAGTATCTACAGTAACAACATCATCGCCATCACCATCACCAGCACCATCCAACTTTTTAAAATCCAAATCGAAATCCTCCTCTTCATTCATAATAAATCTATTATCATCTTTATATTTATTAATAATATTATCTACTACTGAGTACGGATCACTTTTGTTGTTATTAATATTATTACTTTCATTAATAATTACTTCATTGTTTCTACTACTACTACTACTAATTCTGCTGTTGCTGCTGCTGATGTTGTTATTATTATTTAATTCTTTTCTAAATTTTTTTCCACCACGACGATATGGTTTGACGGTTGACCTCACTCTTGGATTTGAGGAATGCACTGCATTAGCACTACTATAACTTCTACTGCTACTGCTACCGCTACTGCTACTACTGAAAGCTGAAGCAGCAACAGCAGTATCAACATTGCAAATAGAGACAACCTGTGATCCACGTGTTGCATTGACACTGTTGGCAATGACACCACCGATCGTCGGTGAAATCGAATTGAAATTCAACAGCAGTGTCGACACTGACTTATTTATTTGGGCAACTCTTAGCATAGTTGTTTGTCGTTTGTTCGTTTGTTTGCTCTAGATAATATCTATTACAAACACTTATGACTTAATTAAAACGAACGATCGATCAATCCGAACAAACTAGTTGAATTGAAACGTGTCAAAAAGATCTTTTGTGTTGCTCTACTCTACTATTGTGTTGTTATTGTTATTGTTGTTGTGTTGGTCTATTAGTTTACTAAACTATTTTTATATTTATATTTATATTTATATAATAAACAACTAACCTATGATTATTAAATTTGCATTTAATTAACTTTTGGTTGGTTGATTAGCACTGTGTCGAATTTAAATAGCAATTTGCTTAAGGATTGTTAATAATTAATACCGATTTATTACGATTTTAGCAATTAAAAAATTAAAAATAATTACAGACTTTTGGGAAAACACGAATGGTTTTTGACACAAGAAAAAAAAAAAAACTAATCATTACATCAAATTAATTTGATTGTAATATTTTAAATTAAATCTACCCTTACAAACCACAACCTGTACTCACTGGTCAATAAATCAATCAGTCAATAGAACAACCCTTTTTAGTGATCATATAAATAAAAAATATTTATTTTATTTATTTGTTTAACCATTAACCAACTTGAATTAATTGCTATCTCTCTCTTCCGACTCCCTATAATTGGAAAGGAGTTATCATCTCCTTCTCAAATTTTTAGCACTTCGATAAAATTTGTTCATTTTTATTTTGTTTTTATTTTATTTTATTTTTTTGATTGTTTGTGTTTCAGATAAATAAATAAATGATATATTGCCAGAACTTTTAAACCCAGAGCTCGACAAGCGAATTGAAACAAAACAAAAGGCGTACTACTACTACTGAAAGAGATTGCCGTCACGAAATCAGGTAAATTTGTCTACCCCCACAAAGATAACCAAAAAAACTACCAAGAGAAAGAGAATAATAACTGTACGTAATTCCAACTTAAATTCAATTAAAAATAATCAATGTAAAAAAAAAAAATATGAAAAAAAAACTAAAATTGCGAAGTAAAATCTTATCGTTGAACCGAAAAGTTCAAATAAAGACGAAAAAGATATAAAAATGTCTTCAACAACCACATCAACAAATAAAAGAAAACAAACACAAACAAAAAGTAAAAGTAAAAATGAGAACAAACCTTTGACAACAGCAACAACAAAACCAACAACAACAAAACCAAATATTAGTAAAGAAAAACAATCAAAACCACCACAAACTACGACAACAACAACAACAAAGTCTCAGACACCAGAAACAAGTAAATCATCATCAGCTAAAACAAAGAACATTAGTAATGTTAATAAAAAAGTAAAACTTGATAAAGACAACAATAATAATAATAATAATAATAATGTAAAGAAAGAAAAATCATTAAAAATAAAAAACAAAGTTGAACCAAAAAAAGAAGAAGAAGAAGAAGAGGTAGAGAATGAAGATAATCTTGATCAAGAATTAGAAGGTGAAGAATATGATGTAGCGATGGAAGGCGATGTTGATGCTGATGAGGGTGAAGATGAAGAACTTGATGCATTGTTAAAGCTTGCCGATGATATCTCATCGATTCAAGACGACATTGAGAAGATCGAGAAAAAGATGGCTACAGAGATATTAAAGACAGAGTTGGAGAGGGATAAAAAGATATCGGAAGTTGACAAAGAAGAGAGATACATTGATCGATAGTATTCCTAAATTCTGGTTTAAAGTTGTAAGTTAAACTTTATTAATAATAGCTATTATCGCGATTAGTGCAATTAATTGATCAACTAATAATAAAACATGTTTGCAAATTTAATTAATAGTTTAAAAATCATCCAATGATATCATCTTTATTTACAGGTAAAGATAGTGATTTAATGTCATGTCTGACATCTTTCAAAGTTGAATGCACCGATTCTCCACATACAACAGTAAAATTCATTTTCGTAAGTTTTTAATTTATTTATTACCTTTATATCTATCGAAAGTTCAATCTCTAATTGCTCTGTTTTGTTTGTTTTATAGAATTTTGGTAACAATTCATTCATAAAGAATAAATCGATTTTCAAAGAATATAGATTCGAAAAAGGCGATCAATCACTCGAGACTTCAAGCAGTAAGATACAATGGAAGAATGGTTTGGACATCACAAAACGATCGGAAGGAGACGATCCGAGCTTTTTCTCTTGGTTTGAACCAGAGGATGATGAGATGGAGATTTTCGACACTTTGAAAAATGATGTTTGGTTACAACCACTTATTTACTACAAATAAAACTAAACTAAACTAATTTTTCAATCAAATCAATAATAATCAAATATATCTAGAATATCATTAAATTGAATTCATCTATTAATTCTAATGAATAAAAGTTTTATTAGAGATAATCAATGCATTAATATTTTAAATATAAATTGTAAATGTAAAGAGTTGTAGGTCACAAATTAATGATAACTAAACTGATATTTTTGTTTGAAATAGTTTAAGCAAAGTGAAAGTGTTTCGTTTAACAAAAAAATACACATTCATCGACGATTATTTGAATTTGGAAAAAGGATGAAGAGATGACAGTTTGTTTTTTATTTTTGGGAGATTATTTTTGGTTCACCAAAAAGTGACTAGATTTCAATCTCGAAGCTTCATTTTTGCAATCTCCTCAATTAATTAATCCATGTTGTTCGCGACTGTGGAGTTACTTTTTTGATTTGCAAACTTTGATTTTTTGATTTTTTTTTTTTGATGGTTTGGTCGTTTGATCAAAATCTTTTGGTAAATTTGTTTGTGGTTATCTCGCACCAATTAATTGATCTGAGTTTCTTTTTCAAACTAAAATAAAAATCTTTTAAAAAAATGTTAACAAAAAAACAATAAAGAGGTTTAATAAACTATAAACTAAACTCTTTACATTGCAAATTACATCAACTTATTCTATCACACACACACACATATATATTACATTTAAATAAAAATGGCAACATTAGTTTTCAATGGAAGAGTCGATGGTTATGAATTAAACTATAGAAGCGATGGTAATGCTACATATACTTTGAATGGTTCTCTTTTATGGACTGTAATTATTATAATTTGAAAATCAAATGACTTTATTATAAATACTAACATGTAGTTACTATTCATTCAAAACAGCAAAAATGGATGTCAACTTGGTCAGATTACTTAATGTTTAAGACAAGTGATGGTAGAGTTTGTTTAGTATCTTATATGGATGTAAATGGATTTATTTCCGGTGACATCTTGACAAACACTGGTTTCACACCATTGTTGCGTGCAGCACTAGCTACAAACTTGGACTTTCAATATTTCCAAGAGTTTTCCAATCAAAAGGATGTGATGGTCGCTCTCGATAAGAATGGTGATCGTAAATACTATACCATAGATATTGCCGGTTCTAAACTCACTGAGTTCACACCGTGCTGCAGTGCCACTACAGAGCTCTTCAAGAAATTCATGAGCTTGGAGAAGCGTTTGACAGCAATCGAGAGCACCAAGGTGACCACTCAAGTTGTCAAGGTTCCAACTCATGGTAATGGTATTTCCTCTGCCGATTGGACACCAATTCCAGGTTCTCAAGCCACTATTGTCATCAGTCGTCCAAGCAAGGTTGTTGCCATTGTACAATTCCACTCGAATATTGTATACAACGATGGTACCGTCAGTTTGGATGTTACATCGGCATTAAATGGTAACATTATGACAAATGGTGGATTAAATGATGCTCAATGGCCAGTAGGTACCTCTATTAGCCAGGTTCCAGCTTGGGTTAATGGTGTCTCGGTAACATCTGACCTTTTACAACCAGGATTCTATAATTATGATATTCGTGCGAGATTACGTTTTTCTAAAGGACACACTGGTTCGGTTAATGGTCCAGGTGCTATAATATTCATCATGCCATTGTAAATAAAAGCCATAGCAATCAATAAAAGTATACAAAGCTGAACTGGCAAAAATTCTTATAACCCCCTTTAAATGGTGAATGTATTTTTTTTATTTATTTATATTTGGATACAGCTAGAGCTTGTTTCTTAATCCTTTGTTATTTGCTTTTAAAATATCATTGGAATAGTCTGATAAATTTTTTTAAAAGTTATCTCTATTAAGAGTGTTAATATATTCTATTTTTATTTTATGATCATACAATTAAATGTACTAGTTTTGATGAATTTTGGAAAAATATAACAATTTTGTGGGAACAGACAAATAATAATAATATTCATTTACACCCACTAATTTCGATATATTTTTTCCTTTTATTATTTGTTATATCAATATTAGTAAATTCCTATGTTTAGATAAATTTTTTTTAGATTAGATTATTTGTTTCTATAGATAGGCTACTGTTGTCCGTCTAAGGACAATAAGGTAGCCGCCAAGGCAATGCTAGTACCCATTAAACAATTGTAAGTTGGTCATCAGCTTTTCAGATGACAAGTAGATTCATTAGGATCAAAGATGCAGTTGATATCAAATATAAGATTACCAACCAGTGGCGCCAACTTTGTTAAGTATCACTGCATGTTAACTTTGGATTCCGCCGTTCTATGTGCTTGTTGATTGTTAGAGATGACTCCTTAAGGCGTACTCGTGCTTCCTTAGCACTCACTCAGCCAAGAATCTCCTACAAACTATTCCTAAGTTCGATGGAAGATCCGGTGATCTGCTTTCACATTTTCGCATTATTGAGCGTATCGTTCCTATTCCAAAAGAGGTTATCTTTGCTTTTACCTCTTACGAGCGAGTCGCAAATGTAGCTACAGTCTGGAATTGATCTCTAAATATTAACAAATAATCTAATCTAAAAACAATCTAATAAAACTCTTTAGATCTAAAGATAATTATTTAACTCACATATCAGTATTAATTCTATGGTTTTACAAAGAAAATTATATTTATTTATTATCTTTTATCTATTTTATAGTTCTTTTTAAGAATTTATTGATTGGTGAGAAAGATAAATATCAGCAGTCACTTTTGTTAAATTGTAATACTAAAATCCAGGGTTAAAAAAGTCAGAGGTTACAGATACTCCATTAACCCAATCCTGAACCTGACAAATTGGTACCAGCTGCCATTGAGCTCATTTAATTCTGATTTATTTTATTAAAAGGGAATGTTTAAATTTAATAACTAATTAACTTTAGGAATATTGGTTTTGATAATAAATTGAATAATTTTATTTAATTCCTTCTATTTACAGTGGGACGATGAACAATATGGTAGCAGGAGCATGGATAAGAGCGGTTGCGGGAGCACCTCTAATTCTGGCTCTAATATCATATTCATAGAAGCCAGGTTGAACTATCTCTTGAGTGATTGAGCAACCTGTGGACCAATCTCTTGCATGTGCTATACTGGTTCCCACCGGCCATGGATAAGTGTTCATGCCTCCAAGTGTCATCAGTTTGTTGTTGAGAGCAGAGGTGACATCAATCGATATACCACTGTTTGGATTGTTCAGTACATCCGATGAAAATTGTAACATTGCAATGATTGTGCTTGGACGTGCGATGGGTATGGTGGCAGTCGATCCCTCAACCTTGGTCCAGTCTCCAGAGGTAACACTATTTACATGCTTGGTAGGGTGAACAATTTGCATGGTAACCTTGTTGAATTCCTTTTCGGTTGCTTTCTTCTCCAGAGCTCCAAGCAGTTTGAACATATCATTGAGATTATCATTTTCATACTGCATCAAAATGTCGAGACCTTTTTGAATTCTTGGATCCAGTGATTCGTAGTAACTCTCCCATTCATCGTGGTCAATCTGCAAATTGTCATAGTCGATTGTGAGGTCTTCATCGACAGACTCAATAAACTCTCCTATACGATCGGGGATAGTAGAGATGTCGGTTTGACCAGCACAGGCAATCTCATAGTTTTTAGCGGTCATCTCGAGCTGAGGGTAAACTCTGGACGCCACCGACAAACCGTACAGACCATTTCCAAGGATGAGAGCAGTCGATGGACCAGCGCATGCACATTTCTTGAGAACGGTGAACAAGCCTGGAATACAGTTGTCGATTTCATTCTCATCCATACGATGCAAGTTAATGACGAGCTGTCCCCAATCTAAGATTCTCGAAGCCAAGTTATTGAATAGTTGGAATGCCTGTTGATCACGGGTGAGAATATAGAACGATGGAATCAATCGGAGAATATGATCACGTGTGTTTATATGAATCATTCTTGGAACAAAGTTCTTGTAGGCAGAGAATACATCGGTTGCATCTTTGGCCATCTCATTGGTGAGACTTCTAAGGAACTCTCCCATGGCACTATAGATTCTTCCTTGATCCAAAGCATCGGCATATTTATAGATGAACAGACCAGCTCCGATATAGATCAAAGATGGATCATAGAAAATTACTTTACTTTCATCCTCACCATTAAGAATACCGTATGCCAAGACACCGACATGACAAGTACAATAGACGGCATTGGCAAATCTGGCAAAATCTGCGTTGTCTTTGAGTGGAGCAAAATCAGTAGTAGCCAACAGCTCTGGTGTATATGGTTTAGCAGTGGATTGGAAGTTGTTTTCAATGGGAACCACTTGATCAAACGGTATTTCCAAAGCAGCCTTGTTCATTAGATTTGAAAGTTTGGTGATGAGTGTTGGAGTATCGTAGGCAAGCGTAGTTTTAATGGTATTTACTATTGCGTTGTTGTTGTTCTCTGGATGCTCAACGATTCTATTGATAACGATTTCTGTGCAACGAATAACGATGTTTCTATTGAGAGGATTGTTGATAAGATTCTTTGTAGCATAGTATGCCAACAGTGCATATTGAAGACCACCAAGTAGATCATTGGAAAGACGATTGTTTGGCTGGAGGAGATCGAGCTTGGTTTTCAATTCACTGAAACGATAGCTATCGAAAAACGATGGGTCTTTGACATCTGCATTCTGGCATTTAATGGCATCGATCAACCATCTGGTTGTGTTTCCTACATCCTTGAAATAGTTTCTGACTCTTGCCTGGAAAACATCGACATCACTCCAATAGATGAATGGCAACATCGCCGGAACCAATTGTTTCAGGGCAATATGATAGATCATCATAGTCAAACGAATGAAAACATTACTACGATTCAGGGCAAACATTCTGTTTTCCACGGCTCCACCTTTGATTTGCGAAGTATATTCTCCCTCATCGTAATGGTAGATAGCTTGGAGTAGCCAGAGTGGAGCATACGCTTGAAAGTAAGATGAGATCTTTGTGTCTTGAATGAGTTCCAACAGATCGGCGTTCAACGATGGTTTCGCCATTCCGAGGGCAGCCAGACCGGCGTCGCTTAAGTGGTAGCAAACCAGATCGACAAAGAATTGTTCTGCTCTTTTCTTGACAAAGTCAATTTGAGTATCTTTGTCAAATGTTGACAACGCCAAAAAGTCTGGCGCCGTCAGAGTGGTGTCATCCATACTGGCAAATTCAGGATGCTCCCTAGTGGTCTTTAAAAGCCTCCATGTTTGAAATTGAACTACAATTGCATATGGTTCACTATCTGCCATTTTGTTATAACTACTTCTACTATTATTTAGTATAAAAAAAACTCTCTTAATAATTATATAATATGGATATGATATTTTTTAAAGGTTGTTCTAAGTTAAAGAAAAAAGTAACCCTAAATTAATTAATTTGGATTCATCATAAACTATTTTTTTTTTTTCAAAGTTCATTTAAATTTTTTGATGAACGAGTGATCGTGGTGGTGATGGGTTTTTCTTTGCAAAGAAATATCTTAAAAAACAGTTTTGCATTTATCCCTTCACAAGAATGTAAAGACAAACTTGGAACACCACAGTCGTCGAGATTCATCATTTTTAACCTCGAGATATCATTTAATTGATCTGGGTAATCATTTTACTGTATAACCCCATTTTAGCAATAAGAAGTAACTGTTAGTCGCCAGAGTTTTATCAAAAATATGTATCATGAGATATTTTTGGTTTTAGTCAGAAACTCATACCATCAAAAATCTTATTAATTAATTAACAGTGTATTTCAATTAACGATAGCTTCTCGATGCAAAGTTTAAACCTCTAAAAATTTAAAGAGAGCAAAAGTTTAAAGATGTTAAACAACTTGATAATAAAATAAATTAGCTTAGTAAATTTAAAATATTCTACTCTTTATCAATTTTACTTTAGTTGTATTAGTACTGTTTAATAATCATGACAACAACTACACCAACAACATCATTTATAACAGATTTTCTTACATGGAGAAAAACACAAATAAAAACGAGCTATGAAAGTTCATCCAAGGTTGATGTCACAACTCTTACCGCTGAAAAGTTCATGGCAATCGCAACAACCAAAGATGTAACTGACTCAACAACAAACACCACCTCCAAACAGGATATGATTAAAACAGAGTCTGATTCATATTTGATGAATATTATATTGTACCATCTCGATGAAAAAGGTTTGAAGGCTTTGGATACCACAAAACCAAAACTCGCAGACGATGTACTAGCTACTTTCAGTGACACCGGATACACAACCAAACTCACCAAGTATGCAAAGCTGTGGTTGTTGTCATCGATCTTTGAGCAGAACGTAAATTCAAAGTCGCCTAGCAGAGTCAAGGGTGATGTAGTGGAGAAGGAGTTCAAGGAGATTCAAAGTGACCGTTTCGTTACCAATGTTATTATGAGACTTACATTCCTCGCCACCGCCAAGAAATGTGTCGATTTCCTTCCATACATGTACAACTCTGATACTATGATTGCCAAAGTCCAAGCCTATCTATTGGAGGATACCTACAAAACTAAATGGGTTGACGATGCATTCGCTGCTTGTAAAGATAAGATGCTAGATAAGGATTTCAACGATACCGAGAGATTCACCTCACTCAAGTCCCGACTAGATATATTGGATCCATCATTCAATCTATCCTCCAATGTTATCAATCAATACTACTGTGAGCTCTATGCACGTCTCGGAGCAGGTAGCATTAAAAAGACACCACAGACACACAAACTTTTCAAAAAGGTTACTCTAGACTCCATTCAAAAGGTCTTGACCAACACCGACCACGAGTGGTATACCATTTTGGCTAAAGCCAAGGATATGTTCAAAGGAAATGTAGCATCGCTGGCCAATCAAATTTCACGTGCATACCTGCTCATTAATGCCGAGACAGCTCTTTGGAGAGAAAAAGGTGTCAAAAGTGACCACGTTTTTACATATGACAGTGCCAGATTTATGTTTGCAATGGAAAAGAAAAGGAAAAGTAATAATGATCCAATTCAAGGACTGGGCGACCTATGGAAAGACAAAACTCTTCATCGAGCAGTTGCTGGTATTTTCATTCTCTGCAATGCTGCAATACTCTTTGCCAGTTTCAAGAGTTACGACAAGATGAACACTCTCGACAAGATCTTGGCTTGGGTCAACTTAGCAGTGTCCGGTGTCGATATCTTTACCTCGATTATTACAGCCATCAATTCAGAGAAGAGCGCTTACACTTGGGTTGCCAATAAAATCGCCGATCTAATGAAGTCTAGTTACCCACCAATCAGACCATGTAGTGCAGCTAAAAATGTATCGAAATACGCCAAGTATCTCAAACCCACCTATGTTTTAAAGTATATTAATGCTGCCTTGGTTTTGGTCAGTATGGCATTCACCGTATACGATATAGTGACATCCATCCAGAATCAAGACTGGGGAATGTTGGCACTCTCAATCATCGAATTCACTCTGGAGTTCAGTATGCTGGTGATCACCTTTATGGCAGCAACCTCGTGGTCAGGACCTGTGTCACTGATGCTTACAGCCGCTCTTATTGTCGTTGGTTTGGTTAAAATCTTCTGGGATGTAATCAAGCAATCATTCACCGATGTCATTAAATTCTTTGACAAATTATTCAATGGTGATCCATCCGACAATTTTGTCAAGTCGACAGAAGCATCTTACCAACTCACCGACACCGAATATGCCCTCGCTTTGCTTACCGATATTGGAACAAAAGTAAACGCAGATGCCAAGCCAACTGTCGATGCTCTAAGAAATTGGATTCTGACAAACGCACCAAAAAAATAAACCACACTTTATAACATTTCAATAAATTAATTAATTTTGTTACTTTGAACTGATAATTATTTCAATAAATATCCTATGAACTAATAATTGATCCAAATTGTGTAACTATAATCCTAACACTTCAAAATGCAAAGTAAACGAATATCTGTTTTATTTGAATTTGGTAAAAGGATGGTCAAGTGACAGTTTTTTTTTTTTTTTTGAACAAAAGTACTGGAGATTATTTTTGGTTAACCAAAAAGTGCCAGATTTAGATCTCAAAACATCATTTTTTGCAATCTCCTCAATTAATTAATCCTATTCGTGAATCTGTCTGTTGGGTTGAAATTTTGTTTTGCGAACTTGAATTTTTTTTTTTTGAGCAAACGAGCAAATCTTTTGTAAACTTTTTTTTTTTGTGGTTTTTCTTTGACCCCAAAGGTTTAGCGAAATGGTAATCTTTGCTCAGAGATCATTCAAAGTATAAAGATATCTATTTCAATTTATTAGTGTTGATTTTTTTTTTGAAAAAGTAACTCTTCAATAATGGTGAAAATTGATCAAACCAACCATATGGTTATTTTACTTTAATTAATTTAGTAGTAAATAATTTAGTTAGTTAATAATAATTAATAATGACAACAACAACTACTCCAACAACATCATTCATAACAGATTTTCTTACATGGAGAAAAACACAAATAAAAACGAGCTATGAAAGTTCATCCAAGGTTGATGTCACAACTCTTACCGCTGAAAAGTTCATGGCACTCACCACTTACAAAGATGTAACTGACTCAACAACAAACACCACAACCAAAGAGGACGCTGTTAAAACAGAAGCTGATACATATTTGATGAATGTGATATTGTACCATCTCGAAGACAAAGGTTTGAAAGCATTGTCCGTCTCAAAACCAACGCTCACAGCCGATATACTAGCTACTTTCAGTGACACTGGATACTCAGCAGACCTTACGAAATATGCCAAGTTGTGGTTGCTGTCGTCGATTAACCAACAGAAGAAGGATAAAAAACAAGATAATATTATCAAGGGTGAGGCAGTCAATAAGGATTTCAAGGAGATGCAAAGTGGTAAAACCGTTACCAATGTCAATATGAGACTAACATTCATTGCCACCGCCAAGAAATGTGTCGATTTCCTTCCATACATGTACAACTCTGATACGATGATCACCAAGGTCCAAGACTACCTACTTACAGATACCTACAAGTCTACATGGGTGGAAGCACTCTACGATCAAGTCAAGGATAAGTTGAGCGAGAAGACAACAGCATTCAATGATAACAACAAATTTGCTGAGCTCAAATCTAAACTTGATGTATTGGATCCATCATTCAATCTTTCGTGTAAGGTCATCAATGAATACTATTCAACTTTGTTCGCTCTCATCGGTAAAAGTAGCTTGAAAGGTAATCCAAAGATTCAGAAACTGTTCAACCAAGTCACCAAAGATACACTCCAAAAGATTGCTGCCAAAAGTGACCATCCATGGTATGAACTCGTTGGTAAAACCAAGGATCTATTCCAAGGAAAGTATGCAACGATGGCAGCTCATTTCGGACGTACTCTATTCAAGATGAATTTCAAGAAGAAATTCAAGACAACCAGTTTGGACGCCAAATCCGTGCTTACTTTGGACTCAACTAAATTCTTGGCACTCATTCAAAAGAAATACGACAGCGTAGATTTCAAAAAGGTTTGGACCGATTCAAACATGCATAAGCTGGCATCTGGTTTATCGCTTTTATGTAATACCGCTGCGATCTATAGTGGATTTCAGAGTTACAACCAGCAGACTACCACCGAGATGATTCTGACATGGGTTAACACTGTAGCATCGGGAGTAGACGTTACCACTTCTATTGTAGAGGCAGCCAACTCTGGATTCAATGCTTATCTTTGGGTCGGCAAGAAGATATCGACACTAATGACACCAAAAGATGCAGTAGTCCGAGCAGCCAGTGCTTCAACCAATACATCCAAGTTTGCTAAATTCTTCAAGATTGGTTCGATCGTCAAATATGTCTCGGCAGTAATGGTTGTAGTCAGTATGGCATACACAGTCTACGATATAGTTACATCGATTCAGAATCAAGATTGGGGAATGCTTGCGCTTTCTGTGGTGGAGTTTACACTGGAGTTTGGACTTCTCATTTTGACTTTTATGACAGCAACAGCATGGTCTGGTCCAGTCAGTTTGATTCTTACTGCGGCTCTGATTGTAGTTGGTCTTGTCAAAATGTTTTGGGAACAGATCAAACAATTTTTCGTTGATATCGGTAAATTCTTTGATACATTGATCAGTGGTGATCTAACAAATGCTTTTATCAGATCCACCGAAGCTACATATCATTTAACAATTGAAGAGGAAAAAGCACAAATGTTAGCTACACTTGATGCTTATGAAGCTGCACACCCAGAAGAAACTAGAAAGATAGAGGAGATGAGAAAGAATATTGAGGCAATTTAGAAATAAAAATTAAATTTCAAAACATTTATTTTCTTTATAATGTTTGTATGAATACAATAATCAAAATACTTCTATTCAATTCATCCATAATAATTTTAAATTAATATTGAACTAATCTACAATAAAGATTTGATTTTATTTCACCACTCAAACACTTATTAATAATACTTTCTGTTTGTAGTAATTATATAAAAGTATTAATATACAAAAACCCTTTCCCAAACAAAACCATTTATTATTGAATGATTTACAATTTTTTGTAGTATAAATTATATTTTTATTATATTTAATAGTTTATTTCGATTTTTGTTTAAAGTACATTGATTAAAGAATTATTAAGTAAAATATTATTACTTTGTGTGATAGTATTAAAATATATTGTATTATTATTAATTATATATAAATGATCTTTTTTGTTTGATTTTATCCAAATTTTCCAACTTTGCTAGAGAACTTTCTATAGCTAGCCTCGAGAGTATTGGTTCCTTGATTGATAGAGATTCCAGTACCATGAGAATATATTTCATTATTCATTGGATTTATTGAGCTTTGATTAAATTTTCCAAAAGAGATATTAAGATTTTCTAAAAGATTTTTTATAAAATTAGTATTTAAAACATATTATTATTAATATTTTAAAATAAAACATACTGTATAACATTTTTAAATTTATAATTATAATTATTAAAGATTTATATTTAAAATTTCAAGATTTTTAAAATATTATTTTTTTTTTTATATTTGTTTTAAAAGTTTAGTATTTTACTAAAATTAACTTGATTTGAATGAATGAAATACTTTTGAAAGAATTGCACTATTTATAAGGAACTGGCTCATTATCTGCCTGTTGAAGTCAAATGTATTATGAAAAAAAAATTAACCGAAGATTAAAATGTAAGATTAGTGTTATGATACACCTCTTCTTTACCAACAGTAAAAACAACAATTGCAATACACAAAAGATAAAATGGTACAAACTGAAATCTATTCATAAAAAATAGACATATATGTACATCACTTGTGGAATTCTCAAACATTCAAAATATATTAGATTTGTTTTACTTGATCATTGATAAATTAACAATTGTTAAGATTTTTATCCACTCTTCTCTTTTTTAATATGGTACCGTATACTCTAATACAAGAGTGATTAATTATTTGACACTTTGAACCTGCGAGAGGAGGTTGGATTTTGATTTTTATAACAATTGTATATAGAGTTTGATTTGTGTTGTGTTGAATTTGTGATGTGGTTGTGTTGTGTTTGTGTTCTTGAATGTTTTGAATATAATTTTAGTGAAAAGAATCATGTCATGTGTGAGAGAGTGAGTGTGTTGGTGGTTTGTGGTAGTGGTATTGGAGAGTGAGTAGTGTTTAGTTAAATTAACTTAATTTAAATGTTTTCAAAAATAGTGATCATGCATATACCAATATCATCAATCAATAATAACATCTTACATTTATAAAACAACGAAGTTGTGTACAGTAGTGTAATGAATGAATCATGATAACATCTCACTATCGGTAATGTGAAGTTTCAATTATTTTGTACCAAGAATATGTTCACTCATTTCTATCTACTGTTATCAAATGTCGTTTGATCATTGGCTGATGCAACTGCGTATGTATACTGGTCCAATTTTTCACAGCTATTAAAAGTAGAATTCTAGAAATAATTGAAGGTGAATACAAAAATAACAAAAGATAGCTTTCTCTCTCACTTGACATTCGCAAATATGAACGTATCGTTGTTAAAAATAGTTACTATTGTCTTTTCAAAATGAAAAGGTTTTATCATTGTTAATATAATATTATCATTTACTTTGAACTTAATCTGAGGAGACCTGACATTAATGTTTATTTGAAAATGAGTTGACTCTGAATGAATTAACATTGATTGTGTTATCTATTATAATTTGTAAAAGATCAAAATAAAAAAAAGGGTTATTGTAATGATGAGTAGAGTAAAAATAAATGATCAATAGTTTATTTTCAAAACAATTTTACCTCTACTATTTACCAAAGATAGAACACTGCTAAGTGTTTGATTGGTTTGATATTGCTAACAAAAGATGAATATAAAGTTATTTACAATTTTCAAGTGTGAGTAAAGATGAAAAGGTTCTCCAGATTGTTAATGACATTGCCTCAGAGAACTTTGTTTTCTTTTGCAGTTACAACTTTAAACCTCCTAGAAATGTTCAGTTAGAAACAAAATCATATAATTTGAACTTTCTTAAAGGTAAATATTAGAAAATAAAAGATGAAACTATTGAAATGTTAAAGAATATTTATAAATAAATTCCACTATTGTTAGTTCCAACATTTTATTGGCGGTTTGATACAAAATTATTTTAGGATCATCACCTAACCTCTTCCTATTGTAATATAGATTATTAAATTAGAATAGTTTTATTCTTTAACAATATGATAGTCCATTCTATTAATTTAATCGTTGTTTATTCTTTTGACAATTGGAAAATGAACGTTGATTTTATTATTCATTTTGATTCTTGAAAATATATAAAAATTGAGAACTTAAACTCAATAGATATTCTTCGTCGTGATAGTTAAGGTGTAAAAGGTTGAGTGATGGCTCTTGGCATGGAGTAAGTACCTGTGCTTTCCTTCCGGTCTTGATATTCCAAATGTGAACGGCTTTGTTTGGTTCGCTACAGGTGGCTGCATAGGTATTTTTGTTTCTCGGTGATGTGAAAATGGTTGATCGCGAGAGTGAAAGTTGTTGAGTGTCAGTGTATATCGTTCTCACCTCGTCTACGTCGCCTCTGCCCAGATGTTTGAAAACGAAATGACTTTTCTTTGCGTAGGTCGGAGTGGTCTTGAACGACGCCATATAGTAGTGGCTGGTTGGGTCGAAGCTGATATCGGTGCACTGGCCAGCGAGTGTCGACACTGGATAATAGCTGAAATCGTGTAACGACTCTTTCTTCTCGTAATATCCAAGGTTGTTGTTTGCCGCGAAAAATCCACCGCTACTCATTGACATCGGAGAGCAATACGATGTTTGAGTTACACTCAACAATTTAAAAGCAGGACTACCGTTCTTTGCTGGAAAGAAAGATAATGGATTTCTTTTGTTTGTTTTGTTTGGTTGTTTTGAATTTATAATTAATAAAATAGTTTGTTATTATTATTATTATAATGACATTTGTTTTTGGACTTACAAAGTATTTCTCAAATCGAATACAAAAGTCGATTGTGAGGTGGATGAATAAAATATATTTTCATCTTGTTGGTCGAATTCGCATGACCATCCAGGAGAGTGGAGTGGATACGAACAAATTAGATTCTTATTATGTACATTGAAGAGTTTGATTGTTTTATCTTGTGAAACACTACAAACTACATTTGAATTATGATATGATATCTTTATATCTCTAATATGGCTATATTGTTTTTGTTTTGTTTTGTTTTGTTTTGTTTAGTAAAAGAAATAGAGTATTGGTTCTAAAAGAATATGACAAAACAAACTAATGACTTACTCTTTGTGGGCATTATATATATAATCGGATTTACTCGAATCCAAAGAAGATATTTTGACTATTCCATATTTACCGTTGGGTGCACACGATGCCACAACCACACCGTTCTTACCAGAGAAATCCAATACATACGATGCTTTCAGCTGTACAAATGAAATAGCTTCCATATTGAAATCTGTATCTGGATTTACATCTGTTGTTTGGTTCGTACTTGAATTCGATGATGTGTTTGTTGTTGATGTTGTCGATGTTGAAATATATGGATTATTTTGTAAAGTTGATGATGTCGATGCTATTGGTGTCGTTGATGATGCCAATGTTGAATGATTATTATTCAACAAAGGTGATAATAAAGGAATTCTTGATGGTGATGTTGTTGATGATGTTTTTGTTGATAATAATATTGGCGTAGAAACAGCACTACTATTATTAGTTGTAGTCGTCGGAATCTTAATCTGTTGCTTATAATAACTAGTATTATTATTGTTAACAAAAGAATTTGAATTTGTATTTTTAGAATAATATAACATATTATATTGTTGTTCTCTATTTATATATATATAAAGTAGTAGGATAAATACATTGTTAATTAATAATTCTCTATATATGTTTCGTTGAATAGATATATATATATAATTACTTGTGATCAAATTTTTGTTTCAAACTCGATAGTTTCTTTTTGAGTGAATGATTCTCACGTTCGGCAGCATTCAGTAGTTTTCTGAGGTGTAGTGCATCCTCTGTAGGGTCGATTTCACACATCATCGCCTTTGGTAGATATAGCGGTATTAGATCATTCTTTTTATTTACAGGTGAATTACAATTTGGACATGCTCTCTTGGTTTCCAACCATTTCTTTATACATCTAAAAAGTAGAAGAGAATGAGTGTTAACAACAATCGGAAATCAAATGCATTTTGAAAAAAAGAATTAAATTAAAAAAACATTTACCTTTCTCCAAATATATGTCCACATCTTAATGTGCATGCTTTATGATTACCTGATGCATGAAAATAATCTATACAAATATCACATGTTGCTTCCTATCGATACAGTTATTATTATTTGAATTAAAAGTTATTAAAAAATACAATTTAATAAAGTAGATATAGATTTGATATTTACATTTTCAGCAGAGATTGAACTCTTTTTAAATATGAAATCAGATTCTTTCAATTGCAAAACTGATACCTCCGTAGTTGGTGGTGTTATAAATGTTTGGAATGATTGAGTCGGTGGGTTATAATCTGGTACTTTCGGTGTTATTATTTGTTGTTGTTGTTGTTGTTGTTGTTTTTGTTCTTTGTCATTGTCATTGTCTTTAATTAAAGTTTGTGGAGGTGGTGATTCAACACTGGAAATCGGTCTTTTATTATAATTGGGTGATCCATTGTTATTAGTTGTAGATGTAGTTGTTGTGGTTGTCGTTGTAGTAGTCGTTGTTGTAGATGGTATGCTATCAATTATATCTTGTGGTGTAGCAGAGACATGAGATATAAAACTAGTGTCACCGCCACCAACACCACCACCAGCATTACAACTCTCATTATTATCATTGATAAGTGCTGAGTCAGTACTATCATCCAAATTCAATAAACTCGGTTGTCCACCTACTGCTATTGCTCCAGCAATACTATTATTGTTTGAATCAAGTGGTTGTGGTTGCAGTTGTTGTTGTTGTTGTTGTTGTTGTTCAATATCAGTAATGTTATTGTTATTATCGTTGTTATCATTGTTGTTGGTAGTGGTAATTTCGTCAGGTTCAGGTCTTGATCTCTTTGGTGATTGCTTATGAATAATATTAAGATGATTGATATTGTCAACATTTCCACTATCTTGACTATTGCTGGCGTCAATCATTGCCGCTGTTATTGTTAATCCATTTGTAGATGCTGCTGCTGTGGTTGTTGTTGATGTTGTGTTCGATGTCGATGTTGCTAAAGGCAAAATGGTTGTTACAGGTGGAGTAGGTGAGAATATAGGTTGTGTTGATTGATTACTTATAGTAACAAAATGGTTGTCTAACATTGTTGTTGTTGTTGTTGTTGTCGTATTATTTTCATTTGCAATTGATGTGTCTACACTTGTACTGCTCTGAATATCGCAACCATTATTCCTATCCAATACCATTGAATTATCATGATTCTGAACATTCTGAACATTCTGACCACCACCATCACTACCGTTAATAACTTCATCAAAGTTAAACTCTATCTGAGGTGGTGATTCATTATCAAATATAAAATCAATATCTAAAGATTCCTTTTGTTGTTGTTGGATAGATTGTTGTTGTTGCTGCTGCTGCTGTCTTAAATTTGTATTTATATTATTAATATTAGGATTAATATTATTATTATTATTAACAATCCTATTTTTATTGTTTAATAGCAAAGGTATTGCTTTATTAATACCACTATTATTATTATTATTATTATTATTATTTGGTATAATAACACTATTTTTATTACTATTATTATATGTGTTTGTCTTTATAATAGTATTCCTTGTGTTTGAACTATTATTGTTATTAATATTATTAATATTATTGTGAATAGTCGGTGTTGGTTTTAAGGTTGGTATATTGATATTCCTCTTTGGAAGTAGAGGTAGCGGCAATGTTTTTCCAAAACCAAAACCAATATTAGATGTAGAAGGTGAAGAAGAAGAAGAAGTTGAACTACTAATATTATTATTATTATTATTGGAGGTAGGGTTCAACACTCTAATTTTCTTCTCAATATGAGAAGTCGAATTCATTCTCTTTTCTGAACTCTTAATTTCTTCTCTCAATCTTACACTGATCTTTTACTTCTCAATCTAATCTCCATTGAATCGAATACAACAAATTAAGTAATAATTATTAAAAATAAAAGATGCATCCAAAAATTAATAAAAAAAAAAAAAATGAAGGAACAGACTACACCAATTTCCAAGAATTTAGTTTTGAACATTTTTACATTATATTTGGTATGAATTCGATGATGAAGTTAGTGAATGACGATCATCGTTATTATTATTATTATCATCATATTCTTTGTCATAGTTGTTGTTGCTGTTTAAAAGTGTATCGTTGGATTCTGATAGATCTCTATTTCTATTGTTACTGTTATTAGCTTGGAATTGATTTAAATGTTTATGAATAGAATCTTCAGAGGTATCTTCATCGATTTCAGCGTTGTAATGTATGATAGAGTCATCTGCAGATTTAAAGCGATAGGCTATCACCATGAATACACAAGTAAAGAATGCCATCACCGATGCGAAAAATAAATACTCTTGCCATTGTTCTTTCAGATGGATAGCATCCACTACTACCACAACAAACAAATTACCAAAAGCAATTGATAATAGCCATCCGGACATAATAATTGATTTCATACTTGATGGTGCTTGTGAATATGCCTATAAACAATAATAATTAATTAATAATTAATAATAATAATTAATTTATTAACAACTTACAAATTCTAAACCAGTTATAGATATAAATACTTCACCCCATGTCATAATAAGATATTGAATGATTTGCCACCAAACAGAGATTGTATTTGGTGGATTGGCATCGATTTTCAATTGTAGAAACATTGTGAATACAAACGATGCAACCGCCAGCCACATTCCAATAATCATTCGTCTAAGTGGATGGAATTGAATCTATATATATATATATATATAGTAGTAGATTTACACAATGATAAAATGCTTAGTCATATTGATTTTACTTTGATTATTAACATGTTAATAATTGAATTGAATATTTACATTTCTATTTCTTAATGGTCTATATATTAACCATTCACTTAGCGGAATACAAATAAGTACTAACACAGGTCCTAATGTTTGGATTTGTTCGGGTTCCACTGTAATCGATCCAAGTGATAAATTCATTGATCTCGCTTGGAGTGTCCATCTACTTCCAGATTGATCATACACTGTTTAAATAACAATTATTATTATTAATGTAAGTCAATTGATAGTGAATGATGATGATCACAAATTGAGTTAAAGCAATTACTTACTCGCCCAAAAGAATGGTAATGATAAAAATACCAATAAAACGTTTAAAGCAGCTTTCACAGCATCAACTGTATGACTATCATATTTTGATTTTGACTACAAAATTTGTGATTAATTAGTTATTGGTATTATTACCAATTAAATATAAACTACAATATATATATTTGTATATTCATACTCTATCTAACCAATGAGTGACTGGGGTGGATCTACAACTGTATCGTAGTGATAGGAATTTCTCTTTGATACCGAAACCAACGATTTTAGCAGCGGTCAACATAATCGAACCTTGAATGGGTCGTTTTTTATAACGTTTGGCACCGACCACAAAGATTACAGTTGAAATCAAAATCAGTACAGAAGGCACTCCAAATGCAAACCAATATGATATTTTAGCTCTGAAAATCGGTGCCAAGAATGTAGAGAGTGTAGCACCGAAATTAACACTGAAATAGAATATCTGAAACAAACGTTGTAATAAATGTGTTTGATTTCTCTCCAATTGATCACCTAAGAATGTACTAACAACTGGCTATAATAATAATAATAATAATAATAATAATATGGTCGATAAATATATATCCATTCGTGGTGATCACGTGTTTGAAGTAACTACTAACCTTTATTCCACCAGTTCCAACTGCAATTAAACCAAGACCTAAGATTAATGCCCATGGCGATCTCTTCTCGGGATCCTCTCCGATGACACTTGGAGTGGCGGATAACGCCAAGAATATACCACCCACCGAATAAACTAAACTGAAATAGAGAATCGTATAGAATTTACCAATTACACCATCTGCTAAATATGCACCTAACAATGGACTAATAATATAATATATATGTGATTTTATATTACAAATTAGTTGAAACTTTCATGCGTGATGGTTGTGAAATATTTACAGAAAATAAGTAACGAAATTGAATGTATGAAGTGCAGTGGTTGCTTGGTCATCAGAGTACAGCATAAAGGTTGTTAAATAGATGACCAGAATCGTTCTTATACCGTAGAATGAGTATCTCTCACATATTTCACTGCCCATAATAAAGATGATAGAGGTTGGTAGTTTATCATTTGGTGTTGTCGATACTTCATCTCTAGCGGTACTACTTATTTTCTCTTTTCTATTACTACTACTACTACTACTATTACCACTTAAGAATTCAACTGTATCATCATTCTTGATTGGTGTATATTCAGTAGCTATAATTGCACCTCCTGCATTCTTATCTTTACCCATTAATTATTTAATTAATAGTTCGAAATATAAAATAAAATAAAATAAAATAAAATAAAATAAAATAAATTTTAAATGAATAAATAAATAAAATGATACAAATAAATTAAGAATTTAAAAATTACTTTTAAAATAAAATAAAAAAAATATGTATGTATGTTACAATTTATTTATAAGTTTACCACACCCCTTTTTAGTTAACTCCTAAAACAATTTTAGATATTTTTGTTTTTATAAAAACAAAAGTCTGATGAAAAATATAATGAAAAGTGTGGTTTGCACAATATTTTTATATTATTATTACAATTATTATTTTATTTTATTTTATTTATTTTTTAAAAATTTAATAAAGTAATAATTACTAGTAATACAAAGATAAATGATGATTTCAATAAATATCCACTGGAAATGGTTGGATCTTCAGTTGGTTCCTCACCGTTGGTTGTTAGATGTGAGGTGGTCGATGATGTTGATTGGTGAGCAGTAGTAGTAGTCGAGGAAGTCGATTGACTTGAAGTAGTTGATGAAGTTGTGGTTGGTTTTGAAGTTGTTGTTGTAGTTGTTGATTGTGATGATGTTGTTGATGTTGTTGATTGTGATGATGTTGTTGAGGTTGGATTACCATTGTAACCTCCGGTATGTTCGAAATTTACAAGTCCGGCTAAAGCACCTGTAAATCCAGCGTTATAGTCGATTGCTGGTTCGTTTTGAATATAGTTGTCACGAGTGTCGGTATATGATGGATTTTGAATGGAGGGACCACCGATCAATGCTCCGAGTAGTGTGTAGGTGGTTGCCACTGGGTAATTGATGGTTAGTTGTCCGCCACTTGTTTGTGGTACTGGATTGTGAGCAGCACGGTGATGTGGGAACAGCGCATAGTTATTACCGTAGCCAATCACGTAGGATTTCGAGTTTGATGGACATTGACCGAGTACACAATTGACTTGTTGCTTTGCCCAGTTGTTGGAATCGGTGCTGTTCATAACGGCAGCCAAGAATGCTCCACCCATTGAGTATCTGTTGTTACCCCATTGCCAACCATCCTTGCTCGAAACAATGCCATTGGTGAATTTATCTTGATTCGACCAGGTGGTGACGATTGCGTTGGCGAGAGATTGCAGTGAGCTAGAGAATTGTGAGAGATTCGGGTCGGACGACAATGATTTGAATGCCATCATGGCGGCGGCAGAGTATTTAGAATCCCAACTGATAACAACACTCCAAATATCGTTGAAGGCTCTACCTTGAAGTGCCTGGAGACTGCCGGTCAAGTCAGAGTAGTAGGTTGTTGAGGTGGATCTTCCAGTTGCCAAGTACATGCAGATCGATGCCCAGATTTGTTCGTCTTGGTAACCAGAGGAGCTGTAACCTTGTGAGGTGTCTGGAACAACCATGGTTCCGGCTGGACAATTCTTACCGAGAGTATACAACGACTTGGCTTTGGTCAGGAGTTGTGTAGAGTAAGTTGGGTTGGTACTGGCGAATGCAAGCGAAGCCATTGCCAGAGCAGAAGCAGACTGCATGGCAACATCGGTACATTTCTGAGTGTTGTCAACAGTGAAAAGTGTACGTTTGTAATCTATATCGGATGGTTTGTTCCAAGCGCTGTGTGAATTCATTACATCGACTTGTGTTACCAAGTGGTTAGCGTCATAATGAGCATTCATGATCCAATCGGTTCCATATTTCAAGACAGAGAGATATTCATCTTGTAGATGGCACTTGTTTACGATGTTGTCTTGGAATTGGACGTATGACCAACCGAGAGTTGTCATAACGTAGGCAAGTGGAAAAGTGAATTTAATATAATCACCAGCATCGAAATAACCACCGGATAAATCGATTCCAAGATCTTGTCCGTCGTTCAATACGGAATCTGCACGCCATGGAACATCATTATCTGGAAGTTTACCAGCTCTCTGTGCTTTATAGAACATCAACGATGCGTATAGTGGCACACAATAATCGATTCCATTTTGTGCCAGATTTAATGATACAAATACAGATAATAATACAATTGATAATATTATATATTTCATTTTTCTAAATTTAATTTGGAAAATTGATAAGTTTTAAAAATAATAATACAGATATTTATAGATAATGATACAATTGAAAAAAAGATCTATTGATACAAAATAAATATTATATATATTTTTATATATCTTATTTATTATTATTTAGTTGTTGTTATAATTGTTTATATTTTACAAATAAATAAAGTGAAAAATTCTATTGCTTTTATAGTTTGCTTTTAAAATCTTTATATATATTTCAAATGTAAAATTGAGATTGTAATCTTGTTTTGGATAAAAATATGGATTTTCAGTTTAAAGTAATGTAAAATGGGTGGGTGTACTTTTGTTTGAAATAACAAAGATTAATTATCATTAGCAGCTGCAGTTGCTAAAAATGTCTTTTTTTTAAACAGTAGTAGTAGATCGAAAGAATAACACCAAGTGTATATCACCAATTGAAAAATATTAAATATTAAAATTAGGTCCAAATAAAAACCATCATATGATACTCATTCAAGTTGTTGTATTTTGTTTGTGGTGAGTGTGGAGTGCGATACCCATCCCCATCTTTGTAGTCGTCCGACCTCTGTTTTGTATACAAAATATAACAAAATAAAACAAAACAAAACGTTGAAAATTAGTATTGTTGTTGTATGGTGTGATGATTTCAGTTACCTCAAACTCAATTTAACAGCTTTACTAGTTTGCATGGATTTTAAAAATGGTTTATTTTTATCATTATACAATAAATTAAATGGCATGAAAATGACAAAGAGTATTGTTTGACTAATTAAGAGGTGTGAACTATATATCTTTGATGATTGTTTTTGGTAAAAATTAATTTGAATCCTAAGGATTTGTGATCACATTGAAATATGGTTGTTCTGGTGGTGGTGATAACAATAGGCGGATACAATTAATTGTAAGTACTGTGATTCAAAGAAAATTCAATGTGTTCACAATTGTTGATATTATAGTTGTATATGTTATTATTAGATGGGTAGGTAGGAGGTGGAAGCGAGCTCGGTGTAGAATGAATCATTGACCAATTTAATAAATATCACATTGTTTAACAATTCACAAACAACTCACAACTTCTTCACCTTTTATTTGCCAATATTATAATTTGAAGCCAAATATAAATCACTCTCAAAAAGAAGAAAAATAATACCAAACAAAACAAACAGTTGTTTTGTTTACACACCAATCACCATTGCAAGTAGTACTACTAACATAGTTCTATGTTTTTCAGACTGAACGGATTTCAATCCACAAACAAACAAAGTAGTAGTGCTAAAAGACAACAAAACAAAAACAAAAACACAAACAAAACAAAACAAAAACAAATGTGTGGGTATGTTGGTTTTTAAAGTAAAAGTATAAAGAGACCGACCTCCTCTACCTATTAAAAATGGTAAATTTTTGGTCTAATGTCATTAATTTATGATAAAAACAAAAGCAAAGAGAAAGAAATTGTTGTTTTAAACCGACATTATATATAACTCAACTACAATCTACTCTTATGATGTGATAGTGTAGTGTGAGTTGTTTGGTATAAAACGACGATTGTTGTTGTGACTGACAATAATAATATTAATTATTAATCAACATATAGTTCAACGACCGTTAATCAAAAGTTTCGACGATGAATAATAATATAAATAGAATTAGTTTTTTGTTTGTGTGTGTGTGTAGTGGGTGTTGTGTGTTTTGTTTTAATCTGATTGGTTTTAAAAGTTAGTAGTGTGAAATATTTTTTTATTTAATTTTTTATTTAACTATTTTTTCTGACCCACAACAACAAAAATATTATTTTATTTGTTTTTAATTTTTTTCAGATAGTATTTGTGTAGTGTGCTTTGTGATAGATAACAATATTGATGATCAAAGTGAACAATGAAGCGATGAAAAGTTAGCTCTAAATATAGAATGAATGATAAAAATAACTTTAAACAAATATGTTCAAAAATCACAATTTTAGTTTAATTAATTAACAAGATCTAGATATATCACAACTAATCTAGTCGGTAACCAATAATTAGTAAGATTTGTGGTTAATTTATCTACACATATCTATCTTATCCTTAGAGTAGTTGGAATAAAAAAAAGATCTATTTTTAAAATCAACGACACAAAAAAAGAGAAATGAAATTAGATGAATTTCAATCATTACTACTTACAAATAAATAAAGTTAGATAAAGTTAAAATAACAATTATCTCACCTTTGCGAACTACCAAAATTAATTTAAACAATTGTTGATCAAGATTTTTACAAAAAATTATCAAGACTGAAGATATTTTTAACCAAAAAAAGATTGAATTTTTTTATTTGGGTTAGTTATTCATTATTTTTATCGTTATATTTTCTGGAATCTTTAATTCTGGTTTAGTTTGGTTTTCATTCGGTTGGTTGGTTATAAAAAGATTTTTAATTCTTGAAAAAATACTTTTAAATAAATCTTTATAGCTTTCAAAAATTGTTTTATTCACACAATAACAATAAAACAGTCCAATTCCCTAGAAGTATAAATATATTAATAAATTGGTGAATCTACTTATTATCATTTTCTTATAAATACCTCAAGTGGTAAACATAAATTATAGAAGAACCAATAGAGAATTGAATTCTTTGAGAAATATGCAATAAAAGTTATTAGAAAACTAACGAAACCTAGAATTCCTGTAGATACAAATATTGATAGATGAACTTTTAATTCTTTTGATTTATCTTTTCTATAGGTTGCAGGTGTATTCTTTAAGATATATCCAATTTTAAATGAAAGTACAATATATATTGTCATGTTCACTACAAAACAAATTAAACCTGGAACATATAAACCTAAAATATACCATAGATCGCCTACAATAGAACAACTTTTAAAATAACAATTATTAAAAGGATTTTAATTTAAAATTAATTATGGATTTGAAATTATTTTATTTAATAATACAAACTGGTCACTAACAACTCCATAATTTCTTTTGATTGCATTGAATAAACAATCAATAAATGGAATTCCATATACGATTAAATGATAGTAAATTTCATAGTTTTCTGCATCTTTGTTATTTTTAATAAATACCTTTTTTTTATTATAAAAAAATAAAGATTTATTTGTTATTTTTCTTCATTGCCATGATGAATTGAATTTTTAATGAACATACTTGATAGAAATTGAATGCAACACAAGTGTTCCACAAAATAACATTTAAATAAAAATAATGGTGAACTATACTATTTCCAATACATACTTCGGACCCTGCTTTGAATGAAAATGATAAAACAACAAATAAATATTGGATACACAATGAGTAACAGAGATAAACTATTAATTTAAGTTGAAATGTTCTATGTTTTTTGAAAATGACATAAGTAATAGTTGTAAGTATTGAAAAAAAAGATGAAATAAGCATTAAGATATGGACAATAGGTGTAAACATTGTTTTATTTTAGTTTTACTTTGAGAACAAATTCCAACTCAATAAATTAATCAAATTATAATATAACGATAATAATATATTTAATTAAATCAAAATATCATATTTAAAATCGTCGAGTATTGATAGTGCTTGATTTCAATTTGATGATCAAATAAGTGATACCATCACTCACTATTCATTCATTGTAGTAGAATTCAATTTTACCTATTGATTTATAGATAATAATAATCGAATCTTTTGTTTTTGCAAATTAATAGCATTTCTCTTGGATGATTTGGTATCTCATCAACTTACCCTATTATTATCATATATTAAAATTGTTGTCTCTTCATTGTGTGTTGATATATAATAACAAATACTAAAACTTGATGAATTAATTTGATCAAAATAAAAATTGTTTTGTTGTTTTTACACCACGAAGATGTTAAAATTATTTTAATTATGTTTTTGTTTATTTGTTGAAGAAAATCATAAATAATAGTAATCATTGTGTTGTTTATTATTCGAATTGAATAAAACAAAACAAAATAAAAACTGTGGGGTGATCTTCTGTTATTTTCATTTCATTTTTGTTTAACACATTTATCTTCATTCACATAACTGTATGATTGGTTAATATATAATAGATAAATTAGTTAGAACTTGTGGTTTCAAAAAACAACTCTTGGTTAAACATACATAGATTTAAATATTGGTTATTTAAACTCTATTTATTTTGACATTTAAGATTTCGGGAGAATCAACACCTATGATCAAAAAAAAAAGTTATTAATAGTAGTTATAATAATAACTCCCATATATGGAATATAGAAGGAAATAAAATTGTTGTTATTTATTTAATACTTTAATTTATTTTTAAAAAAGAATTTATTAAAAGCTACTATGTTCTTTTCTTTTTATTTTTTTTAAATTCTTCAATTTAATTTAAACTAACTATATAATCATGAATAATATAATAAAGATTTTAATATTATTTATAGGATTATTTATAAGCTATTCCAATTCATCTATATATTTATCACAAAATAATAATGGAACAATAAAAGTAGTTCAAACAATAGAACTAGGAGGACAAATAAAATTTGGAATTCAAATTGAAAAAGGTAAAACAAATACCTTTATGATAGACTGGGATCCTTTGGAAAGGAACTATACTTCAAACTTTACGATCACAGGTAGCGTTGGTGTTGAGGAAACAATGGATCTAGATATTGAATATCAAGAAACAAAAGTATTCATTGGCATATCAACTCCATTTGAATTTGAATTCTATGGAACCTTAAAAGCATACGTAAATATTACTTGCAAAAATCAAGAATCGAGTGGAGATTATATACTCTCATTGACACCTTCAAAGAGTCCGGGATCACCAAAACCTTTGAATGAACCATCAGAATCATCTTCCGATAAAGAATTTACAAATCAAAGATCAATAATTATGAAAGGTGATTCAAATCGATTATACCCATCTCTACTCCTATTACTTGTATTATTATTTACAACAACAACAACAATTTTAATAAAGTAAATTTTAATTATTTGTTTTTCTTTTTAAAGTACAAGTCTTAAATGTTAAATATTTTCGAAAGAAATTCAACTCCATCATCACAATTTCCTAGGATAAGAGTATCTCTACTTCCTCTTGTTTCTATTCTTAGAGTTGGTTGATCTTGATTGCTGTTGCTATTGTCGTTGTTGTTGTTCTCGTTTGATTGCAAGTCAGTTACACCTCGGAATGGTCCTACAGCCTCTGAATTAATGAGAATTCTCGGTCTCTTTGGATCAATGTCGTTTGGCAATCCACCGAATGGATAGACCTGTAGCGATGATCCCATGACAATGAGGAGATCGGCATCTCTCAGGTCAGAGATGGCACGCTGATGGAAATAAGATGGGAGAGGTTCACCGAAGAATACAACACCCGGACGCAATACCTCACGACAAGGTCTATTGCCACAGATCGGTGTTCCACCACGACCAATTTCTTTCCACACCGATTGTAAATCCTTCTCCTCTTTACCACAACCGGTGCAATACCAGTGGAGGAATGATCCGTGTGCATGTACGATTCTCTCCTCTGGAATGCCAGCCTTCTCATCGAGATTATCGACATTCTGGGTGAAGTTTCTCAGGAGGAGACCACGCTCGTTGAGTCGCGCAATGAATTCGTGTGCTTTCGACGGTTTGAACTCGCCCGTCACCACCGGATAGAAATACTCTTTGACGCCACTGTAAAATGCGTCGGGATCGTCCAGCAGTGAATCCATCGAGAATTGGAATGTCTTTGAACGATTGTAAATACCGTCCTTTGTACGATAAGCTGGAATTCCCGAGCTAACACTTATACCAGCACCCGTAAGGAATACAATGTTTTTAATTTTACCCACCTCGATATCGTGTGCGATTCTCTTTAGTCGGTCTTCGCCCTTTTCAGCGTTCCTGTCTTCCAGCTCGGCGGCATTGTCATCTCTGCTCCTAGCTATCTTTTTTTTATTTACATCGAAAGTATCGAGAAACTCTGATTGATTCTTTGCACACCAATCGCTAAGCATCTTTAGAGCTTCGAGATTGTTGAGATTAGCACAATGATGAAGAGGTGTCCAACCCGAGATATTTTCAAGTGTGGGATTTGCCCCGTTTTCCAAGAGCAACGGTATCAATTCGTTGGCTTTCTCACCACTGTTACAACAGAGAATATGAAGTGGAGTGGCGTTTCCGGCGTCGGCAGCATTGACGTCTGCGCCGGCATAGAGCAACGCCTCGATAACCTCACGATGTGAATCGACTGTCGATGTCACCAGATTGCAAGACAAGTGTAGCGCTGTCGATTTGTCGTTGTCCACCAGGCTGGCGAGTGAACGGTCATAAGCCAGGATTGCACGCACTGCGTTGGCATTCGACTTTATACATGCGTCGTGAAGCGCTGTGTTTCCAAATCGATTGAGCAGCTTGGTGTTAGCCGACGAATGCATCAACAAGTCGATTCCCTCTACGAAATCGACGACCGCCGCTATATGAAGTGCAGTACTTCCATCCTTCTTAACGGCATCCACTTCCGCACCGCTATCCAACAGTAGTCTCATCAATTCCAAATTCTTTCTCAACACTGACAAATGTAATGGTGTTGAACCATGTATATTATATTGATTTACCAATTGATATTTCTTATTCTTTTTCTTCTTCTTTAGTTCATCTTCTTCTTCCTCTCCTTCTTTTCCTTCTTCTCCTTCTTGTTCCTTACTCAATCTATCCAAATAACTAAATATCAATCTTACAATATCGATATATTGATTGGAAGTTGCCAAGTAGACGACTGACTCCAATGATGAACTGGTTAACAAACAATCAACATTGTCTTTTAGTAGCAATGATTTAACAATCTCTAGAAATCCATTGCAAGATGCAATATGTAATGCAGTATAACCTTTATCATCTATTGTAACAAATGTAAACATTAATAAACTTTATAATAATAATAATAATATTGTAAATACAAACAACTTAACTTACTTTGTACATTTACATCTATATCAGTTTGTAAGAGAAGATCAACGATTGCATGATTACCTTTCGACACAGCAACATGTAATGCATTCCACTTTGCATTATCTGTGAATTCCAATATCGATTTAGTCAATCTATCTTCATTTATCAATTTAAATATTGAATCCTATTAAAAATAATAAACTTTATTAATATCATTTATAACAACAAACAAACAAACAACAATAATAATAATAGTAGTAACATACATAATCTTCAAGATAACAATATCTTAAAAGATCATTCCACTCTTTTGGAAATTTCTCTTCTGTTGTGGTGTCAGAAACATCTGTATCTGCGCCGGTAACCTTTTTCTTTGATACCCAAAGCTTCTTTAAAAGATAGGTACTCAATAGAATTGAAGTCGCAGTCGCTGCAATCTTTACACTTAGATTGCTATCCATCTTTCTTTTCTAGAATAAAATAAAATAATAAAATCTTATTATAAATAATAAACAATATTATATACTATTGATATCTATGTAAATATATATACTATACAAAAAGTTAAAAAAAAGTTAAAGGTTGAAAGTTTAATTTAACTTTTAAAAAAAATGAAATCATATTTTATTATCTTTTCTCATTTTATAATTTGATATTTTTCTTTGAACTTTTTATCTGTAATTTCGAGTTTTTAAAAAATTAAAAACAAATAAATTATTTCAATGAATGTGATTACATTTGCATTTCTATTTTATTAACTTCTTTTTTTCGAAAATAATATTTAATATTTTATTTACTAAACTTTTGTAAACAAATTAATAAAATAAAAACAAGTAAAAAATAATCAATCACAAACTTTAATTTTAGATATTTACTTGAAAATTTCTGGGTTTGTGATTTTTTTTCTTTGATTGATCTTTTTATCCATTAATTGTTTTTTTTTTTCTTTAAATCATCTGACATTTTACAAATTAAATATTTATATTATTATTTTACTAAAAGACACAGAGATGGAAAGTAATAATAAAATTGATTCATCCTTTAAATCTATTTTACAATCAAAAATTTTGAGAAATTATATATTTAGATGGATAAGAGTAATCAATAGGAAGGGTGAAGTCGATTTAGAATCGGATTACGAACAGTTTGGGGATTCCACGGAAATTGGTATTTACAGGTGGCCACAACTGATCAACGAGCATTTGGATCAGCTAATACGCTTTGGCTACGTAGAGGAATTTAAATTGGAGTTTACCAAACGCTTTCAATCACTAGATAAAAAACAATACAACCGGTTGATTGATATACTATTTCAGAAGCGACGATTGGATCTCTTGGAATTCATGTTTGATATCTGTTTGAAATTCATGCCCTTCAATGTCTATGAGATCAACGATATCTTCAAACTTGCATGTAAAGTCGGTCGCATATCACTGGTAGATCTTATTATCAATAGGATGTTTATCGATTTCGATGGTGATCCACTTTTGATGAACCGATTGGTGAAACGTGGCTATACAGAAGCAGCGGAAAACTGTCAGCTCGAATGCATTAAATTTCTGAAAGCGAATTTCACAACACCACCCGATGTTTGTTTGACAACCAATGCAATGGATCAAGCTGCTAGTAAAGGTCAGTTGGGTGTTGTTGTTTGGCTACACGAGAATACCGATCCATCGCTTGAAGCTTGTACCACAAGCGCTATGGATAATGCCGCGATAGAAGGACACCTTGAAGTAGTAAAATTTTTGCATCACAACAGAACGGAAGGTTGCTCAGAGAATGCTGTTGATCTATCAGCGAGTAAAGGCCACTTGGATGTTGTGAAATTTCTGATTGAAAACAGAACTGAAGGATCTTCATCTTTTGCAATTGAACTTGCCGCAGCCAATGGTCACCTGGAAGTACTTAGATACCTTCATGCCAACTCCATTTCTGGATGCACCACAAACGCGCTAAACTTGGCTGCAAAGAATGGATATTTTGATTGTGTTCGCTTCCTAAGTGAAAATAGAAGTGAAGGTTGCACACAACTTGCGATGGACTATTGTGCATCCAATGGATTCTTTGATATTTTAAAAGTAAGTCTAAATTAATTATTAATCCTAAACCGTGTCAATTTATTAATTGATTATATGTTGTCTTTAATTATAGTATTTACATTTCAATAGAACTGAAGGTTGCTCAGAGAATGCAATTGATCGTGCAAGTGCAAAAGGCTACCTGGAGATCGTTAGATTTTTGAGAGAAAATAGAACGGAGATGTGTAGTTACCATGCTATTGATGGTGCAGCTGGAAACGGACACCTAGACGTATTGAAATATCTTCACGAACACACGAATGCTGGATGTAGTCATCAAGCGATGAACCAAGCAGCTTGCAATGGCCATTTCGAAACTGTAAAGTTTCTCCATGAAAATACAACCTTCCGTTGTGATGTGCAGGCGATGGACTTAGCCGCATCGAGAGGTCGCCTTGAAATCTTGAAATTTCTTCATCACAATCGTAGTGAAGGTTGCTTGTATACGGCAATTGACGGTGCTGCAAACGGTGGACATCTCGATGTAGTGGTTTTCCTATGTGAAAATAGAACGGAAGGTTTCTCGAGGAATGCGTTAGAATCAGCGAAAAGACATCAATTCAAATCAATCTACCGATATCTGCAATCAAAAACACATTTACTTGTAAATGAAAATCGTAGTGGTGGTGGTAACTACTACTCTGACTTCGATTAGTGGGGTGAGCGACGAACCGAATAATAATAATCATAAATCTTTTTTTTTTACAACACTCCACCACCTTTCACCACAATTCACCACTACTCACCACACTTTTAAAAATCGCTAATCAATAAACGATGATTTTCAGCTATGACTCTGGTGAAAATGGTGAAATGTTTTCTTTTTTTTTTACAAATTGTTACCCAAACCACCACATGCACCATCATCTGGGAATTGTGTTGAAGTGGTGGTTGACAATTATAGATATTTATGGTGATTTTGGGGATTCTTCTTTTTGTTATTATTATTTTTACTTTTTTTTATTCCCAGTGTAACTCTTTAACAATAAATGTACTCTCCCTTGCTCTAATATAGTGTAATATTTCATCAATCAGATCAATTCACAGTTAACCAAAAAAAAAAAAAAAAACTTTTTAAAATTTTTTTTTTTCAGCAAAATAAATGATGACACGGATGATGTGCACAGATTCTTTGGTGTACAAAGAGGGGTCTAAAAGTAAGAGTATTTATAATAAAAAAAAGATAAGAAATTTGAAGATGTTGGATTGGAGAAATTTAATAAAATAAAAATAAACATTTTAAAAAAAAACAGACCTACATTCTAGCTACAACAAAAACAACAGCACTATTGCTAATTATTAATTCACAGTAACCAGACTAGATTACACTTTATCTATTTTACTTAGTTTAAATCATTTAACTTTTTGTTTACAAAGTATACCACCAGCACAGAGAAGTTTTTTTTTTTTTTTTTTTTTCTCTAATCTTTACATATTTAAAGTGAAAAAAAGATTTTGTACATATCATAATTCACATATACAAACAATCACTAGATTAATAAATATAATATATATATAAAGATAAAGAAAGAATAACAATATTTTATAGTAATAATAATAATATTAATAATAAAAATAGTTTTAAAATAGTTTGTTGTGAGATTTGATTAAAGATTATTATAGATTTAAACAACGTAGGAACGAACAAAAATAAAAACAAACACACACACACGCACATACAACAATAACACCCACCACAACTTCAAATAAAATAGTAGATTCGGTTCAACTTTGATTTTCTATTATCATTGCTTTGATAATCATAGTGAAACAAACAACAAACATTAGTTACCAACACAAAGAAAAGAAAAGAAAAGAATACAATTAATTTTCTCATAACTTGACTAGTAGTAGCTACGCTTTTTTTTTTTTGTAGCGTTCGAAGTCAAGACAAGACAAGGCAAGATATTTTAAATTAATTTTGGGTGGTATTTCGTTTACTCCTCGGCGTTACCAATAAATCGACAAAACACACACACACACAACTCCGGTCGGCAAAACTCAAGGAAGATCGTCGTTGTCGTTGTCTTGTTTATCGATATAAAATCAGTTGCATAAGGTAAAAAAACAAAAAAAAAAACAACAAAAAATGAGAAAAATAGTTTGTTTAAAAAAATACTTGCTCAAGTTATCTCCTACACCTTTATTAACCTTAATTTGATCTATTTTTCATCGTTTTTTTTCTTTTTTTTTTATTATATTAATTTTAACAATACTTACTTACTTTTACTTTACTTATCATTCTCTAATTCATTCTTTTATTTTATTTTATTTCTCTCTCTTTTTATATTCTTTTTATATCTCTCTTTCTTTTTCTTTTTTTTTTTTTTACTTTTTTTGGATAATCACAATAAATATAATCAACCACATTATCATTATCATTTTATCATTTTTTAATTTAGTTTTGATAATTTGAAATGAGATATTGAAGGGTTAAAATTTGGCAAATATATCAATATATTACCTCAACATACATATATACAACATCCAATCCACATAAATATAAATAGACATTTATTTATTTTTTTATTTAGTTTAATTTCAGTTTACATTATTTAAAATAATTGAAAGTAAATAGCTAAAGCAATAGTTAGTTTTTTTTATATAGTTACAAATAATATAATATAATATTAAAAATGACAGAGAATAGTAATAATAATAATAGTGATACTACTACTAATATTAATAATAGTAAACCAAAATCATTTGAAAATGTAATGGAAATAACAAAACAATTAGTAGAAAGATTAACCACTCAGAATGATCAAAAGATAAGATCATTACATAATCATAAGAAGAATAAAGAAGATAATAATAGTAGTAATAGTACAAATAACAATAGTAATATAGTAGATAAGAAAAAGAATCAATATATAGATACAAAATATATTACAATATTAAGTTGTAGGTGTTGAATTGAATTGAACGTTCATATTTTCTTGCATTCATTTTTACTTATTTATTTTTGCAATATCCGCAGTTTCAAAGAAATTGATACAATTATCATTGTTTCAATATAGATCGTTTGTAAATGATGAGAATCTGCTGGTGTTGTTTAAAAAGTATGGACGTTACATTGGTAGTTTGGATCTCTCAAAGTGTAATCATTTCACAGTGGAAGCGCTCATCGATATGTTGGAGTACCTGCCGAATCTCAATGCGCTAAAGTTGCAGTTTTGTTCGCAACTGACCTGTGAGAATCTAGAGAGACTTCTTCAGCTGCAGAAAGAGCGATGCTCCATCAAGCATTTGGATATCAGTTTCAACGCGATGCGCTCACTGATACGCTCGCGTCTCCAGTTGAATCCGAATCTCAGTTTGATCAGTCTGATGCACTCGCACATCTCGGACGACGATGGTGTTGCACTGCTCGACAGCGTCAAGGGCAATGAGTCGCTGTTCAGCTTGAATCTCAGCTTCAATTCGATCTCTGACAAAACGATGCATGCCATCGCCGAGTTGATGTCGCGCGACTCCACTCTGCGCGAACTCAATCTCGCTACCAACAAGATATCGGACGTTGGAATGCTAGAGTTTGGCGCTGCTCTTGCCTATAATAATCATATACAGATACTGGATTTGAGTAGTAATTTCATCCAGGACCGCGGTGGTGTCGCCATTGCCAAGTCGTTGGCGCTCGACTCCTCGGTACAGAAGCTCGACTTGTCGGCGAATGACGTCGGCCCACAATGTGGAATCGAATTTGGTCGATCGCTACTCGTCAACAAAACACTTACCTCTCTCAATTTGCATAGAACAATGATTGATACAGAGGGTGGACTGGCGCTATGCCAGTCGCTCGCCACCAACCAGACACTCCTATACCTCGACTTGGGAATGAATCAACTGGAGAACGTAGTTGGTTGTGCCATTGGCGAGTCACTCAAGAAGAACAGATCACTGCACACTCTGATACTAAAGAGGAATCAATTTGGAGATCAGGCTGCACACGCCATTGGCGATGCTCTCCAAACGAACCATACACTCACTTCACTCAATATCTCTGGCAATCAAATCGGACACAAAGGTGCGAAATCAATCGCCTATTCACTGCCGCTAAACAAAACATTGCGCGATCTCGATCTCAGCTACAACATGATTGGCGATGGCGGTGGAAAGCTGATTGGTGAGGCACTCGGCACCAACTCCTCACTCATTAAACTCAATCTGGCGGCGAATCGTATCGGCTCTGAATCGTGCAAATCGATTGCACAGTCCATATTAAACTCAACATTCAATCCAAATACACAACAACACATTGACCAGCTGAATAACAGCGGCAACCTGACGGAATCCGGCAGCACACAAAGTCCACCTCATACCACTCAGAGTGTCCAATGTTCACATCTCCAACAGCAAATCACACAACAACTGGCAGCCAATATGCGTATTAGTTCCAGTCATGTCAATCTGAGGGGTCTCAACAACAACAATAACAACAACATTGGTAACATCGGCATCGGCAACATCGGCAACAACAAGACCGGTAAGAGTCCACTGTCTTACTCCGTGCCGAATCTCGAGCAATTCTCAAGTGGTAAGAGCACTCTTTCCAACTTTGGTTTGGTTGATTCTCGATAGTAATCGTGTTGGCGACGAAGGTGCCATCGCACTCTCACAGGTCATTGCAAACAACCCACCACTTCAAACGATTTCCCTCGTATCCAATCTCATTGGAGAGTCGGGTGGTCGTGCCATTGGTGAATCACTCAAGTACAACACCAATCTTCTCTCACTGACACTAGACTCCAACCGATTGGGACCGGACGGTGCTAAATTCATATGCCAAGCACTGAAGAACAACGGTACACTCACACATCTCGGACTCAGTGGAAATCACATTCAGGATCAAGGCGGTCAATATATCATAGATGCACTCGATCTCAACTCCACTCTCAAATCTATTTTCATTGCCAACAACGATATTTGTGATAACATAAAAGAAACACTTGAAGCAATTCCACAATGCACAGAGTCATAATAACATTAGATTCATTATCAATATATAATTTATAAACAATTTTTTAAATAAAAAAATCAAAAAAAATGTATGATAAAAAAAATAAATTACAAAATGATAATGTGAGAAGTTCATTATCAATTGAACACATTTCAAACACATTCTCACGCAACACACACACATAAAACACAAACAACACTCACTAAAATTTTATATTAATTACCACACTTACACTTCTCAACAAACAACACTTACTTACTTAGTTTTCATATGATATGATTTGATATATTCATAGTAGCCACTGTTCAACACATATATCTAATACAAAATTGTTGTGGTGATAATATATAATAATGGGTGTTTATAAACACTTATATATACTTACAACTATCATCAATTCATTCATTATCTATATTGTTACTTACAATGAATCAAACAATGAATGAAAGTGTACTCTATCTGGAGTATCATTGATGATAATAAAAATAATCCTGATCATTCATATGCAATGTAAATTATGCTGTGATAAGTTTGATGGCATATGAAATTTAATATTAAAAATGCAACAAGCAACAACGGAACAACTGTTATCATCAATAATATATGTAGCAATCACCACATTGATCACTATCTAAAACTTACTTTACTACTAGTATCTAATGTAATTACATTAATAAAGAAAATATTAAATTATAATAAAATGAGAGTAAGCATAACAAACAAGTACTGTAATCAATCAAACAAAATTATTATTTTTCATTATTAAACTAACTAACTAATAATATTTTTAGATAGCTAAATAAAATTTATTATTATACTTTTAAAATTACAAAAAATAATATAATTTAATTATTATATAGTATTTTTTTAAAAGGTAAATATCAAATCAATCAATCAATCAATCAATCAATTATTCTCTATTTCCATTCTAATTCTTATTTTTCCACATATCTAATAATATATATAGGATCTTTGTAATAATAATAGGAATATAATATATTATATTAATCATGATCAACAAAACAATATCATTGGTGCTTGTGGCACTGATGTTTTGTATGATGGTCCATTCGTTGGAGTTGGAATTAGTGTCACCAATTCCAAGAGCACCGGTTCGTGGTGATACTTTTGCGCTTTCCGTTATGGCTTTCGAGGATTTGAATGGCGACACGAAATACCAACCAGGTGAACCACCCGTTCCCGGTGTTTTTATTTATCCAAGCATGAATGCTACACACGTCGATCTCTATGGTAACCAAATTCCCAATGTCACTCTCTCTGCCAACGGTACCTACATCTACGATATGCTTGGTGATGTCAGATTGTACGTTTTCAATTTCGTCAGTCAACCAGGTTGGCTGTTCCGTTCGTATCCAAAGACGGTAGAAACCCAGATCCAATTCATCCAGCAACCGGACGCCCTCAAAGCGAATTTCTTGCTAACTCCCGATTCGTTCCATGCACCGATGTACCGTGCCGACACCCAACTGCCAACCACTCTCAGTTTGCAGTTGAACATCACCACCCCCGATCCAGTCAATCCGACCACCCAGACAGGCGCACAAAAAACAACCGCTCAGTTTGCCACTGCCAGTTCGTCAACTGCCTGGGGTGGAAGCGACAACCCAAAAATGGCCATCTACGGTTGGTACTACTACGATGTCAACAACAACGGAATCTGGGACAGCGGAGAAATCGGTGTACCCAACGTACAGACCTACATCGTCGACTGGACTGGACTCAATCCAACCGGTCAGAACAGCACCCCAGTTGCTACACCCACTCAATCGACTGGTAACGGTCGTTTCCACTTTGACAACTTGAAGCCAAACTACTACTACCAAATCATTGCTTCCAACCCGGCTGGCTACACTTTCGGTAAGCTCAACACTGATTTCGTATGTAAGGGATGCATCCGTCCAACTCTGCCAGGCGATAACTCCAACTCGCAATTCATCTCAACACTACCCGCCTACACACATCCCCTTGGTTGCTTCACCAGGTACTCCAGCGGGATCCACCAACATTCCTCTCAACACCTATATTACCTATCCAGGTGATCTCAACAAACCATATCCACCACTCAGCGCCAACTACGCAGTTACACTCGATGGTTTCGTCTACCACGACAAGAACAACGATGGTTTCCACCAGGGAGGTTATGAATTCGGTGTTCCAGGTGCCATGGCCAGCATTATCGATGTCGCCACCAACAAAACACCGGTCATTGGTTTCTCAGGCTCCGCCGTCGCTCCAAACCCAACACCATCCAGTGCTTTCGGTTGGTACCGTTTCGACGATCTCATTCCATATCACACCTACCGCATTCGTTTGACCAACCCCGCCGGTTATAGATTCGGTAAGATCTACCCAGATTACTCGTGCAACGGTTGTGTCCATCGTCCAACTCAATACGATCAACCGATCAAAGGAAAATACATCATAACACTACCGATTTTCAAAACACCGCTCATCAAATCCGAAGGTTATCCCGCCGGTATGGATGAGATGGACTTTTACTTCTACGTGCCACCCATCGAAGGACAAGACAGCAATCCAGTGACACTCTATCCAACTGCCACTGTCAAGCCAAGTGGTGCCAGTTCCAACTCGGCCACTCTCATTCCAACCTCTGCTACCGCCACTCAAACCGGTGATCCAACTAACAACCCAACCAACAAACCAACCGTCACTCCAACCACCGATATGACCAACTACCAAACTACCAACCCAAGTTCTGGACAAGTCACCAATGTTCCAACTGGTGATTTGACATATATCTTAACTTCTACAAACACCTCGGTTTCTCCAAGTACCAACTCCACTACCTCTCCACCAATAAAGGACAGCGGTGCTTTCACTACCAATTTGTTTGTTGATGGCAATGGTAATGGTATTAAAGATAACAATGAGAAACCAATTCCAAATACAGTTGTGTATTTGTTGGATGGCAGTGGTAAACCGGTTCTAGATAAGGATGGTAAACCAGTGCAATCAATCTCTGATGAAAACGGAAAAGTTACATTCCAAAATGTTCCAAACAACCAACCATACTATCTCTACATCAAGCCAGTTCCAAATGGATTGGTTGATCCAGGTCCCATCGGTCCAATCAGAATTCCAATCGATGGATTGACAAGACCATCGGTTCCTGGTGACAATGTTGTCAATCCAACCATCACTCCACTCGGTGACTATGGTTTGTTCCCAGCCGGACCAAACGACGGAAAGGGTGATGTCGGTGGAACCGTCTTTTACGATCCAAACTTCAACAGTCTACAAGACAATGGAGAACCAGGAATCTCTGGTCTTCAAGTCATCGTTTACTCTCCAGTCTATGGATATCCAATTGGATCGGCCATCACCGACGCCAACGGAAAATGGAAGATTCCAGGTCTCAACCCCAATATCCCATACCGTATTGAGTATGTTGTTCCAGATTACTTGGTATCGACCGGTGCCGCTTTGGTTAGATTCGTCAGAGGTGGTGATAGCAGCTTGTCTCTTGGTTTGGTATATTACAACCAGACCGGTTCCGATAAGGGTAACAACTACCCCAAGTCATTCGCCACAACATGCTTTGTCAAGGGTGCCAACAACGGTCCATACAGAGATCACACTACCGTCGTTGCATTCTACAGTAACGCCGTTGGAAAAGGATACGAAGCCGAAGGTTCACAGTATATCTACAAGATGGCTACCCACGGACAAGTCGGTGCCGTCAACGGTATCGCCTACGACCCCAAGACTGGTGACACTTTTGTTTCCGCCTACCACAAGACTGGTAGTGATATCGGTCCATATGGAACCGGTGCTATCTACAAGATCAACAGTAAGCTCGGTATCACTGTATACGCCAATTTGAATGCACTCTACGGTACTCAATACTGTGGTCCATACACCCATTCCTTCGATTACCGTGAGCGTGATGTTGCCGGTCCATGGGTCGGAAAGATTGCTTTCGGTGAAATGATTGCTACCAACGATTATCTCTACGTAACCAACTTGTTTAGAAACGATATCGTCTCGATTCCACTCCGTCAAACACCAACTGCTACCAACGTTGTCGCCATCAACGTACCCAATCCAGGATGTAGCGCTCCAAACGACTGGCATATCTTCCCAGTTACCGTCTACCAAAACGATTTGTACACTGGTGGTGTCTGTGCTGGTGAACTTGGATCGACTCTCTCCACCTACATTCTCAAGTATGACCGTGCCAACAAGAAGTTTATCAATGTCCTATCGTTCACTATGAACTACGCTCGTGGTTGCCGTTACATGGATAACTTTGCCAACTGTGTCGGTTCACAATGGACTCGTTGGACTGTTACCGATACCGCCCAGCCAATGCTCACCTCCATTATCTTTGATGATTTGGGTCACTTGGTTATGGGATTCAAGGATCGTTCCGGAGATATCGGTTCCACAGTCTCTGCTCCAGATATGTTGGTCGCCTGTCTCTCACCGACCGGTTACTACTTCCTCGAGAACAATGGTGTCTGCGGTGGTTACCTCGGATCCAGTCCAAATCAAAAGTCACTCTCTGGACTCTACTTTGGTCCAGGTGGTGGTCAGTACTTTGACGTCAAGAAGCCAGGTATCCACGACTACATCTCGTCGTTTGCCGCTGTCAAGGGTGGTCCTCAGGTCATTGTTACCACTGGTTTCGATATGTACGAAACCTTCGAAGGTTCGATCCGTTGGTACAACTCAACTACCGGTCGTGTCCTCAAGGGATTCTCGCTCTACATCTCAGTGTCATCGAAGGCTCCAACCTTTGGAAAGTCCAACGGTCTCGGAGACATCACTGCCATCTACGATAGCTCCATGGACCAAACTCAAGTCGGTAGAATCTGGTGGGATACCAATCTCAACGGTATTCAAGATGCTAACGAGCCAGGTATTGCCAACATGACATCCTACTTGATGGTGCCAACCTCCAACAATCCAGTTGCCATTGTGAGCACCGACAACAACGGTTACTCTATCTACCGTGTCCAACCGAACACTCAATACGTTTGTCTTATCCCAGCTTCTGAACTCGCCAAGCTCGGTCCAATTGCAATTTCACCAAAGAATGTCGATCCATCCAAGAACGGTCCATACAAGGACAGCGATGGTCAATTGGTCAACGGTAATCTCCTTGCAGTCTTCAAATCACCAAGCTACGGTGGTTACTATTTCGACAATTGCCACTTTGGTATCTACTCAAAGAATGCTCCAGTATACCCAAAGTAAACTAAATTCCCATCTTTTTTTAAAACAATCAAATTTCATTTAAAATATTAAATATTTCAAAGATTATATAGTTAGTTAAATAAACAAAAAATATTTATCTTAATATATTTAAAATTGTTTATTTAATTCAAAAAAAAATTAAAAAAGTGAGTTTTGTCTTCTCGTGGTGAGAAGGATTTTGTTGTTGTGATTATTATAAAAAGATAAGATGACAACAAAAGAGATATTAGATAAACAGAAAATATATAATCAAGATGAACTTAATTATATGAAGAGAGATGACTTGGTAAAGATAATGAAAGAATACTCATTAAAACATAGTGGTTCCTAAAGAAAGTTATGTTAATTGATGCGATCATTAAACGACAAGAACATCTCAAAGATTTGAAATCAAAGTTGGTTACAGACAACTCAATCGAAAAGTATCATCGTGGAACTGTTGAATATCGATTGCCAAAATTGATCATCTCTCGAATCATTCGTGATCTCTGGCATGATGATATCGATGTGATTTTGAATACAAATCAACTTTGTTCAAACTACCGATGGCTGCTCTCTATTGGTTTGGTTTCGAAAGAGTTATACAAACTTATATCATCGTTGTTCACTCGATTCAATGTTTTCTCAACCAAAACAACTATTCACATACAACTAGCTGCCTCTCCTTATGAAACTTTAGCACAACAACTGAAGAACAGTGTTATCAATCCATTCTCAGTACTCAAGAATATCAAACATCTAACAATGTCAATGGCTATCTTCAGACAACTAACAGACAAGACTACAACAACATGCACAACCGAAGAAATAGAACTGATCTTCAAAAGTGTTACAAATCTAAAGCTAACACATGCTAGAGATATGCCGTTCCAAATGCAACATTGTAAATCGATCAAAAAATACATGCCGAATCTCGACTCACTGACATTCTATCAGATTAAGTTAGACGCCATTAGAATATATGAAATGCTGCAACAAATACCACAATTGACATCACTGGATATCTCCACGGTACAACTGAACAAAATGCCAACCGTATCACATATTTTCAGTAGTTCAATTCGCAAGTTGAAACTGCCGAAGTTATTAGCCAGAATCCCAAATATCCTCGGTGAGAACACCCAACTAACCACTCTCAGTGTCGATTCAGTAGGACCAGAAGAAATCGATTTCATTAGAAGTCAACTTGGCAGTATCACCAAGCTCATCATTAGTAATGTCCATTGTGGATTAGGCGAGTCGGTGACACAGCTGTTATGCTCGCCTGCATGCCAGGTTCGTAAACTCTATGCCTGTCATGACAGTAACAACCGGGTCATACCGGTGCTCAAAACCAATCGGACCATCGAAACACTGGATATCTTTGATGATCTGTCGGTCACCTTCAAAGTGGCATCGAATTCACCATCGATCAAACGCATCATCTTTCACAACAACGATCATTGCGTATATTCAAAGACCAATAGCAATAGAGCCACTGGCTATGCACACATCAAATCGAAACATCGACCATTCACTAACTCGCGGGGCACAATCAAAAGGTATGCCAAGAAGATCTACGATGCCACAGAGAATCACATTGAAAACCAAACGATCGAAGAGACCTATCCGAATCTCAAGTTTCTATACTCTAATGTTTTCAGCTTCCTCCCCACCTATTTAAATGATAGTGATTCTGACTCTGACAATGGAGAATATATATATTATATTTAGTTTACATGTATTAAATTTACATGTATGGAACAGTTTTTATTTGATTAATAATAGATAAATAAGAGAAGATGACAAAAGAGATATTAGATAAACAGAAAATATATATCAAGATGAACTAAAGAAGATGAAGAGAGATGACTTGGTAGAGATAATGAAAGAATACTCATTAAAACATAGTGGTTAAAGATATGTTTTTGTTTTGTTTTTTGTTGAAACTTATATGATGAATATCTTTATTAATTGTTTGTATTACCTAAGCATGCTTTTTTTTTTTTTTTTTTTTTAAATTATCCTTGTTCTACCATTACTGATAGTCAAAGGTGTAGAGCTGATATTACCCTACAGTTCGTGTTATTTATTGTTGGAACAATTCAGCCACAGGCCGGTGAGATGGCCATCATTTTTGAGTAAGGGATGATGTTCCCATTAATTTGTTTTGGCAGACTGAGTAATTAAGCCACTTAGAATTCTAAGCGGGTACGTGTGTAAACCACTCGGTGTTCACCTATGATAAGCCTGCTAGTTACTGTAGGTTCATGGGGTCCAAGATAGTATTGAAGATACTAGATTTTTTTTTTTTTTTTTTTTTCAAAAAAAAGATTTGTTGACTCATGATCAGTCAACAAATTGCAGGTATTGATATTAACCTGCTAGTTCGTGTTTTATATTATATATACATTCTCACACATGCCGTGAGAAATAGCCAATAAAATATTATTATTATTATTATTATTATTATTGTTTATAGTTATTATTAATTAATAAGTTGAGTAGTATTAGGATCGAATATATCTAACAGTAGTTGAGTGTTGATGAACAACAGAATAAAGTGGTGGCACGTAGTTGGAAGGATTTAGATTCCAATCAGATTTAAATTTACGCGTTAATGCAGAGCATGGAAGTGCTCATGTGGGTTGCAGAGTTCAGTGAAGGTGTCACCACAGAACTCACAGACATGACCAGTGCGATTGTGGTTGATAGGGAAGGTGTGAGAGTACAGCCAGAATATGCGCTTTGACCTTGGATGTGGCTTTATACCGCATGCGATTTAAAGTTACTTTAAAATTATAAATGCGTTGTCCGGGAATCGAACCCGGGTCTCCTGCTTGGTAGGCAAGAATTCTGCCACTAGACCAACAACGCTTTTTTGATGAAGTTCCGAAAATATTTATCGATAGTATTTTTATTAATAAACTAAAAAAGTATTCATTTCATTTCTTTAATTATTTAAAAATCTCTAGAGAATGAATCGAGGAATTAGCAAAAAACTCGAAAACTACTCACCTCTCAGGATAATGATTCACTTAATACTCAAAATTCTCAAATAAAATCCACGGTTGCTCCTCAAGATAAGAGGTAACTTTAAAAAAAAAAAATCCTTTTATTTTGTATATTCACAACAACCTCTTCATGGAACTCGGTATTCAACAACATCTCTTGTACGGGTATTAGTTTGACCAAAAAACAAGAGAATTTCTTTGTTTTTTAAAAAAAATTCTAAATTACAAAATTTTTTATCCCTCAGTTTGATCATACTTGTTTATTGCCTCATTCAAAATTATTACCCTCATCATGGCTAGTAAAGATAAATATTTTATTAATTAAAATGTCTTCCTTTTTTTCAAACATCTTTATACAAATAAATAATGTCTCATTTGAGATCTCCACGTTCAAAAGTATCATATAGTAGTAATATCCCCTTTTCAAAGGTAGATGTATACGATGATAATGGTAGTATGCCACCTGATACTAGGGTGCTTACTCCCATCCATTGTCAATTGCCATCTTTTGTTCAGAGTTGTATCGTTCAGCATGCCTCGCATCAATACCTCGCATTGTTTGAACAAAATAATATCTTAGTTCCACTGATGAGAAGAAGGGTTTCAGATACTGATGGAAACAGAGTTCCATCTTTCGAGAAACTGCTCACGCTCGCATTGGTTTGCAAATCATGGTTTAAATATGTTTCATGTCGAGTCACTCGATTCAATGCAGCTTGGAAAGGCGATTGTAGTCAATTCGATAAGTTAGAAAGTCGTCTTATCCTCCCAACACCGTGGTCACTCTACCACGTTGATAATATTCTCAGACTAACAATCCAAGAGCGTGGTTGGAACGATGAACAAAAGTCTGATGAGGATAGACTGGACATCGTGTGTGACTATATTGACAATTTCCCAAATCTCACAACCATTGTCATTCGAACTCAAGTTGGTGATTGGGTGGTTGCCTTTCTAGCCGAGAGCTATCCACATATCGATATTCATGTCAAAGTTGATTTTCATCGTAAATTCCTCTCCGACTTTGGTGCTGAAGAGATTACCATTGACTATGACTTTTCGAAATTTAAAAACATAAAGTCTATCAAAATGAAAGTTAAAGACATGGAGATGGAAGGTGACAAGAAAATAGTGACAGAAAACTTTTACAATGTTGTTAGATGGTGGCAAACAGATTCGATTAATCTTCGCTTCGAAAATGTATGGGGCGACGAGAATCCCAGAATGCATACTAGATACAACACACTCTTTAGAATCAAGACACTCAGACACTTGAGAATTGATGATGATTTAATAGAACTACGTGATTTACTTGTTGCCGTCTGCGAATGTCCACATATTGAATCATTGGCGGTTGCTATTTCCTTCTGTCATCTTGGTGGCAGTGAAGATGGTCATGGACTTTGCAAATGTTATGGTATCAACGAGCATAGTGGTGTCCCCCTGGAAGATCCAGAGAACTGGAACAGAGTATGCAAAGCCTGGCTTCCAATCAAACTATCAAAAGACTTTCCATTAGAAATTGGTGTTACCACTATGCAAACCATAGAAAGATCACCCCAGAATCTCAACAAGCATTTGCTCAGATATGGGCATTGAACACAACGATTAAATACCTCTTGCTTGACAGCATGGGATTAATTGTTTGCTCGCAACTCTTTGAGTCATTCGAAATCAATAAGACCATCACCCACCTCTTGCTCCACAACTGTATTCGAGATGACTATCGAATAGAGTTGTCTTTCAAGAAATTCGTGCAAAACAACCAGACAATCACTTTCCTATCGCTATTTAATAATCAAGTATCAGGTGGCTATCATATTGAAGAGGCATTTAAAACCAACGAAAACATTACTCATTTGATATTACCGGATCTCGTGCAAGCAAGTAAGCGATTATTCGAATGTCTCATTGAGAAAGACAAGATACAGTACTTGGGGATTGTCTTCACGTCTCAGGGGAGGTGTTGCATATGAAACCAAGAATCACACCCAAGAATATCGAACCACATCGAAATCACTTTGCAATCTCTTTTATTATGTCAATAGTTTTGTTGTGCCTAGAAATCGAACATTATCCAATTCTCTATGGAATGATGTAATCAATCTAATAAAATAAACAACCCAATAATAATCAACAGTCATTAAATTAAATCATTAAAAAAAAAATAAAGAATTTTAAGTTTTGTTAATAAAATATATGTTTAAGAATTTGCAAAAACTAATTATTCGTTTTTTTTTTTTTTTAAAATCAATAAACTCAAATAGTTTTTTGTTTGATTATTTAATAAAATGTTTAATCTTTGTTTGAAAAGTAGTATAACTAGATGTCTCTCACCATCATTTGGAGAGGTAGGACCATTGATACCTAGAAGAAGCATGGTCATCATGAAGCGATATACAAAACAAGTTGATCCCAAGCAACACCAACTCGAAGAACTAGAACATCAACAACTCAAGATAAAAGAGAAAGGAAGAAAGTTAAATCCTCCTCAATATAAAAGAATCGTTAGAAACTATAATATTACACCACCAAGTAAGTAATGAATTAACAGTGTTTTAACAAACGACAACAAACACACTTATTTACAAATAGTTATATAATTATATTTTCCTTCTTAATCTATAGATTACTCTGAGCTGTTGTTGACAATGAAAGAACCACCTTCAACAGAGGGTCAGAAGAAATTGAATGTAGCAGTTATTGGTGCACCGAATGCAGGTAAATCTTCGTTGGTCAATACGCTGGTCGGCGAGAAGGTCTGTGCCGTTTCGAGCCGTGAGCACACCACTCGTGACAACATCGTCGGTATCATGACGAACGATAACATACAGGTGGTGTTTCACGATACCCCCGGTATTATGAAACACTTTGAGAAGAAGTCAAAGATCAGAGAGTTTGTTAATATGGCGTGGGGCGTCGTCAAGGAAGCGGATTTGGTGTTGTTGGTGGTCGACGCCTCACAGGAGCACACCGGTGACACCAACCACATCCTGGTGGAACTAGAGAGTCAGATGATCGAGCTACTCAAAGAGATGCGCGTCTACAAAGAGACGAATCTCTCGAAAGAGTTTATTTTGATCATCAACAAAGTCGACTTGGTGCGTCAGAAGGAGAACCTACTGCATCTCATCTCCAAGCTGAACGAAGGAAACATCTTCACCGATACATTCATCACATCGGCAACCAACAACATTCACACCGACACACTTAAAGACTATCTATTTTCGAAAGCAATCGATGGTAAATGGGAATTCAATAATGAAATTGTAAGTTAACAAACAAACAAACAAACAAAGAACAACAAAATGACAATATATACTGAACTAACAAACTAATTCAATCAATTAACAAAACATATATTTAGAAAACAGATCAAACAGATATATTTAGAGCATCAGAGATTGTAAAAGAAAAGATTTATGAAAAAATGAGATTGGAAATACCGTATCAGGTTACACAGAATACAATCGGGTGGACTACGTTTACAAATGGTGACTTGAGAATCGATCAAGATTTAATAGTAAAGAAAGACTCTCACAAATCAGCGATACTGGGGCGTAACGGACAAACCATCAAAGCAATCTATTTGGAATCGAGAAAGGAACTAGAAAAAGTATTTAATCGTCGTATACATTTGTTTTTAACTGTTAAAGTAAAGAAATCTGAACAATACGATGATTAAATTAAACACCTTTTATCAATCAATTAAATAATAACGTAATTTAAAAGAAGTAATAAATATATTATAATATTATCTTTTGAATATATTATTAAAGTATAAGTTATAAAAGTATTAAAATTGATCAATAAGTAATTTATTTTATTATATAATTTAACAAATAAAACAGATTTCTTTCTTTTTATTGTTGCAGCACAGTTATTATTTAAACTGAACTACTACCAAATGATACTTGTGAGTCATCTGTTGATTGTGGAACATGGAATGCTGCATGCAATAATACAACTAAAAAATAATAATAATAATAATAAAGAAAAGATAAATTAAAATGGTTAGTTAGTACTTTACATTCTTTAAAGTGGTTGAACGAATAAAATAATGTGATGATGATGATGTGTTGTTTGAGAATTTCATACTTGAGAGAGTTGCACCAATCAACCAAACAATATCGGAACCTGCAGAGAGTAAAAAGTAAACTGACAAGATAATTTGAAGTCCAATTCCAATCTTCTTTTGAATTTCTGGTAGTTCTGGATTTACATAGTTAAGATATATATGAATGAGTGCCAACAATACTAATAATAATAAAAACAATGGCTTTGTAAAACTGTGAAATATATAGATTGCTTGTGTTAATATATATATTATGATTATAATCATAGTAGTTGTGTCAATGATAAAAACTAAGCATGTATTATACCTACATAACATAAGTTGCGAAAATGAAAAAGAGAATCAAATAGTTTGTTTGGAAATAGATGATGTTCTCTTTGACACGCTCAGTTGCACTGCTCATGGTTGGTACACCGTATTTATCTCTCTTTCCAACGAATAGATACCAGTCACGTGTGTTTTGAAGACGTGTGTCTTTGAATTCCTTGACTTTCGATGTGATAACATTGAAATTTAAACGTTGGTGCAGTGATGATCCTGTTTGCGATGAACTAGAGTTGAGTGATGAACCTCCACCAGTAAGGAACGATGGTGGTGACAATGGTGTTGAGTTATCGACATTACTATTGCTACCAATACCACTATTATTATTTACACCACCTGTTTCACCAACAACATTATTATTAAACTCATAGCTATTCATCTGCGATTTGTTTTGTTGTAGTAGATTATTATTAGTATCAATTATGTTATTTTCAGATCTATCAATATCAATGTCAATATCAATGTTATTATTACTAGTAATGTTGTTGTTGTTATTATTATTGATAATATTTAATGGTGGTAATATAGGAATAGATGTATTATAACTATTATTATTATCTACTAATTCTTCTTCTTCTTGTTGTTGATGTTCCTGTTCTTGTTGCTTTTGTTGAATGATAATGAAATCATTATCTGTTTGGGACATTGTTGTTTTTGCTGGTTGTTTTTCAAGTCAAAAGTCAATAATAAAAATAAAAATGAGTGGATAATAATTAAAAATATTTTTAAAAAAGTAAAACACCTTTGAAAAAAAAATATATATAAATTCGAAAGTGTGTTTATTATATTATAATTATTGTAATTATTGATACTACACTATATAAACTACTAAACTAAACACACTACAACAACAACCCCACACAGATTGTTTTCTTATTTATTTTTTTTATAGTAGTACAATACTCACTTTTAGATTATTATGAATTGTCAATGAACAAAATGAAAAACAAACAAAATAATTTAATCTTTTGCAAAGGTGGTCAGTGTCTATTCTTTCCTTTTCAAAAAATTATTATTAATATTATTTTTAAAAAAATCAAAAATATATTGTGGTGGGTGTGATTCTCTTATTTTAATTTATTTATTTTTGTGTTTTTTTTCAAAATTTTGAAAAAAAAAAAAACGAACGAAAATGACAATGATGATTTGATTGAGTGTTTTTAGTGTTGACACAAATAATAAATCTAATCTAATTTTTTAACTTTTTAATATTTATATATATATTTAAATAATATATAATAATAGATTTTAAAAGATGGGTGATTTCGATTTTAGATTCGATATCATGAGCAGTCTGATGGACCATGCTGAAAAGGTTCCGGAAGTTGCTAAGCCCGCCATTCAAATGACTGCAAGTCAGAATCAATATATGAACGATTGGATTGATCATGATAGCAGTAACAACAATAATAAGAGAAAGAAAAAAGGTGGTGATAATCAATTCTACTCAGAATCTGGTGGTAGTAGTAGCAGTAGTACAAGTAATAATAACTCTAGTAATAATAGTAATAATGACGATAAAGATAACACTGGATTCGACGAGAATATCTATAATAATAATAACGATAGAAAGAAGAAAACAGAACGTATTCCGGGTCTTGAGAACAAGAAGGAACAAGAGAGAGAACAGAAACGTTTGAAACGTTTGGAACAAGAGAAACATCTTCAAGCTGACGATGATAATGAACACACAGCTACTACTTACAAATCATATAATCAATATAGTCAACAATCTAATAATAAAAGACAACAAAGAGATAATAATAATAAGTTTGAAAAGAATAATAATAACAACAACAATAGATATAATAATAGTTATGAAGATAATAATAATAGTTATAATAACTATGGATATGGTAATGATAATCAAGTTGTTACATTCGATGAGGATGATAATGAAATGAGCGTTGAACAAGTAAAGAAACAGAAACAACAACAACAACAGAAAGAGAAACAGCAACAGAGAAAGAATAATAATAAACAAAAAGAAAAAGAACAAGTTGTACCTGTGGTAGAACCAATTGTATTTCCAAGTACAATGAGAATGTATATCGGTGGTCTATCAGAGAATGTAGAGCTATCGGAGTTGTCAAAGCTATTCACAAGTATCTCAAGTAATTGTAACGTTGAGCAATTGGAGCATGTCTACGATGAAGTCACAAAGGTCTACAAAGGTTTTGCATTCGCCGATATCTTCTTTCAATCTCAAGATTCTTTAACTTTATGTATGTACATAGTCGTCATATATACTTAATAATATTATAATATAATACTAACATAACAAATCAAAACTTTTATAAACTAAAATAGTATTGAACTCATTGAATAAAACAAAATGGAAAGGTTCTGTACTTACAATTGCAAAAGCATCTTTACATTATAAGAAAAAGTTAGTATTAGTTGTTGATATCAGTTTGTTTTGTTAATATAGAGTATAATCAATTAATATTTAATATGTTATTATTATGTAGGTGGGAAAAGATGATTGAATTGGAGCAAAAAGAAGTACAAGAAAAGTTGGAAAAGTTGAAAAAGGTGGAGATCGAGATCGAAGAGGAATATCAGAGAAAGAAGGCACTCGATGCGCTTCAGAGTAAGAAGAGAGAGAGAATCGAAAAGAAGATTCTACATTCCTATGTCGATAAGTTCAAATCGTTGATCAACGACTATAGCAACGGTGTCATCGGTAGTCTCAAGAGAAACACCAGTAAGAATGCCGATTTCCGTTCGAGATACGGTGCACACCAACAGGTTCAACCGGAGGAAGAGAAAGAGCTACCGGTTGTATCGTTCGACGATGAAAACGGTGAAGGTGAATATTACAAAGCCGGTGAAGAAGGTGATGTGTATTACGAAGGTGATGGTGAAGGTTATGGTGAAGGTGAAGGTGAATACTACGAAGGTGAAGGTGAAGGTGGTGATGATGGTTCGAATACAATGAACTATGAGATTAAGAAGCAATCGGCAGAAGACGGTGAGAGAAAGAGACAAGAAGCATTTAGAAAGAGAATGATGGAGTTGAACAAGTCTGCACCAAAGCTACCAGAGCCTGATGCTGACGATCTTGTTACTTTCAGTGATGATGAAAATGCTGGTGGAAATAATAATAAGAATAATAATAATAATAAGAATAACAATAATAATAAGAATAATAATAATAATAAGAATAATAATAATAATCAATATCAACAACAACAACAACAAAATAGTTATAATAATTATAGTCATGGTAATAATCATTATTTCGAAGATGAATGGGCTGAACAAGGTGGTTATGAAAACAACGATAACTACAACAACAGTAATAACAATCAAAATAATAAATGGAATAATAAGCAACAACAACAACAGCAACAACCAGTTGAAGATAAATGGAATAGAAACTCAAGAAGATCAGAAGATAATCCATTCTATACTGAAAAAGGTGGTAACAATTATGATGAAGATCAACAATACTATGATGACAATGGTAATCAATGGAATAAGAATAATAAGTGGAATAATAATAGTAATAATCAACAATGGGAAGATAACAGTGGTTACAATAATAAGTGGAATAAAGATGACAAGTGGAATAAAGATGATAAATGGAATAACAATAATAATAATAGACAAGCTAATAAATGGGAGGATAACAATAATAGTAATAACAAGTGGGGTAACAACAGAAACAATTCATATGGATACGATGAACAACAAGAGCAAGTACCAGAGGTTCCTCTTGTCAGAGAATGGAAGAAGATCGGTAGATACGATCCACTCTCTGAGCTGAGTCAAGCATTTGAACTTGGTAAGAAGATTGAACCAAAGAAACAAACTGCAAAGGCAGCAGCTGCAGCAGCTAAACAGCAACCACAAGAAGATCAAAAACAACAACAAGATCAACAACCAACAACAACAACTGTTGTTAATAATAAACAACAAAATAACAATAATAATGAAAATAATAATAATAGTAAATCAAAGATAAAGACACAATCAGTAAACACAGTCAATAATCCAAAACCAATCTTGACACAACCAGCAGCCATCGAGAATCAACCAACCAAAAAGAGAACACAAGTTATGACTTCATGGAGATCACTTTTCAATGGTGGTAATGAAAGTGCTGCTCAAGACTCTAAAGCAGCATCAACAACAACAAAGGAAGAAGAGAGTCAATCATTTAATATATTTTCATTATTTGGTAACAATAGTAGTATATCATCATCGACTGAAGAAGAATCGAATCCAATTACATCAACACCAATAACCAACAACACATCTAAATCTAACAACAACAACAACAACAAACCAATTTCAACTGAACCATTAAAGAAACCTAAACAATCATTCTTTGATGACGACTAAAAAAATAAAATAATTTAAAAATAAAATTTATTTTTTTTACCAACAAAACAAATTAATTTAATTAGTCTAATTCCAAAGCAGTGGTTCGATGTAGAATCATCTTCCTTTCAAAAAAAATCAATTAATATTTAATTTTTTTTTAATTTTTTTTACTGAACAAACCAAAATAAATATCAATAGTTCCAAAAACTTCTTTAAATACATATGTTGAAAAGAACATTTATATATATTAATAATAACATAAATAATAATAATAGTAAATTTAATAGTTGTATAATTAATTGTTATAATAAAAGATATTTTAGTAGTAGTGATAAAATAATGTCTGAGAATCATTTTGACTTTTTGGTTTTGGGTGGTGGTAGTGGTGGTATTGCCACTGCAAGACGTGCTGCCAAGTACGGTGTAAAGGTTGGTCTGATCGAAAAGACAAGAATGGGTGGTACTTGTGTCAATGTCGGTTGTGTACCAAAGAAGGTGATGTGGAATGCCGCCACCATCAAGGAGGCATTGCATGCCGCTCCATTCTATGGATTCGAAGGTGCCGATAAGGTCACTTACCACTGGCCAACCATCAAGAAGAATCGTGATGCCTACATCGCTCGTCTCAATGGAATCTACAATAACATGTTGGCCGGTTCCAACGTCAAGTCCATCAATGGCTGGGGAAAATTCACTGGTCCACGTCAGTTGGAGGTAGACGGTCAGGTATATACCGCCGATAACATTTTGATTGCCACCGGTGGATATCCTCAGATTCCACAGGTTCCAGGAGCGGAACTCGGAATTACCTCCGATGGATTCTTTGATTTGGCTGAGTTGCCCAAGTCGGTTGCTGTGATTGGCGCTGGCTATATCGCTGTGGAACTGGTTGGAATTCTCAATACTCTCGGTAGTAAATCGAGTTTGGTCATCAGACACGATCATTTCTTGAGAACGTTCGACGATATCGTCGCTCACAAACTTCAGGAGCAGATGGTCACCGACGGAATCAACATTGTTACCAACTCGACGATTTCCGCGCTACGCAAGACTGAGAATGGACAGATCGTTGTCGTCACTAACCACACTGAGTTGCCACCGGTCGACACTGTTATCTGGGCCATCGGAAGAGATCCATCGACCAAGGGTATCGGATTGGAGGCCGCCGGTGTCTCAGTGAACGAACGTGGATACATCAAAGTCGATGAATTCCAATACACCGGTGCACAAGGTGTCTTTGCTGTCGGTGATGTCACTGGAAACAAAGAGTTGACACCAGTTGCCATCGCTGCAGGTCGTCGTCTTGCCGAACGTCTCTTCAACAAGCAAGAGGGACTCAAATTCGACTATGAAAATATTCCATCCGTTGTTTTCAGTCATCCACCAATTGGAACAGTTGGTCTTACAGAGAAAGAAGCAATTGCAAAATATGGAAAAGAAAATGTTAAAGTTTATAATAGCAGGTATGTAAATTTACAGATTATATATTTGAATATATATTGGACAAGTTACTAATGAACAACTTACTTCATTCTACTTTTATTATTATTGCAGTTTCACAAATATGTATTATGCAGTTGTAGATGATTATAAACCAAAGACTTTTATGAAATTGATTGTCACTGGAAAGGAAGAGAAAGTTGTTGGAATTCATTCAATTGGTATTGGTAGTGATGAAATGATCCAAGGTTTTGCTGTTGCAATTAAGATGGGGTAAGTTGCATAAAAACTATTTAATATAATTCATTATTAAAATAACATGTACTAAACATCTCTCTCTCTCTCACAGTGCAAACAAATCAGATTTAGATAATACTTGTGCTATTCATCCAACAGCTTCTGAAGAAATGGTTTTATTCATGTAAACAAAAAGAAAAAAAAAAGAAAGAAATAAATTCATAATTTAGAAATAATACAAAATGCAATGCTTTATTTAATTTTCTCAATCAATCTTTCTTCTTCTCTTGAGTAACTCTGCCATAACCGAATCTTGTCCTCCTGCGTTGTTATTGCTGCTAATTGGCTTGACCAACGATGGTTTGAGTTTTGGTTTTTCAATCTTTGGTACTGGTCTTTGTGGAGGTGGATTCTTTGAGTATTGTTCAATCTTGTTCTCCAGCGAGATGGTCCATTCCATTTGTTTCTTCTGATCCGCTCTCCATTTGGGCAATGAAGCGCGGATCGCTCTCAGCTCCTCTAATGTACAGTTGGTGAGGAAGTAAGATTGGAAATCGTTTTGATGTTTCGATGCAATGATCTTACTGTCCAAACCAATCAAGAGTAACTCTGGATAGGCTTTGACACGATCTTTCAACTCTGGAGTACGTTCAATGTTGGCAGCGGCGTAGGTTGGCTGTAGTTTGGCCAGTGCCTTCTGGTTGAGTGGGTCATTCACCTTGCGCTTATCCTCTTGGATCTGAAGAAGTTCACGCTTATGCTCTTCCGTTTGGCTGAGTTCCTGATAGACTTTCTCAAAGCGAATGTTTGCCTCCTCTCTATCTTTATCCGGTGTCTTCTCATTCATAATGATAGTTTGGATTGATTGGAGTTCCGCTTTGATGGCAGCATGTGTTCTTCTACCACTGACAGCGAGATCCTGACCGGCTGGAACCATCGACTTCATATTGTCGAGTTTTCTCATTAGATCTTCGAGTTTGTCCAACTTTTCCAGCTTATTAACCAACACCGATATTTGGTCGCTGTGGTTCGCTTGCAGCATACCGGATCTGCCAGCACCACCACCGATATTCGATCTCTCCTCTTCGTAGTACTCAAAGTATTCCTCTTCGGACATGTCTCTTTGCTTCTGAATCATGGCTTGTATCTTTTGTTGACGGACCGACTCCAACTCCACCTCCATCTCTTTGCTCTTGATGGTTTGTTGTTGTGCCTTCTCAGTCAACTCCTTCAATTTACGACCCAACACTGTGTTGTCGCTGTTTGCTGCCAACGAGGAGAGTGCTGCACCGTCTGGTTTACCAGCCAATACAGTGAGGATACGAATCACTTCATTCAGCCGCTCTTCAACATTGTCACGATCCTTTCGTTCAATACTTCTCTTCAAGCTCGCCAACTCCAAATCTTGTTTCTCCATCTCTGCCTCCAAACGAATCACCATCTTTCCGGATTTCTCCAACTCTTGTTCATAGTGCTTCACTCGCTTAACGTCGAATTCACGCGACTTCTTCTCAGCATCCAACTCGAGTTCGAGCATCTTTATCTTGTATCTAAGTGCATCTGAATCTTTGTCGGACGAACCAGTGCTTTGTGAGAGTGTTGGTGTTGGCTTGTCTTTGACCAGCTTGTTCAATTCTTTCTGATTCTCCAATTCACCTTGAAGTAATTTATTTCTGTTTTCCGATTGTTCCAATTCCTTTGAAAGTCTACGTACTTCATCACGCTCGACTTCCTTTCGACTGGACTCTTTCTTTTTCAAACCATGTTCATACTCAATCTCTTTCTCCAACTTTTCGACTTCCTTCTCAAACATGCTGGCACGACCAACCAACACAGATTTCTCTTGAACCAACGATATATTCTCTGCTTCCAACACCTTCAGCTTCAATGTCAAATCCGATGCTTGTTTACTCAGCTGCTTCTCTTGGTGTAATGAATTCTCCAGTCTTTCATTCTCTCGTTGAAGCTGTTTGATCTGTTGATTCAAACCTTCTCTAATTTTCTTTTCATTCTCTGCTGCATCGAAACTGAATGTGGAAATATCAACCTTTGAGGCAGGACTAGAGAGAGTGGCTGGCGCTCTCACCGACTTGACAGTGGCAACACGCATTGTACTCTTGGAGGTCGATCTCGACAGTCCTTCAATATCACTCAGCAGTGAATTGGTCATCTGTTGCAACGAAGGAGTCGATTGGGTAACGAGTTTCTCCATTTCATCCAGTTCCTTCTGCATCTGTTGAATCTTGATCTTATCACCGGCAATCGTTTTATCACCTTCTCGCTCACGCTTACGAATGGTTTCACCGTATTGCTTGATGAAGTTCTTCTGTTGAGTCAACTGCTTCATGACGATCGACTCTTTGTCCTTGAGAGTCTCATCGATTATGACAGCCTCCTCACGACTATACTCAATGTCATCGGTGGTGGATCTCGACGAAAGACTACCGCCTGCTTCGAGCATCGATGAAATGCTGTCGGTGGAATTGAGACTATCGGAGCTCGAGTATGTCGAGCGATTGTCAGAGATGCTGCTGCTGCTCGATGAAGGTGGCACGGATTGTACTGGACTGGTACTCTTCATCTCTGGCGATGGTATCTTTTTGGTTTTCTTTTGGTAGCGATGAACGAAACCCAGTTGTATTTGGATACTACCGGTAACAACCTTTGGTGTCTTTCCAGCTTTGAGCGGACGATCCGTTAGGAAATAAGCTTGTGGTGTAGGTGTGATCGAGAGTGCCTTGATTGGAATCTGAATTTGTCCAAGAAATTTAGATCCAGCCGGCTTTTGCTCTTTTACAACAATAGTAATCTCTTCATCATTTAAGGTCATCAAATCTCTTGAAATAATTTAATCAATTATTGGTTAATAAATAAGCTTTGTTTGACCTTTCTAAAGTGGAATCAATCTTGCAAAAACTTACAATGTAAACTTTTCATTAAAAGTAGGATCTGGACCTTTAAAGAGATGTGTTTTGAATGGTTTATTTGGTGGTAGATCAATGATACAGAAAATATCACCAGATTTAATTCCTTTTGTGTCCAGTACTTTAAATATATTGAGAAAATGAAATTGTCAATTTGCGAAAATGAATCTTAATAACATATCTATTTTTAGATTTCTAAAACTTACAAGTTATTTCTAGATCACCTTTTTTACTTAAACCTCTCATAGAAGTCATTTTTTCTTTGCACTTTTGGTGATTTTATTTATAATAAGTATATATATTATATTATTATATGGATGGGTAAGGTAATGATACAAATAAGGTAAACAAAAAAGAATAAATAAATAAATAAATATTTATATTTTAATCTAAAAGAAATAAAAGTTGGTTAATAATAAATAAATAAATAATAGATAGTTGGATTTGATTTGATTTGATAATAAATTTTAATGGATTAAGAAATGATTATAATCAACAATTTTATTGTTATTTATACAAATGTGATAGGACATGACATAACAACAAGACAAGACATGACATGATAACACAACACATTTGAGAATATAGAGTAAACATCGATGATGGACTTTCTCCAATCAATCGAATCAACTTGGTAAAGTACGGTAGCACAAAGTAAAGTATTAATTAACATCAACAACAACAACAACAAGAGAGTGCATCATGACGTTAATGCATTTCATTACTTCTTGAGTTTAAATATGGTAACACTATTTTTAGAGAATAATAAAAAAGCACCATCATTATTATTATATTATTGTTGTTATAATTTATTATTGTAAAGTATATATTATTCTAATACCAATCATTATAGTCGTATTTAATATACTACTATTATGTTTGAAATTGAATATTTAAATTTAGAATACTAAAACACAATAACATTATTATTATTGACTGACTGTCTGATTGTTTGGATGATTAGATTGTTTATTTTGATAATATATCATGACATGACTGATTGATGATATCAAATTTGATAAAACATATTGAGTAGATAGATAGAGATAAAGATATGTATGATCGATCAAACTAGGGTGTTGGTTCTGGGTGAAGTGTAATATAGATTGTTTTGTTTTTAGAGTGGTGTTAATTACACTATTTTTTTTTGTTTTTAGTAATGGGTTGATAAAGGTGTGATTTTTTACCAAACTATATTATTATTTGTTATTTCTTACTGAGAAAAAAGTATTATAATATAATAAGTATAATATAGTTTAGAAATCAATCTAGGAATAGATTACACCTGTGATCATAGTATATTTATAGAAAATAATAATCTTTAATCTATGAAAAAATACTTACATACAGATAAAGAAATTAAATAATTTGAATAAAGAGTAGTGATCATTATCCCCGAAATCATAGAAACTCAATAACAACGATGGTAGATTTAAAAAAAATTAAAATTCGGGTTTTTGTAAAAGATTTTTTATAAAAATGGTTGTAGTTTATTAAGAGGTTTATTTTTGAACCAACTTGAAAGTTAACTTTTCTATTTGAACCCTTGTTGATTCGATAGGATTTGTGTCTTGTGTATGAATTGTTGTATTTACATCTGTACATTGTTAAACACTAAAGAATGATTGATTATCATTGGGTTTCACCAAGTTGATGCTGTCGTTTGATGGTTGCTTTTAATACCCTTTCTACCTCTCAGGTCTCTGGCTCTTCATTAGCTTGTTATTAGTTTTGGTCAGTCTCCGTTTGGTTGATGGTGATGTTTAAGCTTGGCGATTCATGACCGTTGTCACTCTACAACGGTAGTCTACTACTGCGCACCTACGAGATCAAGCTGAAGCAGATGCGTACCAATGGTGTCATCTTGGCTGAGCGTGCCGAGGAAGTCGACAAGAAGATCGGTCCTCCCGAGAAGCTGCCAGAAAGCAGGAGCTTGCCAGGATGGAAGAGGAGCTGGCTGCCGCTTACAATAGACACAAGAGTGAGAAGGCGATGAAAGAGCGGGACCGCCCAGTTGGAGGCAGAGCGTATCGCACGCAAGAAAGAAGACGAAGAGCTTCAGCGAAAGATACAGGAGGATGCCAACATCAGATCGAATCTCGATAAAACCATTCAGTAACAACTCAATACCTACAAGACGAGCAGAATCATTCCACAGACCTCTACCGTATCACAGGAATCGATATCGATCGAACAAGTCACAATCGAAGACTCCAAAGATGAACTTGAAGTGCTCGATCTGAGCGGGTGCAGCGACATCCGCTGTAGTGATATTGCAAACGACCTCGCATTCTCTTTCTCGAGAACCTCTGTCGACGACGATTGTCTCTTGAACGCATTAGACAATTTAAATTTAGAAGTTTTATATTCAATCAATTGTTGTAAGTATACTTTAACAAACTTTATCTAACTTTATCAAATTAATCATTCATTTCTAATAATACTCATTCATAATAATATTTAATTATCCCCGCATCTAATTTATCAGAATGAGTTGTTCAAACTCTAATTAAACTAGGCAATGAAAAACTCAGTAAAATGAATATCAAACTTGCGCTCTGTCCCAACATTTCACAATCACTGATTTCCATTCTACAGCATTAATTTTATAACAAAATCAATACATCAACACTGGAGGATCAATAAATCAGATAATCATTAGTATTATTCAGATAAACATCAATTCTTTTTTTTTTCTTTTCTTTTTTTTATTTGTATAACATAACCAAAAACAAATCATCGCTCACAACTATAATCATTATTTAAACTAAATTATCAAAAAACAATCATCTTCTTTAATTTAGTGGTATTTAAAAAAAACAAGTTTCTTGTCAATCAAAAATAGAAAAACTATTTATTAATATTAATTATTATTACAAATTCTATATCTTTTATTTATTCATTCTTTATCAAACAGAATTCTCTCAACTTACATGTTGTAGTTCGAAACATTCGGAGTCGATTTCCTAGATAGATGTTGTTTGGACATAGTACAAAGGACCACCAATAGCATACTGAATGATTTAACAGAACCATATTTTAGGTATAGATTTTGTTAGAGATTGAATCTGGTATTTATTTATTTTTAATTTAATTAATTTATATATATATTCCAAATTTATTAACAAATTTTTTTGTTTAGAATTTAAAATCTTGCTTCAACATGAAGGTCAAATCGATCATAAAGTAATTTTACAGAAACTTGTTGATTTCAATATCTATCAGACATTTTCAATCGTACGAATAATCGCCATACTTGATCATCTTTCATTGCATCCTCCTCATCATCATCTTGTTCTTGCTCGATCCGGTCATTAATGAAATGTTCATTGAATCGTTCTTCCTCTAGTTTCTCCCAACATTCTCGCGATTATTCGTACAATCGAGATTGGCAAGAATTTCGGGACAGACAAGAGGAAGAACGATTCAATGAACATTTCATTAAGCTAAATAGTTTTGACTGGAAAGAGACCAAATCATCTTTGGTAACATCATAGAGAAATTTAACATTCCAGTGCATCTCGTATATCAAACACTCTGGTTCTTCAAAGTGCTCATCTTTATTGGTGGAAAGGTAAAGAAAGTTTACCTGATCGAACATCAAGCCAGATGACATCCATCCATAAGAACCCGATATAGAGAAAAAGATAAAAAAGAAATATGCAAGAAATCTATTAATATGAACCATTATATGACAGATAGTCTTACACTTTATGTTTCTTTTAAGGTAATATATAATTTAAATATATAAACAATTGAATCAATAGTTTACTAATTGAATTTAATTATTTTTTTAATTTAATTTAATTTCATATAAACAGTTCCAACCGAATCTGCTGCTAAGGTAAAAAGAACAAATTAAACTGCGACATATCATTGAATGTCCAATGGGTATCGATCCATCACCATTCAAGAATCTGTACCTCAATAGCCCTTTGGATTTTGTGTTTAACAATAAAGATGAAAATAAAATAATGATTATTCATCAGCCACCAAATTACTATCGTATTCCTCTACAGTAGTTGATTCACCTCGTTTTGGCATGAATCTATTGCTACTACTATTATTTGGTCTTGACGTCTCTTCCAATTCTTTTCATTTAACATCTGATTGATATAATATTTTAAGGAAAAAAAAAGAAACAATAAAATAAATATTTTTTTATCTACAATAAAAGGCAACCGGATAAAATCAACAGTTGACTTTTTGATACATTTATTCTTATAATTTACAAAAAAAGAGGTTGTTTTTTTAAAATGTTTAGAAGCACTTTCTGTGGACGATGGATGGACCAGACTCGTCGTATTCCTCCTTGGAGATCCACATTTGTTGGAAAGTGGAGAGTGAGGCCAAGATGGAACCACCGATCCAGACAGAGTATTTACGTTCTGGTGGGGCGATGATCTTGATCTTCATGGTGGATGGGGCCAAAGCGGTCAATTCCTTTTGCATACGGTCAGCAATACCTGGGAACATAGTGGTACCACCAGAGAGGACGACGTTACCGTACAAGTCCTTACGGATATCAACATCACACTTCATGATGGAGTTGTAGGTGGTTTCGTGGATACCAGCAGATTCCATACCCAAGAAGGATGGTTGGAAGAGAGCCTCTGGGCAACGGAAACGTTCGTTACCGATGGTAATGACTTGACCGTCTGGCAATTCGTATGATTTCTCGAGGGCTGAGGATGAGGCAGCAGTTTGCATTTCGTTTTCGAAGTCAAGGGCAACGTAGGCGAGCTTCTCCTTGATGTCACGAACGATTTCACGTTCGGCAGTGGTGGTGAATGAGTAACCACGTTCAGTCAAGATCTTCATCATGTAGTCAGTAAGATCACGACCAGCAAGATCGAGACGGAGGATAGCGTGTGGGAGGGCATAACCTTCGTAGATTGGGACAGTGTGGGAGACACCATCACCAGAGTCCATAACGATACCGGTGGTACGACCAGAGGCATAGAGGGAAAGGACGGCTTGGATAGCAACGTACATGGCTGGGGTGTTGAAGGTCTCAAACATAATTTGAGTCATCTTCTCACGATTGGCCTTTGGGTTGAGTGGGGCTTCAGTCAAGAGAACTGGGTGTTCCTCTGGGGCAACACGGAGTTCGTTGTAGAAAGTGTGATGCCAGATCTTCTCCATATCATCCCAGTTGGTGACGATACCATGCTCAATTGGGTACTTGAGGGTCAAGATACCTCTCTTTGATTGAGCTTCATCTCCGACGTAGGAGTCCTTTTGACCCATACCGACCATGACACCAGTGTGTCTTGGACGACCGACGATCGATGGGAATACAGCACGTGGGGCATCATCTCCAGCGAAACCAGCCTTACACATACCAGAACCCTATTTGATATAAATTGTAAAAAAAAAAATATATTATTAATATTTTGAGAAGTGAATATTTATAAGATCTAGATGATCAACATACGTTATCAATTACCAAAGCTTGAACGTCTTCACCTTCCATTGTTTATTTATTATATTTGTTGTTTAAAAAAAAAGAATATTATATGTTGAATGAAATTATAGAATCTCAGATTCAGTATTTATATTTTTTCATTCATATGACAAAAAATTATTAAAAAATTCAAATAATTTATGAAGTAAATCATAACCAAATCAAAACCCAATTTTGGGGTTTGAATTTCAAAAAATTATAATGGGATTTTGCAAATCTTGATCGCCATTTTTCCCCCACGTGTAAATTTAGATGGTTTTAATTTTCAAAATGGATTTAATTAAATTTTTATTGAATGTTAGTGGAAAGGCAAATGAAGATATCAAAAAATAATAAAATATAAAATTTGTTAATAATAATTTTTATTTTTTAATTTTGTCAGTTTTTCTAAAAAGAAAGTATCTGAAAATCTTGTTGATATAAACCTATCATAGGCACTACCAAATATAATATAGTCATCTTTGTTGAGTCGTCTTATTTCCAACTCCAATCGATTGCTCATAAAAAATTGGATGCTGGTGACTGTGGGTGGAAGTGACTTCAAGCCATCAGTGATGTATTTATCATAATTGAGATACCTTGTAATCTGAAGCGTGTGAACACTTGGTGGTATCTCATAGAGGTGTGGCTTTAGCGGGAAGCATATTCTTAGAACCTTAACAGATTCCGGTATTGCACGTATCTTTATTTGTTTGTGGTAGTTCGATTCGAATTCCAGATACTCTACACCAGGCGGTATATGTCCTTCCAACACATTGTGATTGTATTGAGTGAGAACCAATCGTTTTACATTAACCCTTGGTAGTGGTATTTCTCTCTTTCTTCTGCCAACGGTCAGTGTTTCCAGTCGATAGGTATGACAGAGTTTCTCTGGAAACAGAATCTCAAAGCTACATTCACTCGCTCCAATATTCAGGTGTTTTATTGTCTGAGGAAGTGGAGATGTCAACTGATAAAGAGAATAGCTAACATCTAAACTGGTTAAACTCATTGGGAGCTGTCGTAGATTAAGAGATTTGATTTTGCTGGCTGGGTCTACTATTGAATCGTGGATGATTAGATTCTTCAAATTGAGCAGTGGTGTTAAGTATGGCATCCAGGTGGTTGGAGCATACTTTAGAGTTTCAAGTGAGTTTGGCAACACGCCTTTAGTGATATCACACTTGGCACCAAAGTTGAGTTTCAGAGTTTTCAGATTTGGTGGCAACACTCCTGGGTTAAGATCGACTGGTTCGTCCAGATTCAGGCATTGAAGAGTTGAAGGAAATACTCCTGGTTTCAATTTATAGCATCGTTTGAGTGCTATTTCAAGTTTGGTTAATCCTTCTGGAAATACATTCAATCCAATCGGTCTAGCGCAATACAGCGAAATCGATTTCAAACCTTTTTGAAAACAACCAACAGCCAGATCTTCATCGAATTTCAAATCAAACGATATTGTTTCTATATTTGGTGGAATGCCATATACCAAGGTCGAACAAAGCAGTAGTTCTCTAACATTTGACTTTGACAATAGATTGTTTAGTTTCTGCATATCCACTGATGTTCTAAGTGTAACTGAATCTACATTCTTATCTATATTATCAATTTCATCAATATCATCTTAATTAAAAAAGTTAATAAATTTATAAGTTTTTAAAAATAATATGTTGGTAAATAAATTTAACTATGATACATACTATATTGATAATCATAGTATTGACTTTGATTATAATATGTACCGATCAATAGTTTACGATTCTCTTTGAGTTCCAATGATTTGTTATAAATATAGCTGTATGATCTCAAGTGAAATCGACACTGATTTTGTTCGATCAGAGTAAGAAGTTCAGTATTAAACAATAAGTATCTATCACGACTATCGTACCATCGCTTACAAACTAAACTTAAACATATTCTGTCGATATTGTTTTCTAGATATTTGGTTATATTTCCCAATAAAATAGGTGATAGATTAACAATTTGATTATTCTGATTTAGAGACATAAGTTTATATTTAAAATAAATTAAAATAATGATAAAATTCTAAAAAATATCAAATCATATTTTGGAGTTAAAAAGTAATAACCAAAAGTTCGTAATTAAGCCTTTTGATCTTTTTTTTTGCACTTGATTGGTGCAATCTTGATGAATTCAAAAGATGATTTTTATTTAAATTGACTAAAAACAATCATATCCATTTAAAATTTACAAAGATAGAAATTTATTTTTCTTATTATGTGTTGAAATTTTTTAATTTGTTTTGCATTTTCTTTTTTTGCAATTTAAATTTCTTTTTCTTGTAAAGATATAGTGTAACACCGACAACAATTGCAACAAATACAACTCCACCTACGACAATTCCAGCAATTGCACCATTACTCAATCTTTTCTTTGAGCAAATAAAATCAGTGGTATCACCTTCACCTACATCGATAAGATTTGAAAAGTCTGGATCTAAATCGACGTACTTGCTGTAGGATGGTATTGTAATTCCAACCAATATTGATCTTTCTTGTTTCGTTTGATCATCTTGATTGTCTGAGTCATCATTGATAATTACATTCTGTATTGGTGTAACTCTACCATCACAAATGGCATTGGAAAGGAATCTACCATAGAGACTGATATCATCGATATTAAGTTTGATCCACTTTACATTTCTGTCAACCTTTCCAATACCAATCGATGAACAAACATCGGAATCGTCACTTTCTATCGATGATTTCATTAAAATCTGTAAGTAGTTGGTCGATTGTTTGAATGAGTAGTAATCTAAACTCATTGTGAATTTAATTGTAGATGCTGGGATGAATAGGTTCTCATCTGCAAATGTAATGTTGGTTGGATTCTTAAAGTATTCAATCGATACGTTCAAGTAAGTTGATCTCTGATTGAGTTGTGATGAATAGAAATACTTTGGATTGGTTGATGGTGTTGTGAGATCTTTGAAATTCCATTTGGTGACGTTGTATTGCTCAACAATATTATTCATATCATCCAACTCTCTTACTCCAACAATCTCAACAGAAGATGTCACTAAATTTCCAGTTTCAGTGACATTTGTTCCTGATGCTGGATCTGGATAAGCTGGTGGTATTGGAACAATTATATTTTCTACAAATAGTTGTTTAATTGTTTGTTAATTTTTGTACTTTTTTTTCAATAGTTAAGAATTACTTACTTGATGAACAAGATGGACCACCCCATGGTGGATAGCATTGACATGTAGAGTTAGCGCATATTCCATTATTATTACAGATTGGTTTGCCTGGACAATTGGTTGGTGTTGACGAGGGTGATTGTGTTGGAGTACCAGTTGGTGAAGGTGATGGTGTGCCATTAGGAGTTGGAACAACAATTGTAAATACTTGGATATTAAAAGTGTTTGAACGAACACCATCCAATGTGACAAACAAATTGATATTGTTTGATGAAATGGAAGGAAGACTACTTATTAAAATGATTGATCCAGTTTTCATTGAATATTCATAATTAAGATATCCTTTTGAATCTTTAAAATCAATACTTATTGTTAAACTACTTCCTTGGAATGATCGACCATAGATATATAGATCACCACCATTTTTGAACAATTTCGATGTTGAGTCTATGAAGGGTGATGATTGGTTGTATCTAATACTGATGTGATATGGAAGAGCGAGACTCTTTAAATCAGAGGATGTGTATCCAACATAGTTATGGAACATGTCAGAGATACCGAAAATACTAACATAAAGATTATTCGAACCAAATGAATATGGTAATTGGTAGGCTGCATAATAATTATATTTCATTGGATTTCCACTAACAATCATTGATTCAAAATCCAATGAATCTCCATTCTCTGACAATACTCTTATGATTGGTTTATATCGTTCAGAAATACCAGATTCGGGTGATGTATTTTCGATGATTGTAAAATTAAATTCAATCAATCTTGAAGATTGTCCAACATCTACAAATGGTGACATAACCAAATCTGTGATAAGAGGTGCTGAGGTATCAGAAAATCCTAAATAAAATTAAATTTATTAATAAATTGTTAAAATTAAAATGATAATAAAATAAAACATACCTGGATTACAAACAATTCCAAGATTTAATTGTTTTTCATATGGAGTACCATAGATAGTTGTTAATGTTTCGAATGGTTCAATCAATGAATTTGATAGATTGTTGTTGGAATACAAAGTCAACTTGACCAATTGGTATGTTTCTGAAATGCATACACCTTTAATTACCATTGAAATATTGTATATTCCATCATAGATATCACCTGATTTTAAATAGTTTGCTGAATTATCAAAATTGATTAAAATAGGTTTTGCTTCCAAATTGGAAACAACACTTGCAACTCCACTCGAAAATCCAGCTTCACTCTTAATTCTTAACAGCCATCCAATAGATATTTGATCATCCAATGCAATAGTTTGGTTCATACTTGGAAAAGCATTCACTTCCATAAGTAATGGTATATTATAAATTAAATCTAATATATAAAAATAAATTATTAGATTCTATTACTAATATAAAATAAAAAATACAATATATACATACTTGTTTCTACAACTCTTAGAGTTGCAATCTCACCAAAATAAGATGCCAATATATTGGAATCAAATTTTTGATTGAATATATAAAGAGTGAAATAGAGATCACCAGGTGCCACTCCTTTGGGTACATTTATATTTACAAAATAGAGACCTGCGGTTTTGTCATATCCACCAAGTTGTTTTTCATTAGAATAGCTTGTCAAAATGTATGGTTGAATTGGAAATTTTGAAAGATTAAAATATAATACAACAATCTCATCGTTATTTGTCACATTTAAATCGTTCTTTGAGAAACTGAAATTAGTAATATCTTTTAATTGAACATTAACTATTAGAGGTTTAAAATAATAGAAACATATATGTTAATATATAATTTAATTTTGGTACTTTACAAAAAATGATAACTTACAAATTGAATTATTTGGAATATAAGGTAAAGTGTCATTTGATGATGGTGAATATTGTAATCCACTGCTAAAAATGTAATCGTTTTCGCAGGAATCTGAAATAATAATTTTGTAATCTGACGATAACGGAATAAATCTGATTTCATAAACACCAACATTAAAATTTCCACCAGTGATAGCTTGATTTGCCTTTAATGAAATGTCATGACCACTAATCATAAGGTTTAAAACTTGACATGATGAGTTAACATTTAATGTGAATAGTACTGTTGAAAAATCCAAACTTTGGATATTAAAACTATTTAAAACTAAGTAAAAGTCTAAAGAAAAAGAATTAGAATTATTTTGTTAACTTTATTTTGTTGATAAAATACTTACTAAGTCTTCTAGATGGATAGTTTGATGAAGCAGATAATGGTGATATTGGTGAAAAATATAATGTAGATTGCGACCATTTTGAATATCCAAAACGTGGGAATTCCATTTTATAAATATATTGATTCGATGTTACATTAAATCCAAAAGGATAGGTATTTTCCAATGACAATTTATTGTAGTTGGATAACTGTGTCCAATATTTAATATTTAGAATTGTTGGAACATTTACCACAGATGAAATGACCCTACTGTCTGTAATAACATCAATAACGTATGACATTAGAGGATTTGTTGTAATTGCTAAATTTTAAAAATAAAATAACTTTTGTTAGTTTAAAAAAGGTAAAAAAATGAATAAGCAATAAAAACAACATACTGTTAATAGCAATAGTACAAGTATAATTGTCAGAGATAACATTGGAAGTTGAATCTGAAATGTAGGATGTAACTTGTTCATATGATCCCACATCATTTCTTTGGTAGTATAAAGAATGTGTTTGATTATAACCAACCAATAGATATGGAATTTTAATCTCTGGGGAAGCAGAATAAACAGTAGTAAAAAATGAGTTTGAATTCTTGACACTTAAAAAACTTATAACATCTGCCTTCATATCGGAAAAGCCTGTCCTGTTCGTTCCAGATAGAGGATAGAAATCTTCTTTAATGATTAAAGATGTTCTATTTACTAAATAACAAAAAATGTAAATTAAGAATTTTGTACAACATATTCATTATATTTATATTTACCTTTAATGGGTAATGGATTTGCTTGATTAAAATAAACTACCAATGGATTACCTATACGTTGATATATAATGCCAATAGATAAAATCGCAGGTAAAGATATATAGTTTATTGGCGACAATTGCAACACTACACGTTGATATCTTGCAGAGCTTTCTGAACTGATTGAACATGTAAAATCATCTAGAAAACATTTTAGAGTAACGTCGCTACCTCGAATCGTTTCATTAAATCCTAGTTCAACGTATGTTACTAAATTGATTTCATTATGAATTGTTAAATTTCCAGTTGATACTATTTTGAATTGAGTTGTATCGACATCTATAAAATAATAGTAGATAAGAATTTTGTTTGTTTTAGTATTTTGCTTACAGAATAATCAAATATAACTCTTACCATTACAAATCAAACCAGTTAAATTTGCTTGATAGGTTTGAGGTACACTGGAATCGGTTATATTTAAAATCGCATAATAGCTGTTTGTTGTTGGAGGGAAATTCAACAATTCTATATCGAAATTATATAGAGTAACTGATCCGTTGGAGCTAATTAGAGGTTGTGTTATATCACCATCATTGACTGAGCCCAATGTAAAATAAAGAGGGAACGAAGGAGTATTCATAAACAATGAAATACTAAATCGACAAGCATAGTTGGACTGTCTTATCGGAGCAGGTTGTCCAATAGTATATGAAATCGGTTGTAAACTTGCACTACTTGTTGAATCTTAAAAGAAATTAACAGCTATATTAATAAACTTTATCTATAGATGTTTATATTTTTCAATCTTACATATATTTAAAAGAAAAAGAAATAAAAAATACAATTTATTATTCATTTTACAAAGTTATAACACTTAAGTTGTTTGAATCTTTAATGTTTAATAGATCCCATCTCATTTCGGGAGTTTAGATTCATTGTTGTTGTTTTATTAAATAAAAGATTTCTTTTGTCAAAACCATAAAGATATTTAGTAAAAATCTGCAAATTAAAATCTTTTTTTTTGATAGTGCTATTGCCCAATTTTATTTTTTTATCAAAATAATGTTACCCCAGTAAACAGTGGCTTATTGTTGCTATGCAAAATATTTTGTTGATGATCATACACAATTTTGAGTGAATATCACACCATCACCATTTCAAACTTCAAGAATGTTTAATTTAGATTCGAGCTAAGTATTGAATCATCACACAGCTCGTAATATCATTCACTCACAGTCTTAATTAAATTTATCTACTCTTAATCATTTGTTTTTTTTTTTTATGCACAACTCATTTTTATTTACTACACACTCATAATAAAATGTTATACATTGTATCATGTCATACTAGCTTATTCATTTACTAGTGTTCTTTATACCACAACGATCAATGTTCACATAGAAACTATCAGATACCACTTAGATTTATTATCAGAACAAGTTTAAAAGTTTTTAAGTCTACAAATAGTTTACTATTTTTATATGTTTGTATTACATGTATATTTAATATTAAAACATGTATTCAGTATCATTAATCCGAACTCATTCAATTAACTGCCAATTCACTATTTAATTATCATTCTCTTTAATGTACATTGTATCATTTGATCAGTTTCATTCTTTATATCACAACAATCAGTGACATGTCTTCACAAAGAAATAAGTAACATATCAGTTAGAATAACATAACTATAACAACAAATATCATAACTATACTTCAATATCACTGATTACATAGAACTATTTAAACAAGCTATCTATCAAAAGAAAACAGATTAGCAACAACATAATTATTATTATTTTTGTTTATATTATTTATTTATTTGAATAGTAAATTAATAATATACAATTGAGATAGAATAGAATAAGATAGAATATATATATAACATATCAGAGCAGTCGATGGCACTATCTATCGATAGAGTTAGCGATGGTGAAGTTAAGTTTGTGGTAATAGATATGGATTAGCTTTTTGCAATGGAGTTTTGGGTTGAGCTCATCCAATGTGAGATTCGATTACAGGTGTACCAAACATTTTCAAAGGAGACTATAGTTCCTTCCATCCAATACATACAACAGCAGTGAAGTGGTACAGCAGTTCAAACAGGACCATCACAAATGAGATGTACGAACTTCCATCTACGAAGGTTGCTCACGTGTGGAGTTGTAGAATTCTGTGAAAGTTGGTCTACTGTAACCAATGGGTTTTCACTATATCAGTATGCGCGCATACTGGGCCATTTTCTTTTAAAAGGAAACGCCCAATGTGGGGCTCGAACCCACGACCACACGGTTAAGAGCCGTGCGCTCTACCGACTGAGCTAACCGGGCGCTGTGTGTGAAAAATGTGAAAAAAGCAGAAAACAAATACTCTCTAAGATCGACCTCACCTTCTGTATACACTGCTTACCATTCGTATTCACAGGTCTCCCACCGATCAAGATCACCGAGCACCACCTCTTCAAATGCAAAATACTCAACACCTACAAACCCATCATAAAACGGATCATACACATATTTACCGGGAAAACTCTCGACTGGGAGTTCGACATCCTCAAGATGACAAGCAAAAACGAGCTACATCAAAACGTAATTGCTATCGTACTGCACCAGGTCTGGATTCTTCACTGCAAACTCGCGCACAACTCCCTCATCACACCCACCACCTTCTATCACGCAACAACCAACAACATTAACAAACTAGCTAAACTAGAATACCACAAACTAATCAGAAAATCAAAACAAGACTTCGGTCGTAACAACTCAAACATTCAAACATATCAATCAAAATGGCTGAAGAAGCTAGACGACTTCAAACTCATCTGGAACCACCAAACCTGGAACTTCCCAACGCCATCTCACCTCATCAGCAAATAAACAAATAAAAATAAAATCCATTTGAGTATTCTTCAAGATATGAGAATACTTTATAAAAAAAAAAAAAAAAAAAAAAAAGAAAACAAATGTTGTATTCGTGCAGTTTTTGCATTATTGAATATTTTATGTTTTTAATTATTTGTTGGTTTGTTGATTTACTTGTAATTCAGTTAAATAAGGTTGTATTGAGATGACGTTTGTATAAATATAGTTGATTGTGATAGTTAACTCACCACAAATGCACAACAAACTTTCACCTCTTCTTAGAGAGATTAGAAACACCTGGCTCATGCTCCCCTCTCAACAGGCGTCAGAAAGGAAGATTAAGAAAATTCTTTTCGACCCAACTTACCCAAAAACTAGAGTGTCCCTCAAAAGCCTACTTCCGACCCTTTAAAATAAACTGTATCACTAAATTTTTAGAGAAATCTTGAAAATAATAAAAAAGTTTAATCATTCTCTTTTATTTTGTTCAATTTTGGAATATATTGAGAAGTTATTTAACGTTGAATGATGATCTCTGCATTTGGATTTGTTTTGAATGTACTGTCAGTCAGATATTTCTCCCAATAGGTCTTTGAAACATCGGAAGGCATACTTTGAGCAATGAATTTGATCAATGCTAATATAACTGCAACGCCACCAAGTACAAGTGCAACTGGACCTGACCAAGAGAATGAAGCCATCAATATACCAACGGTTGCAAGATTTGCAACGGCCTGACCGAAGTCAAGTACTAGCGCACCAATGTTGCCAGTTTTAGCATCGTTGACCACGTCGATTACATTTAGAACAGCCGATCCAAGAACCAATACGGGACAGAATCTTGCAAGAATGAATTCCGATGCCGTTGCAGTAAAGATGGTTGGAAAAGCACTGGATACTCCCTTTGCAATTACACTTGGCATATATTTTATTACGTTGTTGGTGAGTGTCTTACCAACAACCGAGAAGAAGTGAGTAACAACTTTGTCAACTGTTTTGATCGATGTCAGAATGTCAGCAAAAATAGCGATATCAGTACCGACCATCAATGTCTTATCAAAGGTGGACATGTTGTTCCAATTGGCAATTCCATAGCCAATTACGGCGATCTGTGAAGATCTCCAAAGGGAAACCAATAGTTTCTTAACGTTAACGGTAATGGTGAAATTTGGATCCAAATGAGGGTGAAGAATGGTTGACAACTTTCCGCCATAGTTTTCCAAGACCGTCGATAGTTGAGCTCCCAGCTTGTAAGAGATAATCTGTTGTTGTAGACCTTGGATGGCACTCTGGATGTATGTAACGGCACCAGTGAAACCTCCGAGTGCATTGATTAAACTCATTGCAACAGTGACATAGCCAGGTGGCGTAGTTGGTGGAGTTGCAGCTGCAGCAGTGGTTTGAAGAGCTTGCAACGAAGTGAGCACATTCAGAATATGTTGGTTCTGAATCGATTGAACGAGAATGGTATTTGCAAATGAATTGTTATCACCAAAGTAGTGAATGAACATCGCTCCATTCAAACCATTGACGGCAGTCTGAGAAGCAGTTCCAGTTGGATCCAAGGTGTCTAACAACGTCTTGATATCAGTGATATCTCTAAAGTAGGAGCTTAGATCGTTATCGGAAGCATGCTTAGTGATAAAGTTCTTTAGATAGGTAGCGTTGGTTACGTGTTTGGCATATTGATTGGCAGACTTAACCGGTGTAGCACTCATATAGCCGATCATTCCTGTGTAGTGAGCTTTGAATGCGTAGGAAGTGCACAACATTGTTTGAGCGGCAAAGATTGCCGATTGCGAGAGAGTATTTAGAGAATTCTGAATGGCGGTGATATTAAAGTTTGCGGTTGCAAATGAGTCACCTGCGTTGTAGAGAGCATAGGGGAAGTAGATGGCAGCGTAACTTTGATAGAATGTCTTTGAGGCGGCATCACTAAATAATGAGGCTTGTAGAACATCGATTTTCGGTTTGGTAATTCCAAGCAGAGTCAATACATTGGCATCGGCATTATAGAGCATATTACCATTGAAAACAGTTTGAGCGGCCTGTTGGATAAAGTTGGTGTAGGTAGTCAAACCATTGTTTGTGGTCGATGAGAAACAAGTGAAACTCGCAAAATCCGTAAACATCTTTTGTTTGGCAGCTTTGATTTGGGCTGGCGACTGAACGAGAAGGTTAGTGTTTGCGGTTGTAGTAGCCTCATCAAGATCTGTTTTGGCCATAGCTTTATAGCTTGGGAAGAAAGTTGGTCCGAAACTAAGTGTAGTCATTTCTTTTTTTTTAATAAATTTATTTGTTATATTATTTATTAAATTATAAAATGATTAAAGATAACTAATTAAAAGTTGTGATTTGTGTTTAAATATTAAAAAAAAAAGTACGAAGAAAGGTCGTTCTAGTTTGAGTTTGCATACGGATTAACAAATTTGCAAACATTCAAATAAAAGGTTTGTGATATCATTGTACCTGGAGTTTAGAGCAAATGAAATGATAATGGGGTAAAAAAAAAAAAATCAATTGTAAATGTATTAAAGTTGATAAATCAAAGGCGACTATTCAAACAAAAATTAAAAAAAAATGGTTCCCTTGGGTGTGAAAAAATCAAAAAAAAAGACAGTTTGTACAAATAGTGGTAAACTTTACGATGAGATAATGATCATTAAAGTATCCTAGATTCGTTGAAACTCAAATAAAAAAATTATGTGGTTCTAACTTTTGAATTCAGTGAACTAGAGGAACTTTCAAATGTGCATCACGACTTTGGATCTTTTTGTTGTCGCCAATCAAAAACAAATCTGTGTTATTTGATTTTATAGGTTGGGTATTTTTTTTGCACAGATTTTTGTATCTCGCATTATTTTTGCAAATAGGGAATCACTTTCTGATGTTACAGTATTTATTTTTTTTTACAAGATGTTGTTATTTATAATTTTTGTTTCTTTTGAGAATGTGATTCATCGATATCATTTGTATCATCTTCCATAATTCTCTTTGATTGTGAATCTCCTGTTATATTTGATTGTTTTGATATATGATTGTTTATTATCTCTAATGTATTGTAGGCATAAGAATATTCTTTTTCAACTATCTGTCTATACTGTGAAAGTTTGTCGCTACTAAAGTTACGATCATTCAATATCCAATCGACAATCTGAAATCTATCGTTCTTAAATAGTTTTATCATAACATGCTGAGCTATTTCATAGTTTTGTTTGTTGAATTCACTTCTGTTACAGAGCAACCATTCGTATGTCTCGTAGTTGCCATTCTTGAAAGTACAGTCAAGTGCATAGCTACCACAGATCACTGACGATCTATTCTCACAGAGGAACTGAACCACCGGGAGATGACCATTAATAATCGAAGTGTTAATTGCTTTGCTAGTACATCCTTCACTTCTATTTTTGTGGAGCCACTTTACGACATGTAAAAATCCTTTTTCTGCTGCGTTGTCAAGAGCTTTGCTTGTACATCCTTGACTGCTATTCTCATGCAACCACTTGACAACCTCAAGAAAGTTGTTTCCAGCGGCGCCGTCCATCGCTTTAGTGGTGCAAACTATTTTTCTATTGGTATGAAGGAATTGCAGTAGATCCAACTGTCCTCGCTCTGCAATAGCATCGACATCTGGAGCACTACACTTTATATCGGTGTTGGTTAGTACCCATTCGATCATATCCTGTTGAATTGAATACCATGCTTCCTTGAAAAGATACTCTGGAAACTTAATGAGTGGATAGTTAACTTTTATCCACTGAGCCATTTCGATGTTGTTGTACTTTACAGTATGTTGATAGACATAATTGGAGCAAATAAAATCATATTGTTGAAGTAGTTTCATCATATCAAGATTGTTGGTTTGTGCCGCAATGTTCATGTATGATCCATCTGCTCTAAGAATATCGCCACCGTCATGACAATTTGACATTAAATACTGAATAGTTTTAACTTGTCCACCTTCAATTGCTTTAAACATCATTTCACTTGGACTATAACTGTAAGAACTGCAGTTTATCAACCATTCTATCATATCGATTTGGCCTACAAACGCTGCATTATTGTAGACCATTCGCTGATTGTTGCTTCTCCCGTAGTCAAATTCAAAATCATAGACATTTTTTCTGTTTTCAGCTGGGGTGTTCTTGAGACCACCACATATTTTAACTACATATTGAAGCATCGATAGATCTCTGGAGAGTGGTGCTTTGATCAACGCTAAATTGTAGTCCCATTCATAGTCAACCGATTCCAATAGGAATTGAACGATCGTCAATCGATTGGAGGTGATCGCATGCCAAAGAATGTCATTCACTCGGTATTTGTCTTGGTAGGTTTTCTTGATGCGACGACTCATCTCGAACTCGATCCAACAGTATTCAAACAGCTCGAAACTACCGACTTTGGTGGCAGCGACAAACGCTCTCTTGATACTATCGAGATCGGACATCAGTGTATCTTTCTTTTTCATGCAATATAGCTTTAGCATATCAGAGTAGCCATTACCAATCATTAGTGCAGGCGATTCCGATAGTTCGTTCCATCTGACATTGCCTTGCTCATTATATAATCGATTGATATGATAAACATTTTTAAAAATCAATTTATTTACAAAAGAATTATTAAATACAACTGAAAATATTTGTTTGTTCATTTATTTGGTTATAAAATAAAATAAATTAAAAAGAATTTGTTGTGATTTTAAATCTTTTAAAGCTTTTTTTTTTTTTTATTGAAAAAATTGAGAATCAAGATTTAATTTAATTTTAATTTATTTAATTTTTTTAAATAGTAGGGACTTTTTAGAATATATTTTCACAGAAAACAAATAAATAATTTATTTTTAAAAGTACAATTAATTTAGTTCTACCTAAAATATTATTCCAAACAAAATTGATTAATTAAATCAATTTTTTTTCTGATAAATAAGCGTTAGCAGATGGAGGTAAAGATTTCTTTGGAAAAGAATGAATAATGATTCTCTTTGAAATGAATAGATTTTTTCTTTGAGAAAGTTGCATTGATTTTGATATCACCAATCATATTGTATGATAAAAATTTCATTGCTTGATCACAACCCGTAAAATTTTCTTTCTCGAAATGAATAAATCCAAAGCCGGAATATTCTCCATTTTTGTTTTTTGGAATCGATACATGATCTACTAAACCAAAAATAGAACATATATTAAAAATTATTTCTTCTAAGTTTACTGAAGGATCAATCTATAAAATTTTGATCAGAAAAGAGATTAATATTGGAAAAATTTAAAAGTTAAGATAACAAAAAATTACCTTTTTAGCTCTGAATGTAATGTAGATTGATGTTTTGAAATCAATCGAATCTCCATACTTGACATTGAAGAATTTATTTTTCGAAAGAAGTTGGTAGAAGAATTCTGTGTCCTCAAAAGAATTGAATCTTATGAAAGATGTCTTCATATCTGCTTTATCTTTTCTTTCTCTAATTCCATCATCTGCCAATGTTCTAACAATTAAAAGTAAATCATTAATAAAATGAATAAAAAATATTCAATTTCATTAAAACTCACAAAATATGATCAATAAAACGATTTAAATCGACTGGTCCATTCTTGGTGATATGTAAAGAAGTATTTGGAATAGCCCAGTAAACTTCTATTGTTTGTTGTGGGAGGAAGTTTACTTCACCATTTGTCAATTTTCTCTTGGCACAATGAGCTTGATTTGAGGTCTTTTATTAAAAAAGGAAACCATAAGTTAAAAAAATAATTATATCATTTAGTAAAAAAACAAAATAGTTACCTTAAAATCTAAAAAAGCAGTACCTAAAGAGTTACCTTTATTATCAACCATTAAATGAAATCTTTCACATTTTAATAATACAGCTAATTCATTAAGAGTGACCTAAGATAAATATTAATATTTAATAAATAAACAATTTTTTTGTCATATTATAAATCAATCATACATTTGACAATCCTGTTGGTAAGTTTCTCACATGGATATGTACTGAAAAATAAAGAATGTATGTTAGATTGGATATAGAATACGATTCGAAAAGAAAATACAAACATTTTTCTGGAACCTCTTTATTATTTATTATATGATAATAATATGGAACATATTGTTTATTGATAATTCTTGAAAAGTTCATTTTAATTTCCAGTAGATGAGTAGATAAGATATATTATATTTAAGTTGTTTGAGTTTAATGAAAATTAATAATTCAATCAAGCTTTAAATACTTTTATGAAAGGAGATCATCATATTAGGTCAAAGTTGTATAACCTTTTTCCATACATGGTACATATCTAAAAAGCATAGCATAGTGGGTGCACCCATATAAACTTTAAACTAGGTGTTTGTTTTTTTTTTTTTAACTGAGATTTTATCTCATGACATTGAAGAGACTCTAATTATAAATAGAGTTACCAATTTAATATGACCCTTTCACTCTCTACCACCATCTACTTTTTACCCCAACGAGATAAAAATAACAGTGAAAAAAATCGTAGAATCTTCATGAAATTAAACCAATTTTTTTGTTAAAATTAGAAAGATTTAAAATACTAGTATGGAGTGGAATTATCATTGTTCCCCATTAACTTAAGAATATAATTATAATTTTCATTATTTACACTCACAGCGAGAGTTGATGATCATAGTGTGAATACTTAATTTATTCAGCTCAATCAAATAATTTGAATGAAACTATTTTCCGAAGTTACCAAATTAGTAGATCACAAGGTGTTGTGTTGAAATTCAATTCTATTCTATTGGTGTTGTTGATTTAATCAAATTTTAATTTTAAGCGGATCACACAAGCACAAATACAAACACAAAACACACCTCTTTGTTTTCAATTGATCAATTGAAAAGCATTTAAATGACAACAATAAATAATACTAATAGGTAAAATTAAATATATGAATTGTTGTTAAATAATAATGTGTTTGTTATTGTGTGTTTTATTGGTATGTATGATTTCAATTGTTAAACAAGGACCTAGTTTGTGCTACACTTTAATAAAAAAAAATGGTAGTAGTAGTAGTTTAATAAATTTTAATTTTATTTATTATTATTTTGCTGATGACAATGAGGGAAGGTTGAAATAGTAGTAACAATAGTAGTTATAATAGTAGTAGTAGAGGGGTACTGACTTCATAAGCTTTCTTTTCATCAAGAGGTAAACCTAACACTCTTATTTTCATTCAAAAACAATGATCAATGATTGTTATTATAATTGATTGATAGTAGCAATTCTTGTTTGTTGTTTTACACACTTTTATATCTTTCTAATGTACTTGTTATTGTTATTGTTGTCATAAGAACAAAACAAACAAATTAACAAATTAGGACCGTGTTTAACAAGATCCATGATGATAGTGGTCATTGATTCCTTCCGAAATCACAAACAACAATCATCCTATCTCTGATAGGTTGAGATTATCCTATTAACACCAGCATTCATATCGAAAATAGTATAAAACAAGTCGGTTAATTGCTGTTGGTTTATACATATTTGATTATAATTTTAATGAATGAATAAATCATGATCTACAGGTTTTTCTTTATATATAAATTCTACAAATAAATTATTAGAAAGAGACTAATAATATCTCTCAATAAATATTTATAGTATCAAAGATATTAAATTGATTAACTTTACTATATTAATATATATAATGACTTTTTTGAACATATCTATCTTCTAAATATGTGTATATTTTTAATTCTTTACATTTCATATAATAATGGTGAATATTTTGGTTGAATTGATCTTCTTTTGTGTATTAGATAGATAATGATTACAGTGATCACCAGGAATGAAACTATTCCTATGGAAATATAACCACCCAGTGGTTGATGATTGGTCTTTCGGGTGTCGCTATCGTCTGAATCTGGCGGTTGATTTACACACTGCTTGGAGATGTCACCTGACAGTTGACATGAATTCGCCGAGCATATCACAAGCTGTGTATCTTTATCGATGGTATTATTGTTGGCGGTTATACTGCTAGCATAACAAAGCAAGTTGCCATACCCATTGTTTGTGAATGTGTTATCCTGCAGCAACGCAGTGCTAACATCAAACAAATAGATGGCGTTTCCATAGAGTAGCCCTTTGGTGTCACTGAACACACTGTTCTCGATAAGCAGCGAGTCAATACCGTCTATGTTCATGTTGGTTCCAAGACTGCCGGTGTTCTCACTGAATGTACAGTTGGAGACAACCGCCTGACCGGGAGAATCCACTCGCAGACCGCCAAACAACCCGGTGTTTCCAGAGAATAGACAATCGCGTATCTCTAGGTTGAGTGGCCACGGAATGGGATCGGATTGCGTAGGCAATGTCTTGACGGTTACCAATGAACCATTGACAATGGACAGCATCTGATTGGAAAAGAATGTAAAGTTTGTGTTGGTAACCAAGACAACAGAGTTACCATCGATGTTTCGTTCGAATACTATATCTTTGAATGTTGTCTCACTTATTACGAGATCGAACAGCTCATCCATAGACAGGTGTTGAGCGCTGGCAATGTTACCAACGAATGAACAACCTTGGATATTGAGAGATCCGGTTACCTGTAAGATCGCCTGCTCTCGCAAACCAGTGAAAGTACTATTGTAAATGATTGCTTCAATGTTTCGTAACTCCATGTAGGAACGATCGATTCCTAGCGTACCATCTCTGAACAAACAATTAGAAACCGTCAGAGTTATAAAGTTCTCTTCAATGTTGTTATTCAAGAAAACATTTGAGATATCCGAAGAACAATTGATAAACTGACAGTTCTCGAATACCACCGTCATGTTGGAGTAGTAATATACTGTATTGATGATACTACCTGCATTCTCATGATAGGCATTGGTAACCACCAAGTTTAAAAGTGTAATATTTGTATCACTAACAAACATTAACTCCTCCAAATAGATAAAACCAGCAATAGATTGTAAATCAATAGTTATTGATTGTTGTGTTACTTGTTGTTGTTGTATTTGTTGTTTATGTTGTTGTTGTTGTTCTTGACTTTGTGAACCTTCAATAATTACATTGATTCCCCAAAGATTTAGTTTACTATTGTTTGAAGCTGGATAGTAACCAGGTGCCATTATAATATGTAATAGATGTTTATTTGAATATCTTTCATCGGTTGACATATAGCCATTGATTGCCGATTGTAGATTTGCACATGCTGAACTCACATCTACCGATACACCACAACCTAATGAGGTATTGGTAGAGAACGAGTCAACATAATAGGTATGAATTACAGCATACCCGCTCGTCACTGTAATAACCAAACTAAGAAACAACAATAGAAATAAATAAAATAAAATATTAAAGTTATATATACATTTATAAAACATGATAAAATAGAAATATTTAAATAATTAATAAAAAAAAAAAAGACAGAAAAGAAAAACAATAAAACTAAACAAAACTGTCAAAGATATAATGATGACCTTAAAAGGGTAGCGGACCAATCACCCCACACACATTTGCTCAACAACCAGAGAAAAAACAAAAAATTATAAATATCTTTCAATTGGTCTTGGAAAAAAAGGTAAAAAAAATTAAATCGATTATTATTTATTTTTGCAAAAATATGTTATTGTTGTTAGTATAATTATTATTGATTGATTGATTGATTCTTTGTTTTTCTTTTTGATATTTTAATTATTTAATCTAAGATAACCATCATTTCTCTTGTAATATAACCAACCGAAACCAACTGCAACCATGACAACCATGATTGAAACAACGATTAAACCGATCTTCCACGATGCCATATGACCAGACTTTGGCTTTTCAAACGATAGGTAAGCATAGTTGGGTGGTTTACCGGTGCTTACTTTAATTTCGTATTTCTCGGTGGCTTGTAATGCAACGACACCATAGAAGTTACCTGTGATCTGATCTTGTGAGCTAATGATATTGTAGTTTTGTGAGTAGTCAATCGATTTTTGATCTTGGAATTTGATGTTGATCTGACCGTCCAGTGAGACCGTTCCGAGTACTTCGATCGGTGCCACTCCGTTGCTGCCCGGTTGGAAACTCTGTTGAATCTGGATGTTGGTTTGATGAGAAATTTGCATCGATGTCAGCACTTGGATGTGTGTGTTGATCAACTGTAGATTGGCTTGTGCAATCACAAACGATCCGGCGATGATCATGTCGGAGGTCGGTGAGAATGCACCGTTGTTGAGGTTGAGTGATCCACCGATATTCAAGGTTGTCGCTTTGTTATAGTTGAATTGTCCACCGTAGAAAAAGAGATTGGCGTTCAACTGATTGTTGTCTAAGTTGAGCAAACCAGACTCTCTGATAAAGATGCTTCCTGCTGTGAGCGATTTCTTTGATTCGCAGGCACCGTACAAGTCGATGTCACCGGTGGTTGCAAACGCCGATGGAATCAACAACGATGCATTGACGTTGACTTGGATGGTAAGACCTTGGATGGTTCCCTCCTGTGAGACCTGAGCGATAGTTGCAGAACTAGATTGATTGGCAATCAATGTGATTTCATTGTTGTTACCTAACGATTGGATATCCTCGATGGTTACATTGTCGTTGAAAACAATGATTGAGTTACCGAGGATGTTGAATTGGTTAATCAGTGCAACATCGTTAAAGACAATGTTTGGCGACTGTACGTTGAGTGTACCTCTGGAAGTGATTTGGTTGATTTCAATTGAGTTGGCAACGAGAGTGGCAGAGTTGGTGGTATCTCCCAAAGTCAATCCCAAGACAATTGTGATTTGCTCGGTGTTGACATCGAGTAGGGAGCCTGGATACATTCCGATATCGGTGATATAGAGGTCACCGGTGATGTATATTTCGGCACCTGGCAGCAAAACGAATTCTCCACCGTTGTGACCATCGACCAAAGTAAGATTTGACACACCTTTGAAACTGATCGATTGTTGGAACAGCAATTTGAAGTTGCTTACAACACCGGCATGGAACACCACCGGGTAATGATTGTATACCATGTTCAAAACAGTTTGACCCAACATCTGCAACTGACAATAGAGATCGGTCTGGCCTTCCAATATCAGTGTGGCATCTTGGTCAACGATAAACGTTGAGAATTCATTAAACAGGGTGACTCCATTCAACTCTGTCGATCCCATATGCACCAGCAACGATCCATTTGTGAATGTTGTCTGCTCCGATTTCAGATTGGCATTGACAATAACGGTCGATCCATTATTGACCACTGTGTTGTTGAACTCGGCCACTTTGGAAACAGTAAAGGTAACTGGTCCAGTCAGGTTGAAAAGAACGATTTGCTCTGGATTGTAAGCAAGGATCAACTCTATATACTGAGGACTACCAAAACTACTGGCATCGATATTTATATTATATAATGTATCACCTGGCACCGGTGCTGATCCACCCCAAAATAGATCACTTGTAAAATTACATGGACTATTAATGTTGTTACAAACTTCACTTGGTACCCAATTTAAATTGACAACATCTAGATTTTTAGAGATATAAAAGTTTAGTAACTTTAACTTTGGATTGATTGATTGATTGATTGATTGATAATCTTTAGTAGAATTCTCTTCTCTCTCTTACCTTGTGCATTTGCAATGGATTGTTGTTGACTAATAAATAAAATATATAAAAAGAATGAGATATATATATAATTGCTGAATCTGTACATTTTTGAATAATTTTAAGAAAAAAAAACTAATCAAACACTAAATATTCATACAAAAAGGTATAAATCAGTGTTTGAATAACTTAAAACCAAACAAAAGATAAATAAATAAACAAGTATTGTTGTGTAATAAGAATGATTATGTGCAATGATCAAAGGTGATTTTAATTTTTTCAAAATCAATGGCTATTTTTAAAAAACATGAGAAATTGAATGATTTATCGTTGTAAAAGTTAATTAGAAGGGACCAGGTTTAGGGCATAGATCACTTTAAAAAAAAAAAATAAATATCTGATTTTTTTTTTGCATAACCAAAGCTTGCAGCTACACCCATTTTATGTTTTTAAAGAGTTTTGTTTTTTTTTTTTGGTTGAAGCACGGCATCAAAAACACTTTGGTCCATTTTTTTATTTTATTTTTATTTTTTTAAAAACCAACCATCAAAAAAAAACTCCGATTATTTGTATCCATTGGATTCAATTGTTGCACACCCAATATATCTAATGTTCAAACTTGGTTTTAATGAACCAGAAGTAATAAAATTTTATTCAAGAACTAACATCACCAAACCTTTTTTGAACAATTTAAATAATCCAATAACAAGAGATAAGAGTTTTATATATTGAAATAATAAAAATAAATAAAACTTATTAAATAAGTTTTAGTTGTAAAAAGATTTTTTACCATATTGTGACTTTTGCTATTAGTGCCGCTTAGCAATATCAACAGAAAATTAAGACAAGGACAACAAAATTACAAACCATAGTTATAAATAACTCAACTCTAGCACCATTATTTGAACGTACAATATAAATTCTTATACATATTTATATTATATATCTGAATCAGGTAACAGCAACAGTTGCAGTATATATGGTGAATTGATCAATCACACAACACACACATACCAACTCAAATTAGCAATACACAAGTTTTTTAGGGTGGTGTTGAATGGAGAGAAAGTGAGTGAGTGATAGTTGTGTGTGTTTTGTGTGTGTGGTAGAAAAGCAACAATTAAAAATTAAACATATATATAGGTTTAATTCAATCATCATATCATATATTATTGATTCCACTTATTTCTTTGCAATGACAGACAGACATATATACAGACCACAGGATTTTGGATAATAATTGATTTGTGATTTCTGATACCGGTAACCAAAACAGGTGTGATGTTATCAGGTAGAAGTTAAGAATTGATCTTGATCTCCCCCTCTTTTTAAATAAAATTAGGGTTTTATTTTGATCACTTATCTTGTGAAATTTGTTTTAGGAAATATTAAATATAACTTTCATTTATAAATTAATTGTGTACAACTTTGTTATTATTTAAACTAAAAATTAATATTCTTAGCTAAATAAATCGATATTTATCTAAAACTACGAATATCTTCAATATAGATAATGTCTGCGACTCAAAACAAAAGAAAATTTCTTTTATCATTAATCTCTTTGATTAATATAATAGAACTTTCTATGTGTATGATATGTGCTATATTCCTGGATTGGTATGTCATCAAAATTCCGTTTCCCAATCAAGCAAAAGTGCATCAACATCGTGAATATTATAATGAATTCTATGGTTTATTTAGCTTTACAAAACAATGGGTAAGAAAATTGTAATAACCGAATCAATATAAAATGGATTAAAGCTAACTCTTTGTTTGTCAACAAATACTCTTAGGGAACCTATACAAACATTACTAAAGAAACCACATTATATATACAGAGTTATTACTATTTTTACTCTACAGTATTCAATGTTGTTGGTTTGCATCAAATTTTGGCATTTATTTGTTTGATAATGGTATTTACCTCTGGTGTTATGATTTACCAAAACTATGGTACTAGAGCAGTCCATAAATTTAATGTTCTCTTTTCAATAATGATGTTGACGTTCCAATCGTTTTCATTATTCTACTTCCTGAGGATTACCGATGCATTCAATAATGAGAACATTGGAGGTTGTAATGGTAAATATTGGTGTCACACTTTCAATGGGACGAAAGAAGGTAAAACTTGGGGACCGGGTATTGGATTTTGGATATCGGTTAATTCGTTTAGTGGTAGTATATTAAATTTAATTCTATCAATTATTCAATACTATTCAACAAGAAATATGGATAGACCTTCTCCGCCCTCCCACCTTGAATATCCAACTATTGAGTTTATTAATTCAATAGATTCAATTAAAAACTATCATAATAATCTAATCTATAACGATATGACAAACCAATCGAATGGAAATAATTATACTTATAAAAGTAGTAGTAGTATACAAAAGACATTTATTCCAGCAAATTATATATTAGAAAATAATGATACTAATCCAACAATGATTTTAACCGATAATAGTAATTGTATAGATAATGTATAAATAATTAAAATATATATAAACGCTCTTTTTTATTTATAATAAATTATTTATTTTGATATTTTTCTTTTTTTGTAAATGAAAATAATTAAACCTGTTAAAAGAGCAACAAATAAAACACCACCAACAACTATCACTGCAATCTTCCAAGCACTTAGTCCACCGTCATCATTGTTATCGCTTTGTGACTTTGTGGTGAGCATAACACAATCTTTGTAGGATGAGTCTGTTTTTGATTTGACAACACTGAGCTTGAAGCTACTGTAGTCCTCAGGTGCAAAAGTAGGGTTCTGAGGTGAAGCGATAGAGAGTTTGAGATTCTTGCCGAGTGAAGCTACCTTTGCTTGGATGATGCAATACTCTTGGTCGGCGTTCAATTGGCTAGCGAATTCAAATTGAACTGAACCGTCGAGAATCACTGTTTCGGCAAAGATATAAGGTTCGGTTATGTCGGTGGTGTTTTGTTGCTGTTGGATGAGCAGAGTCGACTCGGATGTCAAATTCAGCGAATCTCCAACACTAATCAAACCATTCAAGTTCAAATTGAAGGTACCATTACCTACGGTTATTGATTTACCAACCATTGTGCCAGCGTATGCCAACAACATTCCTTTGTTGACAAAGATCGATCCATCGACGTTGTAAGTATCGTTTTGTAGAATGTTTACGAATTTCGAGTCACCGTCTATAACGAGATCACCAATCAATTGATTACCCTGGGGAACTAAACTAGCTTGGTTGTTTAAATGAATTGATTTCGATGATAGTTTGTTGAGGTATGCTGTTGCTCCGTCCATTGTAATACTGGAGGTGTTGGTGGATAGAGATACACCTGAGCTCATTTGTAACACTGAATCGGCGGTTACAAATATATGGATATTCTCCAATGGCGATGACGAAAGAGATCCAATCGATGACATTCCAACGAGTGTTAATGTAATTGGCTGGGAACCACTGGTTCTGATATCAAGGATTTCGGAATCAGTGAAATTAATCTGTGTATTTCCACTCATTACAAGCGTGGAAAGGTGTGATGAATTGGCTACCACTACATTGGGAGAATCGGTTATGCTTACTTGGCCAAAGGAGTTGATGACACCAACACTTAGATTTGGTGTTTGGATTGATAATATAGATTGGTCGGCTTGATCTATATTTGAAATATTTACATATTGGCATTGTAAGCCAAGATTGGATTGTGGGTAGAGATTAAGAATATCGGTGACCAAGAGTGTGTTGGTCACTGTTAGGTTACCCAGAACAACAACAAATGAACCCGATAATGTTGATATAGTTGATGTTCCAGCTAGTGAGATAGAAGTTGCTATGATTGTCGATGCTGTCGCACTGACACCACCATTGAAAAACAGAGGATTGTTCGGGTCGGGAATGGCAGTTATTCTGACTTGATTCAATTGAGCTAGTCTAGAGAATGAAACTTGTCCATTGATAACTAAATTGACAGGTCCTCCAATGTTGATACCGCCAAGCTGTAATGTTTGATTTATAATAATATATTGTTGTTGTGCTGTCGATCCCATCTGTGCATCTGAATTGGTGTCCAACCACGGCGCCAAATTATTCTCCCAATTCGAAATTTCGTCAAAATAGCATGGCTGATTTTCTGTACAAGAAGAAGCTGGTTTCCATACTGGAATACTATCTATTAACACAGTGTTCAACAAATCAATCATTATTATTAATGTCATTGAAATCAATCAAATATTATACATACTTTGAGAAATTACATTTTGAATTAAAAAAAATAAACATAAAGAGAGATATATGTTTGCTTTGTACATTATATATGTTTGTGTGTGTGTGATGGATTGGAAAAAAAAACAATAAAGATTGTCGATTGTGGACTTATGTTGATTGAGTTGATACAGTGCGCCACAAAAATTATCAATCAAATTATATTTTCTTTGCCAAATACTATAATGTAATTAATATGCTTTAAAAGTAAGAAAACGTTAGGGGGTAAATCGTGGCATACATCCAAAATAGACAAATCTTTTTTTTCAATCAAACCATCACTCCCTCAATATGAATAACTTGCCTAAAATATTTTCGAAATATTGATCTAGTTTTTTTTTTTTTTTTTTTTACGAATTATTTATGAGAATAAATTTAATATTGCGGTTTTTTTGACAGTTAGGAATTCGAATGAATAGTGAAACACCCCCAATACCTTTGGTGTCAATCGATCAATAAATTCGTAGTTCTATCTGCATTAATTGAATGAGGTGAGATGATCTATGATCAAGTGTTTTACAGATGAAGTTGTGTGGGGCAATGTGTTTGAAGTCCCCAATAAAGTTAACCACAATGCACAAAACTTTTTTGAAAAAGTCAATATACTTTTACACCACCTTATAATTTATTAATGAATAAAGCAAAAAATAACCAGGATCTTAATTTAGCAACTCACGAATTATCAGAATATTTTTTGTTGTTTTTTTTTTTTTCATTCGTTTCATTGTAGATCAAGTTTGTTTTCTGGAGTCACAAAACAGCAACTGTTTCGATCGTCAAAAGATTAAAACAAATTTGTTTGCACTACAGCCCATCTAAAAATTAACTTAGAATCAAATAAGAAAAGAAAAAAAGAACAAGTTTTTTTTTTTTTTTTGTTAATTTGGGATTGTGAAGTAAAGGAAAAACAATGAAAATAATAATGATTTATTATGATTTTCGACAACAATCTCTATGGATTTTGCTTGGAATTGATTCTATAGAGTTAGTTAGTTGGTTTGGGTTGGGTGGAAGGTTGGTGTTGGTATTTGGTGTGGTGGGAAAGCAAAGCAATTCTAAATGAATACAGGAAATTACAATTTCCAATTCAAGTTAATATACTTTTGTCGTAGAGTTTGGTGGTTGGTTGTTCATTCTTGTCACCAAAGATATGTTGGTATCTTTTTGGTTTGGATTCAAGGAATGAAATATTATAATATTATATATATTCGTAAATATAAAATTATAAGAAGGGGTGGTGATGATGATGTTTGGTGAGTGGTGTGAATTTTGATTGATTGATTGTTGTTGTTGTGTTGTTGTGTTGTTGTTGTTGTTGAGTTATGTTATATAATTATGTTGGTTGATTTGATTTGTTATGGGGAGTTGGTTGTTAGAGACATTGTCAATCCAATTCTGAAAACCTGATACAATTTGATATAATTTCAAACAGTTTACCGACAGTTGAAATTATGATTGTAGGATTGGTTGATTCTGAATGTATGGACCGTAACAACATGTCAAACCTTCTCAGCCCTATTGATGCAAATCCACCATCAAATATAATAATAATAATACATAGATATTAGAGATTATTATAGATAATTATTCGCACAAGATATTCTTTAGAGCCATGGACGGTGGTGTCACGAGTGAGCCGGTGCTGGTTGGGACAACAGAGTTTGGAGATAAAGAAGGCGATGGTGCGATCGACTTTGTGATGTAGGAAGAGCAAGGGCGAGACGGAGAGCTATGGGCACTGCTGTTCATCAGTGACAACAACGAGGAGATAGCACTGGATTTCGATGGTTTGATAACGATTTTTCTGACGCAGTTACAAAAGTCGAACCAGTCGTCCTCTTGGTCGTTGATTTCGATGATGTCGTTCTCGGAATCTTGATAGCAGATGACAAAGGAGTGACCAATTGAAAACATTGCAGAGAGGGTTTCACGCAGTGGAATGAATCCATTGTAGAGTGAGATGTCGACTTTCTTGTAGGATTCTTGGTCGTATAGTTTACATTTGATAACAGTGTTATGGCTTGCGTTGTTGTTGTTGGAGTTAAAGTTATGGTTTGGACTATCTTGCTTGGCACGCTTCAGTGGCATCGATGGCGAAGAAACTTCACTGTCACTGCCATCCGAGGAGAATGAATATCCATTGTTGGCTGGATTGTTGTTGTTGATTGAAGTATAGTCGAGACTTGTTCTTTTCTTGGAGGAATTTGGTGAGAGAAGCGATGCGATGTCGACATTTTGGTTGTGGAGGAGGTGATGGTGATTATTGTGGTGTTGTTGGTGATGAATTGGATTGCCATTGGTTGGTGTACCGCTTGGCGAAACAACTGTGCTTCCGAACGATGGACTTGGCGAGACGGTTTCATAGAAATGACGGTCGTACATCAAGGTTGTCGAATTGGGGAATGGGGGAGATAATGTACGGAAAGTCGATGTCAACGAAGGTGATGCAGCAGAGTTGGGGTTTGGTGTTACCATTTGATATTTAGTGAACAACTGTGAGGGTGTTGGTTGTTGTTGTTGGTGATGATGATGTTGTGAAGCAATGTCACTGATGAACGAAGCAAGTGAATAGGTATTGCAGGAGGAGTCTGGTGAGGTTGGATTGATTTGTTGTCCATTGAATAGAATTGGATTGTTGAGGTTGATGGTAGTTGTATTGGTGGTGTTGGCGTTAGTAGTGGTTCTTGGTGTGACAGGAGCACTGCTGTTGTTGAAGGAAGATGCGGCGTGTGATGACGACGCTGAAGATGACGAAGCCAAGAATGACAGTGCCGACAGTTTCGGTGAGTATGTGGAACTGGATGAGGAGTTGGCGATCGATGGATTGCATCCAGGTTGGTATTTTCGTTGTTGGAGTACAATGACATCACCTTGACGTGTGTATGTCAGTTGTGCACGACTCAAGTTTGCTTCGATCTCACGCAGTGAAGTACCGAGACGCTCGTGGTTGTGAGCGATCCACTCGGATAATGCATAATTTACAAGGGTGATGTGGTTGAGTGCAACCAGTCCGTGGAGCGATGTCGAGTAGTTGTTGGAGAGGTCGTCGTCCAGCTGTTGTGAGGCAACCGGTGTTCCAGGAGCGGCGGCAGCAGGAACTCGGTTTCCGCTGCTTCCAAGCGAGGACGAGCTGGTTGAGTCACTGGCGATGATCGGTGAGTGGTTACCACCGGTGGCCGAGGAGACGGCAGCGGCGGCACTTGCCAGTTGTTGTCCAGCGTTGTCCCAATTTATAAAGTGAAGCGAAGTCATACGTGACTTTGACTTTTCGCTGATGAGCAGACGGTAACCAACATACTTTTTGGTGAGACGATTGAAACGACCACGCAATGTAGAGAGATTCACTTGGAACAGAGTTGCCAGAGTACGATCGGGGAAGTAGACAGGCTCACCGGATTTATTACAGAAATATTGAATCGAGACGAGATCGTTGGTCTTTGATTGGACGATTTCGAAATCCTGGACGGTGAGATCGGATGTATCGGTGGAATTGTGTAAAGTATGATTTAAGTTGGATTCGAGCATTTTTTGCTATTCGATTATTATTGTGATTAAATAAAAAAAAGTGGGGGAAAGGAAAGAATTAAATTGATATTTTTAAAAAAAGTGGATTGGAGTCAACCAAAGTGTTGGTTGCCAAATGGAAATTTGAAATTTGAAATTTTGGAGTTGGAAGTTGAAAGTAGAAGTGGCAATTTGATATTATTGAAATAAATAGAAGAAAAAAAAGCAATTAATTAATATTACTTTTTCTTTTGTTTAAACAAATTAAAAATATTTAGTAAAATATTAAAAATTTGTAAAAGTTTTTTTTTTTTTTTTTTTTGTTTTGAGTAAACTGGAAATGAATGAAGAGGTAATCTAGAGGTTTTTAATAAATAAATAAATATTATAGTACAATAATTAAATAAATGGACCAAGTTAGTAAATAGTTGGATGTTGTATAAATAATTGTTGTTTGTGTAGTTGGTTGTTGGATGAAGAAGGTACGATAAAAAATTGGGAGTAGAGAGGATAAGTGAAAAATTGGATAGAGATGAGCTCCATCTTAAGCAGCTCTTTTTCTGGGTTGCTTTGGAGTTGGAAATTTTTTATATCAATTAAAAAAAACAGCAAACAAACAAACAACAAACAAATATAAACAAAACAAACACTATTTGTTTTAAAGGTGTTATATTTGTTTTAAGTGAGGTGGGTTTGATGATGGATGGTTAGTTGTTGGTTGGTTGGATTGTTATATTGTTGAAGTTTTTAATTATACTATTTAAACAACTACAACTAGTATATCTTCATCAATATAATTATAAATCAAAGCAACAAGTACCTACCACACATCTCCACACGCACACAACACACATTTATTACTTATAATTTCAATATTATATATATGGAAATGAAATGATGTTAAAACCACAAGTATCAACAATTTTGTTGATCTTGGCAACATACAATAAATTTATTTCATTACTTATTTTTAAGTGACTTTAAATTATAACTACTATGTTGACAATTTTAAACTTGTAGCACTGAAAAAAATAAAATGTCTATGGTGGGTCGGGTAGTTGGAAGCAAACAAGTAACATCAAACTCGTAACAGTGATAATATAATATTGATCAAACTAAACATGACATACATATAAACCACTCGGTACATATCATCGTACTAAAAAAGAAAAACTTATATATAAAGATATAGTGAATCAACACTCATAATGTTGTTGTTGTCAAACTCAACAAGTTGGGAGGTGATGATGAGTGGTTCACTTGAAATCAAACAAATAATGACCATTTAAGTATATCGATTCATTTATTTTATAATTTGAATTATTCAATGTTGTTGTTGTTGATTGTGTGTTTGTTTTAAGAATAATAACATAGGTGTGGTATATGTGTGTTTATTTATTATTTATTTGATCATCAACAAAACCACTCACTCATTCACACCCTTTAGGAGTGCGAAAGGGTAGAATGAATATTGAAGTGAAAATATGGGGTGGATTTACAAAAATATATTGAGGCAACAAGTGGTGGATTTATATCCAAGAATCGAAAATTAAAACATGGAAATCATGTTTTATTGCTTATGCAACCTTGTTGGTTGTTGTAATATCGATTAATCATATAATGATTTGTTTACCTTTTGAAAATGAAAAGGTTACAATAGACTGATTTGGTAGTAGTGTTCAATTCAAATTATGGTGATTTGTTTTGTTTTTCATGAATGATGGATGTGTGTTTGTTGTTGTTGTTGTTGTTATTTAGGGAGAGTAATGGGCATTGTTTTAAGAGAATTATTTGAATGACAACCCGGGTTGAGATTAGTGTCGTGATTGTACAAAATATGGTAAAAATGAACTGATAATAAATATTGCATAGAAATGAAATAAGTGTTGAAAAATTACATTTATAATTTCTATAGCAATCAATTATAAGAATAAAGTGTTAAGATTATCTTTATCTTTATCTTTACTATTTTTAACTTATCACTATATATCTCTTTTTTTTTTCTTGTATGTTGTGTGAAAGGTTGTTATGATGCACATGTTTATCGGTGTTTGCTTATTTGTTTATTGTTGTGAGGATGATGAAGACTATTAATGATTAATTTACATACCTATAAAAAATGTATTTTGGTAAAAATGAATTCTTTCCTGTTTAATGTTCAAGGCGGTGCAGAGGTCCTTTCCCCCCTAAGAGTATTACTTAGTTTAAACTTTAATGGTTGTGTGTTGTCTTAAAATAACTATTGGTACGATAAATAAATAAATAAAATATTGTTTATAGTATTGACTTTTGAATTAGTACTAATTTATTTAAAAATATATTTTATAAAAAAATATATATCTATAATTATAATTATTCTATTTTTGTTATTATTTTTTTATATCTAAACTAAACTAATCTTTAAAAATATATCCAACCTTTTGTTTTTTTTTTTTTTGTTTGAAAATATCTTTTACTAATTAATTTTTTTTATCCTATCCAAAGATTGAGATAGGTAAATTAATTAATTAATTAATTCCAATAGTGTTATCTATTTTATATATATAACAAGAAAGTACTAAAATTGATAAGATGAGAATTGTTGGAATGTTTTGTTGGTTGTTTGGATGATGTTTTGTTTTTTGTTTTTTTGTGTTTCTCGTCTGTTATGAACAAAAATATTAAAAAAAAGTTTACTATTCCTATTAATTAGTATAGTGTGGTGGGGATGTAGTTATTTTGACACATCCGGAAAAACAAAACACTCTTAACACCTCAAACAAATTTTCGAGGCTATCACAAAGTTTATGACCAGGTACCAGACCAACCTACATCAAAAAAAAAAAAAGTGTTGGTGTGTGGTGCTGAAAAACAAAAACAAAAAAAAAAAAAAGAGGTCTGTTGTTGGAATAGAAAATATCGAACTAAACACCCACTCTCTCTTAATTGTTTTTTGTAATTAATGAGAAAACCACTGCCAACGCAACGATCATGATGTTGTTTTTTTGTTTTCACTTTTTTTTTTTTTGGTTTGTGGTTGTTTTTCCAAGTCGTTGGAATTTTTTTTTGAGCAAAAATATCTTTTGTTCGTCCTGGGGGCTAATTTTCTTAAATTGTGAATAAATGAATGAAAGTTTTTTGTTTTTGCTGAAAAAAACACAACAAAAAATTAGAATTAGGAAAAAATATTGGATGGCGGAGTCAAACAAAAGAGGAGAACCAACTAACAAAACACAAAAAACACACACATCAACAAATGCTTCATATGATGGTTGTTGATAATTGAGCTATTACCCTTTATAGATAGATCAACCAACTATGTTTGTGGATTGGTGACGACTGAATGGATGAAAAAAATAAGTTATTTATTTTCTTTTTTTTTTTTTTTTTTTTAATAATATTCTAAATCTGTATATCTGTCTTTCTTTTCATTCACACATATTATGTGTATTACTTCTAGATAGATAAAATTATTTAATACTTTTGTTGGTTTTGATTTGTTAGTTTGTTGTTATTTTGATTTGTTTTATTTTGTTGAAAAATTAATGCAATAGACAAGTGGACTTTGTTAAAAACAACTGTTTTTCAATGTATGTTTTTTGTTTTTGTGGGGATTTTTTCTTTTTTCAAGCATAGTGGTGGCACCTGTTTTTTTGCTCATCAGGATGCAGCTGATGTCTAATTAAAACAATCAAAAATCTGCCCTTCAAATAAAAAAAAAACATAAAAATCTATTAAATATTGTTGTTTTGATGATGTTTAATTTTTTGTTTTTAGTTTTTCGAACCCACACTGAGAAAGTTGATTCACAACAAAATCAAATGACTTGTTTGATAAACCTCACCTATCACCCACTCCAAGTTTACTACATAAATGTTAACAATGGACTTGAATTTCGTACAAGTGTTTGTTTTGTTTACCTCGTATCAATTGTTATCCTAACAACACAGTTGACGACCCAACACAGAGAATCTTATATAAAATTTATGTAATATTAAACAAGCAATAAATTTGTTTTAAAATTGATTTTGAATATTTAGTTCCATAAGAGGTTGTTGCGCTTTCGATGATGAACTTGATTCGATGTCACACAGATCTAAAAGTTTACCACATTATGTGATTTCAGTATTTTGATATGGTGGCTAATCACTAACATCGGGCGTTTCTATGTTAATTATAGCTCGTTATGAGGGAGTGAGTGGTGTCTCTTGATTTGATTGTTTATTTTGTTTGTCAATTATCCATTAATTTAATTAATTGATTGATATCATATAATACTTTAAATGGAAGTGTTTTTTTTTTTTTTTAGTTTATCTCATTACATTTCAAAGACTGATTAAGGGTAAAATATAAACACTTAAAGCTACATCGGGATAACCTTGGTCCACCAATAGCATGATGCAAAGAGAAAAGTATATCGAATTGATCAATTTGCAATTGTAAAGAAAACTACATAACTATATTTATATCTGTCGATTTTGGTAAATGCATACCCCATTATATTTTATTATGGAGTTCCACACACAAGCTAATAGTTCTATAAAAATTCATAGTGAAGTGATTAAATAATAATATAAAGTTATGAAGTTTTAATTGATAGTAATTATTTCTCACTATAAAGATTATTTTAAAAACTAACATTTCGTTGGTGATGTTCAAAGTGACAATATAGTCTTGATTGGAAATTAGGAATGAATAAATAACTTGTTTTGATAACTACAACAACAACAAATAAGATATATATATATATTTTTTTTTTGTAACAAGATGATTGTGGTTTTTTAAAGCATTAAATTTTATTTAGGTTGGAAAGAGAGTTTAAGCAACGACTTCGATCTTTTCTCCCTTCTTCTTGAGGGCGGCGTTACGCTCGTCGATGAGTGACTTCTTGACACCCTTACCGGCGAGGAGGGATACGAAAGTAGTTGAACCCTTACCAATGATGAAAACGTTGGAAAGACGAGTGGCGAAAGAGTGACCAACAGAGTCAGTGACGTGGACGATATCGAATGAACCAAGATGACGCTCACGGTTGGTGATGACACCAACACGACCCAAATTGTGACCACCGGTGATCATACACAAGTTGTTGAGCTCGAATGGAACGAATGAGACGATCTTGCTGGTCTCCAAATCGATCTTGACGGTATCGTGGATCTTGATGGCTGGATCTGGGTAACGGTAGGTGTGACCGTTGTCAGTGTGGAGGTATGGGATACCTTGGAGACCAGTCTCGACCTTGGTGACCTTGGTCAAGATGAACTTGGCTTCGTTTGGTTGGATACGTTGCAATTGGAAACGACCCTTGGTATCGAACAACAAACGGAAGTTCTCGTTGGTCTTCTCGATCGAGACGACATCCATGAAACCAACTGGGAAGTTGACATCAGTTCTGACGACACCGTTGATCTTGACGAGTCTTTGCATAACGATCTTGGTGACTTCGTTTCTGGTCAAGGCATACTTTAATCTGTTTCTGAGGATGATACAGAGTGGAAGACATTCCTTCAACTTACGTGGACCTGGGGATGGTCTTGGAGCCTATACAAATTTAATATAATATAATATAATACTATTATTAATATGTGACACTTTTTCATTTTTCTTAGGTTTTGTTGTGGTTGGCTTACCCATTTACCGGACAATTTGTCCAACATCCAGTGGGATGGAGCTGCTAATCTCTTTAAATGCTTCTTTGGACCACGTGCCTGTTTAATTCAATTAACTTGTTAGTTTGATACTGTATCGACTCACTGCTACTACTCAAGACAGATGATCGAGGTTATTCTTTCTTCCTGTTACATCTTTAATCTTCATCTATCATCTATCTATCTTCATCACTTGTGTATCTATCTGACATCCTCTATCTATCTCTCTCTATCTAAGCTGCATCATCAACCTGCTGATTGTCTTGAGTAGTAGTAGTAGTATGTGTGTGTATAGAGTTATAATATCATACCATCTTTTGATATGAAGAGCGAAAAGGAGAGAAAAGAGTTTTAAGGATATGATTTGAGGCTGTTGGTGGGTGTGTCTCAGTAGTGAGACTTAGTGCGAAAAATTTTAAAAATACAAAAAATTGAAAATTCATAAAAAAACGTTACATCTACATTTTGGAAAAAAAAACGAAAGAAGAGTCCTCTCATATTTAAGTTGTTGATCAAATCAACTTATAATTTGATTTTAACTTGTTATTCTATTATTGATTCATACTATATTGTGTTGATAAATTATTCTATCTTTTATATTTACACTATTAGTTTGTTCAATATTTTAAATTTGAGAATATAAGAATAATACTTACAACAACAACAAACAACAACAACAAAACAATGCAACAATAAAAATGTAAACTGTTTGTTGTGTATCATATAAAACTATTTAATTAGCTTAGAAAAAGATATTATTTTATCAATTATTTCGTAAAACAACAAAATAAACTACTTTCATATCTTATATTTATTATCTTTATATATGAGGACATTCATATTTTTATTATTTCAATACTTCAATTTCAATAAAAAAAGTAATAACTTTGTCTAAATCTTTTAATTCTGTATGTTTCATTGTGTTAATACATCTTTTAATCTCTTTTATAATTATATTATTGAACAACTAATAGTTATTAATCCTCAATAAAAAAAAAGAGATTACTGGGTAAAGAAGAAAAAAGAAAAAAAAAAAAAAAAAAGAGATTTATTTAATTGAAAATTGAATTATTTATTAATTTATTGTTTGTATGATGTTTATTTATTTATTTATTGTAATAAACAACCCTTTTGACCAAAAACCTTTACCTTTACCACTCAGTTATATTGTTAATCTCAATTCAATTTGAAATTAGAGGTCATTTTTTTGATTTTATTTTTATGTATTTAATTTAATTTAATTGTTGGGGTTTGAATTCAATTCCCATGGGAATATTATAGAGTTAATAACTTATTCAAGAGAGAGACAGAGAGAAGATGAAGGGTATAGAAGATACATTCAACAATAACAGTAATAGTAAAAACAGTAATAATAGTAATAATAGTAAAAATAATAATAATAATAGTAATAATAGTAACAAAAAGAATATAAACATAAATATAAATAGTAGTACTTTTAATGAAAAAGAAGAAGCTTTTAACAATAATAATAATAGCAGCAATTTAAATGATAATGTTTTAAATGTTATGAATCAAAGTAAAGAATATAATATATTTATAAATAATAATAATAATAATAGGAGTAGTAGTAGTAGTAAAACTGGAGATAGTAACAGTGAACATGAATATTATGATATAGAAGATTTAGATGTAGATATAGATGCGGAGGAAGAAGAGGAAGAAGAGGATTATTTTAATATTGGTGGTGGTGTTGGGGATGAAGATGATGACTATGACGTAGACGACGATAGATTAGCACTTATAAAGAACGATTTGAATCAGGTGCCTATAAACGAGGTAATTCAACATCTAGTTGAAAAAGTCAATGCTCAGTGGTGCACAGCAAATCACAAAACTGCTGTTGGTGTCGCAGCTGATTTGACAATAAGTTTCACACCCGAACAAATTCAGTTATTTGGATTTTCATTGGATGAAAAATCTGGATTTGCATCGTTGGCAACCTCTGACAAACACTACACTCCCTTCTCAATAACCTCACTTATCAGAAACACAAAACTAGCGGAGCTATTCTATCTCGTTAGAATTGAAATAGTTTTCAATTGGAGTCTATCACAGCCTATTCCATCGCTATTGTTTTGTGACCAAATGTAAGCGTTCAAGAAGTGAAAGAAACAAAGTAAAACATAACAATTAACTAACTAACTAACTACTAACCAAATAATTATTTAAGTACTGATGTATCAAAGAAATTAATATCTAAATGTTTACTTGGTTTACCGAAATCTATTTTGTTTTGTTTGTTGGTGGAGAGTTTGAAGGGCGGACCGTCAGACGGGCTGAGCAATGCGATCGATATATTCAAAGCGTGGTTCTGTGTGTTTAGTTTATGTAGTTCAGAGTTGAATCACTTTTTTATTAAATGGTTGTGTTATCCTTTGTCGTTACCGTTGTTCGAGGAGCGCTATCGGCTCGTTGAGTATATTCTAAATGAGTGCTGTGAGTCGCCGCAACAGCGACAACAGCTACTCAGCGGAACGGCCACCGTCTACCTACCAAAGTATCCGGTGCAACTAGAGTTGTTCTCACATCTCTATGGGCGAAGTGCACAGCTTCCTCTGTCTGCATATGTTGTTCTGCATGGCGACTGTCTCAAGCTGTTCCAGCTGTTGTACCAGGAGGAGGTTGGTGCCGACTTTCCGACGGTGTTGGACTTGGCGTGCCGACTTGGCCGAACGAAAATCGCGCGATTCATACTAACCGCTTACCCTAAATACTATCAAAACAATTCCAGTTCTCAATTGCTTTGGTCGACTGCACACTCTGGCGATGTGGAGATACTGTCGGCGCTTTTGGATGCGCTCGGTGTTGGCGCGCTGAAGAACATGGCGAATTCAATGCCACACTATCCAGAGACACTCGAAGTGTTACTCTCACTTCAGAATCTTGATATTCTAAAGCATTTGCGTGATCACGATTTCGCTTGGGGGCTGGCGCGCCCACTGCATTTGCTTGGCGCGGAATGTCCGCCAGAGAAGCGCGACATCGATTGCGGTATCATCTCGACTTTTATTCATCACAACTGCTACGATTCCATTTTGTATACATTTCACAGGTTCAACTTCCCAAAGAACAAGTCGCCGCATTGGCGACACATATGTAGCAGCATCGTGGGAAAGCTTGTGCTCGGCGCGCAGATGCATTCCTACAACGCGTTGGTTCAGGTCTATTCGTCGGAGCTCGGATTCGATCCTGCGGGATGGCCGATCTTCTACGAGCCAACCGTTCCACTGATGTCACTAAGCGGAACCAACATTATGTTTGGATTCCTCGTTGTCGCGGCAATCAACACCAACACACAGATACCCAGCCGAAACAAGTTCAACGTAAATATTCAACGTTGGATTGAAGTGTATAGTTCGCTGGCAAAGTCAAACGATTGCAACGATCCATTCAATTACTTTTCACTTGCCAAGAGCATCAAAGACGACCATCCCTTTAGAAAATGGGAGACACTCACTGTCATGGAATTGTTTATGCTGCTTGGAGTTACGGAATATGTTATTCATCTTCTTCAGTATAAAGATGAATATAGCTTGGTGAACTACTCTAGGTTGGACGCGGTACTGGAGCATTGTACTCCCGCTAACATGGTGCTTTACAAACATCGGATTTCAACGTATGTTCCACCGAATCGATCAAACAACAATAACAGCAACAACAGCAACAACAACAAAGCTAATGATCACTCCAATAGTAATGGTTCACCTCAGGCCAACAAAGTCAAGCAACTCAACGAAGTCGAGATTGAATTCGTTATCAATGATCTTATTAATACTGAGAAGTTGGAGAAGTTATCAAAGAAGAAAAAGAAAAAGAGAAATAACAATAATAATAACAACAACAGTAAGAAGAAGAAACAACCAACTACTTCAACAACAACAACAACAACAACAACAACAACAACTACAACAACAGCAACAAATGTACACTTAAATAGTCCAAAGATTACAGTAGAAGAAGAGCTTGTGTCTAGCGATGATCAATCGGATGATGCCACCACAGCCGAGGAAATTGATAGCGATCAATTTCTAAAGACATTGAGTATTAAGAAACCAGCATCTTCAACTACATCGACATCTGATATTGTAAATAATAAATCACCACCACACCTATCAAAGATAACACATAATAACAATAACAATAATAATAATAATCATACTAGAAACAATAATAATGGAAATCAAAATAACAGTAATAATAATAATAGCAACAAACATAAACCTAACAAACCAATATGTTCACCAACAAAGAAAGCATTGAATATACAACCTATAGATACTACTAAAGATAATAGTGATAGTACAAAGTTAACAGTTAAAATGCAAACAAGGGCTGATTTAGGTTCAAATGTAACGACAAAAGTAAATTCAACTACAACTACAACACCGACTCCAACTGTTTCGCCTGCAGCTGTACAACCTCTGACGCCGTCGCCATCTTTAAATATCGAAGAGTTTAATTGTAGAGTTGGAAAGTTTAAATTCAGTAGGAAGGAGTCGAATATCATTGGAAGAGGTAGCAATGGAACATTGGTGTATCGTGGTATTTGGAATGACAAGGTACCGGTTGCTTTGAAACAAATGCAAAAGGCATTCAACGATATTCTATCAAAGGAGATCGATGTCTTGATAAAGTTAACAAATTCCAATTGTTCGAATCTGGTGCGTTATATCGATCAAGAAGAGGACGACATGTTTGTGTATCTCGGTATTACACTCTGCGAACTATCACTCCAAGATTTAGTTGAAGATAACAACAGTATCAATAACATTAGGAATCGACAATTATTCGATAGTCTAGATAAGCGAGAGTTGATAAAGGATATGGTTGAAGGTGTAAGCTTTTTGCACGCCAATAACATTGTTCACAACGATTTGAATCCGAGGAATATACTCTATAAAGACCGACACCTTTTGATATCGGATATGGGACTGAGTAAGATGCTCGTGGAGGCATCGTTCACCTATACTCACTCGCCGTCGGGACAAGGCGGCTATCATCCGGCTGAGGTGCTGCTACAGCAGCGCAAGACAAAGTCGATCGATCTCTTCTCGCTTGGCTGTCTCATCTTTTATATTCTGAGTGGCGGTTCACATCCATTCGGAGATAAGCTATTTCGTGTCGCCAATATCCTTACTGACAAGCCAATGTTGTTGGAGAAGCAAGTAGTTAGCGATCCCTATGCAATCGATCTGATCAAGCACATGATTGTCCGCGATCCCGATGCCAGACTCAATATCACACAGGTACTGCGTCACCCATTCTTTTGGAGCACAGAACACAAGCTGAAATTTATCGACAAAGTACAACAGGCAGCAAAGAAATTACCACTGAAATTCCTCAACACACTCAATGAGAAGCCATTCCTAAGCGCCAATTGGGATACATTATTGGAACCAATTTTATTATCTGAATTAACATTAGGTAACTAGTTATTATTTTCTTTTCTTTCAAATTTATTTTATTTTAATTTATTTGATATTAATTTTATTTATTTTATTTTAAAAATATAAACCAAAAATAGGTGTAACAGTACAATATAAATATGATAGTGTTAAAGATTTGCTTAGATGTGTACGAAATGCAATTCATCACCATCAGGATATTTTTATTGATCGAGCCAACCGGAAGAATTACTTTGCGAACGACCACTCTGTTTTCTTGTATTTCGAATCGATTTTCCCAAATTTCATTCTATTCTTGTACCAGAAATTCCGAAATACACCAGAGTCAACCAGAACCTATCTCACCGATTTTTATTGAAAACATTTCACAGTCTCTATTAAAAAAAAAAAAACGAATCCTATTTATTTTAACCAGTCAACTCAATTAGAAAATAATAATCTTATAAAGAAGATATTTTTAATTCATTTAATTTAATTATTGAATTATTTAATAATTGGGCCATTCTTTCTGGTAAAGTCTGGTAATGGTTAGATCTAACCTTGTTTTAATTTATTGATTGATATTTTAATCTGGTTTGGTTTGATTTTAACCGATGTCAATCCAACAAACCAACCGGTGTCATTCACATGAGGAGACAATTACCAAGTGTTCAATGGTTGTCCTGTCCTTACACTAAATACAATTGCTTGAAAACAACAATTGTTATTATACGGATACACACCTCAAATCAAATTCCAACTGCACTCGTCTCCTCTTTATTTAAAAAATTGCGGAAGAACAATTTGTTGTTTTTACATTGGAAGCTGACGATATACTCACAGGTTACAACAACTGAAATAAAATGTTATTTCCACCAGTGACCAATATTCTAGAAAAAAACAATTGTACATTGACAAACATTGAAATAGGCAAAGAACTACGATTTACAAATGGCGATCAACACTGGTTTGTGGATGCCAGAGTCTTTCATTTAGGTATTGCCGAAATTAATCCTATGGATCCCCACACACACCGTCCTACAACCTGTAAACAACTATAACAAATTTAGAGCGTGGTTGTAGATGGGCTCTGGGACCAATACACACACATTTCATTTAATTTTACTACCGTCAATCATCAGTTTATAGTTTATTGATTTTTTCAAAAGCAATAAAAATTTTTATTCTACCATCCCCTAAGCCATCTCGATACCGCATATTTTATTCTGAAAATTTAAATAAATCAACTTGTTTTACCAAATCCATTTTATTATAATTAGTACGGTTTTATTTTTCGATGGTTTAAACAAACAACAAACAAACAGTGAATTCATAAAATTAATTAAAACCATTCATCCAACTCTTGTGCCGACCAAAACCATAGTTTGCTAAAATAAATCTTGTTAGTATGAGAGAGTGGTACCACTTTTTAATAATTTTATTCTACAATCTACTTAATAATTGCTTTAAACGATGAATACCATCTATCAATAAATTCAAAACATCTTAATAATAAATATTTTTTGACAAAAAAAAAAACAAAATAAAAATAACAATGTTTTTCACCACCAATTATTCGATACCCCCAACCAATTTTGTCACGAAAAAAATCAAAACAAAAATCAAAACAATTTGTCAAATCAGTCAGTTTGATTTCATTTTGATAATGATATTTTTTTTCACACAGTGATAGAAGGTGGGGTTGGTGGTTCAAGTTTTATATGATTTTCATATTTCCATTGTTTTCCAATTTTGGCGAATAACGTTGCAAATTTAAAAACTTAAAAGTGAAAGATGGTTGGTGGTGGTGTGTTGGCAGGATGTATTTTTGAAATCAGATAATCCTTAAATCCTACCTAACTCCCTTATTGAGTATCTCTGCCAAAGAAGAGAATTTCGGCTGGATCGGAATCTCGATTCATTACCTAATAATACGCAGTTTTAAGTTTGTGAAATTGAATTGTACAATTATAACTAATAAACAATTGCATTATTCCAATTTTTTAGTTTTTTCAACAAAAATATCAAATTTGTTATTTAATTTATTTAATTTCTTATTTTTTTTATTTTTTATTTCGTTTCTCGAATACAATATTTATAGTATCGGATAGGTAAGATTTATTTGAAAGTTTTATTTAACATCACAACAACAACATTTTATAACATTACACACTCAACAACAATTAGAAACACTTTAAATTATTTTAACTCTTTCCAACTTTGTTATAATAATAATTTGTCTTTATTTCTTTGTATAAAATTAATTCAGACAATTTTGTATATACTTTAATTTTCGTTGTATTTCTACACCAAATATTCTTTAAACCTATTAATTTAACTGTTTATAGGTTTTTATTGTATATACAATCATTTTTCTTTTTGTTTAAAAATAATTATTCTGTCCGCACTTTTAGGTACTTACCACATTGTATGTTGTACTGATATAAATTTTCACCACTCAAAAATAATTCTGTAACATTATTGTAGGTATCTTTTGCTAATAATTTGTTAATAAAAAAACATTAAAAAAAAAACCCACCATTTTTATGATTGGTTATCATCATTCCATATTATTATATATATTTACCATTTATATATACTATAACTTCAAACAATCCTAAAATACATTTTAGAATTTGTGTTTAATTTGTTAAACATATTCATATTCAAAACATTACAATTGTATTTGTATTACATATGAAATTCAGATAGAATGAAATAGGAATGTCATTTATATACAATAACAATTTTAAACAATTGTTGGTATACTAATGTAGGAACTTGTTGATGATTTTATAAATCAAAAAGAATAACACTCACCAAAACTCTTTCCAAAATTAAACACCGCTTTTATATTACCACTTTTGTCATTTGTTCAGGGATGATCTATACAAATATACTAATATATTATTTTTTATTTATAATTTTCATTTTGTTAAATCCACTTTACAAATTCCAAAAATAGATAAATTTCTCTCATTTAAATTAAATTGTCAATTTGAAAATGGCGATCGAAGATATCAATAAAACCCAGCATCATGCGGGTGAATTTGATAATACTCCAGAGTTACCAATGGATAAAGAAACTTTCTCCTCTCATGAATATGAAAAAGAAATCTATGGCGGCCAAGGAATGGACGATCAATTCCCAACCAAGGCTACCAAAGAGAATAAGAAACTGCCATCTTCTATGATCTATATTATGGGTAATGAAATCTGTGAAAGGTAAACTTTATAATGATTATTCGCCTTTTTTTAAAATAATATAACTAACTAGATTTCTATTTTTTTTTTTTTAGTATTTTCATTCTATGGTTTAAAGTCGATTCTTTCTATGTATTGTACCCAATTCATGGGTTACAATAAATCAACCGCTGTAACTGTAATTCACACTTTCAATTTTGCTGCATATGCTTTGTAAGTTGTTACTACTTTCTTTCTTAATTTTTGAATCAAAAACAAACAAACAACTAACCAATTATTTTTTCCCTCTCCTTTTTTTTTTTTTTCATTTCCATTTTTTTACTTTATATTTTATTTATTATTTTGAAATAATAATAAATATAGTCCATTACTTGGAGCATATCTTGCCGATGCTAGATTAGGTAAATTTAGAACTATCTTATATTTCAGTATTATTTATTGTATTGGAGGTATTTTCCTCTCTGTCTCTGCAGTGCCAGGTGTCACAGGTGACGGACCTGGTAATCGTTCACCATGGGGTCTCATTACTGGTCTCGTGTTGATTGCTCTCGGTACTGGAGGTATTAAACCGGTGGTATCTGCTTTCTGTGGTGACCAGCTTGGTCCCGACCAGAAAACACTACTCCAGTTGGTCTTCCAAATCTTTTACTGGTGCATCAACTTTGGTTCTTTCTTCTCGACCATCTTGACTCCGCTGCTCAGAAAGTATGTAGGATATTGGTTGGCATTCGGTGTTCCCGCTATCCTCTTGCTATTTGCCACTTTAGTCTTTATCCTCGGTTACAAGAAATACGTCAAGCGTCCAACCACCGGAAGTATTTTGCTCGACTCTTGCAGGATCGTTGGAACTGGTATTGCCGAAAAATTCAGATCTAGACGTGCTGGTTACGACGACCGTTACTACAACTCTCACTGGTTGGACCGTGCAAAGATCAGACACGATCCAAAGTTGGTCGATTCAGTGCGTGCCGCCCTCAAGGTTATTCTCGTATTCGTCCCAATGCCATTCTTCTGGTGTCTGTACGACCAAACCTCATCGAGATGGACTCAAACCGCCGAAACTATGGATCTCTCCATCGGAAGTGTCAAGTTGGAAGCCGATCAAATCCAAGCTATCAACCCATTGCTCATTATGATTTTGGTGCCAGTGTTTGAGTACTGCTTGTATCGTCCACTCAAGAAGAGAAACATCAACTTCCACCCATTGCTTCGTATCACCATCGGTATGTGGTTGTCGATTGCCGCTTTCCTCTTGGCTATGTTCATCGAGATGAGAATCGACAAGGAACCAGTTGGAACCGTCTCTGTCTTCCTCCAACTGCCACAATACGTCTTGCTCACCTGCGCTGAAATTCTCATCTCCATCACCAGTTTGGAGTTTGCCTACTCACAGGCACCAGCAACCATGAAGTCGATTATCATGTCATTCTACTTGTTATCTGTCTCCCTCGGAAATGTTATTGTAGTCGTTGTTGTCGATGGTGTCAGCATCACCCCACAATGGAAGGAGTACTTGGTATTCTCATGTATCATGGCTGTATTCACTGTTGTTTTCATGGTTATCGCCTGGAGATACAAACCAGTCGATCCATCGATCTACGAGTTTGAAGAACCAAAGGACGAGAACGAGACCGAATTGGAGCTATCCGAAAAGCCAAGCAAAGCTCTCCCACCACATCTCCGTGAATCTCAAACTCCACTCAATCAAAACATCCCATTGGACATGTCAATTGACAAGACCAACTAAAAAAAGAAAAAGTAAAACATACAAACAAAATCAACCCAAATCCATCCACTCAAATTGTATTCAATAATTAAATAATAAAATATATAAAAAAAAATTTAAAACAAATTTAATACTTTGTTTATTTTAATTTAATTTTTGTATTAATCTAAAAATATTATCTATATAGTTTAGATCTATACAGGTTTTATAATTATTTATATAGGGATATGGAAGTTGAAAATGTATTATTAGATTGCATATTTTTCAAAAATTGAAATCAATTGATCCAGAAAATCTGGGTATTTAGTTGAAACATCAAAAGTTGAACCAATTCTCTTTTCAGAATATGAAACAGTGTATCTGTAGGAATTAGGTGTTGATAATGGGTTTGGATTTGTATATTTAGGATCCAATGATTTAAATTGATCAGAGTCAATGATTTCATCCAATTTTCTGACATCTTCAGGAGTCAATTTTCCTTTTTTATTGGCTTGATTAAAAAAGAATCCAGTATCCACATCGATTTCTATACTTTTATAGTCTCCATTTAAACCACCCGTTCTAGTCATAATAAAACTACCCTAATAGCAAAATTGTTAATTAATTATTTCTTCAATATTTATTTGAAAAAACATACCAATACATGATTATAATCTAAATAAATTAAAAAACAAAATATTAAAAATAGAAAATGTAATTTCATTTTTAATTTAATTTTAATTTTAATTTAATAAATTTGATAACTATTTATAGATTGATTTCTATTCTTTTCTTTAATTTAATTAAAATTTAATTTAAATTTAATAAAAATGATGAATAAATTATATCTATTAAATTTTTACGATTTAAATAAATTTAGATTTGATTTTGATATTTATAGGTTTTTTATCTTACTGTGAGAAATTGAGTAAGTTATATTGTAAATATCGAAATTTGAACAAACATGTTTCCACACCCCTCTTTATACTTTTACAAATTAAACACACACTTAATATCATGTTATTTTTTTTTTTGGTTTTTGGATTTTTTATTGACAATACCAATCATCAAAGTGTCAAGAGGAGGTCAGTTGAACAGTTGAATAACAAAAACGAAGATCCTCATTATCCATTTGATTATCTATCTACTCTACTCCTTTTTTTGGAGAATGAAATTCAATTCATTTATGCAATATTCCCTATATGCCAATAGTACTAAACGTCTTTTGAGATAATTGCTAGATAGCTCACTTTCATACCACAACCCAACCAAACCAAACCAAAATGACTTATCAAAAAATATTATTATAATAGATATTTATATATAGAATATTATATTTTACATATATATATTTTATTTATTTTATATAAATATGGTTAAAATTATTAGATTTAAATACTATATTTATAAAATTAATAATAAAAAAGAAAGAATCTTTATATTTATAAATGTTTTTATTAGTTTGTACGTTTTTTATCAAAATAAAAAAAGTAAAGATAATATATATAATTATATACACAAATAATAATAATAATAATTATAAAAGTTTATTCGTTGTTTCGTTTTTTGTTCGGATATCTTATTGTATTAAAACGTATTTGGTTGGTCATAAATGTAGTCTTTAGATTGTTGTAAAGTTAAATAAAGCATAACGATTGTTTAATACTGTGCCGTAATCACCGACATCACCTATTCCCATACTTGGTGAAATGAAAGCTGTTGGTGGAATGTTTAATGTTGCAAATGTCTGATTAAGATTATCAATATCATCCCATGCCAATGTAATACTAAATAATAATTATAATACGTCAGTATATTATTGTTTTTCATTGTATTATGTATATATATACTTACTGTGGTTGAAATTGTGAGAATACATTTGGTGAACCATATTTTGTAATCATATCTATCTTTTCTGTTCTAACTGGTTCTGGTAACTCATATACCCATGCTATTATATATATATATATATATATAATATTCAACAACAATGATAATGTAATTAATATAACCTTATTTACTATTCTAAACTTATTTAACTAACTAACTAATAACTTACATGGAATGGGTTGATTCGGTACGATATATTTACAAGTTGTATTTACAATGAGATCAGAGATATATTGAAGACATGGATTGACCTCGACATTCCACATTCCATATTGTCCAATAACGACAGTCTCGATACAATTGATCTTACAATTGAGTGCCTTTTGTTGAATTTGTTCGAAAATAGCATTGATACTGTTTTGTTTTGTTTTTTTCAAAGAGTTGTTATTAGTATATATATTTATAATAAATAGTAATAATAACAACATCAACAAAGGTGATAACATACTCGTTTACAATGGAACCAATCTCAGTTTCAAGGAATTGCGTTAGATAGAGAGTGATGTGCGGTAGTGATGTAACTCCTAGGTCGATTTGATCGTTCGGTGCCATCTCTCTGATCTCTTTATTGTAACCCATCACTAGCTGATAGGTGTTTGCATCCAATTGCAAGTGGATATCGAGTGACACACCATCTTGATTCTGTGATTCCACAAAAGATATCACTCCTACTATAAAAAGCAATGAAATGGCACTCGCAAATATATATTTATTATTCATATCTTTTTTCTTAACAATCTTATTTATTACAATCTAATATTGTTATGATAAAGAATACTGTTATTATTAAGATGTGTCTATATTTATATCTGTAGCTATAGAGCAATTAAAGGTAAAAAAAAAAAAAAAGATCTCGTTTTTTTTTTTTTTGTTTTTCAAGATTAAATTGTTTGTTTAAGCAATCTTGTATTGTCATACGATAAGATATTAATATGTTTATCTATCAATCGATAAATATTACCTGATTGTGATTGTTCAAATTACATTGTACAAACACTCTCTTTTATATAAAATAGGCGATGATCGATCAATCAATCAGATAAAAAAAAATAAACACACACATTTTCACTAAGTAATAAGTAAACAATCAATCAGTCAATCAATCACTCGATCTTTTTATTTTAAACACATGATCATGATATCACAGATTTAAAACTTTCAATAAATTATAAGATATAATAATTAGAAAATATTATTTATTTATTTATTTGAATCAAATTATAATAGATTTAATAATTATTTTTTATTTCTGTTGTTGGTGTTGCGTTTGTTTAACAATTTTCTGTTCTTATGTTATGTTATGTTATATGATGTTTGGTAAATAGACATTAAAATAACGGTAAAGTAATGAGGCAAAATGAATGATTGAAGATCCAACCAAGAATGAAGCGACGCTCGATGGTATGCCAAATATAAAGTAATCTAGTAGGAGTACATCGTGTTCTTTTATCTTTCTGTTTTTCGATCGCAGGTAGAACGGTCGTTTCAACATATCGGGAATCGCAATGATAATGGTTGCCAGCAGATAGATGACACTCTGTAGAACTGCTACACCAATTGCCTTCAGCGTAATAAGATCTTCTGCAGGCAAGAAGATTGCCCATGCTATTCCACCAATAAGATTCACAAAGAAACAAGTATAACAAGGTAACAATAAAAGTTCTGAACTATTACTTCCACTATTATTATTACTATCTTTTAAATCATGATCTTTATCTTTACATCTTTATCTTCGTCTTTTATATTTTATTTTTATTTATACTTTTATCATCTTTCTTTTTATTTTCAAGAGTTGTAGTATTATTATCTTTTTTCAATCTTTGTTTAGTTGTATCTGACATTTTGGTGTGATTAATCACAAGTTAGCAATTATTTTCATAATAAGCGAGTTCAGTGATCACTACAAAAATTTGAATTTTCAATTGTTGAAAAATGTTACATTATTAAATTTCAGAATATCTGATACAACTAAACAAAATAGGGTTGTATTATTCAATTATATTATAATTCTTGATTAATATTAGAATATAAAGTAAATAATATAAAGAAATATAAAAAATCGCAGTAATTGCGGTTAAGTAAATCACAAAAAAATGAGAAAAAACAATAAAAAAAAAAAATCTAAAAATGGTTTCTTTTCTTTCCATTGTTGGTCATGAAAAATTGTTGATAGTTGTTAAATTGATTGTTTGTTGTTTGTTTTATTTCGTTTATTTAAAGGAGGATCATGTTAAATATCAATAGATTTAATAATATTACAAGATCATATTATTGTTATGGTCATCATCCAATTAGATCATCGCTAATAACCAGCATTCATCGTCATAGTTATAGTCCACAATCTCATAGAAACAACTACTCTTCTGACAGTAGTAATAATGATGATGATAGTGGTGGTAGTGGTAATGATGATTTTCAATCTTATGTATCTATAAGTACTGTAACTACTACAACTGATAGTAATAGTAATAATTTTTATAATAATTATAATAGTAGTAGTTATAATAACAGTAAATCAAACTTTAATAATAAAAATTTAAATCTATCGGTTACATTACCAAAGATCATTAAAGTAAAGAAACCAAGATCGGTCAACACTATTTTGAAACAAATACAATTGGAGCAAGAACAACAACAACAACAATTAGCTATTCCCAAACAAATACAATTTCAAAGAAAACAACAACAACAACAAAAACAACAACAACAACAACAGAATCTTTCTACTTTTGACATGTTAGCACAAAATGATATGATAAATAAAAAACAACAACAACCACCTTTACAATCAAACAAAGAAAACATCAATGATCTAATGAAAGATGGAATGAAAAATGCAATTATACAATCTATTTTTAGTAGTTCAGTTACTTCGTCGTCGTCATCATCATCAGCATCAACATCAACAACAAACCCAATTTCAACTGTAAATAACAACAACAACAACAACATTAGTGAAATGTCTGAAAATGGAAATTTGAAAAACGAATCATTAGAATCAACTACTACAACAACAACCACCACAACCACAACAACTAAAAAGAAAAGATCAAGAAAACAACAAAAAGATGAAGAGATTGATTATGATCTATCGGAGAAACTTACAGCGGAGCAAGAGAGTATCGTTAATTTGATTGTCGAAGGCAAGAAGAATGTATTCTTCACTGGTAGTGCCGGTACAGGTAAATCGTTTGTTCTCAAACACATTGTGCATCGTCTGCGACAGAAACACGAGAATCAAGTGTATGTAACCGCTGCCACCGGTATTGCTGCTGTAAACATTGGTGGTGTCACTCTACACTCGTTTGCCGGTATCAAAATGGGACATGGAACCATAGACCAACTCACCATAAACATTCTCAAATCGAAACTGTACACCAAGCGATGGACCGACGCCAAAGTGCTGGTCATCGATGAAATATCGATGATTAACGCTGAGCTTTTCGAAAAACTAGATGCCATTGCCAAAGTAATAAGATTCAATGATGAACCCGTAAGTAATAATAATAATAATAACTTTTGTTGTTTTTCTATAGTATAAACAACAATCATTAATATTTTATATCTATATTAGTTTGGAGGATTACAATTGGTGTTGTGTGGAGATTTCTTTCAGTTACCGCCGGTCGTTGGAAAGTATGTTTTCGAATCGGAAGCGTGGAGTCGTTGTATCAATGATTGTTTGGAGTTGACCACTGTGATGCGACAGAAAGAAGAGAGTTTTGTAAATATTTTAAATCAATTGAGAAAAGGTGTGGTGAAAGACGATTCGATAGAGATGTTGGAGTCGTGTAATCGGCCACTCGACATTTCCAATGGCGTGTTGCCAACCAAGTTGTATACGATCAACCAGGAGGTCGACGATGAAAATAGCAAAGCACTGGCAGAGTTGCCAGGTGACTCGGTTACTTTCAATGCTATCGATAGTGGTTCCGACGAGTTGATCGAGGTGTTGGAACGCGATTGTCCGGCGCCACAGCGACTCACTCTGAAGGTGGGCGCGCAAGTAGTGCTCCTGCGAAAACTAAAGGGAACGAAACTTGTCAATGGATCGCGTGGCGTAGTAACGGATTTTGTTCGCGTCAAAACGAGAAAAGCGACTGCCTACTCGGAGGAGAACGAGATGCTGCCAGTGGTGTTATTCAACGACGGCACCAAAGTGACTATTAAACCGGCCGATTGGAATATCTGGAGTGAGAAGCGTGCAACTCGTATGCAGATTCCACTGAAGCTGGCGTGGGCACTCACCATACATCGCGCACAAGGTATGACACTCGACAAGGTGGAGTGTAAATTGGAGAAGACTTTTGCCAACGGACAAGGATACGTAGCGTTGTCACGTGTCAAAACTTTGGACGGACTCTATCTTCAAAGCTTCAAAAAGACATCGATCCGTACCAGTCTCAAAGCGATCCAATTCGAAAGGAAATATCTCAAACAGATTTCCAAACTCACCAAAGATTCAACTCCAAAGAAATTTCATATAAAATATTAACTTGTTATTATTATTATTTAACGAAACAAAAAAAAAAAAAAAACAAATTATTAATTCTATTTATTTGTATGAATGAAATTGATTATTATTTGAATTTTGATAAAATTTTCTTGTCTCACACTGTGACCAATCGTTATTCCATCTCTAGAAAAACATGTACACTGCAGTTATCACTCAACATTAGTTGGTAAAGTAGAATTACTGACTCGTTTTAAGACAATTTCATTCAGTGAATAAAACCAAAAAGATAATTGATCATTAATCATATGATTAATAATTTTAAAATATGTTAAAAGGAGATGATTAATGCGAAAGTTGGAAGTTCAAAAATGAAAAAAAGTTTTTCAATAGTTTTTTTTTTTAAAATGATTTTTTTTATTTTATTTTTTTTGTTTGATCATTATTTCCTTTTAAAAATAAGCGAAAGTAATTAAAGTCTTAATAAGGACAAGACAAACAAACACTAAATATCAGCTAAACAACAAACAAATAAAACAAATTTATCAATTACTGAAAAAATTAAATTTTAGAAAAAAAGATTTTTTTTTTTTTTAAAAAATTCAATCAGTAACAGTCAATCAAACTTGAATTAAAAGTAATTTTATTTTTTTTTGTTTGTTACAACTTTCAATTTAGTTTAGTCAGTTCAAGTAGTATAACACACACACACACACACACACACCCATTTATAAATATATATTTGATAGATACAGACAGATATTGTTTATAATTTATAAATGGCACCACCAAAAAAGACAAAAAACAACGCTGCTACTACTGCTGCTACTGCTGCTACTACTGCTGCTTCTTCTTCAACTACCAATGGTAGCAACAACAGCACTACTACAGTCGATGAGTTGTCAAAGAAGGATCGCAATGCACTGACAAGCGTATCAAAGTTGTACGACGAGAAGAAATATAAGAAGGCGTTGAAGGAGGCCAACGACTTTCTCAAGTTGCACCCGAACAACATCGATTGTCAGTGTTTCAAGACGCTGATCATCTACAAGCTCAACAAGAAGGAGGAGGCACACGATCTCGCCAAGAGCATTCTGCGTGCCAATCTCTCGAGTTTCACCGCTTGGCACACTCTCGGATTCCTCCATCGTCAAGACAAAAACTATGCAGAGGCATTGAAGTGTTTCAGAAACGCCAGTAAACACAACAAGGAGTCTGTACAGATTCTCAAAGATCTATCACTAGTTCAAATCTACCAAAGAGATCATATTGGTTTAAAGGTAAAACAAAACAAAACAAAACAAATAGATCTAGAAATCTAGAAAAGTTAAATACATACTAAACCTATCTATCTATCTATCTATTTAGGATACATATACAACATTACTCCATTTACAACCAACAAACAAAGGAAATTGGATTGGATTGATTCTTACCAATCATTTATTGGGTAATCTCACAAAAGCTTGCAGTATTTTGACAGACTTTTTCGATGTTTTGGACCAAAAGGAGAATGTAGGATTGAAATTCACAGAGTTGCAACTCTACAAATGTATGATTCTCGAGGAGATGGGTGAATACGATCAAGCACTATCAATCTTGAAAGACAATGAAAAACAATTGTTGGATAAACTCTATGTAAGTAGTGATCACTAAAACAAACAAAAAAAAATAGTGCGAATCAATCAACAACAAAAATGTTAACACTATAGTCTTGATCAATAATCAACAACAAACTACTACTGAACTATTCGAATAGGTTAAACAAAAGATTGGTGAATTGCTGCTAAAGAAGAAACAGTTTGGCGAGGCAGAGAAGATCTTTAAGGAGCTGCTCAAAGCCAACTCTGAGAACTATCTATATCATCAGAAACTCTGGGAAGCCAAACAGATTCAATCGTTGGACGGCCTGAGTGAGGCACAGACCAAGGTGATGATTGAACTCTACGATTCGTTGATCAAGGAGTACCCAAAGAGTATGATGGCCCAGAAGATACCATTGAAATTCTTGGATGCCAACTCCTCGCTGTTCCGCGATCGTTTGATAAAGTTTGCAAAGCATTTCCTCACCAAGGGTATTCCATCGCTTTTCAACAATCTCAAGTCACTCTATGGCAACGCCGACAAGGTCAAGGTCATTGAGAAGCTGTTCCTCGACAACTATCAATCGTTGGTCGACAACCAGACTCTTGTAGTTGAGAGCAGTGTCGCTGCTGATGCCGCAGCCGCTGTCACCAAGGAACCACCCTCCACATTCCTCTGGACACTCTACTTCTTGACCTATCACTACGATCGTGTTGGCAATGCAGAGCGCGCCTTCCACTACTTGGACGAAGCGATCAAGCATACTCCTACATCGGTAGATCTCTACACTACCAAAGCGAAGCTGCTCAAGCACCAGGGTAACTTGGATGCCGCTGCAGAGTGCTACGAATACGCCAGAAAGATGGACATGGCCGACCGTTACCTCAACACCAAGTCCACACTGTACGCACTGAGAAACGACGACATCGAGTCATCGCAAAAGATCTTCTCGTACATCATCGACAAGAACGAGAACTTCCTCAAGAACATCACCGACTTCCAATGCCAATGGTACGAAAAGGAAGCCGGTCTATCATATATGAGACAAGCTGAATATGGACAAGCACTAAAGATGTTGTATTATGTTGAAAAAGTAAGTATTATTTAAACATGTAGATGATTGATTTCATTCAAAATCTAGATTTGTATATATATATTAATAATAATATTTGTTACTTGCTTGTATCTTGTAGCATTTCAATGAATTCATAGATGACCAATTCGATTTCCACAATCATATTCAAAAGAAATTGACTTTGAGATCCTATATTCAATTCTTGAGATGGGAAGACAATATCTATAAGAACAAACCATATCATGATGCCGCTATTTTAATTATTAAGGTAAATAACAGATAACAATAACAACAAGTTGATGATTTATTAATTGAATATAATATTATTATTCTCTCTCTCTTCCAGATTTATATGATATTATTAAAGAAACCATGGACTCCAAAACCAGAGAGTGACGAAGAGAAGCAAAAGAGAGAAAAATTAGTACAACAACACAAGGATTCACCAACCTATGATTCAGAAGGAAACATTATTGAATTCGACGATGATCCTCATGGTGACAGATTGGCATGCGTTTCAGATGTATTCGTGCCAGCCAACAAGTTTTTAGATAATCTTCTCAAATATAATCCAGATTCAATTCCAGTTCATGAAGTTGCTTGTCAAGTATATATTGCCAGCAGTATGTATATTTTATCATTTACTTTTTTAATCATAATAATACTCAGATCTCTCTAACATTTATTTATTATTATTTTCAGAAAAATATCAACTTGCTTTGGTATCATTATTAAAATTAAAGAAAGAATGCCCAGAGAATCCATTGTATCACCGTTATTTGGTTGCTCTCTTTGCTGCTGTCGAGGCAGACAAGGAGATAAAGGACACAGACAAACAATCGATCGCCGATCAACGTGAACAATTGTTGGGTGGTGCTGATGTCACTCTCGCTCAGTACAATGAGAAGTATGCCGGTGCTCACAGCGATTCCGTTGCACATAGATTCGTCGTTGGTGAAGCTCTCTTTGCGATCACCGGTGACAAGAACCAAGCACTTGCCAAGATCATGGATCTCAGCGGTGCTGCCACCTGGAAGAACTGTCAGGACAACCTGAATCAAATTGCCTTAGTATTCGGTGATGAAGATGCCAAGCGTTATAGAGAGATCTGCCACCAACGATTCCCAACTGCCAAATGCTTCAAAGAGCCAGAGGTTAAAGTGGCAACACCAACCACCGAGCCAGCCGGAGCACTCGAAACAACCACTACTGAAACCAAACAAAATGGAACAGCTCAATAAAATAAATAAATAAAAAAGTAGTTTAAAAAAATATTTAAATAAACAACAAATATTAAATTAATACACAATTACAATTATAATACTATTTTAATTATAATATTAATAATTATAATCCATTCCAATCAATATGATAATAATCTTTCCATTTTCAATTTAAAATTCAAATTAACTTTTTTCGCGTGAAAAACTGGCGCCAATTCTCACACTAAATTCAAATGTTTGGATCAAGAAAAATTAACTGTTACAAGTTCTGATGATCAAAACACCTGACACATTTGATTATCATAAAACAAAGTTGAATAGAAGTTATTAATTGTTGTTCTTTTTTTTTTTTTTTGTTAGTTTATTCTACCAGATAAAAAAATTTGATTGTCAAATCAATCAATCAATTTATATAGTAGTATATCAACTTACTCTTATTTATATAGTATCACAAAAAATTAAAATTTAAACACAAATCAAATAAATTAACACAATTAGTTAGTAAACACAAATCAACACAAATAAGTGAGTGACCACAGAAAGACAAATAGTTTCATCATCATCTGAACTTTTGCTGCCCAAAACACAATAGAATAATTAATAGTTTTAATCTAAATACATCACTACACACACCGCATAGTTTATTTTAGTTTAGTTTATTTTAGTTTATTTTAGTTTAGTTTTGTTTATTAGTTGTTTACCAAAGCGTTTTAACAAAAACAACACACAACAACACAACACAACACAACAGAATAATAAAAATCAATCATTAATTACCATCAAATTAATTATAGATATAGGAGTAGAAGTACCAATTAATTTAGTTATTATTATTAATTTCTAAATATTTTTTTGTTGTTACTATTACTACTATTATTGATAATTATTAATAATTATTGCATTTCCTCTCTCTTTCTTTCTTTTACTTGCCAATTTAATATTAATATTAATATTTCTCTCTCTTTTGGTGTTTTGTTAAAGTAGAGCCACCCACCACAACGTCCAAAACAAACCCCCCTCTTTTACTTTATGTTTATTTAATATAAATCTCACACTTCCTAACGAAAGAATAGTAGTAGCTATTCCAATTTCATTCAACTCAAAATATTTCACCTCAAATTCAATATCTATTACTTCTTCTTTTCTATTTTATAGATACAGTCGTTAGTTATATTCCAAATTCAAAGATACAATAAAAAACAACAATAGGAAATTACATTAAATATTATCAAACTTTTAAAATTTAGAAAATAATAGTAATAGCAAAAGTAATAATAGTTTAAAATAGAATAATATTTATTAATAATATCGCAGATCAGTACTTCAATGTTTGATTAATCAACTTTTCCATATATTTTTTAATTTTCCTTCCAAATTTTATTATTTATTTGTAAAAAAAAACAACAGTAAATCATGTTAAATATAGAAGATCCAACAATTAAAGTTGATGATTCAACAACATCATCCTCTTTGTCAACCAATTATCAATCATATAAATTTAGTATTGGAAAACCTCTACCAACGATTGTGGATGACGATTCTGAGATTGTTTCAAATAATAATAATAATAACAACAGAAATACAGATAATAAAACAGCTGATGAAACATCAAGCACAATTAGTGATATTGCATTTTATTCACGTCAATTCCTCAGTCCATTCACTCGCCCCAGATCTTCCACTATTTCCGGCTCACCGAATTCCTCTCCCAGCAGACAAATATCAACGCAACTCCAACAATGTATTAATAGCAATCCACAGCAACAGTTATCAGGACGTGTTTCTCGTCCGAGTTCAATGGACGACTACTCTCTGAAGCGAAGTCAACACCTCATAAATTTGGACATCGGTTCACTCACCATCAACAACAATGGCATGCTCACACCGACTGCCTCTCCAACCAGATGCATCACACCCAACCAACACCACTACCAATCGCCACTAACACCACCCACCCAAACAACACCTTCCACCCCAACCGAGCTATACTCCAGTCAGTACGCAGTGTATCCTACGCCCTCGAAACGTTGCTCCACTTCACTGCTCCCCACAGAACTTCAGGACGTCATGAATGTCAACACCAACAAAGTGTTCTCACCGCCAAGACGTCGTAAGACTTGCGCTTCTCTGGCGTCGCGTGTCTACTCTACCACCAACTCACCGGAGCAGGCGCAACTCCTCCTGACACCACCGCCATCGAACGTCGCCACACCCGAGACACTGTCGCCAGTGAACACCGCACAAACCAGCGGACAAGCATTCTTCTACGCCTATACAGATGCACAGAATCTTCTTGCCCAAGGTGGTCTTTCACATCTACCAGCCGAACTATTGTTGGCGATATTCCAATTCTTCACACCACAAGAGATATGTGTAGTCGGTATGACATGTAAATGGTGGCAAATAGTCTCCGAACAAAATTCACTCTGGATCACCAAATTCCAAGAGAATTTCCAAAGACCACTGACAACCCTTGAAAAATTCCAAAATGCCAATGAATCATGGAAAGAATTATATATTCAACATTGTAAATATATATTAATATTACCATTTTTATTTCTATTTTTATTAACAATAATAACAATATTATTATAGATTTTATGGATAGTTCATATAGTGAAATAGAGAGATTATTAGTTCTATTCCCAGTTACACCGGAATATGAACATGATATTACAATTTTATTAAATAGAGTTTTGGTATGTTGTTATCTTTAATAGAATATTGATATTTATATTAACGGAATAATATTATTTATAGACATATTTAAAACATACAGAATGTTTATCGGAATATATATTAAAGTTGGAGGAATTAAAGAATATTCATATTATATTTGGAAATAAGATTGAAGCAGCAATATGTTTATTGAATCATAGTCAGTTAATTAGTTGGAATGCAGATGCCACATTCAACGAAGAATATGGATATCCAAGTGAGTCACACTCTGATCGTAAGGAAAGACTGCTAAACAATGCACTGGAGTTATTCGTTGAGGGAAAGTACTGGGAGAGAGCACTTATCATCATTAGAAAACTCAGAAAGAAATACAACAAGGATCTATCAAGACAAACCGATAAGCAGCTGCTAATTAAAAAGATGGTTTTACTCTCTGTATGTATTGTGTTTATGTATTGGAGAAAAGTGTTTTCCAAAAATATGCCAAGCTCAAATTTATATATTTGAAATTTACTAACCACTTTTTATAATTCATTTTATTTATTTAGAAATCAGAACATACTTGTTATCAATCAATAGAGGGTAAAGACGGTAGATTCTTTGAGGAGTATTTCTTTGTTGAGTTTAGAGGCAAAGGTTTCCCAAAGTCGGTCGATGGCAAAAAGTTTATTTTCCGCGGCAAAGAACTGGAGAAACTTGGATATTTTGTTGGTCGACTAAAGAATAGATATCCAGGTGCCGAAGTCGTTCCAAAGACAGAGAAGAACGAATTTGGCACTGGACAATATATTCATATTCGTCCATGCAAACCGATATCGATGCCAAAACACATTGTTGGAAGTGCTGCAGGTGCTTCGCTATCTCTGACCTACAACCTGAACAGCCAAGAGTCAGCACACATGCGTCGATCCAACTATAAGAACGAACAATCGTTTATCAACAACAATGCCAAACTCTTTTTCTACTCGATGCCATTCAAGAAGCAGAGCCAACAGCAGCAACCGCGAAGTGACAATGAGTTCCTCGATCTCTGGACTTGTCATACCTATATCGTTGCGAAATCGACATTCCCAGGGCTGATTCGTTGCACCGAGGTCAAGTCCATCATTGAAATTCAAAAGAATCCATTGGAGACTGCAATTGAGACACTGGAGAAGAAGAACAAACAGTTGGAATCGATATTTGCCACAACGAAGCAAACGAAAGAATGGTCAAATCTGCTCACCATGGCGTTGGATGGTGTAGTCGATGCCGCTGTGTCTGGAGGTGTCAATATGTATCGTGTATTCTTCAGTTTGTCGTACATCCAGGAGAACAGCGGACATCTTCAGCTGCTCCACAGTCTCAAGAGTATTCTACTGCAGCAACGAAATCTCTTGGAGACCGGTCTCGACATCCACGCTCACTACTGTCCGGCCAATATGAAAGCACTGCAAACCAAGATGGAGCGATGTTTTGAAAAGTGGAAACAGATCATCAGTGAACTGGTGGTTCATGAAATCAATTGTGAAGAGCCATCTCTAGAGATTGCCAAGCCACCTTCTCCCATCAAGATGCTCGATGCCATTGACTTGCCATCTGTTTCTGCATCGTTATCATCGTCGAAACTCAACATTCAACACGCATCAACATCAACATCAACAACAACAACAACAACATCAACAACATCGGTGGTATTATCACCTTCCAAGCAGATTCTTCAACCACCAACAACCTCACAACTCAAACACTCCTCGTCGTTGATTGCACCGAGAGGATGGATCAACGGTCAGAAGCAACAGCCAATAAAGCGTGTCATTCCAACTACCGCTGCCAGTTCAACAACCGTCAGAAAACCATCGACACCGTCATCGCTGCTTGCACTCACACCCTCAAAGATACCAACGAAATCAATGCATAAGACACCAACCAACAGCAGCAGCAGTAGCAGTCTTCTAAAGAAGCAACAGCAACTAGTAAATACACCACTCAACGAAGTATCGAATCAATCAAACAATCTATCGAACAAATCACCGATTACACTCGCACACATCAGTCCCATTGTACCAATACCACCGAAACCATCAACACCAACAACACCAAGCATCACATCCACCAGCATCATATCGAAATCCACTAGTTCTCCATCGATTTCTTCCAACTCTAACTCTAAATCAACAACTAACAACAGTAGCAGTAACAGCAACAGCAGCACAGTAAGAACAACAACTACTACAACATCGTCGTCGTCGTCGTCCTCATCACTCTATCGACCTACACTTAGTCATCTTGCCAAGAAGGAATCACCACCTACCAATACACCAAATATTACATCGCCAATCATGAAATCACAGACATCTAGTAGTAAACCACAAACATCACCACACTCCAAACCATCGTTGGGTCTAACACTTACCAATATCAAGAGAAGGCTATCTTCAAACTCGAGTTCATCTTCTTCGTCATCAGCGAGTCACGCTAAAACCAACATTGAAGAAAAGAAGGTTGTAAGCAGTAGTAAACCACCGAAATTCAAAGAGACAACAACATCAACAACAAGCACAAGCACAAGCAGTTCTAGCTTGAATAATACTACAACTTCTATTGCGCTGAAAGCAAGACCACCAACACCACCAAGACAACATCCACTAGTACAACACCAACAACAACCGACAACACAATCAAATACAACACTTTCTAAACCACCACTATCACCAGGTGCCAAACGTATTGTAAAGTCATCATCTACCACCAGCAGTAGCAGTCAATTCAACTATCCCTCGGACATTGTAGATTCGCCACTCATCAAACATGGATACAACAAGCGTGTAGCACTCACACCATTGCCTCTTTCACTTAGTCTATCGACTGCATCGGCATCTGCCTCCATTGCAACTCCTTCAAGCACCAATGTCTCATTAAAACCAAGACCACCAACACCACCAAAAATTTCGATATCCAATTAAGATAACAACAAACAACAACAAACAACAACAACAACAACAACAATTACTATTATTATCATCATTATTAGTAACTATAGATTTGGTTGTATAGTTAACTATAACAAAAAACAAAAAGAAAAAAAAACTATCAAAATAAAAATGATTATAATTTATATTTTATCTATTTATTAAATGAATATATGAATAAACAAACCTACAATATTTAGTTTATTTATAATATACAACTTATTATTATATTATATAATATTATATAAGGTGAATTTAAATGTAAAGACTACTACATATATGATTTACAAAAGACCTGCATCTATCTTTTTTTTTTGCAATGATATGTTGTCTGTTTATGCGCTATTGAGGGTTTAGTGTTTTGTTCTCTGGTTCTTTCTTATTCTCTATTTTGTTATAGGTAGGTTGTAGTTGGTTTTTTTGGTTGATTGGTTGGCTAAGGGTTGGTTGATTCTAATCTTTTGGTAATAAATTATATTCTCTTCTTATATTTATTTCAACAACAATCTTCTCTTTGTGAAATACATATAGATTAAAAAGCTAGAAGCAGACACTACAGAGAACCATAGAATATTTCTTGTTGCATTTGATTTTTTATCTGTTTCCTCACTTTCCGTTGAGAATCTTTTGAAAATCGATCTAAATATCATATTATCTAAAAGATAAATAATAGTCTTTTTCTTTATTTAATTATTTATTCATGTTAATTTATATTTATAAACCAATAATTATAATAATATGTCCATCAATCATATAGAATGTACATACTTTTCGTTTATTTGAGAAAAAAATTAAAAGTAAGTAAAAAATCAATCAAAGATTTCATGTTTTTTTTCTCCAACAAAAAAAAACCTCCACGCTTTTTTTTTGTAAAAAAAAAACAAAAAAATAATCAAAAAACAGATATTAAATATTATTAGTATCTTTGGAATCAATAAACCAATCACAGAGCAAATGATAAGAATGATTAGTGTCATCAATTTAATATAAACATTGTTGTTTTTTTTTAATTTTTAGATTTGTCCAGGGACATACGTAGTCTCATTTTTTTTTAGATCAGTTTTGTTCCCGATTTTTTTGGGAAATGATAGTTTTGGAAGGTCACATCTTTGATGTTTATTTGAAAACCAAAAAAAATTTTGTGTCTGGTTTTTCAACCGTAGAAATTCAACCGGTCTGTAAAGGAAATTTTATTATAAAAATCACCATTTACCATCTATAATTTAAAAAAAATAAAATTTTGATGCTGTTGGATCTTGAATTCGTCTGAACAATGATTGTTTGCAAATTCATTTTTTAATTAGATCTGTCAACATTGCAATTTGAATCTTTGAATTTTTTTATTTTAAGAAACAACATAGTATAAACATATCTTCCACAAGTTTTGAACATTGGTCTCTTTTTTTAATATGAAAAAAGTAGTTTTGTTTTAGCAATCAATTGAATTTCTCTGGTTACATCAATTACGACGTATTGAGTTCCCTGTATATCACCAAAATATAAGACTTTCTTTTCCAAGACTCTTATACTTAGGTGTTATTCTTTTGAACACCGATGGTAATGAAGTGATTAATTAAAAAAAATAAATAAAATAATTTATTATGTTTTCAAATCTTCATATTTGTAAGACATTAAATAATTTATTAATTCCAATTTTTAAAAAATTATTTCTAAAAAAATATTTATTTCCTATTTTTATCTTTTTAAAATAAATACTTATATCTTTATCAATATTTATTTCTATTATTTCATTTTATTCAAATATACCTATTTATTTAATAATTTAATATATTTTAATATTTTAAAAAATGTATAAAAAAATTACTTAATTGTATTTTTTATTGTTATATTATTAACCATCACAAGTACTTCTCTATATATATTTATCTAATAATAATTCCAATATAAATTTAATATATTGTATAGATAAAATTAGGTCTGAACAAGTTTCATTGAAACATAAAGTCAGTGTCTTGACCAAACATATAAAAGATATTAAAGATACCAACAAAAGTCAAATAAATATCAACTCCAATACAACTCTAAGTAATGCTTTTGTCCAAGTGATGAAGGATAAATTGTATAATCAAGAATACCGAGTAATAAAGTGCAGAAGTAGGATCTCTTTACATTGATTTGATTGGCTAACATGCCACTTGTCTGAATCTTGACAAATCTTCCACGATCCTTCACCTGGAACACCGTTGACAGAATCACCTCCGAGTACTTTGTAAGAATCACATTGGCAATCTTGGAATAGAACAGAATTTAAAAGAAGAATGTTAAAGGTGAAGGATCGTGGAAGATTTGTCAAGATTCTGACAAGTGGCATGTCAACCGATCAAATCAATGTCAAGTATTCTCATTTGGAATTGCATATGATTTTACTTTTGATGATGAATTGATAAAGCTTGACAGTAAAGTTGGTAAGTTTTTTTATTCTATATTTCTATTCTAATAGATTACTAATTTGTTAATTTATATTTGTTTTTAATAATTTAATATTTAATATAGCACCAAAGTTTTGATCCTTCAATGTCGATGGAGAGTCAAAAAGAGAAGTGATTGATTTAAATAATTTATGGAAAATAGGTATTGCTGATAAAGATACTAATGATTTTGAAGGAAAGGAGTACAAAGGAAGCAAAAAGCAAGTCTGGGAAGTATACACTTTAGAAACTCTCATGAAGAGATTCAAAGTTGAATATTTGGACTTTTTAAAGATGGATATCGAAGGAAATGAGTGGCCAATTCTTAAGCAGTGGATTGAAAGTGGTATTCTCAAGAAAGTCAAGATGCTCACCTTCGAAATCCATTTCTGGTCTTCGACTCACGATATACATACTAATTTGGAGTGGGCCAAACTTTTTTGTGTTTTTTTTTTTTGTAAGAAAACTTTTTTTTTGACAATTAAACTTTTTCATATTAATATTTCGAAAAAAGTGGTTAAAATCAGCTATTTTTACTAATTTTTGATCAAATTCAAATATTAATATGAAAAAGTGTTATAATTTTATTTATTTATTATTATTACATCCTGTTGTACTAAAGAATTCAACACTTCTTCCAAAGTTATGGTATATATTAGTTAAATATTGCAATAACCTTCCACAATTTGTGACTAATTTCCTTTTGATGTATTTGGCCTTTTTTAAGAACTATAATATCTGATAGTATTCTCCACTTCTTCATTGTAACGAATACATTCTCGATTATTATTCTTTACTTTTTTTTATTTTCTTATCCTCTTCTTTATCTTTAATGTATTTTTCTTTATTAAATCCACCATCTTTATCGCATTTCTTCTGAAGAGTTACTAACTCTTTAGAAGGTTTAGAAAAATCTTGCCCCTTTTTAAATCTTTGTTCATCTTTTTTTCTTTTTTTAAGAATCTTATCAGAGTACTCCATGTGATCAGATAAAGAAGCAGATTTGATCTTTGGGAAAATTGAATTGGAATATCCTGGATTTGCTTATAACACTCGTCTATCTTTGACTTAAATTCATTGCCAAAATTTGAAATTACATTTCGAGAAGCATTTACACACCTATTCCAATGATCAATTTCACCGAGTGGTCGATTTGATGATCACAAGATAAACATTTTGGAAGAGCCCAGATTATTCTTTCTTTTAAGATCTTCAATGCTTTCAGAAGTATGTTTACTAGTTTCAACTTGTAAGCTCATTTGCATAATATTTATAAATATATTTATGTGATAAGATAAATACAACAAAAAAAAAAAGAAAACGTGCACAACTTTCTTTTTTTTAAAAAAGTTTATTTTTTTTACCCACACACAAAAATGAAAAACTTATGTTAAATTGTCAACAACCAACTATAAATTTTGAAGAGAGACCTGCCACACAAAAAATGGTAAATGAATATTGCGTCATAATTTTGAAATATATTTTGAAAATTATTTTTTTTTACAATTTTTATTTTATTATTTTTTTTGACTTTTTTATTTATTTATTATTTATTATTATTTTATATTTTATTTATTTTTTCTTATTATTTTTTGTATTGCTATTTGCTTTTCACTATTTTTTTAATTCATTTTTTATTTTTTTTATTATTATTTTTTTTTAACATTTTTGATTATTTTCTTCTATTTCACATAATTAATTTTATAACTTTTTTATCAATCTTTATAATAAACGTATATTTTTTTGATTCAAAAAATTTGGTTGTCAAGAACTTTCGTGTATTTGTGATCGAATAAATAATTGCAAGAGTGTTTTTTTTGATTGCATTTAATTTTAGTTATTATTTTGTCCCAAAATGCAGCCAAGATTAAACTCCTCATTGTCCCATCGAAGTTCTGTTCAATGAAAACACCAATGTTTTCTATATTTGCCAGCCCAATGGTAATGTGAAATCATATTTAAAGAGAACTTTAAGTAAAGATATACTTGAAAATCATCCACCTATTTTTTTAAAATTTTCAGCACGATCGAATGCGAAGATGTACAAATCTATTTCAACTCTCCAATATTTCTATGATGTATTAAAATAAATCTAATTTTATAACTTTTAATATAAAGTAATATAATTAATAAAACGATTTAATTAGACAAAGTTCAGAATGGTATACTAAATAATCATCAAATAATTTTTTTTTTTTGGGGATAATTTTTTTTTTAAACTGAATTATTATTATCCTTTTTTTATTTAAATAAATAATTTTAATAAATAAAATTTTTTAAAAAAAAAAAAAAAAAAATCTCAAAAAAAAATAAATAGACACAAATTTTGCATAACATTTTCTATTTTTTTATTTTCTGGGATTTATTTTTTTTTTGAGTTGAAAAAAATCTCCCCTCTTTGGTGCCATATTAAATTTACGTTATTCCTGCCACGTTTTGAAAAAAAAAAACAAAAAACAAAAAAATAGATGGAGGATCCACAGCAACGTGGGCCAATTTCGCCCATTTTTAGATTTAACAAAACAAAAAAAAAATCTAGTCCATCAAAGTAATGTCCAGATGAAAATTTGATGTGATTTTCAAGTAGATTGTTTTGTTATTTTTTTAAAAAATAAATATTTTTATTGTTGTGTTTTTTTCCAGTTATATCGATTTAAAATTGACTACGTAGGTTGATCTCTTTAATACTGAGAGCGAGCCTTTCCTTATTCCATGAACGATTAAAAAAAATAAGGAAAAATATTTTTTTTTGATTATTATAAAAAATCACAGTACAGTATGGTGTAAAATCTATTGAGTATTACTGGCCTTATTGTTTAAATAGTTTTTTAATTTTTATTTAAAGAAATTTTGTTGTAGTTTATTTATATTATTTAAATATATATAGTTATGAATAGAAATAACTTATTAATATTAATTTTTTCTGTTATTCTTGTTACAATAATTAGTTCAAGTATTTATATTACCTCTGCCAATTCAAAAACAGATGTAACATATGGTATAGAAAAAATTACAAAAGATCAAGAGACTTTAAAGAATACTTTGAATGTCTTGATTACCCATATCAAAGAAATCAAAGATAATAATGAAGAGCAAATGAAGAAAATAGAAAGAATTGATCAAAATATTTTTATTCCACAATTAAAGAATCAACTAGTTGATAATAATAATATTAGTGAAGCCTTTGTCCAAGTTATGAAGAATAAATTATATAAAGACTATACCGAGGAACAAAGTGCAGAAGTAGGATCTCTTCTATTAAATTCTGTTTTATTCGAGGATGGTAAATGTAACTCGTACAAGGTACTTGGAGGTGGCACAGTAAATGCTGTTCCTGGTGAAGGATCGTGGAAGATTTGCCAAGATTCTGACAAGTGGCATGTTAACCGATCAAATCAATGTCAAGTATTTTCATTCGGTATTGCAAATGATTTTACTTTTGATGATGAATTGACAAAGCTTGGTTGTAAAGTTGGTAAGTTTTTTTATTCTATATTAGTTTTTAATTTTGTTTATATAATATTGTTTTAGATAAAAAATAATTTTTATTTTTTTTAAACAAATATACTTTTATATATATATTAGAAAAATAATAATCATCTATTTAATAAAAATGTTTATCAAATATTAATAAATACTTCTTTTCTTTAAAAATAATATTACAGAAAGCTTTGATCCTTCAATGTCGATGGAGAGTCAAAAGAGAAGTGATTTAAATAATTTTTGGAAAATAGGTATTGCTGATAAAGATACCCAGACCTTTGAAGGAAAGGAGTACGGAGGAAGTTCAAAGCAAGTCTGGGAAGTATACACTTTAGAAACTCTCATGAAGAGATTCAAAGTTGAATATTTGGACTTTTTAAAGATCGGACTATCGAAGGAAATGAGTGGCCAATTCTCAAACAATGGGTCAATAGTGGTATTCTCAAGAAAGTCAAGATGCTCACCTTCGAGATCCATTTCTGGGGTACCCATAATGTTCAAACTCATTTGGAGTGGGCCAAAATAATCGTTGCTCTCAGAGAACAAGGTTTCAAGCTTTTTGGAACAAGAGAGAATCCTCTAAGTACTCACGAAAGAATCGGTTTTCTGACTCCTAATAGTTGTTGTTACGATTTATATTGGTACAATTCAAAAATATAAATAAATAAATATTTTAAATTCAAATTTAGAAATTAAAAATAGTTTTAAATAAAAATCTTATATAACTTTAATTATTATTCATTGGTTCTCTACTAGTAACATTGATAATCTCACTTAGAGCAGCATAAACTAATTGAACAAATTGATTGAAGTTTTAACCTTCAAAGAAAATATTTTTTTAGATTAACTTTACCTTAGTTAAAAAAGTTATTTTAAATTTTTTAATTTTTTTTTCTTATTCCCTGTTCAAAAATATTTTCTTTAATAATAATATCAAACCAAATACAGATAAAAGAGTTTTTTAACTATAAAACTCAAACATTATTCCAAAAATTCCACTTATACAAAGAATTCATTGCTGGGTTAGTTTAGAACTTAGTTCCTCATCTATTATTTATTTTCGTGACATCATCACTATGGAATATCTATATATGAAGATAAAGGGACTCTCACTAACAGTAATATATGGTTTAAAAAAAAAATACAAGTCAAGATTTTTATGTCAAAGGAAATTCTATAAATTTCCTGGTGATTATACCCTTTCAGATTTAATGAAAAGGATTGCCACCATTTAAGTCATAAGGAATAAATTTTATAGTTGGTGTCGAAAACGTATACGCTAATGTTGTTTACAATTAGGTGATGAAAGTTACCTATATACTTTTACAATCGGATTCGTTTCAGTGTATTTTCTATTCACATATTATAGCGATACAAACAATCATTGAAATAAACAATGCATTAATTTGAGTGTGATGATGATAATTTGAAATGTTTAGTGGGTTTAACTACAATAATACATTAGAATGGATTGAACATAGTTAAACCTAGATTGGTTATCACCATCATGATCTGTCTCTATATTGGTTACCCTTTGCCTATCTGTAGTGTTGAGGGATTTTCCGAACTCAATATTTTTTTTGATCTCAGTATAAAAACCATTGTTATTTCTGAGAATTTGAGAAAATCCAAAAGATATTTTTCAATGATATGAAAATACTTTTTATAAATAAATAAAAATATTTTAAAATAATAAATTTGTATAATTTTTTATTTGATTCTCCTATTTTATATTCCTATTTTAGAGAATCAAATGTCAATGCATAGGATTTATTTGTAAATCAAAAAATCAATTTCAGACTTTTCAAATTATTGAAAAATTAAACTATTTATTTTTACTTTTATCTACTAATAAAAGAAGTATTTCCTGTAGTAGCTTAAAAACTTTTTTTATCCCGGTGTCAAATTTATTCAAATCGATATTATACAGTACCTGTATTTTAATAAAAAGTTGTTATGAAATTAATAAAAATAATTAATTTGATAAAATAAATTACTTACAAATCCATAAATTTAAATTGTCCCTCAACAGTTGAATAAGCAATGTGGTTTCTGCAAGAGTAGATTCGTCAGTGTGTTGACTAATCTTTTGAATAGCGCCCTCCAAAGAATTTTGGGCGATGAGGATAGCTTTTTGAGGATGTTTTTTAATTTCATAATAGAAAACAGAAAAACTAAGAGCTAGACCAAGTCTAGTAGGATTGGTTTCAGAGAGTTCTAAACATCCCATGGTTGAAGTTTCATAGAACTTCTCAGAGAGCTCCATGAATGTTTTCAAAGCGTTGCCATCCGATATTTCACATAGATATCTATAGTAATCACCTTTCAACTTTAGATATGCATTCTTTGATTCGCCGGACTGACTTGACGGTATCAAATTGGCATCTAGCAAACCAATCACTTCAATGCAAATATCAGTTATTTCCTTTTGAATAGACAATCTATACTCTTTGACAACTTCCTTCTCATCGGGTTCAGTTCCATTTTTCTCTATTGACGATAGTTGACGCCATGATGCTCTGCTATTACTAATTATATTTTTATAAGCAGTTGCAAAAAGGATTCTATCTTCTCGGGATAAATCAACATTTGACTCTGCCATATTTCTAACTGCTTTTACCATATCTTTAGAATGAAAACAATCCCATTATCAATAAATATTTTTAAAATTCTAATAATAGCCCTCCATTTTTTTACATACCTTCATATCTTTCAACTTTTTCTGCTAAAATAGCTAATGATCTATCTTTATTTGACATTATTTATTTGTATGTTGTTTATATTGTTTTTGTTTATGTTGTTAATGTTAATGAGTAATAATAATAAGGTATCATGTTTTTTTTTTAGATGGTTTATTGTTATCAAAAAGTTTAAATAAAAAAAGATTTATTAAATGATTTAAAAAAGATTAAATTAGGGTGTAATCTTTCAAAAATGGGGTGAATCTCAAATGACCCTTTTTAATAGATTTACAAATGATTTATTCTCTTGAACAGAAAAATTTTTGACAAATAAAAACACACCTATTTTTTTTTTTTAATTAAATGTATAAATATTTGTTTTGAAGTTTTTTCTCCAAACTACAAATATTGTGGGTAACCTTTTATAGGAAAGGAGTTTATTGATTTAATGGTTTTATATAAATTATTATTTCTTGTTATTTCTCTATATTGGAACTATATTTGAGTGGGCTGCTGGTTGTTGAACTTGAGATGGATGAGGTGGAGCCGCTGCCCGTGCTTCCAACAAGATTCTTCAATTGGTGGTTTTCGCTACGCAGTAGAGTATTCTCACTGTGGAGTGTATCCAGTTGTGTTTGTAGTTTGTTAATAATAGTTGGATCTGTTGTTGGCGAGGTCATTGCGTGCTGTGTGATTTGTTGTTGATTCTGAACCCAGTTGGTCAGGGTGGCGATCTTGTCTTCCAGGTAGGAGATGTGTTGCGCTTGCTTGACGAGCTTGGTTTGAATCTTGTCGGTCGATTTTCTCTTGGATTTGTGTTTCAGCGATGACGAAGACGACGAAAGTTTGTGGTACTCCTTGTCGGAATCGGTCGAGTCGTCGTGACGATCACGCTCACGGTCATTACGGTGACTTCTTCTGTTTCTACTTCTGTTTCTCTCACGCGATTTGTTTCTGCGACCGTTGGATCTGGAACGGTCACGCGAACGACTGGTTGATCTGGAACGATCACGACTTCTCGATTTGGAACGATCACGATCACGACTTCTGGATCTCGAACGACTTCTGTCTCTATCACGGTCACGATCGCTTCTTCTGCTTCTGCTTCTCGATCTTGTTCTGGATCTGTCTCTGTGACGATCACGACTTCTCGATCTATCTCGGCTTCTGGATCTCGAACGACTTCTGTCTCTGTCCCGGTCACGATCGCTTCTTCTGCTTCTCGATCGCGATCTGTCGCGGTCACGATAACTGCTGTGATTGCTTCTCGATCTTGACCTTGAACGGCTTCTATCTCTATCTACATATCTATCTCTGTCTCTTCTGTCTCTTGATCTTGACTTGTCTCTATCACGCTTTCTGTCTCTATCTTTCTCTCTCTCCTTGTCACGGTGTTTCTCCTTCTTTTGACGACTACGGACTTTGTTCTTCTTGGAGCTCGACTCTGACTCGTAACGATGTGAGGAAACATATTCGTCGGAGCTTGAGTAGGAGCCGTCAGAGTGCGAGTCGGAAAGCGAGGAGGCACGCGACGATTGTCTGGAGTTGTCGGAAGGTTTCTTGTTGACTGCGTTGCTGCTGCTACGAGTGAGAATGGCAGTGGAGTTGAGGATACCAACTTCTTTTTCGGAGGAAGGTGATGGAGGCTTTGAAGTGGACAGTGATGTCAGTGAGACCGTCGATGAAGGATGACTGGAAATATCGGGGACGGAATTGATTGAACTGATTTTCGGTGAGGTTGTAATTAATGATGGCAAAGTGGAGGTCGACGACGATGTTGAGTGTGATGTTGGTGGTTTTGGCGATACTTTAGGCGGTGAAACATCTTCAGTCAACTTATTAATGTTTACTGAAGACATGGGATTTGGAACACTAATAGAGAGATTGTTTTGTGCGTGCAGTGAGTGGTGTTGTTGGTGTTGGTGGTGGTGTGATGCAGTGGCAACCGATCGTGAGAGACCGTTGTTGTTGGAGACACCATTGGATTGAGAGAGTGCAGACGATGCATTCGATGTGGCACTGGCAGAGGGTGTCGGTGTTGGTGTTCGGCTTGGGTTCGGTGTTTGACTGGGCGATGTCGATGGTGTGACGATGGGTGTGGGCAGCGGTGACTGCGCTGGAGTGTTGTGGGCACCGGTACCGGTGAATCCAAAGTTGTCCTCCTCGTCTTTGGTCTCTGGGAAGATCCATTCATCGGTCGAGTTGCTATTGGAGGTGTTCAAGTGTGGCGACGATGTGTTTCTCAGCATGGCAAAGTTGGTGTCCTGTGAGAGCATCTTGTAGCGCTCGCCCAATGGCGGCAGTTTCGAGAGGACGTTCTGTACTATATATTCCGGCTTTTTAGCGTGTTTGAAAAACTTGTGTTCCAGTAGCTTCAGAGGGTGCGGACGCTTGGCCGGATCCTTCTGAAGACAACGCTCGACCAGATCCTTGAAGGAGTGTGTCCACTTTGACTCACCGTCGGAATCGAGTTGTGGAGGTGGCGATTGGAGTGTCATGAGTAGCACCTTCATCGGTGGATACTCAGAGAATGGCGCACGTCCTTTGGCCAGCTCGAGTGCGGTAATACCAAACGACCAGATATCGACGGCGTAGTCGTACGAGACCTGCTCCATGACCTCGGGTGCCATCCAGCAAGGTGTACCGACAAAAGTGTTACGGCTGGTTTCACCAGTGTCGATGAGAGTTGCACTGACACCAAAGTCGGACAACTGCACATTTCCGGTGGAGTCGATAATAATATTGCCGGCTTTGATATCACGGTGGATTCTACCGGTCTTGTGGAAGTAGGAGATCGCCTTCAACGTCTCCCTCAGAATAGTGGCGATAACATTCTCTTCGAAACCATGTGGAAATGCAAATCTCATAATATCCGAACAGGAACCAGCCGACAGATAGTCCATAACCACCCAAAGCGATTCATTATGTACGAAACTAGTATGATAAGCAACCACATTTGGATGATGACACAAACTCATTGCTTGAATCTCTTTCTACAGAATTGAATTGAAAGATAAAAAAAAAAAAAAAGATAAATGTTAATATCCAACTCCCATGATTCATCTTTTTGTTTTTGATAGTAACAACATACTCTTAATTCATCTAATGATATATTTTTGCAATGTTCTAAATCTATAATTTTAATAGCTACTATATCTTTGTTGGCGAGACATATTGCGCGGTAAACGGAACCACTACCACCCTTTCCGATGGTCTCTTTCAGTTCGTATTGATCGGCTATACTTGGATACTTCTTTGACTTCTTTTCGGTGATGGGAGCACTGGTTGAGTATTTATCGTACTTGTCGTGATGTCTGCCGTCTTTGTCATGACGATCTCTTTCTTTGTCGTGATGTCTGCTTTCTTTGTCGTGTCTGTCTCGCTCGTGTCTCTCACGTTCTCGCTCACGTTCACGCTCACGCTCTTTTTCACGCTCGCGCTCTCTGTCGTGTCTGTCTCTGTCACGTTCTCTCTCTCTGTCTCTTTCACGCTCTCTATCGCGTTCTCTGTCTCTGTCTCTTTCTCTTTCGCGATCTCTGTCACGCTCACGCTCTCTGTCATGTCGGTCATGTCGATCCCTATCTCTATCGCTACCGTGATCCGACATGTCTGCTGCTTATCTTATTGTCGTTGTATTATTTCAAGTTGGCTTGTTGTTTAGTTTTATATTGTTGTTTCCTTCCTTGTTGTTGTTGTTGATGTCTCAGTTTCTCTCTCTGAATTTATATATTTGGTATAGTCTTCTTTGAAAATGTATTTTGTTTTTCTATCTTGAATTGGAAAACCAAATGTAAATAAAACTATTATGCTTGTTGTTGTTGGTATATGAGTGTCGGCTTTCAAAGAAATTACTAAACTAAAAAGAAAAGACGTCTCTGAAAATGTGATGTTGTTGATGATTTGTAATATAATAGTATATAACTTGTGTAATGGGTAAAAGAACCAATCTATTGTTAATGCTGTAATGTTGTTGTTGTTTTTGTTGATATATTAATATTGTCCTATATCTCTATCTTCTTATCTCCAAGCTAAAATCTATTATAATAGTTGGATGGAACCACTGTTGTTTTGATATAACAATAAATATTTAAATTAGTCAATTATATCCAATTATATTATTAATAAATAAATAAATAAATAAATAAATAAATAGGAAAAAGTAAGTGAAGAAACAGAACAAGAACAACTATTAATAAACATAAAAGTATGAATTCAATTATTATTATTATTATTATGATTTTTTGTTTGTTTTTCTTTTTTGGTGATTCAAAACAACTTATTGGAACCAATTAATTGACTGGTTGTTGTTGTTGTGTAGTGTGAAAGAGAAACAGCAGCAGCAATAAATACACAAAACAATAAAAAGATGTATTGTAACTACACTACACTATTATTATTATTAATAACATATAATAATAATAATAATAATCATTTAATTAAATTTTTGATTTTTTTGTTTTGTTTTTTGTTTTTTATAATTATTTTTATAACGAATAAAAGTTGATTGAATAAACTAAACAAACAATAACAAAAATATGTATAACAACAACAAAAAACATATTATATAAATAAACAAAACAAAACAGAACAATTGAAATTATTATTACTTAGTACCAGTGTCCAGTATTCATTGTTTCTCAACAATAAACACACATTTCTACATTTATATATCAATATAACAATACACACACAAATACACACCAAGAAAAAACACGGTTATCACACACACTCTGATAACCACACCACACAGTTTTGTTTGTCGGTGTGTGGATGTGCTGTGTGTGTAATATGTATAAAAATATATCAATGTTAATTGTTAACAATAATAATGTTTTGATGAATGATGATGATGAGATGATAGCAGAATTTGGCTGTTACTGCAGCGTGTAAATTATGAAAATATGTATGTATGCGGAGAGTGGCTCGATTTTAGTTTTTTGTTTGTTTTATTTTTATCCACAGGATAAATGTAGTAGAGATGTTGTTTGGTAAACTTTGACTGATCTTAGAGTTATTACTTATGGGGGTGAGAGTGAGAGAGAGAGAGAAAAGATAATTGGGATTATATACAATACTATGTTTGTTGTTTTGTATTATTTTTTATTTTTTTTTGGTTTAAATAGAAATGAATCATAATACTAAAGTCATGTTTGTTTTTATATAAAAACATTCTCTCAATGACAACATCAAATAGACAGCAAACGCAGGTGATAATATATTTTTATTTGGTAATGGAGTGGCGCTCAAATTCAGTGTAGAATTGAGAATGCACACCACATGTATATACATTAATTAATTTGAAGAGTGATAGTAGTACGAGACCAACTCTCATTGCAATATACTACAAATAGGTAAAAACAAAAAAAAAAAAAAAAAAAAAAAAAAAGGTAGTGGTGGTCCACCAAATTTTATCTATAGATATTGTATTATAATAAAAATGCTGTTACAACAACAACAACAACCACCACCAGAACAGAAAAGTAAATAATTAACAAAACTAATTGTATGTGCATATGCATACAGTATTTGTACAAGAAATGAACATCCAAATATTTAAATATAGATTATTATCTTTAAAATCTTGAAATAATCTTATAAAATTATAATCTTTATAATCTTATAACAATATAATCTAATAATCTTTAGAACTAAAAACAAATAAATGTTTCTTCTGGTTGGTCAAAGTTATGTGATTGGTTTGTTGTTTGTTTGTTTGTTGTTTTTAAACAAACATAAAAAAAGGTGGTTTTTTGTTTAAAAAAAAAAAGATAGTTGGTTGGTTGTTTATGTAATAAAACTGCTATTGACTATCGCCTATCGTTTATCGTATCTCTAAGATGCTATAAGTTTACAATTGATTGAATTGCAACAAAAGAAAGAAATAACAAAAACAAAAAAACGCATTTTTAAATACATCTATCTAAAAATATTGATATAATTACAAAAACACTGCCAATTTGCATTATTGTATTTGCTGTCGTGTTGTTGTTAATCATATTATTATTATGATTTTAAATTTAATAGCCGATTTTTATAAATTGCATTTGATATCCAATTAACTAATAGCTAACTAATTCTGCTGCTACTACTACTCTAAATGCTGTTGTTGCTACTGCTACTACTAACTACTAAAACATTGTAATTACAATGTTGAGCTACCTACTTCTAATAGTACTAATAATATAAATCTTTATATCAAATGTTAAATATTTGTTTGTTTGTACTTTCAATGAATATTCGAAATAAACAATTAGTTATTATTATTCTTATATTTATATATTCCTGTTATGTAATGTATGTATTCTGTTATGTTATGTAAATGTTTTGTGATCGCAATTATTCAATTCAACTCAATCTATTACAGGAATCCAATTTGAATTATTATAATTGGTTAAAGTGTGTTGTTGCCTGTGCGAAAATAGCGTTGCAGAAGTCGACTGAAAAAAAAAATTGACAAAAAAAAAATAAAAATAAAACAAAATTGAAAAATTCTGCGTGGTCTCCCAGCTTTGAGTCAACCGGAGAATTACAAAAAAAATAAAAATAAAAATACGATTGTTGTTCTCAGATGAGATAGATATTAATTTAATTTGACAGTACTTCATTAAAAACCAAAAAAAAACTGACAGAAATTGATTTTTTGTTTTTTCTGTTTTCTGTTTGGTTGTTTTACTCTTTTGTTCGTCTGGTGGTGGATCTGGTTGTCGTTGTTGTAAATTAACCATACGAGTTAGCCAGCTACCAAAAACAGAACAAAAAATTTATGATAATGATAAATTAAATTTTAATTTACTTCAAAGACAGACACTGATATAACAAACTAAAGATAATATAATATACTATTATTAAATTATTTACTTTTACTCGATAAACAAAAAATGGTCCAATTTCTTTATGATCGTGATTTGAGTGTTGTTACAAAAAAAAAGCAAATTATAAATAGATTTGAAAAATATAATTATATTATCTGCCAGTTATTTATTATTATTATTATTTATTATTAATTTTATTACTATTTAAACTAACTTAAATATTTATATATTTCTTTAATCCCAATTAATTGATTATTATAATAAATAATTTTAATTATAATAATATAAATAATAAAATAAGGCTGGTTGTGAATTGTAATGTAGATATTATTTATTTATTTTTTATTATTGTGATGATGGATGAAATTTATGATACAGATATACATCTATTAACAACAACATCAATATTGTTATCAATATTCTATTGAATTTTTATTATTAGATAAAAATGTATTCAATTTTATATTTATTTTGAAAGATAGCATGTGCTCTGTGAATTGCCTGCAATACTGATTCACTTGAAATTAACAAATATTTACAAAATCAATATCCAGAGGGTGGGTAGATATAATAATAATGTATTCAAGACCATCAATATTAAAATATATATAAAAATATATAGTTGAGGAGCTGCATACTGGATAAAGTATATCAACTTTTGTGGATGTGTTGTTGTTGTTGTTGTTTTTTTTTTTTTTTTACTTTATTTTTTTATGATGCCACAATATCATTAATGCATACCACTTCCATATTGAATGTGTATGGATTTGAGAGTAAAAAAGGTGTTTGTGTTGTTTTTGTTGTTGTGTTGTTTGTGGGTGAGAGCGAGAATGAGTGTGTGGTTGAATGACCACCACTACCACTAGTGGTCAACTATTAAGAATTGAGTGAGTGGTTTGTGTTGTTTTTGTTTTGCTAACAATAAATAGTAGTAGATTGATAAAAGATAGATATTAAAAACGACTAGTTATTCTTTTTCTGGAAATTCTATCTTTTGTTTTTCAAACAACATATTTGACCTCTTTATCTCACCCTCCACGGTACAACATGACGATAGATAATTCATTAAATAAAATAAAATAAAATAAACAGAACAGAAGTGTCAAATGCACCAATCAATTGACTGGACAAGACAGAAAGAACAACAACAACAACACACATGCAGTTTCCTTAAGGAAACTCAATCAAACAAATTGATTAGAAATAAATAAATTGAATGAATGAAAAACACACAATCACAAGAAAAGATAAATTTCGATTTCATTTTAAAATTAATTAATGAATGTTGTTGTTGTGTGTTGTCAGTGTGTGGTAATATTTGATTGTACAATGTTTTTGATGGTGTGGGAAAAAAAAAAAAGTTAATTCGTTTTTTAACTAATTAATAACACAGACGACAATAAACATAAATGAATGATAGAAATAAATTTATATGATTTTTACACATTGAAATAAAATAGCTATTTTATAAATAAAATGGATTGCCATATTTGATTTGTTTGGCTTTGTTTGGAATTAAATGTAAATGACAACAAACATACATAACTTGGTACAAATAAATAAAAAATATATATATCTCGACATTTTTGCAATCTTAATTTAAATCTGTTGTAGCTGATCAGTATCTTTTGATTTATAGGGATAATCCAATGGATAAACCAAAAAACAATAATGACTATAAACTATTATTACTATTTATATTATTATTCCTATTTGATTCTGTAGCTGTGTTCTTTTTGTTTTTGTAGTAGTAGCAGTAGTAGCAGTAGTAACAGTAACAACTTTGTAATAGTGAAGTTACTAAATAAATCCTAAATCCAAGCTAAAATAAATCATCCAATCTAAACCAAAGAAAAGGAAAAGGATAGAAAAGGATAGAAAAGAAAAGGAAAAGAAGAGGAAAAGAAATGTAGATCTAATATATTTTTTTATAAATACATACATATTAATGATAATTTGAATTGAGTAAACAATGATTTTGAATGTTCTAAATATCAGTCTTTTTGTCTTTTTTATCTATTACTGTTCAAAGCTAACTTGTATTCTCTTTATAAGAAACTAATTAACTTTACTACTTCTGTTGTTGCTGTTGTTGTTACTATGTTGAAACTGATAATAATTATTATTATTTGACTAATTATTGCTGTTAAGTTCTGATGCTCTTCTGTTGTTGCAGACAATCAGTTATTATTATTTTGTTGGTTTGTTTTTTTTTTTTTTAATATTTGATTATATGAACTTTATCAACCAAATCAGACTTTTGTGTGTTGGGTTTATGATGATAAAAGGTGGGGTGATTTTATTTTTAGTTTTTTTTTGTGTTTTTTTTTTTTTAGTTTTTGATAAAGTTGATTTAATTGAAGTGGAGATAGATATATAATTAATTAATGAAAAAAAAACAAAAAGAAAAACAGATTAAACAATAATTATTTAGATAAATAAAAAGATTGATAACTATTAGATTAGATTGGATTGAAATTGAATTGAATTGATTAAATTGCTGCTGACTAATAATACGAAATATAAAGATATAAAAAAGAATAAAAGGAATAACAGAAAATAGAAGAAAATAAATAGTTTTTTTTGTATATATTTATTATTATTGTTTACTACTAATAAATATATACTTAAAATTATCTAATATTTTCTTTTGATTTGACTGTATTTGTAGAATATTATTATTATTTCTATTAAACTTATAGCTGATCAGCATTATTCTCTTTGCTTTAAAAATTGGATGTGTATTGTTGTGTAATTCTAAATAAAACTTGAAACTGGTGATGAAGAAAAAAAAGAAAAAAAGAGAAACTTAAAAACCTGGAGATTTAGCTTTTAAGTATTCTTCTTTAAAAAAACAAACAAATAGAGGTTCAATCAACTTCTTTTTGTTTCTTTTTAAATAAAAACAATTTTAACGATTGTTGTTGTTTTAACTTGAATCTAACTTAAATTTAATTGATTATTCTAATTTATTTTTTTGAATGTGATTATGATATTGGTGAACGAATATTTAAAAGAAGAAAAATAAAATAATTCTATTCTCTACTCTTTTATTATGATATCAATATTTATAAAGAGAAAAAAAAATGATCACACTTGTCTTCTAACTCTTTCCGCACACGCTACACTTGATATGACAAAAAAAAAAACTTAAAAAAAAAATTTACAACGAAAAAGAAAAAAATACACCGAAAGCCCTCAAAATTTATTTTTATTTTTTAATGTTACACCCCATAAATCACTCGATAACCCCTCATACTTCATCAGCAAAATAAAATGTTGACTTTTTGTAAAATAGTGGTATGATAAGTGTTATCAGACTTGGGTAACGTGATGGGTTTTTTCATAAACAGACACGATATTTTATAAAAATAAAAAATAAAATAAAAATAAATAATGTGGTTGTAAACATTGTTTTTTTCAGAAAATCTAAATGGCAATTATAAAATATTTATCTGAAGTGAATTGAAATAATAAGTTATAACTAAACTTTAAAGTAGTGCAAAAATAAATATAATAAATAAATGAATATTTTCAAAATGAAGGGAATGAATATAATATAACATAATAGATTTATGATTATTTTATTATTTTTAATTAAATTATTATTATTATTATTTTGAGGAACTAGTTGGTTTCATTGCAAATCGTTTCTCTCTTTCTTTTTTCTTTTCCAATTCTCTTTCTCTTTCTCTGTCTCTTTCTCTTTGTTTTTCGAAATCTTGAGATGATTGTCCTCTTGAGCTACCTCGTGATTTGTCGCGACTGCTACTGCTGCTACTACCGCTACCACTATTACTTCCATTGATACTACTGCTGCTGCTACTGTTGCCGCTGCTGCTACTACCACTCTTTCTATCTCTATCCTTTAGTCTGTCTCTTTCCTTCTCGCGTTCACGTTCTTTCTCACGTTCACGCTCTCTTTCTCTCTCACGTTCACGTTCACGCTCTCTTTCGCGTTCTCTTTCCTTTTCGCGTTCTCTTTCTCTCTCTCTTTCTCTCTCTTTTTCACGTTCACGTTCTCTTTCCTTTTCTTTTTCACGCTCACGTTCACGTTCTCTCTCTTTCTCACGTTCACGTTCTTTCTCGCGCTCACGTTCTTTCTCACGCTCGCGTTCTCTCTCACGTTCACGTTCTCTATCTCTATCGTCATCTCTACTGCTATATCTATCTCTGTCTCTATCTCTATCTCTGTCTCTGTCCCTGTCTCTATCCCTATCTCTATCGTCGTCTCTACTACTATATCTATCGCGATCCCTATCTCTAGTGGAGTCACGTGATCTTGAATCTCTCTCCCTATCTCTATCTCTATCATGCTCCTTTCTCTCTCTATCTCTCTCTTTGATTCTGTCCTTTTCTCTTTCATCCAATTCATCTTCTCTCTTTCGTTTCTCACCCAAATCTCTATCCCTCTCCCTATCTCTTTCCCTGTCCCTCTCCCTTTCCCTCTCTCTATCTCTGTCCCTTTCATCGTCAACCCCAGAGGGAGGATACGGAGCATTGGGATTCATCATCCTCATATCCTGATAGTAGAAAGCGTTGGGAGGAGGTGGATATCCAGGAGGAACCCCCATATGCGGTGGAGGTGGGAACCGCATTCCCCTGCCAATATTGGGTGGAGGTGGACCACCGCCCCTAAACGCCTTGTGATAGGAACTGGGATGTCCGCCACGTCCCACACTGTTTCCACCGGGACCACCGCCACCTCTGCCCACCATAGGCACACCATTCGGTCCATACATATACTCGGGAGGCGGTTGTAGCAGTGCACCACGACCACCGGCATTGGGCGGACCTCTCATCATCATCTTTGGATCCATCGGCATTCCACCACCACGTTTTCCACCTCTGCCACCACGCATTCCCATTGCCATGTGATGTGGATGATGCGCGTAGTGTTTATCGGCTCCATTGCTACCGTCGCTACCACCGGAACCTCCGCCAGTCAACGGTTTAAACGATCCAGTCTTAAAAGCAAGCAGAACCTGTTGATAAGTATGTTGATTCATCGATTTTATAATGATTGTCTTTCCATTTAATTCCCTATAAAACCAAGTAAACAAACAAACAAACAACAGTTAATAAAACACTGAATTCATAAAATACAAATAAAAACAACAATCTATTATATACAGACTTGTTATTAAGTTTCTCTTTTGCTTGTCGTGCAATATCATGTGATTGTAATTCAACAAATGCATAACCCTTTGATTTTCCATTTGTTTCGTTTTCGAAAATCTTCAAGTTCTTTAGCTTTCCAAACTCTGAGAATAATTGTTCTAAATTCTGTTCTGTTGTCCACTGTAAGTAGTAGTTTTATTCATTTTTGGTTAGTATTATTATTAGTGCTATTAGTTGAGTGTTGCTGTGCACAATTAACATACCCATTCTAAATTAGCAACGAATAGAGCTGGCGGAATATCAGTTTGATCTCCTCCTTCAGTTGGATGAGCACTATCTTCCATAAATGATAAATCTTTCTATAAATGATTGATTGATTGATTGATCGATCGATCGATCGATTGATTGATTGATTAGATGATTAATATCGATTTTATATATATTAATCAAGTAAATAGATATATAACATACCTCATCTTCATTATGACTATCATTGTTTGTATCATCATCTATTGATTGAATGGAATGAGTTGGAGTGTCGGTGTTTGATTTGTTATCGTCGTCATTGTTATTTGTTCTAGTACGTCTTTCATATCGATCGTCATCGTCGTTTTGATCAGCATCGTCTTGATGATCATCATTGTTATTGCCAGTGTCATCATGATGCTGTTGATCATCTTCATCATCTCCATTGCTATTGTTTTCACTCTTCATTTTATAATCATTATCATCATCAAGATTATGATGATGATCTTCATTGTTATTGTTTGAATCACCACCAACATTATTATCATCGTGATCATTCTTTTCAATCTTATCCTTTACCTGTCATAACATGTTAATATTACTTTTACTTCCATCAATCTTTATCAATAGATATACATACATCATCATCATCATTATTGTTTTCATCATCATCATCATCATGATTATCAGTTGTCGATTTGAAATCACCATATATGTCATAGTCGTCCATATTAATAAATGATGTTTGTGATGATCGATTGAACAGATATAAAAATCAATCAATCAATCTTGTCTAACTATATAAAATATATCTATATATATATTGAAAATAATATCTACAAAAAAAAAACAAAGTAATAATAGTAAAAAAAAAGATTAAAATACAATATTACTGTTATTAATATTAAAATATCTATCAAAATTTGACAAATAGTATAACACAATTAATTGACTTCAAAAATTTTTTAATATAAAAAATTTCTAAAATTAACTTTTTTTTATTTTATTATTATTATTTATTTTTTATTTATTATTTTTAAGAAGTTTATGATAATAAGAGAAAACCAAATATTATTTATAAAGATGTTATAATTATTTAAATTATCTTTAAAAAACTTTTTTGTTTTTTTTTTTTTCGTTTTATTATTAAAAAATTTATTCGTTTTGCAGGAGAATAAATCAATTACCATCAATCAGACATTTGTCTATTTACTTGTTAAAACGACTGATGATTAGACTACAATATTCAACATCAATGACGATGATGTTGGGTAGATTAATTTCATTATCAACAAAAATAAATACAACAACCATAGTTTCAAATAATAATAATAATAGTATAAATAGAATACAATATTTATTTAATAGTAATAATAGTAGTAGTAGTAGTAATTGTTTTTATAATTGGTATAGTACGACATCTAGTTATGGAAACAATAAGAAAATAGATAATCCATCATTAGCAAAACAAGATAAAATCAATAGAAACAAAAAACAACAAGATATTAAATTTAGAAACAATGATGATATTGAAACACAAGATGAAAATGATTACATTGGTAGATCAAATATTATAAATAATACAAATAATAATAGTAATAATAGTAATAGTAATAATAATATTAATATAGAATCATCAAAAATCAATAAAGTAGATGATATTTTAAATAAAACGTATTGTATTATTATTTCAAATGGATATAGATAAGGATTGTTAGGTTAATATTCTAACAATCAATTTTTATTTGTTGTTGAAAAAAAGTGAAAGATTACAAAAAAGATTATCAAGAGCAGGTGTTACTTCTAGGAGAAATGCAGAGAAATTGATAGAGGAAGGAAGAGTTACTGTCAATGGAAAGGTGGTTGCATTGAAAGATGGTCTGATGGTGACGGAATCTTGTGATATTCGGGTCGATGGCAAAGCGCTACGAGAATCGGTGCCAAAGATATGGATGCACAACAAGCTGAAAAAAGTGTTGGTCACCAACGCGGAGGATCCGGAGCGCGACACTCTGATACCGATTCTCAAGAAGATACTCAACAAACAACATTTGATATCGGTGGGTCGACTCGATTACTACTCGGAGGGACTGATTCTGCTGACGAACGACGGTGAGCTGGCGCGCTACCTGGAGCTACCGGAGAGTGGATTCGAGAAGACCTATCGCGTTAGGATATTCGGTAAGATCACACCGAGTATGAAGCTGGCGTTGTCCAAGGGCATCGTTATCGACGGCATCAAGTATGCACCGGTCAAACTACAGGTGGAGCGTGAAACCGAGTCGAACACCTGGGTGATCTGTACACTCTCCGAAGGCAAGAACCGCGAGATTCGTAAGATATTCGAACACTTCAATGTCAAAGTACTCAGAATCATTCGTACGCAATTCGGTCCGTACACATTGCCTACCACCTTGAAACCAGGTGAAACTCAAGAAGTGATGATCAAAGATGAAATCAAATCATTCAAACATAAATGGATTGCAAAAGAAAAGATAAAGAAACAATATCTAACTAACAGTAATAATAATAATAGTAAAGATAATAATAATAATAATAGTAGTGAATCTATTGATGAATAAAACTAGAAGCACAATAATCTTCTTTTATATTTATTTTACTTACTTACTGATATCATAGATATCTTTGGTGGAGAATAGTTTACCTGTGTTACATGCTAACCACATTCCAGTAGATGAAATTGATATTGTTCTCTTGGTAGTTGTTGGTTTGTTTGTTACCAATGTTGTTAACAATGATGATGTTGTTGTTGTATTGTTGTTGTTGTTATTATTATTATTAGAGTTGTTTGTATTCCAAATATTGATGTTATTTCCATTGGTAGAGCAAATATAGTCATTGGAGGTATCTGTAGGCATCCAACAAACAGCTTCTATTGTCATATTCTTTGATGATAGTTTCTTTGCGTAGTTGATGTATTTCGTTGAGTTTGGTGCGTATGTACTTCTGATACTATTGGTTCTTAAATCGAATATTCTAGCGATACCAGTTCTCATTACATATCCCAAACAACTATTGCTTGAATTAAGTGATATACCACCAACTTCAATCATTTCATTAATTGTTATTCTTGTTTTCTTATTATTATTATTATTATTATTATTATTATTATTATTGTTATCATTTGATCTTATATCCCAAGATCTTATGAATCCTGTATTATTAACATTAATATTATTATTATTACCATTATTAATAATATAACCACTTGCAAATAATGTATTAGATTGTTGTTGATCATCTATTACCGTAATATCATTGATTGGCATCAACGGTTGATATTGTTCCCACAGTATTGCATTTGTTTCAATATCATAGATTCTAAGAGATCCATCTTGTGAACCAATAACAACAGATCTACCATCATTCGTTATTTTAACTGTTGTTTTAATATCATTGTTATTATTATTGTTGTTGATAAATGGTTTCAACTTTAACTGATAAAGACTATTCCCGTCATCTAAATGATAGTCATTCGATATCTGACCAACATAAACATTGTTATTGAATGTCGAATGTACAAATCTATGATTAGAGGCAACTGATAAACTATAAACACCCTATTTTGTTTCATATTAATATTGAATCAATCAAGAATCTATCAATATATATTCTTACAGTATTATTTAAAAGATTATTATTTGATGTATTAACAGTAGGTATACTATCTAATATATTACAATTGGTATCTGTAATAGATAAAGTTGAATAATAACTTAAGGTATAATGTTGTTTAATAGTATCGTGTTGATATTGTGCGAATTGACCACCAATACATAGATACTCTTCATTAGGCAACCAACTTAATGTTGTAATTGACAATTATGATTCTATTTATATTAAAATAATGATAATAATAATTATTATAAAGTTAATAATGTATATCCTTTTTTTTTTTTGATCAATTATGTATTTAATACATACAATAGGTATAGATATATTCAATCTACGATTTGAATTTTTAATTAGATTCAAAGTTAGAATTCTTTGATTGTAGATTTGTCTTTTAATATAATGAATGATAGATTCATTGCTATCGTCATTCAATTTGATTTGATCGATATTCTTTAGCAGGAGATCGACACGAGAGTATTTCGAATAGATATTTCTCCAAAACTCTATACTTTCATTTAGTTTTTGATTTAAACTACGATTGATATATAGAAAGCAAAGACAATCTTTTACTGTCAAATAACTAAAGATCTTATTTAATAAATACAATGGTAAATTTTGAATGTTACCATTACTTTTTTGATTTTCTTTTGTCATTATTATTTTATTATAATTATCCGTCACGAAAATATGAAAATAAAAAGTCTTTTAAAGTCACAAACTTACAGTTTTAGGTTTGTAGTGAAACACTTCGATTAAATTTTTTAGATTATTTTAAAGTTCACATTTATCGGCAAAAAAGATAGTGGGCGAGGTAGTTCCTGATTCAACAATAATATAAAAAAAAGATATTTTTAAATATTCTTAATCTACTATAAAAATTCTATATTTATGTAATTTTTAAAATCAAACGAGGTTTGATATTTTGTTTTATTTTAATAATATAAATAATAATAATTATAGAATAGTTTCCAAAAAAAAAAAAAATATAGATAGTATAATATTTATTTGAATCCTGAAAGGAATTTATTATTTTTTATATATTAGAGTTATACCAGTATAAATCATAACAACAACTACTTTTTTTTAAGAATCCGAGGTCTTCATCTGTGCTCATTGGATTCTCTCTTGTTCCAAATAGTTTGAAGCCTTGTTCTCTTAGAGCAATGATTATTTTGGCCCACTCCAAATGAGTATGTATATCATGAGTTGAAGACCAAAAATGAACTTCGAAGGTGAGCATCTTTATTTTCTTAAGAATTCCACTTTCGATCCATTGTTTGAGAATTGGCCACTCATTTCCTTCGATATCCATCTTTAAAAAGTCCAAATATTCAACTTTGAATCTCTTCATGAGAGTTTCTAAAGTGTATACTTCCCAGACTTGCTTTCTGCTTCCCCCGTACTCCTTTCCTTCAAAATCATTAGTATCTTTATCAGCAATACCTATTTTCCAAAAATTATTTAAATCACTTCTCTTTTGACTCTCCATCGACATTGAAGGATCAAAACTTTCTGATATTTTAAAATAAAAAAAAAATTTTTACAAATAATAAATATTATATATTAAATTATTAAAAACAAATATAAATTAACAAATTAGTAATCCATTAGAATAGAAATATAGAATAAAAAACTTACCAACTTTACAGCCAAGCTTTGTCAATTCATCATCAAAAGTAAAATCATTTGCAATTCCAAATGAGAATACTTGACATTGATTTGATCGGTTGACATGCCACTTGTCAGAATCTTGGCAAATCTTCCACGATCCTTCACCTGGAACACCGTTGTCAGAACCACCTCCGAGTACCTTGTATGAATCACATTGACCATCTTGGAATAGAACAGAATTTAAAAGAAGAGATCCTACTTCTGCACTTTGTTCCTCGGTATATTCTTGATTATACAATTTATCCTTCATCACTTGGACAAAAGAATCACTTAAAGTAGTTGTCGAACCAATATTAATTTGAGTGTTGGTATCTTTAATATCTTTTATGTGTTTGGTCAAGACATTGACAGTATGTTTCAATGAAACTTGTTCACTCCTAATCTTATCTATACCATTTATTAAATTTATATTGGAATTATTATTAGATAAATATAGAGAAGTACTTGTGATGGTTAATAATATAACAATAAAAAAAACAAATAAATAATTTTTGTTGTACATGTTCTTAAAATTTGAAATATAGATATAGATATATTAATAATAAATTAGGTTATTTAAGATTTTTATTGAAAATAAAGAAAACGAATTAAAATAGTATGAAAAATATTGTAAATATTATATTAAGAAATCATTTTATTATTTTGAAAACTAATTTAATTTTAAATTTAATTTATTTATTTTTTAATTACTCAACCAGGAGACTCTTGGAAATGGAAGTTTAATACATTATGATATCGAAATCACAGAATTCTTCGTATCAGTATGTAGATAGAGGAATGTCATGTTATTACAGAATCAAAAAAAAAATAAAAAATAGAATTCGGTTTTAAAACAAATATATTGTCAGATCCAATTTAAAGAGTCAATTTAATCTCTCAAATGAATCTATATTAGATAGTATGGTGGATTGAAGTCACATATTCAAATTTACCTCTGTTTTTTTGGAAAAATAAACGAGGGAGGTTGAAAAACCGTGTACGCAAAACTATTTAAAAGACTAAGATTGTTCTATTTAAAAAACATTATTTCAAAATAAAAAAAAAGTTTTGAATACCTAATATGATAGTAAAAGCACTAAACCGCAATGTCGGTTCGTAGTTGGTATCAAACCATGTTTCTCTCAAATTTTCAGTATTTTGTATCAATTTTTTTCATTTTTTTAATTTCGATTTTTCGAATAAGTTGGGATTTTTTTGTATTTATTTAATAATTTATTTATTATTTTATTATATATATATAAATTCTTATATAAATATAATTTAAACACATTTTGATTGGTGGAGGAAAAAGAAAGAATTTGGGCTCATTAGCCACACTTATTCATTTTTTTGATTCTTTTACTAAGTTCATTTTATTATTTATTCTTGGAAGTCTTTCCAAAGTTTCTGGAGAAGAATATGATTTTATAATAATTTTTATCCATTTATCCATATCTCTTTATATTTCAAATAGGAATTTAATAAAATGTATAAATTGTTAATCAAAAAAAAGATCAAACACTGTTTTTTACCAATTCTTTACAAATAAAAATGAAAAAAAGGAACGAGTTAAAATTGATATATGAAATACAAAAAATATATATTATTTCATGGTCTTTAATTTATCTTTTCATGGATATATGGTTTATTTGGAAATTTTTTGTTTTTTGCTTTGTACTTTGGCTGCTGGTTTTCTTTTTGTTTTTTTTATCTCTGCAGGTCTATTTTTTATAATCCAATTGATCATCTCTGGAGTACCACTACATTCCTTTGCGGTCTCTAATAACAAATCAAAAAGATCTGAAGTACAGTGCTCGGATTGGTTTGTGTTTAGCCATTTTAGTAATTCGAGGTTACCTTGCTGTGTTGCTAAATTAAATGCATTGGATGTGCAACCATCTTTTCTGTTTTCATGGAGGTACTTGACCACATCTAATAATCCGAATTTAACAGCACTGTCCATCGCCAATTTCGAGCATCCTTCTTTTCTATTTTTAAGAAGGAACTTTACCACCTCCAGCATGTTGTCAGCTTGTTCCTGCGAGGAGTCACATATGACCAGAAGACCAGTGAGTGAAGGCCGCACTCCAATCTTATCGATTGCTTTCTTGGTACATCCTTCACTTCTATTTTCATGAAGCCATCTTACCATCCTGATACTACCCATATTTGCCGAGGAATCCATAGCTCTAGTGGAACAACCTTCCGTTCTATTTTCATGCAACCATTTCACAAGTTCCAAGTGGTTTTGAATGGCTGCATTATCCATTGCGGCGCTTGAACAACCTTCAGTTCGATTCTCATGGAACCATTTAATGACGTTGAGATGTCCATTAATTGCTACTTTATCGAGCAGTAACACATCTGAAGTACCTTCCGTTCGATTGATATGTAAGAATTTCACAATCTCCAAGTGTCCATTTCTAGCGGCGTATTCCATTGCCCTCCAGGAGCAACCTTCAGTTCGATTTGAATGGAGCCATTTGACGAGATCGATGTGTCCTCCTTTTGCACTTAGGTCCATTGCAAAGTTTGTACAACCTTCAGTTCGATTGGAGTGCAACCATTTAACAACTTCAATGTGTCCTTTTTCAGCCGCGAAATCCATAGCATTGCCACAACCTTCAGTTCGATTATTATGGAACCATTGCACCAATGCCAAATCACCATTTGTTGCTGCTTGCATCATTGCTCTAGTTGTACAACCTTCAGTTCGATTCATATGCAACCATACAACAATTTCAAAGAATTTATTTGAAGCAGCATTATCCATTGCTTTGCTTGAGCATTCACCAATATGATAGTTTTGCATCCATTTCAGAACATTTAGATGACCGGCATCAGCAGCAATATCGAATAATCTTTGTGAATAATCTTCTTCGTCATCGTCGTCTTCATCATCTAGTTCATTTTCACTTTCATCATATTCATCTTCATCATCTTGAATTCCTGCCTTCCTAAAACAATGTTTTTCTTTATCTTCCGACTTTAGAAACTCGAGAATATGAATATGATTGTGTCGTACTGCTTCAGCGTACATTTTGTTACCAGCTCTGTCCTGAGGTCTATTGACAGCGAGCCACTTTATGATGTGCAGATGACCAGCTCCTGCAGCAGAATCAAAAACATTGCCCACTTCCAAGCCCTCTCTCTCTCCAACAAGATTAGAGAGGTATTCGACAGTCTCTAAATCACCAGAGTATGGTGAAAAAAGTAATGCTTCCTCCATTTGATATTCTAAATGTTCTGGATTCTTGAAGTACACCTTCAGAAGTTCCAAATAACCGTGTGATGCCATTACCATTGGAGTACAAAGTAGCTCTCGCCATCTATATTTACATTCTTCTGATACATGTGAATATACAAATTTGAATATCAAGTTATTCAATACTTTGTTATTGAAAACTGATGAAAATAAATCTTTATTCATTACTCGTATCTCTTTGAAATAGAATAAATAAATATTGTGTCTATCGATATTGTTTTGGAAAAATTTTTACAAGAAATAGCTAGCTTTGTTTAAAAATGGAAAGTATTTTTAAAAAAAAAATCTAGATATTTACTTTTATTTTACACTTTTTTGTTTTTATTGCCACCAATTTATCAATATAATAGTTTGAATCTAGATATTAAATAAAAGTACTAACTCATTTAATAAGCACTCAATATGAAAATAATAGATTTTCAAAGATGTAAACACAAATAATTATTCAAGTTGCAATGCGATTATAAAAGTCAATAAAATAACCAACTCGATTCATCACAATATCATCATATATGGTCCAAAACTTTTATCGCTCACTTGTTTGTCATTTATTGAGTTCCGAATCATTCCTTTTGAAGTGAATCAATTTTTAATATTCTTATTCTGAAATGCAATAGTGAAGTCAAGAAGATCACTGACAACCATTTTTTTTAAAACCCCTTTGTGATCGAAATTCAAAGAATCGGGTATTGATCAGTTCAGAGAAGGGTTGAAGTTTTTGTTTTTTGTTCTCAAAAACAAGGTTATTTTTGGTGAGGGTTACAGGAAAACAAGATACCAATAATATTATTTTATTGAATTGTTTTTTTATCATATAACTTCAATAATTTTTTAAAAAAAAAAAATTATCATAAATACAAACAAAAAGAACAAATAATCCCCAACAAATAAAATGAAATCAGTAAATATATTATTAATAGTTTCTCTAATCGTATGCATTGCAACCGCACAAACAATAGAGTACTGTCAATACTGTAACTCATTAAACGAATGTGATAGCAGCTCCCCCTTAAACTGTGTCAATATTCAAACATCTCAATGCACAGCATTCTCCGATCCATGTGGCACAATAACCGATCCATTCTATGTCTATGTCGATGAAAATGCCAATCCAACCATTACTATTCAAGTTTTTGGAGACGCAGCATGTCAAATCCCAATTACCTCTCCAACACCATACACATGTGGTACTTGCCAATACGGTGGATACTTTAACTGTTAACTTATCTAAACTAAAGTTGATGCCAATAAAACAAACAATCTTTTAGATCATATTTTGTAATTGAATCAACATAATAATTAATTGGTTTTAAGTGATTTGTTTTTTATTTTTTTGTTTTAAATATCAATGCCACAAAGCCAACAACATAAACACAAAATTAATTAAATAGTTAGAATGAATTAATTATCAGGTGCACACCGATCAAATCATTATGTCTATGAAAGTGGTTTTATGATGAATTTTAGTGAAAAATATTTTCGAAAAAAACAAAAAAAACTGCCGAAAAAACCCTTTTTGTGCCTGGACCACCACTTCCAGATCACAATGATGAACGTTCATCATCTTTTGTTTTTTATTTTTTTAATATTCTCTTGATTTTATTTATAGTACTTTTTTTATTTTTATTTGTAATTTATTTATAACATAAATAAATATCAGTTTGTAGTAATAAAAGATGCAATATGTAAAAACATTGTCAAGACCAGATGAGTTGTACTCATTGTTGAAGATCGGTTACACCGAAAAGTTCAAACCAAAGAATGTCATCAAAGAAGATCTCGAGAATAAACAATGGTGTTACGAACTCTTAAATAAAACCAGTAGAAGTTTTGCATTCGTAATCAATGAACTTGACCCACACCTTAAAGATGCTGTATGTAATAAATAAATAATCAAACAACCAACCAAACAAACAAACAAACAATATTATGATATCAAATCATCATAATCATCATCGTCATCACACACCAATCATTATCTTATTATATCAAATATACAAATCAAAAAAAACAAAAACAAAAACAACAACCTTTTCTTAAAAATCATAAACTTTAAAGATACAAATACAGAAATTAAAAGATAGATAGATAGATAGATTGATCACAGTAAAACATCATAACACACATATTTTTACTTAAAAATGATTATAATTTCGACAAACCACACCACATCATTATTATTTGTAGAGATATATGTATATAAATATTAACAAAAATATATATTTTTTATTTTTATTTTATTTTAAAGATTTGTGTATTCTATTTAGTTCTTAGAGGTTTGGATACCGTTGAAGATGACACCACTGTCTCACTTGAAACAAAGTTACCAGTACTCACCAAGTTTGCAGAGGGTCTTTACCAACCAGGTTTCAAAGTATTTGGTTGTATGTATTTCTTAATCCTAATCATATAAATGCCAAAACCAATACAAGTAATTAACTAACCGATTGTTATTTATTAAAGATGGTATGAACAATGACGAAAAGATGTTGGTTGAAAACTTTGATAAAGTTGTTGATGTCTACTTAAGTTTGGGTGATAGGTATGTATATATATATATTTAAATTAGAATTAAAACAAGATTATCATTATATATATATATATATACTTATATTTTAATTATTTTACAATACAATATAAATATTTATAGATTCTGTCCAATTATTCATGATATTACAAAGAGAATGGCACACGGTATGTCGGAATTCCTACAAAAGGAAGTTGTTACACTTCCAGAGTGGGACTTGTACTGCCACTATGTTGCAGGTCTCGTCGGTATTGGTTTGAGCAAGATCTTTGCTGCCTCTGGTCTTGAGAGTGAATGGTTTGCCAACGCCGATAAAGAGTCGAACGACATGGGTCTCTTCCTCCAAAAGACAAACATCATTCGTGACTACTTGGAGGACATCAACGAGTCTAGAATCTTTTGGCCACGTGAAATCTGGTCGAAATACACCGCCAAGCTAGATAACTTTAAGAATATTCAACATGCTCAATCCGTAAGCTTAATGTTAATAGTTACAATGATAGTAATAGTAAGATGTAGAAAACTAACTAATATGTTTGTTTGTTTGTTTGTTTGTTTGTTTGTTTGTTTGTTTGTTTGTTTGTTTATTTAACAATTGTAGGCATTGAATTGTTTGAATGATTTGATTACCAATGCACTTTCACATGCGATCGTCAGTCTTGATTATATGTCGAGATTGAGAAATCCAAAGGTGATTGGATTCTGTGCGATTCCACAGGTTATGGCTATTGGAACACTCAGTGCCTGCTATAATAATCACGGTGTCTTCACCGGTGTCGTCAAGATCAGAAAGGGACAGAGAGCGTTGATTGTCGATACCATTCAGAACAAGGGTATCACCGGTACCTACGAGTTGTTCTACAAGTTTGCCAATGAGATGGTCCTAAAGGTGCCAGCCAGCGATCCAAACGCCAAAAAGACACTCGAGCATCTCGACACCATCCAAAAGATGTGCGTAGAGAAGCTCGGCTACAAACCAGCCGGTTTCAATGACTTTGGTAACTACGATTGGATGGCTGTTGCATCGCTTGCCGCTTCATCGGCTTTCTTGGTTGCCAGACACGGTCCCAACTTCTTCTCAAAGCTCTAAATGCTCGAGCAAAAATGAATGGTTCAATCACCACTAATCAACAACAACAACAACAACTTCAACTAACAAACTTTATTCATCTTCTCACTTCACTTACTTTTTTTTCTTTTTTTCTTTTTTTTCCCCTACACACCTTTTTTTGCATCAACAAACAACAAACCAATAGTTTTAAAACGATTGATTTAAATATTCGGTGTTATGTTTAATACTCACTCTTCTATTAACTTGTTCAGAGGGTCGATAGTAAATATAATCACCATTTCCATTAATTAATCTTTTAATAAATAAATTATAATTATCACATTATTTGTATTAACACATTCATTCATTCATTCATTCATTCATTTGTTTGTTTGTTTGTTTTCAATATTATAAAACAAAACTATAATAAGTTTATTTTTATGTATTTAAATAAGTAAGTCGAGTAGTCCAGTATGTAGTACATGTTTATTTTTGAATAATATAATATAGTTATAGTTTATGTTATCTAAATTATTATTTAGAGTATGTATTATAATGAATGATCGATATATATATTTAGGAAGAGGTATTTTGTAGATGCTTTTGAATGATGTTGATTTGTTCGAGTGTATCTTGAAGTTGATTTCTATCCATTTCAAATCTAATCTTTTGTTGTTGTTGTTTCTTCTCTGTCGAAGATCTTAAGTTCTTTGTTAGATCTAGTTCTACAATAGCTGTTGGTTCATTCATTTCCTCTACATCCTTTGATTTTGTCTTTAGGTCCAATCTCCAACTCATTTTATCCAATGAATTATTAAATCTAGTTCTTCTATTTACAATATCGTGAATCTATAAGTAATAATAATAATAATAATAATTAGTTAATTTAATAAAACAAACAAACATTCATTCATTCATTCATTAATAAAGTAAACTTAAACTTAAACTCTTAAGTACTTACTTTCTTCTTATTTGTTTTCCAAAATTTGGTTAAACCTTCTTGTTGTTGTTGTGTAAAGTCATTCTATATTGTTGTTGTTGTTAGCAATGTGTTGGTGTTGTTATTGCAATGAATTAATATTAATATTTCAATGTTTATAATATATTGTTTTCTTTTTTTTTTTTATTCTTACGTCTTTAATTAAAGATTCAAAAGCTGTTAAATCTACATCTGAATATGATGCTCTTTCGATAATATTTATACATTTATTATATGTTGATAGAATAACTGTTTTTAAAAATACACACAGAAAAACAAATTTAATAATTAATAAGTATTATTATTTTAATGTTATACAATGTAAGTATATATTGTGTGGGTTAGATAGCAAACATTCTTCTGTCAGATCTGAACCTGAAAATATCATCTCTTGCAAACTGCTCAACGATGACAAAGATTCATCTTTTTCATATTCTCTCTTTAATAGAAATCCTAATAAACTTTGAAATTGTTTAGCTTCCATTATTTATTTATATATCTATCTATATTAATTGTAAAACAAACTCTCTATCTTAAAAAAAAACTCAATCAACAATAACAAACTAATTCAATATAAATTTGAATAATGCAAAAAAAAAAAAAATCTCATGAGATTTGAAAAATAAATTGAATTTTCATTCATTGCTTTTTTAAAATTTTGATAACACACATATAGATCTATTTAAATTAATATTCACTAATTAATAATTATAATGATATAATAATCAAATTAAATGAAAAAGACATTTCGATTGTTTTCATTGTTAGTAATTAATCAATCATTATTTATTATTTGTTGTTGTAAAAAGTTGACACAGAAATAAATTGACCAAAACCTATTGTTTTCATATACACACATTTAAATATCATAATGAGAGAATTTCTACCCACCACACCCACACTCACACTAAATAGATATCAGTTGAAATGGTTAGTCAAAAAATATTTTTTATCTGACACCACTATTTTTGCTAACATAGAAAATAGAATACAGGAAAAAGAGTTATCAAATCTTCACCAAAGTGTTTATGTCTATGTGATAAGCCTACCGCTGCTAGGATACCTCGTCATATACGCACCAAAACCAGAGCTACTTACCTAAATCCAAAGCTGCAAAGATACTCTGTGTGCCAACTAAGGATAGAAGCAACAGAAACAAGGGATCTACACGGGCGTGTTCCTCTAGAAGATCTCAAACTGAAGCACCAGATGCCGCACCAACTGTCTCTGCAGTATCTTCACCAGATGCCGTACCAACTGTCCCTGCAGTGTCTTCACCAGATGCCACATCTACTCTAGATGAATGTGACATCCCTAAATTGCTTTTCAACAGCAACGACTGGGTACCTTTGTATAATTCAAAAATCGAGTACAAGTTGGATGACGAAGCCCTCTTTTTAGATCCAAAAACAAAGGAACCATTGGACATTGAACTTGTCGACGCATTTGGTCCTGGCAAAAAATATATTGACAGGGGTGAAACTCTTATTTTCCCTTTGATGAAGCCAACCGAGGTCAAGGATTTGAAAGGAGCAGAGGTCATGGATATTCACAATCCAAACAATTCATACCAAGTGCAAAGAATTGTCAGCATTCACAATCTATCCCAGACCGACAATCTTATGCGATTTTTAACCTACTCACAGATGGAAATAAAAAGACTTTTGTATGCCAAACCAGGACTACATGAAAAAGCCATATCAAAATATAACATCGGACATGTGTATCAGCCAGAGCTTTTGGTTCTGTTCTTCAAGGAACAGAAAAATAGAGCCATCAACCCAATCATCCCCAAGTCCGCGTATATCAACTTTAGACTGTTTGATCCTATCATTAAATTGTATCACAAACATCTAATTCTCAAGTATAATACCAAAACTGGCTTCCCAGATCTGGAGTCCAACAAATGGAGTAAGAGAATACTAAGTCCAATAGGTCAAACTCCTTTATTAGTAAGCGAGTTTGTAAATGCATCATTTCAAATCAATTTAGTTACTGGTGCAGTTTATTTTAGTGCTAAATTTCAAGTGTCTAACATGGCATCTTCGATCAGCGACGATGGTAAATCAGTCACTCTATCTAAAAAATATCTTATATAAAAATAAAAATAAAATAAAATAAAATAAAATAAAATAAAATAAAATAAAAAAATGTTTGGTTTATGGTTACCAATTTTATTTCTTGTTATTTGATTGAATGGGTATTAGTTTGTTCGTTGATTATGTAGCTATAACCTTTAATGAAAAATGGTATATTTCACACTGGATGAATGAATATTAATTTATTGAAAAAAATAATAATTATATATATTAATAATTGTTTTTGAAAAAAAAAAAAAAAAAAAATCATTTGGTACATAATAAATGATGGATGAATGAATATTAATTTATTGAAAAAAAATAGGCATACTAATGGTGGAATATTGTATAATTAACATAAATTTTTGAAAAAAAAAATGACCTTTATTAATTTTTAATGAGTTTTTTTTTTTTTTAACACATGAAATGTCTCATATTAAAAAATGAAAAAAAAAATGGAGTTCACGATCACCACGAATCCCCACTTTGATGTGTACAAAAGGGTAGGAATTCTCTTATTATGTTTAAATAATCACAACTTTAAATGTATATTTGATTTTATTGCAAATTAAGATAACAATTTGTCTTGAACCCCTATTCCAATTAATAATAATGTGAGATGTAAGTTGGTATACTATGCTATGATACTAAGTAATATTATTTTTAATCATCATCCATCATTTTTGTTTATAATCATTAATTATTCTATTCTATAGAAATTAAAGGATGATTAAAATATTTAAAACTATTTTAATAATATCAATTTCATTATCTATATGTTTAGGAAGTGTAGATGAATTTTATAGAAACATTAAAATAACAAGACGATATAAATTTGATTTCGTAATTATTGGTGCTGGATCTGCAGGTAGTGTAGTTGCTAATAAACTATCAAAAGATCCAACCAATAGTGTTTTATTAGTAGAAGAAGGTATAGTTAAATCAAACTCTATTATTGACGATATCAAGTGTTTATTAATCAATTCAATAACATCTTTTTTATTATTATTAATAGGTGGATACTCTACAAATATTTATAAAGTGATGGATAATGTTAAATATGGTCTAAATTATATTGATCCGGATTATGAAATCACAAAGTACTATGAGAATGCGCTTTACAATGCCACTGGAAATAGATATATTCGATCGCTTAGAGGCAAGGTTGTTGGAGGTTGTAACTCTATCAATGGAATGGTGGCAAGTGTCGGCAATTCCTATGACTATGACAATTGGGCACGGATAACAGGCGAGCCGGAATGGTCTTGGAACGGCACGATCTATCCGATTCACTTGCCGGATTTCTTTAAACACGTCCCCATAAGAAGGAATAAAGAGGAGGATGCATTCAATCGTGAGTTGAAACAGGCGATTCTGCCACTGGGATTCGAGTATCTGGAGAGTGCATTCGAAGGATCGTCCTATGGATTCTTCCTCTCGAGTGCTACTCAGAAGCAAGATGAAGATGGACTGTATCACCGTGCTACATCGTTCTCACAATACGTCGATACAATCAGTAGAACTCGTGAGAACCTGTCGATTTTCGTTAAACACAAAGCAATGAGAATACATTTCGATACATCGGTCAGTCCTGTTCGGGCAATCGGTGTCTATTTAAAGGATCTATCGAATGACGAGTATATCTACGTTGAGATTGGCAATGAACTTGTGCTGTCGGCTGGCGCCTATGATTCGCCGCTGTTGTTGCAGTTCAGTGGGGTGGGCGATCCCTTTCATCTCGCTAGCCTGGGAATAACGCCTGTCATCAACTCGCCTTGGGTCGGAAGAAACCTGGTCGACCACACTTCGTTGGTGATCATGTCCAAGGTGGTGACGGCCAAGACAACCGACCGCATACTCCGACCCGACGCAGCACCCTACAATGGCTATCGAATTTTCGGGCCAAAAAGTAGAGAGCGAAAGATAAAATGGATAAACAGTATCAGCTACTTGAACATACCGATCAATCCAGCTTTTCTCTACTCGCTAGAGTTTGTTGCGCCTACTTCATCAGGATTCATTGCCATTGAGAAACTTCGACCGAATTTCGAATTCCACGAGAAACCACTGCTCAGAATCGATCACATTAGTAACCCCATCGAGATGGAATACATCATGGATGCAATAGAGTCGTGTCGCGCCATTGAGAAGAACCTGGTTGAGCTGGGTATTGTCGCAGAGCATGGAATCCGGCTTGGAGGTATCAACCTTGGTGAACGAGACTCAAAGGTACTAGAACAGCAGGTGCGAGATAATATTTTGACTGCCTATCATCCACATGGATCATTGAGAATGGGACCGTACTATGATAGCAGCTTTCCCACCACTGGACAGCTGCGACTGAAAGGATCGGCCAACATACGTGTCGTCGATGCATCGGTCATACCGATATCGCCATCGGGTAACACCAACATCCCAAGTATCATTGTTGGACTTCAAGGATCAAGATTCATCCTAAGAGATCTTGAAATAAGAAAAGCTAGCCAACAATCATCTTCTTCTTCTTCTTCTGATTTATTTAAAAATTTCGAAAAAACTTAAATAAAATTCATTTTGATTTCGTGATCGTTATCTCGCTTGCGAAGCTAAATTTTAAAAGTTTGTTGGATAGGATTCGAATAGTATTATAACCGGTACAACAACATTTTTTGTTCGTGATGCGATAGGTGGAATATATATACAGTGTACCTATTTCCCTTGCCAACAAACATGCGCAACAGAAACATTGGAATTCCAGCAGCATCATCATCAGTTAGTTAACAAAATAGGTTTTAATTAGCTTCGATAGGTTTATCAATAAAATCATATAACTTTCATTGTTTTCAACATAAACAACAAGAGGAAGGTTCTTATGTTATTATTCTTATTTGACATAAGAATCTATAGAATGTTAAAAATAAATTATAATTACAATTTAAACTGTTTTTTTTTTTTCTCAACATCCTTTTTAGTTGTTAATATAATACATTAAATTAGTTAGATTGATCTTGATCAAAGTTTCTATTTCAAGTTTAATAGTGGTCCAACAACAACATTCCAAAGACTTAACCAACTTATCGTTTTTACAAATAGTCAGTTGAAAAATAACATAACAATTTCAATTAAAGCAAACCACCCTCTTTCTTTTTGTTTTTGTTTTAACAGTTCTATTCTTATATAAAAATAAATTACCATATAAGTACATTGATTTCACAGATGATCGGAGCAGTTTTTACAACAACCAACAACTATAGTACTGGTTGTGGGTGTGTTTGTGTGTGTTTGAAGTGTATTATTTTGTTGTTTTTTTTTGTTTTTGTAAACCTTTCTTTTAAAAGAAGATTATTATTAAAATCTAAAAGTAAAATAAAATATCTAATTATTTTTTTAAAAATCTATTTGATTTTTGGTCACCAAAACTACCAAACACCGGAACATTCCACTGATTTCGGAAGGAAGATCTTCCCTGGAGATGAATGTCTCAAGAAATAAAACAATATAAGTGGTTGTCAATAAAAGGGGTTGAACCTTTTTATTCTATTGATCAATGAAAACAACAATAAAAACACAAAAATTCAATTTTTTGAAAAAATCTAACCAGAGTGATTTACAAAAACTCAAATTTTTTGTTAAAATAATTTCTCGTATCTTTGCGAAATTACCTCATTTGTTTTTTAAATTTAAACATTTTTGTTTTTTTTTTTTTTTTTTTTGAAATTACTTTGTAACTTTTCTTTTAATAAGTTTTTTTTTGAACCAATTGGTATCAAACATCCTTCAAACCCTCTTCTTTATAATAAATTAAAAGTAATAATAATCATAATTACAAACAAAAAGGAAATCAATCAACTTTTCAAATTCTCTCTTTTAACAAAAAAAAAAAAAACAGTAAATATTTAGTTCAACATAATAATAATAACTCTTTTATCTATTAAATATTATTAGATAGATAATTATCCACTTTTATTCGTAGTTTTGAAGTTTTTATTATATTTAAAACAAATCACACATACAATCCAATCTTTTTTATAGTATTAGTAATAATATTCATAGCTATCTATTAATTAAAAGGTAACTACACTTTCTAATCTATCTATCTTTATCCTTTTTTATCTTATTCTTATCAATGATGCCTTAAAACAAAATCAGATCTATAATTAAAGAGTTTGTTTTAGTCGAGAAGGATTAATTTTAGTTAAAGTAAAACGTTTGTTTGACTTAAAAGTTATTTATAAAGAAAGAAACCAACAAAGATATAAAAAAACCTTTGATTTGATAATCTTTTTTTGACAGATCAATACTTCATATCATTCATATAATTTTATTTTTATAATTAATTAACTTAATCTTATGTGTTTTTAATCTTTAAATATTTGCAAGATTCATTTAAAAAACTTAAAGTTATTTTTGTTCCCTCATTAAAATTCCCGTTTATGTAAATGTTAACTTCATAAAGTATTAACCTCCACCTAAAAAAAACCTTTGAATTTGATCACAAATAACTTTTATAATAACAAATCCAAATCCTATTTTAACCCTCCAAAAAAAAACAAACAAAAACGAAACACTCACACCCACACCCAGGTTCACCATCACCTTCCTACTCATCACATCATCATCATCATCTTAAACATGCTATGGACAATCATTTGTCGTTAATAGTAGTCAAAGTGTACACTTTTTATTTATCTAAATCTCAACTCTAAAGTTATGATAGATTTCACATCACCTTTCACAAACAAACACACATACATACAACTCCTTATCAAACAGGTTGACCAGCCAAACTACCTACCGCTTACTTTGTAGTCAATTTGCTATATTTGGTAGAAGGATGGATTACTTTATCCAAACCACGACTTTACTTCACTTCAACACCTCACCTCTAAAAAAAACCCCCTTAAATTTTATTTATCTTTAATCTGTCTATCCATCTAATTCAGAACCCAGATTATTATTATTATTGTTATCTAACCACCACAGTACAATTAGTTTAGTTTTTATTTTCTAATAATTTTTAAAAAAAAATGTTCAACTCTCTCTATCTCTCACTATTTTTCAATTGCCTTTAATTTTTTGTGTTGTAATAATCATCATTTTCACCCACCACACAAAAAATATTCACCAAGTATAAAATAAAGTGATACTGTTGGATTCGATATATGGAAACCATATCATTTTTTCTCTCACCAATTTAAAATATGATATCAAAAATAACCACACCACTATCGATTACAATACACTTCACTTTTTTTTTTTTTTTTTGTTATTTATTTCCAAACATATACATCCAACATAAAGAGAGTGTGGGTTATTTGAAAAAATCAAACCAATATGTATATATATGTATTGGTTTTTGTGTCTGTCTGTGTGCATGTAGGTAATGTTCTCTCTTATTCAACTGCCTTATTAAGAATGTTATAATTAATTTTTTAATTTCCAAAACATTTTTAAAAGTGAAAACTTGCTACAAATACAACCATATAAATAGAGGTAATTACTCTTTTCATTCATCAACAAACCAAATTACCATCAAACAAATATTTGCATTCAAATATTAAATATTACAACATCAAATTGGAAAATATTGTGTTACTATTACTACATAATATATTATTATTTTTTACTTTTTTCTTAAATTCATATCTACTTTTGGAATACTAACCGACTGTGCAACCAAAGCACAATCCAATAAAACAATACTTATTTTTTCTACACCTAATTGTAATATTATATCTATTTTATTTTTTAATTTTTTCAAAATTACAACTTCTCATTGAATTGGCCTACAAAAAGATTTTGCAGTTGCTATTTTAACATATATTTGCTATTCACTTCTCACCCATTTTATAAAAACTATACAATCTATAAATATATATACAACTATCTATCTTTATTTATCTTTGTGTAAACCAATTTCAAATTTTATTTTTAATTTATTTTTTTTCTTGCAAAATCAATTTTTAATTTTGTGTAAATTCTTGTTCTCCAAATATTCTCAATTTTATTTAAATAAATTCTAATTTCCAATTATTTTTTGTAGATTCTCCTTAGTGACATCATCCATACCAAACCAACCATTTTTTTATTTTAAAACAATATAAACAAGTCCTCAAGTCTTTAATAACATCTGCAAATGTCCGCCAACGATAATAACAACATCCAAGAACAATCAGTCGTTCCAACTGAGCCAAAGCTGGTAAATGGTACTACCAATGGAAAAGTCGCCATCAATCCAAAGTATGGTCTTCCACAGAGAAACCTTGTCCACCAAAGACTACACTCCAAGAAGTTCTTTGACTCTGCCGATTGGGTATTGAATGGATCTGGATCCAACGAAAAGTTGGAGAATCCCGCTTTCAACATCCCAATGTCCAAGGTTCATTAATTGAGCAGCCTCCTTTTGTCAGCCATACACACAAAGTCTGATCTACCTAGTGAAACAACATCCCATTTTTATTTTCTTGTTTTTAAAAAGTATTTTAAATCAACCAATCCAACCATCCAATCCAACACAAATGGAGTCAAAATGAACGAGTACTGTAGCTTAATTAATCAACAATCCATTCAACTCAATGTACCAATAATCAACTTCCCCAATCGTTCAAAAGTGACACTTTGGAAGCAATTTCTATAAGATAGTTAGAGAGAAAGAAAGAAAGAAATACCAAACATTCAAATATGTATTTTTAACAAAAACAAAAGAAAGAATGAATTTGGATAATCTTTCTCTCTCTCAATCAGGAGATAAATAACCAATCAAGTACAATATTTTAAAGTTACAATAAATTTTTAGTTTATATTTTTAAACCCTTTTAATTAATCCTGATGTTAAGATTTATATTAATCATTAACTGTCCATTATTCAACGCACAACTACTAAACATAGATTCAATTTTAATCAAATTTAAATAATGTTTTTTTTTTTTTTTGATTATTTATTTTTTGTTTATTGATTTATTCGAAATCGGTTGGGAACATACAAATTGGATTTGATTTGATAGAGTTGATGTTCAAATCATTTCCAAAGATTGAACGAATGCTATTAAGTTCATATTTGATCATGGTTGGTCTTTCAAGAGAGAGACCCCAGGCAGCTACTCTGACATTGGGTGGGAGACCCATTGGCAACAACATCTCTGGACGGAAAAGACCAGAGTTACCGAGTTCGATACGGCCCAACTTTGGATGCTTACCAAAGATCTCCATACTTGGTTCGGTGTATGGATTGTAGGCTGGTTTGAAACTGATATCGGTGATACCCAAACGCTTGAAGAATTCAGTGAAAATACCGATCAAATGTGACAATGAAATATCGACGTCGGCAATGACACCCTCGACTTGATGGAACTCTGCAAGATGAGTAGCATCCAATGTTTCATTTCTGAAAACACGATCAATCGAGAAATATTTCTTTGGTTTGAAACCAGTCTAAAAAATAATAATAAATAAAAAAAAGTATTATTATTAATCGATTCAGAACAAGTCATAACACTAAAATTATCAAAATAAATATTTACCTGTGCCAATTTATATAACATACGAGATGATACAGCAGTTGTATGGGTTCTCAAAATATTCTTTTCAGCTTCCTCAAGCTTCCAATCATATCTCCATCTGAAAAAAACGAAAACGGAAAATGTTAATACATTTTTTAAATATACTTGTTGGTTTTGATTGATAACTTACCCTAATGAATTATAATCACCTTCTTGATGTACTTTGTGTACTTTAGCGAGATAATCATCTGTGAAATCGTGTGAGGTGGCTGGATCCTTCAAGAAGAAGGTGTCATGAGCATCACGAGCTGGATGTTGTTGTGGTTGGAAGAGAGCATCAAAGTTCCAGAAAGAGTTTTCAACAAAGTTTGCAGTTGGCATCTCTTCGAATCCCATCTCAATGAAAATCTGTTTGAACTCTGCCTTTACCTTGCTCAATGGATGACGGAATCCCGAACTTGGGATTTCTCCGAGTGCAAGATGATTGAATTTGAATGTCTCATCCTTCCATGACTCTGTCTTTAACATATCGGCAGTCAAATCGGAACATTCCTTCTTTCTAATATTATACTTTTCTCCTTTACTAATCTTGCAATATGACAATGTCCTATTAAATAAAAAAGCATAGAGCAATAAGCAAAATTAGTTGAAGAACATTTACAAATCTAAACATAAATCAATACTTACTTTTCTTCAACTAATTTTGCACGTCTCAATGCTTTAATATCTTCTCCCTTTGGATCCAAATTGGCGAGGTTGACCAAAAGATTCTTTGTGGTGTCTTCAATACCGTCTTGCTTTCTCTTGACCAAACCTTTATCGATAACAATCCATTGCTTACCCTTGGCAGAACCAAAAGCAGTTGCACCAAACTTTTCCTATAAAACCGATATGAATTGAACAATATTAATATGATTGTGGATACAAAACAAAAACTATATTGTATAGTTAAACAACATACATTGGCTTCCTTAACGGAAATACCTTCAGCTGGTACTGCAGAGTACAAGATGAACTCTGGTGAACCATTCTTGACTGCACTCTCACCGTTTTCAGTCAAGTTTAATGAAGAGCTCTCTTTGAACTCCAAAGTGACGACGTTCATTGACTCCCATGACTTTAGATCACCAACGACTGCTTGATGGTCATCCCAACCATTCGCTTGGCACATCTGTCTTGAACTCTCAATGACACCATCCTTATCCAATGTCTCAAATAAGACTTGATCGAAATTGGCTACCATCCTCTGTTTATATTCTAAATTCTAACTTTATAAATCAATCAAATATAAACTATTGAATTAATAACTATAATTCTATTCCAATCTTTTCTTATCTAGAATCAATTTGAGATAATACAATACCAAAAACAACGTTGGAATTATTAGATAGATATTGAACAAGTAAAAAAAAAATAAAATAAAAAATGAATAGTGGTGTTGAGAAAAAAATTTAAAAAAAAAAATGAAAAATAAAAATAAAAAAAAATCGATTTTTTTTTTTTAACAAAGACATAATCAATACAACTCTTATGTTATTGTTCACACTTTAATTAATTGTTGTCTGATCTCGATTGTTGTTGTCTTTCTTTCTCTTTTTGTTCTCTTCTTTGTTGTTGTTGTTTCTTACGTTCTGCTTGTTCCTCTATGAATCGAAGGTATTTAGAGTAGAGTTGTTCGAATTGTTCGACATTCTCCTTCTCTGGCGAGTAGAAATGATTCGGTAGAAGTTCTTGCATGAATTTGTTGAAGAAATGATCGGTTTCATTGATCTCTGCTAGGTGTGGATATAGCGTGTTCTGACAGAACTGCTCTTTCAACGGACGAACTTGCTCTTGGTTGAAAAGATTGAGTGGTAACAACGAGGTTCTCTCTTTCAGCGAGAAGTCAAAGAGATACAGTGGATTGGGTGGTGCCACCGGCGATCGAATTGAAAACGGTGACTTCAATGCCAACTCTAACATTCTACGATCGCAATAGCCGTTGCCAATTGCCAAGACGAAACCAATCATCTTTCTGATTTGATATTGAATAAACGATGCACCTTCCACCTCGAAACGAACCCATTCTTCATCGCCACCACCACCACCATCGACATTCTTTGTCTTAAAAGATGTTTCGACTACCTTGAATGAATTGATTCTTCTAACATTCGTAGAGTTTACTCTATATGCCAACATTTCTGCATCACGATCAACTGGTGTCTCTTTCCAAGTTTGATCTTTTACATCACTCTTTTTATTATTGCTATTCTCTTCTTTTGTTTCTACTACTTCTTCTTCTTCTTCTTCATCAGCATCATCATCTTCTTCTTCTTCTTCTTCTTTATTTCTATGAGCTCCTCTCTTTTTCTTTTTATCTTCATTTAGATCTTTATAAGTTCTTCTGTGACTTGTGAAATTGTGATAGGAATTGGAACCGATGTATAATGGTAGAATCGATTCGTTGATTTGTTCGAGTGTGAGTTTTGTACCGAGATACTTCTTTGGCAGAACATAGTGGTAGGTTCTGCTTGTGCATTGTCTTCTGGGATCGAAAGATCGACTTGTTGGTGCCAGTGCCAATATCCTCAGATTTGGTGGTAGACCACGATTGATCTTTTCGATCAGTACTGCCACCTTCTCAGGATAGTAGCCGCTGCCATCTTCAATCTCAAGACAACCCGCCAGCAGTGTGCTCAGTGAGTGTACACCTTTGTCGGTTCGACTGGATCGACTCCACCTGATACGATCGAGATCACCCAGATTCGATGGTAGAATCAGTCCCGCTTTGAAAAGCGCTTGTTCCAGCGTGTTCTCCAGTGCATTGTACCCGGAGATCTGGTACTCCAGTCCGTGGTAACCGGTACCGACATAAGCAAACAACAGCGCCATCGGTGACTTCTTTAGAGTTGCCATACGATCGATGTCCACCAGATGTTTGTTCTCATCGAAAAACTGTTGAATCTTTGCGAAATGTGCCATTTTCATCTCGTGTGAAGTCTTGTCTTTCTCGCTACGTATCTTGCTTTGTGGTGCACGCGGTGCTCCTGCCGGTGTAGCGTGGAATCGTTCTTGTTTCTTTAGTTTTTCAATCTCTTCTCTATTGCTTCTATTTCTAAATATATCGAAACCACCATCACTTTCATTGCTATTATTATTACCACTACCACTTGCTGCAACGCTATCATCATCATCTGCAATAAAGAAATTATCACTAATTAAATTACTAACATCGCTACCTTCTTCAATTGTTTTTATTGTATTACTGTTGTTATTGATGGTGGTCATTGTTCTAAGATTTTTATTAATATTAATATGGTTGTTGTTGTTGTTGAAACTGCTGTTGTTGTTACCACCAATAAAGTTGTTATAGATTTGTATGTTGTTTCTAATTTTGAATCTATTGCTAATTGACAAAGTGTATTTACAGATATTATTTGTAAGCATTATTTCTATTTATGCCAACAACATGTTTTAAATTAAAAGTAAATTAAAAAGAGTTAGAGAAAAAAAAAAAATTTTACATATGAAAATAAAAAAACGAACGAAAACATCAAAAATAATTTCAACATAATCAAAAGTTAAAAGTAATAGATGGTCATATGAAAATTTAAAGTTATTATAATAAAAAATCATTAAATCAGCTAAAGTTGTTGTGACTACCAACTTGATTACCGCTGAAGATGGTATTGATGAAAAATCTCTGTGTTGTGTTAGTTAAACTTTATCGTAATTTAGGACCTATAGAAACCTTTGTTTGTAAGTGGAAATTACTTACTATTTGGGGTAGAGGACTCGAAAGACTTTATAGATTAAATAAATCTAATTGCATCTCAGCTGTTCTTCATGAGAATAGACATTTTGTAGAAATCAATCGATCACCTATGATACTTTTGTTTTCGTATGTTGTCAATACTCTCGACATTGGAACAAGCACCTCAATCCCAGACTGTTACAATTGTTATTGGTAGTTGTTGTTATTGCTATTGTTGTTATTGTCGTTGATGTAACCACCACCCCAATAAAGTTGTTATTGGATTTGAATAATTAATCTATTTCTAATTTAAATCTACCTATTGCATTGTTTATTGTATCTATCTATTATTTGGCAGAATAATTTAAATATTGTTTATATTGGCATGTGGGTAACAAACATATTAAAAACAACATATACAAACACACTTTTTACTATTTATAGGTACATCAATACAATATCAATGACATGCATTGAAAACAACAATACAAAAAAAAACAAACTATCATGATAGATATTTTTATCATTGTATAATTATCACACTAATCACACTAATCAATTATGTCTTTGTTTTTTTTTTTTAAAAAAAACAATTAAAAAAGAAAATTAGTGGATGAAGTTAAATAGGTAATAAAAACAGTAACCAACCTTGAAGTGCCCAAAATTTTAAAAAATATCTTTGGATGATTTAAATTTTATTTTAAATCTTGAAAGATCTCCATTGCTGAACAAATTTTACTTTAATTTTTTGTTTTTTTTTTTCTCTTCATTGGTATACGTTGTCACTTGATAGTTAGATTTAAACTTTATATTTTTTTGTCAAAAAAGTCTGTTATAATAGTGATAATTAATAACACCTGTTACCCATTTAACACCACCTTTTTGTTTTCTATTACAAAAAAAAACAAAAATAAACACATCAATTTTTTATATTAATTTTCATTTGAGACACTACTTATTATTATTATTATTATTATATTTATATTAATGAATAAAGTATCAACATCCTCTTCCTCTTCTTCATTCATAAATATCAACAGTAATTGTAACGATAATCAAAACAACAACAACAACAATTTAAACAATAGTATTGTAAATAACTATAATTATATTGATAGAGTTCAGAATATTTGTAATCATATTGAAGTAGAAAATTGTTCATCAAACAACAACAACAACAGTAATAGAAAAATGATATCTAATAACTTTGAAAGAGTAGCTATTGTTAGTTATGTAAGAACTCCTATGGGTGGTTTCAATGGTTCACTTGCTTCGTTGAGCGCCACAGAGTTGGCGTCTATCGCCATTAGAAAAGCGATTGAGAATGTCAACCATCCGAAGCTGGTAGAGTCCATCGATGAAGTATTGCTTGGCAATGTGTTGTCTGCCAACGTTGGACAGGCACCCGCTACACAAGCTGCACTCGGTGCCGGCATTCCAGACAGCGTGCCATGTACTGCAGTCAACAAGGTCTGTGCCTCTGGAATGAAGGCTGTGATGCTCGGTGTCAACTTGATCCAGACCGACTGTGCCAAGGTGATTGTTGCCGGTGGTTTCGAATCGATGTCGAACGTGCCATACTACCTGACAAGCGCACGTAACGGATATCGTATGGGACACCAACAGATGATCGATGGAATGATTAAAGACGGTTTGACCGATCCATTCGGTAACTTCCATATGGGACTGGCTGCAGAGCGTTGCTCGAAAGACTACTCCATCTCCAAACAAGAACAAGATGAATACGCACTCAACAGCTACAGACGTGCACAAGAAGCAACCAAGAACGGTTGGTTCAACGAAGAGATCGTTCCAATCACCATCCCAGGAACAAAAGCAAAACCAGCTACCGTTGTAAGCACAGATGATGAAGTTTCAAATGTAACTATCAAAGCTAGCTATTCAATATTAGTCAGAAGAAGAATAATAATATAACTAACTATTTTTTTTATTTTATTCTCTTTTTATTTTTTTAAGGCAAACTTTGAGAAATTAGGTAATTTACAACCATCTTTCCAGAAGGAAAATGGAACTGTTACAGCTGGAAATGCTTCAACAATATCCGATGGTGCATCAATCTTGATTCTTATGAGTGAGTCCAAAGCCAAAGAGATGGGTGTCCCAGTGATTGCATATATACTTGGTATGGCTGATGCCGCACAAGAACCAATACAATTTACCACTGCACCAGCACTTGCCATTCCAAAGGCTTTATCAAAGGCTGGTATCTCTCAAGATCAAGTTGATTATTATGAAATCAATGAAGCTTTCAGTGTAGTAGCTTTAGCAAATATGAAGGTAAATATTATAATATTTTTAATATTTAAATTAATTTTATCTAATAATATATTATTATCACTATTAATCATTATATATATAGAAATTGAATATTCCTCATTCAAAGATCAATGTTTTTGGTGGAGCTGTCTCTATGGGACATCCATTGGGTAGCTCAGGTTCAAGAATCATCTGTACATTATTATCTGTTTTGAAACAAAGAGGTGGAAAGATTGGTGTCGCCAGTATTTGTAATGGAGGTGGAGGTGCATCTGCAATCGTAATCTCAAGAGAATAAAATAATTAAATTAAAGTGATTAATTTAACAAGTGTACAAAGACAGAATAATAAAAAATATAAATAAATTGTGTTGACCGATTTGATTGGGCGGTCAACTTAATAAAAACAAAAAGAAAATAACTTTTGAAATGATAAACTGGTTGGGTTGGACTGAAACATGATGTCATGTTTTGCTTAAACTAACAAAGATATTAAAAAAAGTGTTTTTTTTTTTTTAAAATTTTTAAACAATTAATTTGTTTCCTTTTATTGTTGTTATATTACTTTTATACAAGATTGATTATAAATTATTATTATTGTTGTTGTTGGTTATTTGTTATTTTTTAAAAAAAAAAAAAAAAATCATGGGTCCAATGCCAAATTTGTGACACCACCCATAAAGACTTCCAATGAAAGAGTGATTAACTCTTGCACTTTGAATGTCTTTGGTATCTTGTTAGGATAGGGTTGTTGTCATTTATTTGGCAGAAGCCTTGGCAGCTTTCTTGTGAGTAACTGGCTTCTCTTCATTCTTTAACAAATTCTTGTGGATATGTGGGAGGACACCACCACCAGCAATAGTAGTATTGGCTATATTGTTATTGTAAAAATAAATAGAATAGTAAGATAATTAATATTTGTTTAAAACCTTGAAAATGATGTTGCTGTTTTGAATACATACATTTAATCAATTGATCTAATTCTTCATCAGTCTTGATGGCAAGTACAATGTGTCTTGGGGAGATACGACGGACACCACTTTGTTGTTGTTTCAAAGTGGAAACTGTAAGTTCGAGGACTTCAGATGTCAAATATTCGAGGATGGCAGCAAGGTAAATTGAAGCAAGAACAGATACACGCTTGGTTGGAACACGGTGCTTCAACATAGTATGAATACGACCTACTGGGAACTATTATTTATAATATTATAATTAGATAAACTATTATGCAAACTATAAATACTAGTAAAATAAACTAAACTTACAATAATACAAGCTTTAGATGACTTGGATACTGGCTTCTTCTTGGTTTTGGTGGAACCAGCGGCTGGGTTCTTTGGGACTTTGGCAGTAGCTTTGGAGGTTTCAGTTGACTATACAATTCATATATTATATTTATTTAATTGTTAGTTATCTGTATAATTATTTATTTATAATAAATATATTAAAGATTATAAAAACTTACCATTGTTATTAAAAGTTAATTTAAAATGAAAGGAAATGTATTGAAAAATACAATTAATAGAGATGGTTGTTTTAAAGAGGTTGGATGTTTTTGTTAAAAAAAGAGTGAGTGAAATTGAGAAAATATATATTTAGTTTTAATAAAAACTATTTTGTATGACTACAGAAAATATATATTTATTTTTTGATATGATTGAATTGAAAAATGAAATGTGTGTTTAAACAAAATGTTTTTTTTTGTTGTTGGATTTTGAAAAGTGACCGTTAAAATAAATAATAATAATTAAATAAATAAAATTGTTGTCAATTTTTAGCTGAACATCAACACACTAATTTAAGCGGATTTTTTGTTTTTTGATTTTAACGATTGAAAATTTAAATTTGATTTTTTGAATTCAAATTTTGGAGGGGATTTTCCAAATTTCAAAAATCCATAAAATTTGAATAACACACACTATTTTTTATCTAAAAGTGCACGATTTTATTGGGTGGTAGATAAGAAAAATAAAATAAAAATAATTAATCTAAAAATTAACTTTTTAGGAAAAATCTGAATGTGCATATAATAAATAATAAAAATATATAATTGTTAAATAAAAATTACTGGATTTTGTATTAAATATTATAAAAATAGGCACACATGTATATTTCTAAGAAACAAATTATTTCTTTTCTTTTTTGGTCTGCAGATTGTTTGAATAGGACCAATGAAAATTTGATTAACAATTATTAATGATTTTTTTTTTCTTGTAAACTAGTTATTGTGTATTAATAAAACAAATGCTTTCCACTTATAAAATGAATTGAGTGTTTGAATTCTACTATTAATCTTGGAAACAATAAACCCTCATCAGCAGTTAATGATTTTTTAAATTAATCAGACCAGTTTTTTTTTTTAATTTTTATATTTTTTAATTTATTATAATATTTTATTGTATTTTAGAGATAAATTGATTCAGAATGCTACAAAATAAGGAAATATATTAGTTAAATGAAAGTACTGACTATATTTTGATAATCTATAGTTTTTTTCCTTACCTGAATTGAAATCTGATGTACAACATATCCAAAATCATTGGCATCCAAATCAACTGTTAATGCTACTAACATTGGTGTAGCAATTAAATCACTCTGTATTTTCGTTTTAAAATTTAATGATTGTTATTAATAAATGCTTTAGTTTTAGTTTTTTAGTAATTTACTTACAGGTCCTCCACCTTGAACTATATTATAAAGGTAGTCTCTAATACAATGTGTGCTAATAACATGCATTCTAAAGACAAACAGTAGTTCGTCATCTTCGGTCTGACGAATACCCTGGAACTCAAAGTTTTCGAGTGACAACAGTTGTCCATCCAATACTTTGTGTCCTTCCTCTCTGGCCTTGATGAATCCAGATACGATCTTCAAACCAGTCTCACTACAATAAGTATCCATCTCCTCTACATTTCCAACCAAGAAAAGTTTCAAAAACTCTGGAATAAATATTTGTTTTGAAATCTAAATTTAAATAAAATAATAGTAATAATAGTTAATATCATTATCGATTGGTTGAAAATGGTTGGATAGTTTTTCAACTTACTTCAAGGAATTTAGTTAATTCGAAACCTGGCAGTAAGATATCTTTGTAATCCATATAAAATTTTGTGGTTGGGTCAGAGGTGATCATCTGTGAGAATTTGTTCAAATAAAAGTAGAAATAGTTTCCACCCAATGTCGGTAGGTATTCAGTGACCTTGACCAAACGATCCAGCCATTTCTGATGGTTTTGTATCTTCCAATACATAGCATCCTTTTCCACTGGAATTGGTAATTTCAATTCTTCCAACTTGGCCAACTCTTCTTCTGTTGGAGCAACTATAAATTATCGAAATTTAGTTAGACGTGTATAAATTATTAAAATAGCAACAGATAGCGATCTACTTACAACTATCTTTATACATATCAGGTAATTCATCGAATTGCTCTACTGAGGTCATTGAATCCCAATCGACTTCGGGTGGATCCATTCCCTTTTCACGGAACTCTTGTTCACGTTGCTTCAGCATGATGATCAGGTCTGGCAGGTGATCATCGTCGGCGGCATCGATCGCTTCCTCTGTCATATCGGCGAGATTCATTCTGGTGTCATAGTAGAGCGGTAGTTTCAAACGATCTACAAATGCCTGTGAACGTAAATCGGTGGAGATGAGCTCGTAGTTGGTTGGCTGGAATGGTGGATATGGTGGACGAACACCGAGTGTCTCTTTGTAGGCGTTCTCCAGTTGCAGTTTTTGATCTGGTGTAATCTCACCCTTGATCTTTGACATGACATCCGCTTCCTTCTGTCTCTTTTCATAATCCTTATAGTATTCCTTATATTTATCTCTTAATTCCTCTTCTTTCGATGAGTATTTCTTTTGTTCCTGTTGTTGTCCTTGTTGTTGTTGTTGTTGTTGTCCATCAGCAGCTGCACCTTCTTGTCCTTGTTGTTGCTGTTGTTGCTGTCCATCTGTAGTTGTTTGTTGTTGTTGTTGTCCAGTTCCAAAATCCATCTTTGGACCGGTGTATCCTTCGTTGTTCTTTTGTTGTTGGTCAGCATCGGTGACAGGTGGTTTCGGCTTTATTCCAAAGAGTAACTTGAAATCATCGATATTCTTTCTGTATTCCGGTGTTTCATTGATCAAACTCTTGTAGTTCTGAAAGAAATCAGTGATAAAGTTGTAACGCAATTGCACTGATGAACCGTTCATCAACGCCGATCTCTCCTGATAGGATGTAACCATCATACTATTAGTACCACCATTTCCATATCCAAATCGTGTGTTTACACCACCACCACAGCCATTGACCACACTACAATACAACTTCTGAGTACGCTGTTGTTGTCTCTGTACTTTTGAGACACCACTTGAAATCGATGAAATTAAATATCGATTCATTATTCAATTTTAAATAGATATTCAGATTTATAACTAAACTTGAGATATATACTATATATCTAATATACTATATCTATAAATATATATATATATGTACTGTTACAATTATAAATCTAAATTTAAACTAAAATATATAAAAATCTCTCTTTTTAATTCCAATTGGTTATTGTTACTAAATTGGGAATCAATCATATGATTAATTATATAAATAAAGAGAGAGTGAAACTGATTAATTATACAACAATCATTAGTCATCATAAAAAAAAAACAAAAAAACGAAGATGCATCAATTTTTTTTTATTTTTTTTATTTTTTTTTGATGATCAATTTTTTTCAGGCAATGGAAATTTTCATACACACAATTGATAAAGATATCTTTAGATTAGAAATTATAGTTTATAGTTTATATAGTAGTTTTATTATATCATTAATTTCTAATGGACTCTTTTTTTTTTTTTTAGTTTTTAAATCCATATTTATCTTTATTTGTATTTATTATATTATTGTTGGTTCTGTTGTTGTTGTTATTATTATTTATTGTTGATTTTGTTGTTGTTGTTTTTGTTCTTCAATTAATGTATCATACAACTCTACTAAACCTTCGTTTTGAGCTTTGGTCAACAAATCTAAAAAAGATAATTAAAATTATAAAAAAGAAGAGAAGAAAAAAAAAGATTATATGAATGAGCTTACTGTTTAACTAATCTTCACGTAATCTTTTCTTATCTAATTTTTCAACATCTTTGATATGAAAATAAAAAAATAAGACAAAGAATTAAATTGTTAAAATCTGATTGATGAGTGTGTGTTTTGATAGTGGAATGTCGACTGAGATTTATGCTGACTGAAGAGGAGGAGGGGCAAAAGATGATCGCGATTGATTACTTACCACTTAAATTAATATCGGTTCCTTGTGTGGCTTCTCCTAGACGTTCGGCAAACAGACTATTCGAAGAGTTGTCAGAGGTTTTCTGTTTCTTTTTGGTTGCGGTTGGATTTCTATATAATTGACTCAATTGATTTTGATTCGATGCTGCCGGCTGTTGTTGTTGTCTAGCGATATCTCTTTCAATTGTTTCCATCCATTCCTGTGGAATAACACTATTATTATTATTACTATTTACATTGTTATTAACTGGATTTGATGAGAATAGTGAATTATTATTGCTGTTGTTGTTTGATGTCGAAGTAGTTGTTGTGGTTGTAGTAGAAGTTGGTGTTGTTGTTGTTTTCATATTAATATCATCATTATTATTATTGTTATTGTTATTATTTGGTTGTTGTTGTCTTTGGGCAGCAGTAGTTTGATAGCTTGTTCTTAAATAATTAATAACTGGGTGAACGAAAATACCAAACATCGGACCAAACGATGCTAAACTCTCACTAAAGAATCTGTTGATCAAGAGGAATGCATCTTCAGTTCCACCTTGGAGACAATCTGCCATTGTATTCACTAAATCATAGACGAACGATCCAGTCCATTCGTTTGCTAGATTTCTAAGTGGATAAGACTCTGACGGTTCCACTAGTATAATTTCAAACAATCTCTTCATCTCTCTTCTAACCAATGCAAGTATTCTTCCAGTTAAATCCTTTCCAGGTAATATCTTTGATTGTAATTCCTTTTTGGATAGTAATATTTACACAGTCAGTAATATGATTAACCATTTCAGAAAACAAATAGAATTTACTTACGGGTGGTATATTTAAATATGGTACAAGACTTTCAACAAATTCATTGACGAAATTATCGATGTTCTCTTGCGAGGTGTTACCATTCAAAAAGTCATTGATGAAAACGTTACGGATGTTTCTGTGACCCTCGAGTGATTGTGCCGGTACCTCAGAGTAGAGGTATCTAAAGTTGAGTATCATCATTGGGAGATTATCGATTACCGTAGACATTGAATCACCTTGTTCACCAGAGTTGTTGCTGTTGTTTGTTTGTACACTTGAGAGTAACGTTTGAAGGAGTGATTCAAATTGATTCAATTGTGGAGCACCACCACCACCTGGTTGTTGTGAACCAGCTTGAGGTTGTTGAGGTTGTTGTGGTCTTGCAAGATTTTGGAAGATCTGCTGGAATGGATTGACACCGGCTTGTGGTTGTCCAGTTGCCTGTGGTTGTTGCTGTTGTCCAGCTGCTTGTGGTTGTCCCAATCCCGACATAATATTACCAATCATATTTTGAAGGAAATTTGGTAGATCACCTGGTTGCTGTCCTGCCTGTTGATTTGGTTGTTGTTGTTGCTGCTGTTGTTGCTGTTGCTGTTGCTGTTGTTGACCGGCTTGTGGAACTGGAATGTTGAGTCCTGGAATTTGTACAGAGATCTGAGAGACTTGTGCAGTTGGCTGTGGGATGGCGACAGTCGAAGAGTTTGGTGTGGTTCCAACTTGGTAGCCACTGAGATACTGTCCCATGCTGTTCGACGCCATCGAAGTACGCATGTAGGCAGAGTGGAGGTTGCGAATCTGAGTTTGCAGTTGTTGTCTTTCGTTCTGGTCGGTCAGGTTTCTCTCGTTTTCCAACGACTGAATGGCTTGATCCGACTGGTCGATCAGCCACTGGAGTGCAGCTCGCGACGCTCTGAGAGAATCGGCAACTCTCTCACTGGTTCCTCTGGTGTCTTCCTCCGCGGGTGCAGCCGGTGCCGCTGGTGGTTGTCCAGGTGCATTTGGGTGTGAAACTGAATTGAACAGATTTCTCATGTTCTGGTGAATCATCTGTGGATTGGTCGGCACGGATGTGCCTACCACCACAGAGTTGGGACCGGCCAATCCTCGCAGCACATTCTGGATAGTACTGTTTATGTCGTTGCTAGCCGACGGTATTCCATTGATAAATATTCTCTGTTGTGGCATACCACCAGCACCTGGTTGTTGTTGCTGTTGTTGCTGTGGTTGAGTTGGTTGCTGAGTAGCATCGTTTGTTGTAGAATCGGGTGGTCTCTCAACTAAATGTATTGTGTTACCATCTTCAATATCTAAAAATTTAAAATACAATAACAATAACAATAATAACAAACAACAACAAGTTAGTTAACAAACATCAAGTCTAACTACCACTACAAATTATAATAATAATAATAATAGAACGTACTATAAAACTTTATATCCTTATCGTCTTTCAATACTTTTCCTCTTGAGATCAATCTTACTTGTTGCAATGGGATATTGGAGAGTGCGTGTACACGTTGTCTTAGATCACCAACCGGGCAGTCGGCAGGTATATTTATATCATAAACAACACCCTCTATGTTTTTAACATGAATATTGATGTCTGTCATTCTCTCTCTCTCTTTTCTTTTCTTTTTTATCTATCTATCTATCTATCGTTTAATATTATAATTTTATTATACTAATAACTAACTTTAACTTTACCTAACTTCACTCAATAAAATAATAATATAGATATAATAAAAAAAGTAAATAACAAACAATTAAATAAATAAATAACTACTAACAATCTATCTATTAAAAAAAAAAAAAAAAAAAAAATGAACTGAACTGAATAAAAAAACTAAACAAACAACACAAACAAGTTATTTTCAAAATTTTATATCAATTTTTTTTTATAGATTGTTTATTAATAAAAATAGTATAGGTTAGATCATGAAAAGAATGTCATATTTTTACAAGAAACTTCAAACTTGTTTCTAAAAGATTAATACTTGTTTATTTATTTGGATATTGACACAATTGAAAACAAAAATCAAGAGAATTTTTATAAAATTTTAATGAAATTTCATTGATTTTCACAAGATAGATAAATTTTTATTTTACAGAGATTGATAAATTATCAATTATTCGTTCGTTTGTTATTTATTTAGCATATTGTTGATCAAGCAACTTCACAATATGTTATTGTACAATGATGATTGTAAATTAAAAACTAACCATTGGATGATTAAAAAGTTTTTAAATGATGATTATTGAACGAACGAACGACATGTATTGTATCTATATGTGGTTGTTTTTTATTTTTTATCTATTTATATTGATAAATATATTAAATAGATAAAAATTAATCACTTTTCGTGTGTGTTTTTTTTTTTTGTTGCAATTAATTTTCAAAAAAGTGAACAGTTTTATTTGGCTTGAACACAGTTTTTTGTTATTAATATTTTTTGTGTATGGTTAACCTGAATGAAAATCGGGGTATCTTTTTATTAATTTTTGTTTGCTTTGTGTTTTGTTATTTTGTGTTTTTTTTGGTTGTTTCTTTTCATCTTAACATCACATGTGTGTGACTTTTAATTAATTCATTCTAATTTACAGGATTTTTCATTTAATGAACGTACATTGGAGGAACAGTATACTTTTTAGTTTTTTAAAAGACTATTTCAGTTTCATATGCATTCGTTCAATGAAATAAACCGATCACACAAATATAAAACGAATATCATATTAACACCATCCATTTTTATAAAATATAATTTTTTTATTTAAACTTTTATTATATAAATAAATATTTATAAATACAAACTTGTCACAACATTAATTCAAATATAAAATATTAAAACTTTATAAATTTTTTTATATTTCTATATATTTATACTAAAGATATGGAAAGTCTTGAATTAAATAATAAAATATTAATTTCAAAATGGAATCCAAATGATTATTGCAAAGAGAATCAGGTTTTCAAAATTCCACAGGTGAAATTCAAAGGATATCGGGCTTCAGAGAATAAACATTCAATGTCATTGGTGGATGAAATCGAGAGTTGGAGAAGTAGATGGCAATTGGACAAGAAGATCGCTGAGAATGGTTGGAGATTTGCGGTGGTATCATTTACTGATAGCGACAAACAACAGTTGGAATGGTTGATAAAGATTTTTGAATGGCTGTTCATTACAGATGATCAATTGTTAGAACCACTCGGATATGTTTCGGAATGTAAAGGAATCAATGGAATGTCAATAGATGATTATATTGAAAATTCATTTACAAGAGATGGAAAACACGATCGATACTCCACAATACTCTGGGAGATACTCAACGAAATGTTGGAACATGGTTGCCTGGAGGATTCTCTCAATGAAATGTTAGAAGAATACAAGAAATGGATGCATTCTATTATCAAGAAAACAAAAACTCTCAACTCTGAAACGACATTCGAAGATTACTATCATTTTAGAGAATTGGATTCCAGTTCAATTCAAGCAATCTATACATATATGGCAACCACAAGAGTAGAGCCATTGTCAATGGAAATTGTCAACTCTAAACTAATGAAAGATTTCATCTATTCTTATGCTATATCCAACTATTTGGTAAACGATCTTTATTCATTCAACAAAGAGATACCAGATTCCAGTCTTTCAAACTATATAAAGATTCTTACTTTGAACAATAACAGTATTGAGAAATCTATCAATATAGTTATCAACATCATAAATGAACACTTTGAAAGAATGATGGTAATACACGATCAACTGTTATCGCAATATAAAAACAATAACAGTCTAAAAGAGTTTGTTCATGGTATTGTTAAAATTACAGTAGGAAATCTAAAGTTTTGTCAAACCACTCCAAGATATTCTGTTCATTTAGAAGAGTAAAAGAAAAAATAATTTATAATATTTAATAAATTAATAATTAATAATTTATTTAATTAATATTTAATTTTTTTAAATTATTCTACAATAACTTTTGCTTTTGGGCTTGGGGTTGGTTTCAACGATAACTCTGAAAATTTCTTCGAGGAATAGTGATTCATGAAACATGGCAGCGATGAATTTGAAGGGATTAGATTTGCCAATGACTAAGTAATGGTGATTGTCCAGTTTTCTAATTTGAATGATTGGCTTTGGATTGAAATTACAGTTGAGTTCCAAGTTGGTGAGAGTATTGGGAGCTATTTTACATCTTGTTATTTTATTGATGTTAGTAGACAGGTTTCTTATGGTTGGAGGCACAACAACATCAGAGTATCTCTCATATACTCCAATATGACATAAACCTATTGATTCCACAGAATCTGGAATCACACCTTCATTGTTGATATCTTTAATACATCGATTGTAGAGATTGAGTTTCTTTATGGAGTTGGGCAGTGCTCCACGCTCAATATTATAAGACATCACGCCACAGAACTCCAATAACTCAATTCCAAAAGGGAGTTCTCCACACTTGATACTCTGATTGTAGTCGTGGAGGTGAAGTTGAAGTGTTTGGACATTCTTTGGGAATGGTTGTTGTTCGCTACGATATCCAATTGTCAAATCTTGGAAGTTGTATTGATTATCTTCTGGGAGGATTTCTGTGAATCGAAATCTACATCGATCGATATTTAAATGAGTGATTGAAGTTGATAAAGCAGATCGCAGAGTATAGGTATAGTAGAAACAAAGATTCCTAACGGTAGCTGGGATCTCACTGAGATCAATTGTTTTCTCTCCATTTACGAAATCTTCTCCATCTTCATTTGTCTCACCACGTGAATCATAGACATTTAGATAGTTTAGATTTGGAAGATGGTGTGACTTGAGTTTGGGGATCCACTGTGATGGCGCCATAATCAGTGAAGTCAAAGAGCTTGGTAATACACCATCTTCAAGTTCACATTGATATCCACTGTAGGTTAGTGTTTCTAAATTTTGTGGTAGCACACCCACTCCAATTGGATGTCTTCCAGCATATTTCAATGATTTAACAGAGTTTGGAAGTACTCCATATCCCAATGGTTTGGAATAAGACTGTAGATTGATCTCTTCAACACCATCAGGGAATGCTCCACTTTCAATAGTTCCGTCGTACCCTTCAAGTTGGATTATCTTTAATCCTGCTGGGAGGCTGCCCACAGTCAATGGTTCGTTGAACTGAGGGTCGAAACTGATACTCTTCAAACTAGATGGTAGCTGATAGGCAACTGTATGTAATCCATTGAGTTCAGTTACATTCGATTGTTCTCTCAACAATCTAAAGAGATGACTACTCTCTTCTTCACTTATCGTATCAAACACATTTAAAGTTACAGAAGTTACACCTGAAGGGATATCAACATGTGATAATAATTCCGTTCCTATTTATATGAATTAGTAAAGTTTGAACACAGCATTAATTTTATAAATAGATTGATTTTTTAACACATACCACACTCTGAATGAAAATCAAAGTCATTTGGGTCGATTAGATCTAATAGTGCATTGCTTTCTAACTTTTCACCAATCAAGAGAGTAAAGATCTTCTTTGAGTTATTTGAGTTTTCAATGATTGATTGATAAGATCGTAGATACCAACGACTCTTGTCATACTTTATATCTGTCTTGAAGGAAAGATATCGATTTCTTTCATCGAACCATCTTTTACAAACCAAACTAAAACAGATTCTATCTATGTTTTCATCTAATTCATTGATTATTCTTGTTAAAAGTGTATGTGGTAAATTAACAAATTTATTTGTGCTATTGTTATTCATTAAGTAATTGTAATTGAATATATGATCAATAAAATATTGTTTATCTATTTCTTTGTTTTAGATAATTTTCTAAAACCAAAATAGAAAATATCAAGAAAAAAACCAAATAAGAAATGAAAACAAAACTTAAAGTGTGGCTTCTATTTAAGAACCAGAAGTACATAAATAATAATTATGATTTTCATTTTTTAAAATTTATTTCTATTTTTTTTTTTTTTTTAAGAAAAAACAAAGAACATTCCAACCATAATCAAATGATTGTTTTAATATAAATAGAAATATAATATATCGATTTGATCAATAATCAACAAGATCTCATTGCAGCAATCAAATCAATTCTCAATTTAACTGAAAAATCCTGAGATCTGTCCACATTCATTCTATTTATCACTTTTTTTTCGTGGGACTTCGAACCGGGTTCGAGGCTCGGTAATGACTAAGTTTCCCACACCATCCGAATATAAAAATTAATAAATCAATTTTTACTTCTTTAAAAAAAAAAAAGACTATGTTTCCCCGCTACCGGAACGTAAAACGTTCGTATTTCCAAGGTATCGGAACCCGTAGTTCCAATCAATATTTAAAATCGAAATAAACTCCATAAACAAGAACATTTTTTATAATCATCTTAACAACTCATAAAATAATATTTATTATAATATCATACTGCTATATGTCTTTACTACCACAACTTATTGCAGTTTCTGACAACCTAAAAAAAAAAAAAAAAAATCTATTACAACAATAATTCGGTCAGAGATCTCTTACAAAATTAATTATTAATAATCCATTTCAGCAACCTCACAATAAACAAATCTACAAAATAAACCTTCTCTCAAAATAATTATATTTCTTTACTTAAATAAATGTTTTAAATAACCTTATTGTTTATTGAATTTGACAACCACTTGATGATGATGATGAAGTAGTTACTTTTTGATTTGGTTGCTTCTTGACTCTATTTTCTCGACTAGTGAGCTATTAAACATTGATTGGTTGAAAATTGTTGAAATGCAATTGATTCTGTTGGTTGTTCCAAACATTAAATAGTATTTACTATCTAATTTCCTCACTTGACAATCAATATTGTTTGATACAGATTCGATACTGTTGGTAAAGTTGATATTGGTGAGTGTTGTTGGAATGTATTGAAAGTTGGTTGCATCAAACACTGTGTTGAGTGTTCGAATTGATTCCGGTATCTTTACACCTTTCTTCATGCTTAGTTTACAGTCATTAATATACGTTATACACTCCAAAGAACTAGAGTTCATACCACTTGGAATCTGTAGATCGTTTAGAGTCTGGTTATAAACAATGATCTCTTTAATGGAATCTGGAAGTGAACGTTCCGATTTGAATTCTATTTGCTTGCAATATCTGAACTCAAGAATTTCAATGCCATCTGGAAGATCACCCTCGTTGAAAACTCTTTTGTGGTAGTTTGATAAACAGAGTTTCTTGGCTTTAATATTCGAAGGAATTGGTTTGGTATCTCCGGGGGTGCTGAGTGCTAACTCTTTAAAGTGGTATTGTATATCCGATGGAAACAGTGTGTCGAATTGATAGTAACTTGGTCCGGTATTGAATGTTTCCACCGAATTTGGAAGTGCCCCACTCAGCCTGTATACTGTATATACATTGTCAAGAAAATCATACTCTGTATCGCCAATGATCAATGTTTCGATTCCTTCTGGAATAGAAATTAGATCAAACGGTTTGGCACTATATTCATCGTTGTTATCATAATCGTTTACATCCTCGTTGTTAACACTCACCAAATGTTTAAGATTTGGTAGGTTTCCAATGTGTGAAATCCATTGATATGGTATATCGATGATGGTGTGTAAGGTGGCTGGCAACATTCCATCGATGGATTCTCTATTGTATGCAGTGTACTCTAGGATCTCTAGATTTGGTGGGAACATATTGACATGTGGAGCATCATAGTAACTACCAACACTCAGATACTCTAGAGTCGATGGAAATACATTGGCAGAGTTTTCAATTGTCTCGCAAAAATTGGCACCTAAAGCAAGCTTCTCCAGACCTTCGAGAAATACACCTTTGTGGATGGGTTGGCTAAAATATTCGCCAAAAGTAATCTCTTTCAAAGTAGAAGGGAAACAACCAACAGACAAAGATTCATTGAATTGATTGTCGAATGTCAATTTGACAAGTCGTGGTGGAAGTTGGTGCACAACTGTATTACATCCATCGAGTTGTGTAACATTTGATTCTGCCAACAGTTTATACAAATGTTTGGAATCATCTTGATTCAACTTATTAAATATATTTAATAAAACATTGGTAACATTACTTGGTATCTTATCGATTGTGTTCAATAATTCTTAAGTTAAATAAATAAAGTTATGTTAGTTTTAGATGTTAAACATTGTTTGATTGAATTGATAAAGTTTAGTTGGTTACTTACTGTAATCTATAAAATAATCAAATTCAATGATTGGATTCTTTATTCTATCGTAATAATCACGTCTTTGATACTCATTTAGATCACCAATATAAAGAATACAGTTATTCTTGTTGTTTTTGCTGATTTCTAATGATTTGATATAGATTGATTTGTATGATTTCGTAAAGAATAATGAACTACAATCATCATCATTTAGATAACGTTGTTTAATATGATTATCAATGTTGAACAACAGATATCTGTCTCTTTCATCGAACCATCGCTTACAGACCAAACTAAAACAGATTTTGTCAATGTTGTCTCTTAGTTCATTGGTGATTCTCGTTAATAATGTATGTGGTAATTGTACAAATAAATTTGTATTATTATTTACTTCCATGATCTTTTAAATTAAAGTATACAAAGTAGTTGTTCATCTCTAAATAAATAAGCAACAAACAATAAAACTATTAAAAACTGATGTTACTTTTAAAAAATTTGTTTTGCAAATGATACATTAAAGAAAAAAGAATAAGAGAAGATTCAAACCATAACTTCATTTAATGATTAAAATAAACAGTAATATAATTAATCGATTTTATCAAAGATCAACAAGATCTCATTGCAGCAATCAAATCAATTCTCAATTTAACTGAAAAACCTCCTGAGATCTGTCCACATTCATTCTGTTTATCTTTTGTTTTCTCAAAAAAAAAAAAAAAAAACAGATTCACCATTTTTGTTTTTTCTTTGGTTATTTTTATTTTTAAAGAAATAACATAGAACATTCCAACCATAATCAAATTATAGTTTTAATTAAATAGCAATATAATATATCGGTTTGATCAAAGATCAACAAGATCTCATCACAGCAATCAAATCAATTCTCAATAATGAAAACCTCCTGAGATCTGTCCACATTCTATTTATCTCTTTTTTTCCTCAACAAATCTATTTTTCTTTCGTAGCTATCAAATTACACTTTAGTTATAAAAAAAAAGTAAAGCTATTTCTCAAGTTGATGAGAATACCGATATGCTGTATATATTCATTTATGATAGATTCGTTAGATAGTAGGTTATTTTCGTGGAGAGGAGTACCGCCAAAATAGGATTTACAATAGAATTTCCAGATTTGATGAAATACAAGTGAAGCGAGAGTAGTGATGTTGTCCTTTCTTCTTACCAACTGAACGCATCTTCCATTGTCCAATCGAACCGTTGACCACCTGAAAGCTGTAAGGAATCAAGAATGGTGTTAAGATTGAAACTGTGCATAACTGCTCAACAATTAAAGAATGTATGGAAATATGGGTCAGAGCAGTATGTGAAGCACAGTTCACATTCTTTGTTTTTGTTGTAAGCCAATCCAGGAAGCGAACGAGAGAAGAACCGGAAGACAGTGTTTCGTCCACGCTGGTGTTTGATAAGCGATACATAGGTGAAGATACTGTCGTAAGATGTGTAGTCGAATTTGGTTGGTTGTAGAGATAGTTGGAACTGGCCATCAGTTAGCGGTCGAATGCCATGTTTGATGATCAATAGGTGGTCGTAGATTTGCTTTCAGAGTGGGTGGTAGACCATCAATCAGAATAGGTTTAGCAGATCTGATCTTGTTTTCCAGATGTTTGAGATGAACTGCCAATTGGTGCCACAGAGTGTAGCATAGATTGAGATATGGTGAGGTGATAGATCTGCATTGGATTTGAGATAGCCAACTGGTATAATAACAAACTTTGGAAGAATCAGAGGATGAAAGTAGGAATCTGTTGAATATCCACACGTGTTGCGCATCATTACGAAGTTGGATTCCCATAGTGAGATGCCACCACGTAACCATGGTTGTACAGCTCTGGTCTTTTTCATTGTGTTTTTATACTTCTTGGAGTCGATTTTATTTTCTTTCGACTTCATGCATTAAACTCTTCAAAATGTACTTTGTTTGACTATTGATATTTTATGATCATTTATTATTTACATAACTGTTTAGAGACTAGACCAACAGAAATGTCATATCAGATGAAAAACGAATTATCATAATGAATAACAACAACAACCTTAATTTAAACAATCAACGAATATATTCGTTTTGTGTACACATATATTTCTTGCATTTATACGGATGGTAAGTTTATATACCTCTCGATCGATAACATAGCAACTACGCGACAAACTAGTACTAACTAACTAATTTTATTTTTATGTTCATCAACTATTATCGAGTAATCTAATTTTACTCGCTAGTATGCATGCGATCGATGAGACTTCTTATTAAAGAGGTCTATACGGACTTGACTCTGGTTATATTTATATATATATTTATATGTATTGAATACAAATACTTACAGTTGATATATATAATATAATTCTTATTTTAGAACAAGAGTATAGAGCTATCCTAATCGGAACAATTGGAAGTTAAACCAAATGATTTCATTTTAAAGTAGTAAATAATAAAAGATCATAAAACTTCAATAATCAAATAGAAATATAGATTTACAAATATTTCTAATGTGTAGATAAAGATATCAAAGCTAGTTTTTATTGTTTAGATTGTTGGTCATCGTCAGATTTACCATTTTGACCAAACATGATCTTTCTTTCTTTATCAGTGACTGGTTTATGTGGATTCTTCTTTAGATCTTCTTCAGCTTCAGTGACAACTTTGTTTACTGATGGAATTGATCTCACTCTGTCAATATATTTAAAGACATTTGGGAATTCTTGACTTGTAAACTCTGGATGCATATAAATATATCTTATCCATGCATAAATTGCCTAATAATAAATAATAATAATTTTAATTAATATAAAATAATAAAAAAAAAAAATTAATTGTTCATTTGTAAACTAATAAACATACCATATCTGCAATTGTATATTGATCAGCAACAATAAAAGTATGATCTGCCAATTGCTTCTCCAAAACATGGAATAATCTTGAAAGTTCATTTGAATATCTTTTAAGAGCATATTCAATCTTTTCTGGTGCACTGTAATCATTTATTATAAATTTAGAAATTAATAAAAATTAAAAAAAAAAATATATTATTCATTAAAACAAACAACATACTATTTATCGAAATGATTGAGATTTCCTTGTGTTGGACCCAAACCAGACATTTGCCAGTATAACCATCCTAAAACTTGAGTGTTTCCTTTGATATCGGTTGTTGCATTTGGTAAGTATTTACCATTACCGTAATGAGTTGCCAAGTATTGAAGAATGTTTCCAGATTCAAAAACAGCGAGACCACCTTCCACATTTCGATCAAAAATAGCTGGTACTTTTGAATTTGGATTGATCTTTTTGAATTCTTCAGTGAACTGATCACCATCTCTGAGACTTAAAACATTGAAATTATAAGGAATGTTCAATTCTTCCAACGCAAAAAGAACTTTGTGAACATTTGGTGTGCTTGCACCATATAATTCGATTTTAGAAATTGTAATTTGAATTAATGAGTTCTGTCCACATTCATTCTATTTATCTCTTTTTTTTCGCAAAAAAAAAAAAAAAATGATCACCATTTTTGTTTTTTTTTGTTATTTTTTTTGCTCCATCCCAATATAAAACTTAATAAATCAATTTTTACTTCTTAAAAAAAAAAGGTTATTATTTTATTTTAAAGAAAAAACAAAGAACATTCCAACCATAATCAAATGATTGTTTTAAATTAAACAGCAATATAATTTATCGATTTGATCAAAGCTCAACAAGATCTCATCACAGCAATCAAATCAATTCTCAATTTAACTGAAAAACCCCCTGAGATCTGTCCACATTCTATAATTTTATCTTTTGTCTAAAAAGAAAAAAATGGACAACGAAAAAAAACTTAATGGTAAATCCATCCTTTTAATACAACGTTTAATAAAACATATATACCACTTTAGTTATAATAAAAAAAAAAAAAAAAAATTTTGAAATTATGTGTAGAAGTACGTAGTTAGTGAAATGGTTCATTCGTGGGCCTTCTATGAACCCGAGTCGAAGACACGAAACCACTGACTTTCGAGTATAAAATGCTATCAACTGCAACGCCTCTTTAGTAACGACTTCTCATTCAAAAACTCTTTCAATAGAGTCATTGATGCAGTAATATTAAGTTGATCAGACAAATAAATATGCATTTGTATTTCTCAAATAAATATGTAATAAAAAGAAAGAAATTGTAATTTTTAAATAAATTATTCTATTTGAATAATTAAAAAAAGATATATATTTATATTTATATTTTGATATATTTTCTTAAATAATATTAAATCTATTCTTCTTTTTGAATGAATCCACAGAAAAGTTGATATTCTTTAAAAGTTTCTTATCGAGTGGAACATTGTATTCGTGGTGGTACAGTCTTATGAGATCGAAATGTTTGTAGTTGGTTGCGTGTTTCATGAGTGTGGCCAGTACCTTCTTTGAGACTTTGAAGCTTGCCAGTAGGTATCTAATGATATTGGCGTTACCATTGAATGTTGCCGACGTGATGAAATACTCGACTTGCTGTGCATCCATATCGATCTTGTGTTGATGAATTAGATACTCCAAGAGATCTTTCTGTCCCCAGATACATGCCTCCACAGCAACTCTGGTTGCCAGTGTCTTTATTCCAAGCTTGGCTGTCTGACCTTCTTTGGTTTGTTGGTGCAGCTTCGCCATCGATTCAAACAGATCAGAGTCACCGGTCTTGGCAACCATTTGCCATAGCTGTCTGCTAATACTAATGTCTTCGATACGATGTTCAATCAGATATTTCAATACATCGGAGTCACCATTGACGAATGCCTTTACAAATATATCCTGTAGAGTATCTGCATCCAAGATATTGGCAGATGACAAAATCTTGATAATCGGATCCAATTGTCCATCAATGTTATTGTTTGTTTGTGGTGTCGAACATGTTGTGGTTGTTGTAGTGGTAGTAGTGGTTGTTGTTGATATGGTTATTGTAGATTTATATGCTTCGTCAATATAGTTATTAATATCATCTAAATTGGAATTGGGAAGTTCAGAACTATTGTTTTCCTTCTCAACATTGGTTGAGTCTGTAGATCGAGTTGAAATTGGTGATGGTGTGGACGTTAGTGTTGGAGTTGGGATTGGCGATGGTGTTGTTGAAGTGGATATGGTACTATCGTGCTCTAGACTAGCTTGTAATATTTCAATGGGGTAGTAACAAGTGTACTCCAGTGGTTTACAAAATTGGTAGGAAGTGTCGAGTGGATAGGTTTTGATATTATCACGAATATATTTGATGATATCGTTGTGTTTGGCAAAGTAGGCGAGTTGGACTGCGCGATATGTGAGTGTTTCCAGTTGGTTTTCCAGGAGATATTGTACAATGGAGAGACTGCCAAGTGAGCACGCCAACTGGAGGAAAAGCGATGGATGTGGATTCTTGAAACTTCGGATTGTGAATTTGAAGAGCTCGACATCGTTGAAATGCACAGCCGTCCTCAGAACAGAGTTGACCATTGGCCCGATGACTTTCTCACGATTAAGATGTATCCAACGGATATATAAACTGTACAATGCTGGATCGGTCATCTTTGGTGAGATCGGGGGAATGGAAACCTTGGGATTGCCACGCTCCACATAGGTTATAATTTTGAAATGTTCACGATTGATCGGTAAACTCGAGTAGTCCAACAAATCCGACAAATAAAGATAGTATTCTTTGAGTGAACATGATATAAATACCAGTTGGAAAGTCTCGTAGACCGCCTTGAAAAATTCGAAATCGCCCATACAGCAGAGCAGTCGGAACAGATCCTCCATCGGTCCCGAGAGGAAAAATCCAACTTTTTCAAAGAGATACTGGGCAATTGGCAAATGACGATAGGTAAGAGCGAGTTTAAAGAGTGTTGGAATCGAGTTGGATGCCAGTGGAAGTTTATCAGCCTTTCGTTTGGCCAGCAGGAATTTCATGGTTTCCAAGTGGCCATAGCGTACCGATATCTCCAATGCATTCGGTGGTAATACACAGTTTTGTTCCTCTACCAAATAACGTAGTATTTCTATATTTCCATATTCGAGAGCTGCGTCCACCATCACTGGAAAACTACCACTGAAATAATCGGATTTGGTGGTGAGAAGACGATGAAAAACATTGGCATCCAAGCATTTTCCAGCCAAAAGTGTAATTGAACGCTGATTAAACACCAATGTGCGATTTCCGTTTAGTTTGTCGACCAGAAGTCCAATGTATCCGTTGGTAATGATCCATTCCGCCGAGATGATCTGGTGGTATTTGAGATATTGAAGTGGACGATACGATATGGAATCGGATAGGATCGATCGCTTCGTCAGTAGATGTTTTGTAATCTCGTTGACCAACGATTGGTTGGTGAAAACCTTGAAGAATGCAACGGTCAACACTCTGCATTGGTAGGTATCGGCTGTACGCTGGTCGTCTGGCGACTGATTGCCAAGGTAGAAACTATCGGGTGTCTGTTCATTGTGGGTGGAGGTTGTCGAAGGTGACTGTTTTATACAGGACATCATACTTTCAGTACTATTATTTACACTGCTGCTCTTACTGCTACTCTTGCTGCTACTGGCGCTGTTACTGCTGCTACTACTGCTGCTACTACTTCCACCAATAGCTCCACCTCCACTACCCTTTATAGAATTCTGAAGTTGTGTAAACAACGTACTTGTTAATAAATTATATCTAATTGAATCTCTTTTTCCCATTTTCAAAAAAAATAAATAATAAATAATATTTTAAATTTCCGGAAAATTAAAATATTTAATAGATTGACGAACAGACGAAATAAAAATTAATTAAATTAAAATAGAATGGAAAATTGATTATTATAATAATGGAAATAAATAAATTGTAATAAATAAATCTAAATTTTTAATTTTAATTTCTTTGTATTCTAGAAAGTTGAGTTGTTCTGTATTTTAAAATTACAAATTTAAATAGTGGAAATGATTATTATAATATTTAGGTAATGACCAATTGAATTGATTGTGTTGTAATGCTTTGTTTTTGATTGAATTTTGTTTATGTTTTAATATGATGGTGATGAGATGGTGAGTTAAACCGGTAGTGATTGATTTTATTGCTTGATAAAATATTTGTTTAGAAATAAATAAAAAAATACTATTATGGTTAATATTATAAAAATGTGTAGACAATTAACTACAGCGACAACAACTACTACTTCTACAATAGCATCGAGACGGCAACAACAACAATAACAACAATAACATGTGATTTGCGATCGTTGTTATTGTTGTTTTTGAATTAATAATATAAATTTCTGAATACAAAAATATGAATTGGTAAAGAGTGCTCGATTGAGAGTTGAGTGATAGAAGTTAATTGATTTCTAAAATATAAGGTGTAACCAATAAGTTATATAATGAAATATTGTTATTTTTTTGTTGTTGTAATTAATTAATCAACTGATTTGATTCACTCAAATCGATCAATCAAACAACTTATATGTATATTGTTGTTTGTTGATCAAATTAGTTTTAGTGGGTACCTATTTTTGTATGTATGATTTATGCCATTTCTGATTCATAAATAAACAAAGAGAGATGACTGATTCTTTATTGTTTTTTATTTTATTTTATTTTCATTTCTGGTGTGCTGTTGTGATGTGTTTGTGTTTAATGTGTTAATTTATATGTTTGAGGGTGGTGTTAGATTTGAAGTTGTGTTGGGGTTGCTTGTTTGGGGTTGAAATTTCAATCGACAAATTAAATAGACTCCACTACCATATGGTGGCTGTATATAGAATGGTAGCGTTGGCAATATGGTTGAACAAAAACATGTTTTGACCCAAACACACCAACAGCACTAAGATGATTCAATAGTAAAAGTTAAGATTTGTGGTTGAATTATTCCGTGGTATATAATTAAATGCATCACATCATAATATTTTTATATATATTAAATTCTACCTCCACGTTATTATATCTATATATATGTTGGTAATCACTGCTAGCTTTTCTATCTTCTCTCTCTTGGTGTTTTTTGTTTTTAATTATTGGGTCTTTTGTCAAAGACGAATTTTATTTAGAAGGTAAGAAGATGTGAGAGTGGGGAGTAGTAGGAGTGGAATGATGATGGGAGATATGAGGGAATATGGGGGTGTTGTAATCCAATGGAATTTATAAATGTATTTGATATTAATACTCTTTAATTAATTTATCTTATTTTCTTATTATTTATATTACTATTATTATTATTATTATTATGATTCTGATGTAAACATAGAGTAACAAACAAAGTAATCCAAAAATAAACAATTCTTTTTTGTTTTGTTTGAAATTAATATTTTAATTTACAGTGCACCATGTTTGATTCTATTATCATTGGTTTTGAAATTAAAACATACAATTGGTAGAAAACATAAAAATTATATTTTTTGATGTCAAATAATTGAAGATTGGCTTGTTTGATTTTTAAGATGAACGATTATACTCTATTGCTTTAGAGAGTAGATGTGCTGTGCTGTGCTGTGAAGTAAAGAGGTTTGTTTGTTGGTTTTGGTGGTTGAATAGATTTGTTTCAACAAAAATGGGGGTGATATATCAACAAATGCCAAAAAGTTGTTTACTTGACTGTTTGATTGTTTGATTGATTGCTCGTGCTAATTAGAGATTTGAAATGTCTATGCAATCAATAAAAAGACTCACTTCATAACAAATATATTGTATGTACTGATGGTTTGTTTTTTTTTGATCAAACAATTTAGGCAAAAAAATTAAAAAAACCAATCAAAAAAAAAAAAAAACTTTTTCTTATTTTTATTTTTGCAATGATATGGTGTTTTTTGTTGGAACGTAAGTTTATTGGAGCCAAAAATATGGTGTTAAAAGTAAAGTGAGTTGTTTATAACAATAAAGATGACATACTTTTACTTTAATTTTTGATTGAAATGTGAAATAAAACTTTATTTGTTAACTTTATATGCTATATGATTATTATATTATATCTGATATATATTATTTTGTTCTTTTCTTGTTTCTTTTATTTTAATTTATAAATTTACAATTAATTATAGTATTATATATTACAACAACTTTTTATTTATATATATATGTTTATTATTATTATGTTGAAAGAGTTGGTTTATATCAACTAATATCTATGATTTATATTTTACAATGATGATAATAAATAAAGGCAACACACCTGACATTAAAACCTCCAATGTTGTATATTTTTTCTGATAGTTTATTTATTCGTTGAAAAAGTTGGCTCCTCATTTTTTTAAATTTTATAGGGGTAAAAAGAGGTTTGGTCTCTCAATACCATCAAATTTGATACAATTTTTTAAACCACTGATTCGTGCAAGCGGGTGTTTTTTTTCTGCCCTTTTTAATGCCTGTCGCAAAATCTCGAAAATTTTTGGATATCGATCATCTCTCTGGATCTGATCAAGTTTTGAAGATCATCAAATCTATTTAAAAATAAGTTGATAAAAATAGTTAAAAAAACTGATATTTCTTTTTATTATTATTATTTTAAATATTCAAAATTCAATAAATAAACAAATAAATATTTATTTTATTTAATATATAAGATCTATCGTCAGTTACAAATTTCCACAAGTCGTGTTAGATTCTACAATCGCACTACGCATTTTTTTAATTTATATTTTGTTTGTGAAACCACAATAAGATATATATATACAAAATTACATATATTTTTATTCATTTTATACACATGTACCACAATTTCAAAAATTATTGATCATTTATGATTTTATTAAAATTTAATCACAGATTTAATAACAAACAAATAGATATTGTCTTATCTTTTCTTTAAATCAAATATTTATTTAATTGATGTGTTTCGAAAACCTCTATCTCTTTATTTCCCAACCACTTACTTTTTCACCACCTGAACCAAAAGACAAATAGATTGGAATGTCCACATCCTACATAAATTAAATATCTAACAACAATCAATGTACATGAAATTTAAATATAATAGTGGTAGACTAACACTTGATTATCTGTTTACTTTTTTCAGTCATACAAGGTGGTTTATTTTCGTTTAATAATTCAAACTTGATAACATTGGATTTTCGTTCTTTATTATTATTTTTTTGTTTATACAAATAGTGATTGATTAGTTTGATATCAACATGTTAAGATAACTCATACTAAAAGCAAAAAAAAAAAAACAGATTAATGTCAAACACTTACACTTGGTGTAAGTATCTAACAATTATTGTCCACTTGGTTAAACAATACTGATCACTATCTCAACGTGTAGATTTCGAGTATTTCCAGTTTATAGAATATGATAATATTCAAATTGCTCAATTTACAAAAAAAAAAAACAATCTGACCCATTTATATTTTACTTAACTTAATGGAGATATAAATAATAACATACTTACTCCTTTGATCAAACCATGATTATAAATATAGCTCAATTCAACAATCTTTATTTCAATTTATTATAATCAAATCAAATATAAACATCAACATCAATAATCTTTTACTTTTTTATTTATAGAAAATATCTTATTTTTAAAATAACTATCTATATAAATAAAGAAAATAGAATTTAGAGATGTTTATTCTAAAATATTTACTATTAACTATTGTTTTGGTTAATGTTGCGCTTGGTGCAACAGAGACTGCATTGAACTATCAGATCAGACCGAGTGGTATTACATGTGCACCTACCGCTGAGAATTGTAAACGTTTTATTGCCACCCAAGTCAATCAGGGAGCCAAGAAGGTAGCCGATGTCTACCTGACATCGATCAACTTTGTCAGTCAAATCAACAAGACAGCGGCACTCTCTGCACCGCCAGGTGAGTTGTTGGTCGAGGGTTATCTTCGTTCGACAGCGGTGCGTGGTGAAACGTTCTATCGTATCGATACCACACAAGTCTATCGTTTGTTACCGCTGATTGAGAACAACAAGCCAAGCGGTACATTCTTCCATTTCGGACTGTCACACGTCGAGTGCTCCACCGGTGGAAACTGTCCATACTTGAGAGTGCACACTCTCAACACCAACAACCTGACCAACGCCGAGGGTTTCATCAATCCCTACGAGAAATACCGTGGATTCCCAAGAGGTTGGTTAGAGGAGCGTTTCCTCGATGGTAGTTCAGCCGCCGTCTCACAGGGTTCGTTTGTCAATAACAAGATAGAGATTACCGGTGTCTATGTCAACCTCTTTGATCCCAATCCAGTTTGTCCACCATTTACCAATCCACAATGTTCAAACGCTCAAGTAGCAACCTATATGCGTAGCAATCGTCGTTGTCTCTCTGCCACTGGATGCGTCACACCTAAACCCACCGTTTGTCCAAAGATCGTTTACACCTGTGAACCAGGCTACAGATTGGTATCGTTTGCAATGGCACCAAATGGATGTTACAGCTGGTATTGTGATGCTGATTTCTTACCAAAAACATATTAAATATAGTTAAATAAACGTTTAATCTTTTGAAACAAAAAAAAGTAAAAAGTAATAACAATTAAATTTAAAACGCTTTTATCAATTTATTTTTGTTGTTTCTTTGCCGATCTCTTTTGACTGGAACTTGGTACAGCTGTTACAACTTCTTCAGCTTTTCTCTTTGGAGTTGCTGCAACTTGTTTGACTGGTGTTTTACTATTATTATTATTGTTGTTGTTGGTTGTATTTTTCTTTGATGGTGTTTGAGTTACTACTTTAGTTGGTTTCTTTACTTCTTCTTCACTTTCGCTTTCGCTTTCACTTTCACTTTCATTTTCATCCTCACTTCCACTTTCACTTCCACTTTCTTCTTCTTCTTCTTCTTTTTCTTTTTCTTGTTGTTTTCCATTTGATTTATGATCATTGTTTGTTGTATTATCGACTTTTTCATCAGTTACCAATGTTTGATCTTGTTGTTGTTTTTGTACTTCTGTTGTTGTAGTTGTAGATGAGAATAATGAAGATGATTGTATCTCTTGATTACTGTAAAGTATTTCGAGTGCACCGGCAATCTTGAGGAATTCACTTTGTCTCTTTAGTTCTTCTCTTACCAGCACTTTAAGTTTATTGAGCTGCTTGGAGGTCTCGTTATCCTCGTACAATGCATACTTGTAGATATCCAATACTCTATCGACCAACATAACACCGCAAGACACATACTTTGGTGATTGCATCATCTTTCCAATCATATCGAGCAATAACTTTAGACTAGCAGGATCTCTTCCTTCCAAGACCTTCTCCAATGCTTCACGTCTCGACAACTCACAAACAACCTTAAAAAATAAATCTGCTCTTCTTTCAATCTATAAGATAATTGTAAAATATATATACATTATTATTATTATTAATATTATGTTAACAAACTTATTATTATTATTATTATTTATATTATTATTTAATAGTTACATTTAAAACAGAATCGAATGCAGCTTTATGTTCGAATTTCTTTAATAGTTTGTCAACGTTGGAACACTTGAATTTACTGGCATCTACGATGGTCATTGGTCTGGTTGGAACATTCGACTTGCCGGTTGTCTTTGCTTTGTTTGTTTCGACAATCGCTCTCTTAATGGCAACTTGAATATTACCATTGGTAGTACCAACATAGAGTTTCTTATGATTCATTGTCATCGAGAGAATCGGATCATTGAACTTGATCGTACTAACAACACGATACGTTGAAGTACTATATACTTTTACCATATGATCTAAACCAGCTGATAAGAATCTAATAAAATTATTAATATATATATAAATCAATTGTTTTGTAATTATTAACTTACTTTGTTCCTTTTGAATTTAAATATAATGATGTAATGGTTTTTACATGATTTCTAGATTGATAGACTTGCTTACCGGAGAGTAAGTCCCAGATACAGATGTGAGTACCACCGGCTGACACTGCCATTGCACCAGACTTTAGAACGATGATGTCCTCTACGGGTGCACCGTGGTCGAGTGTATGAATGCAGGTGTCGGTGTTGAGATCCCAGAGTTTTACCTTGTGGTCGTAACCACCACTCAACCAAAGATTCTCTTTGGTCGGGTGACCACACAATGCACGCACCTGATCGTTGTGCTTACCTATAACTCTACTCTCCTCGGCATCTCCAATATCCCATACTCTAACACTATGATCGTTAGATCCAGATATCAATTTACTCTTTCCAATGAATTTAACAACATGTACAGAACTTTATTATTTTTGTTTGTTTGTTTGTTTGTTTGTTTGTTTGTTATAGAAATAATAATAGTGTTAGTGTTTATACTTTTATGAAAAGATATGATAAAAATCAATAATACTACGACTACTTACCCAGTATGTCCTTTAAATGTTCTAAGATTACTCTTTGCTTCCAAGTTGTATAGTTTGATGTTGGATTGCTCGTCAGAGATAGCGGCAAGTCTGGCGTCAGAACGGAAGTTTGCACAGAGTGCATTGTGTTCTTTGTAGTCGGCGATATTCTTCTCGGCGGTGGTCGATAGCAGTGACTTTGGATCGAGATTGAACAACATCACTCTCTTGTTGAATGTAACCATCATTCTGTTGTCGCTATCGAATGTAATACCATTGACAGAGCCATAGCCATATGGCTTGGTCTTGGTCTGTTTCATATCCCACTTGTTCGCTGCATTGCCATTTGGATTGACAAACGGTAGTGGTACATCCGGTAGTTGATGTAAGAAAGTATAGTCATCTGCCATTTTTTTAATCAATCTATCTATATATAAATATATATTACTAACTACTTGATAATAAAATACTATATAAATATTAAAATGGGTAATAATGAATTTATAAAAAAATTACTTAACAATCAAATTTTCGGTCGTTTTTTTTTTTTTTTTGCCAAAACAAAAATTTTTAATTATTTATTTATTTTTTATTTTTTTTGATCATTCTCAATACATTATGTAAATGATTAATTATTTGTTCTATAATTAGTTTATAAATTTAATATTAATAATAAAAAATGGAAGAATTTGTAAACATATTTATAAAATAGAATCATATTATAATGATGTTAAAAAAAATTTTATTTTTAATCTTTTTATATAAATCTAAAAAAAAAAAAAAGATATAATATATAAAATGATTATTACTGAAAAAGACAATTAATATTAAGATCATTGATGAACTTCTATTATATGTATAAAAAATTCTTACACACATTTCATCACCACACATAAATATTTTATTTTTTCATTTTTTATTACTATAGTAATAATTACTTGTTTTGTTTTTATTTCTTGACTTATTATTAAATACATAGAATAATTATGTCACATAACTATTTAAAACTATTAAAATATCCTATTATACAAGCGCCTTTATCGGGTGGTACGACCAATCCCAAGATGGTGTTGGAAGTACTCAAACAAGGATGTATGGGATCACACGGTTGTGCTTATTTAAGTTTGGATCAATTGCGTTCGGATTGTAAGGAGATCGTCAATGGTGTAAAACAACAACAACAACAACAGCAGCATTTGAATGTACCTTTCAATATAAATTTGTTTGCACCGTCACTACCATCCGATTGTCTTCCGGGTACTGAACATTGGCGAACAGTTGTCGAACCAAAAGTCAAGAGGATGAACGACTATCTAAATAGCCATTTTCGAACAGAGTTGGGACTGCCTCACCGTACCATAGAGAGTTTCGTCATACCCGATGACAACCAAAGATTTCAACAGCAATGTCAAGTGGTTCTCGAGGAACTCGGTCAATTCTCTGGACCGAAAGTACTGAGTTTCACATTTGGAATTCCTGATACCGCTGTGTTACAACGTTTTAGAGATGCTGGTTTCATGTTGGTAGGTTCCGCTACGAATCTGGAGGAGACGTCGTTGTTGGAGCGCACCAACGCGGTCGACGCCGTCGTACTCCAGGGAATGGAGGCCGGTGGTCATAGAGGTGCGTTTATCGACAGCGACAAAGCAGAACATTCCAATTTGATAAAGACTTTGGATCTGCTACGTCAGTGTAGAGATGCTGGCATTAAACTGCCATTGATCGGTGCTGGCGGTATACACAACCGGGAGGATATCGATACGATGTTGAGAAGCGGTGCATCAGCAGTTCAAATTGGAACTGCATTTATCAATTCACTGGAATCTACTTCCAATGTCAATTATAAAAAAGTTATTGAGATGTCGAATGGTGGAATATCAAAAGGTGATGGCGATGGTGATTCAATTGTTTATACGAAAGCATTCACTGGCAGATATGCAAGAGGTATAAAGAATAGATTTGTAGAGAAAATCGAATCAGAATTCAAGCCAGATGAAATACCACCATTTCCAATTCAACATATTTTAACAACTGATATTAGGTAAGATTGGATTGTCAGAGTTTAACTAAATGAGAGAATCGGTTCTCATATGATTAATCAATCTAACAACAATTTCTTTTTTTTTTTTTTTAAATAATGTAGAAAGAAAGCTCTGGAAGATGGTAGAACAGAATATACACATTTATGGATTGGTGAAAGTGCATCATTATCCAAGAATAGAAAGTCTATCAAATCAATAATCGAGTCTTTAATTTAATATACTTTTTTTTTTGAATAATAAATTGTAATATAGTTTTAAGTTAATTTATTTATTTATACTTTTCTAATTAATATCCAATACTATTAATAGAAATTTCTGTTTATTAAAAATGTCACATGACCATTATTATTTTGTCGTTTTTTATCGAAGTCCTTTATTTTGTTTTTAATTTTAAAAAAAGAAATCTTAATTTTTTTGATCAATGTTAGATTTTTTGATGTCTTATATAAATAATAATAATAATAGTAATAATAATAATAATAATGAGCAACATATATTAGTAAACTTCCCAAATGTATTGTTAAGTGAAATCATTAGTCATCTCAAGAATATCGATAGAATATGCTGGAGTTTAGTTTGTAAAAGATGGTACAATCAAAAAGATAGGTATCTACTGTTCGATACCGACAGAATCACATCGAAGGCACATCTCGATCATTTCAAACCACAGTACCGAATGGTAATGTCGAGATCCTTAGAGTTAAAGAATGATTGTAGTGTTTTATTCTCTATGAAAACAAGTCAAACTTCTGGTTTCGATTATTATATTGATTATGGTAACTATTTCTTATATAAGACTTTTATGATTGATATCAATGGTTGGATGTTAACTTATTCTTTATTATTATTATTATTATCAATAGGTACATTAAAAGATATTGATAAAATCTATACAAATGTTACATCGATTAGATTCTATAGTAAGTCAACCTTTTTTAGCATCAATAACAATAACAAGGAAGTTTATCAATCACTAAACTATCGTGTGAACTTCCCGAATGTAAAGAGAATCGATTTCTATCTGAAACCAAAGGAACCATTGCAACTAGATTACTTTCCAGAGCAATTGGAAACACTTACTTTTAGAGAGAATTTCACTATGCCCTTAGAACCTTATTCACTTCCGGCAACGCTGAAACACCTGGAAATAGAGTCGTACGACTTGCGTGAACTAAAGGTTGGATCGCTCCCACCAAATCTTACAGTGCTAAAGTTCTCTGGATACAGTCAGGCCATCGAAGCAGGTGTACTTCCACAATCACTCGTCAGACTGGAGAGTGCACCGATCACCTGGATTCCAGCGATAAAAACACTGGCTAGCCTGAAAACTCTTTCTTTCTACACCAGGTTTGGAAGTGAGACCGTTGACAATCTAATCAAGCTAGACGAGCTTCCTCCATCACTGACCGACCTCTCATTTAAATCAACATACCAACTACGCTCGGCAATTCCAACGGCTATCCGATATCTCGATATCGGAAGTTGTCAATACGATATGCAAGAGTTGTTTCCATCTGGATCGCGACCGAACTACCGATTCGAAATGTTAGCCATTGCAAAGCAAATACAATCCTATAGCTCACTTCAAGATATAAAAGTTAGAGCACTCAAGCTATATAATATGGATCGCGCGAGATCGATTGAATTGATACAGTTTCCAGTGGGTCTCGAGTGTTTGGATTTCAGTTATTTCAGCGCCGGACCAATCACAGCCGGAGCCATACCAAAGTCAATAAGAAAACTCACACTTGCCTCAGTAGGAAAGAGGATTCCTCCCTTACCAGACTCTGTAGAGTCACTCTGTTTAAGAGATAGCTTCGATGGAGATTGCATCGAACAGTTGTTCAACACCATCAGAGAGCGACAAAGACCACTTCAAAAATTGAAAATTACAAAACGAGAAATCGACATAAAATATACAATTCCGGCGACACTTCAGAACCTGATCATCAAAACTCGAGGACTACGTTGTCACATCCGAAAGTTGGATAGTATCCACTTCCTAATGTTTTACACTTTGGAGGACCGTGTGAAATTCGCCATTTTCGAATGGAGTTCGACCTTGGAAACTGTCCACAAATCCATGATCTATAAATTCACTTAAATAACAATAATAATAATAGCTATTGATAATTATAGTAATATTTATTTTAAAAAAAATCCTATTATATATTGTTGTTGTTGTTGCTATTATTATTAATATTGTTTGGTTGGTTGGTTTAATTTAATCTAATTGTAATTTATATTATATATTTTTAAATCAATTTGTTAAAAAATAAAAATGATTTAAAACAACTCTTCTTTTTTTCTTGCTTTTTTTTTTTTTGGATTAATATAGTTTAATTTAATTGTTGGAAGCTTCAAGGTGCGCTTGATCCAGTATTCTTTTGATTCACTAGTTTGATAGCTATCCATTTGGTTCCCTTGATGACAGGATCACCCTGATGCAATGATAATGGATCGACCTCACCATTCGGTTTGCAATTATAAAATAGGACGGCATCACCCTTGATAGGTTTTACTTTTACGTTTACCTCTGGGAATGATGTTTCACCACCCTCCTCTACATCTGCAAGATACATAAGTATAGTACATATACGCTGACCATACAGTCCAATCTTCATCGCTCCATTCGTAGTGAGTGGATTGAAATAATCGAAATGAGCTGATGTTTCTTCACCTGGATTATATCTATTGATTTTATTATCATCAATCATAACAATGAAAATTAATATTTCACACTAGAATATCTCCAATTGGATCATATAATTTCATACCTAATAACTTGCATAACTTCACTACTTTCTGTTAAATTTACAAATGTTTTCATTCTATTAAATATATTTTGAGTGACTGGATGATCTTCTTCACCTTCCTTCATAAACAATCCCCATCCACTTCTATGTACACCTAAATTTAAGTAAAAATGGATATGAAAATTTAAATGAAAATGGGATGTTAGGTAATCCGATCACATTAAATTTAATTTGGATAGTGATAGATATATAGATACCTGATGAAATTTCATTACATGGTTTAAGTTTATTTTTAGAGGTTTCAATCAAGTGTTCACATTCCTCATCAGTCAAAAACTTTGGTATTCTATATATTCTTGGTTTCTGGCTTACTTCAATAAGCTTTGGAATGTTATCTGTACTTGATTTATCTTTGTTGACCACTTCGGGGTCATCATTGCCTAACATCATCATCATCTTCTACTAAATTTAAATATAATGTTATTCTGAATAACAAACAAAACTATATTGATAAAAAAATACTATAAATGTTTGTGAAGTTTGTTTGTTAATTTTTGTTAGAAATAATTATTTATTGGTCAAAAAATTTAAATTATTATTATTTAATGGATAAAAGTTTTAAATGTTTGCTTTTTTTTGTTTTTCAATATTGAATGACTCTATTTATTTATTTTTATTTAATAAAATTTAAATGTACCACAAATTTTTGTAGTATAATGAATTTAAACCTTAATCATGATTATGTTTAGTTTTTGTTTTTCTTTTCTTTGTGATGTTTTTGGTTATTTTTTGTTTAAGTTAAAAACAACAAGCAAAATAAAACAGGTCATTCATTCATTGACCAAAAGAATGCTATTGTTTGATTGTTTTATTGTGTGTGTGTGCGTGTGTGTTAAATGTAGGAATGAAGATGAAAATGAAAAATAGCACATTATGTTGATTGAAGATTGTAAAATAAAAAATGATATTGGCACAAATAGCCTACGGTGTTTCTTTTTTTTTGAGAGTAATCACTCTATTCAATTTAAATGTTTCCAAATTTAAAAACACAGATCTGCCCATTCAGTCAAGGAAATGAGAACACACCACATTTCAAATTAAATTTTAAATTAACAAAACATAAGAAAGTTCGCAAAAAAAAAAAAAAAGTATTATTTAATTAATAATGACTAATCATTATTTGTGATAGAAATGTATATGTTGCTTAGAGATCAAACAAACAAACAAACCAATAAATAACTAATTACTTATTACTTTTATAATATATATACATACATTAATTTTACTACTTTATATTTATATTTATATCTATTGTTATTACTACTACTACTATTACTATTACTATTACTATTACTTTATTTTTGATTTTAGAAAATCTATCTTATCTATTTGTTTATTTTTTTTTAAAAAAAAAGAAATAAATTAAGTTTTAAGCTATTATTAGTTTAAATATTTAGATAGATTTTTGATAATAATTTTGTTCACTGTATTTTCACATTGAAGGTTTAATATTATTAAGTTGCGCAGGAAAAGGAAATAATGAGAATTAGTAGTCTTGTTCAAGTTTATTATTAAATTTTTGTTGTTTTTTTTTTGTTTTTGATACACTTGGTACACTATTATTATTATTTTTGTTATTATTATTGTTTTTTTGTTGCTCCTATGCTTATAGTTATAAATTCTCTTTTTGTAGCAATAACAACCACTTTTTTTTTTTCAAAAACATAATAAACTAATATCTTGCTTTTAAACCCCCACTTTTTGCTTATTATTCGATTCACATTCAATTTTATTCCATTCTATTCCTTAATGAAATAATATATATGTAAATGACTGCTTTGATAATCAACAACCAACTAAAATAAAATACCGGTATTTTATTCAACCTCCATTCATTAAGTGGGTATTGAATTATTTTTACATACACACCCAAACACAAACACACATAAACACAATTTTTAATTCAACGACAACAATAATAGCAACACATTTTACTTACTTACTCATTTTATACATATCACTCACACAAACACGCACACACACACTATTTCAATTTAGAATTGATAAAAGTGTATATCATTGATATCTCTCTCTCTCTTTGTCAATTGCAATTTAAAATGAGATCTCATTCTCAATACACATAGTAGAAGTAGTAGGTTTATTGTTATGTAAAACAACTATCATTAAAACATTTGTTATAATCACAGTGTGTAGGTGTTACACTTACACGACATACACAGGCTATTATAAAACATATATAAATATAAACACACACTTATAACTTGCACACTCTGATCAATATGTTTGTTTGTTTTTTTATTCCCGTAGTTTGTTTGTATCTGTGTGTGTAAGAATGTGTGTTTAACAACAAACATATATAACAATGCAACTTAAATTGAATTAGTTAACAAATTCGGCTTGAATTTGATTACATTCTATTGAATGGGTGATAAATCTCAATATAAATGAGATTTCTTTAAAGCCGTGCAAATTTAAATAGATCAATAAATAAATAGATAGATAGAATAAAATAATTAATTAGATATAATAAATAAATGTATTTGATAATAAAAATATATAATTTAATTTAAAATTGCTATTCAATATTTGAATTCTCCTCCTTTTCTTTCTCTTTCTCTTTTTCTCTTTCTTTCTCTTTCTCTTTTTCCTTTTCCTTATCTTCGGCGTCGTTGAATTTTCCATATTTGTCGGACTTTGTCTTTTTAGTTCTATGTACATAAAGATAGCGAGCGAATAACCCAACGGCGGTGAGAACTGCCAGGGTGCTGGAGACTCCAATGAGATACCAGATATACCAGGCGATTTGATTCTTACTCTTATTTTTGGTGTTGTTGTCGTCGCTGTAGTGGTCAGAGTGTGAACCTTCGTTGACAAAAGAGGAAGAGTCCTCTGCAGGTCTTAAATAACTATGATTATAATACACTTCATTCGAGGAGACAACACTTATTCTACAATTTGGATAGACTCTAACACCCAGTGTAATCACGATAGTTGTTCTATTCTTTGGATATACTTGATATATCTCACCACACGCATTAACAGTCATTAAATCAACAGGGAAATCGACCTCTGAAAACATTCCAACGATGACAGTCGTTGAATTTTGCCAAACATCATAAACCTTGGAAATATATGGTAATCCTAAAGAAATAAGAGCTATATTAGTATTTTTGTTTAATGTTTATAATATTATTATACATACTTCTATAAGTTTCGAATGTATCATTAATTAAAATGATTTGTTCATCATATATTATCAATTTACTTTTTCCATTATCAACATTGTTTAATGTTAAATAGTTTGAAGGCATTTTGCAAAGCAAATATGTATTGGAGACCATTTGTAATTTACACAACTGGCTATCTATCGAAATAGAATAAGATCGATTATTAAATTGCCCATAGATTGCCATTGAACTATCAGCAGCATTAAATTCCATTGACTGGATCGATTCATTTGGATAATCTATTATTGTAAACGAAAAATACATATTAGAAATATTTACATAATTATTTTAGTATAAGATTAATTTAGCTACATACAATAAATAAATTTAAAAATATTAGAAGAAGTATAATTATAGTTATCAACAATGGAAATGTTGATCATTGAATTATTTTCGAATTGTATGTACAGGTTACAATTGATAATTGTAGAATTTCTTATTTCGTTGATCTCGCATCGACTGGTTTTGTTGTTGTTTATGTTTGTCAAAGTGATTTGGTAGTTGTCTGGATCGTAGCTATTATTGAAACTTCCATATATATCAATCTGTGGTGGATCAGACCATCTCCAGCCACTATTTGGTATGGTCTTTACACTACTTATACTTGTTGTACTTTGTGAACTACAATAAGAGCCCAATATCAGCTCTGACACCAAAATAGATATTAAAATAAATTTGTAGATATTCATTGTATATTTGATTGTTGTTGTTTTTATTTCGAATCGATAGAAATTATTAAGATTTACTTTTAATAATTAGAATTATTATAATTTATAAATTAAAAAAAAGCTGATATATATATTTTATATACATTTAAAGATTAAGAATATTGATTTAATAGATTTACATGTAAAAATAAATAGAAATGGAACTGGTTTTTGTTAATGTTAACAAAATTATATGATTATATTTTGTGTTACTGAAATAGTGTATTCACAAGTGATCAATTTTAGAAATGGTATAACAAAGTTGCTTTTGATAATGATATAGATATATGTTTTGGTATTATTTAGTGAAAAATGATCAATAATATGATATCGAGGTTGTTTATTCTTTTCAACCCAATAAAAATGATTAAAAGAAGTTGAATTGGAATTGTTGTTGAGTATTTAAAAAAAAAAAAAAACAAATTTCTATAAGATTTCTAAATATATTTAGATAGGCAATTAAATGAGTCTGTGATACAGAGTTAACTTCAAAAAAGACATTTAAAATTGAAATATATAAATGTTGATCAGAAAGAAATAAACATATATAAATATTCATGAATTTACAATATATCACTAACAACATCCAAACTTACTAACTAATTTAAATAGAGCTAGGAAAGAGAATCAATTACTCCATCCTGAATTGAGGTTGATGGTGTTGGTTGCTCGGTAGCCAACACAACTCAAATCATTAATTTTTAAACTTTTAATCAAACATTAGAGAGTGGGTATCAACATCAACATCAAAACATTTAGTTAGTGTATATAACAACCACTCACTTAACCACAATTCCAATTCCCCCAATTTTAATAATAAACAATTTATTAATCAAATCATCAGAGCAACCATCATCATCATTCTCATCAAAAATAATAATATTCTCATCAATTTAATTAATAGTGAATGATAATTCAATTGTTCTCTGCTGATCAAACACATAATTTCCACCGGCAAAAATCTACACAATATAATATTTGTTTAGTTTAATAAACACATACACTCTAACTAGAGAGGTGGAAATGGAAGAGAGAGACAGAGGTGGTGTGGGTAAACATAATAAAATAAAAAAAAGATATAATTAATTTTAGTGATGTTGCAACACTTCCATTCCAGTAAGTATTAAAATGATTACTGAACCAATACCACTAAAACACACTCTCTACCAACAACACAATCAAATTCAACAACATCAACCTCAAAATTCAACACACACACACACATACACACATATTCAAATCTCAACAACTACTCTGACTATAATTACCACATCATCATCATCATCATCATCATCATTATCATATTGATACAATAAATATTCTGAAAGACTTATTAAATTCCAAACCAAAGAAAGTGAATAACAATCTTGATAAATTAAAATTTATAACCATTATAATAATAAGTAATTTCAAAAATGAATTATATCTGTGTTTTTGTGTTGTTGCTTTGTGATTGGATAGTTCGTGAACAAGTTTGTTCTTGTTGTTGAAAATAATAGTGACTGGACATATATATAAAATACATAAATAATAATAGTTGATCTATACAGTATGTATTAATAAATGTGTGTGTGTGTTGTTGAAAAGTATCTTATTATCTACATATATAGTAATTATCTAAGAACTCATCCATTAATAAGCAAGCATATATTTACATCTAAATTATATCATGCACATACTAACTTCACACATCACACTCAACACACGCTCATACCATACCATACCAATAACACCACTAACTTTGCTTTTATATATTATATACAAATAAATGATATTCTTTGGCAGGCAAACAAGCAAAACAAGTGTTAATAATGTTACATTATTAAACTTGAATTCAGTTGAATTGAATTGTGAAATGAAAATGAATATAAAACAAAAAATCTAAAAATAACCTTTAATAAGAAACAAACAACAACATTTAACATAGTAACAATAATAATAATAATAATATTGACCAATATAAATTATTATTATTGTCACTAATCGACCATCGACGACATGTTGTAACATTGTAAACAAGACGATCTACAAAGTAGCAATAGATATTTATTGTTAGTTGAATTGAATATTTGATTGTGCAATTAAAATAAAAGAATAAGATATCTTTTTTAAAAACATCCATATATCTCTATCTATACATGTACTTATATCATACAGTATTAAATCTATAAAAACAACTTGATTGGACGATGCTCATGATTATCTACGAAAAGTGAACATTACATTGATGTAAAAAACAACAATAATTCACCATCATCATAATCATAATCAAATAAATATAAAGTGTCTTTACTCTATCTACAACTAATTTGACTTACTATTAATTATTATCTTTATTACAAAAAAATAAAAAATAAAATAAAATAAAAATAATAATGATTATTAAAAATAAAATAATACTATTAATTATTATTATTATTATTATTTAATTAATTAATAGCTCTGACTTTGATTGCTCAAAAAAAAAATCAGAACGTGCCACTTCTTAGCTCAATACAAACGTTACTTGAAATTTTTGAATTTTTTTGAATGTTTTGTTTTTTGTGTTAGTGAAAACTAATAATTTGAATGTGAAGATAAACTCATAGCCAAAAAAAAAAAAAAAAAAAACATTAGATATCTTGTTCTTTTTCAAAAGTCTAATATATTATCATTATTAATTAAATTAATCATACAGTAATATATTTAGTTTTGGAAGTAGAGTTGATCCTATCCCAATAATAATAATAATAATATATTGAAAAAATGAGTCTTAAAATGTTGAATATCGACGGAGAACGTATCTCTGGTCAAGATGTTAGAACTCAAAATGGTATAGCTTTTATAAACATTAAAAATAACATATCCAACATTTCAACAACAAAGTAGCAACTAAATAATAATAACAACAAACAAACAAACAACAAAATAGTAACCTAACAATAACAAATATATAAAAACGAATAAACGAATATTAAACAAAACAATAGTTCATATCTTTAAGATAACAATATATGATTAGATATGAATAGTAGATATAGATAGTTATAGATAGTTATATGTTGTTGAAATTTGGATATAAATAATAATAATAATAATAAAAAAGATGAAATATTAATATTAGATTTTGTTTGTGTGTATGTGTGTGTGATTATTTATAGTTACTGCAGTTACAGCTATTGCCAATATTGTAAAGACATCATTTGGACCGATTGGATTGGATAAGATGTTGGTTGATAACATTGGAGATATCACTATTACCAATGATGGTGCAACCATTTTGAAGTTGTTGGAAGTCGAACATCCAGCAGCAAAGGTTTTGGTACAGTTGGCTGATTTACAGGATCAAGAGGTCGGTGATGGAACTACTTCGGTAGTTATCTTGGCAGCGGAGCTTTTGAAGCGTGCCAACGAGTTGGTGCTCAAGAAGATACATCCAACCATTATCATCTCTGGCTATCGTATCGCGTGTCAAGATGCCATCAAATATATCAATGAGACACTGGCCGTCAGCGTCGACTCCCTCCCAAAGGACTTTATCATCAATACAGTAAAGACATCGATGTCATCAAAGATCATCGGTGACGACAGTGATTTCTTCTCAAAGATCGTCGTCGATGCACTCGCACGTATCAAGACCATCGACTACAAGGGCGACGTCAAGTATCCAATCAACTCGATCAACGTCTTGAAAGCACACGGAAAGAGTGCCAAGGAATCATCGCTCGTCGAAGGTTACGCACTCAATTGCACTGTCGCCAGTGAGGGTATGCCAAAGCGTGTCGTCGGCGCCAAGATCGCCTTCCTCGACTTCAATCTCCAGAAGGCAAAGATGAAGCTCGGTCAAAAGGTCATTGTCACCAACGTCAACGACTTGGAAGCAATCCGTGATCTCGAGAACAACATCATCAGAGACCGTATTCAATTGATTCTAAAGAGTGGAGCCAACGTCGTTCTCACCACCAAGGGTATCGACGACCTGTGTCTGAAATACTTTGTCGAAGCCGGTGTCATGGCTGTCAGACGTTGTCGTAAAGAGGATTTGAAGCGTATTGCCAAGGCATGCGGTGGTACCGTGCTCATCACCATGAACAATCTCGAGGGTGACGAGAGCTTCGACACCAGCTCGCTCGGTGCCGCCGACGAGGTCGTACAGGAGCGTATTGCCGACGACGAATTGCTCTTGGTGAAGAACTCCAGCGGAAAGAAGGCTGCTTCCATCATTTTGAGAGGTGCCAACAGCATGATGTTAGACGAGATGGAGCGTTCCATCCACGATTCGCTCTGCATTGCAAAGAGAACTTTAGAGTCTGGAACCGTCGTGCCAGGTGGTGGTTGTGTCGAGTCTGCACTCTCCATCTATCTCGATAACTTTGCCGAAACCATGGGATCAAGAAAGCAATTGGTCATTTCCGAATTTGCCGAGTCTCTCTTGGTCATTCCAAAGCAACTCTCTGTCAACGCCGCACAAGATGCCACTGATTTGGTTGCCAAATTAAGATCATATCACCATGTCGCTCAAACTGATGCTACAAAGAAAAACTATGCCTAGTAAGTAGTATTGATTGATTGATTGTTACGATAATCATCTCGATTAAAACTGATGCTAACTATCACTTTCAATTATATTATAAATATTTCATTTAGTTCCGGATTGGATTTGATAAATGGAAAAGTTAGAAATAATTTAGAGGCTGGTGTATTGGAACCAGCAATTGCCAAAGTTAAATGTATTAAATTTGCCACTGAAGCTGCCATTACTATTTTGAGAATCGACGATATGATTAAGCTTAATCCAAAAGAAGCCGCTCAAGATCCACATGGTCATGGTGATTATTAAAATATTTTTAATAACTATCTAAAAATAAAAAAATAAAAAAAAAAAAACTAAAACTATAATATAAAATTATAATCTATGGTTATATTCCAAAAGTATGTACATTGTTGTTTTATTTTAAATTTTTAATACTCAATTGATCAACTGCTACTACTATTTGAATGAATCAAAGGTGTATCATTAAATTGTATAGTTGTTGCTGCTGGTGTATTTGATTCGACGTTGGTGTTATTTTGATTATTTTGATTTGTATTGTTATTACTATTTTGTTTAATTGGTAATGCATTTGAAGATGGTTCTTTCTTTATAGATAATTCAGAGAGATGCATTTCTTCTTGTGAGTATTGGTGTGTTAATGGTAATTTCTTTTTTAAGGAATCATTTGGGTTTCCGAATATCTTTTGTAGATTTGGCTCTGACAGGAGTGGCAGTGACTTTGGTCTCGAATTTGGAGCATTGTTGTCAATCATGGTGACTGAGAACTGTAGGATGGTGGATCCATTCTTTTTGTGTCTGACCATACTGTGTCTTGGACATGCAGTATAACGTTTCTTTACCATCCAGGGAATGGAAACTGAATTGGAAGTACGCTCAGTTATGTTGTCCTTTTGTGAAATGAAACCCCATTCCAAATTGTAGGTGTATTCACCGTTGCTATGATTGGAGAAATGTGACTTAGTGGTGTGGGCCGAGATTGTCGATGCACCGTCGTTTATCATGTTCATCATAGAGGCGTTCGGACTGGAGTTCGAGATACACTTGATGGAACCACAAACTCTTGTTGTCTCCCAGAGCAATGGCTGGAGTGTAAGCATCTCTTTGGTGTTGGCTCCGAGTTGGATAATGTCGGGCACGACGCTCAACACCTGAAGACTGTTGGTTACAGGTGGCATTGGAATCTTGGAGACTGCCGAACCGACATCGGTAAACTTTTTCATAAATTTGTCGAGGTTATCCTGATGCATGTTGGTGATCTTGCTGTCGAGTTGACTGAAGGTCGATGTCGGGTCGGTAAAGAAGCTCTTTAGTTTGTGGGCAGACTTGCGATTGAATACTCTGTAGAGACAGAGCTGGATCTCAAAGTAATTGGTTTGACCTGGCAATGGAGTGTCAATGTCGAGAACATAGGATTTGGGGATAATCATCGATGCATCCTCTAGAATCTCCTCTTCGGTAGGATCTCTCTTTTGTTTCTTGGATCTCTTTATTTTTTTGTTGGAGATCTGTATTTGACTGACATCGGTACAGCCAAAACTTGCATTTTTTAATGGTGCAATCTTGGGGTTCTCATCTTTGACACTAGAAGAGACAATCCAACCCAAAAAAAATTTGGGGTTCGGGAGATCGTAGGATTTGCTACAGTCATCCCACTCCCATTGATGAATTACAAATTTATTTAGGTCAAGTGATAACATTATTTATTTTTTGATTTTTTTGATTTTTGAATAATAATAATAATAATAGATAAATAAGAATTAAGCAAATTACAAACTATTTATAAATAATAAATATAATGATAAATTAATTAATAGAGAAATATGAATTAATAGCTAGTTTTTTCATAGATAAATTTTTCTATGGAATTTAATAACTATTTTTTTCTTTTTGTTTTTGGGGGAGTTGTCAAGAAAGTTGAGGGGAATGTTTGAAGAATGTGGAATCTCTTTGCTACTTTTTAGACTAAAACTAGCTTATATCGTTATCTCAACAATGAAACCAATCAAACAATCATGTGCCAGGTAGGCAAGTTTTTTGAATTTTTATTTTTGGTAAAATGAACAACAAACACTCCTTGTTTTTATATCTCCAATCCAAACATGATTAACTTTTCAATTTTTGGGGCATACAAAATCAATAAAATGTAGTCTTTTTTTTATGAAGTTTTTTCCTCCCACAAAACAAAACTGTGAAAACTATTTGTTGAACTTTCACAAAAATCTGATAGTTGACAAAATTTGTTATTTTTTTGATGATCAACAATCGTTTAGTGGGTGTGTTTTGCTCAAAAGGCAAAAAAAAACCACGAAAAAATCTTTTTAAGTAATATTTTTTTGGTATATGTACAAGGTTTTTTAGATTGGATCGATGAACAATGATATTAATAATAGTTAATCTTTACCCAAAATCATTCATCACCAATGTCTATGATTTTTCTCCATTCAATCTGTAGTGCAAAAACTATAGATTTACTCAATCCAAAAGATGAAATTGTGTGAAAGGAACGGCGAGCTTTTCAAGTAGGGAGGCAAACAATGACATTTCGTTCCTATGAAAAATTCATCCAGGATCACACAAAAAAAAGAAGAACCTATCGTTTATAACAATAATCTACAGATCTAAATGTCATCTATTCAATTAACTACTGCTATCTGGTAATTTTTGTTTAAATTAATTTAATACTATTTATTAATTATTGATTTTTTTTCTTTAAACTGAATAACTTAATAAATTTTAAGAAAAAAATAAAATAAAACAAATATTTGTTTATTTATTAATCAATTTTGATGCGTAGCTGCGTTTTTGCGCAAAGTCGATCAAAATTTTGATCAAAATTACTATCTTTTTTTTATTATTTTTTTTTTGTTTCCAAAGGTTCCTGTTTTTTATTTGATAAAAAATGTACGCACTGATTAATTGCGCTTCTTGTTTTGGAACAACACTTTGTTTTTTTATAAACATGTTTTTTACGTATAAATATATTGTTTTTTATAAATATATTTTTATTCAAATACTTTTGTTGAAAATGTATTTATAGTAACAATATTTATATTTTTCTTTTTTTATAAACATGTGACCAAGTAAAGCTGTTGTGGATCTTGGTGCTATTGGTAGAAACACTGGTGCCATACCTCAAAAGATATTCTTCTTTGATAAGATTCGTTTCAGATATTTTGAGAATGACATTTACGATCTCTACTACACCTACATGGACTACAGTGGTCAACTTTGTAATTACACAGGCACCATTACAATCAACACATTTCCAAAAGTAGATATTACCCAACCATTATGTCTCTTCACCAACGCCACTATCAATCCAATTGCTGGTATGGCCAACGGTGACACTTTTACGATGCAGCTTGTTGGCAGTGGAGATTCCAAAGTGTTCCGACGCTGAATACAATCTTACATTTTCAAGCTCCAATCAAGCCATTCCTTGAGACTTCAAGCACAGAATTCTTTGTTACCACAATATACCATTTCTCAGGCGGTCACGGTTGGACAAACCCCACCATAACAATTGTGAATCCAGAAAAATTCAGTTCCATCCGATTGTTTGGTAACAAGGGTAACGAAGTCAATCAGACTTCTCCCAATGTATTCCCAACTCCTTCGCTTCAGTATACTATAGCTTCAGTTTCCACAACCTGGTAAACCATCAGCATTTATGTTACAAATCAACCCTCAGAATGCAGCTAGTTATAACTTCCTAATTCCAACGATTTCATCGAATATCAGTTATACCATCAGCACTTACCCAACTTGTACAACAAGCGGATCAGTCACTCTAAACTATAATGGAATCCTATCGAATATTCAAGTAAATGGTGTACCACTGATATTCGACTACACCAGAGTCATGCATTGGAAGTGGAGATGGTGAAATAACACCAAGATTCAGCATATTCCTATACACTCTATAGTGTAAGAACAAACAGTACCTATCCACAATCAACCAATGGAAAATGGACCAATCTCACCAATGGACAATATAGACTTAAAGCTGTCTATATTGCCGGACCAACTTGCAGTAGCAGTGTGGACATTGGCATTGGAAACAACACTCCAGAGGTAACTTTCTCAACAGTGAACCAATGTTCCGCCGGACTAAACGGTACAGCTACATTCTCAACATTGCTCAACACAAAGAAAGCTGACAATGTCATCTACTACGTCGATGGCATTAGCAGTAATTCAGCGACGGTTTCATTGCCAATTGGTAACCACTCTGTCAAATCCTTTGTAAATGAAACAGGATTGTACAGACAATTCTCACGACAACAACAGGTGTTCTCGATCGCATCCAACCGAATTGACCACAAAGTGACATTGAATGGTTGCCAATCAGCAAGTATCAATGCTACCACACAGAGCTTCAAGGACAACTTAAATTCAAACTCTATAATGTTACCATGGATGGAGTCGAAACATTGGTTGGTTCCGCCACCGGCAACACAGCTAACATCACCAACCTACCCAAAGGAACCTATCGATTCACTATCGCAGAATACTCTGGATGTCTCATTAGCTCAACGTCGCCGATTGTTCAATCAACCAATCACCACCATCATCCTCATCACCAATCATTCTCCTAACAATAATTGTTTTATCAATTTTAATTTAAATATCATTACACACATTTGATTTATTTATCTACTATTTAATAATAAAAAAATATTTATTTTTTTGAACTAGTCTCATCGGCTATTCAAATCAAAAAAAAAAAAATGTAGAGCCAAAAAAAAAACAAAATTCATTTTTAAACTTTGTGGTAAAATTAACATTCGGAATGAAGATGACACGAACACCTCAAAATATCGGATGACTTTTTGATTTTTTTAACACAATTGTGCTCCTTAAAAGTCGCAAATCACCTCTCTATCAGTTTTCTTACTTTGAATGATCATTCCAAGGTCTTTTCTTTTTTTTTTTAGAAAAATCTCTACCTTTTTGTTTAACAAAAATTTAAAAAAATACAAACATCCTCATTTTCTTTTACTTTCATTTTGTACTCCAACAAATAAATAGATACTATTTATATATAAATAACTTTCATTTTTGTATTTTAAAAAATAAAGAAAATCCAGTCAGTTTCAAATTTCACAAACCAAAAATAAAAATATACGCATTCATTTACATTCAATATATTATCAAAATAGTAAAGTAAAATTTTGTGGAATTTATATAATAAAATATTTATTCTAATCAATCCAAGATCCTTTTATAATCAACTTTAACTTATTCTATTGATTTTTATAAATCTACATTTTTAAAATTTTAATAGAAAAAAATCAACCCAATTTTATAAATTTTAATTTTTTTTTACTGCTCTCACCACTTTTTTAAAAACCATACCAGTTTTTCTTTTATTTTTTTTTTTTTAACGTACTTTTTTGTTTGTTTGTGTGTGTTCAGCCACAATACAGTCATCTACATCAATTCAATATCACTTGACAACGCAAACAAATAAAAACAAAAAAAAAATTTGATTAAATAATTAGAGTTATTATTTATATTTTTATCGATATAAACTAATAATTTCAATATTTATTCTTTCATTTTAATTGAACAATCACATCCATACCATTCAAAAACAATTACTTTATTATGTTTCAAATTTCGAGTAGACTTTTAAATCTATTTCAGACAATAACAAAATAAATAAAATAAATATCATTATCAACATATATTAATAGAATAAAAAAAAACAAACAAATCTTTATCATCGTTAGTCGAATTCAATTTAAATTTTAAACTTTCTTTTCCAATCGAGGTAGATTATATTAGTTAATTAATTCTTAATTAGTTATTATTTCCTACTTTCATTATTTTTATATATATATTACCTTTCCTTTCCTTTTTGATAGATCTATATCATATTCTCGTTCTCTATATTCCTTTTTAATTTTATTTGTTTGTTTAATAAAAACAATAATACCAATGGAATCAACATCAGAGATGGTCACTTCAAATAATGTTACATCGACGATTGATAAACCTATCCAGTTAACAGATCCACCTATTTCCACTGGTTGTGGTGGAAATGAAAATAACACCAAATCCGACCACGACCACCACCTCCAAGATGACGCTGCTGACGATGCTGGTGCAAATGCAAATGCAAAAGAAAATGCAAATGCAAATTCAAAACAACCAACACCACCACCACCAACAAAAAAAACAACAACAACCAACGATAACATACCTCCTACAGCAGAGGGTGAATTCACTCATGAAGCAAACGGTAGATTGTCATCGTCGATAGATTTCATTACGTTGAATAACAATAGTAGTAGTGTCGTTGATAACCTACTCTCTTCTTCAACCGAATCAACAACATCATTGTCAAGTAGTAGTGGTAGTAGTACTGCTCTGTTGACAACAACAACAACTGATCCTTCAAATAAGCAACAACAACAACAACCAGCTGCTAAAAAGAATATTAAACAACCAGCAGCAGCATCGGCAGCAACAGCTAAACCAACTCCACAACAATCGCAAATTCAACCACAACAACAACAACAACAACAAACATCATCGAGCATCTCAGCACCACCAGGTCTAACAGAAGCTTCACTACAATCACCTGGTGGCGATAATGGAGAGTTAAATCAAATGGTATCGAATATATTCGAAGGATTTGCATTCGTAATCGATCTCTCTATCAACTTGAAGAGAAAAATGGACCTAGTTAAGATCATCAAGCGTAATGGTGGTAAGAGTTGTTATTCATGTAGTCCAAAAGTATGTAGTTTTTTGTTATTGTTATTATTAAATACCTATATTACTAGTTACTAATAATATATACGAAACAGTCAACACATTTGATTACAACACAACAAGGATTCATAGATAATACAGCCAAAGTTCAACAAGCAATTACATTGGGTATTCCTATTCTTGTAAAGGAGTTCGTACATCACTGTGCATTCAAAAGACAGTTGTTAGACATTGAGCCATACAGAGTAACCGCCACTGTAAGATATTTCTTTTTTTTTTTTTTTTTTTAATTCAATCATAATAATATTGAAACTAATATTACTACTTTATTATTATATTATAGTCTGTACCATTTGATTCTAACATATTGGGTTCGTCAATGGATATGCCAATTCCTCCAGAATTTAGTTCTCCACCTCCACAAAAACAACAACAATCATCTCCAAACAACAACAACAACAACAACAACACTCATCATCCACAATCCCCTCTAGTCAAATCACCTGTTTTCCAACAACAACAACAATCACCAACAACAACTACTCAACAAAACAAACAACAATCAACTAACAATGGAGGTAAACCTAATATCTATCAACTAAAAGACTCCAATGGTATTGAGAGAAATAACAATCTGTTCAATACGGTCTACAGTAGTGCCGAAGAGGATGAGGTTGAAGAGCCTGAGGAGAAAGAATCCACTACATCGCCACACAAGTTGATGATCGAAGACAATCTCAATAGAATTCTTCACTTTGATGATCCACAACCATCAAGAACTTCTAACAACAAATCACCTTCCACTATCACAACCAACACTACTACCGTCAATAGTAACAATGAAAGACTTTCACCTTCATCCTTTACATTGTTAGAGTCATCTTCAGCATCTGCAAGATCACCTATTCCAACTCAACAACAACAACAACAATCAACAAATAATGTTGAAAAAGATTTAATGCGTTTCACAGAGTTTGAGGGTGATTTCGAGGAACAAGAGTTGGGTGGTTCTATCGAGGAGGAAGAAGATCATCATTTGACACCGGGCGAGATGATCGATACTCATGGCAGCGGAAATGAGTTGAATCAACAACAACAACAGCATCATCATCATGACTATCTTGATACTGCAGCTGCTTTATCCTCGGCGACCAGAGGAATCACAGCACCACCACCTGACCTTCTTGGTGGACATCCTTTAGACCCAAAGCTTGAAGGAAAATATCATTTCAGTACCATCACTAAGAAACAACAACAACAACAGGATCCGTTTACAAATAATAACACTAGTGTAGCCGTCGAATCATTACTATCTAATCATTACCACGAGGAGAAATTGAGTAAGGAATCAGATGAATTATATAGTTCCCCAATATTTTCATCATTCCACAACGATTTATTCAATCAAGTAAGTTAGTCTTTAAATCTTTACACTTAACTTTTACGCAAACTAATATTAATAATTACATTTACTCTTTTTTTCTTTTAGATTTATTCACCATCCAGTAATGATCTAATTAATGGTAATAGTTTTCATGGAATTCCAGTTATTACAAAGAATATTATCGACCAAGATTCAAACACCAGAATTTATGTTGGTGGAATCTCTTTAGGAGATTTAGATGTATGTTATTTATAATTAGCTAATTACTTTGAATCTATATACTAATCTTCATTTATCTATTATTTATTTAGATATATACTGAAAAAGAAAACTTTAAAAAACAGAGAATATATCATCTCATATCATTGTTTAGAGAGTTTGGTAAAATTGTAAAGATACAAGAGTTTTTGGAGGATCAATACATTTATATCACCTACGACACCGAGTCCGAAGCAAAGCTTGCAATTCAAACATTGAAATCGAGTGCAACCAGGACCTATCTTACCGACCGTATCAAGAAGAACTTGCAATCACTCGGACTTCCTACAATCATTTCACCATCGAATGATTTCCATGTGAGGAAAACAAAGCCAATCTCTCCAAAGAGCTCTCTAAACTCTGTTCCGATCAGCAGCAACCACTCTATCAATAGTATCCAACAACACGCAAATAATAATAACAATAGCAACAACAACAGCAGTAGCACCAATATCAGCAGCAGCAGCAACGGTCAACACTCCAACAACACTCCTTCAGCAGCAGTAGCAACTTCATCGTCGCAATCATCATCGTACAAGCGTGGCACCAGCAAGGGAAGCGGTGCAAGCATGCGCAATAGAAGAGCCAGCAGCAAGAGCAGCTCAACAACAACAACTGCAGTGGCATCGACTACCACCTACAACAACAGCAGCAGTTACGACAACGATTACGAAGAAGATGAAGAAGAGGAGTATGGAGACGACGAAGAAGATGAAGATGACGAGTCCGAATATAGCGTTTCAGAGATTTCAGAGGTTGATGAAGCACCCGTCAAAACTAAAAAGATGGGTAGCAGTAATCATCCATCATCTTTATCATCCCAAGTGTCTGGCTCAAAGAAAAAGAAAAAGGTCAACTTTTTGCCTCCGCTTTCTGTGGTTGTCCAAATCATTGTTACTTTTATCATTTTAAGTGCCTTCTTTATGTCATTGCCTCAATCTTAAAGCTTTAGCTTGAGAGATTAGATTATATAAAGTTTAATAAAACATTTTTTGGAATTAAATATATCATTTTTGCATGGGGATACTAATTCTTGGGACGTTTAAAATTAATTTTTATTTTTTTATTGTGGTCAACAAAATTTTTTTTTTTTTTTTGTATTTTTACACAAATATTAGTATTAAAAGGATAATATTGTTGTCTCAATAACTTTTGTTCAGCTGTTCTTTCTTAGAAGACAGCTCAGTTACTATGATTGTCTTTCTAGCTTCCAACACAAAAAAGGTTCATATGAGCCTGCTTTTTTTTTGGGAAAAACAAAAGATAAAAGAATGTATGAGGACAGATCTCAGGAGGTTTTCATTATTGAGAATTGATTTGATTGCTGCAATGAGATCTTGTTGATCATTGATCCAATAGATTAATTTATTGTTGTTTGTTTAATGATTAAATGTAATTACGGTTTGAATGTTCTTTGTTTTTTCTAATTCTTTTAAAAGAAAAAAAAAAAAAAAGGTAAGAATAACATTTTCTCTTTTCTCTTGACGAACTTTCGAAAGAATAAACATTGCATCGATTTTACAAAAAAATAATATCAGTGAACGTTTGCAAAAGAATATTGTTAATAGATTTTCCACAATGTATTGAATACCATCAAATATACTCTTTAGGAAAAGATGGTATTCAAAGGATTCAGAAAAATAGAAATAAAAAAGAATGAAGCTCGTATTCTCGTAAAAAATACAAAACTATCAAATTTTGGTCGACCTTATTTATTTTTCATAAGCAACATGCAACTTTGCAATAGATATTTTGCTTATTTAACACTCATATTGTGTTTAGTTTAAAAGATCATGGTAGTTAATAGCAGCAATAATATAAATTTATTTGTACAATTACCACATACATTATTAACGAGAATCACCAATGAATTAAGAGACAACATTGACAGAATCTGTTTTAGTTTGGTCTGTAAACGATGGTTCGATGAAAGAGATAGATATCTGTTGTTCAACATTGATAATCATATTAAACAACGTTATCTAAATGATGATGATTATAGCTCGCCATTATTCTTTACGAAATCATACAAATCAATCTATATCAAATCATTAGAATTCAACAATAACAACAAGAATAACTGTATTCTTTATATTGGTGATCTCGATGAGTATCAAAGAAGTCATTATTACGATAGAATAAAGAATCCAATCATTGAATTTGATTATTTTATAGATTACAGTAAGTAACCAACTAAACTTTATCAATTCAATCAAACAATGTTTAACAACTAAAACTAACATAACATTATTTACTTAACTTAAGAATTATTGAACACAATTGATAAGATACCAAGTAATGTTACCAATGTTGTATTAAATGTATTTAATAAGTTGAATCAAGATGATTCCAAACATTTGTATAAGATATTGTCACAATCAAATGTTACACAACTCGATGGATGTAATACAGTTGTGCACCAACTTCCACCACGACTTGTCAAATTGACATTCGACAATCAATTCAATGAATCTTTGTCTGTTGGTTGTTTCCCTTCTACTTTGAAAGAGATTGCTTTTGGCTATTACTTTAGTAGACCCATCCACAAAGGTGTATTTCTCGAAGGTCTGGAGAAGCTTGTTTTAGGCTCGATTTTTAACGAGACAATTGAAAACTCTGCCAATGTATTTCCATCGACTCTAAAGTATCTGAGTGTTGGTTGTTACTCTCATGATCCACATACCAATTTGTTCCCACCAAATTTAGAGATCCTAGAGTACAGTGAATATAATAGAGCATTCATCGATGGAATGTTGCCAGATTCCTTACACACCATCATCCATATGCCATATCGATGGATTCCGCACATTGGAAACCTACCAAATCTTAAACATCTGGTGAATGTTGCTGACGAGGATGAAGACCAAGATGTTGCCGACGATGTATATGATTATACAGTTAAAGAGTTGGATCTAAGTACGATTCCAGAAGGAATCGAGACAGTGATTATTGGCAATCCAGAGTATGATTCGCATCACAATGTATATCCAGTATACAGATTGAATGGAGCACTTCCAAATTCGGTGGAAACATTCTATACCGGATCAAGTTACTATCAATTCGACACAATCTTTCCATCGGATAGACAATACCACTTTAAAGAGTTGACACTCAGTGCTCATGGAGATACCAAACCAATTCCAACCAATGTTCAAGCCAAGAAACTCTGTTTATCAAACTACTACAAAAGAGTTTTCAACGAAGGAGATCTTCCAGCTGGCATTGAAATTCTTGACTTCAAATATTGCAAGCAAATAGAATTCAAATCGAGCCGTTCACTCCCAGATTCCATTAAAGAGATCGTTGTTTATAACCAGACTCTAAACGATCTACATATTCCAGGCAATTCGAAAACGTCAAACACTAGATCTCTGGAGTGTATAACATTTATTAATGACTGTATACTGAACTTGAAGAGAGGTGTAAAGATACCGGAATCAATTCGAACACTAAACACAGTGTTTGATGCAACCAACTTTCCATACATTCCAACAACACTCACCAATATCAACTTTACCAACAGTATCAAATCTGTATCAGACAATATCGACTGTCAAGTGAGGAAATTAGATAGTAAATACTATTTAATGTTTGGAACAACCAACAGAATCAATTTCATTTCAACAATTTTCAATCAATCAATGTTTAATAGCTCATTAGTCAAGAAAATAGAGTCAAGAAGCAAACCAAATCAAAAAGTAACTACTTCATCATCAAGTGGTTGCCAAATTCAATAAAGAATATGATTATTTTAAGAAACCTTTATGAAGAAAAGAAATATAATATGATTTGATTTTTATTTGTGGATTTTTTTTTTTTAATAATACTAATGTAGTATACATGTTTTATTTAAAGTGATTGAAAGGTAGCTTATAGCTACGAAAAGAGGTATATAAAATTGGAGAAGGAGGGTTGTACCGCTCATTTGATCGTTTGTAATTTTGATTAATATTCCACCGGTCTACTTTCATGCTTGATTTATCCTTAAGGATTTTTTTTTTTTTTGAGAAAAACAAAAGATAAGTAATAGATATAGAATGTGGACAGATCTCAGGAGGTTTTCATTATTGAGAATTAATTTGATTGCTGTGATGAGATCTTGTTGATCTTTGATCAAATCGATTACTTATATTGCTGTTTAATTTAAAACAATCATTTGGTTATGGTTGGAATGTTCTTTGTTCTTTCTTCAAAAATAATAAAATAATAACATTTGCAAGCAGAATGAATATTTAGCATGATTCGTTTTTTTTTTTGCGAAAAACAAAAGATAAATTGAATGTGGACAGATCTCAGGAGGTTTTCATTATTGAGAATTGATTTGATTGCTGCAATGAGATCTTGTTGATCTTTGATCAAATCGATAAATTTATTGCTGTCTATTTTAATCATTAAATGTAGTTATGGTTTGAATGTTCTTAGTTTTTTTCAATTTTAATGTATCGATTCTCATTTCAAAATTTGGTATTCCGATCAGTTAATTAGGCTATTACCTATTATATTAGAAAAAAAAGGTTGAGATATAGTTTTTTTTTTTTTAATAGATTATATATACAAAAAAATGACTAAACAGTTTTATTAATATTCTTTCTTAAAAGTGGTTCAAATTGGGAACTTGAACCTCTCTTTAATACTAACAAAACTACGAGAATGATTAAGAATGAACCTAAAACACATCCTATCACAATTCCAATGATTACACCGACAGGTAGTGATTTAGGTGTGATAATTGGCACTGCTTTACAGAAGTGCTCGGATGACCCGTTGGTCTGGAGAGTGCATTCGTTGCTGTCACAGAATATGTTGTCGACCTCGTTTTTGGTATGTGTAAAGTCTGTGTTGTTGACGAATGTACAGTTGTCGAGTTTAATCGTTGATTTCGAACAAAAGATACTACCTCCTTTGTTGGCTGTGTTATTGATAAATGTAACAATATTAAGATCGAGTGTTGATCCGTAGGTATAGATGGCTCCGCCTTGATGTGTTTCGTTGAATGTCGAGTATTCGTTTGATTTTGTTATGTAGAGATTACTCATTGAACCGGCAGTGTTGTTGAGACAGAATGCAGCACCCATTGTAGAGTGGCTAGAGTCGAAGGTCGATGTCAATATGCTGTAGCTATTAAGTGACTCGCCGTAGAACGACCCTCCACCACCCGTAAGTGCACGATTATCGCTGAATTGGCTTTCGGAGATGCCGATGTTGGCAACCGAAGTCATTGCGGCAACAGCACCTCCGTTGAAATAGGCAGTGTTATTGCTGAACGAACAGTTTTGTACGAGCATAGTATACATTGAATCCATAGAGATAAACATGATGGCAGCACCGTTGTTGGCTTGATTACCACTTAGTGCCGAAGAGTAGATTTGCAATTGCGATGCATAGGCGTAGATTGTCGAGACGTTGTTACCAACAAACAGAGATCCCGTGATATTGAGAGAGTTTACATTGTTTACTGAAAGCGCAATGGTATTGTTTAAGAATTGAGAGTTGGTAACAGTCGCGTTGAATGGACCATTGATGTTCAAGACATCGGTACTCAATTGGAAAATACAGTTGGTGATTGACAAAGTATTGTTCAGATTAGTACTGTTCCAATTACGTGTGGAGATGGCATGTAGCGAGTTTGATACATTGCAGCCAGTGAGATTCAGGTTGACCAACGACTGTGAAGTATTCACATATACAAGAGAACCAAAGCCGCCATTCACACTACTGTTAAGGTTGATAAAGTTTATGCTCTCGATATTCACTACGGTTGTAATTGGGTTGTTGTTTGTTGTAACGTTGTTGTTTGTTGTAACGTTGTTGTTTGTTGTAACGTTGTTGTTTCGGTTGATATTGTTGATTGTTAAGAAACCACTTGTATTCTGACCGTCGACAGTCACATTACCATTGTTATAAGGTTGAATGGTTACATTGTAGCCAAAGAGGTTAAGTTGATTGTTGGCACCACTATAAGTACCGGCAAACAGCTGAATGACAAGCGATGTATTGCTACTAGAATACTGAGCATTATTGCTGTAGAGTGTGAATGCATCGGTCATTGATGGACAAGGACTTTCAACAGTGCCACAGTCTGTAATATTAAACTGACTGGTTGCATCTACGAACAGTGTAATAACAACCGTACTATTGTTCTGTGCACAAACACAACTAAATAATAATACTACTAATAATAAAGTAAATGACATAAAAGAACTATTGGATGTCAATATTATTAATTAAAGTTTTATAAATAAACATCTGATCAGTTTTTTTGAGAATTAATTTTCTTTTTTATCTAAAAAAATAAAATCTAAAAAATCTGTCGATGATTCTAACACTTTGTAATTTAAAATAGCCAACTTTCTTGGTTGGTAAATTAATTTACTCTAATAAATAAAATAAACTTAAAATAGAATGAATTTAAAATGAAATAAAGATCATTTTTATTTATTTGACTTCTATGATAGGATCTATCTATCTTTGCACTTTTTGTAGATTCCATTCGACATAAACACTTAAATTATTATTGATGGATGGCCTATTCATCCTAAGATGATTGAAATTATCATATTAATATTAATAACCCATCCACCAATAATAATTTTTTTAACAATGTTGACCACTTAATTATAACTTTAGAATAAATATGTTTAATAAATATTTCAGAAAATATAAAATTTATATTTTTACATACCTTTGTCTAATATATATTCTTATTTGCACAATGGGTGCACCAAAAGCTACCAAACTCAATCTTCGAGAGCTAAACATTTCAACTTGCACCACATTTGATAAAAGATATTATAAAGGTAGAGTTGTGAAAGTGCACAGATGTTGGAAACACCATTAAACTGTCGTAGTAGTGACATAGTGTAGTATTTAAATAATGATGTTATAATAAATAATTGTAAGAGATGCTCGTTACCAATTACAGCATACAACTACAGATATATGATATAGGACTAATTTATATTTAAGTTATAGATTAACTAGATCTAGATAGATCTACCAACAACAACTATATAAATAAACTTGCACGATTGCAAACATTCATTATTCATTTTCTTATCACTCAAATATAACCTTTAGTCTTAAATAATAGTTATGTGTTTAAAGGTTTTTGTAAAATATAATGAATGTTTATTAAGTTTTTGTTGTGCTTATATAATCTTGTTAATTTGTCGGTTGGCAGTAGTCAGTTGATTGGTATCTTGGAACTACGATTCCAACAACCGAGCACTTGTAATGTGTGAAGATGATTATACAATAAATGATAATAACAAAAGAACTATATCATATGGAGAAGGAAAAGAAAGAAGTTATATGGAAAAGGTGAAGTTAGATGTAGTATATCTTATAGATAAATAAATAAAATTATATTGTGTTAAACTGTATGTGAAAATCGTTGAAATTACCTTATTTATTAAATTATGATTCTTATTTTTTTATTTTTAATTTACCAAATGATATAGACAAGATTCCATGATATAAATTGAAGACGAAGACTAATCCTATCTACGAATGGATGAATACTATGATAAAAAATTAAAAAGACTAGATATATCTCTTAAGAGATACATTGAGGTGATAATACCAAAACAATAAACAATAAATAAAAATATCTAACAATTAATGACCAGAACCAAATCAATTCAAATTCAAACTTTTTATTGTATCTCATTTTATCTACACTAAATTACAATAGGTGTTTTTTTTTTTTGTTATATGTGGGATGACAAAAATGAGATAAATAAAAATTTATTTGTTTGGTCATAATAAAATATATGAAATAATTAATGAGAAATTAAAGAAAAAGAATCAAATTTAAACTCTGTATTAAATATTATAACGGTATAATAATAATAATAATAATCATAATATTAGTACTTTGCTTTTTATTTTTTTGATTTTTATAAATATATAAAACTTAATAAGTAAGATTACGTCTAAGTGTAATATGAGAGTATCTTGAGTTAAAGAATTGATCAGCTTTCTCCGATTTAAATGGTCTTGTGTGGATTGATTTAAGTTTAGGTAATGATTCTGCAAGTTTGATGATACAGGCATCCCCAACATTCAAAAGAAAATCGATATGTGTAAGCGATAGTAAATGTTTGCTTAGTTCGATGATTGGACCATCTGTCAGGAAGGAACAGATTCCAAGCTTGAGTGATTCCAGTAATGGGTTTATGTTCTCTACTATATTCATGAGGTCTGTATCTTGGAAATTGATGGGATCAGATAAAGATAGATGTATAATGTTGGGGAATACAAGACCAAGATTGAGGAAGTTGGTTTTAGGACTGGCAATACTCTTTAGTTGCAATATTTTGACGGAACTCCATTGTTTCAGATCTGAATTTGATAGATGCAATTCATTGGAATTACAAAAAAAGTCGGTTACTTGTGTTAGGTTAGCGATGACATGAGCGAGGTGTGTATCATTAAACTCTCGGAAATCGAGATGGAGAACCGTGAGATTTTTGAATGCCGTTAGAAACTCTGTCATATGCACAAACGAACCGTATGCATTGATGTAGAAATCGGCATGTTTGAGGGAGCTGGCCAGAACATCTATACCCAAATGCATATCGTGTTCAGTCAGCAGTTTCTGTGAGATATCGATCACGAGATGCTCCAGTGGATGACCAGCAAGCACCTTTAGTTGTTTGAATATTGGATAGTCGAAATCAGATGATCTACAAATAATACTCTTGATCTTTGGGCAACGGGTCATCAGCTTGGCCAAGTCATCGATATAGTACAAACCATTGAACTCTTCGAGTGTTGCCGGTAGAATTTCAGGTGAGATCCTCTTCATGTACCGGAATTTAAGTGACTTTAGTTTGGTCATCTGTATCAAGAGATCGTAGTTGAAATCCGGTAGATTTTCAAGTGAGAGACTCTCCACCGACGAAACAAAAGATAAAACGAGCATGTTTAGTATCTTTGATGAATTATTGAATGTAAACTCTTGGATATGAACAGTCTTTAGGTTTGGAAGTGAGATGATTGGCAGTGTTTGCAAATCACCTGGACAATTGTTGAAGCAGTTGATGTGTAGGTTCTCCAATGTCGGCTGAAGTAACGATAGTATTGCAAGAAGACAGTCTGCATTTGCGAAATAGAGTCCTTCAAGTCTGAGTTTTCTCAGATTGGCTTGTTTCGATAATACAGAGATTGGAATGTTCTCACTGTTTTTCTTTTGAATCTTTAGCGAATCGAATTGAACATTAAGACCGCATAGTATGCTTGTGGAGATAGGTGTACTGGTCATTTCGTGTTCCTCTTGTAAGTGGAAATTGGAGAGTGGCGATTCATTAAGTAGCCGTTCAACTAGGTGACAAAGTGATTTCGAGTAAGGGATATACTTTATCAGAACCAAGAATGGAACACTACCATACTGACTGGTTGCTGATGCCGCCATGATATCATCGAGTATGTTTGGTTCGTCTATGATGATTTGCTCTAACAGCGTACCACCATCCTCTGCAACGTCCATCTCTGTCATTAATTTCTTTGGTGGAAGATTCAAGTACAATCTAATTGCATTCAAAACATACTGTTGTCTGTAGCAATCTGATACCTGAAGCGAACGGAGCAACAACATTGAAACCTGTTTCAAAGTTCTATGAAGATACTGCTTACGCATTGGATTGTCAACATCCATCTTCTCAAGGTAGCTTCTCAATACGAGAAGTTGGTGTAGCGACGTGGGGATATAGTTTGTATAAAAGTAATTTTGGTATGAAAAGTAGGGAGTGTATAGCGATCCACTTTCAAACAGGGTGTCAATGAAATCGGCTGGATTGAAACGTGAGAGTGCGAGATACTGCTTGTTGGCATTGTCCATCTTGCACATCAGTCCATAGACAGTGCCAAGCGATACCAACGTGCCCGGTGCGTAATGATACGACAAAGAGGTAAGGAAGTTCTTCTCTGCCGATTGCAAGTGTGGTGACTCTGCGTATTGTTCGCTCATCTTGTAGACTTCGATATCGACCAGACCCAACAGCTGATAAAGAATGGCATCGGTAGTGGATGAACGTGATGCCAGCTCCAACTTGCTCTTACACTGCGCAAGCAAACTGAGCTCCTCATAGTATTCCCTATTGAAATAGCTGTAGTTTGGCGGACGTGACGCCTTTCCATAGCAAACATTGTTGGAGTAGATCATCTCTAGTGCTTTCATATACAATGAAATACCCTCGGATCGCGCAATCATATTGGAGTGTTTGACAAGCGGCAACACTGATTTGACATCGGTGTAAAGAACTCTCGGTAGTTTGTTGTCAGCCAGAATATTTCTGACACGAGACGACAGTTTAATGCCGGTTTTCGATTGGAACAACGATATTACCGTGGAGAGATCGATGGATTTGATCAAGTCATACTTGTTATCGAGTTCCGCTTCTGTGAGTCCGCAGCAGTCGGCACCGTATTTCTCGACGATCAACGACTTGATTGTTACCGTCCAGAATGGTTTTTGTGAAGGCAAGAATCGATCGACATTGAACAACCTATTCAAAAAGTTAACAATGGTTTCAATACACTTCTCTTCGGAGCCAATGAAATGACCACTGAGATTCAGCCGAAGGTCGTCTTTAATCTTATTCTTTAGGATACGTTCGACCATCTCATTGAGTATTGCTTTTCGCAGGTTGGTATTGTGTGAATCCACCTGACTACGAAGTCTACCGAGGTGTCTGAGATTGATACCAAACTTGTGAACCTCCACTGCCAAGTCCAACTTTTTCAAATCACTATCTTTTCTCGACTCCAACTCGGTTGCAGCTTCTCTGATAATGACATCATAGAGATGATTGGTGGCATCGGTAACATCTTGATTATATGACTTGTAGTTTGGATCGGCTGCACTCCAACCACTAAAAGCATCAGAAGAAAGTGGTGTATCATAAGTTCTAATCAATTCCGGCCTCAACAACTTATAGAATATCTCTCTATGTGAAATACTATTACTAAAAATAATAATAATAATAATAATAATATAAGTATGTATATAATAGTTTTGTTTCATATTTTAACTTACTTGTATTCATCGAAATATGCTTGTGGTGGCAATAATCTTGCAAAATCTAATGAGTAATAGAGATCTGATTGTGAACTTATTGATCTATGTATTTCGAAATCACCAGGACCATAAAGAAACTTTGGATTTAAACCTGATAAATGTCCTGTTTTATATCATTAGTATTAGTATTATTATTATTATATTTTTAATCTTTTAATAAAACAACAACAACAACAAAATATCTCTTACCTCTTAAATTCATTCCTTTTGCAACTTTCTCCATGATATCATTCACTTCTTGGATGTCACTATGTACATTATGACCACCATCACAACTACCATAGATCAAAGTTTCTTTATTAATTGGTAACAATGATATAGCAACTCTGTAGGTATTATAAATTAATTAGATGATTAATTATTATTATTGTTGTTGCTATTAATTATTATTATTATTATAAATAGTGAAGATACACACTATTTATATTGAATGTTGAACTTACAATCTATAACCATAATAATCTATAATACACATTAAAGGTACACTTATCTTATTCACTAGATCATAATCCATTAAATTTTGAAAGAAATAAGATAATCTATAGAATGTTAATTAAAAGTTAAGTTAAGTTGGTCAGTTAAATGTCGTGTTCTATAATATATTGGTTGATGAGAAGAATACCCTCTAAGTTCATTTCCAGCAGCCTTAGATGCACCATACTCCGATGGGAAATTACCACCGTACAACCATTGATCATTGATCTTCTGATCGTATGCAAACTTGAATAGGATATTCTGACAGATATACTTATCACCACCTGCAATTCCACCGATCTTTGTTGGCTTTATTGTTCTAAGAGCTATTGGCATAAACATTTCCTTTATAATTAATTTACCATATGTTTCTTTATTTAGTTAAAAGTTATTAGTTAGTTAGTTAGTTAGATAGTTAGTGTATCAAAATATGTTATTTATTACCAGCAGCCTTTACAAAATCCATTGCAACAAAAGTTAACTTTTCAAACTTGTCTAGACAGTAAGGTTCCTTTAAGAGTGACTGAAACTCTTGGTTCCAATCTCTGCCTTTGTCTCTATCACGCTCCTCTCTAGATTGAAGTAGTTTCCTCTCTCTACTCTCTCGCTCTATGGCATCTAGATCGGGTGTAGCAGAGGAAGGTCTTGGTGATCTGGGTGTATTACAAATACTACTATTACTACTATTACCATTAAAACTACTACTACTACTACTATCAACTAAACTATTATTATCATAACCAACACTCATATTACTATTATCACTATCATTTGAATATGAATTATTATTTGTTTTTGTAGATGGTGTTGTTGATGTTGATGTTGATGTTGTTATTGATACAGTTGGCATTATTGAATAGGCAGAATCACTACCTTCAATTGTACCATAACTATGTGTAGTATTATCATTTTTATTGCTATCATTATCATATGCATTATTATCACTATTATTATTATTATTATTATTTGATTGTTGTTGTTGGTTTATTTGTGGTGAAGAATTTAAGGTTTGATATGAATTATAACTTTTAATATAACTATTTAGATATGGGTTGGCAGAATTGTACAAAGAAGTTTGTTTTATATCAAAAGATAAAGTTTGATTTTCATCATCATTTTTTTTAGTTTCAAAATTGTTGTTGTTATTGTTGTTGTCATAACCAGACATATTTATTTATATGATATGCGAGGGTAATCAAATAAAAATAAATTTATATTAATTGAATTAAAAAGTATTAGATCAATCAATCAGTAAACCAGTGACCTCATTGGTGCCCAATGTTAAAATTAATAATAATATCTTGGAGTTATTAACCTGACTCTATTTCTGTGAAAAAAACAAGGAAAGAAAGCTTTTCATCTCAATTTCACGGATCTGTGTCCAAAATTTTGGATACTTCACCATTTTTTTTTTTGGGCAAAAAATTTTTTGGGCAAAAAAATTACCCAAAAAAATTAAATAAAGAATAAGGACAGATCTCAAGGGGTTTTTCAGTTAAATTGAGAATTGATTTGATTGCTGCAATGAGATCTTGTTGATCTTTGTTGAAATCGAAAATTATATTGCTGGCTATTTTAAAAATTTCATTTAATTATGGTTTGTGATGTACTTTGTTTGTTCTCATTGAAAAAAATATAAAATATTAGATTTATTTATTTTTGAATTATAAGTTAATTCATAATGTACTATTACATTTTAACACATAATTAATCATGAATTCATTTTGACTTTGTTAAATCAAAAAATAATTTATCACACAGGTTATTTATTTCAATGTGTTATTACAAATATTGAATTTGATTGATTTTTAAGTGTATTATTTATGTTCATTTACACACTTATTTTTAATTATTTTTTGAAATTATTATTAATCATTTATTTAAAGTAAAATATAAATGATTAAAATAATATTATTTTTAACATTGATATTGATTTTTAATATCAATGATATTGAAAGTCTGTATGTTAAAGGACCATTTCTAATAGATAAAGACAAGATAATTCTATTAAGAGGAATATCAAGACCATCTTTAGAGTGGTATGCATTCGGTGAAAATCTATCATTGAATGACTATAAATTAATGAAAGGATGGGGTGCTAATGTTGTCAGACTATCGTTAAATCAAGTAATTTCTAATTAAATAGTATTCTTATTTTTAAATAAATTAAAATTATATTTTTTTACACTCTATAGGATTTCTGGTTGGAAAAAGCAAAACTTTATAATAAAGAATATAAAGAGACAGTTGCCAAACAAGTAAAGATGATAAGATCACTTGGAATGTATTGTATCTTAGATTTACATTGGTCAGACGATGGAGATATCAATACGGAGCAGGCAGGTCAAAAAAGAATGGCAGATGAAAATTCGATTGAATTTTGGAAACAAGTAGCACCTATTTACAAGAATGACACTGGTGTCCTCTTTGAATTGTATAATGAACCGCTGCTACTTCCTTGGCGAGTATGGAAAGAGGGTGGTGTTTACAACGGTAAGAAATACATTGGAATGCAACAACTCTATGATGCCGTTAGAAATCAGTCCGCTGAAAACATTGTTATCATAAATGGAATAAGATGGTAAATATAATAATAATAATAATATAAAATGTATTATATAAAAACTTGGAAACTAACTATATTCTTTTTAATTGTTTATTTCATTCAAAAGGGGATTTGATTTATATGGTGCAAAAGATTTAGTATTTCCAGGTTACAATATAATGTTTGGTACACATCCCTATAAAGATCCAACACGTGTTAAAAAGTATTGGGATCAAACATTTGGTGATCTAAGTGACAAATATCCAAGTAAATAATTAAATATATCTCTACTTATTCTAAATATTAATATTACTATTATTATTTAATTATACATAGTTATAGCAACAGAATTTGGTGAATTTACATGTGATACAAATTATACAAAAGAGTTTTTGGATTATGCTGATATGAAGGAAATACATTGGAGTGCTTGGGGTTGGTATAAGAAGGATTGTGCATTCCCATCGGTCATAGCAGAGTGGGACGGAACACCAAGTGCCGTAGGAGAGTTGGTTAAAGAATCACTTACACGTACCATCAAAGAGATCAATATCAACTTTTTAGACATTGAAGACAAAGATAAAGATAATGAAAAGGAAAAGGAAAAAGAAGAAGAAGAAGAAGGAAAAGAAGCAAAAGAAAAAGAGAAAGAAAATGAAAAAGATACAGATCATCATCGTCATCATAATACTTCTAAAGAGAATGTAACACCTCTTAAGAGTGCTGAAGATGAAGAGAGAGATTTCATTGATGACTTTGAAACCATTGACGAAGAGAAAGACGATGACATGAGTGTTGGAAGTTCAGAAATTGGTGCAATAGTATCAGCTGCAATCGATGTAGAAAATAATAAAACATAATAAGATAAAAAATATAATAAATTAAATAAATAAAGATAAACTTGAAAATAAATTTAAAAAACAACTAATTATTTGATCATAATTTACACTGTGACCTTTTTTGGGTGTGATCACAGTCTTGAATCAGATTTTTATTTTTTTTTTTTTTTTTCAAATCGAAAACAAAACTAAATAGAAATAAAACATAACAATGTCAAATAATATAGAAAATAATCATAATAATAATAATAATAATAATAATGATCAGAAATCAAATGAAGTAGCAATAGATGAGAGTATGCTACTTGCAAATAGAAAGAAAGCATTAGAGAAAGAGATAGATGATATCAATAGATTGATTCAGAAGAAAGAGAGACTACCGGATGCACCGACCAACCATTGGTATCAATCGTACCCACTGATCGACAAGACCGTCAGTCATCCAGATTTCGACGTTTGGCGAATCAATACGATTCTCATGGGATTCTCTGGTCTTGCAATGGGTGGTATCATCGGTTACTCCGACGGTCTACAAGCAATCAAAGATCAATTGAAACGTGCATCACATAATCCTTTGTCAGCATCAGAGGTATATATATATATATATACGCTATTAATAACTACTTTACTGTCTAATCAATCAGTTTCTAACACTATGTATGTTTTAGTTCCAAATGAATGGTAGAAAGATATTAGGTCAGAGCGTATTTAGAACATCACTTATCTATTCCTATAGATTGTCATTATATACAGGTTTATTTTTGGGAACAGATTTGCTTTTAAAGAACAATGTCATTGGAGATAAACCTTTGATCAATCGTACTATAGCTGGATGTACAGTTGGTATTTTAGCTGGTTATCATATAAGTATGTAATCAATATTATTATAATATAATCATTAATCATAAACAAACAAACAACAACAATAATCTAACAAAACTCTTAATTATAGGACATAGAGCAGGACCAAACAGTATTTTATTAGGTAGTATTTTAGGTAGTGGTATTGGTTTCTTATCAGGTGCAATGGATATTGGAATTTCAAAGATATTTGATAGTGGTGATAGTGATCAAAAAAGAAAAGATATTTCACAACTATAAATATAATATAATATTTTAATAAATAAATTAAAAAATGTAAACATTCATATAAATAATATAATCATCATCATTACAATTAGCAGTGTTCATTTATTTATATTCATATCATACTGAGCGCGCGAAAAAACGTTACTTTGAAAAAAGGGGTTCACTGATTGGATTTCGTTTTTAGTGGTAGATGTTAATCGTTCGTTTTAAAAAAACAAAAAAACAAAAATATTAATTTTTTATTTTTTTTTAATTTTTAAAAAAAATTAACGAAGCAATACATTTTGCATTACAAATAATTTTTAATTATTTTTTTATTTTAGATTATTTGAAAGATTAAAAAATATTTATATATTATTTTTTTTTAAACTTCAATTTCAAAAACAGTAATCAATCATATGATTCGAAATTGAATGTAATTTATCAAATACATCGATCAAAAAATAAATAATCAAAATCAACAACAACAACAAACCAACCCAACAACAACAACAACAACAAACAAACAAACATTAGAATCACCTATTTAGTAAATAGTTTATAAAGAGAAATAATAACATAATGTCTTCGGAACAAGTTGATTTTGTAAGAGGTCGTCCACAGACCGATGATTCGTCATCGTCATCGAATTTCGATCATAAGAGAAAAAGAAATTTAGATGATAATAGTAGTACAGGAAGATCTTCAAGAGATAGTAATAATCAAAAGAATGGTGGTGGTGGAAAAGGTGGAAAGAGAGGAAATAAGAAACAAAAGAGTAAGAAATCGGATGATGCTGCTTCTGCTGCCGCTGCTGCTGGTATACCAACACTCAAGACCGACGACAAAGATCTTTTCACAGACGACTATAAATTGTTGAAACAAAAGAAATCGAAATTGTACGATCCAAACGCACAGCAAGACTCTGACGAGGAGGCCGACATCAAGACCAAGAAAGGAAAGAAGATGCCATCAGATTATCTCTCAAAGAAACAGGAACAGGATGCCCAGAAACTACTTCCATTCTTAAGAGCCAATTTCTCAAAGGATGCCAATCGTCTTTTATTTAAAGTATGTAACAACTAAATATTATTATATTATTAGTAGTATTTTATATAAATTATTAATTCTCTATGAAGAATTTCTATACTGGTTTAGTTGTAATGGGATGTCTTGAAAGTATTTCCAATATGGATTTGACATTCTCACTTCCTTTTGGTGCCAAAGGTTATGTGAAATTCAATGAGATTTCAGATGAATTCACAAAGTATCAAGAGTCCGTCATGAGAAGTAAAGATATACCAAGTAACTTTGTTAAGCTCGACACCATTATGAATCGTATCAAAGGAATGTTCATGATTGGTCAAATCATGAAAGTTGCAATCGTCGGTCTAACCGATAACGCCAAGAGTTTTGGTTTACATTGTACACTTAGGTAAATTATGATCATAATATTATATATTCAATGTATTCATGTATAAGAAAAAACAATGTTATTAATATTAATATCAATATCTACTACTACTTTTATATTTTAGAACTGATGTTGTTAATGTTGGATCAACTACATCGACATTCAAAGAGGGTATGACAATCTTTGGTGAGGTGAAGAGTGTTGAGGATCGTGGTTATATTGTTTCGTTCGGTAAGGACGTCGAAGCCAAGGGATTCATCGAGCATTCGAATACACGTTATTTCTGGCCGGTTCAAGGTGCCGGCACCCAGTGGAATGAGAACGAGTGCCGTCTCGCTCAGGGTCAACCGCTGGAGGCAGTGATCACCGAGATCGACAGCGCCACCAATACTTTCAAGTTGAACGCATCACATCCACTCATCAATCGTTCGACAGTCACTGACAGCGCCGTCGTCACCATGGACTCTATCAAAGCCGGTATGATGGTGGACACCAAGATTGCCAAGATCTACAGAAACGGTATCTCTGTTACTTTTCTAGATTATTTCGCAGGTGACATCTTTTTCACTCATCTAGAGAAACCATTGTCTGAATACAGTGTATCAATGAACGTAAGTTATTAAAAGCAATAACAATATATATATTCATCCGATCGGATTCTAATCATATACTCATTTTTCTACAATATATCTACAGTTGAAAGCAAGAATATTATATGTAGATCAAATCGATAAGAAGATTGGTTTGTCTGCACTTTCACATGTACTCGGTCTTAGACCTTATCCATTCGGTCAGATCAAACCAGGTGCCATTTTCAAATCTTCAGAGATTCAAATCACCAGAGTAGATCCATTGGAGATGTACGTTTCAATCAATTCATCACAAAACTCACAACCACTTAAAGGATATATACATGTATGTAAAGAAAGATAAGAAAAGAAAATAGATTATATATATATATTAACAAAGATATTTAACAACAACAACATTTAGCATAAAAAAATACCAGATGTAAAAGTTGATAATTTGAAATCAATATATCATCCCAATGGTAAATTCGATAAAGATTGTAGAATCATTCACGTCGATCATGTCGATGCAATGGTAACACTTACACTCAGCAAATCCGATCTATCTAAAGAAGTATATAATTACTACAATCTATTCCCAGGAATGATTATAAATGTAAGTTAATAGGATTGAAATTCAAATGTGGAAACCGGTTAACTAATGTTATTATCTTTTGTTGTTGTTAGGCTGTAATTAAAATTATTAGACCGGATTCAATTGAGGTTGAAGTTAGTCCATCGATTTACGGTGTCGTTCCAAAGCATAATATTGCCGATACGATCTTGAGCGATCCATCGAAGAAGTTCAAGGTTGGCCAGGCCGTTCGTTGTCGTGTGTTGTCGTGTGTGCCACAATACAAGCGTCTGATGTTGACCATGAAGAACTCGTTGATCAACTCGACACTCCCGATATTCACCAACTCGGCCAATGTCAACGTCGGTGACATCTCACACGGTTACATTTCGAATATCAAGGACAACAGCCATATCTTTGTCACTTTCTTTGACAAGTGTTTCGGTATCGTCCAGAAGAAGCATCTCTCCAACTTGCCGGTCACCATGATCGAAGATCACTTTAAGATCGGTCAGGTCGTAGCCGCACAGGTCATCGGTAGAAACAAGTTTTCACTCGATCTCTCACTTGTCATCTCCAACTTGGAAGAGGAAGAAGATCAACCACAAGTCAAAGATGAACCAATCGATAATATTAAAAAAGAACAACAATCATCAGACGATGAAAGTGAAGATGAATCAGAGTCAGACGATGACGACGACGACCATAAAGATAAAGTAGAAATAAAAGATGAACCAGAAGATAGTGAAGAGGAAGATGATGATATTGAAGAAGAATCAGAAGAATCAGAAGAAGAATCGGAATCGGAAGAAGAGGAAAAAGTAGTAGTAAAGAAACAACCAGCACCAGTTCAACAAAATAATAATAATAAGAAATTAAATAATAATAATAATAACAACAACAATAATAACAATTCAAAGAATAATAATAAACAAACTCAACCACAACAAAAACAACAACAACAACAACAAAAACAAACAGTCACTTCTACTAAGAATAATAATAGTAATAACAAATCGTCAACAACACCTTCCAAGCAAACAAACACAAAGAAATCAAGAAGTAAATAAATCTTTTTAATCGATTATATCTTTATTCTATATATATCAATATCACACACACCAGTAGTGTTAGTTATTTGATTTGATTGATCATTTTAAAAAAAATGAATGTGTGTGGTTATTTGTTGTGTGGTCTAACACTAATTGGTAGAACGATGATTTTTCATACTGTCTTTACTTGTTTTTAATATCTAATTTCCAAAGAAGGAATGCAGCATGTGGATTGGTGATCAACCAGTGATACTCTCAGCTGACTTTATTTAACTGTTTCTTTACTTTTTGATGACTCTGGATAGGTGTGATGTCACTCTTAATCTGAATGATATGATGTCATGCTAAAATTGGAAATGAATAGTTACAACTATCTGATATTTTACATAATTTTGTTGATGTTATTATAAGTTTTATAAAAATTTAAGAATCTTGTTTTATTCACGATCTAATTCAACTTTAATCACTTAGAATATTCACCAATCACTTCCAAAATAGCTATTCTATTCTTTAAAATGAATCGATTACCATCGTATATCATCATCAGCTTTTGGATTTAGTGTTGCTTTGATTAATCAAAGTTCACTGTCATCAAAAAACTATTTAAACAACTAAAATTAACTCTAAACATTCATTCATTCAATCATTAATACAATCATTCAAAATAATATTAAAATAAAAACTATTTTAAAATATAAAAAAGAAAATATAAATATATATAATACTAATAAAAATAATTACAATAAATAATTAAATAAATATATAAATAAATATAATAAACCATTATCTTTTTAAAAAAACCTTTTACTGTAAAAAAATGTTGATAAGTAAGTTCAAAAATTTAGAATAAATTTATCCTCTTAAAATATCTTTATTAATTGTTTTTTATAGATAATTTAAAACTTATTAATTTCAATACTACTCAAAAGAATATTACTGTCCAAAATGGATATAGTTCCCTTACTATTAATAATGTTAATTCCAATCAAAGTTCCAATCAATTGACAGAATTTACCAGACCATTTTGGTCAGTTTGGTAAAAAACTGTTAATATTTTATTTATAATTTGTACGATTCTTTATTTATTTCTGTAAATTTTAAATAAATTAAATATTAAAAAATAAAATAAAATATTTTGGTTTTATTTCTGTTCCATCAATTGCTTAAAAAGATTATATTACATAAAAAAAGTTTGTGATCATTTTTTTTTTTTTAAAAAAGTAAAATGGTTGATTTTATTCAAATAATATTACTATTTGTAAAATGATAGAATAAAATAGGATAGATTGTTTTGTTTGTTCGAATTGTTTAAGAATATTTATCTTCTTCCTTTCTTGGTGAGGTAGACGAATGCAAGAACACCGATGACAGAGGATGCCCAGTAGGCCACCAATATACCAAAGTTTCTCCAACGATTCTCGTACTTCCAATCCAACGATTCAAAGTAGTCGGCACCATCTTTGTATATGCAATATCCACATTTGTCTGTTGTACCATTCAATGATACTACGTATCCTGGAGCGTAGGATAAGAATTCTTGGGTGTATCCTTCACATGAACTACCTTGTGGTGCGCTAAATTCAATTAGATCCGATGGTTTGCAATTGACTTTTACCGGTTCAAGAATAACCGATACAATTCCTTCCATTAAATATTTCGCTGGATTCAAGTGGTATTGGAACTTGAAGAATGATGGCAGCTGTGAATATGGAACGTTGGCACCACACAATAAGAAAATATAGAATAGCAAGAATGGTAAACTGAGGAAATGAAAAACAAATAGTAAGTTAGTTAATTAGTTCTTCAAATTAATTTCAAAATGATATTATATACTTACGCAGCAATTGATATAGCAATATCAAAACAAGCGGCACCTAAAGCCTGACTGAATGCAACCAAGTACAAACTGAACATGACGTTCAACAACCAATAGTAGAATCCAGAGATCGCATCGGATTGAAGACCGGCAGTCCAGTAGGTGGTGATAAAGAAGAGAGTGGTGGAGATGATAACATACGGCATCTCAACTGCGACGATCGCAATCGAGAAACTCGGCCATGAATAATACTTACTGGCGTAGTCACGACGGAAATAATTCTTTTGGATAAAGAATTGCGGTAATACCAAATAGATCAAAAGGATACCTAAAACCATACTTTCCCAGAGGAAGAACATACGCTGGTTCATATCTGTCGATGAATCTTTGAGGTTGTAAAAGGTGAAACCTACGATCAGACCGGAGACAATCGATTGCACGAAAGAACCAACGGTGTATTGTGGATCACGCCACCATATGAGATTGAAACGTTTGTACACTTCAATTAGTTGGGTGAGGAAGTTGGTTGCAAACTCTCTGGGAACACCGTTGGCATTGGCATTGACATCGATGTACTTTGATAGTTCCACTGGTGTCTTTAGTAGTGCCAGTTCCTCTTTGGCGTTGCTGAACTCTGGCGAACTCTTCCAGACGCTGCTCCAGTCGGTGTCGGTCTTTCCGTGGACACCGGCACCAATCACATCGAGGATATACTCGGCGGGATTCTCCGATGGATGGCATTCTCTTCCACCGTTTCTAACGAAATAGTTGATAAGAGTTTGAGAGTTATCACCGATATCACCGAAATACACAGTCTTTCCACCTTTGGCCAACAAGAGAATACGGTCAAAGTGTTCGAATAACACTGGTGATGGCTGATGGATGGTACAGACAAGCGGCATTCCAGCATCGGCGAGTTTACGAATGAATTTGATAATGTTGTAAGACGATTGAGCATCAAGACCCGAGGTTGGTTCGTCCAAGAACAAGATATGTGGTTTGGCAACCAGCTCAAGTCCGATGGTAAGACGCTTTCTCTCCTCGACAGAGATACCGACACCCGACTCCAAACTTCCGATGAGTGCATCACCCAAGTGTTTCATCTCCATCATTTCCAAGACGTGTTCGACATAGTCGTATTTCTCCTTGATTGACACCTCTGGTTCTTGACGCAACTTTGCCGAGAATCTCAATGCTTCACGGACTGTCAAACCTGGATTGTGGACATCCATTTGCTCGACGTATCCAGTGATTCTCTCAAAGTCAATCTCCAGCGGTTTACCATTGAGTTCACATTCACCTTGAACAATTCCAATTGTTTTACGCTTTGCGAGAACGTCGAGTAGCGTTGTCTTACCGGCACCGGAAGATCCCATGAGCGCAGTCATCTGTCCAGGTTTAATCCAACCAATGACATCGTCCAACAACAATTTCTGTCCTTCGGGAACGGGAACGGTATAGTTGATATTCTGCCATGTGAAGATACCACCGTGAATCTTGAGATTCTCTTTCATGTGCGAGGTAGCCTCTGCTACAATCTTGTTTTGTTGACGTTCCTCTTCGACATCGTTCAACTTTGGTGCTTTGCCTGGTTTGTACACCTTGTGAGTGTATCCACCTGCAGTCCAATCGAAAAACTCGATCGCAAAGATATTGACAGCGATATAGGCCAACCAGAACAAATAGACAGCAACGACATTCAATGCACGTTGATCAACATCGAAAGCAAATGTATTACTCAGATAGGTCTCACCTGCAATCGCCATATCACCTTCGACCGCACCAATCACTGGACAAATACGATGACTGCTATCGTTATAGTTTGGACCGTATGGAATTGCAGATTCACCACATGTGAAATGAATTCCTTTGAACTCGTTGGTCATCAATGCCTTGAAAGCATAGGCAAGAGGATTAACCCAGAAGAACCATTGGAACCTGGAGTATATTGAAATTCAATTTAAATGGTTAGTAAAAAATTATTAAAACTCCAGGATTTGTAAAGTTTGAAGCTTACCAAGGGTGCATTTTTTTATAGGGAATAGAATAACCGACATAGATACTCGCAAAGATGAAAACGAAATTCATAAAGTTTTGTCCAGCAAAGATGGTGGGTGTGAAATTTCCGAATGCTCGATATAATGATGAAGCAGCCAGAGTGATACCAATCAATGTGAAATAAAAGATAAAGAATTTGCCAGCATCAACGTCAAGTCCATACATAAAGTACACGATGATAGCATGCATGGTGACCTGTATGAATGCAACTGGAATATCGACAATTACCTGGGCAATCAAGAATGCAGAAGGACGGTACAAAGCGTAAGCTTTGTGCTTCTGAAGGATACGCCTTCCGGTGAATGTAGCGTGAAGATTACCACTTGTGAGAATGACGTTGAAGATGATAGAACAAAAGATTGCACCACCTCGAGTGAACAAACCATTGGTTGTATTGTCCAAGTTGTAGAAGATTCCACCCATAATGAGCGACTGTGCAATCACAGTGACAAAGAGAGTGTAGGTTGAGAATTTGTCACCGTTACTCAGTTGCATTTGACGCTGGGTGAGAGCAATGCATTGAGTGATAAAACTGGAGGTGTATGGCGATCTCTTGGATGCAGTCTTACTCTTTTCCTTGCGAATTTGCTCGATGAATTCAACTGATGGCTGTTCCCTCTCGACGGCTGCTTCATAGAGTTGTTGAGCTTCCATCTGTTGTCTGAAGAGCTCAGAGTTTTTCCAGGCCTCCTCAAGATCACCGGATGTCTCTGGAACGCGACCCTCGAAACCTGGACGAACCAAACGTTCCTGTGGATTAGAAATTCCAGTAAGGAAATCGGCAACTGATTTTCTTTGTTCACAATCGAAACCCAGATCCAAGAAATATTGCTTGGCGAGATGAGTCGGACCAAAGTAAATACAACGACCTTTATCCAAGACCATAACCCTGTCAAAAAGATTATAGATTGAATCCGATGCCTGGTAGAAAGAGGCAATGGTAGTCTTGTGGAGAGTATCTGACATGATTCTCAATGACTTGGCATAGTCCAGTGCGGATGCAGCATCCAAACCACGAGTTGAAGAATCCCAGCAGGTGATAGATGAACCGGATACCATTGCTTCGGTAATTGTCATTCTCTTACGTTCTCCACCTGACAATCCTCTAACAAATTCATCACCAACAACCTAGTTTTAATATTAAAGTAAATATTAATAATTATTATAAACTTGTTTATACTTATTAAATTTTATATTTTATAACTTACAGTATCTTTTTGATGAACTAATCCATACATTCCAACTAATAGATCAAGTATTTTAGTACGGAAATTCGCCTTTGTTTCCTCTGGCAAACGTTGATGGGGTGTCTTTAATTTCAATGTGAAATCAAGAGTCTCAAAGACTGTGAGAGTTGGAAAATGGATATCTTCCTCTGGTGTGTAGATGGCTTCACCACGGTATCTTCCAAATTCGTCGGCTGGAATATTACCATACTTGATGTCACCAACAACATCGATATAAGAATCTGTCTGATTAGAGATGACTCTCAATAATGTTGAACAACCAGCACCTGGACGACCCAAAACCAACAACATCTTACTATCCTCAATGAAACCATTCACTTCATTCAGGATATTGAATGTTTTAACTTCACTTTTTCTAAATCTATAATAATTATATTGTAAGTATTTTATAATATAAATAAATACTAATAATTATTATACTTACAAAGTAAATGGATTCAAACATTTAAAAAGAAATTTGAGTGGAGTTAAATTGTCGTCAATGATAGAATGATCAGCACCTTGACCTACAACAGTAAGATTTTTAATGGAGACACCCATCTTTTTAGGTTTTCCACCGATCTCCATTTTCATTCTTTGAGAGTTTTCAAAATATTTACGGAGTTTGAAGTCGTCTTCATTCTCTCTAACTCTTTCACCCATCTCTATATCTCCAGTAGGCTCGGTGTGGATCTCCTGGAACTGTTTCGATTGGTTTTCCAAATCATTGGAAACCTCATTGAATTGTCTGGTACTTTCCTCGACAGAAGCTACACCATCGTTAAGATTTATTTCTGACATTGTTTTATGTTTTTACATAAAAACAATATTAAAAAAAATTATATATTTAAATATAGATATGAAATAATTATTTCTGTTTTAATTAAAAATTTAATATTTGTTAAAAAAAAAATTGATTAGATAAAGATATATTTTGTTTCTGAATTAAGTTCGTCTTTTAAGACTTATATTTATAGTTCTGTCTAAAATAAAAAATAATCTATAAAAATGTGTTTATCCATTAATTGAACTGATATTACATATTACCCCACTAGTGTTGAGCATCAATTTTAAAAAAGATCAACTATGGTTTACCGTATGCACTCCCACACTGGGGGGTTAGAAATAAAGTTTCTCGATCTGTTTAATAGTATAAAGCATATTATAGTAGGTGATTCAATAAAAGAATCAAACACACCAAAGTGAAGGAGATTCTTTTTTTTTTGTTTTTCAAAAGTAATCGTAAAAAAAAATTAATGTTTTTTTTTTTAATGACACAATCAAATTTCGTCTTTCTCAATACTATATTTGTCATGACATGTCTGCAACAGCTGATTTCGAAATCAGTCATTACCCCCACCTTACATAAGGCAAAAATGTCAAAAGAAAAGTTTTGGCATTCAAGATGACCTGGTAACAGTTTTTTTACGAAAAACATAAAAATTAATAAAAATTAAAAAAAAACGAGATGCGGAAAAATAAAAATAAAATTCTCCAAAAAAACCTCAATATGGCAAATGAAGAACAAGATTCTTTTTATAACCTTCTATTAAAATAAAATAATTCGAATCTACAAAAATTAAAAAAAAACAAAATTATATCACGATCGATAGCATTGAACTAACTGCATCGAAATGAAATGAACGAAGTGAATTCAACTGATTGAAATTTAAAGAAATCGATGTGGGGAACATGATTAAATTAATGCAAAACAACGAAGTGGTCGAGATTTTAAATTAAGTCATCATGATCCCCACAGTTTAAATTTTAAAATTTATTAATTAATATTTAGATATTAAATTTTTGTGTATAGTTACAATCATTAAGGAGAATGAAGAAGCTTCTCCTTCTCCAATAACTTCTTCTCTCTTGTTAATTTCTATAAAAAAAATATAAATGAAAAGGTTATTGTGGTTTTACAAAAAAGAGAATGGCTTCTCTATTTTATTTTTGTATATGTTTATAAATTTCTCCAAAAATTACAAATAGGTTAGTTATACTTTTCATAAATCGATTATTTTTATTGTTTTATTTTTTTTGAAATCTTAACTTGAATGATTTGCCCATTATTTTATCAAAAATACTTTTAATAAAAAGTGATTCGTGAAACAATACAACCGAATTGAAATATGGGAATGAAAAGTGGGCTATTTTTTCGATTGGTTTACCAAACATGAGATAATGATGATCCAATTTTCTAATGTGACATTCATAGTGTTTTTCTGTTTCTTTTAAGATAATGTTGGTCAGAGTACGAGGAATACTTGATATTATTTCCTCTGAGTATTCTAATTTTAATGATCTAAGAGTATCTGGTATCAAGCCAATTGGTATTTCTTTATCCTGTCTGTATAGATTAAGTAGCTCCAATGACTCTAATGATTTCGGAATTGATCCAGGTATGATGCTTTGAAAATTGTCCAATATCAAATGCTTGACTGAAGCAGGTAACGGTCCAACTTCTAATTGAAAGTTGTCTAATTTATGAAATTTTGATAAATCTAAAGATTCAACTCCAGGTGTAATGACCCCAGGTGTGATGACTCCATGAAAAACAATCTGAAATATATGTAAGCTTGGTTTTGGTGTTGGGAACCGGTCTGTTGTTAACTTCGTTAATCGATACTGTATCTCTATAGGGAATAATTGGTCATAATCAAAGATGCATTTGTTAATACTTAAATGGCTGATCAATGGTGGCATCGGTACTGATATTACATATTTAGATGCAAAAACCAAGTCTGTCAAGTTTGGTGGAAACTCACAATCAACAACAGGCATCAATATATCAAAGAGTAATATCGAAGTAAGATTTGGAAGATTGGCTAAGTAAGGTAGCCAATAAACTGAGATGTATTGTAATGAACGAATGGTAATGGGTAGAAAGTTTGAATCGATAGGTTTAGGTACTCCGCCTGAGAGAATGAGAACTTCGAGGTTGGGTGGGAGTGAATCAAGTAACTTGATTGATTCACTATTGATGGCTAAAGATTTGAGAGATGTTGGTAGTGTATCTTTTTCAATTGGTAGGTTGTATAGATATCCAAACGTAATGCTCTCCAAACCATCTGGTAAAACACCTAATCCAATAGGTTTATCGTAATATCTACACATCGCAATATGCTTAATATTCAGAGGTAAACTCTCATTGGTCAACTGTTCATTGAATCTGTGGTAGAATGATAAATCACTGATCTGATCGGGTAGTTTACTCTTCAGTGTTCGACAACCATACAACTTTGTAACATTGGAATTCGATATCATCTTATAAAGTAGATCGGCATCAATATGAGCATCCTTAAGAAGATCGAAATCCAAATTCATTCTTTCAATATTATCTAAGATTATAGTTGATACATTTCGTTGAATTGAATCTTCTTTTGATAATACTTTGTTTTTAGATAAAGAGTTACAAAATTAATAAAAGATCTTATTTGTATTAGTACATTACATTTTTACTTACAATGATCATGATAATAGTCATATTTACCGCTAAAAAAGTATTTATTACCAATATAGAAGGTTACATCATTCTTTAACTCCAATGACTTTGAATAGATATATTGATATGATTTTAAATGACATCTATTACTAACATTTTGATTCTCAAGCAAGTTAATTGTATCGGTATTGAACAAAAGATATTTATTTCTTTCTTCAAACCAACGTTTGCAAACTAAGCTTAAGCATATCCTGTCAATGTTATCGTGCACTCTATTGACAATATAACCAAGTATAATAATTGGTAGATTCACCAAAACATTTTCTTTGTTTTGATTTCTTTGTTGTATATTAGACATAATGAACCTTTGATAATAATATGCGACCGAAAAAAAAAAAAAAACAAGTTCAAGTGATAATTTTAAAATTTTAAAAAAAAGACATCCGGTTGGATTAAAAAGGGAAATAATATGATAATAACGTTATGTTAAGAAATCTCGTAAATATTATTTAAAAATAGTAGGTTATACTTTATAATCAAGAAGAGCATGAATCGAATATACTACTTATTTTATTTTATTTATAATTTTTAGAATAAAAGTTGAATGTTTTTGTCAATATCTTGGCAATAGTACCACCAATAAAAAGTGATTCGTGCAATAATACAATTGAACGGAAATGTGGGAATGTGAAATTCGCTATTTTATCGATTGGTTTACCAAACATAAGATAATGATGATGATCCAATTTTCTAATGTGACATTCATAGTGTTTTTCTGTTTCTTTAAAGATAATGTTGGTCAGAGTACGAGGAATACTTGATAATATTTCATTTGAGTATTCTAATTTCAATGATCTAAGAGTATCGGGTATCAAGCCATTTGGTATTTCTGTAACATTTGACCAATATAGATTGCGCAGCTCCAATGACTCTAATGATTTCGGAATAGAACCAGGTGTGATGCTTTGAAAATTATTTAATATCAAATGCTTGACTGAAGCAGGTATTGATCCAACTTCCAATTTAGAAAGTTGAGATGACAAATCTAAAGATTCTACACCGTGTGTAATAGCCTCAAGTGAAATGACTCCAGATTGTCCTTGATATACGATATGAAAAATCTGTAGGTTTGGTTTTTGTGTTGGTAACCGGGGTGCTGTTAAGCTTTTTAATCGATACTGTATGTCCACTGGGAACAACTGGTCATAGTTAAAGTAGCATTCATTCAGAGTTAAGTGTCTGATCGATGATGGCATAGATACTGATATAACAAATTTAGATTCAAATTCCAAGTCTGTTAAGTTTGGTGGAAGCGCACCATTAAAAACCGATTTGGATCTATCACAGAATGATATCGAAGTAAGATTTGGAAGTTTCGTTAAGTAGGGCACCCAACAAACTGGAATGGATTGTAATGAGCAAAGAGTGATTGGTAAAAAATTTGAATCGATAGGTCTAGGTACTTCACCTGAGATTCTGAGAACTTTGAGGTTGGGTGGGAGTGATTCTAGTAATTTGATTGATTCACAACTGATTGTCAGAGATTTGAGAGATGTTGGTAGTGTACTTCTTTCAATTGGTAGGTTGTATTGATATCCAAAATTAATGCTCTCTAGACCCTCTGGTAAAACACCTAATCCTATAGGTTTATCGTAATATCTGCATAGCGTAATATGCTTAATGTTCAGAGGTAAACTCTCTTTGGTTAGTTCTTCTCTAAATGTATGGGAGAATGACAAATCACTGATCTGATCAGGTAGTTTCCTCATCAGTGTTCGACAACCATGAAACTTTGTAACATTGGAATCCGACATCATCTTGTAGAGTAGGTTGGCATCAATAGGTCTAAGAATATCGTTATCAAAATTCATTCCTATTATATTATCTAAGATTATAGTTGATACATTTGGTTGAATTGAACTATGTTTTGATAATACTTTGTTATTTAGATAATGAAAAGATGTTTTTATATCAGTACATTTCTTCTTTATAGATACAATGATCATGATAAGAGTTATATTTACCACTAAAAAAGTATTTACTACCAATATACAAGGTTGCATCGTTCATTAACTCTAATGACTTTGAATAGATATATTGATATGATTTCAAATGACATATACTACTAACATTTTGATTCTCAAGCAAGTTAATTGTATCGGTATTGAACAAAAGATATTTATTTCTTTCTTCAAACCAACGCTTACAAACTAAGCTAAAGCATATCCTGTCAATGTTATCGTGCACTCTGTTGACAATATAACCAAGTATAATAATTGGTAGATTCACAAAAACATTTTCTTTGTTTTGATTTATTTGTCGCACATATATATCATACATATTAACATCAAAAAAAAAAAACAAAAAAATTAAATAGATCATTTTCATAAATAATTGTCAAAATTTTAAAATTAGTTAGACAAAGAAGAGAATTATATAGTTTATGATTACATAGATCAGAGAAAAAGATTGAACTTATTTTTTAATTTTTCAAAGTTGCCTGTATTGTTGGTGCATTGACTCATCTGATGATCCTTAAAACCAAAGTGATTTATGATCACATCTCATTCCAAAATATACATTGTTTATTTAAAATCTCGTGTTGAAGATCTTTTAAACTTCGTACTCTTTAAACTCTTTCTTTATAATTATTAGATCACACAAATTTGTGTGTGTTTTTACCGATAATTTTTTGTTTCATTGGTGTTGTGAAAGGTCACCACAAAACGAATTAATCAATTAATCAACTATTTTTTTTATGACATTTTTTTTTTTCATTTTTTGTTCAAGTTTATTTTTAAATTTTTTTTGCCTCAAAAAATAAATATCGATCAGTTTATGTTATGCACCCCTTCATCTTTTACATTTGCACCTTTAACAACTTTATCTGACTAACTCTATCAGATCGCAACGCCGATCGAACAAAAAAAAACAAAATAAAATGTGAACAAACCTCAATTTTTTTTTTTTGTTAGCAATTTGACTGCAGTCACCCTGTAACCTCTTTTTAAGGGTTAGGGTATGGGCTTAAAGAAACGTTGATTAATCTATTCAAATCAACCCAAAACCAATCAAATCAATCAAATCAATCAACACAAATTAAAACTATAAATAATTTGGTCTCCTCATCATTCTTCTTCTTCTACTTCTAATAATATATAATTTATTTATTTTCTATTTATATTTATTTATATGTTTTAAAAATAAAAATGTTTAGTTATTATTATAAAATTAGATATAAATTATTTATATTTTTAGTTGCTACGACGATTTTTTTGTGTTTACCGACAGTGGTATTTGGTTTTGACTATGTTTCACCGAGAAAAGGTTATAAAAATGGTGGAACCACATTTAGAGTAATTGGTGATTTCGATGGTACACCCACTGTCAAAATTACCAGAGTATCAGACAACCAAAACTTTAATTTTGTATTCAGTGGAAGGTATGGACGTACCTATGATTGGATTGCGCCCGAAGAGCCCGCCAGTTCTTTGATTGTTGGAAAAAAAAGAAAACTCTATGACCATGATGTATTCACTTTCACCCTGACCGAGGTTAATAATTTCGGTATACCATCCATAAACGAACCTTGGTATTTTGTTGGTAAGTAGTTAGTTAGCAAATTAGATACCAATATCATCATTTTTCAATATTAATTATTTCAAAAAACAATATTTTATTTTCTTATATTTATTTAATAAACAAAGAACCTGCTATAAAGAAAATAGATCCTCCAAATTATTATAGAGTTACCAATGGAGCTGTCCTTACTATTTATGGTGATGATTTGGTAATGAATGATTTCGATCCTACACCTGAAGTTTATTTTGATCGTGGTAATCTAAATGTAATCAGTAAAGCAAATGAACAAGTACGTGCTATCATTCCGGATTCGCTGACTGGTGTTGGTGCCCGTGTGATTAGACTCAGAACAAATGGTTTGGTTGCCGAAGCACCCATGCGATTTCAATATGTCTATCCTCAAATCAAAAGTATCTTTCCAAGAGCAGTGGTAAGCGAATACTCTGGAGTTAAAGTTGAACTCACTGGTGATCTCTACGACGACGAAAAGAATCCAACTTCACAAGTCTTCATCAATAGTATACAGTGTACCAATGTTGCAGTTATTAAAAAAGGAGTGTCTTGTATTGCACCGCAACTGAATACTCCCTTGGGTACAACCAAGCAATATTCCATATCAATGAATATCCAAGGACAGGATGCTTTATCAACAGTGTATTACACTGTTATAAGTAAGTAATTGAATATTCTATTATGAATAACTTGTTTTTTAATTAACATTGTTTTATATAAGATCCTAGAATAGATGGTTTCTCACCGAAGTATGGTGTTTTAACTGGAAATACTGAATTGACAATCACTGGTACTCACCTCGATCAAGTTATTCAAGTATACATTGGTGATTCTGAATGTAAAATACAAGCACAGACTGCTACCAATCTTGTTTGCTTTACAGCTGCCAATAATAACAATGGATATGCTCGTCCAGTAAGTCTTTATTTTAGTAATGCTGTCATTTCAACTGCAAATGATAATCTGTTCACCTACTATGTATCGGTGGTCACCTCGATTCGACCATCAGCCATTTCCAATGGTGGAGTTTGGAAGTTGACAATCAGTGGTTCTGGATTCTTCAAAGACAGTAAGCTCTATTTAGGTACTACCGAGTACAAAAAAGACGACACATCGAAAGATGATGTCATCTACTTTGAAGCCAATGGAAATACTTTGTCTGCACTCGCCAATACTTTCGATGTTCTTGTGAATGTAAAGCCAGTGTCACCCATTCAACTTAAAGTATTGATTCCATCCATCAAATCAGTACTCCCGATTCGTGGCTACCAATTCACTTCTACACCAGTTACTATTACCACCGAGAATCTACCTGTTGGTATGACCAAAGAGGAAGTTGAATCGTTTGTACAAATCAAGGTCAACAATAAGATATGTGAAAAGATTGCACAAACAGATGTCAATACTTTGACTTGTACAATACCAGCAGGAGATACAGCCAAAGCCGAAGTTCTCTCATTATTCATAAAGAACGTTGAATATAAATCTACTGTTTCTTTCACCTATTTCATTCCTTTAATCACTTCTCAAGATCAATCAACCACAATCTTGGTGGGTGGCGGAGAATTAAAGATTGTTGGTACCGATCTTGACCAAGTTACAGGTGTTAGAGTCGATACTCAGACTATTGCTGGATGTACAATCAACGCTATCGAGATAAAGTGTACGATTCCAAGACATCTACCTGGTAATTTCCCAGTGGTATTACTTGTCGATATTGGTGGAGTGCATGAATTCAACACTGGTACCAACATTGCCTATATTGGCCCAACGATTACAGAGATCAAACCAAACAAAGGATCAAAAGAGGCATCCATCGAATTAACAATTACTGGTACTGGTTTTGGTAATAATGCAGATGATGTTACCATTTCTTTTGGTATCTATACTTGTGGTTCTGTTGCAATAGAAACTACCAATACAAGAGTGCTATGCACCATTCCGAAGATGGCAGTTGGTGATTACACTACATCACTACAAGTCAGACCCAACAGTATTTCAGCATTCGTCGATGCTATCGATGTTGTTACCTACACTTCATATCCACTTTCTTGTCTTGGATTACCGGTGAATGGAGCGAATGCACCAGTCGATTGGTGGTTCATCTACAGATTGAAAGAAACTCAAGACTATCTGTACATTGACTCTACTACCAATGTTCTCGAGTTGAAACATGGCTTGAACCTATCGCCAGATTACAGTCCTTTGGAAGCGACATGGGAGCAGTATTCCAACTACTACTTTATGACATTCACTGATCAGAGTGGGTCAAGAGAAAGCACGGAAGGTAAACAGGATGTTGAATATAAAACATATGGTGAAGGTCATGTGAAGAATATCGTAGTTTGGGATGATCCAATTCTAAATGTTGTCAGTGGTTATCACATCATTCATTCAAACCCTTTCTTCCCAGCCATTATACCTAATGTACCGGATATCGAACTCTCCTCCAAAAAAGATGGTCTACGGTTTTTGGGCGCAGGTGCTAACAACCAACATTTCTTTTGTTACAACTTCAATGATTTCAACAAGGTTACAGAGTACATATTGAAAAACGATGCAAGTATTCAAAGTGTTTACTCTCCTTTTGCTGGAATGGACACCTGGACACAAGCTCAAAAGAATACCTATCCTTATTTTTACGACTTTATCGCAGACTATGCTGAATATACACCAAGAGTTTCAACCAATGGAATACCAACCATGACATCGAAAGATTATAGTATTGCTTGCAAAGAACGTCTCATGAACGGTGTAAGTACAATGGATAGTCTCGAGAACATCTGTTGGTGGAAGACAGACGTATTGAATGTGGCAGGTCTAAAAATGAGATACTTCATGAAGGCATCGATCCTGAAACCCAAACCAGCTGATTTTAAAAAAGCAACATTGACTTCCTATTTTATGATACAATCTAAAGCTTCATATGATGGTCTAGACATCTGGAAAATCGTTGCAAAGACATTTGGTAGAAAAATGTTTGCAAGCACTTGGATGGGTGGATTCAAACCATTCCCACCACAGGAAGAAGTGATAAGTGTATCCGATCTGGAAGTTCCTCAATACTTGGGAACAAACAATGGAGTTTGGGAAAATGTTGAATACAAGTCAACCAATGACCACAGTAAAATTGCATTCTCCATGTATCCTAAATACGGAACAGAAGCAAGAAATGATAATGGTAAATAGTTTATTCCATTATTATTTATTTTCATTAATATCTAGATTTTAAAAAAATTAATTTCATTACAATCTCAAACATATTTATTTTATTAGAGAATTACTTTTGTGTTGGAGATCTCAATAGACACTTTGGACAAGGTAAGAGAGGTGGTGGTGCGCTCTGTTTTCAGCATCCAACATTGGTTTATCAATTTAATAGAATGGTGCGAAGATATTATGTCATTAAGGATAATGGAAAAATATCAAAACCAAAAGATTCGTAAGTTTAACAACTTTTAATTTTATTTATTTTTACTTTTTATTGTTCCAAATAATAATATTTTAATTATATTTTAGAGATTCGCCAGAACTATTCCTCAAACTTACACTACCAATTAAATTAACAAGACCAATCAACTGGGCAAATGATATCTTTTTAGAGGTAAAAGATTATTTGTCAGTCAACCAAATAATTTCACAAATTCCAAAGAATATCTATACGATCACTCAAGGTACAATGTTGGCTGGAACTGACGTCGAACTATGGCTCCAATCATTGAGAAATGTCAACAATGATAATGTTCGTCCATATGGAGAGAGATCAACTGTACCATCGGTTGGCTCAGTTATGACAGAACCAGATATTATGGGCTATCAGAGCGTAGATATTTTATCACTTCACTATATTGCCTATGATCCATTGATTGGTTCTATTTGTGAATACAGTGACACACTCACTGACTGTACTAAAGACGGCGCTAGAACTTTAGTCGTACCAAGAACAACCCCAGTTTTGACTCCAGAAATACCACATCTCTATAACTATGAGTATGGCGAGCTCTTGCCATTGAGAACCTTTAGTGTTATGAACCATGATGATTTTAGATTAATCAAATTCACCTCAGAATTCAAGGCTCAACTTACAGGAGCAGCAATCGATATCTACAAATATCTTGTTGACACTACTGGTACCATCACAGTACCACATTTCAATGGTCAATTCATTATTCGGAAATCGAATGGTCTATGTGAAGAGGAAGTAGCATATCTTATGACTCTTCAATATATTTATTTCAAAGTAAATGATGTTACTCAAAAAACATTCGAAATTGACGATGTTGCTCCAAACTGGTCAAATGGTATTATTCTTGCAATTTCAAAGAAACTTTACAATGTATGTATTATTAATAACATGAAAAATAAAAATACCATGATAATTTCTAACAATATCTTTCATTTCCAATAGAATTTACGAGGAATAACAGATCCAAACTTTGATTTATGCTTCCAACCAATTACTGGCTTTGCAAATATTGAAACTTATACAGAGTATGTATCAAAAACAAAACAAAAAGAAAGGTTTTTAAAAAATATACTAATATTATATTATTTTATTTTTCAAGTACTGGAACAGTTGATAGTGCAACTATGGTTCAAAAATTCAGAAGAAGTGCATCTGCTGCTTGGGATTGGATGAAGAGTTCGTACTCAGATGGTGCTGGTGGTTTTACAAACAGAGCAAATAACGATGCTGTCATTCCTGTGGCAACTTTGATTGATGCAATTGTGGCAATGACAAATGATGGTGATGATATGGATTTGATACCAATGGTCGACCTTCTAAATCTAATGGCACCACGTTACTCAATCAAAGTTAATATTCAAGATATTCTGGTGAATCGTTTAATCATTAATCCACCTCAAATTGATGGCATGGATCTTGACAACAGTGATGAGATCAATGACTCTGATATCCTGATGGTTGTTCCACAATTATTGAAAAGTAGTTTTATGATCAAGTCATCTCTTGACTCTGTTTCCTCAGAATCATCATATTCTTCTTCCTCATCAGAATACAGCACTGTTTCTTCCAACGAACAAACATTCTTGTATCAAGACGAACATGAAATTCTTTCTGGTATTCAACAACTACTGCTATCTCTCAACTCAATCAATGAAAGTAAATTAATAACTTTGACAAATTATCAACAACAGAAATTGGAACTTGCTTTGGACAAATGGATTACTATCTTCAACCAAAGCTCTGCCATTCAAACATTACTTTTGGATCCTCTTAATCAGTATCATGATCAACCAATTCGCTTCATTGAAGAGTTGAACCGTGATCAAACTGGAAACCTTATTGAACTCGCTTATAAGAGTCTTGGAACAACTGGAACTCAGATTGCTATCACTTCACCTCTCTCTATATCATCAATAACATTCTTCCTTGAGAGTACAATTGTGTACCAGTCAACAAATACAGTGAAATTCAGTGACCTTGAAGTCTTTTATCTTTCAAAGCCAGAAAATTATAATGGTCATATTTCAGATGATTATGATGGAATGATTATTGCCACTTTAAACTCACAGTTATGCGACATCAAGATGATAAGTGAATCAGACTATCTATCAAATAACTTTGATTCGATCTGTTCGAACTCCGGTCCAATCATTACATCAGTCGATCAACTATCTGGATCGACTTCTGGAAATTATTTTATAACTCTCAGCGGTATAAGATTCAACTCATCAATGACCATCTTTATTGGAGACAATGAATGTTCACAAACCAATTTGATATCATCCACTCAGATTTCATGTTTGGTTCCACCAGGTACTGGATCAATCAACGAGATACAATTAACAACCTCTCAAACAATTTTCAACCTCCAAAGAACCAAGTTTTTGTTTTCTTATGGAAAACCTATCATCAACAATATTGAACCAGATGTGGTTAATAGTTTTGGAAGTGATTTGATGACCATATCTGGAATAAACTTTGGAAATGACTCATCGGTTGTAACGATCTTGTTTGATGGAAGACTTTCATGCTCCCCAATTGTTTCAGTCAGTTCAGAATCAATCATTTGTTTGACACCTCCTGCTGTTGGTCTTTATAGATCTGTAACCGTCACCATCAACGATCAATCCACCAAATGGAATATCGAATCTATTGACTCTCAATCATTTAGCTTCAGTGGTCCAAAGATTGATTCAATTTTCCCGTCATCTGGAGACCCAACCGATTCAATGATCATTTTTGGTGATGGAATCGGTATAATGGAAGAAGGTGATCTACCACCTTTACTATATATAGATGATAATCTTATTGAAATTACCAATATGACCGATGAAATGATAGAGTTTGCATTGGAATACGATACTCTTACGCAACCAGTACGAATTCAAATTGGTGATCAAATATCTGATGCTTCGGATGTCACTTACTTGTCTGCATTGGTAACAGTTTTCAACGAGACTCTAATTCAAACCAAAGGTGGTTTAATTCAAATGTACGGATATGGTTATGGTATCTATCAAAGCGAAGTTGAATTCAAACTCAATGAAATCACAGAGATTGAATGTAGTCCATTTGATTTATTCATAGAATGTTACATACCACCAGGAATTGGAAAGAATCTAACGATTTCAGCATCTATATCCGACCAATTGGTAGATTTCAATAATATCAGTAACTTCATATCATATTATCCACCTACGATCTCTTCCTATTCAATCGATGCCTCCATCACACTATTGAAAGTAACAGGTACAAACTTTGTCCCAACAGAATATGGTGTAACATTTAACTCTACAACATCATATATCAATATGATTTACAATAATAACAATCAAACATGTTCATCATTTATATCGAGTACAGCAATTGAATGCTCGATTACATCCAAACCACAATCTATCCAGGTCATTGTCGAAGGTCAATATTCAAATATTTTAACTATGCAATAAATAATTCAATATTTTTTATTTATATCAAACTATGAAGTTGGTTGTAATTCAGTCATTGCGTTATTGAGTTTATCCTTTTTACTTTCCAACATCATCCGAATAGTATATCTTAATTTTCGTCTTAGAACCAATCCGACAATAATTACAATTGCCAAGAGTGCACAGACCGATCCAACTATAATTCCAATCTTTTGTAGTCTAGATAAACCATTTGAGCTACAAGTATCCGAAGTGTCTTGATCTACCAAGACATTAAAATCTGGATCCAAAATAGCTAGAGTTTGGAAGTTTGGTACGTTTATTCCAATGAAATAGTATGTGGAAGTTGAACTTGATTGCCTATTTAAATCTAAAAGTGAATTTCCAACCTTTACTTCAACACCATCGACAATTCCGCTATCGATGAATCTACCATAGAGACTCTTGTCATTGACACGCATTTTGATCCAAGATACTTCTTTTGAATTGGTTAAACCAACTGTCGAGTCTGTATAACAATTAGAATCTGTAACATTGATATTGGCAGAAATAATCACCTGTAATATATTGAGTCTATCTTTGAATGGATATCCAGACACAGCAATAGAGTACTTGACTGTGTATGGTTCCATAGTTAAATTTCTACCACCAAACTTGACACTGGTTCGTTGAGTGTAAAAAAATACATCGGTCTGGAGTGAAACAGTCGATTGAGATGCTGCTACAGTTGTCGCATAACTGTATTGTTGATAACTATCTTTGGTGTTGTTGGTAAGGGTCCAATTGGAAAGTGGATACGACTCGATAACTTTTCCAGAGGAATCCAATTCTCTTATCTCCACTACAGACACACCAGATGTAAAATCAAAGTTATTCGTTACTGTGGTTGGCTCATTTGGGCTTGTTGTAACATTGGTATTGATAATTTCTAAAATAATTAACAAGAAAAATTTGAACAATTAATAATTGAAATTTTACAATCAAGGATGAAAACTTACGAGATCTACAATTTGGTCCACTATATGGTAGATTGCATACACAAAGACCTTCTACACATTTTCCATTTCCAGAGCAATCTGGGCATGGTTTGTTTGGTGTATTTGTAGGTGTTTGAGTTGGTACAACTTCTGGGATTGTTCGATTGGACACATCAACTCTAAACATATTAGACTTTTGATTCGCTTGTATTTGAACAAAAAAGAATGATGGTGGAGTGTTAATTTGCACCAAGACAAGTGGTCCAGAGGTGAAAAATGGTGTAGTAATAATCTCACTACTATTATTTAAGGTAATAAGTACTGAAACCAATGTAGAATTTACCATTCCAAGCTTGTATCCATAGATTGATAAAACTCCACCCTCTGGGTAGATCGGACTTGTGGAGGTGATGATTGGTGCGGTGTTATTGTATGTTGTTTTGACATAATATGAAAGTCCCATGCTTCTTAACATATCGGAAGAGTAACCAGATGTTTTTCCACAGTTATCGTAAATTCCGTACATCGATAGTAGAATTCCTCCATTATATCCAAATCCAAAAGGTATTGGGAATGTTAGGTCTCCAAAAGTATTAGTTGAACTTGTTTGTAGAAAAGGAAGAACCTGGGATATTATTTCTCCATCAATTGCAGTTAAATAAATCGACGGAAACACTGTAACTAAGCTATTGGTGTATGATAACTCATAATGAACAGTTATGTTATTCTCTGCCCCACTTACGTCTACTTGTGGTGTTACGATGAGACTAGTAAGAAGTGGAGCTGGACCACAGCTAATTGGAACTTGAATCTTCACAGAAATAGTCAGATCGTTCATCTTTGGTGTGTTCAAAAATGAATATAATGGATTAATAACCATATCGGAATCCTCTACAGTTGTCAAAGTGGTTGCTCTATTTCCAAGTGTGTCATAGAGATCGAAATGTAATGTTGCTTGGTAGTTCATTGAATAGTTTTCGAAAGTGCGGAATAAATATATAGTAAATGAATATCTATCACCATCCGATCTCGTATCATAATCGATTTCCCATTTCCTATTGACCATTGGATTTTTCTCTGAAATAAAATAGAAAAAACCATTTCTAAATCCAGCTGGATCACTGATAGAAACTGACCAATAGCAGTATGTGCCTGGTGACACTTCAGCTGGACAACTTCTTGAAAAGTTTGTTATCATTGGACCCATCATATCAGAATCTAAACATTTTGATTTGTTAACATTTTAGTTAATTAGAATTTTAATCTCCTTTAAAATCAAAACTTTTTTGCTTACAGGTTGAAGTTACATTTAAGAATGCATTATATTGGATTGATTGAATAGAAGCGATGGTTCGAGGAGTAAAAGACAATGGATAACTTAATAGAATATATTCAACAGAGCCAGTGTGTAATAGTTGTCGGAGGGTAATTGGAATTACAAACTTGTCAAGTGTGGCACTGTAATATCCTTCAAAGATTTCACTACTTTCTGGATTCTGTGCTTGGTATCCAGTATATAATAATTGAATTCGAGGATTGCCAACCTTTGTACCACAGCTAAAGTAGAGTGTTGTATTGACTGGTCCATTTGAAACATCGATATTGTTTGGTGAAAAACTAAAACTGGTTAAATTCTGTGGATCTATAGAAACTGATTATTTATAGTTTGTTAGTTTTAATGACAATCAAAAGAAATATTAATATATTTAGACTTACAAAATGGAAGTGTAGGTATAGTATCACCATTGGTTGAATATATATCACCTTCGATATATGTAACAGAAGTTGGGAATAAATCGGTAATAGTGTACTTCTCTAATGTAACTGGGTTGTCTGTGACTATGGGCATCTTTACCAATGATTCAAACCAACCAACTTTGGTAGTTCCAGATACCAAATCAATATTTGAGAGGACAACTCCGTTGAGCAAAGTCGTTTTGAAATATCCTGTATCTGAATTAATATACATTTGAATGATTACAGAATAAGAATCGATGGGTACCACCTTGAAACTTTGTAGGTATGGCACTTGGTGTGATGGATGCTTGTAATAGGTAGAATTCCAAACTCCATAGGATATAACAAAGTCTGGATACTGATAGTTCTGGAACGCTGAAATTGGAATATAAGTAGTTGACATGAAAGGTGCCAGCACAAGATTGAATTGGTACTTGTAAGTAGTGGAATCGGTGTCTGAAACTATACCAAATGGAATTGGAGGAACTGGTTTGCCATACATCCTAAGTCCTGGAAAATGTGTTTTGTTTTGATAAACAGCCCAATTCGACATGATTGGTATTGCCTCTAACTGAGGTGTAAAAACACCGACTTGGCTTGGTAGTGTCTGAACTTTGTAGTTGAAATCCAACACCTTTCTATTACTAGATTGCATATAAACCTGATAGTTTGAATCGTTGCTTGGATAAGGAATGGAAAGCATGCCAAATGCAGACACACTAGTTCCAGACAGTGGAATAAAACGAGAGACTGGCACGCTGTTTTGATTGTATACACGAATGTGGTCTCCACTCTGTAAAAGCGTAGTTGCTGTGAGCTGAGAGGTATCATCCGAAAGCAAAAGAGTGGTACCACTGGGTGTCGCCAAGTTTACAGTGGCACTGGCAGCCTTGGTCGATGTGAATTGCGCCATATAACTATAACTTTTACCATGACCAAAGATTGTGATATTGGCTGGCGTGTTGATATTTGAAGTTGGCAATGGTGTTGCCTCTACTATGTAGGTGGGTGCGGTATCCGAACGCTTCATCGGCTTCACAGCGCATTGAAATCCAGGAATCGTGCATTTATATCCATTTGGCACATAAAGTTGTTCGGTGGTGAGTTCAATCATTGATTGATATACATTGGAGTATGGCGATCCGACAAGTAGCGGAGATGCGTATCTAACTGTTAGTGGATTGAGTGTACATACACAATTCATCGATCCATTGATGGTTGGACCACTCGGCGGTACTAGAGCATTGTATTGAAAAACAAAACTCTGGGAAGTGGAAAACTCTGCTATCACCAACTGTGTATAGGTGGAAATAAAAAATTGACTATAGAGTTTCGTATTGTTAGTACTACTACTATATGCAGTACCAAAACTGAGATAGGAAGGTGTACTAAAAACAAATATAAAACGTATTGACTGTTGCACTCCACAATAAATGGCCTTCGGTGATACTACCTGCAGAAGGGATGGCGCTGCCGGAACACCAGCCAAACTGTACAGTGTAAAAAATTGTAAAAAAAATATCAATTTTAAAAATAGTGATATTCTTTCTATCATGATATTATTACAAGATTATTTTCTATTTTGAAAAACAGTTTAATTTTAATTTTTTTAATCAAATGGTTAAATTGTTAAAAAAAAATCCAATTGAGGCTTTTCACTTTTTTCATTTTAATATTTTTACATATTAATTTTTGTCTTTTTCACTTTTTTTTCAAAAAACTACACACTAATTTTTTAAAATAAAAAAAGTGAAATCATGAGGTTTAACCTCATTTAAATAGTAAAAAAAAAAGATTTTAGATATTTTTGCGACTTCTGAAAATAGGGGTAATTTGTGTTTTAAGAGAAATATGATATTTTTATTTTTTTTTCGACCAAAAAAGAATTTTTTGATTTTATTTTGTGATGACAAGAAGATTTTTCTTTTCAGATAATGGTTAATGATATAAAAATAACAAATTTAGTTTTTGATTATTTAGATTATGCCAAAACCGTTGGTTGTAAAAATAATGGTTCACAATAAGTAGTGTTACATCCACTTTTACTTTCATAGGGGAATGAAATAGCTCTGAATGCAGCACCGCAGGGCTCTGGAATATGTTCAGAACAATCGGTTGGTTGAGGTACACATACATTGGTCTCTAGGCATCTGAGCTCGTTTCTGTAGAAGGTCATGATCTCACCGGTTGGACAAGTGGTATCACCAATGGCTGGACACATCTTGTAGTTATCTCTGACATTTACGTAGAGAGCAGATACTCGGAAATTGTTATTTTCAAAATAACCTTGTACGATTGCCATTTTAATGCTTAACATATATTCACTCCAATCGTCACCCAAACCATAGAGTTCAAGCTCTGGACTTGGTTTTTGTGCACCTCCGTTTAGAGCGATAAGACATGGACCTGGTTGCTGGCAAGAATCCTGTGAATAGTAATAAAAGTTACCTACGGAAAGTGGAGTTGGGTATCCATCTCTCTCTAATGGAAATTTACGGAAGACTTCAGTAATATCTAAATGTGAAATTGTCTGGTGTTGTGTGTATACCAAGTTTCCTCCGATTAAAGCATCATTTGGATTGGCAACAATTACACTTGGATCGATATCGGTCTCAAAGAACACTCTTGACACTGGAATATTGGTGAGTTCGGAATTGGCTTTGTTCAATAAAAAGGCAGCACATGATGGACAGGTTTCACCACTTCCTCTTGCCAAATAGAAATCCAACTCCTTTCCAAAAGAGAGTGTAACAGATAATACAAGTAATAATAAGAATGTTGATTTAAACATATTTAAATAGAAGTTATTTTTTTTGATTTGATTTGATGATTAATAAATTACAAATTTGTTCTATATATATGTTTCTATTCAAACTCAAAGGAATTCGTCGGAACATATTTCCTCTAAATTTCTTTACTGAGGGATTAAATTAACAAGTAAATAGTATTATTTGAATTTCACCAATACTCCAATTAAATTTAGATAATTGAAAACAGTTAATTTGCCTCCCTCATGAGGGAAATTACTTTTATCATATAATTCTTTAAAAAACTAACTGTTTTATTTTAACAAGATATTGATTGGCACACATACACACAAATTTACATAGATTAATGAAATCACAGACGTTATTAATATTTTGATTTGATTTGATTTATTGGGTTATGGTTGTGTGAATACTGCTACCAAAGTTAGTTGTGAGGAAACAACTATGTGAATAACATCATGATGAGAAAAACACAAATAATAATGAATAACTTTAAATCAAGCAGCTCCTTATACAATTTTATTAAAAATCAATATTTTATTGGGCTTTGTTGGCTGGTCTCTTTCCCTTGTTGGCTTGAAGTTTAGCGTTTCTGGCAACGTTGGCAGCCTTGACTAACTTTCTGACTTCAAGAGCAACCTTGTGGTTGGTCTATATATGTTAATGAAAAATAAGAATTAATATAACTGTGATCATAATGTTACTTGTGAATCTCTAAATCGTCCGTCATCATTCGTCCCATATTCATCAAAAAATAACTAAATAGTGACCAAAAAAGCTGTTTTCTTTGTATTCTATATTCTGTTGTTTATCCTGCCTGTTTTGATGATCTGATGACGATGTGGTGATAAGAGATTGAGTGAAATAGTTGATACATACGGATTTCTTGGCGATTCTGGACTTGAAACGTTCGAAATCAGATGAGTTGGCCTTCTTTTCGACGGCGGCGACTGACTTGCTGATACGGAGTTGAGCAACCTTGTTGTCGAGATCGGCAGCCTTGATGGCGTTGGTGAGAGTAGTCAAACGAGCACCTCTCAAGACATTGAGCTTAAGCTTGGTCAAAGCGATCCACTTCAAGTTGATAACGTGACGTGGGACACCAGTGGTTGGACCGTGAACCAAGATCTATACGTAATAATGAAGTTGTAGAGATAGAGTAGTTTGTAGATAGGGGGTAGTTGATAAGATTGTTAGATACACCTAAAAAAATAGATAGATTGGTAGCAAACTATACATACTCTATTTTGATCCAAGACTTCGAGGATGATAGCAGTCTTGTTTCTGTATTCACCAAAGTTGATGAAGACAACACGTCCAATCTCAACGAACAAAGAGAATTTGCTGACCAACATGATTAAGGAGGATTGATATGAGCTTGAAGGAGAACAGTATTAGTCAATAACTAATCAAGTGTTAGGGTATCACTGGAAGGAGACGACAGAGTCAGACACACGAGAGACGAGACGGGTGAGAGACACAGACAGACCGGTAGTTCGAACACGCAGAGTGAGTGAGTGGTGTGCAGAGAGTGTGTGGAAGCCCACAGGAAAGCATCATTTCGAAAAACAAATTCAAAAAATTCATTAAATTGAAAATTCCCAAAAATAACGTTATTCCAAATTTTTCATTTTTTTAGTTTTTTATTCTAGCTTTGATGGTGTGTGTGAACTCCACACAATGAAAAATTAATGAGAACCACAACAAAAAAAAAAAAAAAAAAGAAAAAAATAAAAAAAATTAATACGATTATCAATCACACACTGAGCAGCAATATATTTTTTAATTTTTTACATATTTTTTTTTGATCATTTTAACAATAAAATAGATTATATCTATAAATATTAAATAAGTAAGAATGAGATGAATTGAAATTAAGAACAGATTTCAATAATAATAATAATAATAGGTAATGAAATAGTTATTAATAATTGATTATTTTATTTAATTTTATAGAGAAAGAATGACACTTGTATTACCAGCTATGATTAAGACTCAACTTGTCAAGGACATTGGTTATGGACTTTTAATTGGAACCGTCCCAGCTTTATATTTCAAACACAGAATGAACCAAAACATCAAGGCTCGTGAGGACTACTACGCTGCTTTGGACAAGGCACCAATCAACGATGAAGCCATCTAAATTATTTAATAGCACAGCTACCAATCAACCTTTTAGAAATATAGATCATCATCCCTTATACAGTCAATCATATCACAAAAAATAGTATATATAAACAACATCAAGCACAATCGATTTCATTCATTTATTGTGCGTTAATGTAAAATCAAAATTTAAACAGATTAGGAGAGAGAGATCATTTCGATTCTTTATTCCTATTTAATAGTTATTATTTCTTTTTAGATCTAGTTTTATTTTTAGCTAAAATCAAGAAGACTTCGATAAATATATATATTATAGCACAAATGAATTTGATAATACAGGTTTTAAACATGGAACAGATAGAACAAACAAAAAACAATAGGAAAGGTTTCAATTCAAAATACATCATTTATTTAGTTTAGATTTTGATGAAAAGTAGTGAATCTATGAATTGAATTAATTCATTCAATTAACATTTAATTTTCTTTGATCATTTTTTAATCTAAACATATAATTGTGATGTATTTTATGTATAAATTGATTTTCAAAATAAAATTAACAAAAATGAAACCGTTTATTGTAATTATTTAGTTTATCAATAAAACTCAAATATCTTTTATCTTTCAGTTTAAAATAATAAAAAAAAAACAAAAACTAAAAGATATATATAAACTTCATTGTTAGATATGATTTCTGATAACATTATTATTATTATTATACAGAAATAGATTAGTTTATTTAATTTTATTAGATATATTGGATATTATCTCCTCCTACAAACAAACAAAAAACAACAAAAATGTTTCATTTAATTGTAAATCAAAACTGCATTCACATCATACATTTTTCAACAAGATAAGTTTGTTTAATTAAACAGAAAATCCTGTTTAATAATAATAAAAAATAACAAAAAAAAAAAACAAAAACATAGTTCAACCAGGAATAGGAGTAAAAAGAATACAAAAACCCAGGCGAGGTGTATTGCTGAGAGTGGAAAAATCAATTTTGAATTCAGTTGGATTTTTTTCATTTTTTTTATTTATAATTTTTTTTTGTTTTTTTTTTCAGCAAAGTCTTCGTGTGTATTCTCTTCCTCTCTTGACCTTTTTGTGCCTCTAATTTTTAGTAAATTATTTATTAATAAGTAAATCTTCTTATTTTATTTTATAATAAAAGGTAATTTATACATATTAAAACAATCTATATAAAAAGTAAATATACCTATAGAGCTATAAAACTATAAACCATCAATAAGTCCATAGTTCTTGTTATAAAGTCAAATTAATAACTGAGAAAAAAAAAAAAAAAAAGAGAATAATGTCAAGAGTAAATCAATCATACAGGTCAGAATATTAAAAAATAGTAATCATATCATATTAGATAGAGTTTACATAAGATAGGAGATAAGATAATAATTCAAAACAAACAACAACAACAATGACAATGACAATAACAACAACAACTATAAGTGAAGATATTGATGTTTGTAGAGAAGAGAAGGATAATGATTATTTCTGGTTTATAGTTTTTTTCCACTTTATTGGTTATTACATACATATACAGTTTGTTAAATGAAAACAAATTGAGATTCAATTGATATTAATATATATTTTTGTTTCAAAATTTATAGATCTATTTTTTTTTTTGTTTTTTTTATAAACTATATAACATTATATAAAGATGTCTGAAGACGGTATCAAGAAGTTGTTGGAGGCTGAGAGAATGGCACAAGAGACCATTGCCAGAGCAAGACAAGAGAGAAATCAAAAGTTAAAGCAAGCCGTTCAAGAGGCTGAAAAGGATATCAAGACCTTCAAGGACAGCAAAGAGAAAGAATTTAAAGATTATGAATCAAAGGTAAGTTCTGACATACAATACAAACAATCTCTTCATAAGTAGTATAGTATATGGTTATTAATATATTATTATCAATTATTATTATTATTATTATTATTATAGTTTCTTGGACAATCATCAGCCACATCTGCTGATCTCGCTTCAAGTGTAAACAAAGAAATCGAACAAATCCGTAAGAAGACCGCCCAAAACAAAGACGAAGTTGTAGAGATGCTTTTGAAATTCACCACCGAAGTACACGTTGAGTAAATGCACCACTACCAACACTGTTGAATATACAAAAAATAATAGAGATATTTTTTTCTTTTTTGTTTCATATAAACCAACTTTACATGTCTTATTATAAAAAATATAATAATAATAATAATAATAAATTCTTTAAATATTAAAAACAAACAAACAAACAAACAAATGAAATGAAATGAAATTGAGATTAAATAACTTAAGAATTTATAAACAATCATATATATATATAGGTTATGTATGTTATTAATTTAAATGGTTTTATTTATAAACAACTCTGTCATGTGAAATATAGTTTTCTTTTGATTGAATATAGTGAACTCCGATGATTTCAGATTCACACTCTGCACAGGTCAAGTATTTATATTGTGATTTTACATCTTTACTGAACGCTATATTCTCGAATTGGAACATGTCTGGGAGGAACCACATGTATTTCAAGAGCTCTGCTGAATCACTTCCTTTTTGATTTAAAAGTGCAATCTAAATGATGAAGATAGATAGATGGTTAGATTTAATATATTTATATATAAAATTGATAAGATAGTTGTTTACCTCTTTCTCTACTAATGATGCATTGTTTGGTAAAATGATAATACATTCACATCTTCTACAGTGAATACGCTTTGATAGTTTCTTGTTGGAGTCATTTACGATGTCAGAGGTTGGCGATGTCTCAGTCTTTGTGACGATGTTAAAGTTTGAAGCATCAGCAAAAGCATTATCTACATTTGGGTCTTTGTGAATATCTTCAATTGGAATACCTTCAACCTCTACATTCTCTGTTTGTTGTTGTTGTTGATCTTCTACAACCTCTTGTTGTTGTTGTGGTTGTTGATTATCTTGTTCACTAATTTTATCAGACATTTATATTATATTCTATTAATAATAAATAAATAAATAAATACAATCAAACAAAAAAGGTTTCAATAGTAGAATGTATATATATATATATTATATTTGTTAATTGATTTGATTATTAAAGTAGTTAAAGTAACTATTTAAATATAAAATAATGATATTTATTCATTCAAAAAAATTCAATTAAAAATTTGAATAATTTGAAATACATTCTTTGATAATTTCTTATTATATATATTAAATTAAATAGAATTCATAGTTTTTTAAAGTTTATTAGTATTCACTTCACTGAAATCTACATTTTAAATGATATGGTTTCTAGATAAACTAAACTAATCTTTCTTTTTATTTATTTATTTTATTTATTTTATTTATTTAAAATATATTCAAATAATAATTATAATAATCAAAAAGTTGTTAAAGTTCTAAAAAAATCTATTATAGTTAACTATGGTCATTTTACTCTTGTTGATCATGTATTCAATAAAAAATAATTTGTAAATAACAGATATGGTTTACTTCAATTTTTTTGTTATTATTATTATCTATTTTTGATTAATGCGTGTGTGTGTGCATAATAACAATGCAATGATGTGTTAAAAAAAAAAAAGAATAGGATTTTAACTCAATTAATTGATTGTGGTTAAAATGAGCTCATCACACTCTCAATAATATGGTATGAAATCATAATAATCAACTACACAATTAACACTTATATCTAATTTAGTATATCTGTGCTTATTTATCTAACTTTGCAATGATACAAAAATAATCATTGATTACGATTGGTAACCAAAGACATCAACTTTGAACTGCTATAAATTCAATCTTTTTTCAAATTGTTAAATCAAATCAAATCATAATCAAATAGTTTGTTTAATATATATATATATATATATATATATATTTATATTTCAACTTTAAAACAGATAATTATTTAATATATATTTGTTAATCTTTTTCTTTTTTTTTATAAATAATAATAATTATAACAAAAATGCAAAATATTGGAAGTGAAACTAGTAAGGGATATGTTTTGGTCACTGGTGGAGCTGGTTATATTGGAAGTCATACGGTGGTAGAGTTGATCAATGCCAACTACGTTCCTATTGTCATTGATAATCTGAACAATGGATATGTGGAAGCGTTGAATCGTATCGAGGTCATCACTGGTTTTCGTGTAGAGTTCCACAAGATCGATTTAATGAATGAAGTCGCCTTGAGCCAACTGTTTGATATTCGTCCTATTACCATGGTTATCCATTTCGCCGGATACAAATCGGTGACGGAATCGGTCAGCAAACCACTCAGTTACTACGATAACAACATCACTGGTACTCTCAACCTCCTCAAGGTGATGCAAGCACACAACGTCAAGAATATCGTATTCTCTTCCAGTGCCAACGTCTATGGAAATGCAGAGACCGTTCCAATCACAGAGGATCTGAGACACGCAGCCACCAATCCCTATGGAAGAACGAAAATGTTTGTCGAGGCAATCCTCAAAGACCAGTGCATAAGTGATGCCGAGTGGAATTGTATATTGCTACGTTATTTCAATCCGGTCGGTGCCCATCCATCTGGTCTGATTGGCGAGGATCCACACGACATTCCAAACAACTTGGTTCCATATATCACTCAGACCGCCATTGGCAAGCGTGAGTTCCTCTCGGTGTTTGGCGGTGACTACGAGACACCCGATGGAACTGGAATTCGTGATTTCATACATGTCGTTGATCTCGCAAGAGGTCACATTGCAGCACTCGATCACATCTCCAAGAATCCAGGATGTGTAGCTTACAATCTCGGAACTGGTCGTGGATACTCTGTACTGGAAATGGTTGCAGCAATTGGAAGAGCGGCTGGCAAGGATGTTCCCTACAAGATTGTCGATCGTCGTCCAGGAGACATTGGTGTTTCTTATGCTGATCCATCTAAAGCTCAGAGAGAACTCGGTTGGAAGGCTGTATATAATCAAAACGATATGTGTGAGCATGCATGGAAATGGCAGTCTATGAATCCAAACGGTTATAGAGATGCCATAAATAGTATTTCTCATGGATAAATTAATAATAATAAAAAAATAATATAAAAAAAAAATCTATAAATTTAAAAAATGCAAATAAAAAGAATAAATTAATTTATTAAATATTTTAATTAACTTAGATTTATTTATTTATTTCTTTTAATTTCCAGTATATTATATTACCTAAGTTGAATATATTGTTAGATAAATAGAGTCTACTTAGATGATTTCACCATACACAATAAAAAACGTTTTAGTTTTCGACTAAATGACGAAATCTGGATTTTTCTTTAATCCTCTTGTCTTCTTCTTTGGTTAGTTTTGTTTTTCCAATTGAAGACTATGAACCACTTTATACATAGTCTTTATAGGCAAGTCAGATCACCACAGTAGAACCTACTTTGTCCAAAAAATCTTATAAAAAGTTATTTTCTTAAATCATATTTTTAAAAATTATTTTGTTTATTAAAATTGAAAAAATATAAATATATATTTTTTTCAATATATTGTTCGAATTATATAAGCAGCTCTCTCATTTAAAAAGAAATATCTGGGTTACACACTTTCAAAGCGAAGGAACTAATTTATTTATTATAGATGAGTTATATGGTGCTTTTCGTATTCATTAAATTAATTTGGTTAGATATTTTTAAAACAATCTAGAAAGAATCCAAATCAAAACAAATAGATAAAATTACTCCATTCATTTACAAAATACGAACTTTTAAAGTTAAAACCAATTTATTATTTTTTAAATTGGATAAATCATAAAATTTTTATTTTTATTGATTGAAGAGAAAAGATCTCTTCCTGTGAATTTCTTAAATATTATTTTTAAAATATGATTTTTTGAATTGAATTACCAAACATTCCAGAATGGTTTGTTTGAGAAAGATGGTTGACCTGCGGATAGTTGGTTGGCGCTATCAAAGTGATTTACATTTTGGGAGGTTGTAAATCTTGAATTTGATACTTGTGATTGGTTTTCAAATGAAAAAGCGAGGTTCTTTAAATTATCTGAATAATTAAGATTAAATTAGTTTTATTTCCTTTTTTTTTTTTTTTTTACAATTCTTTTTTTTTTTTTTACTTACTGATTAACATTTTTTTTAGTAGATAAATAAAAGTTTTAATGGTAATAAAAAGCTTGTAGTTCTTTAGAATTAGATTTCTATTGGTTTTAATTGTTGATGTCAACTTGAATTTTTATATGATATAAAGTGATTGGAATTCTGGCTATTTATCAAGTAACCTTTAGATTTGATTTTCGTTTACCACCATTTCTAGATGATGATGTGATAGTTTTTGAGTGGTAAAATTGTATATGTTGACTATAGGGTTGAACCGGATCACGATTATTGATAGTGGTTTGATGATTCTGATATCGAATGCAGTATCACATCATAGTATTTATTGAATGCTTGTAAAGAATGACATCCAATCACTAGTGACATCATTAAAAATAACATTTAGCATATACTCACATATATCAAAAGTGATAAATAAATGAATTCAATTTCACAATTACATAAATAGTATTATTTTTATTTATATTAATTGTAATAATTATTTTATTAATAACCTGGTGGTGGAATATTTATTTACATATGTGTGGTTACTTTGGTGAACCAAACCACACACAAAATAGAAGTATTGTAAACACACATCATATCCACACAATATTTTTATCAAGATTTTACATTTAATTAATAAATTTGGTAGTTTATGAATGTAATTTTCCTAACTTTTAAAATATCACATGTCAATATTCGTACAAGCTATTAATAGAATTTATGATGAGTAAAAATGATATCACCGATTGGTGTAAAACATTAAAAATTCGAATGTTAACATCATTGGTATTAGATTTGATTTACAATCAATGATTTTGATTGCTGACGATCATAAAATGTAAGTTAATGTGTGAATCCAAGAATTGAAATATTTAATTATTTGTTAAAAACTAGTGTGTGTGTGTGTTTGTGTGAAATAGAAAGAATGAGTGTGATTGTTTAATATTTATTAAAATTTAAATTAATTTGATCAAATAGTTCAATTGATTCCTACCACCACATTCCAACTGCACTTCCCCGTCTGATGTCAACAATTGGAAATTCATATTTTGTAGGTAACCACTCTTTTTGTGTGATACTATCGTCATCACTCCATTTCTAAATTCAGTATCAAAATCTGTTCGGTTAGCTAATATCCATTCTATCAACTCTATGTAGCATTCTTTAATATCATTCTCTACTGCGTAAGCTGAGCAACCTTCTGTTCTATAATGTAAATACTTTAGTATATCGATACTTGCTAGTGTTGAAGCATTGTCCATTGCTTTGGTGGTACTTTTATTCAGTCAACCATTTGATCATCTCCAACATATTGCACTAAGGTGATCGATGATATTGGGTCCATGACCTACAGTTCTATTCTCATGCATGATATCTTTTCATCACGACTGCATTCGCCATTGCAAGCCTTGTGCATTTACCCATGTTGTTAGCATTAAGATATCGAGTCGGTCGTTGATAGTAGCGAGATCCATTAGTTGGTCACGATAAGGAAATGGGATATACTATTTTATGAGTATATTATTAACATATTAAAAATTAATCTCGTTAGAAAACAGTTATTAAATACTGTTGAGAATATATATTTATTTATTTAATATGATGTTTTAAATTAAACTATTCTCTGATCTAGATAGAAATACATAAGTTTTTTAAAAAAAGTAGCGCATAATTTTTCAAAAAAGTAAAAATTAAAAATTAGTGGGGTTAATGTGATCAGAGTTGTTTTTTTTTATTTTATTCGATTTATGGTTACAAGCAAGAGCCAGTTTTGTTTTGAATATTTTATTTTTAAATTAATAAATAAATATTAAAATATTAAAAGAATTAATATTTTTGAAACAAAGAATAAATTGATATTCTTTTTGTGAAATAAAAAAAATATAAATTAAATAATTTATATTGTTTATATAAAAATTATACAAAAAGTTGGTAATGTCTACCTTATTTGAGTTACCAAACAGCCCAGAAAGGTTTTACAACTTTTGTTGCACTAATTTGATTCAAAGAATCTTCAATATTTGAATTCTTCTTGGAAATGGTTGAGTTTAGAGAAATCATTGAATTGTTAAAGAGATTTCCAGATGAAAATGTAATATTCTTTAAGTTATCTATAGAAAAGAAGATGAATTAATAAATTAAAATTAAAATTTTATAGGTATTAATATGCCAACTTACTGATTAACATTTTTTAATTAATTCTGATTTTAGAAATTTGTTTTAAAGTATTTGATTTTTCTCAATTGAATAAAAATCATGATACAAATTCTATTTATATTTTTGAAATGGAATTAAAAGTCAAGAACCAATAGTTAAAAATTGAAATGATAAAGATTAAACCCAATAATGATGTTGTTTCTTTTAAAATAAGAAATATCTATGTTGATTCAATCATTTTTCTGATTCATTTTGTATTATTAAATTTGAATTTAAAATAAAAGGTGTATTTTAAATAGATTTACAATATTAAATCAATCAAACTATATCATCATCCTATTGGAATTTGTAAAAAAGATATGTCATCATCAAATTTCAAATCAGATAAGATTGGTGGTTGAATACATATATTTTTACCATTAAGTTTTTTAACAAAAAGCGTGTTATTTTTATTTATGACATTTTCGTTGCTTTTCAATATCACTTGTCCAATAAAGGAGGAGAGTATTTTAAAATATATTAATTTTTACTCGATATTGAGAATATATTGAATCTTTGAATGTCTCATTATGAATCTTTATCTTTTACTTTTTGGAAAATATTGTTTTTAAAATATCTTTTAGCAATAGAAGCAAGAAGGGGTTCTAATTACAATTTACTTCTAATTCAATCTCCTCTTTGACCCTTTGATTCTATATTTTAAAATTAATTATAAATAGAATCAATGCAATTTTATATGATTAATACCCCAAAAATAAATAAAATTAATAATAAAATTAAAAAATATTATTTTATTTTTAAAGACTTATTTCAATAAATATTTTAAAATATTTAAGTATTACTATTTTCGAATCAAAGAATATTATATTCTCTTTGGGAAATTTTTTGGAGTTCAGAGTTACATTGTTACCAGACTGCCCAAAAGGGTTTACGGGATTCACTAACCTGAATTATTGATTCTCTGATAATAGAGTTGTTAATTGAAATTGTTGAACTTTGAGAAATCGAAATCGTATTTAATTGGTTTCTAGAAAAAAAGTTGATATTCTTTAAGTTATCTAAAAATATAATTACAGTTAATTATTAATTGTTTTTAATAATTTAATTGAATTGTTATTGTACATACTCAGTAACATTTTTAAATTTAAATATTTTAAGAATTTTATTGTTTATAAAGTTTGAATTTGATATGAAAAATAAGTTTTTTTAATTCTATTTATATATTTTGAAATTGAATCCTATTTGATAATTTGATAGTTTTAAAAATTGGTAAAGCCAAAAAAAAACCCTAAAATGATGTTGTTTGTTTTAAAGTAATTTAAATGTGTGTTGATTCAATCATTTTAACTGATTCTTAAAGTAATAAGAAACTAAAATTTAAATTAATATCGTCTATTAAATAGATATATGATTTGGAATCAATAAATATATATATCATCATCCTCATTTATTATAGAAAAGTTTGTAAAAATCGTATGACATCAACTTTTTTTTAACTAAATTGGTGGTTGATTGATACCTTTATAATATAGATTTAAAAAAGAGGGGTTTGACATTTACTTAATTGTTAACATCACATTTTTATATAGAATTAATAAAAGGGAACTAACTAGTGATATTTTTAAGAATATGATACCGAAAATAGATCGAAGTATTAAAACATATAGATACAAATTTGTATAAAAGTTGTATAACCCTTTAACTGATATTTGCAACAATCTACTATAATATAGTAAAAAATAAAATAATATAATTTAAAAACATTTATATAAAATGATATTTTATTTGTTGAATATAAAAATATTTAGACAACTTGGTGGTTGACGACGGCGGTCTTACCATCATAGTTGGCACCACCACCGATAACAGTGTAGGAGATGATACCGTTGTCGTTCAATTCCCATCTTAATTGTCTGTCACTGATGACTGGTTGGGCAATGTCGGTGTAACCATTGAAGTAGAGGACGTAGTTGAAGTCCCAGACGTATGACATGGAGAGTGGGTTACCTTGGTTGGACAAAGTGAAGGTCAAGCATTGGACACCCTTGTCGACGATTGGGAGAGCAACGTTGGTGTTAACAGTGTTCTTTGGGAGGATATGGAAGGATTCCTTGGTTTGGCTGTTGGCAACGGTGACGTTGAAACGAGAGTTGTTTACAAAGGTAGTAATGGTGACGGTCATTTTTATATTATTTGTTTTAAAATAAGAATATTTATTTGATATGATTTAATAATGACCAAAGTCTTGCTTATTTATAGTTGTTTTTTTTTAATATAATTTTATCCAATATCCATTTGGGAACCTTTCTCCAACTCACCTAATAACCAAATTGATTGAAAACAATAGTTTTTGCAATCTCAAAGGTAAGAATTACTTGGATGTGGTGATTCATAGGATAGGGTAGACATAAAGTTGTCAAAAAAGATTATGATTTCAACCAAATTCATTCTCTTTGCAATCTTTTTCAATGTACAGCAATGAATTATTTTTAAGCGAAAGATGTCAAAAGGTTTGATCTCACCAGATTTAGTATTTTAAAAATAAAATAAAAAAGTGTGTTACTTGACTAATAAATTGTCCAAATTACAAAAATTTATTTTTTTTTGCTTGGTTCACCCCAATAATGGGCAATTTGGGGTGTTTTGACACAAAAAGGGTGAAATCAAACAAATTGGTCTTAGATTTGGACTAACCCAAATCAGATTCATTAAAAAACACTTTTTGTTGTTAAAGTTTGGTGGGTGTCTTTCACCCTTTCAACAAATAAAAAATAGATATTTATTAAATTAAATGTTCTTCTTCCAATAATTTTTCATTTTTATATTTATTATTCATATGAATGAATCATATCATTTGCAAGCAAGGTGTTTTATTATTCTAAATATTTATCTATCTTTCAATAGAAGTACTCGTTCTATTAGAGAAGATATTTTGTTAATCATCATTATTGTAACAAATGATTTATCACAAACAACACTGATTGTTATTTTTTACTTTTTTGTTTAGTTTAACTTTATTATTTGGAATGTTGATTTTTCTTTTTTGAGATAATGAACAAATATTTGGGTGAGGAATAAAGTATTTTATTGAATTCTTTTTGAATCTATTGTATTATGATTGATTCTTTAAAAGAAATTGTTCTAATACTTTGATTGTTTCTGATGTTTCAAAGGATATTAGAGCTCCTACCATTGACCACTTACCAATGGTATCTCTGATGTCTAGGATCGAAAATCGTAGTTTATAAGTAACCATTCAATAGTAACACTATCATCGTTTGACATTGTTGTTTCGATTAATTTGATTGATTTCGGGTTCATCGAAAACTCTGATCTGTTCTCTATTAGCCAACGAATCATCTCTTTGTTACCACTTCTAATAGCATTCTCTATTGCGTAAGCTGAGCAACCTTCTGTTCTATTATAATGTAAATACTTTATTATATCAAGACTTGCTAGTTTTGCACTGTTATCCATTGCTTTGGTGGTACAAGCATCTGTTCGATTCTCTGTCAGCCACTTGATCATCACCAACATATGGTCATACACACTGATTATATCGATTACATTTGGTTCATGACCTTCAGTTCTATTGTCATGCAACCACTTTAAGATATCCAGTCTGTTGTTGAGAGAAGCCGAATCCATTGGGGTTGAAAGGGTATGGGGTACGATAGTTTGGTAGAGTAGAAAGGTATTCTACGACATTTAAGTGTCCACCTTTAATAGAGTAATGATACATAGCGCTTTCGTTTACTTCTCTGGATCTGTTGTTTACCAGCCATTCTATGATATCGATTCGACCGACCAGTGCAGCGTTGTCGAATACATTCTGATAGGTGATATATCTTGCTCCTATTCTTCTACTGTGGAGAGATTGCAAGTGCAAGATCATAGTTCCACTGTTGTTGTAGAGTCGGTGTGTTATCAACCAACCCCAATAGATATTTAATTATATCATGTCTACCGTATTTAGATTATAATATAATACATCTTTGTCTATCTTTTTCGCACTGATCTATATAATATTTGATGAGAACATTGATCATTCTTATCGAAATATTCTTTTAAAAGATCTAAATAACAATATCCGCTAATACACATGCATTTATAATCATTTCATTCCATTTATAGACTGATTTAGCTTTATATATATCTATGTGTATATAATTAACATATTATTAAATACTGATGAGAATATATCTTTATTCATTTAATAGACACTATAAAAATTGTGGCGTTTAAAAGTGAACTTTTTCACACCTTTGTAACCAAAATTGTTAATTTCATGGTGTCTATTGTTATTTTAAAGGTGTCTAGTTATTTATAACATGTAATCATTGCTAAAGAATCCAAATCATTTTATATTTTTTGAAGATTCAAATAACAATCAAAAATCAAAAAACAACTTTGGTGCCATGTGATTTTGAAAAGACTAATAAATATAAATTAATTTATATACAATTTTATTTTTAAATTAATAAATAAATTAAAATATTAAAAGAATTAATATTTTTTGATACAAAGAATAAATTGATATTCTTTTTGTGAAATTATATTATATATATAGATTTTGTGAAATTATACTATATATATATTTTTTAAAATAAATAAATGACTGATTTGATTTACCAAACAGCCCAGAAAGGTTTTACAACTTTTGTTGTACCACTGATTTGATTGAATGAATCTTTAATATTTGAATTGTTCATTGAAATAGTTGAATCTTTTGAGATCATTGTAAAGTTTAATTGATTTCCAGATGAAAATGTGAAATTCTTTAAGTTATCTTTTAAAAATTAAAAAAAATAAAATGTTAATTTAAATCAAATAATTAAAAATATATTATTTTAAAGATCACTTACTGATTAACATTTTTAAATTTATTTTATAATATTTATTTTATTAAATTAAAGTTTTAAGTTTAAATTTATTTAATTAATTTGATGATTTAAATGAAATGAAATCAAATGCTATTTATATGTTTTGAAATTGAATGAAAAATTATTTATTTGATTGTTTTAAAATTTAAAAGATATAAAACAAAATCCAATAAATATGATGTTTGTTTTAAAGTAAATATCAGTGTGTGTTGATTCAATCATTTTAACTGATTTATCTTGCAATCGTTTTGTATTCGAAATAAGAATTTTATAATTTTTAATTAAAAATGTATAAAAAAAATGATGTACAATGTTAAATCAGTCAAATAGTATATCATCATATCTGATAATGTAATTTTTTTGTATTTTTACAAATGACATCAACATTTTTATGATTATTAACAAACTTGTGTTTTCTATTAGATTACATTATTTTCAAACATGAATAAATTCAATATATTCTATTAAGCAATAGATAATATATATAATAATATAATATAATGATGATTTTAGTTGAAAAACAATAGAAAATATATTCCATCCACATTCATGTTGACGATTGTTATTGTATAATTTGTTTAAGTTGTATTTATCATTAAATTGCTTATTCTATGACATCTCCTACTAGTTGTTGCTGTTCTTTGTTGTTGTTTTGGGTTTGTTTATTTTAATTAATTAACTGTTTTAATAAACTGTTTACTATTAGGAGATACCCTATATAAATGGTAGCGAAACATCTTATGCCATACATCTCCATTCAATATCTAACTTGTACAATGAACATAATAATAAAAGTCTATATTTTTAATATCAGATATCGTTAAATTTGAACTAAATGTGTAACACTTGAATTCACATATTTTTGATAGGTTCATCAAATGAAAGATAAGTTGTTTCTGTGTTGATTATTAAAAAGATTTACAAACAGTTTAATAGATGAGATAAACTGTTTGTTTAAGTATTTTTTACATTTGATTATAATGATCGTATAAACGTATTTTATTGAATTCTTTTTGTTTAGTATTGAATCTATTGTATTATGATTGATTCTTTAAAAGAAATTGTTCTAATACTTTGATTGTTTCTGGTATGTCTGATCTTTCTAAGGATTCCATCAATCTCCACCTCCATAAGGTAACTTTGATGTCATCGATCGAAAATTCGTAGTTTGTAAGCAACCATTCAAGAGTGACACTATCTTGCACTAGCATTGTTGTTTCGATTAATTTGATTGATTTCGGGTTCATAGAAAACTCTGATCTGTTCTCTATTAGCCAACGAATCATCTCTTTGTTACCACTTCTAATCGCATTCTCTATTGCGTAAGCTGAGCAACCTTCTGTTCTATTATAATGTAAATACTTTATTATATCAAGACTTGCTAGTTTTGCACTGTTATCCATTGCTTTGGTGGTACAAGCATCTGTTCGATTCTCTGTCAACCACTTGATCATCTCCAACATATGGTCATACACACTGATTATATCGATTACATTTGGTTCGTGACCTTCAGTTCTATTGTCATGCAACCACTTGGCAATGTGAAGTCTGTTCGTCTTGATTGCATTGGTCATTGCAAGTTTTGTGCATTGGCCAATGTCATTCGCATGCAACCACTTTAAGATATCCAGTCGGTCATTGATAGCAGCGAAATCCATTAGTTGGTCACGATAAGGAAATGGCATACTACTATAGTTTGGTAGAGTAGAAAGATATTCTACGACATTTAAGTGACCACCTTTAATAGCGTAATGATACATAGCGGTATCTAGGTATACTTCTTTGGATCTGTTGTTGACCAGCCATTCTATGATATCGATTCGACCGACCAGTGCAGCGTTGTTGAATACATTCTGATAGGTGGTATGTATTGATCTTATTCTCTTAATGTGGTAATCAAAGATCTCTGATAAGAATTGAACCATTTCGAGATCACCTGAGCGTGGAGAGATTGCAAGTGCAAGTTCATAGTTCCACTGTTGTTGTAGAGTCGGTGTGTTATCGGCCAATCCTAACAGATATTTGATTATATCATGTCTACCGTATTTAGATGAATAATATAATACATCTTTGTCTATCTTTTTTGGTGGAGAAAGAAAATCTGAACCGAACCTATCGACAATACATTTCAATATAGTTAAATTATTTGTTTTAATTGTATTTCGCTTTGATCTATATAATATTTGATGAGAGCATTGATCGTTCTTATCGAAATATTCTTTTAAAAGATCTAAATAGCCATTTCCCGCTAATACACATGCATTTATAATCATTTCATTCCATTTATAGACTGATTTAGCTTTATATATATCTATGTGTATATAATTAACATATTTAAAAATTAATCTATTTAAAATACAATTATTAAATACTGATGAGAATATATCTTTATTCATTTAATAGACACTATGAAAAATGTAAAAAAAAAAACAGACTACTTAATAAAATTTAAATTAAATTATTTGTTTATGTACATTTTATTTTTAATTAATAAATAAATTAAAATATTAAAAGAATTAATATTTTTTGATACAAAGAACAATTTGATATTCTTTTTGCGAAATTATACTATATATTTTTTTTTATAATAAATAAATGACTGATTTACAAAACAGCCCAGAAAGGTTTTACAACTTTTGTTGTACCACTGATTTGATTGAATGAATCTTTAATATTTGAATTGTTCATTGAAATAGTTGAATCTTTTGAGATCATTGTAAAGTTCAATTGATTTCCAGATGAAAATGTGATATTCTTTAAGTTATCTGTTAAAAATTAAAAAAATAAAATGTTAATTTAAATCAAATAATTAAAAATATAAAATTTTAAAGATCACTTACTGATTAACATTTTAAATTTATTTTATAATATTTTGTTTTTTTAAATTAAAGTTTAAAGTTTATATTTATTTAATTAATTTGATGATTTAAATGAAATGAAATCAAATCCTATTTATATGTTTTGAAATTGAATGAAAAATGATTTATTTGATTGTTTTAAAATTTAAAAGATATAAAACAAATCCAATAATTATGATGTTTGTTTTAAAGTAAATATCAGTGTGTGTTGATTCAATCACTTTAACTGATTTGATTTGTAATTCGAAATTAGAATTGTTAAATTTTAATTAAAAGTGTATAAAAAAAAGATATACAATGTTAAATCAGTCAAATAGTATATCATCATCATCTGATAATGTCATTTTTTGTAATTATACAAATGACATCAACATTTTTATGATTATTAACAATTTTGTGTTTTCTATTAGATTACATATTTTCAAACATTAAATTAATTCAATATCTATTAAACAACAGATAATATATATTTTTAACAATAAAAATGATATCATGATGATTTTAGCAAACAATCGAAATTAATTAAACTGAACTACATTTTGTTGCATTGATCAATGTTGACGATTGTTGTTGCATCATTTTTTTTAACTTAAAGTTGTTCTATTTTATCATCTCGAATTGCTTATTCCTTTAATTCTTTGATGACATCTCCTACTATTGGTGGTGAAAATAGGTTGTAATCGTTGTGTTGTTGTTCTTCGTGTTGATGTTGTCGTTGTGATATATTATAATCTTATAACTATTTGTTGACTGATATGATAATCTGTTTATGTGTATGATATTAAACAATGAATAACAATGAATTTGTAAGATTCTCCTTAATTTAAAGATTTACATTATTCTACACTGCAGAGGTTGATACGAGTTGTATACTGTAAAGGTCACACTGGGTGTCAAAGCGAAATAAATGATTTCAAGCTTAAACCAAAAAAAAAAAGTCAAAAAAAAAAAAAAGGTTTGATGAATAGATGTTTACAAAATTTTGTAAAATATGTAATGCTACTAGATTTTAAAAGAAATAAAGTGATTAGAGAAATAAGTGATTAGAGAAATATCAAACTAATTAGGTAATATGTCTAGATTTTTGTTAATATTTGAAATAATAAGTCTATGTTATTTTACATTTGTTATTTCTGAAACTATAAAATGTTTCTCCAAGTATAATCATGCTCAATATGATTTAGATTAGATTAAATCAATGGAAATATTCGATTCGAATGTTAGAGAGGAATTAAGACATAAAATATATAATATGGGTACAATTCATGATATGCGAAGTAAGTAATGTGTTGTTAAGTTCAATTGGAGTGCCAGCAACATGTTTTTATTTATCATTCTGATGTTCCAGGCTAATATTATAATAAGGAGAAATTTGTAAACAATGTATATCAAAGATATCATTGGATACATATTTGGGTATGTATATATTAACTATTCACTTATTTATACTATGTTTTTATTAATTAAATAAAAGAATATAATATATATATAATTTGTTACATACTTTGTGAAGCCCAATCAAATTGTTATAGAGAAAGAAGCGTTGGAAATCTCGAACAACTATAAAAATACAACTACAGAGACACAAACAGCAATCACAGAGACGACAACTAGATCGGTTTTTGACGATATTACAGTGGTGTTATAACTCTTACGTTCTCAGAGTCAATCTATTCACTGTTTTTTGTAATCCAGTATATGACAGTTGTATGAGAGAAATAGTAGCAAAGACCTTTCTTAAGAACCGGAAACACGCACGATACCTCGAACATATCATCTCAATCCATGGTGACGCATTACATTCGGATATGAAGAGGATTCATCACCTTAGGTATTAACTATTCATAGTATCAAGTGTTACATCGAGAAAGAATAACGATTCTCTCCAGCAAAGAAGTAATAGGAGTAACTCAATCCACCCCATATATTATGCTGTTATAATTAAGAATTTCGAGACTGCATCGCAAAGTGATTCTATCAACAGAGAGGATAGTATAACATAATGGTACAACAAAATTCAAATCTTATCAATAAAGTCTGCAGTTATATTTAAGCATCAGCTGCACCAGCTATTAGATATCTAAGGTTTATTTGATTTGATCATTCGTTATTTAATATGAATTAAGTTGAGCTGATCACATCTTTTCATATTATCTCCAATTCTCATTAGCATAATCTCATATCTATTTTGTATGTCTTTCTAAACAATTCATATGATAATAGACTTTGATGACACTGCGCTGGTGATCGGCGGTACCAAACTATTATATTTGTCTATCCAAAGCTTATCAGTGATATGAACAACCAACCGTCACATTGATTGCTTGATCGTTCTTAATCATTGGGAAAATAATATTGAAAGAAATAATAACTATCAATAATAATAAATCGAATTTTATTTGTTTTTATTTACAATTTTTTTTTTTAAATAAAAATATTAAAAGAATTAATATGTTTTGATACAAAGAATAAATTGATATTCTTTTTGTGAAATTATACTATATTTTTTATAATAAATAAATGACTGATTTGATTTACCAGACAGCCCAGAAAGGTTTTACAACTTTTGTTGCACTTATTTGATTAAATGAATCTTTAATATTTGAATTGTTCATTGAAATTTTTGAATCTTTTGAAATCATTGTAAAGTTCAATTGATTTCCAGAGGAAAATGTGATATTCTTTAAGTTATCTGTTAAAAAATAAAATGTTAATTGCAATTAATTCAATTATTTTATTTAATTTTAAAGATCACTTACTGATTAACATTTTTAAATTTATTTTATAATATTTTGTTTTTTTTAAATTAAAGTTTTAATTTTATATTTATTTAATTAATTTGATGATTAAAAGAAATGAAATCAAATTCTATTTATATGTTTTGAAATTGAATGAAAAATGATTTATTTGATTGTTTTAAAATTTAAAAGATATAAAACAACCCAATAATTATGATGTTAATTTTAAAGTAAATATCAGTGTGTGTTGATTCAATCATTTTAACTGATTTATCTTGTAATACGAAATTAGAATTTAATAATTTTTAATAAATAAAGATACACAATGTTAAATCAGTCAAATAGTATATTATCATCATCTTATAAAGTTATTTTTTGTAATTATATAAATGACATCAACATTTTTATGATTATTAACAATTTTGTGTTTTCTATTAGATTGTATTATTTCAAACATTAAATTAATTCAATATATCTATTAAGCAACAGATAATATATATTAACAATAAAAATGATATCATGATAATTTTAGAAAACAATCGAAATTAATTAAACTGAACTACATTTTGTTGCATTGATCAATGTTGACGATTGTTGTTGCATCATTTGTTTTAACTTAAAGTTGTTCTATTTTATCATCTAATTGCGTATTCCTTTAATTCTTTGGAAATAGGTTGTAGCTGTAGTTGTGCTATTGTTATTCATGTTGTTGTTGATGTTGTGGTTTGTTTATTATAATCTTGTAAATATTTGTGGACTGATTTGATAATCTATTTATACTATTCAAAACTAAAAGTAGGAAAGTGTTTAAGATATTGAACAATGAAATTGTTTCACAATGTATTACATATATTGATTCATTTTGTAATTTAAAGATTTAGATTATTCTAATTGTAACACTCCAGAGAGAAATAAAATGATCAGATATTTTTCTTTTACCATTAAAATATAACTAAAGACTTTTAATTGTTGGTTTATAGATGATCTTTAAAAAGGTTATAAAATTTGAATTTTTGGGTAATCGTTCTATCTGTTGGAATTTCAGGGTGTCAGAGTAGATAGTTTTAACTCCAAGATATGATCATATCGATTATATTTGATACGTATTTAGGTATGATTATATTTGTTAATTTCTCTTCAAATAGATAGAACCCAAATTGATAGGGTTCACAACCTTTATACCACAAATTATATGTATTCTTTAATATTTTTGAAATCTAGCACAGCCACAAAAAGGCAACTTCAAAAACACTAACAGCAATCACAGAGACCATTTTAACAATATTAGAAGTGCTAGAACTTGTATTGTATAAATCTTGCATCCCCAGGGTCAATCTATTCACTGTGTAATGTCATCCAAGGTATTACAGTTGTATGAGAAATAGTAGCAATGACCTTCTAAAACGATGGGACAACACATGGCACGATACCTCGTACATCCATGGTGACATATTACAGACTGCTGTGGTGATTGGTTTTACAAATTCCAAGTTAAGTGGGCATGATCTAGCAAACGTCTTTCCAACTTGGATACCGTATTTATAATAAGTCAGATATTCTTTTGAAAGATCTAAATAACATTTATATTTTCATTAAGCTTTAATAGATCTTGAATAGATTATTTAAGATAAGTTCAATTTTTGTTGATAAAAACACGTGTGAAAATCAAGAAAAAAAAATATAATAAACAATCATATGAATAATTTTATTTTTATTTTTAAAATTAATAAGTAAATAAAAAAATAACTTTACAAAGACTACTTAATTAAATTTAAATTAAATTATTTGTTTATGTACATTTTTATTGGTAAATTAATAAATAAATTAAAATATTAAAAAATTAATATTTTTTGATACAAAGAATAAATTGATATTCTTTTTGTGAAATTTTACTATATATATATTTTTTTAAAATAAATAAATTGTTGATTTACCAGACAGCCCAGAAAGGTTTTACAACTTTTGTTGTACCACTGATTTGATTGAATGAATCTTTAATATTTGAATTGTTCATTGAAATAGTTGAATCTTTTGAAATCATTGTAAAGTTTAATTGATTTCCAGATGAAAATGTGAAATTCTTTAAGTTATCTGTTAAAAATTAAAAAATAAAATGTTAATTTAATCAAATAATTAAAAATATAAAATTTTAAAGATCACTTACTGATTAACATTTTTAAATTTATTTTATAATATTTTGTTTTATTAAATTAAAGTTTTAAGTTTAAATTTATTTAATTAATTTGATGATTTAAATGAAATGAAATCAAATCCTATTTATATGTTTTGAAATTGAACGAAAAATTATTTATTTGATTGTTTTAAAATTTAAAAGATATAAAACAACCCAATAATTATGATGTTTGTTTTAAAGTATATATCAATGTGTGTTGATTCAATCATTTTAACTGATTCTACTTGTAACACAAAATTAGAATTTTATAATTTTTAATAAAAAGTGTATAAAAAAAAGATATACAATGTTAAATCAGTCAAATAGTATATCATCATCATCTGATAAAGTCATTTTTTGTAATTTTAAAAATGACATCAACATTTTTATGATTATTAACAAACTTGTGTTTTCTAATAGATTATATTATTTTCAATGATTAATTAATTCAATATCTATTGTTTAATAGACAACAATAAAAACAATAAAATATTTTAAATAATTTAATATTTAATTTTAATAAAAAAAATCATAAACTGATGGTTGTATTAAGATTGTATTAGTGGTAAATAATTAATTAATTAAAAATAAAACATATTTTTTACGATTTTAAAGCTGGCACTATCTCATTATGGTAAAATTTTTGTTTTGTTTACTTTTACTCTGTTTGTTTTAGTACTAATTTTGCTTTCTTATGTCATTATTCATTGTATTCATGATCAGAGTCTTCAAAGTTGGAGATATTTGGTGTATGTTCTGTATTATGACTGTGGATGTGACTTTGGGGTGTTTGTCATAACCTTTTTCTTTCTTTGAGTTAATTAAAGTGGTTGTTGTAGCAGCTTTCCAAGTCCAAACAATTGATATACCATTCTTTCTCATAACAATTTATTTTTTTGATCAAAAGATATGACATATTTGTCTACTGGTATAACCTCTAGTTCTGAATTGTTCGAAAAAAATTAATTTATTTTCCCTATTCTGTTCACCATACTATCGATGTTCAGTTTAATATCTGATGTTCCATTTATTAAGCCACTTCAAATAGAACCGTCAGATTGAGATTGAACACTGCAGGTGCATCCTGTAGTTTCTCCTTTTTTTCAAAAAATATTATCAAAAACAAAGAACACTCTTCTATTTAAAGTAAATAATATTTTTTATACATAATATCAGAATAATTAAAAAAAAGGAAATAATTTTTAAAATACAAATTTATTTTTTATAGATTTTATTATTTTAAATTAATAAATAAATTAAAATATTAAAAGAATTAATATTTTTTGATACAAAGAATAAATTGATATTCTTTTTGTGAATATATGGTTTAGTTTAAATAATTAATTGGTAGATTTACCAAACAGCCCAGAAAGGTTTTACAACTTTTGTTGCACTGATTTGATTAAATGAATCTTTAATATTGGAATTGTTCATTGAAATTTTGGAATCTTTTGAAATCATTGTAAAGTTTAATTGATTTCCAGATGAAAATGTGATATTCTTTAAGTTATCTGTTAAAAATTAAAAAAATAAAATGTTAATTTAAATCAAATAATTAAAAATTTATTTATTTTAAAGATCACTTACTGATTAACATTTTTTTATTAAATTAAATTTTAAAGATTAAATTTATTTAATTAATTTGATGATTTAAATGAAATGAAATCAAATTCTATTTATATGTTTTGAAATTGAATGGAAAATGATTTATTTGATTGTTTTAAAATTTAAAAGATATAAAACAACCCAAAATTGATGATGTTTGTTTTAAAGTAAATATCAGTGTGTGTTGATTCAATCACTTTAACTGATTTATCTTGTACTTCGAAATAAGAATTTAAAAATAAAAAGTGTATTAGTTAAAAAGTAATTTAAAAATAAATAGATATATAATATTAAATCTGTCAAACAGTATATCATCATCTTATTATTAATATTTTTTAATAATACAAATGTCATCAACATTATTATGCAGATAAAAAAATGTAATAACAAGTTTGTGTTTTAATCAATTTGGTGTTATTCAACTTTATTTATCTAATTCTTAAGTGTGTCGAATATCTTTGAAAGGGGTGAATGTAAGACTAGCCTAGGTCTCTTTCGTCTGCTGTCATTGTCTTCACGGTGAGGGTCTTCAGGATTGTTGATTTCGGGTGGGTTTCCTTCAGTAACAGGTCTAGAAACTTTGGTGGTAGTGGTAGTGGTAGTGGTAGAAGTGGTTGTTGTTGCAACTTGTTGCTGATTTTGAGGTTCGACGGTGGTGGTTGTTGTTGTTGTTGGAACCATCCAAGGCCAGACATTTGGTATGCCAAACTTACGCTCAACGATATCTTTTGCCTCGTCAAAAGATCTACCTCTGATGTAACCTTGAATATTGCAGTATTCGAAAAAGTATTTCATTTTGCACATCTCGTGTACAACTGAATCGATGTTCCATCGACGCTCTAACGTTCCATTGATAAAACCACGACAAAGTGAGCTGTCAGATCTCAGCTTTAGACCGAACACTGCTAGTGCATCGACCAGTAGTTTCTTTCTCTCTCCTTGTTCCTTGATGATTTGTCTATTTCTCTTCTCTTGTTCTATCGATGCTTTTATTCTGTCGATCATTTCTTGAAATTCATAATGACCTCTGAGATAGCGATCTACTACATATCTATTCGATGAATCGACAACGATATCCGAAGGAAAGTCAGTTTCTAATTTCTGTTTTCTCCTGTTGTACTCGATTAAGAATGTTGTTTTAGCAGGATTGACGAAATGATAAATCAATCGAAAGATAACAACATTTCTCCACACAGGAAAGAAGTACTCGTCATTTGGCAAACCATTGTAGCATTTACCCTTGCATTTACACTTTGGTGAGCAACCAACACCTTTCTTTCTGCATCCACACGCATTGTGACACACCGAATTGTAGGCAGACATCTTGGAGCATGAACATTTATTTTTAACTACCACTGTTGTTGGTGTAGTAGTAGTTGTTGTTGTTGTTGAGATTGTAGATTCTGGTGATAATGTAAAAGAATCGGTGTATACTGGTGATAATGTAAAAGAATCAGTACATTCTGGTGATAAAGTAAAAGAATCTGTAGATTCTGTTGATAACGTAATTGAATCTGTAAGTTGGTGTTGTTCATTTCTATTGGTTGTAGTTGTAGTTGCAGTTGTTGGTATATCGATTGAAGAGATAGTATTATGATGTATGTATTCCATTATATATACATAACTGTGAGAATTTATAACTATATAAACTCTATCTTTTATTAAAACAAATTTGTTTTCATGTTGTTTTTAAATCAACTAATTGATCAGCGTATTATAGTTGAATCATCCTTTTTGATTGACATCATGATAATAACACTTGTTATAATTCAATCACTGCTATAGATTCCATTTTGAATACAACCACATATAAAAAATAAAAATTTAAAAAAAACCCCACCCTCTTACAAGCCAAAACAAAAGGATAATGATTTGTTGGATTGTAAAGAAACAAAAGGATAATGATTTAAAAGTCTCAAGAGAAAAAAAAAAATAAAATTTTAAAAAAATGTATATACAAAATAAAGATAAAATAGTAGTTATTTAATAGATTGATTAAAATCATTATTAATAAAAATAAAATTAGGAAAACACAAGTTTGGTTGATTTTTTTTTTCACTTAAAATGTTGATGACATTTATATAATTACAAAAAATGGTGATGATGATATACTATTTTACTGATTTTACATTGTTTATCTTTTTTATACTCTTTTAACTTTTATTATTATTTTCTACTTTCGAATTACAAGATAAATCAGTTAAAATGATTGAATCAACACACACTGATATTTACTTTAAAACAAACATCATAATTATTGGATTTTGGTTTTATCTTTTAAATTTTAAAACAATCAAATAAATCATTTTTCGTTCAATTTCAAAACATATAAATAGGATTTGATTTCATTTCTTTTAATCATCTAATTAATTAAATAAATATAAACTTAAAACTTTAATTTAAAAAAACACAATATATTAAAAAATAATTAAAAATGTTAATCAGTAAGTGATCTTTAAAATTAAATAAATTTAAATAAATTTGTTATAATTAATATTTTATTTTTTAATTTTTAACAACAGACAACTTAAAGAATATCACATTTTCATCTGGAAATAAATTGAACTTTACAATGATTCCAAAAGATTCAAATATTTCAAAGAACAATTCAAATATTAAAGATTCATTCAATCAAACCAGTGGAACAAAAGTTGTAAAACCTTTCTGGGCTGTTTGGTAAATCAAATCAAACAATTTTTTATTTATGTCAAAACAAATAATTTCACAAAAAGAATATCAATTTATTCTTTGTATCAAAAAATATTAATTCTTTTAATATTTTTATTTATTTATTAATTTAAAAATAAAATTGTATATAAAAATTATAATCTTTTTAAAAATTTTTTTTTTTTTAAATTAATTCTTTTTTTATTTGAAAGTCATTTTTTCTTTAGATTTAGAGTACATCTTTTCCTTTTAAGGACCAATTGAGGGAACCTAAAAGATAATTAAAAATTTAAATCTCTCTAAATTAAAAAGTATTTTTGTAGAAATCTGAGGTTGGGGTTGTTTTTGTTTTCTTTTTAACAAAAAAAAAAAAAACCAAAATCAATCATTTTTTCTGATTGACAAAATTTCTTTTATCTTTTTTTTTATTATTTAATATTAATTGTTCAATCAAAAGGATGATTCAATATCTTTGTCAATCAATTGACAAACAAAAAATGAACAATTTATCTTTTATTTTTAGTATAAAATAGGCTACAAGTGGCTCTATAGTTATTTTATTTTCATACCAAGTTATAGAATGGAATACACACATCATAATACTATCTCTTCAATAGATATACCAACAACTACAACCACAACCAATATAAATGAATACCAACCTGCAGATTCATCTACAACAACAACCATTTTGTCCGTATCAAATAGCGGTGCTAGAGATGTTACTCCAGAGTCGTTACTGACATCTACAACAGCAACAGAAACAACAACTACTACTACTACACCAACAACAGTGGTAGTTAAAAATAAATGTTCATGCTCCAAGATGTCTGCCTACAATTCGGTGTGTCACAATGCGTGTGGATGCAGAAAGAAAGGTGTTGGTTGCTCACCAAAGTGTAAATGCAAGGGTAAATGCTACAATGGTTTGCCAAATGACGAGTACTTCTTTCCTGTGTGGAGAAATGTTGTTATCTTTCGATTGATTTATCATTTCGTCAATCCTGCTAAAACAACATTCTTAATCGAGCACAACAGGAGAAAACAGAAATTAGAAACTGACTTTCCTTCGGATATCGTTATCGATTCATCGAATAGATATTTAGTAGATCACTATCTCAGAGGCCGATGTGAATTTCAAGAAATGATCAACATTCTAAGAGCTTCCATTGAGCAGGCAGAGAGAAAAAGACTACGTATCACAGAACAAGAAAAGAGAAAGAAACTACTGGTCGATGCACTAGCAGTGTTCGGTCTAAAGCTGAGATCTGACAGCACACTTTGTCATGGCTTTATCGATGGAACATTAGAAAGTAGATGGAACATCGATTCAGTTGTACACGAGATGTGCAAAATGAAATTCTTTTTCGAATACTGCAATATTAGAAGTTACTTTGTTCGAGGTGTATCTTTTGACCTTGCAAAACATATAGTTGAGCACAAGTATGGTATACCAGATGTCTGGCCTTGGATGGTTGCAACAACAACAACCACAACAACCACCGTCGAACCTCAAAATCAGCAACAGGTTGCGATCACCACCACCACTGACGTTTCTGCAGCAGTCACAGAAGGAAACCCACCAACTGATATCTCCATCTCTGAAGAATCTGACCATGAAGACAATGACAGCAGACATAAGAAAGCTAAACTAGTCTGATAAACAAACTCTTTTACCCCTTGGAGTAGTAATAATACTATCATTAAAGTGTCATCATTAAAATTAATGTTTTATTTGAAATTTTTCATATAATATTTTTTTATTCTAAACTCATACTATCTATTATCTGTTGCTTAATAGATACATTTAATTTATTTATTTTTTATCTACTAGAAAACACAAGTTTGTTAATATTATTTTTATTTTAAAAAATGTTGATGTCATTTGTATAATTTCTATAAATTGATAAAAGAGGATGATGATAAAACACAATTTGACTGATTTAACATTGAATATCTATTTTAATATACATTTAATTAAAATTTAACAATTCTAATTTCGAATTACAAGATGAATCAGTTAAAATGATTGAATCAACACACACTGATATTTACTTTAAAATTAACATCATAATTATTGGGTTGTTTTATATCTTTTAAATTTTAAAACAATCAAATAAATCATTTTTCATTCAATTTCAAAACATATAAATAGAATTTGATTTCATTTCATTTAAATCATCAAATTAATTAAATAAATATAAACTTTAAACTTTAATTTTAAAATAAATATTAAAAATAAATTTAAAAATGTTAATCAGTAAGTGATCTTTAAAATTAAATAAAACAATCTATTATTAAAATTAACTTTTTATTTTTTAATTTTTAACAGATAACTTAAAGAATATCACATTTTCATCTGGAAATCAATTGAACTTTACAATGATTTCCAAAGATTCAACTATTTCAATGAACAATTCAAATATTAAAGATTCATTGAATCAAATCAGTGGAACAAAAGTTGTAAAACCTTTCTGGGCTGTTTGGTAAAACTACCATTTATATATTTTTATACATATAATATATAGTATAATTTCACAAAAAGAATATCAATTTATTCTTTGTATCAAAAAATATTAATTCTTTTAATATTTTTATTTATTTATTAATTTAAAAATAAAATTGTATATAAAAATTCAAATCAAATCATTTACTTTATTCCATATTTATAAAGTGATATTTATAGTAAAATTTAAATATATTTTTTAAAATGTAAATTAATAAAAATAGTATTTAGAGTTGAAATTCTTTATTTATAAAAGGAATAATTATAATTGGTGTATTTATTATCGGTAAACTTAAAAATTATATTTTTTTATTTTTTATTAATAGTCTGTTGTGAAGTTTTTAACAAACATTCCAAAATGGTTTTGAAAAATTTTGTTCAGATTTTGGTACAGTAGTACTAGTGGAGTTCTTGGCTGAAATACTAATAATTCCTTCGTTTGATAGAGAATTTAAAGAGTTATTAATGTTGGTCATTATGCTTGATTTAACTAAAAAGAAATTATTATTTAAATTTTCTTTTGGGAAAGCAAAAATAAACAAATTAGGTTTATATTTATTAAAATTTTTAATTTTAAAAAAAAATTAAATAAACTTACTTATTAACATTTTCTATAAATCGAATCCCTTTATTTTATTTAATTTTATCTATGGTTTTATAAATATTTTGATAAAATATGATTGTTTAAATAGATTTAGGAATATTGACGACACTCCCAAAATAAACATTAAAAAAATGATGAACAACCACCACCACTATCCTATCAAGAGAATTGTATTCAAAACCCAAAAAAGGTGAGAATGAGGTGTGGTAAAAAACAATTTGTCTCTATGCGAGTGGTAAATTCAATGATATTTGATGTTGATCTTACTAAAAGTTGTTTTAGACTGACTTGGTGTGTGATTGAACATAAATATGATGATAACCAATTGATTGAATAGAATAAATTTTTATACAAACTATCTTATCAAAATGCGTATTTTTCACTCTTTGTAGTATGAGAATTGTGTTGATTCATTTTTTTTGAGTGGTTTTGTAAAAGTTACTACTGACATCATTTTTTTAATGATGGTTTACCTCAATATCATTTTGATCATATGTTTAATAAATAAATTCTCCTAATAGAATATTAGGAATTTGTTATTAGAAATAAGATAGACTATGCTATTCTTGTCAATTATACTTTATCAGCAATTGGTTACATCTTTATAATTCTTATTAAATAAAAATATTACTTTAGAGTTCAAAATTTTTGGTGTAATTTATTAGCCGGTTTTAGGATAGGATTGATATTATTTTCTTGTTTCTTTAATTGCTTTCCCAGTCTATATTAAATAAAGACTTGTGTTTATATTTTAATAAGTTAAACCAATTAAATTTAATATGATAAATCAATATAAATTATTATTCTTCTGATTAGATTAAATATATAAATAATAAACTTTTTACAATATTTTAATGTTGTTGTCATATTGGAATATCCCTAAAAGATTAATTGATAAAGATGTAATATAATAGGATCTAAAAGGAAATATATACCTTTAGAGAAAATTAACAATCACCATAATAATTATTTTATAAAAATTAACTATAAATTTTGAAACACAAAAGTGTTAATCATCAATGAAGAGAGAAGCATTACAATATAACTCTATGGATTTACTCTAGATTTATTTATATGATAGTAAATGAAAATTAGATTGACTTTGATCTGCCAAGTTCTTTTTTGTTGGTAAACCAATACTGTCAGTGTTGAACTACATATTTCTCTATTATCGTTTACACCAAGCTTAATCATACTAAATTATTGGCTAAATAATTTATCAATTTTGCTAATAACATAAAAGGTAGACTATTTAATAAAATTTTGATGGTTTTTGTATTTATATAAAATAATATTCTAATGAACGTGCATAAAAAATAATTTTGATCAAATCTTAACACTTGCATTCGAAAAATAAAAAATAAAAAAAACACAATATTTGTTGTTTATTTGATTTATTGGTATTCTATACAGTGAGGTACCTCGAACATTCAAAGTTAAGTTGATCTCTCAGTGGTAATTCTTTCTTTCTTTCTTTTTTTGCATATGTAGATAGCATGCCATTTTAAAAATGATGATATGATATGTTGGAAGTGTTGTCGAGGTTGGTGTGATGGTTTTGGGGGAAATCTTTTCGATTACAATAATTTCATTCTATAAATATTTATATCTTTCATATTGATTGTGTTAAGAAAAATACGACTATGTGTTGTTTTTATTGGCAGTTGATGTGATGGTTGGTGAAATCTTTTCGATTACAGCAATTTCATTCTTTAAATATTTATATCTTTCATATTGATTGTGTACTGGCTCTCTATCCTGAACAAATTGTACTTTCCTACCATGTTTCTTTGTGAAATCCGTTTGGTATTTGTGCAAGTGGATCTGGAGTGTTCGTTTCTCTTGTCTTACTTTTTGGTATCTCTCTACCAACTCTACATTACTTAATTTACAAAGTATTTCTTCAAGTGAAGATATTATATCATGTTGTTGTTGTTGTTGTTGTTGTTGATTTGTTTCTTTGTTACTATTATTATTTAATATTATATTTTGTTGTACATTACTTTCAAGTGTTGGTGATGTTGTGGGTGTTACATTTGATGATGTGTTTGTATTATTTATATTTGTGTTTGTATTATTTGTATTTGTATTTATATTTGTATTTGTATTTGTTATTGTAGGTATAGAAGCTGTAGATGTGGTGGTTGATGACGATGATGTTGTCGATGTTGTTAGGTTGGATGAGGAAGATGTCAATGAAGCCTGTGAGTTCGTCGATGTTAATACTGCAGTGTTGGAATCGTTCGATCGAGACAAAGAGTTGAGTGTTGTTGGTGGTACAATGGGTGGAGACATCGACGATGTCTCGATCAATGCTTTGACATCTCTGTAGCGTTGGTAGAGTGGTCGCATTACCTCCTTTTCGTTCTTTCTTGGCAGGTGACCGTGTTGTCGTTTAAACTGTAGATCAAACTCTCGTAACTCTTTCTTGATCGATGACTTTTCATCTTTCAGTTCATGCGGTGACATCAAGTTGATATCAGAAGGTCGACCACACTCACGTCTTATCTGAATCAAATGAGACCATGCCAACTCCAACGGACTTTGTTCGACTTGATTTGTTAACAAAACTCTATGACCACTTGATGTTAATGAATTTGTTGTTGTTGTTGCTGTTGTTGTTGTTGGTGTAGTAGTAGTTGTAGATGTAGTTGGTGCAGCTGTTGTTTCTGTAGATGTTGTAGGTAATGTTGTTGGTACAGTTGTTGTTGCTGATGTTGTTGTTGTAGATGTTGTATATGATCTTGGTGATGAACTGTTCAAGTTTCTAGGTGATGGTTGTTGTTGCTGTTGTTGTTGTTGTAGATTGTTTGCAAGTTGTGATTTCAAGAGAGATCGCAACTGAGGTGATGACGATGAAGATGATTCTGGATTCGAGTTGTTTCTAATGTATCTTGGTGACAGTTGGCTGTTGCTGTTGCTACTGCTGTTGTTGGATGTTGGTGAAGTAGGTTGGTTAAGTGTTACAGAGTTTCTTGGTGATGAGGGTGTGGTTGATGGTGCACTTGCCGGCGCCAGCTGCAAGAAGAATTCCTCGCCACGTATCAGCTCGAAACTCTCAGAGATCTGTAGATCTTTCTCAAAGAGAATCGAGCAGGTCTTGTTGATGAGCATACGCATCAACTCTGGATTGTTGTCGTCGAGCGTCAGTGAGTTTCTCGGTGAGGTGGGTGGCAGCGGTGACAAACTTGGCGAAGCGTGACTGGAACTAGCAGACCGGCTAATACTGACGGCGGGTGGTTGCAGCAGTTGTTGTTGGCTGTTCGTTGCAGCAGCAGAAGTCTGTAGAGTAGGTATCAGAATAGAGAATCTACTGCCAGAGTTACCACCGCTACCGCTACTACTACTCGCACTGCTATTACTACTGAAACCACTCTTCTCTTGCTGCTTGCTATTATTGTTGTTGTTGTTGCTGTTGTTTGTAGTAGCATTGACATTGGAATCTGCTGTGCTAGCTGCCGATGTGGTAGTAGTCGTTGTCGTAGCAGTAGCTGTAGTAGCTGCTGCAGCTGTCGACAAAGCAGCAGGAAACGGTGGAGTACTCGGTTGATCTGGATCTAAAAACATATTGGAAGGTGTCAAAGGCGATGGTGGTGGCGGTGAACGCAATGCAAGCGCCGAGAAGAAATCGTCAAACAATGCAATAGGTGATGAAGGTGATGATAGTTCTTGTCTTGTTAAAGTAGAGTGTTGTATTGCTGTTGTATTATTATTATTATTATTAATATTATTAATATTGTTATTATTATTTATATTATTGTTATTATTATTGTTATTAATATTATTATTATTATTATTATTACTGTTTAAAGATGATACTGCTACAAAATTATTATTATTATTATTAATGCTATTAATATTATTACTGTTGTTGTTATTGTTGTTGTTGCTTAATTTTGTTTGTGATTGTAAAATTGTATTGTTTGTGGTTGTGTTCTGAAGTTGTGGGGTGGTGGTTGTGGTGGTTCCACTGAGCGTGTCAAAATTAAAGGGTGTGCCATTCGAAAATTTCATGGCGTTTCTTTTTGAGGAGGTGGTTGGTGACTCTTTTCCCGCCAAATTCGCTATTAAACTTGGTGATATCTGATTACTTAGTATATTGATTACAAACGATGGTAATTCTGCATTCTACAAATTATTAAGTATAATAATAGATTAGATATATATTTGTAAATAAATAAATATTAGTTTTAAATACTGTTTGTGCTTTGTGTGTTTTGTTGTTGTTTTGCAAGGCTTACATTAAATAGATATTCAAATTCATCGATCATTAATAAGAATACACCATTTACATGTCTAGCGTCTTCGATCATCTTGACGGTGTCTTCGTTTTGTGGTCGCATTACCGTTGGACCGAAAATGATTGCCAAGTTTGACGATGTCATCTTGTTGACACTCGATTTCAAGGTGATCTCTTTCAGTAGTGATGTCAGGTGTTTCAGCAATGAATAGTGTGCCAATGGTAACTGACTCAAAAGTGTTTTAATTGCATTCGTTCTACCTAATTTATCTTTAGATTCTAAATATATACATAGATTGATTGATTTTATCATAAAATTAGAATATAAACAATCAAACTAACTAAATAAACAGTTTTAAACTAACTAACTACCATTGTGTGATTTAACAAAAGATTCATAGAGTGCAAATGTAAGGAGTGGATCCGGTAGTTCTCTTATGAATAGCTTTAGGAGTGATGCTTGTGTATGAATGTCGGGGTATTGCGTGGCCAGTTCATTGCGTGAATGTATTTTGCCTTCGTTGTACAGTTTTTTCAGGTGTTGGATGTCGGTGTTCGCTCCGGGCACTCGAAAGATACCCTCAGTGGTCAATCCACCCAACTCTCTGATATTCGTGGTGATGTGATATGCAATGTTTGGCACGAGATCGTCCTCATTGATTCTATTGAATCGCTTGAACAACTCGTTCAAATGTACATTGAATACCTGATTACTGCTGCTACCACCTCCACTGCCATTTCCAGAACCTCCGCTGCTGGCATCCTGGTTTTCTGAATCGTTTTGATGTTTGGAATTTCTAGAGTTTACAGGTGATCCGTTGTTCGGTGAATTACCCGACTGCGGACTTCCACCATTTCCACCTAAATTATTCCAAAAATTGTATATCTTTTTATTTTTCATCATTTGCTATGAATTTGTATTTCTATTTCGATTTCGATTTCGTTTTGGATTTGGATTTCCACTTTGGTGGTTGTTGTTGTTGCTATGTTGACAAACTACCAAATTCCAAGATAATCTATTCTCTTTAAATATGAATGTTTATATAGATAATAATATTTTGATTCTGTTTCTTTATATTTCCTTCTATCTAAATTTATCTTTAACTATTTTTATTAAAAATATTAATGTACAATTTAAAGTTCATATATTTGTTTATTTATATCATAAGTTATTCTAATGATTGATTTAATATGAATGATATCTAGTGTTACGAAATAGAGAACAATAAATTATTTATAAATAATAATTAATAAAAAGGGGGTAATTTGTTTTGGTTGCAAAGAAAAAAATAGAAAAACAAAAAAATAAAAAGGGATGGTATTTCAAATAATTAATTTGGTGATTGAAGGGGGGGTAAAAAAAAAGTTAAGATGAAATGCTTTTGCAAAAAAAAGACTAAGTATTTAGTAAATTAATTTTGAAGATATATATTATATATAAAATTGAATAATAAAATAGTTTAGTTTTATTATTATTATTTTTAAATATATTTTTAGAAGTGATGATGATGATGATGATGATGTTGTTGTTATTATTTTTGTTGATTTAAACAATAATAATAATAATAATAATAAGAGAGAAAGTGTATGTAAGAACAAACATCACATTCAATTCTATCAAACACAATCAATATATAATTAAACAGAACAGTTGGGTTGGTATTTGTTTTTGTTGATATTGAAGGTATGAGGAGCGAAATGTGGAAAGGAATAATTAAATAACAATTGTTGTTGTATGTGGTAATCTTATCAATAATAAAAAGTTTGATATTATTACTAGTAATTTTTAAATGTAGAACAAAACAATGTGCTTGTTTTTGGTTTGTAGTTTAAAGTCAGGAAAGAAACAACATTGATTAATCAATCAATCAATCAATCATTTTGTTGATAAAGATGTTGTTGTTTTGTTTGAATGAAATAAAATCTTGGTAAATTGTAGTAAATAGTAAAAATTAAAATTTGTATCTGTTTTATTAAACAAAAACAAAACAACACAAACACAATTAGATACCAACACACATATGATATAGAGATTTTTAGTGGTGTGAGTGTGTGTGAGAACTGATAAATAGTATAAGTAAAAAAAATACAAAATTCAATTATTTCTTTATTAATACAAAAAAAAAAAAAAGAAATTTGGTCAAATAAACAAAAACAAGGTACTATATTAAGTAAAACACTTGTGTTTATTTTAATTTTATTTGATTCGAGCGCAATTACATAGACTTATCAAAAATTGAAAGGTAATTATAAATGTTGGGTATTATTAAATAATATTATTTTTAATAGAATAGAATAAATTATGAAATTACTCAAAAGAAAATACGAAATCAGGTTTGAAATTCATCTACCAAGTAATTCCTATCCATTGAATTGTTTTGCTCAAATAATAATAATGAAGAATAGATATGATAAATGATAAACATGCTATCCATTTAATATGAATGATTGATTTGATTGACTTTATAAGTGGATTTATAATAAATTCACTGTTCTTTAGGCCTGATGCACCTGAATGTGAAATGTCCAATACTACTAGTATTCTCAAGACTAAAACAAACTGCAGCTATCTAAGAATAAATTTCCTGTGTGTTATTACTATACTATTATGAAATCTGATTGATTTGAAATCAAAAATAAGTAAACAAAAACAAACTAACAAAACACATAATTTCTCTACACCTTGATTAAATGAATTATCTCTTTTACATTCCTATTCCTATTAATGAATGCATTCATTAAAAAGACGAAATTTCAAAAGAATTGTTTTTATTCTCCAAAAACTGATAAATGATTTTTGATTTTTTTAAAAATTTTCAATCATTTATTTTAATATTTATTTATTTATTTATTTATTACTTCTTTATAATAACTGACTATTAGAGACTGCAATTGTAGTGTAGAAGATCGAGTTTGATTGCAATGTCAAAGAAGAATCCATTTTCATTCTTTAATTATGTTAAAGAGGACAATGCTGCTGTAGTACCACCACCAACACTACCACCTACAGGTGATCAACAATTACCTGTTTTCACAACCAATAACAACAATAACAATAGCAGTAGTAGCAGAAGTAATAAGAAAGTAGTAGAGAATCTATTTGATAGTGATGATGAAGACGAAGATGAAGATGATGATAATGATGAATCCGATGACGACGACGATGACGATGAAGTTATAAAGTCATCATTACCAGTTATACCACCACCACAAACTACAAAGATTAATAATATAAGCAGCGCATTACCAATACCTTCACCTTCATCATCATCATCATCAACAACAACATCATCGTCGTCATCAAACAAACCTACAAACAACTTATCTGTAAATAATCAATCACATTCACATTCACATTCATCGTCTTCAATATCAGCAATACCAACATCGGCGATAGCATCTTCACCTGCAACAGCACAATCAACATCAAAAAGACTTGGTCAGCTGTTTGAAGGAGATATCAAGCTGGATGGAGTTATCATCGATGACGATAGTCTGACACCTATTAACCAACAAACAGCAACTTCTTCAACAACATCTACGCATACCTCTAACAATAACAAACAACAACCTGTAACTTTACCACCACCTTTACCATTAGCTTCAACTTCCCTGAATCTACCATCTTCTTTAAATCTACCGACTACAACTTCCACAATAAATTCAGCAACTACAACTCCATCAACAACCATACCAACACTTTCACCTGCAGCAATACCAACACCATTAACAACATCTACAGTTTTACCAACCAATAATAATAGTAGTAATAGTAGTAGTAATATCAATGAAATGGAAATGTTAAAAATGCAACTGGAGAAACTACAACTTGAAAACAAACAATTTAAAGTTTATATCAAACAGATGAAGACAAAACAAGGCAATTTGACCACGGAGAAGGAGCAGTTGGAGTTGAAGCTGCAGAGTGCAGAACGAACGATAGAGCAGTACAAGCTGAAGGAAGTCAAGGAGACAGAGATGATGGAGTCTATGATTGCAAGCGTCGAAGCCAATCTCTCAGAGACAAAGAAGCGTGCACTCAAAGCCGAGCAACAGGTCGAACAACTACGTCAAGAGAACCACGCACTCAAGCAATCGGGTGCATCCGTTGACTCACAGGAACTTCGCTACAGACTACGCGATGCCCGTGAGAAAGGTCGCATCGTTTCGAATCTACTCAACCAAGCGGCAGCAGACGCCGATACCAACATCAAGAATCTACTCAGAGGTGTTGAAACCTTACAAAACATATCAGGTCTCCTAACTTCAATCGATAAAATATCAACATTACCATAAATAGTTAGATAGCATCATATCAACAACAATAATATAATTAATATAATAAATACACCACCACCAGGTTTAAAATGAAAACGATGAAACCAAACTTTATCTTTTTGTTGTGATTTATGATGATCATCCACACATTATCGCAATGCAAAGTTTAAAAATAAATAATAACCAAAAAAAAAACTGTTATCACCAACGAAGTGATAGATGACAACAAGTGGAGCGGCGTTCGTTGGTATGAACATACCTTATTGCGACCAATGTTTGATAGATCCTGATTTCTCAGTGCTGATACTTCTACACCAAGCTCTTGCTCCGATGGCAACGAAAAGAAATCGAAAACCTGGTGGATTGCTACGATTGCAAGTGTTGGAGGTGTTCTCGTTGTTGCAATCGTAGAAGAATCAAAAATGATGAGTAGCAAGTTAATACAATTTAATGACACTAAATAAATCTTTCGTAGTCAGACAGAAGATTTTAATGTTTGTAGTACAATATTAATTAAGGCTAAAGTTGATAGCTAAATAAAAGATGCTTTAACTTTACAAATGTTGAGTGGGTCAACCAACATAAACTACAAGTGTGGTGGTGTGAGTATTCTATCTTAAGTATTGTTGAAGAACTATATTAATATGGGTACAACAACATTTGAGATTAGACCACCACCACTAATAAAGAAAAGAATTCTATGATTGGTTAGCATTAACATCGAGACAAACATCTTTTATTTTTTCACCAATTATTAGATCAAACATAAACAAATTAAGGCAACAACAATTGAATTTTAAATATCTAATGAAAGATACAAAATTGGGTTGATTATTGTGTTTGATTATCATAATAAAAACCTTTTGACGTAGATTTACCCACAAGTTGATACGAGTTTGTTTACCTATGATGTTCAGATTGTTAAAAAATCAAAAAAAAAGCCTAAAAAAAAAAAGATTAGTTTGTTTTTTTTATTTGGCTGGTAAACCACAACAAGAAACTACATGCCTCACGTTTGTACCTTGTTAAAATTAATATAAAAACTGACTCCGAAACACCCCAAAAACACAAAATCAAAGATCATTTTAAAAATATTAATAGAAATGATGATTAATGAATCGTCTACATTTTGATAATGTTGATTTAGTATAGACCTCTAAATAAATTGATCAATGTTACCTAGATGTCAATTTTAAACACTTGTTTGTTGTTTTTTGCTAAAATCAAATCAAACACAATATAAAATTGTTGTACTAATAAACTATTAGTAATGTTATTAAAAAATAATAATCGTTTTCTTACATTATGTAGTTTGTTCTTTGTAGTTGTTATTGCTATTCTAGACTTACCGACTATAAACGCAGTTTTAAACGACAATGATTGTAAGTTTAAATAGTATCACAATATCATTATTTCATTTACTAATATAACATTATATAATCAAGTGAATTCATACAGATGGATGATCAAACAGGTAAGAATCTAAATATTCGATCGTGATGAGCATGTTCAAAAATTTTATTTTTTTCAACTTACACTTTTTTTTTTTGTTTTTTTAACATCTATTTAGTATGGATTGTCTTTTGATGTTTTAAGTCAGAATTTGTGCTCCGACTTTACAGTTTCAAATACTTTAAAGCTAACCTGTCAAGTCAATACTACAACTTCTCAAGAATATATTACGCAAATGTATAAATAATCATAATTATTCTAATAATAGTAGTTATCATAACTAATTAAAATATTATTTTAATAGATTTATTGATGATTCATATACTTTTACAGATCATGGAGAACCAGATGTAATAAATCAATTGGTTTTTACAAATCTTAAGTACATTTTGTTTGGCTCTACCAAAGTAAAGAATCCAACATACAATCTATTGTCGCTGCTAGATAACAGTGAAAACAAATTGCTTAATAATATCGGTCTAAATGGATTAGATGTTTATATCCCAAACAAATTCCCAAATTTTATTAATCTAAACACAATGTATTTTTTTTAATTATTATATTATTTTTTATTTTATATTTTATTAATCTTTTTTTAATTTCTTTTAGAACTTTAAATAATAATCTTATTAAATCGAATGTATCAAATTCAATATTCAGATCACCAATGAGATCATTTTATTTCAATCAAATTAAATTCGATCCAAATTGCTATTTAAATTTTGATACAACTCTAGTATCTCCTATAACAGAAGTGTAAGCAAAAACAATTTTATTTTCATATATTAATTAATATTAATTAAAAAAACAATTTAGTAAGATTACTACCAAAGATATCAGTACTCCAATGGTTTCAAATAATTTCCTTGCTAACCAATTTCCATCACTTTTATACTTGTGAGTTAAATTGAAAGTGATTGAATGAAAACTAAACATATTAATATATATTTTTATTTTTATTTTTGGTAGAACTTTGAGCAATATTTATGCTAATTTCCAGTCACCTTGGAATTCCAACTTGTCAATAATGTAATATTGTATTTTCATTCTAATTAATAATTGCTAACAAATATTTTAAATTAAACAGTACTTTAGGAAATTGTGAATTTTCAATTACCGATTTCAGTGTATTTCCCAAGTTGAACACTTTGTATGTCATATTTATATTGTTACAGTTCCCGCTAGCGATTAAAAAATTTAATTAATACTAACAATTTACGATTCCTTAGGAAAATAGAAAATTCAACCAATTCTCAGATTTCAAAAGTATCAAATCTTATTAATTTGTAAGACAAATATTCATTTTCTTTATTTTTTAATTTTTTAATTTTAACAATTTTTTATTCTTAAAATAAGATCTTTAAAGAACGTCAATACTTTACTTCCAATCCAATCATGGTTTAAAAATTCTTCTGGTGGCACAATGTAAGCTTAAAAATAACATTCTACGTTAGATACTATTAACATATAAACTCTCTTAATTATAGTTTGATCGATGATGATAATTTATCTGGTGTACTTGGAGATATTGGTGTTGTTCAACCAAAATCAATAGCTATATTTGGCACTCCAAGTGTCACCACCCAACTTTATCCATCGTATTGTAATACCATTTTAACTTTAAAGAATGTAACACTTTCACCTGCTACAGTACCTGACTGTTTTTATTGCTATTGGAGTCAAACCAATAGTACATTACCATCGCAAATACCACCTCCACAACCTGGTTTTATTTGTAGTATGTTATTGAAATTTAATTTTTAATCTTTATAATATCAAAACTAACTCTAATTATTTTTAATAATTAGATATTTCTTTAAATAGTCTTACCTATACAGTAAATAAATCATTAAATTGTAAGAATAATAATAATAATTTTTTAAATACTCTATTAACTTTTGATTTTAGATTTTGATATTTTTGGAACCAATCTTGGATATGGGTTGGATGTTGTTCCTAGCGATAAGCTTAGTGTTGTCATTCCGAATAAACAATTTCGATACACCTATCCAACACCATACGGTAGTACTGTAATAACATTTAGCAGCCAATTCCAATCACAATTCAGCATTAAATGGGGATCAGAAAGTAAGACTTTATTAATTATTCAAAAAAAAAAAAACAATTTTGTTTTAATTTTATTAACAATTTAATTATAGCTGTTGCAAATTACGCTCAATCTTTTCCTAGTGGAAGTGAGACAAAAATTACAGTACATGGTACTTTTCCATCTGGTGAATGGAATTACGTAGTTAAAGCGAATGGTGCAACTCCTTCTTACAGTCGGAATGAAACAACAATTGATATTACTCTGCAAAGTTCTACTACTGAGCCAGTATTAATAGAAATTTCCACTGAAATTGTAACGTTAACACTTTATTCAGCTTTTGGTATGTCACTACATCTAGATTAAAAAACTTATTATTAAATATTTTATTAATCATTTAATTATATCTTATTAGAATTTAAAATTAAATCAATTAGTAATATAACAAGTAATGGAGGAAATGTTGATATTGAAGGTAACTTTGGTCAGAATCCATATCAAGTTTCTGCTCTGGCCAAAGGAAATTCATCAGACACCTTTAGTTGTACTTTTGTTTCTATTAATTCTACGGTTTATATTTGTACAATTAAAGGTCCAATTAAATATGCTTCATTGGACATGCTGGTTTCAGCCAATGGTTATACAGCAGGTGTTAATTTAACAGTTAGTAAGTAGAATTATTTCTTTACCATTATCCAAACATTTAGTAACTTTTTCTTTAATTTAAAGATAAAGTTGTTGTTCCACCTCTTGATGATTGTGGAACCGATTCAAAATGTAATGGAAATGGGCAATGTGTATCTGGTAGATGTCAATGTTACAGAAATTTCAATGGTTACTATTGTGAGTCAGCGATTGATACTGGTGTCAAGATCACACCCAATGAAAAACAACCTGCACCAACCATAGTTACAAAAGAAGGTCTTGGATTTAAGTTCAATATCATCGCCATACAAGAGTTGAACTCTCAAGAGATGGTTGTAAATGAAATCAATACAACACAATGGAATTACAATGTCGATGTCAAACAAAATCTAACAACTCATCAGTATCTTCTTGCCAACCAGAATCCTGGTGCGACTCATGCTGTGCGAGCATTGATCGACCATTCGACATCTGACAGAACCGTAGAGTTTGCCGGTGAAACAACGATGTATCCAGCCAATACACTCAAACTCAGCATAGAAGTTAGCAATTGGAATTACTCTGACCGACTCAACCATCTAAGAGTTGTTATGGTCACTCAGATTGCGATGATGGCACCGCCAACTGGCTGCGAATCTACCGCGCCGAAACAAGACATTGGAACCGACGACAAATCCAATATCAAATTCATCAAGTTGACTATCAACGATCGTTCGTTCTACGGTCGGTTCCTCTCGGTTGGTTTGGCCGACAAGACACCGGTGACAGCGATCAACGAGATCATTTCAAACAACGATAACTACACCGATACAGTCATAGGTATTAGCATACCGTATTGTACGGAGTGTGTAGTCGATCCAGACTTTTCTGTACTATTAAACACTGGTGAAGATAACAGTGGCCAAGGATGCAACGGCGGCAGTTCTAAAGCCAGACCATCAAAGACTATGATGATTGCCATCATAGTAAGTGTAGTCGGTGCCATAATGATAGCGACAATAGTAGCAGTCGTTCTCTACTATAAGAAGAAAGAGAAAATAAGATTCCTAATGTTCAACCTTACCAACAAGAGTAAAATGAGAGAAACCTCTAGAAAATACTCTAAACAAACAATCAAATTGAAAATGGTAGATGATGAAACTAAATAAACATCATTATATGTATCATAATCTATAGATCTCAAACAAACAATCTCCTTCCTTTAATAATTATTAATAAAAATAAATGTATTATTTAGTCGAAAACAAACAATATTAATAAATATTGCTTCAACTGTTTACTAATAAAGATTAAAGAAACTTTGCATAATATTATTATACTTAATTATTACTCGTACGTAAATGGATGTAAATGAAAATCAGATATAACGAGAATTTAAAAAAATAAAAGTTAATTTGTTTTTTAGCAATTAAATAGTAAATAAATATTTATTTATAATAATTAGATATCGGTTGATCAATAATGTGTATTACTTTTTTTATATTAGGAGAGAATAAAGATAGTTTACCGTTTCTTTTGTTGAATAATAGAGATGAATTTTTTGACAGACCCACAGAACCTCTTTCTGCATGGGTGTTAAATAATGATTATAACAATAGTAATAATAATAATAATAATAATAATATAAAGATATATGGTGGTAGAGATCTTAAACAAGGTGGTTCTTGGTTAGGTATCAATACAAAAGGTCAATTTGCAGTTGTATTAAACTATAGATCCATAAAGTGTGTTTTGTTATAGATATAATCATTTGAAACAAAGTAACATTAGCTATCAACAGCAAGCTGAATGATATCCTGTTTTTTATCTATTTTTCGAAAAAAGAAATATAGTAGAACCAATCTATCCCAAGAGCAGAGGTTCCGTTATTGAGGACTATTTGTTATCAGGTGAAACTCCACAACAATACCTTACAAAGTTGAAAGAAGAGATTGATCAATATGGTCCGTTCAATGTGTTTGTTGGCGATGTTAACACTGGAGTTTGTCTGTATCTCTGTAATAGTGCAACCAATGACATCAGTAACGACATCATTGAGCTAAAGAAAGGTGTACTCTATGGTATTTCCAATGGTTTTATTGATCATAAATGGCCAAAAGGTAAATTTAAAAATATATATTCTATCGTATCATTGATACTTTACATTCTAACTTTGACTTAATATTACAGTTTCTAGAGGATTACATCTTTTGAAAGAGTTAAAATTGAATGAATTAATACCAAATGGAATACCAGATAAACATAGCTATGAAACATTGTTTAAACTGATGGCTGACAATGAGAAATCATATGAATCACTTACCAACATATATCCAAAAGAGATCGAGCATAAACTATCGTCAATCTACGTCGATGAAATAACAATTGCTGGTAGAACCTACGGTACAAGAACAACATCAATCATCATAGTAGATCAACAAAACAATGTTTACATGTCAGAGATCGACAGACAAGAAAACAAAGTCTATAATATTCAATTTGAAATAGACATTAATTAATATAATAGTTTATTTTGATGGATCTTTTTTCCATCCCCAATTTGGTAATCCAATTGATATGTTTTGTACTTTATCGAGTGGACTTGTCGATTGTGGCTTTTGATTACTACTGTTCTTCTTGATGTGTCCTCTCAGATCCTCTTTGACTGCAGACTCCAAGTCGTTGATCATCGATATCACCATTGACTTGAACGATGGATCGTGTAGTTGAGCGTCGTGCAACAACAACTTTAGTGCCGGATGAATTTGTTCTTGAATCAATTCCTTCGGTAAATTAGTGACTGACATGAATGCTCTCAGTGAATCAAACAGACACTGTGACATCTCTCTTCTATTTTCATTCGATGGATTATGATTGTTTCTTCTTACATACTCAACAATCTTTGGTAGGAAAACTAAATAGTAATAAACATTAGTGATGATTACAACTTGTGTAATAAAATTACTTACATGAATCTCTATATCTTGGTTTAACAGTTGGTATTATTTTAGTGATAGATTGTACAAATTCTACTTCCAAATTGTGATTCTTGTCATCCAAGATCTTCTCGAAAGCAATTGCAATCTTTTCGATAGCATTGTCTTCGCTTAGCTGTGAAAGAACGATCGATAATGCACCGATACACACCATTCTAACGGTTCTATCGGGATCTGTACTCATAGTAATCAAAGAAGGTACAATAGTATTTGATATTTGTTGTGGACTGAATACTGGTATCTAAAAATATATATAATTAATTATTAATAATTGATAGATAGATAGATAGATTATATTATCAATTAACTTACAATAACTTTATAAAGATTTAAAATACATGATCTAACTTGGTTTGATGGGTTGGCAGTCAAGTTTGATAGGATCTGTCCAACGTCTTTCTTCTTGTCGAAATCATTGTTACAGAGTAACTCCATAGATTTTACGAGTGCTGGGAAGTTGCTGTGATCCCATCCTCTCTCTTCCATTGAAATCTGTACAACAATGTCACTGAGGAATGTATTTAGTTCCGATGATTCCAATGAATGTAATACTCCAGCTGCGAATATTGGTACCAATCTATATTTCTTTACTGGTGCTTCATCTATTTAATTTTATATTGTTAAAAAAATAATTAATTTAAAGTTTGTTATTATTATTATTATGTTATAACTACTTACTTCCTCTTGAATCCTTTTGGAATTCTTTGTAGAATGCACTCTTTACGACTCTCTTGGTGAATACTTGACCGAATACCGTGCAGAAAACATTGAGTGCTTTGGCAAACAATGAGATGAGACGAGTGTTTCTCATTGGTATGCAATAGAGGATGTTTAGGAGTTTGTTGATGAAATCCGTTGAGATCCACTCCAGCGATTTCCAGTTGGGTGAAGATACATCGTTGTTGACCAACGACATCAGATATTGTTCAAACTGTGCGTGTAATCTAGCTGTTTCTGATTTACCGAGTATCGATATTCTATTGGATGAATTTGTAACTGCTCCAGTTGACGACGATGACGATGATGCTGTAGACTCTGATGAGGCAGTAGAAGCTCTACCACTTGAACTACTGCTACCCTCGCCACCATTTAACGAACCATTGGCATCGACACCATGGCCATTCTGTTGATTCAATTTCGATTTATTCTCATTCATTTGATATTGATAGATTGCTTCTTGTCTGTCATATTCATTTTCAATATTCTTTGCTTCTTTTTCCTATAATAATATTACATATTGTTAATAAGTGTAAAATAGATATCAACAAAATATGTATACATACAGATATTAATGGAGATGATGAGATAAGAGATTGATGTATTCTCGGTACTAAATCCATAAAGCATGCTAATATTTGTTCCAACTTTAATATATCTTGTTCCGGAATCTTGAATTCTTCTTTTTGATTTGTATATCTCTATTATAATATTGTCTTGTTAGTCTTGGTTACAATTAATTGAAATTTCTTATAATTACTACTTACATGAACAAGTGAATACATCTCTGTTAATAACAGGTTTGTTAGTTTGGAGTTCAGTGATTCCAAGAGATCTGTCCAGTTGGCAAGTGAGGGAAGGAAGTATACTCTGGTGGCGAGTGATACCTCTGCTTCGGTATCGTAGATCAGTGCTTTGAATGACTCTTCCACTTGGTTGTACTTGTCGGTGCCATCGAAAAAGTTGATGAGAAGTGAGAAGTTCTTGGCGACGGCAATACGGACGAGTGCCGACTTGTCTTGTCCGAGCTGCTGGAGAATCGACAAGATCAACGACAGCCGGAGATCGGGACTGGCAAACTGAGCGAGCGATCCACAGGAATCGGCAACCAAGACACGTCGCTCCGGATGCTTCTCTGTGAGCTGCTCCCAGCACTGCGAGAGAATCTCGGTCTCTGTACGTTGCGGACCGACAATCGATGCCAGCGCCATACAGCCCTTCATGATGGCATGTCGCTGGAATTCATTGGGTTTCTTTATCAGGTTGAACAGTAGCTTGGTGAGAGCGAATCGCGTCGTTTCATCGGGATGATTGGAAATGACGACCAAGATCAGCGGGATCAACTCCTCACGCTTATTCAACAAGACTCCCGGGAGAATGTGTGGCAGTGAACTAGCTATCACCTTGACGATCTTTCCTAGCTGGTCGGAATCGTGTGAACGCAGCTGTTCGACTTCGTCGGCGATTCTCATGCTTGCTTCCGACTCGTCGTCGTTCGAGACAATCTGGAAGGCAACGGTCTGTCTACGCTTGTCGACCATCGATCTAAACGTATTTCTCATCACCGATACATCGCTTGCATTCATCTCCAATGATTTACGATGTTGCTGTTGCTGTAATTGAGTGTTTGGCGATGTTATACTTGTGGTTGTCGTGGTGGTTGTTGTTGATGTTGTTGAACTGGATGTAGAGGTCGTCAACATTCCGACAGCACTACTGCCCGATAGTTGATTCTTCTTTAGCTGTTCAATGATTATATTCGATTCCTTTAGTTTCAGATGGAGTTGTTCTTTCTCCTTCTGAATGTTTCGCCAGTGACCTTCGTTGTCGGCCAACTCCTTCTTGAGCTTTGCAATCTCACCCATCGTTTTGGTGAGGACGCCCTGCACACCGGAATCACCATTCTCAAAGAAATAGCGATAGATCGTCAAGAGAGAAGGTGGTTCCGGTTGATTCAATTGAAGATCCGACCAATTTCTAGCGCTATCTTCGCTCTCCTCTGAGAAAGTAACCGATGTCAGTGGATAGCCATTGGCAGACAAGTACTTTCTAAACAGATAATTCAAAATCTTCTTTTCATGTGATTTAATCTTTTCTTTCGATACACTATCCAATTGTTTCTTACTATCTATATTACTATTACTACTATTACTACTACTACTACTAGTTTGTTGCTGTTGTTCTACATTACTATTACTTCCATTACTACTACTATTATTATTATTATTATTATCAACACTATTATTATTAATAGTTGTACTTGAATTTAATCTTGATTTCAATTGTTCTTTCAATTGAATGATATCTTCTCTTGATTGTCTCAGCTCATATTCCAACAACGATATCTTTTCATCTTTAGATTTATCGGATTCATTCGATACTATTCCCTGTTGTTTCTTTCTCTCTATTTATGATATGATACATTTGAGATCAAATGAATGAGATGAGTATTATAATTATAGAATATTAACTATCTAATAGTGATATTTTTATTTACCTTTAATTATTCTTAATGGATCTTGAGTTGATGTTGTCAATGATTGGAAGTACTCTTTGAGTGCAGGCAGTTCAGTTCCGTCACCCTCCAACAACTCCTGGTGAAACTCTAAAGCTGTTAAATAGTAACCTTTAGATAATAAGAATTTTGCAAATTCTTCTTTCATTTCTTAATACTATATTTATCTTTTTCTTTTCTATTCTTTTTTAAAAATATATATAAATAAATAAAAAATGGTTAAAGTATTCTGTGTATAAATATTAAATTAGATAGGATATCATTCAAAAGTCGCTTAAAAGCTAACCACCTTTTCACACTTTAATTTATAATAATCAAATTTTTTTATTTTTTTTTTTTTTTGAAGATGAAATTTTTTTGATGAAAAGAGCAAAGTTAATTTACTTTGTTTATTTACTCAGAATACGACAACAAAGGTATGAAAACTGTTGCAAAAAAGATAATCAATTTATACATGTTCCTTTATTTATTATATAAGTACAAATAGATAGTTTAAAAAAAAAGACTAAAAATATTTGAAAAAAAAAATCAACCATCGATAGTTGATTTTTAAAATAACCTTATAAGGTTATTCACTTTTGTTTTTTTTTTTCCAAACAGATTGTGTCAAGGATTCTTCCTGATAAATCAGTAACTGATGATACCACATCATTATATTCAACAACAACAATAATGGAATCAATAACAACAAGTTCATCATTACAATCATTCATCAATCATAATAATCAAACATTATTCAATGAACATCTTGATCTATTCAATATTGACGAACTTCTCAAACAACACTCCCAATGATTCGACATCAATATTATTAGATATCATTCATAAATACAACAATCAATTCAATGAATCAACAACAATCACAGACAATGGGAATGTACCAAGTTGGTACAAGTAAAAAAATAAAAAAATGAAAAAAAATGAAAAATAAAAATAAAAAAATTTTAAAAAAAGGATTAGATTGAAAAAATTGTTTTTTATTCAGTTATCATTTTGAATTTTGTGTCCATCAAAATGTTTCTTCTTGGGAATTTCCATATATGATATTTATCATCCTTAATGTACTCTATTTTTTCTTTGTCTTTTTCGGTACCATCTGGAAGAGTGAAATCGATGGTAATGGGATATACTTTTTTCTTGAACCATTGCATATCCTTGTGTTCAGGATCTACTTTTAATAGATTGGTCATACAAGTATGGTCAGAGCTAAGAACCGTATCCGTTTCAAAAGTGTAGATAAGCCTTCCACCCTTAGAACTTTCAAAGTTGACATTGACTGTGCAATGTATCTTCCGAGTAATTAGGTAAACATTATTTTCCCTTGCTATAATGTTGTGATCGAATACATTTCTTCCACTAATATCTGCGCAGCTTGATAAGACATCACTTTCATTGTGATGGTGTTTTGCTTTCTTCTTCTTCTTAGAAACAACTGGATCCTCTTCTTCTGCTTCACTTTCTTCTTCTTCTGCTTCATCATCATCCTCTTGATGATCATTTGTATCATATCCATTAGCTACAAGCACTGAAATAATAACTTTTAGTTATTTTAAACTATTCAAAATACATAAATATTTTATTTACCTTGTTCTGCTTGAACTATTTTTTTTGCTTTTGATAGTTCAGCTTTTCCGCATTTCGGAAAAGCTTCTACTAATTTTTGAATGCTTAGAGCTAAAAGAGTATCTTTATAGTTTTTCATTAAGCTTTCAGCCTTAAGTACCTTATCACTTATAATATTATTATTAGCTTTTATTTTCATTTTTAGAGAATTGAAATAAATTAAAAATAACTTAAAAATTCAAAACTTAAATTTGAAACAACAAGATATCTTATCGAATAGATTATAATAACATTTTTATAGGAATCTAATATATTTTCCCTGTGCTATAGAATCACATTACAGAAGACGATATGGAAAGTAAATCTTAATTTTTAAAAAATATCTAGGTTACAAATTAAGTTCACAATATCATATATTAATTTTTATTAATATTTGGGAAATTTCTTTAATCTGGTACATTTTAATATTAACTAATACATTTAAAAGTAAATTAATACATCGATAGACACTAATACAAGTTAACATGTGGAACTCGAAGAAAATTTACTAAATATAGTAATTTACATACATTAGATGTATTAAATTAAAGAACTGGTACATTTAAAAAAAAAAAGTCCATTTAAATTTAATTAGTCCAACTAAAATTTTTAATACATCTTTCACAGTAGAACAACTTGAATTTGGATTTCTTTTCACCCATTAATAATTTCATATTTTTTCAGAAATGACAAAAGAAAAAAAATTTTATGAATTTTGTAGTGACCCTTCTCCACTAAGAGCTGAGTGTATTTGAAAAACAAAAAAAATAAAAAAATAAAAATTTTTTTTTTAAATTTTTCAATTTTTTTATTGGAGTTTTTATTGACCGACTTGTACCATATTGGCACAAATCTAATTTTTATCAGTGTATTTCCAAATCTTGATTATTTCTAAACGATGGAGAATAGGCACATAAAAAAAAAAGTTAACATCAACAAACAAATCACATCGATAAATATGTTTTATTCTATTTTTATACATTGATAATCATTGTTTTTTGTTTGGTCTTATATATCGGTGATTGATTAGCAAATTTTTATGTCAAAATATCTAATAATCTTTTTTTTTTTTTGTTTTGGCAATGTTTTAAAAGAATTCTTCAATATATGTTCCAACTTTCTGTAAAATTGTCAATTTAGTATTATAAATAAATAAAAAATAATGTTTACAAAAAATGTAACGGTTTTTACACTTTGATTAATCAAAAAAAAAAAATCTCAACACCCAATTTAATGGATAAATTTTATAAAATTTCTATTATTATCGGGGCAAGCACGCTCCACCCCTCAGACCATCACCCAGAATTTTATTTTCAATCCATTGTAAATCGCATTTACCTTACTTTTAAAAAATAAAACAAATCAATCAAAATATCATGGTTTTTTTTTTGTAGTCGTCACTGCTATGTTGAACATTGCCATTAACTGAAAATAAAGGATATGAATCAAATAAAACCAAACCAAAAACCAACCAACCATCATCAAGAAATCAATCACGGATCTAACACACTCTTCAACATCATCATCAACCAAAAAAAAATGTAAAAAAAGAAAAAAAAGATTAATAAACCCGCATCGGGTTCACTCACTCAATTTTTTTGATCTATTTAATTAATCTGACTATCTCCTCCATTTCATTTTTGATTTGATTTTAATACATTCCGCTTAAATTGTCATTGTTGGTGTTTTTCAAAAACAGATATTTTTAACAACTATTTGCTTGATATTCCATTCCATCATTTATTTGATCCTAAGTAAAATTTAAAATTGAAAAAGTTTATTTTTAAGTTAATGTATTTATTTATTTGTTTATATTTAATTGTATATAATATTTTATAAATAACACAATGATGTATAAATATTTATTTTCAATATCATTATTTATACTTTTTATTGTAGTAGTTGTAAAAGGAGCACCTGTTTCACCGATATATAAAACAAATGGACATTACTATGAGTTGGTTGCACCAGGTACATTTCCAAACAGTTTGATTGCAGCTCGTGTTTGGGCGAATGGCTTGACACCACCAGTTGCCGGCTATGTTTCATACATTGCCACTGTCACCACCACCGAAGAGTGGCAGTTCATCATCCAGAATCTCGATATGTCCAAAAAGTTTTGGGTCGGTATCCAGCGAGTGTCGGCAATCGTCGACCAATTTCAGTTTTTCACTGGTCCCGAACAAGGCCAGACACTGTACTATTCGCTGAGCGGCCAGTGCACGATGTATTGTAATTTCATTGTTGGCCGTCCTGACTCCAATTCGCTGGCGAACGCAGTCTACTACGATCCCACTGGCAACGGTCTAACCAACGACCAACTTCTCGCCACGAGTGCCACCTATTTCCTCATTGAATACGCACCAGCCAACGAACCGTTTATCCCGCCTGCGCCAACATCCGGCGGTGTAGTAACCATTAGTGGACTGACCGCATTCGACATGTCAGCTATTTCGCTCTCAATGAAACCACTCTCAGGAGGTGGAGCAGCTATTCCAATCACCATCAACTCAAAGTCAACCGATTCAATGGTAGTTGTCATTCCTCCAGGTTCCGGTGCATTCAACCTAACCATTACCGATCAAGTTAAATCGTATTCCAATCAAAATTATAAATATCAATGTATGTAAATTTGTATATCCTATTAATAGTTTAGAAACTAATTTAAATTCCAATATAATCTTTCTTTTAGCACCTTGGTTCCAAGCTGTTTATCCAAATGCGATGAGTGCTTCAGCCTTGGTGACAGTGGTTGGAAATAACTTTGGAGCAGTGGAATCAACGATTCAGTTACAGGTTGGAACATCTTCCTATACTTGTCAGAATCTAAAGTTCCTTCAGCCACACACAGATTTTGTTTGCCAATTACCAACCAACTTTGTAGCACCACTATTCCCTCTACAAATCAGACAAAGTAATGGAGGTGAAAGATTATCAACCTATCAAGTTTCGATATGTATGTATTTAACCTAATTGTTATTTAGCAATTGAAACATTTATTTATTAATTTGTTTATCTATTTTTAGATGATAAAAGTTCAATGAGAATGATTGGAATTGTACCATCTTTTAATACTTATTTGATGAGTGTAACTTTATTTCAAGCGGCATATACAATCGATTCTTATAAAGTGTATATGGGTATACCTGGATCTTTAGCTCAACTTAATCTTTTGACTAGTGTCATTTCATTCAGTACAGTCTGTACAACCTATCATGTATCGGCCATCGGCAATGGAAACAATGTTCTAATGAAGAATAATGGTGGTCCATTTGACTCAACCATCATTGTCAATAGCACCAAGTTTTGTGATAGTACGAAATCAGTTTATTGTCCAGGTCCACCTGTAAGTTAATAATAGCTTTATCATTTATTTATACAATTCTATGTATTAACAATTATAATTATTTCAGGTTGGAAGTTTTGGAGCAACTGTACCAATTACATTGAATCAATTATATAATTTCAATTTCCTGTCACCAATGAAATATGCTGGTACTACATCGAGTACTGTTGGAAACTATTGTAATTTAGTATATTCCGGTATTAATCCAACGATTGCTCCAGCCGATTTAACTATTCGTTTATTTAATACATCGGGTGGTACTCTGAATTTGGCTATGCCAAGTGGATCTGGATTTAAATATACAACACGTACTTTGGTGATTGGAGCGGTGACAATTGACACAACGATAACTGCCAGTCCGAATGCACTTAGCATTCTCATTCCACCAGGTTTCGGATCATCTAAAGCTGCCGTTTTGTTGTTTGAGTCTATCATCTCGGTGACTGCACCAAGCATTGGATACTATCCACCCTATATCACAGGTATTTCAAAGCCACCAACTAGCGGTGGTCTTGTTGTGATCGATGGTCTAAATCTTGGAAACAGAGTAGATATCATTACTATTGCATTCGGTGCAACTCCATGTTCAACCATTACCATCACCAACAATCACACTCAAATAACTTGCCAAGTGGCTGCGGGTGTCGGTGCCAACTACGCTTCCAACATCTTTGTTGGCAGTCAAATACAAACCAACTCTTTCTACTTCTCCTATCAATCACCTGTTATCACTGGAATCTCACAATTTGGAAACACGCTAATTGTGAACGGACATAACTTTGGACAAAACTCTGGTCAATCTGGAATGCAAGTTCCACAGAATCTAAATACAGCCGCACTTGGAACAGCTCTCGATGGTAGTGAACAAATAAATATAACACTGCCAGTTGTCTTTAAGAACGGTCCAATCGCTATACAAGTTGGAGGTTCCGTTTCCAATTCCTTTGAATATCTTTTCACCCCGTCAATCATCTCGATTGAACCGGTTGTTCCTGTTACAGGTGGATTGATTACCATCAAAGGAGCTTATCTCAATGACTTGAGAAGCAACTCTACTTCAACCAACCCACAAGTTCTTCTTGGAAATAAGCCATGCAATGACCTATCATTCGGTGCCGACACACAGTTTACCTACATCTATTGTACAGCGCCAGCAGGAACCGGATACAATCTTCCAGTGCAGGTTGTTATCGATGGAATCCAATCGAATACTCTCAATACATTCTCATACTATCCACCGGTCATCTCTTCATTCATTCAAAATCATTTGGTTGCAACCATTGCAGGTTCCAACTTCTCCACCGACTTCACAGCTGTCACCGTACATTTCAACGGTAACTCAGTGCCAGCCACCGGTATCAATCCACTACGTAATTCCATTGTTGTTCCAATCCCACTGGATACACTGAATGGAAAGATTTCAGTTACTGTAAGTGGTCAAACAAGTCCGGATTTCGATTTCACACTCAGTCCAACCATAGTATCAGTTTCCGCCTTGCCAACCAACGGAACCAATATCTTGATCAATGGTTACTTTTTCAATTCTGTAAATATTAATGGTGATCCACTGGCTCTTTCCATTACCATTGATAAAATAGCTTGCGAGAATCCAGCGATTCAACCTGGAAATAATACGGCAGTGACATGTGATGCTCAATCGGGAAGTGGAGTTAATCATACACTAGAAGTAACGATAGGTACTGACAGCGATGACATTTTCATTTCCTATTTGCCACCAACCATAACAAGAATCACAATGAATGGAACACATGCACAGGTATATGGTGTTGATTTTGCCAGTAGCCAATCGTTGATAACTGCCAACGTTCCATGTCAGGGTGGATATCAAGTGGTTGAAACCACCGATCTATCTGGCAGTCCAGCCGAACAAAATATATTGGTACTTCTACCATCCAATGCTTTAAATGGTGAAATTTCATTGGTTGTTGACCAACAGTTATCGAATCTACAGCCATACTCTCTAATGCCATGGATTGAATCAAGTAGTTTAGTTGCAACAGCCGGTGGATCCATTGTTTTAACTGGACAACATTTCACTTCCGCAAGATTCGATGGCAACGCTACTGAAGTTGTTGTCGATGTCGAAGGTCAAAGCTGTACGAATGTCCAAATAAATTCATTTACAGAGTTGACATGCATTGCACCATCGGGTTCAGGAGTATCAAGTCAAATCACAGTCCAAATCGATTCAACTCTTTCCAACTATTGGGACTATGCTTATATTCCACCAACCATTGATAGTATTACACAAAATGGTTTGGTAGCACTCGTTAATGGAACCAATTTAGGTTTGGTTGCAAATGTAGCTTGGTTCCAAATCGGTGATTTACAATCGACATCGACCAATGCATTCGATAGCTATATAACCACAACTATTCCGGCATTTTCGCAATCCGGCGAATTCTATTTGGATATCAATGGTCAACGTTCCAATAACCTGACAATAACACTCACACCAGTACTCAATTCAATTTCATCGGTTGCAACTACAGGTGGTCTCATTACAATTTCCGGTTACTATCTCAATGGATTCAGACAAGATGGTACAGCTACATCGCTCAGTGTTACATTCCCTGGTGCAAAAGAATGTGATTCTCCATCATTCCTCGCCAACGATGTACACTATAGCTATATAACATGCAATGCACCTTCTGGCGCTGGAAAGAATATTCCAGTAACTGTGACAATCGATGGAAAGCCATCACAAATAGACTTTAGCTATGGTGCACCGTCCATTCAGAATATAACAGTTTCAAACAGCAACTACATTGTAGTAAATGGAATCAACTTTGGATCCGATCCAAATCAAGTTAATATAACATTGGGAACCGATGTAATAAGTGAATTTACACTTGTTGATAATACGCGAATTGAATTCCAAGCATTGAATACCTCTCTCAATGGATTGGTTGTTGTCACTATCGACGAACGTGTTTCCAATGGAATTCAAGCATCACTGTATCCACAGTTGATCTCTGTAACCAAGTCCGATACTCAAGGATCAATTGTTAATATCACTGGAAACTATTTGAATGGATTGGCAGCAGATGGACAACCAACCGTTGCTTCAATCACCATCGATGGTGTACCATGTCAATCTATTTCCTGGGCGAACGATCATAACAATGTCTATTGTACCGCGCCAGAGAATTCAGGTGTCAATCACATATTGGTAATTACCATTGATAGTAGATCCAGTAACTCTATACTCCTAAATTATAATCCACCATCGATCACCTCCATCACTCAAGATACAGATACAATTTCTGTTACCGGAACTAATTTTGGAAATACAACAACTGGAGTAACCTTTTCCACTGGTTTCAATATACTTTCGGTTTCACACCAGCTTGTTGTTGCAACGCTAAACCGTAACACCAAGAATGGCATGATATCAATCACTGTCAACACTCAACAATCTCAAACATCACTCTTGAAACTCACACCAATCATTACAAACTGTACATCGATATCACCTTACGGAGGAGATATTACAATCAGCGGAAGATATCTCAATGTCATAGATATGAATGGTGATAAAACTAATATTTCCATCAGTGTTGAAGATGTACATTGTTTGTTTGTTAGCTCACCAATCGAAGGAGAATCTATTATATGTGCAATCGGAAAGTCTTCATTTAACGATATCAATCTTAATTTAACCATTAACGGTATGTCTGGTATTGGAAGATACTCTTCGTTGGGACCGGTCATCCTATCAACTACACAATCATACTATCTCATTGCAAGCAACATAACAGTGAGTGGAACAGATTTCTATGAACCTGTATATGTTAGTGTTGGAGGCACAAAATGTCCAGCACAATTCATTTCGCCAACTCTACTTTCATGCTATTTCGCATCGGATGTGCAGCAAGTGGACAACACTCCTCTAGCAATTGAAGTATTGGCAGCATCCTTTTCCGTTCAAAATTCAATTTTCACATACTTTGTAGATAGTTGTCAAGATAATTGCAATGGTCATGGTCAATGTGTATCAGGATTGTGTCATTGTGATGTAGGATATTCAGGTTCACTCTGTAATGTTGCGACATCAACAACTGTTAGACCAACTACAACATTGGTAAACACAACAGACAATGGATTGATATTAACACTCCACTATGAATCGCCACAGTATCATGTCTCTCTTGCTGCATTGAGAGAACAGACACCCTCAGGAACAACAGTGAAACTAGTTAAACTTCAAGATCTAACATGGACACCTGCAGTTTCAAACACAACAACTCAATATATCGAGAAATTGACAACTGGAACCGATTCATTGTCGAATCTAACTGTTTCGCTGAGCTACAAACAATGGGTGGAACAAACAATGATAACATTTGTTGGTCAGAACCTTTGGAATCCAGTTGATAGTTCATCACATTGTTTGACTATCGGCAACTGGACATTCGCCAGTCCTCTAAACAACCTAGAGTTGATCTATCAAACCTATTATCCAACCGCTCAAGATTATCAATGTCAATCGACCACTCCTCAACCACTGCTCAATAGCAACAATAATACACGTTCGTTGAAATCATTCCAAATCGATTCTCCCTATGCCGTGTTGACTGGATCATTCTCTCAGCGTTTGGTAATAGATAATGGAATCTATCAACTTCTCAATATTCAGACCGTTAGTGAAATCAATGGATTGGTTACACCAGACAACTACACAAGTCTGTACCTCACCCTAAATATTCCAATCTTTTCGAATCAGGTTGTCATTGATCCCAACTTTATTGTTTACAACAAACCAACTATGCCACCACTTGATTGCAGTCCAGAAGAAATCGGACCATCCAACAGAAAATGGGTAATACCTGTTGCAGTTGTCGTTTCTGTTGTTGGTGCAGCAATCATCGTAGCAGTTATAGTATATATCGTTAAAAAGAAATCATTAACAACCCGGGTACCATCTGAACATAAAATGACAATTCACAACACTGAATAGAATATATAACAAATTAAAAATAAAAATACAAAAAAAAATTAAGAAAAGTTTAATCAAAGTAACAATAAAATTAAAATAGAATATCTCTATATATTTTGCACAAATAAAAAAAGGAAATGGTAAACAAAATAGTGGACAGTCGATTGTAGGAGATGAAGAGTCAAAAGGTTTTTTTTTTTTTTTTTTTTTTAGGTCCATTGCACTAAGGAGGTGTTTTTTATCACCTCCTCACGAGTTGGTGTCAATGTATTGCCCCATGGGCTCTTAGGACATCAGTTTTATTATATACGTTCCGGTAGCGGGGAAACTTAGTCATTACCGAGTAACGTGAGGATGTATTTCCGTATCAGCCCAAAAATATTTTAAATTATATTTAACAAAGTATAGTCAGTATCAAGTAGTATATCTGTTTGATTGTCAGTTTTGAATATGATTTAATTATTAATGAGTTTATTATTTATTGTTTGGTGTGATGACATTTTAATTTTATCAATTAAAAAAAGGATGATATATTTTACCAGTACATAAATACTGGTTTTTTGAAAAATAAGTTAAAATACTCACTGGTGAGTTAATTTTTCGTTCCCACGAATTCTCGGCCAAACTGCACGTTAGTTAGTTTTGGTTACTTTTTCAGTTAGTTCATATTAAAATTTAATTCGAGGCTTAAAACACGGGTCGAAGTAGTGAAGGCCCACGAATGAACCATTTCACTAACTACTTTTTTTTTTTTTTTAGCAAAAAAAGATTTGTTGACTCATGATCAGTCAACAAATTGCAGGTATTGATATTAACCTGCTAGTTCGTGTTTTATATTATATTTACATTCTCACACAGGCCGTGAGAAATATAGCCACGCTAACTACGTCCTTCGACAGAGTCAAAAGGTTAAGTTTTTCAATAAAAAAATAGTCCTTACCGCATCCGGATTTTTAAATTTCAAAAGATCCGACTTGCCAGACTCGAACTAGCAACCTTTTGATATCTCTTGTGATTCTTACTACAGTCAAACACTCTACCACTTGAGTTAAAGTCGGATGATGATGGCAAAAAATCCAATTTAAGAGTTTATACTTTTTCTGAAAACAATTGATTTTTATCTGATCGAAATTTTTTTAACTCTGACAGATGGTTTAATATGAATCAACAAACCATCTGATAATAGATGATATTGTAAAAAACAAATTTCGATAATTGATTGTAAAACAAGAAAGTGTGGATGAGATAACTTAGAAGAATTCATGAAGTGGTGATGGAAGTATAATAAATTTGGCCATTATTACTTTCATATTACAAATATATAACAGCATTAAGCTTTGGATTTAAAAAATAATTCGTTCAAATCAAAAAATTTTTGAGCGCGCCAAAATTTTCCAAGAAATAAATATTGGAAACCAACTTTTTTGGAAATGAATGAACTTTAAGTTGATTGATTATTTGAACTGTCCATCACTTGCTGTTTGATTATTATTATTAAAGTTTATTTAAGAGAGACTTACAAAAAAGGAAAGAAATATTAAAATGTGTGGAAGAGCAGTCTGTACTTTGAATCCACAGGAAATTCATGCCAGAACCGACACCAATGAATTCATTGGGGGTTCAAGATATCAACCATCCTACAATGTCACTGCAGGAATGAATCAACCAGTAATTACAAACTATTTGAATTTAACAAGATCAGTATCAGGTGGTAGAATTAATAATAACAATAATAGTAATAATAGTGATAATAATGAAGATAATCAAGATAATATAAATGACGAATGGAATGAATCAACCAATAATCATGTCAGTGGCTCCGTAAATAATGAAGATCAACAATCACAACAACAACCACAACAACAAAAGAATCAAAGAGTTGTAATGTCAATGTTATGGGGTGGGATTGGTGATCCACAATATAATATAATCAATATCAGATCAGACACCATCCCAAACCATTCACTGTTTAAATCGTTGTTGAAGCGTCAACGATGTTTGATTGTTGCCGAAGGTTTCTACGAGTGGCAACACGCAAATGGCGATATGGCAAGCACCAAAATACCACCATCACCTTATTATTTCTATCAGCAACCAAACAGTTATTCACCAGATAACACAAGTTTGGTAAACAGTGGAAAATCAATGATATTAATGGCAGGTGTCTATCAGATCAAGAAATCTGCAACTGGCGAAGATGTGTTTCGTTACGCGCTGATCACTACCGATGCTTTCAAAGGAATGTCAGGAGTTCATCATAGAATGCCAGTTATTCTCACCGATGAGAATGACATCAATCATTGGCTGAGACCTTACGATGAGAAAACCAGTGGTTCTCCAGCAGATTTACACTCACTTTATAAACTAATGAAACCATATGATGGATTATCATTGTAAGTATATATATATAATATATCTCAGATAAATTCAATAATTTTAATCTAATTTGATTTCATCACTTTATATATACTAGTCATAAAGTACCTGTTTTAGTAAATAACATTAGATTTAATTCACCAGATTGTATTAAACCAGAGAAAGAATACTTTGCAAAGAGTGGTATCGATCGATTCTTCCAGGTGAAAGATAAGAATAGCGATAATGATAATCTATCAATTCCAATGTCATTTGAATACAATGATAATTTAAGTGAAGTTTCAACACTAGAGGAAATTCAAAGTTCTCAATCAGCAGCATCATCATCAACATCTTTTTCTTCATCACAAACAAGTTCACAAGAATATTTTTCACAATCAACACAATCTTCACAATCCACACAATTATCAAATAGTTTTTCTTCTGTATCATCAATTGCATCTGTAACATCATCCACATCAACATCATCACTATCCACAATCTCATCTCTTTCAACAATGAGAATACAATCACCAACCAAACCAAAGAAACCTGTAAATACAACAGCAAATTTAATTAATGCAAAGAAGAACCAGCAAAGTGCAAAAGCTAAATCTAGTGGAATAGAGAGATTCTTTGAAGTAAAACCAAAATCAAATGAAGACAATGACATTAACACCACTGCAACACCAACTTTGACTGTAACTGCAAAATCAACAAAACCAACAACAACTACTACTACTTCAACACCAAACAATATGTTTTTTATTAAAAAAATTAAATAACATATACTTGTACATTCCAATAATACTGCAATAAAACAACAAACACACCACTAATCTTTAAAAAAAAAAAACAAATTACCTTTTTAATTTATTAATTTCATTGGAATGTAAATATTTATATATATATTTATAGTTAATTGATATAGTAATAGCACTATTTTAATAGACTATTGTTTTCTTACTTTATTAATAATTAATTAATGAATAATAATATAGTCGAGGAAAAAATCAATAATATTCTCACAGTGACAACAAATGCAACCAATGAATCATCGACGATAAGAGTAATTTGCTTCAACGGTTCTAGAATAGTCCGTATTATAGCACCCAAACATATTGAAGATGCCTATAAGTTAAATGAATGGAAATCATTTAAAACATCATTAAATAATAATAACAATAATAATAATAATATTTTAAATTCAGCTATTTTACAATTATTATTAAGTGTTGGATTATCTAGTGAGCTACCGGAATGGATTGAATTGCCGACGATTTACTCGCAGTGTTCGATATCACCGGAATCCTATGTGGTTGAGGTTGCAACGGATTTGCGTACTCTGGTAAAGCAACAAACCGATGAATCCTATTTAATCTATCATTTGGCGTTGTTGCTAAACGATCGGTATGCACCGGCACACTTTCATCTTGGTGTGGTTAGCTATGAGCGTGGCGAACGTCTACTGGCGCTCAGCCACTACGCGAATGCGCTCGACCTTCGACCAAACTACCCGGAGGCGTTGTGCAATGTCGGTGTCATACACAAGAACAACGGCGATCTCGACGGCGCCATTGAATTCTACCAGCGTGCTCTCAAGTACAATGCAAACTACCAGCTCGTCAAGTTCAACATGTCGGTGGCGCTGTGCGACTTGGGCACACGCTACAAAGTCGCCGGTGACTTGGAGCGTGCCACCGAGTCGTATAAGCGGTCGCTCTACTACCACAGCGGATACGCCGACGCCTACTATAATCTCGCGATTATCTACGTTGAGAGACTGCAGTATGAGAAAGCGATCGTTTGCTACGAGCTGGCCATTCACTTCAAGCCGACCTACACAGAGGCAAACAATAATCTCGGAGTGCTGTATCGCGAGCTCAACAACTTTGATGCTGCACTCGAGTGTTATAATCGTGCACTCACGTGCAATCCTCACTTTGCACAGGCACTGAACAACATTGGAGTGATCTACACACTTCAAGGTCGCATGTCAGAGGCGAAGCGATATATTAAACGAGCGATAGAGGAATTGAACACCTATGGCGAAGCGTACAACAATCTCGGTGTCATCTATAGAGATGAAGGAAAGATCGATGAAGCAATAGAAGCATATGATAAATCGATATTATACACACCAAACTCTATCAATGCTCCTCACAATAAATTATTAGCATTAAATTGTAAGTTGTTGATCAACAATCAAAGAGTGTATATATATAATGATTAGAATGTAACCATTAACTAAATCAAATTTGATTAATATAATATCAATATAAATATAGATTCAAATAGAACATTATTATCAATATTTAAATCACATAAGAGATGGGGAAAGAATTATATTAAAAAAGATAAATTGATTCAAAAGTATGTTTAATTAAAAGGACTTGACAAAACAAAATTATATTATTCATATTCAACTAATTAATAATTAATAATTTAATTTAATAGTTATAAAACAGAATTAAAAGAAAAAGATAAATTAACAATAGGTTATATATCACCTGATTTCTTTACACATTCTGTATCTTATTTTATTGATGGTATATTAAAACATCATGATAGGAATTTATTTAATATTTATTGGTAAAGTATTAATTATAAACATTGACTATGTAATACATAACTTTACTTTCTTGCTTATTATATTTATATTTCATTCTATAATTATAGTTATTCAAATGTTATAAAGGAAGATGATACTACCATTAGACTTAAATCATATAATCATTGTTGGCGGTCGATTGTTGGTAAATCAGATGTTGTGGTGGCACAGATGATAGTCGACGATTGTGTTGATATTCTTGTTGACTTGGCTGGACATACTTGTTCGAATCGATTGGATGTCGTTGCTTTGAAACCTGCGCCAATTACAATATCGTATCTAGGCTATCCTAATACTACTGGTCTGCCAAATATCGATTACAAATTCACAGATAGCTATACTGACCCGGTTGGTTCAACGGTTCAACAGTACACCGAACAACTCTATCGACTCGATAGTTGCTTTCTCACCTATACACCACCACAACACTGTCTGGCTGCAGAACCATCGGTACTACCGCCATCCGAACAAAACGGTTATATAACCTATGGAACGTGCAATGTCGTCTCAAAGTACAGTGATCAGGTACTTGAATGTTGGTCAAAGTTGATGAGATCGGTTCCTAATTGCCGGTTGCTGCTAAAGAGTAAATCATTCACTTGTCCTACAACTTGTGCATCGTTCCTCGAGCGACTCCAACACTTTGGAATCGAAGTCGCTCGCACCACCCTGCTAGCACTACTTCCAAGCCAAGAGGATCATCTAAAGATTTACAACCAAATCGATGTTGCACTCGATACATTCCCCTATGCAGGCACAACAACAACTTGCGAAGCAATATGGATGGGTGTACCTGTGGTAACGCTTGTTGGCAGTTCACATTCACACAACGTCGGACAATCGATACTCTCGAATATCGCCTCTGACTTGCCAATTAAGAATCTGATCACAGAGTCACAAGAAGAATACATAGAAACAGCAATCAAATTGGCAAACGACAGAGAACTACTAAGACTCTATAGAAGTTCACTCAGACAAACCATGTTGAATTCCAATATTTGTGATAACGCTAAATTTACAAATAATCTAGAAAAAGCATATAAAGATATATGGAATAATAAATTTAGAAATTAGATTATAAATATCTTTACTACATTTACCAAATTTTTTGTATTATAAATTCAACTGTTAAAAATCAAATAAAACCCCACACCTGACCAGACATAGCAAAAATAGTATTCTGCAGTCGCCACAAACTTTTTTTCATGCAAAAAAAAAAAAAAAGTGTGAACAGCAAGTGGTTCGCTATGTTGGTTTTTTTTTGTTTTTCTCACTAGCTTTAATTGACTTTTAACAACTTTAAAAAAAAAAGATCCTTTAAGCTATTAGTTTAGATATTACTTTAGAATATAGATATTACAGTTTATTTTTATAAGTAATTAACATGGCTCGGAGCTGACCACCAATTATTATTTAATCCATCGAAATAAGTAATTGGAATGGCTGACTTTTGTGCTGGGGTAAGATCATCGATGCAATTGACGGCAACTGAGCAATAGGGACCTTCTCCATAGTCACCGATTGCGTGTGTGTAGACGGCACATTTTTTGCAGGCGTGGTTTCCACGACTGAATGTCATCATATTCTCTTCGGGAGTGAGAAGCTTGAATTGATTGACATTCTCCAATCTATAGAACCATCCTCTATGCTTGACACAGAAAGAGCAATTGCAACGACCAGACTTTAATTGATTAAGATCCGCTTCAACAGTGAACTTGATATCACCACAGAAACATTGACCAGTATAGACTCTGACACCCGATGGAATAACTGTACTCTGATCAACAGCAGCAACATCGTTAGTGGCAGTAGTAGTTGGTGTATTGGAATCCATTTTAATTTGTTTTAAATATATATTATAAATGTATGAAAATTGTAGACTAGATAGATAATAACTACTAATTATGAATTTTTATAGGTTCAGCTTTGTGTCATTGATTTCCTGGAAATCACTTAAACCAAAGGTCATATTTTCATCATTATTGTCAATGAAAGTTTTTGATAACCCTTGAAAGGACCTCATCCTCTTTATTTTGAACAAACTTTTTTTTATGCGAATGTGTGTCAAAAGATTAAAATAGTTTGGGGTTCTATCAAAAAAAATCCTAATAAACCATGGTAACGTCAAAACTAATAAAATTTCATAATTTGCAAGAACAAATTTAGGGCAGAGCTGAAAGTTGATTATATTTTTAAAATAAATTCATTGATTGCAGTTGATTTGAAACATAGAACAGAAGCAAATCTCTGCCTGATTGTTTGATTAGTCATCCATCAAAAATCAAAATAATATTTATTGATCTATAAAAATAGAAAAGAAATAAAAAACCCAATGTGAAAAATTTTTATCAAAAAAGCGTTGTTGGTCTAGTGGCAGAATTCTTGCCTACCAAGCAGGAGACCCGGGTTCGATTCCCGGACAACGCATTTTAATCTAATAAATTTTTAAGGACCGCATGCGTTTCATAAATAAACAAAAAAATGTAACACTTCCACTGCTAACCTTATTATTGGCTATTTCTCACGGCCTGTGAGAATGTATATAATATAAAACACGAACTAGCAGGTTAATATCAATACCTGAAATTTGTTGACTGATCATGAGTTGTGCATCAAGTTCGACGGTCCTATTCGTACTACTGTCCACTTCACCCACCTTACTGCTGCTATAGTACATTCTTTATGGCAGGCGCTGTCCTGTAAAATGTTTGGTGATGGTACCCAATACACTAAATTGATCGATGCCAATTACCACAAACTTAACTTCACCATCGCTAATTCTATCTCCCAAGGAGTCACTGTCGATTGCTCTGCAATGAATCATAAATGTTTTTTAAAAAAAAAAGTAACAACTATTTAAACAATGCAGTAATCTGTGATTCCAACAATAGATCATTTCAACATTTTCAGAGGGTCAAGAAAGCAGCACCCCCCAACCTACATTAAATCTGATTGGCATCAGCTAAGAAGTGTATAACAACTTACCATGCCAATCAGAAGAAAGACACTCTGTTGTTTATTATTATACAGTATATACGCCTACACAATGTTGTATTAAATTATCTTTTTCACTACTGGGAAAAATCTAAAAATATTAATATATAGATAACGTATTTCACAAATATTAAATTTTAAAAAAGAGAAAAAATTTAGAAATAAAAAAAATATTTGAAATTGAAGACATTTTATTCATTAAATAAACTACTACTTTACTCTTTTGTAAAAAACAATAATGTCAACAAACACATCAAACAACATCATAGATTATAAACACATTCTACTTTTAAGATTATTAAATAACAAATATATCAGAATACAAATTTTCGAAAATGTAGTTGACATTCATAGAATAATGTGTGTCGAATCTTTCAAATGGGACATGTTAAAACCAAAAATCATTTTAAAATATAATTTGATAGATAGATTTGAATCAGAGTACAAACAATTCCTCCAGAATCACAAGGACAAATCGAAAAAAGATCGATTAAAATTCTATATTTATGAGTGGTCAACTCTTGTCAAGTTGGGACATTTCGAATTGGCTAAGTCAATCTATACCAATATAAAGGACTACTATTCTAAAATCTATACGCTTGTGTCTTATTACGATATCAATCAAATGTACAATAAAACAGTCGAAAATGCATGTTTGGAGGGTGACATGGCAATACTCAGATTTCTGCACAACGATTGTGTACCGAAAACGAAATGGAGTCAGAAATGTCTATCGTTGGCAGCGGTCAAGAGTGATGTAGAAGTACTCCTATTCCTTTTAAAGGGAGGGCAGGCATCCAACTTGTTTGACAACATTTTCAATACCGCTGCATCACATGGTAATCTCAGTTTTCTCAAATGGTACTACGACAATAGGATTGTCGAAAGGATGTCAACTGATCTTCATCTCAGACTGGCATCGATTGGTGGACACTTGGAAACAGTCAAATTCTTGTTGGATCGTGATAAAGAGTCGGTAGTATCCGATCTTACAATGGTTTGTTCTATAAACAATGGACATCCAGATGTATTTAAACTTATGTATCAAAGAAGAGGTTGTGAATGTAATCACTATTCTCTGAGACAGATTGTCGATAGCCAGAATGTAGATCTCATCGAATTCTTATATCAACATCGATCGGAGAAATTGGGTGATCCGTTCCAACACTATAGATCTGATCGATTCTTCAAAGCGATTGAAATGAACAACTCAAAGATGTTGGAGATATTCATAAGAGAGACAGTCAATTTTTGTTTTAGCGAATTGCTTATCAAAGCCGCAGCAAGTTTGTCAACTTTAAGAATGTTAAAGTTTATCTATGATCTTTGGATCAAAAACAACAAAAAGATAACATCAACAAAAAAGAATATAGTAACAAAGATCATTTTAAAACTAGAATTGTTAAAAGAACAATATAACAATGATAATAATAATAATCATCATGAAGAATCAAACTTTTCATTTGACGAAATCATTAATAGTTTGAAATCACTAAATAATAAAGATATGACATCAACTAATTAACAACCACCAAACAACTTATTATTCTTCTTTTATATTAAATCCAACAGACTTACATGTAATATGCTTTTAACCATGTTGATTGAATGATACTAGTGGTATTTATGTAACCAACTCTATTTTTTGATGACTTCAGCTTCTGTTAGCTCAACCTTTTTTTGTTTCAATATTAATCTTCAGAGTGTTGCTCCTATCATTATCTCTAACAATCAAATCGACAAAGTTTCAAGACTACTTTTTTTTTTTTTTGGTTGTTTAGAGAATTTAATAGGAATTTGAATTCTTTGATTTTTTCTGAAAAGAAAATAAAAAACATACTATTTTTATTGATGTTATAAATCGCTTTGCTTTGCGATTATCAAACCGTTAGAGTACTTTAATAAAATGTCTATAAACATAACAGATTATAAATATTTACTATTTTTAAGATTATTAAAAAACAAATATATCAGAATACAAATTTTCGAAAATGTAGTTGACATTCACAGAAGAATGTGTGTCGAATCTTTCAAATGGGACATGCTAAAACCAAAAATCATTTTAAAATATAATTTAATAGATCGATATGAATCAGAGTTCAACAATCTTTTACAGAATCTTATTAATGACAAATCAAAAAAACAAAGATTACAATCCTATGTTCGTGAGTGGCCAACCATCGTTAAGTTAAGGCACTATGAATTAGCAAAGACAATCTATCACAATATCAACAAGTATTATACCAACAGATTTTTTAACAGCGATATACATGATCTAACAGTCTATGTTGCATGTCTGGATGGTGATATAGATGTACTCAGATTCCTCCACAAAAACTGTGAGCCAAAATCTAAATGGAGTCAGAAATGTGTGTTGTATGCAGCGGTCAAGAGTGATGTAGATGTACTGCTATTCCTCTTCCAGGGAGAGAATAACTTCCAAATGTCCGACAAGATATTCAATACCGCTGCAATAAATGGTAATCTCAGTGTTCTCAAATGGTACTACGACAATAGGATTGTCGAAAGGATGTCAACTGATCATCATCTCGGACTGGCATCGACTAGTAGACACTTGGAAACAGTCGAATTCTTGTTGGATCGTGATAAAGAGTTGGTGGTATCTAAAATGACTCTGTGTAATTCAATAAACAATGGTCATTGCGATGCATTTAAACTATTGTATCAAAGAAGAGGTTGTGAATGTAATCACTATTCTCTGAGACAGATTGTCGATAGCCAGAATGTAGATCTCATCGAATTCATATATCAACATCGATCGGAGAAATTGGGTGATCCGTTCCAACACTATAGATCTGATCGATTCTTCAAAGCGATTGAAATGAACAACTCAAAGATGTTGGAAATATTCATACGAGAGACAGTCAATGTTTGTTTTGGCGAATTGTTAATTAAGGCAACAACAAGTTTATCAACTTTAAGAATGTTAAAAGTTTATCTATGATCTTTGGATCAAAAACAACAAAAAAGATAACATCAACAAAAAAGAATATAGTAACAAAGATCATTTTAAAACTAGAATTGTTAAAAGAACAATATAACAATGATAATAATAATAATCATCATGAAGAATCAAACTTTTCATTTGATGAAATCATTAATAGTTTGAAATCATTAAATAAATCAAATTTAAATTTATAAAGTATTATTATTATTATAAATTGTGAAACAACTAATACATGATGATTATTATAATCATTAGTTGTTCATTTTTTTGTTTTTCCAGATTTTTTTAATTTTTTTTTGTCAAAATGCAGGTTTTTTGTTTTTTTTTTTTTAAAGAACTTTAAGAACTTCAAAACATTGTTAGTTTATTCATTGATTATCATAAATTAGATATTATATATATTTATTTGTATACAATAGTTAAATAGATAAATCAATGTCAACTACTTCTACTGCTTCTTTGAATAATCAAGAAGATGATTTATATGAAGATGCATTACCTATTTTTAAAGATGCTCTAAAAGGTAAGTTTGTAATTAAAAGCAATAGTTTAGTTTAACGAACGACTTGTCAATGTCACATTCACTAATGAAATGAATGAATGAACTTAAAACAATGAATACAAATTATATGTTAACATATATATATAGATATGAAATTAGGTCAACTTGTACATCCAAAACAATTTACATTGGATCAAGCTATTCATGCTCTGGAAGTGATGAACAAGAAATTGGATACAGGTTCAGATGTAGATAGACCGTTCACAGCTGAGATGCTCTACGATATGGGAGAGGTACCAAGAGATACCTCTTTAAATACAAAAGAAATCATTGCAATCATCGATCGATTGATGTCATATGAAGTAAGTAAGAATACAAACAATCTATAACATTACCACAATATTATAATAATCATAATAACTTACCAACTAACAAACTAACAAACTTAACTTAAATTCTCACCTTTCCAGATTGGATGGATTGAAGGTAATCCAATTGCATTTACACTATTCAATTGTATGTATTTACACTTCCCAGGTAGATTGAAAAACAATTATCTCTCCACCTACATCAGTGGACTATTGGCATCCTCAGATACTTTGATACATATTGTATCAAGAGGTGATGTTTGTGTGGTATGTATATTGAATTGCTATGATAAATATATGCTGTTTGAATGTAACTTAACTAATAATGATTGTAGGAAGAAGACTTTAATCTGTCGACTTATGATTTCAATTTGAATCAGAATGTGGATACATTGGTATTGGTCAATCAGTTGGACGCGCTGAGTAAAGAGTTGTTACAGATGGTCGACCAGTTGAACGAGGAAAAAAAGACGGACGAAGCAATCGATATGAAGGATCTCTACGATAGGATAACATTTAGAAGAATGTTCTACGTTTTGTTCTTCTCGTTGATGTCGTCCAATGTCGTGATGGCACAGAAACTGATACCGCAAATACAGAAAACATTGGACAGCATGCGTTCACGACTGCCAAAGTTGAAACTTGTCGATATTCCCGAAGGAATCTTCAATGCCAAACTAAACTGCTTCTTTGTCTCCAGTATGGATTTTCCTGCTTACCAATGTCACCCGTTCGCCAAGGTGTTGGACAACTACGATAAACTCATTAGGGATCTATCGACCATGTTACAAATGCCACATCTAATGGAAACTCATCAACAAATGAAACAACAACAACAGAATCAACAACAGAATCAACAACAGCAACAACAACAACAGAGTAAAAGTGATTTAGATTTAAGTTCAGTGTTGGACTATCATCTTTACTTTAGTAGACAATCACCCAATATTATTGTCCGTTCACTTTTGCGTCGTTTACTATTCCCTTTGCCGAGTGGACAGTTCTTCCGATCGAATTCCGTGCCCAGTGCAATCCTCGAGTGGATGACATCGTTTGGCGTGCCCAGCCAGTATTTGAACTTGAAGAATCCAGAGATTGCCAAGTTTGTCGAGAGATTCTCGCTGGCGTTACAGAGGATATTCATTCAGACCTCGTTGAATCGTGCACGTCAGCATAGAAAGCTGAAGAACTCGCTGTTTGACCTGACCATTCTCCAGAGTGAGGCTGACATCATCGACACTGAGATCGCCAAAGACAAAACCAATATATCGATACTGTTTGGTAGTTTCATCTTCAACATTAAACTGAAGCTAATGATTCACTATCTCTACTTGGGATTCGAACTCGAAATATACGAACACCACGAATACCAGCAGATCTACTGGTATCTCGATTGCCTTGCCGCTCTCCAGATCCAGGTGCACCACTACATCTACAAAGAGAACCAAAAGACACCGCAGCGAACCAAGAAAGAGGAGAAGAAAGAAGCGAAAAAAGAAGCGAAAAAAGCTGCCAAGAAAGGATCGACCAACAACAACCAGAAAGCTGCAGCGAATAACAATCACCCGAAATCAATTCAACAACAACAACATAATAATAATAACAATAGCAATAATATGCAAAACGATGCACACTTACCACCAGCAACACCCGATCGTCTGTTGATTGCATCTCACAAACTTACTGCTCGATCGATGTTTAGATTCATGACAGTACTGGAGATGATGGGAAAAATCAAGAAACCAAAGTGTGAATTCAGTTCTCCAACACTCCGATTCCTCAAGAGATTCGAACACTTTAACAGTCCTCCCTATCAACAACCAGAACCCTACACTTTGGAGTTATTTAATCAATCAATTCAAGTTCAAGATATAACAGTAAGTAAATTTTTGTTTATCAATCAATTGATTGCGCACAATTATTTCTAACTAAAATCTATTCAAATAGGCATTTGGAATACTATTATCAACTTTAGAAAATATTAAATTGGCCAAACAAAATATTGAACATATTATGAAAGGTTTCGCAAAACCTCCTCCTTTCTATATAATTGAAGAAGCAAAAGCTATTCTCAGAGTATGTATTGATTTTATTATTAAATAATTAGAAAGAAAAAATATGTTTATTTACCCTTCTGTATTCTTTTCCATTTCTTTTCAGACAAATATAACGCTCTCACTCGTTATTCAAAAGTTGTTACCCAAAAATTATGAGACTCTTTCTGAGAAATCAGAACAACCTATTCCCGTAGGAAATGTCACATTCGAACCTAGACAATGTTATCCAAATATTATCTGGAAATAAAATAATATATAACGATCTACTTGTGACTTAGGATAATCCTTTTTCCAAAGATTATTGGGCATGTTTATTAAAATTAACATGATTTATTCTCTTGAGCCATCGCAAATATTTCATGAAAACAAAAAAAAAAAGTTAATTTTGTGCATTTCATTTTTTCTAAACAAATTTCATTTTACTTACATAAAAGAAAATGAGAGATATTATCATAAAGTAATGCAATCTAATAGTAATAATAATAATAAAAATGATAATATATTTGTCAATTTACCATTGTTATTAATAGGTAACATAGTAAATAGAATCAAGAATATAGATAAAATATGTTTTGCTTTTGTTTGTAAGAGATTCTTTGATTGCAGAGAGAAATACTTGTTGTTTGATTCGAATACAATCTGTATTAAACATGAACATCTCTATCTCAATTCTTTTAAATCAATCTACGAGAATTCTTTACAATCAAAAGATAATTGTATTCTCTATTTTTGTTTGTTAGATTATTTTACCTTTGATTATGATATGAATGACTTTGATAAAGGTAAACATTTAGCTAATAAAACCCATTATAATTTTATTAATATCTATTTATTTTCTCAAAAAAAAAGATGAATCAATCAAATCAAATGTATCAACTTTAATATTAGGTCATCATGGTGAAGCACCTCGAATCTATAAGGTGTTACAAGATTCCAATGTTACAACGTTCAAAAATTGTGAGACATTACAATATCCACTACCACCGAAACTAAAGAAACTCAGATTTGGAGATGTTTTCAATGATAATTTACATCGTGGATCTCTTCCTGATGGTATAGAAGTTATAAAGTCGCTATGTTTTACTAGATCAATTGAACCAGGTGTTCTACCAGTGTCATTGAAGAAGCTATCATTTGGACAATCCTATACAGCTCCTTTGGTTCCAGGATCGTTGCCACCCAAACTTGAAGAATTAAAATTCGCTTCTGCACCTATTTCAACCAATATATTACCACACACTCTTCGAGCATTGAAGTTTGTACCGATATCATGGACTCCATTCATTAAAGAACTTCCAAACTTGGAAGTATTGCATTTCGATGATTCAGATAATGTCGATGAAGATGTCATGCAAGTAGATCTCAGTGAAATACCGAAATCAGTAACCGATTTGGCGTTTTTCTCTGATTACACATTGACATCAGCACTTCCTTTGACCATCAAATCGTTTACAATTGATAGTAAGACATCGTTCTACTTCAACGAGCTATTACCTCCCACTGTTAATTATCAATTGGATTCAATGGTATTAACGATGAATATATTTTCTCTGCCAAGTAACGTCAAGGTGAAGAAGATGACCATTGTAACATACTCATTAAAGTTGGTTGCTGGACAAATCAAAGAAGCAAATGGAATCGAGTCATTGGACATCAGTCGTTGTAGGGTTTACGATTTCAAAGAAGGATTTCTACCTTCGACTGTTAAGGAATTGAAAATCAGTATCTGTAGCTTTGAAAGAGAAATAACACTTCCGGAAACACTTGAAACCATGATATTGGTCAACAGTAACCGATCCAATGCAAACAAGTTGATCATTCCACGATCGGTCACAACAGTAGTTGTAGAATCGGATTTAAGTGACCTAAGTCTTGATATGATACCACCGACAGTCAATCAAATTTTCATCACCAAAAAATACCACCACAGCGAGCATTGTGAAATTCGAAAGTTGGACAATGATCACTACCTTGTTTTTGGTAAACCTGGAGAACTCAATTTCATTGGCACTCTATTTCATCGATCTTTATTACCAAATATATCTAAATTAATATCTTAAAAATCATATAAACCCTCACACGTCCTTTATTTTGTTAGTTTTTCCCATTACGTTTATTTGACTTTTCATATTAAATAATAATAATGATCTAGTAAATAGTTTAAGTCCTAAAAAGGAATAAAGTTATATTGTGGCTGAACATTATTTTTACAAATCTTTTGAGAACTTATAGATTTTTAAATATCGAATTAAATTAATAAAAGAGTATTAAAGAATGCAATTTAGTAATAGTAATAATAACAAAGATAATATATTTGTTAATTTACCATTGTTATTAATCGGTAACATTATAAATAAAACAAAGAATATAGATAAAATATGTTTTGCTTTTGTTTGTAAGAGATTCTTTGATTTAAGAGAGAAATACATGTTGTTTGATTCAAAAACAATCAGTCTCAAATATGAACATCTCTATCTCAACTCTTTTAAATCAATCTATAAAGAATCTTTGCAATCAAAAGATAATTGTAATCTCTATATTAATTTGTATAATGAATATATAACATATGATTATAATGTGAATGACTTTGACAATGGTAATTATATCTAACTTAATTCAGTGAAAAATATTACATTAATATTAACAAAACAAAAGACGAATCTATATTATCAAATGTGTCAAGTGTAGAATTAGGTAAACACAATACACATCGAATCTCTAAGATGTTACACAATTCAAATGTTAAAAAGTTCAAATACTGTGAGACATTACAATATCCACTGCCTTCATCTCTAAAGAAACTCAGCTTTGGAGACGTTTTCAATAAGGATTTAGATCGTGAATCATTCCCTGATGGTATAGAAGTTATAAGGTTTGGAGAGAATTTTTCAAAATCGATTGAACCAGGAGTTCTACCAGTGTCATTGAAGAAGATATCATTTGGACCAGTTTATGAAGCACCTTTGGTGTCAGGATCGTTGCCACCCAGACTTGAAATACTGAAATACTCATCGTCTCCTATTACAACCAATATATTACCACACACTCTTCGTGCATTAAAGTTTGTACCGATATCATGGTTGCCATTGATTAAAGAACTTCCAAACTTGGAAGTTTTGCATTTCGATGATTCGGATAATCAATATGTCGTTCAAGTAGATCTCAGTGAAATACCAAAATCAGTCACCGATTTGGCGTTTTTATCTGATTACACATTGACATCAGCACTTCCTTTGACCATCAAAAAGTTTACAGTTGATAATCAGAAGTTGTTCATCTATGAAGAGGTATTCCCACCAACTGTTAATTATCAATTGGATTCAATGGAGTTATCTATGAATATATTTTCACTACCAAGTAACGTCAAGGTGAAGAAGATGACCATTGTAACATACTCATTAAAGTTGGTTGCTGGACAAATCAAAGAAGCAAATGGAATCGAATCATTGGATATCTGTCATTGTCAACGTTATTATTTCAACGAAGGATTTCTACCTTCGACTGTTAAGGAATTGAAGATCAGTGTCAGTAGCATTAAAAGAGAAGTAACACTTCCGGAAACACTTGAAACCATGATACTCGTCAACAGTAACCGATCCAATTCAAAAAAGTTGATCATTCCACGATCGGTCAAAACCGTAGTTATACAACCCGAATCAGACCTAAACCTTGATATGATACCGCCGACAGTCAATCAAATTTTTATTTCGAAAAAATTCAAATACCACCACAGCAAGGAGTGTGAAATTCGAAAGTTGGACAATGATCACTACCTTGTTTTTGGTAAACATGCAGAATACAAGTTCATTGGTACTCTATTTCATCGATCATTATTACCATCTATATTTAAATTAATTTTAAAAGATATTGAAGACGAATAAATATCCTCCAAAAAAAAATTTTTCCTAAAAATTAAAATTGATCGTGATCAGTTTTTTTGAAAAGATCATTATTCTTGTTTTATCGTTAATTATTAGTAAAAGAATAATAATAATAGTAATGCAATCTAATAATAATAATAATAGTAACAAAGATAATATATTTGTCAATTTACCTATCTTGTTAATTGAAAGTATAGTTAATAGAATAAAAGAGAATATAGATAAAATATGCTTTACTTTTGTTTGTAAGAGATTCTTTGATTTAAGAGAGAAATACTTGTTGTTTGATTCAAATACAATCAATCTCAAATATGAAAATCTCTATCTCAACTCTTTTAAATCAATCTACGAGAATTCTTTGAAATCAAAAGATAATTGTGTTCTCTCAAATAGTCATGGTGATGATTATGATGTAACAGACTTTGACAATGGTAATTATTTATTAAAGATCTAATCTAATTATCATTTTTACAAACAATAACATTTATTCTATTATTTTTCTAAAAAAAGAGGTGCCAATCAATTTAAATGTATCAACTTTAATAGTAAATAATAATGAAAGTGCTATGTTGCTACATCATTCCAATGTTAAAAACTTCAAATATTGCGAGACATTACAATATCCACTACCACCGAAACTAAAGAAACTCAGATTTGCATACGATTTCAATGAGGGTTTACATTGTGGATCTTTCCCTGATGGTGTAGAAGTTATAAAGTTTGGAGAGAGGTTTACCAAATCGATTGAACCAGGTGTTCTACCAGTGTCATTGAAGAAGCTATCATTTGGAAATGATTATAGAGCTCCTTTGGTTCCAGGATCGTTGCCACCCAAACTTGAAGAACTGAAAAGCCATTTGTCACCTATTACAGCCAATATATTACCACACACTCTTCGAGTATTGAAGTTTGTACCGATATCATGGATGTCAGTGATTAAAGAACTTCCAAACTTGGAAGTATTGCATTTCGATGATTCAAATAATGTCGATGAAGATGTCATGCAAGTAGATCTTAGTGAAATACCTAAATCAGTAACCGATTTGGCATTTATCTCTGATTACACATTGACATCAGCACTTCCATTGACAATCAAAAAATTTACAATGCATGATGACAAATTTTTCAAACACGAAGAGCTATTCCCACCAACTGTTAATTATGATTTGGATTCATTGGAGTTGTGGATGTCTGTGTCACTGCCAAGTAACGTCAAGGTGAAGAAGATGACCATTGTAACATACTCACTAACATTGGTTGCTGGACAAATCAAAGAAGCATATGGTATTGAATCATTGGATATCAGTCGTTGTAGCATTTATGATTTCAAAGAAGGATTTCTACCTTCGACTGTTAAGGAATTGAGAATCATTGTCAGTAGCTTTGAAAGAGAAATAACACTTCCGGAAACACTTGAAACCATGATATTGGTCAACAGTAACCGATCCAATGCAAACAAGTTGATCATCCCACGATCGGTCACAACAGTAGTTGTAGAATCGGATTTAAGTGACCTAAGTCTTGATATGATACCACCGACAGTCAATCAAATTTTCATCACCAAAAAATACAACCACAGCAAGCATTGTGAAATTCGAAAGTTTGACAATGATCACTACCTTGTTTTTGGTAAACCTGGAGAACTCAAGTTCATTGGCACTCTATTTCATCGATCTTTATTACCAAATATATTTAGATTAATATTAATAGGTCTAATAAAGAAAATGATGAAAAAGTTGGGTTCTTTGCAAATTTTATAATAAAATGGTTACATAAAATTTTGGTCAAAAGAAAAGAAAAGAATAAGAAAAATCTAAAACGATCCCTGTATTACACAATAATTCTGATTTTTTTAAAAATTGCCAATTTCTATAATTTTTAATCATTACTCTTTTCAAACATTCCAAAAAGATCATCAGTTTGTTTTGTATTTTATTTTGTTTTCACAAAATGATGCAATCTAATAATAATAACAAAGATAATATATTTGTCAATTTACCTATCTTTTTAATTGAAAATATAGTAAATAGAATAACAAAGAATATAGATAAAATATGCTTTACTTTTGTTTGTAAGAGATTCTTTGATTTAAGAGAGAAATACATGTTGTTTGATTCGAATACAATCAGTCTCAAATCTGAACATCTCTATCTCAACTCTTTTAAATCAATCTACGAGAATTCACTTAAATCAAAAGATAATTGTATTCACTATGTTGATATGGCTAATAATTTTATATTTGATTATAATGTGAATGACTTTGACAATGGTAATTATTTATTATACATCTAATCTGAGTTGATTAACTATACTAATTTATTTTTCTAAAAAACATAAAAGAGGTACCAATCAAACCAGATGTATCAACTTTAATATTAGGTCATCATGATGAAATACCTCGAATATATAAGGTGTTAAAAGATTCCAATGTTACAACGTTCAAATATTGTAAGACATTACAATATCCACTACCACCGACACTAAAGAAACTCAAATTTGGATACTTTTTCAATGAGGATGTAGATCGTGAATCATTCCCTGATGGTATAGAAGATATAAAGTTTGAAGTGAGTTTTACTAAATCGATTAAACCAAGTACTCTACCAGTGTCATTGAAGAAGCTATCATTTGGAAAAGGTTATAGAGCTCCTTTGGTTCCAAGATCGTTGCCACCCAAACTTGAAATACTGAAATACGTTTCATCACCTATTACAACCAATATATTACCACACACTCTTCGAGTATTGAAGTTTGTACCGATATCATGGATATCAGTGATTAAAGAACTTCCAAACTTGGAAGTATTGCATTTCAATGATTCGGAGAATCAAGATATCGTTCAAGTAGATCTCAGTGAAATACCGAAATCAGTAACCGATTTGGCGTTTCTCTCTGATTACACATTGACATCAGCACTTCCTTTGACAATCAAATCGTTTACAACGTATACCAGTTTGTTCAACAACGAAGAGCTATTCCCACCAACTGTTAATTATCAATTGGATTCAATGGAGTTGTGGATGATGAAAATTTCACTACCAAGTAACGTCAAGGTGAAGAAGATGACCATTGTAACATACTCATTAAAGTTGGTTGCTGGACAAATCAGCGAAGCAAATGGAATCGAGTCATTGGACATCAGTCGTTGTAAAAGTTTTTATTCCTACGATGGATTTCTACTTGCGAATGTTAAGGAATTGAAGATTAATGTCCGTAGCATAGAAAGAGAAATAACACTTCCGGAAACACTTGAAACCATGATATTGGTCAACAGTAACCGATCCAATGCAAACAAGTTTGTCATTCCACGATCGGTCAAAACCGTAGTTATAGAATCAGATTCAAGTGACCTAAGTCTTGATATGATACCACCGACAGTCAATCAAATTTTCATCACCAAAAACTACCACCACAGCGAGCATTGTGAAATTCGAAAGTTGGACAATGATCACTACCTTGTTTTTGGTAAACCTGCGGTATACAAGTTCGTCGGCACTCTATTTCATCGATCATTATTATCAGATATATTTAAATTAATATTAATAGATGATCAAGTTAAAATAAATATAATGTCATATTAATTATCATTACAAAAAAATCATAGATATTCTAAAAAAATAAAAATAAAAAATTAATTCCTAAATGAATAGGATATGATCATTTTCGAGAAAGATTAATTCTTTTTTTTATCTTTGTTATTACAGATAAGATTTTTTTAAAAGATATTTAATCAAAAAGTAATGAAATGAAAGAAATTGAGAAATTTCTATTCTCTTATTTTTGTTTAAACAGTAGTATAAATATATTGTTGTTTTTAGATTCATAAAAGAGAAAATGATGCAATCTAATAATAATAATAACAAAGATAATATATTTGTCAATTTACCTATCTTGTTAATTGGTAATATAGTAAATAGAATAACAGAGAATATAGATAAAATATGCTTTACTTTTGTTTGTAAGAGATTCTTTGATTGCAGAGAGAAATACTTGTTGTTTGATCCGAATACAATCATTCTTAGATATGAATATCTCTATCTCAACTCTTTTAAATCAATCTATAGAGATTCACTTAAATCAAAAGATAATTGTATATTCTATTTAGATATTACTGATACTAACTTTGATTATAGTTTAACGGACTTTGAAAAAGGTAATTCTTTAAACAATTTAAAACAAAAAGATAAATAAAACTAACTAACTAACTGTTATTAATTACAAAAATTGGCGAATAAATATATAAAGATAAATCTATTAATCCAAATGTATCGACTGTAACTTTGTTATGTAGCGAAGCGAATTCAATTCATCGTTCGATTCATAACTCCAATGTTAAGAACTTTAGATATTGTGATACACTGCGATATCCACTACCACCGACTCTAAAGAAACTAACGTTTGGATACTATTTCAATGAGGATCTGCAACGTGCTGCTTTGTTTGAGGGCATAGAAAAGATAAAGTTTGGAACGACGTTTGCTAAATCGATTGTTCCCGGTGTTCTACCGCTTTCGCTAAAGAAGTTGACTTTCGGACCGATCTACAGTGGCACTGTGCTGCCTGGATCGTTGCCACCCAACCTCGAGTCACTTAAATTCCCTTCGGCACCGATAACAGCCAATGTACTACCACAGAGTATTCGTGCGTTGAAATATGTACCGGTTTCGTGGATGCCGTTCATCAAAGATCTGCCAAACTTGGAGGTTCTACACTTCAATGATTCCGAACCAGAGAATGGCGAGAATCAGCATCGAGTCGACCTAAGCGAACTACCGAAATCCGTAACGGACTTGGCGTTCTTCTCGGAATACCATTTGACATCGGCACTTCCTACGACCATCAAAAAGTTGGCATTCCAAGTAAAGTCGACGTTCGGCTATGAAGAGATGTTCCCTGCCAATGTCCAATACCATTTGGATTCAATGGAGGTGTGTACGAGTGTATTCGAACTGCCAAGCAATGTTAGAGTAAAGCGGATGGAAATTGTTACGTTCTCACTCAAGTTGGTTGCCGGACAAATAAGTGACGCCAATGGAATCGAGTCGTTGGATGTCAGTGCTTGCTCGCGTTACTATTTCGACGAAGGATTCCTACCTGCATCCGTCAAGGAATTGAAAATCAATGCCATCGGTTTGGTACGGGTTGGCGCACTACCGGAAACACTGGAATCGATGACACTGACACACAACGTTAAGCCAGGTCCAAACAAACAACAGCTCGTCATACCTCGTTCCGTTAAAACAGTAGTAATTAATTTCAATTCAAGAAACCTTAACTTTGATAATATACCGCCGACCGTCAATCACATTTTCGCGCGTAATCTATATTACGGATCGGATTGTGAAATTCGAAAGTTTGACGATGATCATTACCTAGTTTTTGGTAAACCCGCACAACTAAGTTTCATGGGAACGCTTTTTCATCGATCATTATTACCAAATATTTTTAAATTAATATTAAAAGATAATAATGAGTATAATGATGATTATTTGTACATGGATGAAGATGAATTCGATGAGAATGAATAAATTACAATCAGAGAAAATTAATTTGGTTTCCATCTTTTTTTTTTTTTTTCTTGATCAATCACGATCAATCAATGATTTTAATTTTATTTATATTTGTCTAAAGGAAATGACAACATCTCTACCTTATAATAATGATAATAATATATTTGTCAATTTACCTATCCTGTTAATTGAAAGTATAGTAAATAGAATCAGAGAATATAGATAAAATATATTTTGCTTTTCTTTTTAAGGGATTCTTTGCATGCAGAGAGAAATACTTGTTGTTTGATTCATCGTCAATAACAAACACCGGATCGAATAATTAAAAATAAAAATAAATAAACAGAAAAAACATGTTTTAAGAAAAATGGGAAAACAAAAAAACAAAACTGGGTATTGCAATGATGGGGTTTTTTAAGTCAGAGAAATCAAATCTTGTTTGATTTAAATAAAAATTAGATAAATAGAAAGAATTATTATAGTAGATTTAGAATATAAGTTTGTTTTATTCTTTAAAATCATGATTAAGTAGATAATATGGAAGACAATGATGATGATATTAATAATATATTCAAGAATTTGGATTTTGAATATCAATATATTGTGCCGGGCTCCTTTGAATTGGTGAGCGACTGTAAAGTTAACCTAAGTGTTTACCTTCAGAAATGTATTGTTAGCTTTCTACTCGTAAGGAATTAAATTTCATTAAAAACATAATATTGATCATTAAATATAAATATCCATCATTATAAAAAAACAATCAATAATAATAATACAATGTTAGATATATGATGATCTGGAGTGTTGCATTGACAAAAACGAAAGAACTCTCTACTCGATGACTCGTGAAAGGATTAACTTGTCTTTGGTTTGTTGGAGCTGGTTCGGTATGGTCAAGCAATGCTTCAATGTAAATTCACTCGTGCACTTTGGATCTAGTCAATTCTTCTACTCGAACGTGAACTTACTAACTGACTTGGAGTCACATCTATCCAATAGATACTGCCTCATTAACAATGTACACAGTTTGGGACTGTGGACAGACGATATCGTCAGCCAACCCAACCGATTCGCCAAGATCTTTAGCAATCCGGCATTCCACACACTAACCAAACTAAAGATACAAATCAATTGCAATGAGGATGTAAATCGACTCGCGATTTCAGAGAGTTCTCTTGGGAACAATCTACGAGGTTGGTCATTAAAGTCACTGCATATCGTATTCTACGAGAAGAATAATATTGTTATGTCTGCTTTCTCCATTATCGAGAAATTGAAACCGTTGACCACCAAGCTGGAGACTTTCTTGCTCGATTTGGAGTTGCTACCGAGTTCAGCCAACAAAAATCAAGATTGGCTCAATTTTCTAAAGGTTCATCACTTTTACACACTCAAGACTCTGAGTGTATCCTCGAGGAACTGCTCTTCTTCGTTCAACACTGTCGATAACTGGCTCGACTACCTGAATCCCGACGTGATCGAGTCGATCAGCATCAACGACCAATATCCGGATTTCTACAAAAACGACAACTACGACCTCAAATGGAGCACTCTGAGAAGATGTAAAACCGATACTATCAAACCGCCGTTCGATTTCCAGAAGCTGGTCAACTTTAAACGGCTTTTCTCACTTGGCATCAATATATTGAGAACACCGCACCAACCATTCTTTCGATATCTAGCTACTCAGAACAGCTTGGTGTTACTCCCGAGAATGACACTCACAGTCACCGAGGATCTGCTGCCTGTGCTCTCAACAAAATCCAAATTAAGAGAGCTTGAGTTGTATGTAACAGAGGGAATAACGACAATTCCTATCCACAATCAAGTGACAAGACTTAAGCTAATAGTTACCGCGGGTACACCTGATCCTTCACAGTCGTCTGTCAATGTCTTTGATTGTTCAAGTCTCGAGAACCTTAGATCACTCTCGATCATCTTTGACTACCAGCAGTTTACCCAACAATTGTGTCGACTTATCGCTAGGCAAAATTCACTCGAGAGGCTCTGGCTACTAGACAAAGAGGATGTCAATGAAAATAACAATCTATTTATTGTGGAAGTTCTCACAACTATAATGGAGAACGGTGAAACATCAAAGATAGAGCATCTGTCTACAGATTATCTCGTAAGGACAGATGAACTTGTCTTTTTAAAGACATTCATGGATCGTTCTATATTTCTAAATGAATTCATTTGTGTGATGCAATATCATGAATCTATGGAGACATTCAACAATCTCTGTGACTACATGAAAGGCTACAATATTACAAGATATTTTAATAATAGAATAAAGATATCAAGGATTTTATATTAATCAAGTCAATTGAATCCTAGTTATTTTTTATTAATGGTTAGACTAATTTTTTTTTTTTTTTAAAAAAAATAATTTGATAAAATATAATTATTGATTGACATGTATCCCATCCATCTCCATCAATTATCATCAAAGAAGTTGATATTTAACATAAAGTCAAATTTGGTAACTTTTTATGTTTCGGTGGTACTTTCATGCAATGTATCTGTTAAAGGTAAAAATACCCCAAACTAGTCCAGATGTAAAACTGTTTGTCATTCCATCACGGTGAAAAATGTGATATTCGAAAGTTAGAGATTAGTTTGTTCTTGGTCAACCGAACCTTTTTTCATCTCAGTGTTAAATTAAAAGGTCTTAAGAATTGAACAACACAACAATAATAACAAATAAACAATATCTTTTATTTAAAAAAAAATCAAAAAAATGTTAATTTTTTTTTAAAACTTTTTTTTAATTTTGCACACACTTCTTTCTATCTTAAAATGGTAATTAATTATTTTTTTTTATTGATTTGTCAATAATAGTTTTTATAGTTTAGATTTTGTAGTAGTTTATTATTATTTATATCGATATTTTTTGTATTTGTTTGTTTAAAAGATAGATAGTGCCAAACAAAAACAACATTTTAGAGTGTTGTCAAACAAAGATAGATAGATTGATTGATTGACAGAGAATGAGTTACTCATATCAAATGATGATGGGTGCAGGTGGAGGTGCAGATGACAACGAACTTCAACAACAACAGAATGCACCTCAATATACAATGCCAAAGATACTTGATTATCTTCAATCGGAGTGGTTCAAATATGAAATCGATAGAGCACATTGGGTATCAGAGAAATCAGATTTAATGGTTAGTAGAGTACTACCTTGTAGTTGAGAATAGAATAGAATAGAATAATGAATATTGTTACTAAACTACTACTACTATTACTACCTATAGGCAACAATAACAAGATTGGAAGCAGAGAAAAAGACACAAGAACAACTAAGAAATGATTTATTTAGAAGAATAAAGATGTTAGAGTATGCACTACAGCAAGAGAGAGCAAAGAATCAACCAAATATCTTGAATAGCAATAGTAATAATAATAATAATATAGAAAAAGATGTAAATGATCATATAACTACAACGACTACAACTACAACTACAACATCATCATCACAACCAAGAAGCTATGGAAAGAGTATGTTTAAACATTTACAATAGATATTATATTTTTCTAACCTAAATGAAATATCTATCTTTAAAGAATCAAGCAAAGTCAGTATAACTAGAAATCTAATCAAGAAGTATCTTAGAGAGATGAATTACAACGATATCTTGGTTTCGAAACCAGATTTGAACAGCTATGATGTTGCTGCTGTCGACAATGACAATATACAGGATGATAAACAAACTACCATTCTAAACTTACCAGAGTTAAAGAAACAACAACATCAACAACAACAACAACAATCAAATAATAATAGTCAACAATTACAACAACAATTACAGCAACAATTAAATAATAATAGTAATAATAATAGTAATAATAATGATAGTCAATATAGTATGACATCTTCTATCAATGATCTTGAGTCATCATCGATTCAACAACAACCAAATCAACAACAACAACAGCAACAACAAGTATATCCAGATCAATTGTTAACATCGTCGATGGGAGAAGGCTATTCTCTGTCCGATCTGACAAATTCACTCGATTCTTTATCGAGTGCATTAGGATCACTTGACAGTCTATCGAATGGTGGTTCAGCAGGTGGAACCTTTGACTTTTCAACCCTCGATAACCTTGATTCTCTGAAAGAGAATATTGACCAACAACAACAACAGAGTAGTATCAATAATAATGGTAATGATTTAACATCATCTGTAATCGATCTTTCACATCATGAGAATGGTGGATCTTCATCATCATTCAACACAGTCGTTTCACAAAATAATCGACAAACAACAGCAACAACAACAACACCACCTGATGAACCTTCATACGACGAATCCGCATTCAATGAAGAGTTTTTCAATAAATTATCTTCAAATTCCAAGGGTAGAATGAAGTTGAAGGGATTGACAAATCTAAAATCGTCAATGTCCGACGACTCTGGAACAAGTAGCATCGGTAGAAGTGGAATATCATCTTCAAAGACTGGCGCAACCAATAGGAGCAGCAGTAGTAGTATCACACCGGTTGGAAGTCTCGGTAAGAAGAAAGGACTGGCAGCGGAACTTATGGGTCTTGGTGCTGGCGACCTCAACGACATCAAGCTGGAGGACAACAGCAAGATAGCCAGTGACTCTGCCGCGCCAAGAGTATGGCGATATAAACACACGCTCAAATCACACTTTGACGGTGTACGCTCACTCCAGTTCCACGACACCGAACCACTCTTGATATCAGCATCGGAGGACAGCACCATCAAACTTTGGAATCTCAACCAGCTCGCGCCCAGCAGCAACACCTCGAAAAAGTCGACTGGCGACGTCGAGCCAATCTACACATTCCGTGGCCATACCGGTCCGGTCTACACTACGGCGCTCTCCTCGGATTCATCGAAGCTCTACTCTGCCGGTTATGACATGGTCATCAAGAGTTGGACTATTCCCTCGGCCGATACCGACCCGTACCACACACACGGCGATCTCCAGGCGTTCCTCGACTGCGAGTATGCCGGCCACACCGATGGCGTCTGGGATCTTCTCGCCGCCACCAACGATCGCTTGATATCGGCATCGGCCGACGCCACCGTTCGTATCTGGGACGACAACGGCAATGAAATCGGCCAATTCCAACACCCCACCGACTCGACATGTATCCCAACGACGCTCTCACTCATTCCGACCGACTACAATCGTATTCTCATCGGTTATGTCGACGGAACTGTATTATTATATGATTTAAGCACTGGACAACATATTTCTACATTGTCATCAAACAACAACAGTAGCGACTCGAGAAACCATCAAATCAACAAGGTGGTTTCCCACTCAATGCTACCACTTGCAATAACCGGTACCGAAGATAACAAGATCGAGTTCTGGGATCTCCAGAGTTGTCAGCCAATTCACTCGATGGTTGCACACTCTGATGCCGTATCATCACTCACCATCGATCCATCGGGACTGTACATAGCGAGTAGTTCACACGATTCCACCATTCGTTTCTGGGACATCTCATCAAAGACCTGTATTCAAGACCTCCAATCACATCGTCCTAAATTCGACGAATCCATACACTCCATCAAGTATCACCCAACCAAAGGTTATTTCGCATCGGGTGGTGCAGACTCAGTAATTAGAATACACCAATAATAAATAAAAAAAATCCTATCAAACCAAAATTAAAATTACAAAACAAAAACAAAAAAATTGTGATTCTTCCAATGAAGAGTGCACTCTTTCTCTTCTCTCTGCTGATGTGTTTAATCATCAAGTTTCAAACAATTAAAATTCTAAACTACTGTAATTACATAACAACTTTCCATTTATGTTGTTGTATAAAATGTGATTTGCGTTTGTGAATATTTGAAAATTTTAAATATAAAAGATAAAATGGTTGGAGTTGGAAGATGCACAACTTCCCAATCTTTTAAATAACCAGAAATATCAATTCATGATGAAATTTGTAAAAATTTTTTAAAAAAAAAAAAAACCTAAAAGATTATTCATAAGGTAATTACTGTTGGCTTGCTTCCTTTTTGATAAGAGTGAATCTTGGTCTATTAGTTAGTTTGATATATCTATGTTGGATTGGAACAAATATAGTAAATTATTGACAAGAATAAAAAAAAAAAAAGATATCTAAATTTGTAATAAAAACAACCAAGCGATAAATATTTATTTTATAAAAAATAAATAATAAAAATTGATGATATTTTTATGTTTAATCATCTGAAAATCACATTCGTTTTCTGAATTTTTTAAAATTTTTTATTAAAATTTAATCAAAAAAAAACGAATGTGACAGCCGCTGCTCGTTTGTTCTTCTCAAACTATTATTTTATATTTTCTTTTTTAATTTTACACGGTAGATCACATCAAATAAAAATTATTATTTCTTAATTTTTTTCGAATGGCACTTTAAAACAGTTGTTTATTTATAATAATAATACTGTAAAAAAGAGAAAAACTATATATTTATAAAAACATGATTTCTGTAAAAGTGGAAAAAGAGAAAGATATAAAACTTTCAAATAACAATGATAATAATAATAATAATAGTGTAACAGCTTCATCATCATCATTAACATCATCACATTTAAATATAATAAGTATAAAAAAACCAAGTTCATCTGTAACAACTTCAAATTCAACACAGTCCACAATAACAACATCCACAAACACCAACACCACTTCAACACCCACAACAACAACAACAACACAAAATTCAATTTCAAACTCAAATCCAAATCCAAATTCAAATTCCACCACACCAACACCCACTCAGACACCTGTAAAAGTCATCAATAATAATGTTGTGATGAAAACTTCTGCTGGGGTTAACGGTGCTCCTCAACAATCGACATCGATGTCAAACTCGAAAATCATCATTAAAACAACAGCGACAACAACAACAACAACAACGAATCCAGTTTCCTCAAGTGGATCCACTGGTACTTCGGCTGCACCGACTTCAATGCCCGTTGTCAAATCACAACCACCTCCAGTATCGTCAATCAATGGTAAACCAATGGCATCCACTTCCACCGGTGGTTCACCTATAGTAAAAACAACAACAACAACAACAATGCCAATAGTAAATGTAAAAAAAGAAGTGATCAACGTCGATGCTCTACCAAACAAACCGGTCATTTCAAATCCATCATCGTCAACACCAATTTCAAAGCCCGCTGCTACAACTGCTGCGTCAAGTTCAACAACTGTAACATCCACTACCTATTCGGCAAGACCAACCATTCCACCATCGCTGTCCTCTGCCAAGCCATCTCAAATCATCACAAGATCGTCGTCGACACCATCGTCCATCGGTTCAACTACGACCTCCACCACCACTACCACCGCACCAGGTGGAATCCGACCGACCACCTCCAAACCACCTGGAACCACTTTTTCTCGACCTTGCCAAGGCAAGTGCTGTGTTGGCATCACTCCGATCACTCCATTCCACACCACAAGCAAAACTGCTCCAAATTCATCACCCATCAGAACAACAACAACCATAACAACTAGCAATCCCAACACACCAATGCGTACAACTACAGTTCCAACAACATATTCATCACCAATCGTTAAAACTACAACAACACCAAGTAATCCAACAACTTCAACTATTTCTCGTCCACCACCACCAATAACAACAACAACATCGACATCTTCAACAAATCCTATAAACAGAACAATTTTAACAAGCACACCAAATTCACAACAAAGTATATCATCAAACAACAACTATCATTCAACTACAACAACATCGACAACACCAACAACTACCATTATCAGACAACAACCAATACAACAATCGATATCAACACATCAACAACAACCACAACAACAACAACATATAGCTCAGCCACAAACAACCGTAAATCAAAATATAATAAATAGAACAACAACGACTATCAGCAACAACAACAACAACAACAACAACACAATGACATCTCCTCATCTATCTTTATCGACATCATCAATTCCAACCTACATATCATCAGTATCTACACCACTTCACTCTTCGACTTCCAGTATCATAACAACACCCATAACAACAAACATCAATCCACAACTACCACAAACTCTAAACAGAACTTCCGACGGCAGACTATCAAAAACGGTTGCATCAACTGACGGCAGATCCTATCACCACATGCCACTCCCAAATCAAACGATCAACCAAAACAATCGTGGATCGGAATTCCCCAACAGTCTAGAGTACCTCCTCGATATCCCAGTGGTACAAGACGAACCATCCTCAAAGAACAATCCTACCTGGGGAAGACTGATACTCGACGCACTTCGTCGTCTCGTCGCCAACAAGAAAACAACACGTATCACCGAACGTCTGAAAATGGATCAAATGTACAAAGACATGGATGCACGTACTCCTCAGGACAAGAAGGACTGGAAGAACGGACTGCTTAGCGACTACCAATATAAATACATGCTGTCGTTCCTCTCGAATTCGCTGGACTTCCCACTGGCACCACAAAAAGAGAAGAAGAAGAAACTGAACGAATCGGTCGGAGGCATACCAACAACCATGCCAACACCATCGGGTGTCGCCACCAACCCGGCCAACTATGTAGTTGGCTCATACCAATCGATGTTGTCGCTAAGTGACAGTGCCATCATGGTGCCATCCACCTCCACACCGCCATCACTCCAATCTTCGCCAATCACCAACACCGACATGAGTTCACCTGCCACCTCATCTTCCGAACCAACTTCACCAAACATCTCAACAGTACCAATCATAATATCAACAACAACAAATAATTTCAACAACAACAACAACAACAACAATGATAACAATAATAATAATAACATCAATAACAACAACAATAATAATAATACAATGGATACAACAACCAATAACAATATTCAACCAATTAACTATACTATGAACAACAATAATGATAATAATATTATGAATACAACATCAACTAGTAATAATGGAACCGATATAGATGTATCACAAGTTATGATGGATAATAATACTACATATGAATTCCCTCATATGATGGAGATAAACTTTGATAATTACGTACAACAGAATTCATCTGATACATATAATAATAATACAAACACTGATATATATTCAACAGATACAACAACCACAACAACAGATAATAACACTAACAATATTAATAATACTGAAGGAGTAGTATCTATGTCTACAGATAGTATGGATATAGATAGTAACAACACAGTTTCAGTCACAACACCACCCGATGTTGTTCATACAATACAGCCAACTAGTAATAGCAATGAGATTATTGGACAATCTTATCAGTTGACTGATGTAACAACAACAACAACAACAACAAACGAATCACTAACAACAACAACAACAATCACAGAAGATTCTTCATTATCAACAACTATATCTACACAAGAGAATGACATACAACAACAACAACAGAATATACAAAAAGTAGAAGATCAATCTCAAGAACAACAACAACTTCAGCAACAACAACAACAACAAACAGAACAAATCACACCAAACATTGAAATAGTTGCAGTACCTACACACAATGTAGTTGAAGATACACCACAAACCATTGATATGGGCGATATCATGGATATCATGAGTGCACCCGTTTCAGCTCCCAACAAACGAAAACGAACCGATTCAACCAATAGCTTCTCTCTACAACAAAACTTTATAGTGGGCGATGAAGATATCCAAATGTTAAAGTTAGAACAACAATCTTTTGAATCCTCCATTAGAATTTAATAAAAAAAAACAAAAACAAAAAAAAAATACAATAATATATTTATATTTTTTTTTAATTAAAAAAAACATACAAACAATTCTTTCAATTCTTTTTTTTTTTTTTTATAAATCAATTTATTTATTTTACGCTTGTTGCTTATTCAGATAAAATGAAATACGATTTAAAAAAAAATAAAATAAAATAAAAAAATTAATTTATTTTTCAAAAAAAAAAACATGCAACCATCATATGAATAAATTAGTGTGTTTTCTTTGCACAATGCCAACGTAATTCATTCACCACCTTCAAAATTTGTAATAACCTTTTTTATTTTCTTACAAGATAAATTAAATAAACAATTTAAACAATTTATAGTAGTTTGTTGAAGAGTAAAAATAAAGAGAATCATTACAACAGTTCTATGATCAATAACAATTAACTAGATTCATTTTAGCTAGCTACGCACAACAACTTAAAAACTTTTTATATTTAAGATTGATTCGATTAGATTCGATTCTCTCTTTTTCTCATGGATAGAATTTGAAATTGAATTACTACAATAATAATAATAAACGTTTTAGCTTTTTTTTTTTAATTTATTTATTTTTTTTTACAATTTTTTTTTCACCACCTGGGCACCCTCTTAAAGACTTCCCTTCTTTCACACTATCACACACCACACTTCTCCCCATTCACACCACCAACCCCACCCAACTGCCACATCAATTAATAATAATCAATTGATTTTCTCTCTTTCTTTATTTTTTTGTTATTGTTTTTATTTTCTTTTTTTTTATGTTATAAGTTTAAGACTTTTTAACACAGAAAAAAACAAAGTAAAAAACTAAATAACAAACACAACTAAATCAAATACAAAAATAGATACTTCACCTTCAAAATCTCGAGACAAACAACATAAATACACAATGTAAGTATATTGATTGAGAAAGTTGATCAAACCATTTAACTAATTAGTTTTTATCTAAATATCATATGATATTTTCTGTTGATTGATGTATATTAGGTTGTCGAGTAAACATGGATATAAAAAGAATAGATTAAAATCGGTTGCTTCCGATGCAGATCTGTTCAATTTGGTTATGCCGAAAGCAGATACCGTCGGGTTTAAGAGTAAACAAGGAGGTATCTCTAAGCAAGCGATCAAGTGGGCAAAGTTCACTCGGTTGAACAACTTTTATATTTGGCTGTTCTTGGCGGTCGTAGGTCTGCTCGCTTCCATCTCGTTGGTAACGATCGATCTAACGTTCAAGTTTGTGGTGTTCAAAGGTCGTAGTGCCTTCATTGGAATCACCGATTTCTACATTGTACAATATCTCAGTTTCATTCTGTGGACGGTGGTGCTCGCCGTCGGATCGGCACTGGTTTGCGTGCGACTGTGTCCCGCTGCCATCGGTTCGGGTGTTCCCGACCTAAAGTCTATATTCTCTGGCTTCTGGAATGCCAAGGTGGTGCAGCCGGCGGTCGGTCTCTTCAAAGTGTTTGGACTGCTACTCTCGTATGGCTCGGGAATGTCGATCGGAAAGGAAGGACCGTACATTCACATCTCTGCGATTCTCGCCAATGCACTCCTCGGAATCAAACCATTCAAGAACATTGCACCGAACGAAACACAACGTAGTCAAATGCTTGCCAGTTGTAGCGCACTCGGTGTTGCCGCAACTTTTGGTTCGCCAATCGGAGGTGTCTTGTTCTCGATTGAGGTAACCGGTACCTACTATCTGATATCCAACTACTGGCGTGCATTCTTTGCCAGTACAGTGGGTGCTGTCGGTATAAAGATTCTTCTATCTAAATCAACCAATGGTAAGATATCTCATCTCTCTAGTTGTTTATCAACAACAAAACAATATCTTAGTACTAATTAATAATCGTTTGCAATTGAAGATCTTCTTGAATCATATCGTACCGATTTCTCTAGTTTAGATTTAGCAACAGTACAACTCTTGGCACTTATTATCACTGGTATACTATGTGGATTGCTTGGATCATTGTTTATCTTTATGTATCAAAAGATCTATTCTTGGAAGAAGCACAATAAGGATCTAATGAATAAGATTACACCGTATGGTGAAGTTATATTTGTTGCTCTTGTAACAGGTATAGTTAGTTTCCCGTTAGAATTCCTAAGAGTATGTTCCTGTCACTCAATTTTTGTTTGTTAATGTATGTGTTTATTGATTTTGTTTCTATTCTTTTTTTTTTTAGTTGGATCACGCTAGTGCAGTTAAAACAATGTTTACAGCTCATGACCAAGTCAATGCAGAGGATTTGAAGATTTGGACAGAAAGTTTACCGTTTTCAAATAGTATTATCTTTGCTTGTTTCCTCTATATCGTTGTAAAGTTGGTGTTGACCGCTGTCTCTATCACTCTTCCCATTCCCTACGGTATCTATATTCCATTGTTTGCGATTGGCGCTGCCGTCGGTAGATTCGTTGGTGAGATTATGAAGCTTATCTTCCCAAACATGAAGGATCTCTATCCGACTGGTTATGCGGTGGTCGGCGCTGCAGCACTTTGCGGTGGCGCAACGCGTACCGTTTCGAGTGCGGTCATCATCTTGGAGTTGACAAACGATCTTACTTATATGGTTCCTGTACTGATTGGTGTCGTGCTGGCATGCGGTATCGGTAATCTGTTGAATCATTCGATCTACGATTGTTTCTTGCGAAACAAACAACTTCCGTATCTGCCATTCATTCGTGTCAAATCCGATTCCACTACGGCAATCGATATCATCAACAAAGCCGGAAGAACACTTCACTTTATAACTCATAAAACAACTTTGGCACAGATATCGTCGGTTTTGGACAACTCTATGGATGCCAGCATACCGGTGGTGGAAGGTCAAGACAATATGCATCTGATTGGAACCATTTCGAGAACCACTCTCGAGGAGGTTGTTTCATACCACGAGAGATTGCACTCCTACTCAATGAACAAGTCACCACTCAACAACGCCAGTGGTGATACCATATTGACTATCAACCACCACCATGCTAGCGATGACGATAGAGATGGCGATAGAGATGGCGAAGCCGACGAAGATTACTCCTCAGAAAAGAGTTTGTTGAACGACAATGAAATGAAGGTATTCTCATCGTCGTCATATCCATCAACGACCACCGACAACTATCCAATCAGCAATAACGACGATGATTCAAATAGAATCAGCTATGTTAGCAGTAGTAATAATAGCAACGATGACAACAACAATAATATTATCCACAGTGAATCGAGTGAGCAACTCCAACAACAAAACGACAGCAACTACATTGATTTGGTTCAGATGGAACTTCAAAATCCATGGGTTGTAATCGACAGCTCACCATTCTCCGTGGTAGAATCGACACCAGTAAGAAAAATAGTTTTTATGTTTATGATGTTGGGTGGAAATGTACTTTATGTATTGAAGAAAGGTAAACTTGTCGGTGTTATCTCGAAATCAGACATTGCCGACATTGGAGCTCATAATAAATAAATATTATTTTACTTTATATATATACTTTTCAAAGAAAACCTCCTGTCATAAAATTGGATAAAAGCAAGACTGATCAGCCTTGAATAATAATAATAAGAATAACGAAACAAACACACCCACTTGTCTTGCTTTTATCTAATTTAGGAATTAACTTTAAAAATCAATTTTGCTTTTTTTTTTTTTTTTTTTAATCATGACTAAAATTTTTCCTAAAAAGAAAAAAGAATTGTTTGATTAATTTTCTCCACATATTTTTAATTATCTTTACTCAATAATGAAATCAACTCTTTGTTTATTATTTGTATTAATTGTATCAGTATTTGCAACAGCACCAGAAACGTTTGACGTAGTGTTTCAGACCAGTCAAGGTGATTTTGTTCTAAGTTTAAATAGAACATGGTCACCAAATGGTGTAGATCACCTATTTGATTTGGTCACTGCTCAATATGTAAGTAATACGAATGGTGTAGATCACCCATTTGATTTGGTCACTACCAAATGGCAAAGTTAAATAATAATCTTTATCTGTATACACACTTTAGTACGATATCAATTACTTTTTTAGAGTTATTCAAAGCCCAACACCTTTTGTAGCTCAGTGGGGTATCAATGGGTGAGTAAATTGAATTTATCACACACTTTTCATTTCATTTGAAAGAATAATATCAATATTAATTAATATCGATATACATAGTAATCCATCTGTCAGTCAAAAGTGGAATATTACAATCCCAGATGACCCTGTAGTTGTATCAAACACTGTTGGTACTGTTGCATATGCTGCAGAGATGAATGGTAACACTGCATGCTGCAGAACAACTCAATTGTTTATCAACTATGGAGATAACAGCTTCTTAGATAAAAGTGGTTTTGCACCAATCGGTGTTATCACTCAAGGTTTCAGCAACACAATGAAATTCTTCAGTGGCTATGGTGAGAACCCAGATCAAACTTTGATCTACGAACAAGGAAACTCTTATCTCGAAGCTAATTTCCCAAAGTTGGACTACATCTCTACTGCCAGAATAGTCTATTCAATGTAAACAAGTTAGATTCTTTTAATAAAATATTATAACTAAGTACTGAAATTTCATCGTAACAAGAAAAAATTTCTAAAGAAAACATCAAATTATAAAGTGTTCCTGTTTATTCAAAAAAAATTAAAATTATCAAATAAAAAATCACTATCAATGGGTTGCCGATATCATCTTGAGAGACTACGAGCCCAACAACTATCTTCCAAATAAGTAATTAAACAGAGTTTTCTGTTGAAAAGTAAAATAAAAATTAACATAATCTGCATAAAAATCTAGATTTTGTTGATCAAAAATTTTATTTGATATCTTGTTTTTCTCTCAATTCAAAGATCATATCATCTTATCATGTCCGATAACAATTATAAATAGTTCAAAATACCTTTTGGTTTTATCTAAAATCACCAATCATTTAAAATGAAAATATTTATTTCTTTAATTTTGCTACTTTCAATTTCATCAGTTTTTTCAAAACAGTCACCAGACTTCTTTATTGTAACTTTTCAGTCTAGTGCTGGCCCATTCGATATTACTGTAAATAGGACATGGGCACCAAATAGTGCAGACAGATTTTATGAGTTAATTCAAGCTGGATATGTAAGTAAAGAGATTAGCTATTCTATCTATTCAAATATTAAAATCATATTCTTTTTTTTTTTTCAAGTACGATTCAAATTATGTCTATAAAGTAATTGATACTCCAATTCCTTTCATAGCTCAATGGGGTATCAATGGGTAAGAATTTTTTTCTTATTTTATTATAATTTTGCATATTAAATTAACCAAACAATTTTTAAAAGTGATCCAAAGATTACTGCCCAGTGGAACACTTCAATTGAAAATGATCCATTAGTAGTTTCCAATACTATTGCAACTGTTGCTTTTGCTGGAGATATCGTTAATAACAAAGTGATTAATAGAAATACTCAAATCTTTATCAACTATCGTAGCAATCCACAATTGGATCAATATGGTTATGCCCCATTTGGTTTTATATCCTACGCTCTGACCAACACTTACAGTTTTTACAATCAGTATGGAAATAGTCCAAGTGAACAGTTGTACATTCAATATGGTAACGAATTTATCGAAGAGAATTATCCAAAATTGGATTATATCAAAGGTGCTGCAATCCAAAATTAATTTAATAGGATAAAACAAATGAAAAATAAATTTCTTTTTTTTTTATATTCTTATCGATGTTATGTATATTTACATTATTTTTGTTCTTTATTAGTTGTTGCAACTTTACATTGAGGAACTAATGTATTGTGAAGGAAATGTGAAAAGTGTTGTGTATCCAATAGCATAGACACAAAACCTTTGTTGTGGACAGACACGGTGCTAAGGAATTTGTGTTTCAATTCTTCAATCTTTAAACTGTCGGCAGCAATCTCTTCGGTAATCATGAAACTGGTTTCAATCTTTTTGACCAACCACCAAATGTATTGTTGTATTGTACTGTAAATACGATGAATAGCTTCAATCTGAGTTGGAGTATTTTTAATTGGATTGTGATTCTTTTCATTTGCTAAAATAACTTGATCACTACTTAAATTCTTTTGTCTATAGAAATATTTAATAAAAAATAAAAAAGTTAGTAAATGGATAGACTTTTAAAAACAATTAAATTAAATAGTTATTACAATTTTTTAAACTCTGGTAATGGAGGTGGAACACTACAGTTATTGTATGAAACCTTATCGTTGTTTAAATCGACAATGAGTCCATCAAAGTTCTTCTTTCTCAAAACCTGAGCACCTGCTATAAATGGAACAGGTGCTTCCAAATAATCGATTAATGGCTGTGGAATAATTGGTACAAATAAACCTTGCCATAAAAATGGGTAAATAAATGCTTGCATTGAAAAACTATAAATAAATAAATTATTAGAACTACAGAGTCTATAATCTTCTTCTTTTTTGTTTTCTTTTAACATACCAAGCTGATGATATTAAAGATAGATTATCTGATACAAATACGACACGTTGTTCTAATAATACAGCTCCAAGTACTTTTAGGATATTTTCCAAATTCAATTTCATAAACAATCCAATGATAGCCCATTCTGACATTGACTTTGAGAATATTTCATCATTATCTTTACCAGTCTAATTGAAAGTTTTTATAATAATAATAATACGATGATTAGTAAGAGTTATAACTAATGATGGCAGTAGATCTACTACTTACTGGAATTAGATATTGTCTCTTTAAAATCTCTCCAGGGAATGAATAGTTTAGGGTTTCACCAGGATCTGGTAGAGTCAAAGATGAATAGAATTTAAGAATCTCCAACAGATTCTTCTTGTCGACCAAATGTTTATATTCGTTGGATTGTGGAGTGTTTACAATTGCTGTTTCTTTTTCTTTTTCCTTTTCAACTTGGTCGTTCTGTTTTTCATTTTTGTTAGAGTCAACAGTAGTCTCTTGAGTTTGTTGTTGTTGTTGTTGTTGTTGTTGTTGTTGTTGTTGTTGTTGTTGTTGTTGTTGTTGTTGTTGTTGAGAATTATCAGTCGATTCCTTTGGTTCAGTTGATTGATTATCTGCATGTTGATCAACAACAGTAACATTTTCATTATTAGCAGTAGTAGTAATAGTAGTAGTAGTTGGATTATTATTATTAATATTATTAGTTTCATCTGTTGTTGTTGTCGTCGTTTGTGTTTGATTTTCGGTATGATTAACAATTTGAGGTGTAGTTGAATTTGGAGGTGAATCGTTATTATTATTATTATTGTTTTCATTATTCTCATCATCGGCTATCGCTGAACTCAATTCACGAGTGATGGTAATAAGTCTGTCCTGTGCCAATAAATACATCAAAGCATTAAAATGAACGTGGAACAATGGTATTTTAGATAAGAAACAATAACCTATATGAAAATTAGATAAAATAATTAGAATTTGTTTAGATTATTGTGATGATGATGATGATGATGATGTTGTTGTTATTGATAATTATTAATACTTACTCCTTGGTGCAGTGATATAGGTTGGTTTTTTCTCTAATACCAAAGGTTGATCTGGAAAGAAATTTGGAATGGTACTAAGTAGCTCTGGTTTACTAACACAGATACCGTAGAGCGGCGATTCACCTGTTAATACAAAAGTGTAGAAATACTCTGATGACTGCAAGTATGGCTGACCATACAACAACTCGTGAAGCGACGAACAACTTGGTGTACGTTTAATCAAATATGGTGATATTCCATTTGGAAAACAGAATTCATGTGCTTTTGGTGGTACCCTTTAATATTATTATTATTAATTTGAAATAAATATATGTTAATATAAAACAAAACCAAAATAAAACAAATTAATTATTAAGTACTATAGGTATACATACGGTTTATCAGATGGATAGTAAAATAATAACTCTGGTTTATGAATGATTCCGATTCTCGGTGGTGTTTTGCTGTTTGGTAGACCAACGACGATAAAGTGTTCAAAGAGATGCATAACGTTCGGTAGCTTCTCTTTGAGTTGCGATAGATTGAGACTGTCGTGCTCGACACTGTTCTTTCTACTGCTACTGCTACTGTTGATACCACTGGTATCGGATGTCGTCTCTGTTATTGGCAGACCATATTCATCGGTCGTTGTTGAACTCGATATGTTTGGTGTAGTCTTTGACTCTGAACCACTACCACCATCACTACCAACGACAACAACCACTTCATTCTCAATTGTTTTTTGTTCAACTGTAGTAGTACTATTAGCAGCAGCAACATCAACAGCAGCAGGTGGTGTATCTTCTGTAATAGTAGGTTTTGTTTCTATTGTTGTTTCTGATGATGGTAGTATTGATGCTGCTGATACTTCCTTCTCTTCTTTAACTTCCTTTTCTTCTTCTTTAACATCTTCCTCTACCTTTACTTCTTCTTTTTTGATAATATCTGTATCCAATGGTATATCTTCTAGGTTATTAATGTCATGATTCTCGAGATGTTCGTCGTTTGAAACTTGAATACTGCCAATGTCATTATTACTACTATCGTTATGATTACTATTCTTTAGTTCATCCTCTTCTTCTTCTTGTTCTTCTTCTTCCTTTGGTATATTATTATTATCTAAAGAAGTCATTTATTTTAATAAATAATAATTATAATAATAATAGATAGATAGATATTAAAAGTAAACTATAAAAATAATAATATATGAGTTGTTTTAGTGTTAGTGCAACTGGTGTGTTTGGTTGCAAATCTCATAAAAAAAATAAAATAAAAAAAACAAAAAAATTCATTCATTTTTTTGTGTCAAAAAAAATGTCAAACAGAAAAATCAAACAACTCTTTTTGAAAAAAAAAAGGAAATTAAAATTAAATTACATGTTAACAGTTTTATTTTGTTTAAAGCTTTGATGGTGTTGTATTGGCATGTGGGATCGATGGTGGAGGAAGAGGTAAATGGAAATTTAGTTTACTAATATGTGAATTGTTATTGTTATTAAGTGATGGTATTGTTGGTGGTGGTGGTGGTGGACTTTTGTTAGTGTTACTGAGATAAGCTAATCCGTGGTTGGTAGGTACTTCTATGGTATCGTTGAGATTCATTGTATTTACAAAGTTATCGATCGTTATAATTGCTGTTGATGTAGATACCGGTGTTGCATCATTAATTGATAGTATAGGTGTTGATATCATTGTATTTAATCTACTATTATTATTATTATCATCATCATCGTTATTAATATTATCTATTTCATTATTATTGTTACCCGATGTTGTATTATTATTCTTTGTTGATTTATTACGAAGTTGATATCTTGAATTTCTTAAATATTTGTTTGTCTTTTTGTTTAAAGTATTATTATCGGAGGATGAAGAGGAAGAAGAAGAAGAAGAAGAAGAGGATGATGATGTTGATTTAGGTGATGTCGACAATTGTAAATATTGTTTATCATCGTGTATCGAAAGCTTGGTTCTAACATGATCATAATGTGAGACATGAGGAATCAACAATTGCTCTAAAGGTACATTGATGTGAAAGTAAGGATGTGACAACGCATCGTTCGCAGTGAATCTCTTATTCGGATCATACTGTAAGAGTTCATAGATAAGATCTATAGCATCACCACTTGCATTCGGTAATATAGTTGATAGATGTGTTGGATTTATCTTGATTTATATAGCGAATATATATATATATTGGTTAGTTTAAAATAAAACAATGAAATTCATTATTATTATTATTATATTCTTATGGTTAGTTATGTTTGTTTTCTCTTTCTTACATTTGGAAATTTGAAATTCATTGTGGTCGATAGTTTGATGCCGTCCGACCAATTGGTGGGATTTGGCGAACCGAGAATATGTGCAATCTTAAAGAGTTGGTCGATTTCACTGGAACCGGGGAATAGTGGTTTCAAACTGTAGAGTTCGGCCATTATTGCACCGACAGCCCACATATCGATCTGTGAACTGTAGGTTTGTGCGCGAAGCAACACCTCGGGTGCACGGTACCACCTCGTCGAGACGTAGGTAGAGTACGGTGGTTTCGAATCGATTTCTCTCGCCAAGCCGAAATCTGCAATCTTCACAACGTCACCGAATATCAAGATATTCTCTGGTTTCAAATCTCTATGAAAATAACCGCTATCGTGCATATATAACAATGCTTGTATAATTTGATACCTTTATAAAGTGATTATAATACTAACGTTAGTATTGTTGTTGTTGCTGTTGTTGTGGTAATTGTAGTTGAATGTTGGATCCATACATTATATTCCTTATTTTACCTTCTGACAGTAATCTATCTCTGTCTTTTATCTTCTCATAGAGATTGCTATCGAGATACTCGAAAACAAAGTATAGTTCTTCATTCTCTCTGATCACCTCCAAGAGTTGTACGATGTTGGCATGATTAAGCTTCTGAAGTATATTGATCTCACTTAGTTTAATACAATCGTCCCATGATTTATATGGTTTCTTCATACGCTTTATCGCTACCTAAAAATAATATTAATAATAATAATAACAATATTTTAATAAGTATTTAATTCAACAAATCGTAACAAAGATAAGATATAAGCTATCTAAATCATATAGACTAAATAAACATACAATTTCATTTGTAAATTTATTGATTCCTTTACTGACATCACCAAAAGTACCATCTCCTAGCTGTTTTATAATTTTATATTTATTCATTCATTCATATATTTATAACGTTATTTAATTATATTTATATTCAAATGTTAATGTTACCATTTTTTTTTTTATCACCCATTTTTTTTTTCACAGTGAAGATGTTTAATGTGCTCAAAATTAAAGTCATTTTTTTGTTAATATTAAAGATTAAGATTAAGGATGTTTAATTTGATAAATTGTTTTATTTTTATTGTGAATCAGAATAATTCTAAAAAAGAATACCAAGAAATTGATATCATGTCAATATAGTATCATTAAAGTATGTTTAGGTAAACAACAATGAAACAAATAATAATTCGAATCGTTGTGTGTTCTCGTGAGAATTTTGTAAAAGTTTCGTGAAGCAATTCTTTTGAAAAAAACCCATTTTTAGAAAAATTAAAATTAATTTAGTTTTGCTTCTTTCGAATGAATTAATTTAATCTACAATTAATTAATAAAAATAACATGTAAACTGTAAAATATAAATAGTAATAGAAATGTTTGTTTAAAAATCAAAATAAAGATACAAATCAAATAAATAAATAAATAAATAAATATAATAAATCACTTAATATGTCAATAGCTAAAAAAATCGAATTATATGGTGCAAGTACACCAAATGTACATAAAGTTCTTTTTGCATTGGAAGAATTGAATATTCCTTATAACTTTAATGTTCTAAACCTTAGAAATGGTGATCAGTTCAGTGAAGAGTTCAAAAAGATCAATCCAAATTCAAAAGTACCAGCGATTTTTGATCCAAATGTTGAAGGTGGTCTTGCTGTCTTTGAATCCGGAAACATCCTTCAATACTTGGCAACTCGTTATGGCAATGGTAAATACCTACCAAATCCAACTACCGATATCAAAGGAAACACTCAAGTCTTAGGTTGGTTATACTGGCAAATGTCTGGTTTGGGTCCAACTCAAGGAAATCTTAATCATTTCAATAAATAGTAAGTTCATAATTATTATATTAAAAAATTATTTATTAATTTCTAATGCAAAACAATTTAATTAATTTTATTTTTATATAGTGCACCAGAAAAGATTGAATATGCTCTTAAAAGATATTCAAATGAACTTTCAAGATTATTACATGTTTTGGAGAAAGAATTGAAAGATCATACTTTTATTGTTGGTGATCAATATACTATTGCTGATATGGTATGTTTATTTATTTATTTTATTTGTTTTTATGAAAATTTTTAATATATTAATTATTTTTATTTTAAGGCAATTTATGGATGGATTAGATATCTGTATATGTATCCAGAGTATTCAAGTCAAGAATTCCCAAATCTATTTAAATATATGGATAGAGTTAGATCAATTCCATCGGTGAATAAAGTTGTTACTGAAGCAGAGGAAGATCTAAAGAAAGATCCTCAAAAACCATTTACTGATGAGGAAAGAAAGATTATGTTTGGTCAAAATGGAAAATCAAATCAAAACTAAATCTATAAAATAAATAATTATTTTAATTATTGTAAAATTAATTCATCACTATCATTTTTCTCTGAAGTAATTAATGTTTAGATTTGTAGATATCAATCATTATTTAAATTCACTAAACAGCATCATATAAGAGGAATTCGAATCTTTTGAAAAGATCAAGCCGTTATCAGAAGATTGCAGATTCTCTTCACCGCAGAAATGAACCACCAAGCTCTCACCTATATTTTCCTCAATATTCATTGCAGAATTCATAAATAAATAAAATAATGCTTTTGTCTGATTGCGAAACTGCAAAAAGTAGTACTACTAACTTTTTTTTTCTTTTTTTTCGGATTTTGAAAACTTAAAAAAAAAATTGTTAAAAACAGCCACCACCACTATTCAAAAAACATTAACAAATGCAAACAAAATTTCAACAACATCAATAATCGAATCAATCAATCAATGTAAATCATTAGTATCATTCATCGAATCGAATAATGACACGATATTCAATCAATACAGTATGGATATGAATGATTACAATATCAAAGATATTATATTGCAATATAATAATGATATCGATTCAATCCTTTTAGATTCGATCTATAAGTTTAACAACAAAAATCAATCATCATCATCATCTAAAGTAAAGGCAAAACATTATCGTTTTGATATGAAAACAGAACTTTCAAAGCTCTCTTTTGGTGTTTTCGAAGAGTACATAAAAAGTGCAATACATCTACAGGTATTACCTCGTAGTAATTTAAAACTAGTCTACAAACATACCTATATCTTCTCAACACATCAAGAAAATGGAGCAACTCTTTTTGACATTTCGAACAACACCACAGAACCAACAGAGATCTTTCAATTGAAAACCCCTTTATTCGATTTCAATTCAGCTTATGTTGTTCAGGCTGGTGATATCATCTATTCAACAAATCGATCAAGACAACTTTTTACATTTTCACTTATAACACATGAAATGAATATCATTACTCATAGAGATCTGGAAAATCTTGATATTTATTATAGCTCTCTATGCTACGATGGTGAAAAACATATCCATTTGATCTGCTCAAATAGATCTATTTATCAATTAAATATTGCTACACAACAAATTAAACAATGTTACCACAAACCCCAAAAACGAAAAATTCATTATGATACTGATGAAGATGATGATCCAATTCCTTTACTTTCATTCTGGTACAAAGGTTTATTATATTGTTTCTCAGCATCAAATATAATGTTGATCTACAATCCAACATCAAAGAAAATGCAGGAATATAACATGTGTGAACATGAACTCAATTGTAATTCAATATGTACCGATGGAAATGGAAATGTCTTTATTCAAACATCAAAATCGACTTTCCATCAATTTAATCTAGACTCTAAACAAATGGTCAATCTCAATTCAGATGGTTTATCTAATCATTGTTATTCGAGTGTATACCACAAGCATTCTCGTGACCACTCCTATGTCTACATGCTATGTGGTGATGCTTATGGAAATTTGCGATATTCAATCGAGAACGATCAATGGGAGAATGTATTTGCCAACGATGATTTAGATAGATATGGTTGTTGTGCCATTATCGCACAAATAAATGAATAATATTATTTTAAACTATTAATAAAAATTTTGACTGACAGCTTTTTTTAAAAAAAAACGATAAAGAGATTGTTTGTAAAATGTTTGATATAAATAGTTTTAAAAAAAGAATATTTAGAAATCCTTAAATGCAATAAATTATTATGTTCAAGATCTATATCGATTCATAACAAACAAAATGATCATTATAATTATTGAGATCATATCTGATTAGAGAATGCATTATCTTATAGTTAAATATATATTAATAATCAATTTTTTTATTAAAAAACTTTCAGTTATTTTATTTAATAGGTTGATAATAAAAAGATAAAGAATAATTGATTTTTGTAAATTTTATAAATTTATTATATTTTATATTATTTTTGGAAAATTATTTATTGAAAGATATTATTGAAAATTGAATGTTTGTAACAATTGTTTATGGTTTGGCACCAAAGTCATAGTCGAAGTTATTATTTGTTTGCATTGGGTCACCTAGAGTGAATTTAATTGTGGATACACCATTGACGTCAGAGGCCTTGTTGGAGAGGACGGTCTGAGATGGGATAATGGTTGATTTAATTCCAGCGGCGGTGAGGGTGTATGAATCATATGGTGGAACCTTGGTGAATTTGTAGTTACCGTTCTTATCGGTGGTGGTGGTCATGGTAGTACCCTTGGCACCTGTGAGGGTGACAGTGACACCAGCAATACCTGGTTCAGAAGCGTCTTGAAGACCGTTACCGTTGGTATCAGTCCAGACACGGTCACCAATAGTGATTGGCTTGGCTGGACAGAAGGCTACGATATCACCGAGACCGTTGTTCTTACCAAAGGTGGCAAAGGTCTGACCTGAGGTTTGTGGGGTGATATATAGGGCGTTACCTCTCATCATGGTACCGTTCTTGGTTGAGAAATACTTGACGGCACCCTCAAAGAGACGGGTCAAATCGTAACCGTTGGAGGCGACTGTTGGGTAACCTGGAATCATGTAGGCAGAGTCACCAGCGGTTTCATCGTGGTGGAACGTCTCGAGAGCGAAGTTGTCGTTAAAGAATTCACCTCCACTTGGACCTTCGGTGTTACCGTTGGTACCAGTTGGTCCGTGGTGAGCTCCTACGAGACTACCACAGTTACCGTTGGCTTCGAGGACGTATTTACCAGTGCTGTCCATACAGGCGATCAAGATGTCACCGGCGGCAATGTTGTTCATATCTCCACCACGATCACGAGTGGCAGTGATCATGTTGTTACCATCGAATGTAATAGATGCCAACAATGGTTGAGTACGGAAATCGTCGATCCATCTGTCCCATTTGGCTGCGTAGCACTTCATGGAACCAGTGTTGTTGTCAGTGTTCTTGCAACCACGGTCGTAGGTGTATGGAATGGTCAAGATTGGAGCGGAGAAGGCGTTGGTGGCTGGGTCGAAAGTAACTACTACACCCTTAAGATCGGCAACATTCTCACTGATAGTTGCAGTACAAGTGACACCAATGTAGTATTTACCGAGATGGTAGGTGACTGCGTAACCTTGTGAGGAACCGGTTGATCCACAGAGATTTGGAATGGCAAACTTCTTGGAGTTGGCTCTGGTTGGGGGGGTGTCGAGTGGAAGGATGTGTAGCTCGTTAGTCTTCAAACAAATTGTGGCGAGGTTACGACGATCGTGGTCGATATCGATGTCACCTAGACCAGTTGTGAAAACTTGATTAGAACGGAAATCTTCAGTTGCAACATCTCCACCATCAAGGTATGGTTCACCACAATAATTGGGGTCACCGTAGATGTCGTTGATAGAAACCCATGGAACTGGGGTGGTTCCGTTGGTGCTCTTGTAGATACCACCACTACCAAGTGAACCATAGGTAGTGGACAACTTCATGAAGGCACCCATGTAAAGAGTATCCTTGGAACGATCGTAACCTAAACCACTGACTGCACCGACATCGACGTAGTTAGCAATTGGAGTAGTGAGATTCTTGGTCTCAGCACTGTATGGGAAGGTAATAACGACGTGATCATTGGCGTATTGTCCGTCATTGAGACCACGGACGAAACATGTGGTGGCAATCTTGGGGTCATCGGTACAGTAGTCTTCGTCGGTGATGAAGGAGAAGTCATAGAGTCCTTCTGGTGGAACTGATCCGTCAGGTGGGACAATACGATCGGTTGAGCTACAGCTCTGAATTGGACGGTTGCTTGAGGTTGGGAGAGCTGGAGTACCGACGCTAACAATGTATTGTTCTTGGAAGGTAAGTCCGGTGAAACTGTAAGTACCATCGGCTGCAGTTGTAGTTTGTTTGACTGGAGTTGAGGAACCGGCAGCGAACAAGTATACTGGAACACCAGCCAATGGAACGTCAGTGGCTGATGCCTTGGTACCTTGATCCATCTTGCTGTTACAATTGTAATCCTTGAAGACCTTACCGTTGATTGAGGTGTTATCTGGACGTTTGACACCAGCGTTCATTTGGAGACACATGTATGAAGCGAATGGACATTGGTGGAGATTAGTGTTGGAAGTATCGAGGTTGAAGTTTGGAGTGGAGAAGTTTGTATCGATTTGAGATGAGACGTTTCTGGCACCAGCGTTGGGCTTGGTGGCTAACCAATCTTTATCAAAGTTGAAGGTCAATTTGTAGTTTCCTGGAGCGACGTTGGGGAATGAGTAGTAACCGGTGGCATCTGGTTTGACTGTGGCAACAGTTGCTCCGGTTTGATCGACCAAGTTTACGGTGATGGCACCGCTTGGGACTGAGCTTGGATCGAAGAGACCATCACCTCCGATATCCTTCCAGACGTAACCATCGACACCAAGGACAGAGACGACGAAACCGGCATCAATCTTCTTGTTGATGTATGGAGCTTGGATTGGTTCGTTGGTCTTTGGAACAACGTTTGGATCGGTCAATACCAAGTTGATTGGATCGGTAACACCATTGGTGTTGGCCTTGTTGTCTCCCTTGACTGGGGATACAGTGTATCCAGCTGGTGGAGTGAAACGGACGGTGTATTGGTTGACTGGGAGGTTGTCCAAGTAGTATTTACCATTGGCATCGGTTGTGGTTGTGATTGGTCTACCAGAGGCGTCATTAACTGGTTGACCGTTGCTGTTGAGGAGTTCAACTTTAACACCGGCCAATGGTTTTTCGTTGGTATCCATAATACCATTCTTGTTGTCGTCGATGAAGGCAGTGTCACCAATAGCGATGTATGGTGAGATGAGACCAAGATTGTAGTTACTGTTGGTGTAGGCACAACGTGGGTTGTTTCCTGGTGTGGTAGTCATACCCGGTGAGTTTGGAGTTAGTGAGAAGGTGGCAGTTCTGACTTTTCCTTGGACAAGTTGGAATTGGTTACCGCCATTCATTGAGGTTTGCAATGGTGATATGACGTAACGATCAGGGATAGCAGCTTCAATGTAGTAACGACCTGGGGCAACGTTGGTGAATTGATAGTTTCCGTTTTGGTCAGTGGTAACTGGTTGAATGGTGTTTCCATTAATGTCCTTGACAGTTGAACCGTTCTCATAGAACAATGACATCTTGATGTTGGGGAATCCCATTTCGTTGGTATCCAAAAGACCGTTTCTGTTTCCATCAGAGAATGCCTTGTTACCGATGATGTAGCATGGGTGTACTAAACCACCATTGTTGTTGAGTGATTGCCATGAGTTGACAGTACCTGGAATCTTGGTGTATGAGGATTGTGGGATGACAATCTTTCCATTTGGATCGGCCTTGTTGTCGTTGGCGATGACAGTCCAGACGGTACCTGGAATCTCATTGGATGGTTGAACGAATTGGACTTGGTAGTTGACTCCACCTGGAACATTGTTGAACATGTAGTTACCACTGGCGTCGGTTACAACTGGTTGGATTGGATTACCGTTGAGATCTCTTGGGATTGAACCATCAATATTCAAGAGACGAACAGTGACACCTGGAGCTGGCTTCTCGGTAGCATCACGCTTACCGTCCTTGTTGTCGTCGTACCATACGTAGCTACCGATGTTGGCAGTCATTGGGACGTAACCAACGTTGACATTTGGATCGATATACTTGGCAGCTACTCCATCGGTGGCAGTAGTTTCACGGATATTTGGTGAGGTGTAGTTGAGGTTGAAACAATGAATTCCTTGGTCGTTGGCAATAGAGTCTTTACCTGGTGTGGTGACATGGTAGGATGGATTGGGTGGAACAAAGGAGATACAGTAATTTCTTGGTGGGAGTTGGTCGAAGTGGTATTTTCCGTTACTGTCGGTGGTAGTGTTATATTTGTCACCGTTTTGGTCGATGAGAGTAACTACAACACCTGCTAATGGTTTCTCATCTGGTTGACGGATACCATCACCATTCGAGTCAATGAAGGCAAAGTTACCAATGGCGTAGGTTGCCTCGGTCATACCAGTATCGTAGGTTGGAATAATATAGTCACAGTCATAGGCTGGATCCTTGTTTTCCATGGCATCTTGATTGTTTTGATCCAAAGTGAAGTTGAACCAACCGTTGATATCGGCGTGTGAGTCGGTGGTCTCTGGTGAGTAGAGGTATCCACCTGGGAGTACGTAGAGAATGGAGTAATTACCAGCTGGCAATCTGCTGAATTTGAATCTTCCATCTGCACCAGTGGTTTGGGTGTCGATCAATATGTCGTTCTTGTAGATCTTGACTGTGACACCTGCCAATGGATCTTCGTTCGAGTCACGGTAACCGTTACCGTTGTCATTCCAGACTTGAGAGTCGATACAGTAGGTCTTGGTGGCAACACCTTGATCGGCGTCTAAATAGAGCCATGGTGATTTCAAATCTGGGTTGCTGTTATCGTTTGGTACCATTCCGGTGTGTTTGTTGGAGAGTTCCATACAGACTTGTTTGCTGGTTGGGTTGATTGGAGTAACATCGTTGGCAAGATCGAATTTGACACAGTAATTACCGGCTGGGAGTTGGTCGAAGGCGTATTTACCACTGTCGTTGGTAACGGTAGTCTTGATGACCTCACCAGTTGGGGAAGTGAGGGTAACAGTGACACCAGCAAGACCAGTCTCGCTACCGTCTTGTTTACCGTTCTTGTTGTCATCGATGTATACAGTGTCACCAACACCAAAGGTTGGTGATTTCAAACCAAAGTCTTGATCTGGAATGTTGTAGGTAGTGTTGGTTGAGGTACCTGGTTGAGAGTTACCTGGAGTGACATCAATGTGGAGTCCAGTTGGTGGGATAACACTGTCCTTTGATGGTGGGACAAGTTCATTTCCAGCTGGTGGTGTAACGGTGATGGTGTAACCTCCTGGTGGTACGTTGGTGAAGTTGTAGTTACCGTTGGAGTCGGTGGTGGTGGTCATTGGTGGTTGTCCGTTCTCTGGGGTAAGAGTGACAGTTACAGATGGGAATGGTGGATCGGTATTATCACGGATATTGTTTTCATTGACATCCTTCCAACCGTTACCAGTGACTGAGTAGCTTGGTACGATGGCACCATCAACATCTGGTTTGTTACATTGATTTGGTTGAGAGCAAGTAATATTTGGATCCTTTGGATCGAGGGTGAAGCAAGCTTTACCATCCTTATCAAAGGCGTTTGGTGACCAGGCGGTTGATGGAGTGTAAGTTTCTGGAAGTTGAATTTGGATACAGTAATCACCTGGTGGTACGTTGGTAAAGGAGTAGTTACCAGTAGTAGTGGTGGTAGTGGTGTTGATGACAGTTCCATTTGGATAGGTGAGAGTTAAGTTGGTAGCTGGTGGGAAGAGATCTGGTACCTTAGTTCCGTTGTTGAATGGATCGACAAAGATGCTGGTACCGACGGTGAACATGATTTGTTGGAGACCAGCATCCTCAGTTGGATCGATTCTGAAGGCTTGAACATTGTCAGCGGCGACTGATGGACGAGTTGCATCGTTGGGGAGGATGACAGTGATCTTACCATCTCCACCAGCGGTTGGTTTGGACAAAGCTGGATTGTTGACGAATACCCATCCGGCTGGAGCTTGGAATTGGATTGTGTAGGTACCAGCTGGGAGGTTATCGAAAATGTAACGACCGTTGGCATCAGAGGTAGTTGTCTTGGTGGCACCAGTGGAGTCGGTCAAAGTGACAGTCACGGATGGGAATGGACCATTTGGTTGGTTGTCACCATTGGTATCCTTCCAGACCAAGTCACCAATTGCGAACAATGGTGGGTTGGTACCAAAGTCAATGATTGGGAGATGTGGAGTACCAGTAATTTGATGGGTAACAATTTGAGTGTTGTTGAGAGAGAGGTCGAAGCATTGTTTGTTTCCACCTGGAGTGGTGTAGGTAGTACCAGCTGGCATTTGAATTTCAGCGCAATATTTACCTGGCACCAAGTTTGGAACGTTGTATTCACCAGTGCTGTTGGTAGTGGTGGTGGTAACACGGGTTCCATTCTCAGTGGTGATAACAATTGTGACATTTGGAACGCCTGGCTCATTTGGATCTTTCTTTCCATCCTTGTTAGTATCAACAAAGACGTTGGTACCGAACGAGAACAATGGTGGGTTGGTACCAAAGTCAATGATTGGGAGATTTGGAGTACCAGTAATTGGATCGGTAACAATTTGAGTGTTGTTGAGAGAGAGGTCGAAGCATTGTTTGTTTCCACCTGGAGTGGTGTAGGTAGTACCGGCTGGCATTTGAATTTCAGCGCAATATTTACCTGGCTCCAAGTTTGGAACGTTGTATTCACCAGTGCTGTTGGTAGTGGTGGTGGTAACACGGGTTCCATTCTCAGTGGTGATAACAATTGTGACATTTGGAACACCTGGCTCATTTGGATCTTTCTCTCCATTCTTGTTGGGATCAACAAAAACGTTGGTACCGAACGAGAACAATGGTGGAGTGAGACCACCATTGATATTTGGAAGAATGTTGAGACCTTGGTATGGGTTACCTGGGGTGGGGTTCTTGACGAGATCTGGGTTGCCTGGAGTCAAATCTATAGTGACGACACCGTTGTTGAATTTATTGTCCGGTGAGTTGGTCATCCAGTTGTAGTATTCTGGGGTATTTGGTACGTTGACGGTGTAGGTTCCTGGCTTGACATTGTCAAAGAAGTAGTTACCCTCTGGTGTTGTGGTTGTAGTTGCAACGACCTTTCCAGTTGGATCACGGAGTTCAACTGTGATTCCACCTAGTGGCTTGTCGGTTGGGGTCTTGGTGTTGGAACGGTCCTCATCGGTGAAGAGATTACCTGTGACAACGTAGGTTGATGGTACGAGACCGGTGTTCATTGTCTTATTCTTTTCTGGATCTTTGTTATCCAAAGTGAAGCAGACCTTACCTGTGGCTGGGTCGACAACAGAGTCAGAGGTCTTTGGTGCGAAGGTATATCCGTCTGGTTTGGAGACTTGGAGACAGTAGTCACCGGCTGGGACATTTGGAATGTTCCAACCACCAGTTGTGTTGGATGTGACGGTGGTAACAACAGTACCGTTCGGAGTGGTGAGGACGATGGTTGTGTCTGGAACACCCTTGTCAGTATCACGGTGGATACCATCACCTGGGGGGTTCTCGAATATAATATTACCAATATTGAATAATGGTGGCATAATACCGGCATCGACGGTTGGATCGATGTAGACAGCCTTCAAAGTACCATCAGAGTTGGTTACGTTACGGATTCTTGGGTTGGATGGACCAATGACGACGGTGACGCTACCAGCAGGGTCTGGTTGTGAGTCTTTACCTTGTGGTGAGAATGTCCAGTTGGCACCTGGAGTTCCAAAGACAACCTTGTAGGTTCCTGGTTGCAAATTATCAAAGTGGTAAATACCGTTGGAGTCGGTGTTGGTTTGAATCATCATCTGACCGTTTGAATTGTAGAGAGAGACTTGGACGTTTGGAAGACCTGGCTCGTTGGCATCTTTGACACCGTCACGGTTGTTGTCTTGCCAGACTTGGTCACCAATAGCGTAGGTTGGTGGAGTCAAACCAGCATTGGCGTTGTGATTCATGTAGTAAGCTTCAACATTGTCGGATGGTTTAGAGAGGATGGCAGTGGTATTGTCGAGGGTGAAGCAGGTTTGACCGTTGGCGTCAACGGTTGAGTCTTCTCCCTTTGGTGAGACACCGTATCCAGATGGAACAGTGAATTTGACACAGTATTTACCTGGCTTGAGGTTGTCAAAGTTGTATTTACCATTGTTATCGGTTACGTTGGTGCTTACAACATTGTTATTCTCATCGAGGAGAGTAACGTTGACACCTTGTAATCCACTTTCACCTGGTTGACGGGTACCGTCTCCGTTGGTATCCAAGAAGACAAAGTCACCGACGGCGAATTGTGGTGGCATTAAACCAGCATCGATGGTCTTGTCCATGTAGAAGGCTTTGATACTTGAACCTGCCTCAACACGTTCGAGGGTTGGTGAGTTTGGTTGGAGACTGAAGACGACCTTACCATCTGATCCTGGTTTCGATTGACTGGTAATTGGTGAGAAGGTGTAACCATTTGGTTGACTGAAGACAATTTGGTAGGTTCCAGCTTGGAGACCGTCGAAGAAGTACTTTCCAGTTCCGTCGGTGGTGGTGCTCTTGAGTTGGAGACCGGCTTGGTTGAAGAGGGTAACAGTAATACCTGAAGCTGGTTGATCGTTACCGTTGTAGAGACCGTCACGGTTGTTGTCGTAGAAGACAAAGTCACCGACGGCAAACAATGGTGGTGTCATACCTTGGTCAACGCTATTGAGGATGTAGGTAGCTTCAACACCGTCACTTGGCTTAGTGAGTGCAGCACCCTTGGTGATATCGAAACAGTATTTACCGTTCTTGTCAGCAACTGATTGGAGAGTCTTTGGTGAGAAGTCGTATCCAGTTGGGTTACGGAAGGTGATACAGTAGTTACCGGCTGGCAAGTTGTCAAAGTGGTAGTTACCATTGTTGTCAGTACTTACCATACCAACGACGACTCCTTTGTCGTCACGGAGAGTGACGTGGATGTTGGAGAAGACTGGCTCGTTGGCTTCACGAAGACCATTGGCATTGGTGTCAACCCAGACTAAATCACCAACGGCGTAGGTGGTTGGAATAACACCAGCGTTGATTCTACCGTCGAGGTATGAAGCAGTAAGACCGAGTGCTGGTGGAACTGGAGTTATAAGTCCCGGAGTCGATGGAGTCAAGTTGATACCAGTGACCAAACCATTTTGGTTTGGACGTGATTGACCAGCTTGTGGTGAGAATTGGCTGTTGTCTGGTAAGACGAATCTGACTTGGTAGTTGGTTCCGGCTGGAATCTTGTCGATATAGTAACGACCTTGTGAGTCGGTGACAGTCTTGGCAATTTCTTGACCGGCAGCGTTGAGGAGGATAACAGTGACGTTTGGCTTACCGACTTCGTTGGCATCCATGATTGAGTTCTTGTTGGAATCGATCCAGACAACATTACCGATGGCGAATAACTTTTGAACGAGACCGGCATCAATGTCGAATCTCAAGAATGAAGCCTTGAGGCTTGGATCGGTGTTTGGTAAAGTTGAGGATTGAGTTAGTTGGACGTTGTAGACCCAACCATCAGCACCTGGAAGCGATTGAGTGGTAGTTGGAGATGGTGCCCATCCGTCTGGAACGACGAATTGAACGTTGTAGGTACCGGCATCGAGATTATCGAAAACGTAACGACCGTTGCTGTCGGTGGTGGTGGTTGCCTTGAGTTGACGGTTGGAGTCGTAGAGGTTGACGACGATTCCAGCGAATGGACGGTCAGTTCCTGGTGTGTAAAGACCATCGTTGTTTGCATCGGCAAAGACAAAGTCACCAAGAGCAAAGGTAATCTTCTTCATACAGGCATTGGCGGAGATGGTCTTGGTGGCACCGGCATTAGCGCTGTTGACAGTGATGACTGCAACACCGTTGGCACCGACTTGTGAGGATGCACCTTGAGTGAATTGATAACCTGATGGAAGAACGAATTGAACTCCGTAAGTACCTGCCTTGACGTGGTTGAATTTGTAGGAACCGGTGTTATCGGTGGTGGTGGTGTCGATGACTTGACCGCTGGCGTCGAGGAGATTAACCTTGATACCTTGGAGGTAACCTTCACCTTGGTCGGCATTACCGTTACCGTTTGGATCGTTACAAACTCTACCGGCGACAGAGTAGGTGTCTGGAATGATACCGACGTTGACGTCTGGATTCCAAAGAGTGGCATTAACATTGGATGGGGCTGGAGTGGTGGTTTCTGGAGAGAGGACGATGGGTGGTGATAAACCGGTTACATCTGTAACTGAATCTTTACCTGGTGGTGAGACAGAGTTTCCTGGTGGAATGTGGAATTTGACGTTGTATGTTCCTGGTGGGAGGTTGTCAAAGACGTAGTTACCATTGGCGTTGGTAGTAGTAGTACCGACAACCTTACCGTCCTTGATCAAGTCGACTTGGATTCCTGGGAAGAATGGCTCGTTTGGTTGACGAATACCATCTCCGTTGGTGTCCAAGAATGCCATTGAACCAATGGCGTATGTCTCTGGAGTGGAACAGTTTCCAATACCAACCAATGAGTAGTAGAGCAACAAACCTTTGCATGGTACATCACAGTAGATACCCTTGACGGTAACGACAATCTTTGATACCAATTGATTTGGTTGCATGACGACGTAGCTGTTGGCACCGGCATTGGACCATGTAAGATTCAATGTGGTCTGAGCCTGAGTCATCTTGATGGTTGGTGGATGCATGGCGTCGCTGGATGAGAGGAGACCATGGTCCAATGTCTTCCAGTTCAACATGTTGATTGGATATCCATAGGCATCGTAGGCATCGATGACAACCGACGAGTCGGAGGTGATACCGTAGAGGATGAAGAGGAAATCCATGGAAGATTTCTCGAGGAACTCAAAAGTAATCTTTGATGGCGAAGTACCGCATCCATAGTGCATCAACGACTTGATGTTTTGTTTTCCAGTGATATTGAAAAACTTTGGATTCGATAGGAGCTCAGAGTACTGATGAGTCTGACCCATGATCAAAGGATTGCTCTCACCTTCGACCGAAACACGGACATTTGGGAACTTGGCGCCCCAGTCCAAAATTGCGCTATTAACATTATCAAAACCGGTTGGCTGAATGCTACTAAAATCCAAATATGTCTTCTCTGGTACACAGTAGTCACAGACGACGCCCAGATGGTTTGGATCAACCATATCTGAACGTGTCAGTGTGATGAATGTGACGACCAGAAGCAGACTGTAAATCAAACTTAAAGGTCTAGCCATTTTCTTAGTTTTTTTTTGGTATGGAAATGGCCTAATTCCAGTGGTAAAAAAAAACTTGAACTCGTTATGTATGAATGAACCAAATAAATTGAAACTTTGATAACTGGAAAATGGTTTGAAATTGGAAAATGAAAAAAAAAAAAAAAAAGAAATATGGAAAGAATATTGAGAATTAGTTAATTGGGCTTGCATTAAAGGACCAGCCAGTCAATGACAATTAATATTATTGATACATACCTTTTGCCTTAAGCAATCAGTTATAATCTAAGTTGTGAGAAAAAAAAGGAGGAGATCAAACAGATTAAATTGGTATACTTCTATAATATTGGAAATTGCAAATAGACAGATCGTTGACCAATTAGTATAAGGAAGGAATTTCCAATTACTGGAAATAATCAAAATCTGACAAAAGTATTATTTACCTAAAAGTAATTAACCAAATTATTTCTATTGTTTGTTTTTTTGGTTATTTGTGAACTGAATAGAAATGAATGTAATGCTCTTACTTAAATATAACTGAGAGATGGCTTTATTTTAAACAAACATATGATTTAGTATTAAAATTAAATTAATTAAAATGCATTGATTGCATACCACTGCATTTTAGTTACCATTGTATTTGATGCATAGTATTATTTTTCATATTCAACAATCACATCATCCTTACAAATCCAGAGTGAGAGTGGAAGAAGATCATCATACATTCATTCTATTTTATTCACTCTATATCTCCACACACCACAACAACAACAACACAAACTCTTTCTAAAATCAGCCATACCATCCGTTTATTTCACAAGGGTGCATTCATTAAAGTGAGTGAAGAAAGAAAAGAAATGAAAAAAAAGTAAACAAAAAAAATTGCCAATAACATCAATGAACAAATGAAATGCATTGATATGAAAAGTGTAAGTTAAATGTTACTACAACTACTCCAATGAACACACTCATTTAACTAAGTAAATACGATGAGTTGTTGATATATGATTATCAAAAAAATGATCTGAACCAACCAGCAAACATGCTATTAATACTACTGTAATCATTGCAAAATGTGTGTTGTTTATTATCACTACTAATCAATTGGCATTGCTACCCAACATCATATTTAATCTACCACAACACTCAACCATTAAAAATAACAAACAAAAACAACTAAAAAAAGAGAAAAGCACTTTAGAAAAAGAAAAAAAAAACAAAACAAAAACTTAGTTAGTTTCCTTTTTATCAATCATCATCAGAACATCTGATTTTATTGAAAATGAAATTTAATATTATGATGAGTGATGAGATGTTTGTTGGTTACACAATAAATAGTGTAGTTTATTTTTAAATTAATATTGATGATAATGAAAAAAAAGTGGGAGTGTTTATATGTGTATGTGTGTGTAAGCAAATGTGTTTAATGTGTTTTTTAATGTTGATTAAAAATAAAATCATTACTATTTTGATAAAGACGTTGGTGGTCCCAAAAAATGACTATAATTACTTGCTACCAAATTTATAAAAGTAATCAGATGTTGGATTGTTGTTTCTACTCTTCCTCCATATTATAATACAAACACACTGATTTTGCATTTTATGATGAATAAATAAATAAATATGAATGATTGATTGATTAAGTGAATGTTATTTCATTTTATAGGTTGGGTTTTTTTTATGCACAGCTTTTTTTGAATTATCTCGTCACACAAAAGCCGTGCCAAATGTTTCATTTTTGGAGGGATAAAAATGAAATTACACAAACGATCAAATTTAAAATGAAAAATCATTTGTTTTTTTTTTTGCTTGATAATTATATTCTATCTGATTCTTCAAAGTTATAAACATTTATGTTATTGGAATGAATGGTATTTGTGCTAGTTTAGTTTGGTTTGGTTTGGTCTATTTTTATTAAACTAACAATCATCATATCAAACACAATTCAATGTAAAAGTACCAAATAGATTTTATTTAGTTAAAAAAAAACAAACAAAAACAAAATGCCAGTTAGTTCGTTTGTTAGTTATCACATCATTCATATTCAAGACACTCATCCCAATCCAAGCATTCACCAGCACCAGAAGAGAAGTTAAAAATCCGTCATTCGTTACAAGAATGTAAATTTAGCTCTTTCTACTACGATAAATTATAAAAGCAGCAGTTCATAGTAGTAAACAATCAATAATATCACATGAAAAGTCGAAGCATTATTGTACTGATACATCTAATCGTATGAAAATGCAGGCAGAAGTAGTGCTTAGCAACAAACCAGCGAGGAAGGGAAGTTCATTTGCACTCCATCTACATTCTCTGGCAAGTTTTCTCTAGAGATATACAATTCAAGTGATTCGCACAAGGTTGCTACATCACATATCAAGCCAAAGGATAAAGAAAAAGAAGAATTTCTCTATAATTTAAGAGAGTTTGTTCAAAACAATCAAGGAATGCTGGAATCAAGAATTAATTTTCTTATTTCCTTTCCCTTTTGTCGATCTTTCATATTTATAAATAACATACATTTGGTATTGGTTATTGTTGAAAAGCAATACATTATTAATATTAAAAGTATTGTTTTATTTATTTATGATCTTGAATAAGATGTTAATGGCAAGAAATCAGGTTCACATTTATATTTATAGCATCCGTGTGGCTTTGATGGGATACTAACTCTTCTGTAGTTCTTTGAGCATTGCGGAACGACCAAGGGGCAACCACCAGTTTTAGTGCAGCCATCAGCATCGTAACATCTGTCTGGCTGACGGGTATAGGTTACTACATAACCCTCTTGACATTTGAACAACGGTAGACTTGGACATTGGGTAGCTGGATCTTTGATGTTGACATACACAGCGGCCACAACCAATTTGCCATCGGAGATTGAACCAGAGACAATTGCTTGTTCAGATTTGATTTTGTAATCCAACCAATCTTTATCCAACAAGAAAATACTATTATAGACACTGGTATCGTAGGAGCTGATAGCGGATGAACTGTTTTCATTGACGACGAAAGCACTTTGTCCTGAGGAACGAACCTGATAGAATTTTACGTCTTTGGGTGGTGGATTATCGAGAGGTACCAATCTGTATGCCTCTTGAACACGGAAGAAACGAACCGGTCCTTGAACAGTCATAAAGAATCCCTTGACAACAACGTTGTTTCTACCACCACTGAGAACAATACTCTTATTGACTTGTGGTTCGAAATCAAAGTCACGCAACTCAATGTTGATATTGGTTTTCGAATTGACTTCATCCAAAAGGTATTTTGGACAACTTGGACTTTCATATGGACAGTAGTAAGTACTTGGTTTGAAAGTGAAATAGGATGGTAAAGATAAAACTGTACCAGCCAAACCAAAGAAAATAAATATAAATATAAATTTCTTCATTGTTTATTCTTGAACAAATAAATAAATTAAAAAGAAATTATTCAATTACTATATTTTAAATTTCCTATTTGATATTTATACTATTCTATTACAGTGTAAATATTTTTGAGAAATATCAAATTATTTTATTGGATAGAAATTATGTATTGATTTTTTTGATTTATAACCTCATGAGAGTTTAAACAGTTTATTTAACTTCTTTAATGTTTTCTGATAAATTTAGAATTTAGAATTTGTTTTTTCCACTTATTCCTTTACTCTATCTAAATGTGTATATACATATCGTATTCCTGTTTCAATTGAACTTAAAAAGTTACTTATAACACTAAACTAAAAGTGGTTATATCAAAAGTTGTTGACCAATTATATAAATATTTAAAGATTTTAACTTTTGAATTTATTTGTTTTGAAAATTAATACTTTTATTATTTTTTAATCTTTCCTTTATTATGTATGTGTGTTGACTTTTAAATAAAATTAAAAAAAAATCTGCTGATAATCAGAATTTTTTTATTATATTATAATAATAAAAAGTAAAATAAAAAAACCAAAAAAGGAATTAATTGTAATAATTGCTAGTTTTACTTTTTATTTTACACCCTGTTAACCGATAAGATTTTTACAATTTATTATCTTTTCAAAAAAACATCATCGACTAACTAAAACAAGTTTGGAAGAAATCTAAATCTTGTCTTCTTTCAGAACTGTTTAAAACTTCAATAATTATCCTGTTTGATATTTTATTGTTAACAAGAAAAACTATTAGAGCGGTGTTGTTTTTGTTAAGGGTGGAGTGAAATTGATAAATCGCTTGGAGGTATTTAAATTAAAGTGTTGTTGTTGTTGGAATTGAGCACTTTGTTGTTCAATTTCTCTTTTGAAACTTGAAATAGCAGCATCACCTTCTTCAGGTGTTAGATTTCCAATGGCATCATGTTCGAACATCTTAACGTAATCGATGACCTTGATTACGCTATTTGGTCTCTCGGTGAGTAGCTTCTTCAGTACAACATCGGGAGTACTCTCGATGCACTCCTTAATACTGGCAGTGTCTTGATCGGGTACGACAGAGCCATCGAGCTGATCTTTAATTTGGTGACGGATCGGTGTCTCCTGATCGATGGCACGCTTGGCGAGCGACTGCTTGAATACCAGCCGATTGTAGATGTTCTCCTCGAGTGAGCCAGCGATGATCAGCGTGTAGACATAGACCGGTTTGGTCTGTCCAATTCTGAAACAACGATAGACCGCTTGACGTTCGTGCACTGGATTCCAGAGGAGATCCATCAGAATCACACGGGTTCCAGCAGTGAGATTCGTACCCAGACTTCCAGCTTTGGTTGAAATGATGAACAACTTACATTGATTACCGGTATCATTGAACTTATTAATGAGATTCTGACGCTCTTGTGGCCGGACAGCGCCATCCAACCGGTAATAATCTCTTCCAGGTTTCCAACCTTTCTTTTGTAAAAAGTATTCCATTAGATTCAATGTCACCAAAGATGAGCTAAAAGCAACAGTCTAAAGAGAAAAATAAAATAGAATTAACAAATCTGATATGTTTAAGATTGGCGAGTTGTTTACTTCTAACTTACTCTTTCTTTTAATCTTTCAAATTCCTCCAACATAAAAAAGAATACCGACATCTTTGTACTGTTTTCAACTATACCTTTACGATAGTGATACTTCTCGAGTTCGAGTGGAAACATCGAGTTTTCGGCCAACACTATTCTTTCATTCATTTCAATGATTCTGTTTACCAAATCTTGTTTCTCGAGACAGTCTCGCCAAGGTAAGAAATTCTCGTCCAACAGTTTCTTCATATCGGATATCGCCATCTTGTTAACCTTTTCAACATTGATCGGTTTCTTCTCCAAAAGAGTATCGGGATGATTGCATATCAGTGTACAAATTTCCTGTTCCTCAATAATCTTCTTTTTCAATCTCCTCAATGTTTGTAAAAGATTATATTGTATCTGTGTTCCTTTAAGTGATATAATTGTTCTAAAATAAAATAAAACAAAACAAAACAATATTGTAATTAGTTTAACTTTTTCAACCAAATCAAACTATTATTTTACATACTCAACTTTGTTTGGTAAATCTTTAGCTAAAACTTCAGGTCCTAATCTTTGTACGAAATCGGATATTAAATTTTGGAGTGCGTACAATCTTCCTCTCATCAATCTAGATTATCATTATTGTTAAATATTAATATTAATATTAGGATTAGGATAAGAAACTAACTAAACAAACTTACTCAAATGCTTTTTTATCTGCATCTGCTCTATTACCATATTCGATTGGTTTGATGAAACGATCTTGGAATTCCTTGACGGTTCCAAGATGAAGTGGTCGAATGTAGTCAATCATAGTGTAGTATTCTTTAAGTGAATTCTGAAGTGGATAACCAGTCAAGATGATTCGCTTCGGTGTTTTCATCTTGCTCAGTAGTATGTTGGTTTTCGATGTGGCAGTCTTGATCTTGTGTCCCTCGTCTACGACGATGACATCGGCGTCAAACAACTTGGAGGTTGGCTTACCATCGGTGATTTGAACAAACATCTGAAAGGTGAGAGTCATTACACCACCATGTTGACACCACGCGGGAAATATTGGCAGAGGTATTGTCAAAGTAGAGATGCTTTCTAAAGCCGCTGTCTTTCGGCAGCCACTTGTGGAACTCGTTCATCCAATTGTAGAGTGTGTTTGCTGGAACAATCAAAAGATATTTGGTGTTTGGAAAGTGGGTGTGATGTGTAAAGATAAAGGAAACGGTTTGAATCGATTTGCCAAGTCCCATAGAATGTGCGAGAATACAACCTTTCTCCTTGACAACGATGTTATCCCAGAGGAATCGGACACCGTCCATTTGATAGGGTTTCAAGAATACACCGATGTCGCTGTTTATTAAGATATCGTGCTCTGGTGTAGTGCCTGGGAAGATAACAAGACTGTTACGATCGATTGACTTACCACGCTGTTCTCTGAGTGCTTGGATCTTGTTGGAAACTTCCTCCTCGCGTTGTCTGATCTTTAGAGTGGCAGAGTTTACATTGTTGATATCGGTGTTTTGCATTATTTCAATGCGTTTGGTTTGTCGTTTGGTTTGTGGACTCTTTGGTTTCGACTTGGCAGACATCTTGGCACGCAACCTTGGAGAAGATGGTCGTTTAATCTTGTTCACCTCGGAAGAATCAGACTCTTCTTCTTCATCAGAACCCGACTCACCATCTGAATCAGATTCATATTCAGTCTCAGATGACCTTGATGTATCATCGTCGTCATCGGAATCACTCGATGATCTTGAATCAGAACTGGATGCGGAAGATGATGAATCAGAGATTGCTTCAGAGTCAGACGATGAGTCTTCAGATTCAGAAGATGAAGAGCTTACCAATAGCTTATCCTCTATCTTCGGACTCACGTTGTGAATATTGGCTTGAGAAGATGCCGACTCAATATCATTTGCCTTGTGTTTCTTATTGATTTGAAATTCAACATCATCTTCATCTTCACTCGATGTCGTAGTAGTAGAAGAGGTTGTTGGAATACCAACACTCACTCTAGATGTTAATTTTGGTGATGCTGTTGTTGTGGTGGTTGTTGTTGTTGTTGTTGTTGCCGACTCCTTTCTTTTCTTTGAAGCAGATGGTTGCCATAGATTCCAAGAACTAATATCCAAGTCATCGGGTTTCAAAATTGGTGATTTTGTTATGGGTGCATTCGATTGTGATTTATCATGATCCCAATCCTCATTCTCACTTAAACTATCATCACTTTCATCGAGAAATGATGATTTCGGCGTTGATTTAGAGGTGGAGGAGGATATCGACGTTGTGGTGGTAGAGGTTGTTGGTTGCTGACTACCTAACACTGCTTCAGCATCGCTATCAACATCCATATAGTCTTCTTCCGATTGCTTTTGAATCTTTGTTTTCGATTCTCTCTTTGCTTTCTCCTCTTGTTCATCTTTATCGTCGACAATGAATTCAAAGTTGGGCGGCTCTTTCGATTTCAAGATCTCCAACAGCCATTCCTGTTTCCAACATTCCTCAAACTGGTGCTCGACCAGACGGAAATCAGACTTTTTAAAACTTCCACCCTTGAGAATGTGACTGAGTGAATTGAAACGCACGGAATTGAGCTTCTGATAGATCTGAGACTGCTGATCGAGTTGATTCCTATACTTCTCCCAAAACCATTTGGCAATCGACTTGAGATGGTTGACGTTCTTGGTTAACCATTCATTCTTTTTCTCCAATACAAACTCATCGAGAGAATCCAAATCGATTTCCAAATTCGAAAGCTTACTACCAATGGTTGAAGCAAAAGAGCCAGTTGAAATACCACCACCACTACTACCACTTCCAGTGAGAATTCCACTTCCAGCTTGGAGTTGACTTGCTATACTTGGACCACCTCTCATTCCATCAATCTTCTTGCGATACTCCTCATCCGCCATCATGTTTTCGTCGTCGTCATCGTCACTTTCTTCTAATTCATCTTCTTCAGTTTCACTTGAGTCCATTCTATCTGACTTTACTTTTCTTTTTGTCTTTTTACTTGTTGCTTTTACTCTCTCTTTCTCCTTCTCTTTCTCTTTTTCGCTTTCTGAATCAACAATATCAATACTAGTATCTTTCTTTTTCTCACTTGGCTTTTGCTGAATTATGATATCTTTATCTGCTTTCTTTTCCTTCTCTTTATCTAAATCTTTCGTCATCTCTATATCTTTGACTACTTCTACTACTATCTCTTTCTCTTTGGTTTTCTCTACATCATTTTCTTTTGCTTTTTCTGTAATCTTCTCTTTCTCCTTTGTATCTTTCTCTTTCTCATTCTCTATCTCTATCTCTTTTTCTTTCTCCTTCTCCTCTTTCGCTTTCTCGTCTTTCTCTTTTGCCAACTCTTCATCTTTTGTCATTTCTATACCTTTGACAACCTCTTCGACTTTTTCTATATCTTTGTGTATTTGTACAACTTTATCCTCTATCATATATACATTTTTCTCCTTCTCTTTCTCTTTTTGAGTCTCGGCGTCTCTCTCTTTACCAACATCCGTATCTTTAGTGATCTCCTTCTCTTTTTCAACATTAATAGCTATATCCTCAAACACATTTGGCGTGTCTACTTCCATTTCCATTATATCCGAACCAAAATCTGGTAAACTTGATCTGTCTTCAGAAACAGTGACCTGATTTTCGCTTTTCTGTTCTGTTTCAGTAACCATATTTGATGTCTCTGAAACTAAGTCTTCTGATTTTAGTGGAATTGGTATTGGTGATGGTTCTATATCGTCGTTATCACTGTCAAGATCAATAATCATTGGTTCTGACTTTGAAGGTGGCTGTTGTTGTTGTTGTTGTTTCTTATTACTATTATCAACATAATCTAAATCTAAATCTATATGTTTCTTGGGTGTATTTATATTTGTCGATGCTGTCGCTGTTGTTGTTGTTGTTGTTGTTGGATTAATTGCAATAGCAGTTGATGGTGCCATTGATGTGTTTGATGATGTCGATGATGGTGATGGTGTTGTCGCTGTTAATGTTGATGTTGGTGTTGTTATTGTTGTGAATGATTCTGATTTTACAGGAACAAAAGGTAAATGAGTTGTAGTTGGTATCGATGGAGAAGACAACAATGACGGTGACGGTGAATGAGATTTAATGGAGATTGGAGATTTCACAATAAAATCATGTATGAGTGTGTTCACCTTTTCGTGCACCATTGATTCCAACATATTGGAACCATTTGTACTATCTAAAAATTGCTCTCCTTTATCTATTATTATGAAAATAACATTATCAAACAATATGTTTTTTTTAATGAATGTCAAAGATCAGGTCATCAGTAAAAATAAACTCAATCCTTAAAGCTGTCAATTGAAAACATACATTGTTTTAAAGCATCTTTGATATCGATGATGTGACCAAGTTTGAAACCAATAAGTTTGAGTTCGGAAACATCTGCCTTCAACAATTGATCCCACCCAATAGACTCTTCCTCAAGTATCGATTCATATTGCAACAGCTTTAAACTTGCCAAAAAATTATGTAACCTTTGATCTTTAACTTCATTGCTTTGTTGTTGTTCTGTTTGTAGTTGTTTTTGCTGCTGCTGCTGCTGCTTTGGAGATAATGGTTGTTGTGGTTGTTGTTGCTGTTTTGGAGATAATGGTTGATGTGATTGTGGTTGTTCATCTTGTGAATGTTGAACTATTGAAGGTTCTTTAGGTTGCTGTTTAGGTGATGCTTGTTGTTGCTGCTGTGGTTGTGGCTGTTGTTGTGGTTGATGTTTTGGAACTAATATCTGTGATTTAAATGTAATTGGTTTAGTTTGTTTTGGTTTTTGTGATAATTTAGATTGTTGGTCTTCTTTTTCCTTCATTTGTTCGATTACTAATAAAGAAGAAGAAGAAGTAGAAGGTGCAGAAGTTGAATTTACATTTGAAAGATCAGTTGTTTTTTTGGCAATTGGAACCAATGTGGAGAATGCAGGCACTCCGGCATGCGTTTTAGAAGATGACTGTTGTTGTTGTTGTTGCTGCAGCAGTTGTTGTTGTTGCTGTTGTTGCTGTTTTTGTTGTTGTGTCAGCAGTGTATTTTGATTTGGAACCAATATACTTGATTTTATCAGTTCCTTTGAATCTGCAACTGGTATAGTTAAAACTGGTTTAATAGTTGATTGACTATGATTATTATTACTACTATTGATATTATTGTTATTGTTTATATTGCTATTATTACTATTACTTTTAGTCTTATTAAATTCATGATTTTGTAATAATGAACCAATTGTTTTCATTGGTGATATTTGTGATGATGGCGATAATGGTGATGTTGCTGTAGTAGTTGTTCCTCTATTGGTAGGTTTATCAATCTTTATGATATTATCAGTATGTATTGATCTGTTACTGTTATGACTATTGTTATGAGTGTTGTAACTCTTAGGATGAGTCAAACTACTATGAGTTTGACCAGCACCACCACTACTACTACTCTTTGCATTCCTATAATAGTTTTATCATCATTAGTAAGTTCGTTGCTCTCACAAAGAATAGAAAGATTAGAAAGAAAGGTATTGAATTTATTTATTACTTTGCAATATAACTAAATAATTGATCTTCAATTTGACTATTCAAAGAGGTTTGAGTATTATTATTGTTGTTGCTATTGTTGTTGTTGCCATTACCACTGTTTCTGAGGTGTTGTTGTTGTTGCTGAGACATGTCTTGATTGTTGCAACAATATATTTCAAACAATAACAAGAATGTTGTTAATCAACACAACAATAATCTTTTATCTATCTATCTATTTTAGTATTATATACCACTAATCTAATATATTGAAAAATGAAACAAAACAAAACAAATGTAAAAAATATGTGTTGTAAATTTTATTAGAACATCCTCAAATTAATTAAGTAAATAATAAAATAACTTTCGTTTTTTAGTAAAATGAAATGAAATAACAATCTATATTGTTAATTACATTTGTCTAGTTTTTTTTGTTTTTTTTAAATAATATTTTTTTATTTTTATTTGTTTTTTAATACACATTGGGTTTTAACTATAATAAATAAAAGATTTAAATTAATTTCTTAAGAATTCGTGTTTGTTTTGAAAAGATGATAATACTATACTTACTTTTTTTTTTTTTGAATAAATATTGGGTTTGTTTGTGTTGGTCGATTGAAAAAAAAAAAAAAATATATACAAATGGTTGTTTGGTTGTTGCTTGTTGCTTGTTGTTTGTTATTTGTTGAGATGTATATGTATATATATAATTATTAATTTATTCTTGTAATTTACCTGAACTCTTTAGTAGTTTAACTAATTTCGATACAACTTGAGATGCAGTTGGACGTTTAGATGGGTTGATATCAATACAATGGTGGAGAAGGTCGATCAGACCTGAGAGATTGGGTGAGATGTTGCTGGTGAGAGGTGGTGGTGTGCCCTTGAGAATCATCTCGACCGTCTGGAGGTGTGGGAATTGGTGGTAGGGCGGAAGCAGTGAGATGATCTCAAAGACCAGCATCGAGAACGACCAGATGTCGGCTTTCAGGGTGTAGCCATCGCCAGTTGCCTCCATGGAGACGTCCAGTACCTCCGGTGCCATGTAGCACGGTGTTCCAATGCATGTCTTCAGGGTGACACCGGATCCGAGCACCTTTGACGTGTCGAAATCGCACACCCTAATGTTGGAGACACGGTTGCGCTCGTCCAGCAGACACATGATGTTTCCGGGTTTCAGGTCACGATGGATGATGGGCGGCTTCTGGTTGTGCAAAAACTCGAGACCCTTGGCGATTTCCAGCGCCATCCAGATCACTTCGGTCGTGGGGAACGGCGCATTGCGCTTCGAGATGATGTCTTTGAGCGAGTACGGGTAGAACTCCATGAAGAGCCAGAGACGCTCGGGGTTCGTGGTGAGACGGTGTCCGAGATACTTGGCGATGTTCTGGTGATTGAGCTGCTCCATAATGTTGATCTCCGATACGAATTGGTCGATGAGGAACGATTGAGTGTTCTTGAGTTTCAGTACTTTGACGGCACAGGTGAATCCGTCGACGGTGCAACGATGCACGGTGCATCCACTGCCACCGCTACCGATCTGCTCGCACAACTGGATATCGCTGTTCTTAAAGTCGATCTCACCGCCGCGATTCTCAATGGTCGATTCCTCGGGACGACGATTCGCCTGTTTCTTTTTCTCCTGTGAGATGTAGTGCGCCAGTGCCTGCACCCATTCCTCACGGTCGCGCACACTATCCGCGCAAAATGTAAGGGTTTCGCGCGACTCGTTGTCGGCTCCGCTCGATGAGCCACCACCGCTGATCGGACCACCGTTGATGATGCCGTTCAGCACCGAGTTGGCGGTGATATTTGAACTTGGTGAGTCTGAACCAGATTGCGAGAGTTGAGAAGTGAACGATATTTGGAAGAGTGGTTTCTCGTCTTGGTCCGACACGATAGTCACCTCGGCTTCCGCCAATCTTATATCCTTCTTGAACACATAGTGAGTTTGTTGTTTCTTAACGATCGGTGAGGATACCAAGAACATATCGTTAAACAAGAAACAATGTAATTGATTACCAGAGTTTCTTGCCAATATCTCTGTTAACAAACCTTCTCTTACATATCTTCTATGTGGTTCATTAAGATTCTGTAATGAAATATATTAGATTAGTAAACTATTTACATTATATCTATCTATCTATCTATCTAGTATCATATATATATTACTTACATTGAATTTACCAATCAATAGATTTTGAATGATTCTAACTTTATTTTGGCTCTCATATTCTCTTGATTTCTCTTTAACATAATCTACAATTGATTTCATCTTTGATACAGCCTAGATTTGCGAATTGATAATGATTGATTAGTTGAAAATCAATTATAGCTATAACTATGATATTGATGATATAGTATTGACATACATTCTTAAACAAATCAAAATCTGCATGTGATTTTGGTGTACTCATATACATTTCAAAGAGCATTGGAGTGTATTGACCGATACGTGACAATGGTAAAACTAATAAACTACCTAAATCTGTAAAGTTGGTTGATTCTAACTTTTGTTCTTTTTCCTAAAGTAAAATAATATAATAACATAATGTTACATATTAGTAGACTGTTTAGTTTTATCGTTCGAACGATAAGTAAATACATACATGTATGAATGCTTGGAATTTATGACTCTCTTCTTTCAATTTGTTAAGTATCGATATCGATGAATAATAGTTCTTTACATATGGTGAATATAATTTAAAGTAATCACACTAATATTGTTAAACAAAAAAAACAACAACAGGTGTTGTTAGTTATCTATCTATCTATCTATCTATCTATTGTTGTTGTTTTGTATAAACTAAATGTTACTTATGTACTTACAATCTTTAAGAAAACTTCACCTAAACCAAGGTTGGAAGTGTTGTTTAGTACTTTCTCTAGATCCTCAATGAGTAGACCAGATGAACCAAGGATAACTTCGACGTCACCAAACAGTTGTTTGACGTGGAGTGTAGTGACGAATGGGTTCGAAGATTGGTAGCTCTCGATACGCATTGGGTTCAAAAACTCTTCGACGATCAGTTGTAGATGCGATGCGTACTCCTTCTCGGTCTTGAGTATCTGGTAGGCGATACCTCTACGTTTGTCGAGCATACGGGCGTAGTCATCCTCGGTGAAATGTGACTGTGAGGCGTCGTCACCAACAGTCGAGTTCTGATCGACCAACTCTTGAAGATAGCCAGTGCTTGTGTTGAGAAGTTGTGAATTGGGTGGTGATCCTCCAGACAAACTCATATGGCTGACACTCATCGATTTACTTCTAGTGGAGCTATTACCATTGTTAATAGCATTACCACCATTGTTACTGTTGTTGTTGTTGTTGTTGTTGTTGCCATTGTTAGTAGCATTATTAACACTACCATTACTATTGTTTAATAAGAATGAACTGTTGGAATTGACTGAACCATTCTGTAGTAGTGAGTTGGTAAAGTGTTTGTAGTCACCGCTAACAGTGTTTGATTTCGAACGTGTGTGAGGTTGGTTGAATCCACCGAGTGGTCTGGCAACTTGATAGATTCCACTGCTACTGCTGTTGTTACTGTTGTTGATGTTGTTGCTGCTGTTGTTGTTGTTGAAGCTATTGCTACCATTACTGCTATGTAGTGGTGGTGACACTGAATAGTCACTCTGTGAATCGAAATTACTGTTGTTGTTGCTGTTGCTATTGTATGTTTCGGCCATGACTTTCTGGAAGCTGTTATAGTGTTGCCAAACCTTGGAAAGTCGACTTTGGAGACGCGAGTTTTGTTCGCGTATCTGACGGTTCTCCTCTTCGAGCACACGAATGCGGTTTCGTGACTGAAGATGTGCCGATCGCTCCTGTTGGAGCTCGCGATTAAGCTTGTCGAGCATCTGCACGGCAACAGGGTCGGTTATCATGGTGCGTGCACTCATGAGGTCGTGTGTCGATGGACTGCCGCTTCCGATAGTGCTACTAGGTGGTGGTGGTGTAGGTGGTGGCGATGTCAATTCGAGATTGTTATGATGGTCAGACGATGGGTTGTTGTTGTTGTTGCTATTGGTATTGGTATGGTCGATGTTACCACTGCTACTGCTGTTAAAGTCAGAGGTTGTTGCAGAGTGGTAAAGACGTGGTGGTAGAGCGGGTGGTGTACGTTTTGCACTGTCACCACCGCCGCCGTTCAGAGATGATGAGGACGATGACGCCTCGAAAAAAGATAATAGATTTTGCAGTCTTGGATGTGGTTTTGGTTTTTTAGAGTCTACCGTATAGTATTTTGGTTCCATTGAGCGGTATTAGTAGTGGGGTGGTGGTAGTTGGTTTGGCTATTTATAATTTGTGAAAAAAAAAAACAAAGCAAACAACTACTATTTTGGTTTGTTCTTTTTTTTTTTTAGTAGAATAGTTGTCCACTCACTTTCTCAAAAACACACAATACTTAATACTTTTTTTAAAAATAATAATATTTAAACTAATAAATATATATTTTCTAAAACTAAAATTATTATAGATAAATAATATAAAGTAAAAATAAGTTAGAATTAATTAATATTGACAATATTAACTTCAAATTTGATTTTGTGGTTGATTGATTGATTGATTGACAGATCAGTCTTTTTATGCACAAAATTTAAATATCAACTTTTTTCTTTTTTAATTTTGATAATTAAAATAAAAATAAAAGTTTAATCTGCCAAAGTAGAAGAAATAATAAATATTAAAAGTGAATGTTTGTTTTAAAAACAAATAATTTTAAAATAAGGTTTGTTAATGATTGTAACAGATATAATTTGAGGGAATTTATGTATTGTGTCTCTATTCTATTATAAATAATTTTAAACTAAATGAATGAATGATGGACAGTTGCACAATTGTAAAAGTGATTACTCCCTCCTACTCCCTCACCTTAATTAATAATTATATAATATTGAAAAAATTAAATATATATTATAATTATTGTTTTATATAATTTAAAGGATAAAGATTCTTGAATGTGTGTGAATATTGTTGTTGTAGTTGTAATTGTTATTTAAGTTGTGAATTGATGTTGTTAGTTGTTTGATTTACAGTGATGTGATGTGAATCCAATCAATCAAATATTATTTCATTCATTTGTATGGTAAGTAATTACAGTGATGAGCAGTAGTAGTAGTTGGCAACCAAAAAAAAAAAAAAAAAAAATTAATATAATAAAATAACAAAACCTTTTGATGTTTTAAATTTATATTGTGTTTGTTGGAGTTGATTTTGATTTGAGTAGCTGCAGTGGTTGTGGTGGTTAACCACTATGACAGTAAGTAGTGTTTATTTACATTTCGCAATTTTTTTTTGTTTTACTCTTCTCTCTCTTTCTTTCTTTCTCTCTCTTTTTATTTTAAATCTACCATATATTATATTTTATATATTTTTATTATATATATATAGATACAAGAAAAACAACACTTTTGATTTAATCTTTTTATTTTTTTGTTTGTTAGTGTTTTTTTTTTTATTTTGTCAATGTAAATAATAAATTCTTATTGTTTAAGAACACTAACCACGAACCACGCTCAATCACAACTTTCCATCAATTCTTTGATTTTTTTTTGCTTATTTATTTTTGTTCCCCCAACAAGTTTTTTTATTATGATTTTTTTTTTTTATAAGTTCATTAAATTTTTTAGTCGGAGCTAGCAGTAAAACCCTCAAAAAAAAAAAATTAAAAAGTAAAAAAAAATTATCTCCACACACTCATCAGGTGGCTACTCAATGCTAAATCGAATAAAAATGCGTTGATTAATTTTGTGTTTGTTAAATCTTAAAATTAAATTATAAAATCAATCTTTATTAAACACTTTAAAGAAAAATAAATAAATAGATTAATATTGATATTGGATTGATGGTTAAGAGATAAAATCTTTATTTTATTAGATTAGACTTACATCTTATATGTTATATTCATTTCTCTTTTGTTGAGTTAGTTCTTATGGGTAATTTCATTATTGAGTTAACCATCTAATTAATTTCTCAGCGAATTTCTGTGCGGATTCATCGATGAATTCCGATTCGTTGAGTTTTTCAATGAATTGGAAGCGATCCAGCAGAATTCTCTTGTACTCTGGGTAGGAGCAAAAGTTGCCGAGTGAGAACAGCAGATTCTTGGTGAGTGCCGGTTTGTGTATTTGTGAGAGCATGAGGTCAACTGTGCCACTCTCTATAAAGTTCTGACAGAGATAGTCAGAGTGTCGTACCATGTTGCCGAGAGCACCTGCCACGTTCGAACGTGTCTTCTCATCTTCGTTGTCATCGCAGAGAATCTGCGCCAACACACCAACGGCTTCGCTCAGCTCTGGATACAGTAAACTCGAGTGGAATGCAGAGTTACCAATAGCGAAACAAGCAAACTTTCTAGTTATCAAATCTTTATCATCGCATCTTCTAATTAGAACTGGTATAATACCCAAACTATATAAATATAAATAGTAAAGTAATGAATAAAGTTGTTAACAATTTGAAAACTATGTAAATTATTTAATAACTTTTTAGTTATACAACTTTACTTACTCTTTAAATGATTGATAGAAATAAGAATTATATTTAAAAAGAGTACCAATTAGATTACATGCTTTCGATCTTACACTAGCATCTACATTCTCAAGCAAGGGAATTAACCAACCAAAGAAATCAATCTTTTCTAAAAGTTCATAATCACCAGCTGAATTTCTAGCTATTTGTCCAAGAATCAACAGAGTATCTGATATGATTGATGTAGATGATCTAGATTACAAGCAGTTTAAATAAGTATGATAGAGTTTAAGAAGTAAACTAGTAATTTGGTATCACTTACAATTCAGTATTTAATAGCATATTGATAAGAGAATGATCCAATCCACCCGATTGAATATATTGATTGGCAAAGTTTGAGTTTTGTAGGATGAGTGTGGACAGCAGTGCTATTGGCAAGTCGAGTGATTCGTATGGTAGTTCGAGTAGTACGAATGTGATGTTTCTGACGAGTTCGTGATCCAACATGATATGTCGGATCAGTTCAAACAGGTTGGAATCGTCAGTCTTGTAGTCTTTGGAGTCGGGCAAGTAGAGAATAAAGATGGTCTGGGTGATGAGTGAGCTGATTCCAGTGGTGCCACCAAACTGTATTTGTGGCCACTCCTTGAGGGTGTCGAGATGTGACGGTTGCATCAGCAGACACAACGAGCTGAGCAAGTTGTTCTTCACGAGAAACGAGAGATTCTCACGTGATTTTGAGATGATCTCGTAGATCACACGAAGCGTATAGATGATACCGGACGGCGACAACTCGAATTCACTCGTCGATATATTGATTTGATGACAGATCGCCTCCCAAATGCCAGACTCCAACACCGTTTCAGCGAACTGTGACTTCTTCTTGAGGAATCGCAAGAGAATACAAGCACAGCCATCGAGAAGTCCGATATTTGGTCTACCAAGACAGCCACCCTCCAACTCACGAATCGTATTGCCGTCCACTCGCTTGATGTTGAACAACTTCCTAATGGTCTTGATCGATATCAACTCTACAATCTCATTGATAGTATCACCTAGTATCTCGCTATTACCAAACGGATTGTTCTTTTCGATATTGATCACCTCTGTCAGGAATGAACCTACAAAGTACGAAGCACAGGAAGCAGTGACAATATCACTCGATGTAATATATTCCGATATTATTGTATTTAAATTATAACATAACATCCTAATTTTCGAGCAGTCAAATATTAATAAAATGATAATCTCTTGATTATCAACTTTTCAAACGTAACTTACCATTCAAATGATTCAGGTATGTTTGAAATGATAGAACCCAATATCAGCAAGAGTAGTGATATGTTGTTTGGTTTCAGTTTTATCATCTCTGGATTTTGGTTGTCACCGATACCATTCAACAGATACTCGAATAGAGAGTAGTAATAGAACTTCTTTTGTTGCTCCTCTGGTTGTTCAAGTTCCTGGTATCTCTGATTGATTATGTTACATTCTCTCAGTTGAATCTGATCCAAGAATTCTTTGGATGCTCTGCAGCAGTGTAGAAGTAGCTGCAAGAGATGTGTCATCTTTGTATCATCATTGAGATTCTCATAGATCCAATCTATTACCTCTTCTTTTGCAATTGAATCACCAATTATATTACATGACTAATAATAATAAATAATAATAGCAAATAACATTATTAATAATCACTATTGAGAATAGAATAGTAGAATGCATACATTATGATATAATAAAAGATGATTAGGATTCGAAGGTATATTTTGCTTTCTAAATGCACCATGAGGGAATTCAGCGACACTTTGTGGAGAGGTATAGATAAATGAAACCAGACATTCAATGATATCGTGTACTGGTACCTTTCTCTTTGGTTCGTCTTCGGCCAGTGTCAATATCAGTGCATGCGATAGATTCTGAAGTATCTCTGTGCTATCCAGTATCTTACAATAGATTTCACTTAGTTGTATTGGTGATTCACCGATTCTTTTAAAGTAAACAGTAAACAACTAAAGTTGATCGAATAGATAGTTAAAGTTAGTTAATATATCTATCTATCTATTCATCATCGCTATTTTATTATTACTAAATATTTAGTTAGTAATAATAATAACACACACTACTTACTCTTATAACTAGATTATTTAATTTCCTATTCTCAAAAATCAATGCATATTGTGAGAGGTAGTTGGTAATCGAGAGGAAGAGTGCTGTCGGTGAGAAGCTTGGTGAGGTTGTGGTCGATTTACGATTGGGAGAGGATATCGATATGGTAGGCAGCGATGTATAATGTAGACTGAGTAGTGTTGTCAGCGGTGGTGATTGTTCAAGTAGGATAACAATACACGAGATACATTCAATCATGAGATTCTCAACGAGTTTCGTTCGTTCACGATCGTTCTTAATATCGTTTGTTATCAACGACGACAACATATTAATGAATACATTGATAAAAGATGATTTATAAATGAATTCAATATGATTATTATTATTATTATTTCCTCCACTACCACCACCACCACTATTATTACTACTACTACTACTACTACTTGTTGAATATTGATTGATTTGTGGTGATGAACTTGATAGAGGTGGTTTGGTTTTACCTTTACCATTGATCAATAGATTCTTAAAGGTGATTATCACACTGAGCACTAACATAGAGTGAATCTCATAGTTGTTGTTGGTGGCAGCAGACTTTAGGAAATCTTTTATCATTATAATAAGATTACGATCTCTTCTCATCTTGATTGCTTCAGACTCTATTTTTGATCGTTGTTCTTGTTGATTCCAGAATTCATGAGTATCACCAATATCTATATCTCTCGACTCTATATCGATTCTCTCGAATGAATTTGAAAATGTAACATTCTTATATAAACTACCAATACTACTACTGCTACTATTACTATTACTATTACTTGTTGTTGGTCTATTATTATTATTATTATTATTATTATTATTATTATTATTATTATTATTATTATTATTATTATTATTATTATTATTATACATGTGGTTATTATAATTAATAATATTTAAATTATTATTATTAATATTGTTGTTATTGTTATTGTTATTATTGTTATTTGGGAATGAATTGATTGTTATTGGTGTTGGTGGAGGTGATCTTATGACAGCACCCAATGGCGGTAGTGTAGATTTGACTGGCGCCAACGACGACGAGTTAATCGGCACACTCGGTGTGAGAGGCCGACCAGAGAGTTTCGATGGCCTAAAGTTTGGTGTGTTCACTGGGTTCATGTGATTGCTCGTCGGTGAGAGTGGCAGAATGAATTGTGGTGTTTGCGGTCTCATCAAGGTAATCGGTGATGGTTTCTTATTTATAAAATTCGGTGCGCTTCCACTGCCGTTACTACCACCACCACCACCACCACCACCCAGCAGACTGCCAACAACAGGATTGATCTTTTTGTTATTTACATACTGTTGTTCTTGCAATTGTTGGTGTTGTTGTAGTATCTGCTGTTGGTGTTGTCTTTGTTGTTGTAGATGTTGTTCTTGCACCAATTGTTGTTGTAATTGTACTTGTAAATTCGATGTCGATTGTGAAATTGTTGGTGTTGTTGTTACAATTGATGGTATATATTGATTATTATTATTATTATTATTATTATTATTGTTATTATTTACATGATTATTATTATTATTATTGCTACTGTTGGTGTATTGTTTTAATTGTAATTGTACAATTGTTGATTCGGGTAGAGAGAAGAATTGATGATGTAGTAGTTCGTGTAGCGATAATCTTTTTTCAGGTTCTTTTTGTAGGAGTGACTGTAGGAGATCTGAGAAGTCTTCATGGTTGTTAAGCAATCCATTCGGTAGTGTCAAAGGACTGTTTATCACTTGTTGTGCCAACGAGAATGTATTGGTCGACGACCACGGAGGATAGCCAGCATACAACTCATACAATACAACGCCAAGCGACCACAAGTCAATCTTTTCACTTTGCTGTTCATCCAAATCATTATCATCATCATCATTTTCATCCATTACAAACTTTAGATCTCTCTTTATATTATTATTATTGTTATTGTTATTCCTCTTATCAATAGCAATCATTAGTTCAGGTGGTAAATACTTGTTTTTCTGATTGTTATTGTTATTGATATTATTTGAAGATGCTGAATTGTTGTTGTTGTTGCTGTTGTTATTATTGTTGTTGCTATTGATTCGATTGTTTATCGGTTTAAGTTGTAGTCGTTGTAGTGTCGATGATAGGTTGTTGTTTAGCTTGATGTTTCCGTCGATGCCAATGAAGATGTTCGACGGTGTAATGTCGGTGTGTACGATGTGATTGCTATGTAGATAGTGAATGGCGTAGAGCAGCTGTGTTGAAAGCTGCTTGACGACGGTGAGCGGTAGAACGCGGTCTTCAAGCATGATTCGCTGCAAGTCGTACTGTACGAGCTCCAACACCACGTAGATATCAGTGGGTGTCTCAAACCACTCAAAGACCGCCACGAAATGCGCGCAATGTCGCAACTTCTTCAGCCGATTCAACTCCTCGCGAATTGCAACGATCACATGATCGGTATCGGATCTCTCATACTTGTTGATACACTTCATCGCATAGATTTGCCAAGTGCATTTCTTACGACACTGCACAGTAGTATTGCAATAAGATATAATAACAACAATTTACATTTGAAAACAAGTTAATATATTTAAAATATAGAATAGAATCATCACACTCTTTTGAAAACTAACATACTCTATAAACTTTTCCATGTGTACCTTCACCAATGGTTTCCATTATATGATAGTTCTCCATTTTTCTTTGTCTTTGTCTTTTTTTTTTGATTAAGATTGAATCTATCTATCTTTTCTATCTATCTATTTTTATATAAAGATAATTATCTAGCTACTAATAATACAAAATTTAATGTTGTTTCAGTTGTTGGAATACATCAATCATTCCAACTCAATTGATCTCAAATGACTTTATAGAAATGAAAAGGAAACAAACATCAACAACAAAGATTTTTGACTTTGTTTTTTTTTTTTTTTTTTTACAAAAAAAATTTACACCTTTTATGGAGTTTTTTAAATTTTCATAGTTAATATCGGGCTTGATGGATGGTGGTAAAAACGCAAAATTCAATTTTTTTGAGATTTTTCAAAATTTTTACCCCCAACAAAAAAATTTAGTTGGTTTTTTAAAGTTTTTTTATTTGTTTTCTTTACAGAATGCACAATAAATATAGTAATAATAATCATTTTTGTTAACTTCAACAAATCTATCATATGTTATCCCATTGGCAAGATCTGGCAAAATTACTTCTAATAACCCATTTTCATCTGGAGGTTGTGCTACTTTATTGGTTTTGTGCTCTGGTACGATCGACATAAATTCGTGTAGGTTCTTTGCAGTATAATTGATTACAATAGAGTATTTATCTTCTCTTATGGATTGTACAATACACTTGTTGAGAGTTACAAGTGTATTGTAAAAAATAGTCAAAGAAGTATTGAATCAATGTTTTGAAAAAGTAGATTATCTATCATATGTAAGTAATTGGAATTTTATTTGATTTATATTTTCTGAATATTGATCAAATCTAGGTGTATTTATTGGCATTGCGATTTCTTATATTTTTTAATTTAATTAGTTGCAAACAAAAAAAAATAAAATACTAGGTGTAAGAGTAAAAACAATTTTTTGAGTACTATTTTTAATATGGACAATTTAAAGTGAAATTATTAATTAGAGAGTTAATTTAACAACAATTTGGAGATAATTCATCTGAGAATTTATCAGGTAGTTCTTTGCGTAAAAAATTTATATGAGCGCAATATTGATTTAAATGGAATATTCAAACTTAATATTAGAGTTTGGTTAAACTCCCACTTCTTACTTGGTATTTTCCAATTTTTTTAATTTATATGAGGTAATCTAAATTTACCAAAGAAAATGAAGATCTGGCTATATTATTTGTAAAATTATATAAGGGGGTAAAAAATAATTTGTAATTTTTACACAGAAAATGTGTGGTTTTTTCAACTAGCGATTTAATTTCCTATATTAAATAACTTTTTGAGCAGGTAATTTTTATTGTTAAGAGGGGGTTAATTACATTGGTAAAAACCTATATCATAATTTAAGATTTTTTTTCACTCTATTTTTACAAAGAGAAAAACCAAGATAATTAACACATCATCTCACATTATTTTTACAATTTACAAAACCATAACAAATAATTAAAATTTTAATATTTAGAAAAATGGGATCAAAAAAGTCAAAAGGTGAAGAAGAAAGATAAAAGCATTTTGGTTTCAAATATGAATTCACCTGCAGTATCCAAAAAGGTGAAATTATTTGGTGGTCTGGACCATATCCAAGAAGCCAAGCAGACATTGACATAGCTCGATACGAAGAGGGAATTCTTTCAAGTGAAATACTACAATATAAAGAAAGATTCATTGGAGATAAAGCTTATCAAGGTGAGAGAGAATCGTTCAAGGCAATGATAAAGAAACCAAGAGGCGGTACACTTACTCCTTTGGAAAAGGAATTCAATGCTTTCTTATCTTCGAAAAGAATCATCATTGAGAATGTTAACAATCGGTTTAAAGATTTTAAGTGTTTTTCTACTCCATGGAAATCAAACAAAACCTATCACCTGCAATCATTTCATTTAATATCTCTTGTTATAAATGAAGACATCAAAGTATATGGTGTTTAAATCAAATAAAATAATTTAAAAAAAAACAATTTTTTAAACACACAAGGTAAATTTTTTCACTTTTTTTCTTTTTTTCAAAAATTGTGTTTTTACCACCACCCATGATTTACAGTAACAGTTAAATTTCCAGTTTGGAAAATATCTTTTCAACTTTTTAAATTTGCAATTAAGTGAATACAAATTGAATGGAATTAAATTAATTAAATTAAATTTTTATTTTTATTTTTGTAAGCATTACAAATTTATTTTTAATTTATTATTTATTAATACTATTTTGATTTTATTAGGAGTTAATTAATGTTTAATAAGAAATAAAGTTGAAAATGTTTTTTTTGATCATTATTGTTTAATTATTAGTTTGTTTCCAAAGAATGTTTATGTTTATAATGAAGATGGAACTACATAGAATTCGGTAAATGTAAGTGGACCTGTTTTGACTGATAATGTGATATCAGATGAATTGGGTCCTATCGACGATACAAGGAATTCACCAATAAAAAGTAAACCTTTACCAGTTATTGGTGCAGGATTTTGACCAGCTCTACCGAATGTCAATGTTGCATTGGTTTCAGCATTGATATAGAATTTAAATTTGGTTTCAGTGGGACAAATAAAACCATAAGTGACAGATCCTCCAGTCTGAACGTTAATTGCATGTAATCCAACTAATTTATTGTAATCTCTGGTGAGTGTTGTTTTAACTGATGAAAAAAAAAGATAAATAAATTATTAGTTTTTAATAATGAAACATTAGAAAAATATTATTTCAGATGATTATCTTATCTACATACTTGGGAATTTATGTGGTTGGTTTGCTGTAACAATACTTGTTTGGTCAGAGGTCAGTTCAACCTTGGCTTCAGCAGAGTTGTTGGTAAAGGCAACGACAAATCCATAGAAATCATCATCTGGTGCAGAGGGACTGTCTTGGAATGTTGTTTGATTGATACCAACGATGTGTGCAATTTTACAACCTTCCATCTTGATAACTTCTCCTGTAGTGGAGAAGTAGTTGGAAGCACCATATTTTGTGGTGATTGTGGTTGGTTGAATGTATTTGACTCTATCAGTTCCTACTTCATTACGAGTATTGACTATAATACTATCTTTGAGAGGTCCTTCGAAAATAACAGAAGTTGCACCGGTTGGTTTCTGATTTCCATAGATCTTGGTGTATTCTCCTTCCTTGACAGTTAAACCATTGATGTATTGTGTTTGGAAATTGAAGATCTTCTCCGGTGAAACATTCATCAAAAATCTAAATACATCGGAGAAATAGAATTCACCGTTCTCTGCGGTGAGTTTTTCGATCAATTGGTCAGCTGGAATTCTGTAGGAAGCGGTGCAAGGATTCTTATAAATGAAACCACCTATCGCCAACTTATCGGCAAGGGCAAGGGTAGTCTTACCAATGAACTTGGAATATTTGATTATTGGATTCTGGATATTGGAACCGGCTTTAAGCAAAGCGATGTTATCTATATCGAGTTTGGCAATCACATGAACATAGGTAAAGACGTTGTCCAACATGTAGTTTCTATACTTTTGGAGTGCATTGAATCTTGCGTTGTGATCACCATTACCATTGAGAGCAAGTTCGGGGTACTTTGCTTTGATCTTTTCCAAACCTACGAGGTAATATTTATAGCACTTATCAATGTAGATACGTTGGTATTCTTTGTAAGTAATTTTCCAAAGTCTAAGGAGGGTTTCAGTTCCACCAAATGAATTGAATCTTAGAATATAATCAAACATAGAGGTGATATGGTGGAAACCAAACTGAGCATAGACTCCAAGATTGGTGACCTCTTGACCAGAGGTTAAGAACCAGGACTCTGTCTCCAAGAAGCTATTGTAAAGATTTTCAAACTTCTCTCTCATTGTTTTTGGATCGGCTTTGGCAAGACCTATACCCTCGGCATTTGCAATATCCTTTTTGAGAGCTAAGATTCCTTTGAGGAATCCTATGGAAAGGTTTCTGCTAAAATCACCAATACCCGTGTTAACCATTTCATGAATTAACTTTCTGGTTGATTCCATTGGGTCAGTGTTATCGGTTGCTATCTTAAAGACGATCAACGATACAGCAGAGAAAGCAGGTCCATACACTGGAATCGCGGCAAGTCCACCAGCAACCAAACCTGTGATAATCGATGCCCAATTCTCCTTAATTTTCTCGTTACCATTCAAAAGAGCAGCAAAAGTGACACTCTCTGAGGCAGCTCCTTTCTCAACAAAATTAGACAAACCACTATGAGAGAATGTTTTTTTACCTAAGTAATTATGACATTAATATATTGATCATATACATAGATATATTAAATAACTAACTTACCTTGTTCAGTTAAGAACTTTGCTACTTTATTAAAACCCATTTTTATTTATATAAATGTTTATATAACTTTGAAAAATAATATGATTAAGAAGTAGTTAGCTAACTCTCTATTTAAACAGTTGATAGTTTTCTAAAAAACTAAAAAAAAAAAAACAAAAAGAATAGAGAAGTAATATATCTTTGAGTGAGAATCAGAATATGAATATGTGATAGATACACAAAGAATCTCAAAGCAATCAAATTGATTGATTTCCAAGAACATATCTCTGATCAAAAGATTTAAATCACAAACCCTTTTAGAAAACTGCAACCTAGGTTTCATTCATGTTCTTACTATTTTTGTTTTAAAATACAGAATAATGATGGTTCATCTAGATTATATAGAATTTTTAATGCTAACTATAGTTTAAAAACACCCAATTTCAGAAAGTTGGTGTCTATGATCATTAGAATGATCAAGAAAATAAAAATCTCGACTAGCGAATTTTCTAATCAAGGCAGGTTTTGATAAATTTATGTTATGAAATTTTGATTTTTTTGGCTCATTTCACACATTTTTGCGAAAGCCCAAAAGCTAAAAAACGAAAACAATTAAAAGAAACCCACCATATTCAGTTTTTTTGTGTAGATGAACAGCGAAAAAAAAACAGTTTAGATTTTGTTCAAAGATAAATCTTTTCGAAATTTGCATTCAGGACAGTTTCCCAATCAAAATTAAAATCTATCTAAAAAAATTAGTTATAAAATAATAAAAAAATTTGAATTTTAAATTCATATACTTAATTATCAATTTTTAAATTATATTTATTTAAACATATATATTAATCAAATAAAAAGATGGTTTTCAATTTAACTTGTATTGCAAATTATTCAAATTTGGATGTTCAAATCATTAATGAAGAGAGTAGTAGTGATAATGTTACCATTCCAAAAGTTCCATTAACCGCTGGCTTTTTGGATTGTAATATCAAAACAAGTAAGTATAATAGGTTCAAAACAAAAATATATATTTTAAATTAATAAAATATTCATTTAATTTTTAATTGTTAGACCATGCCTTATGGGTGCCTTATAAGAGCACTGGTAAAAGAATGATTATTAGAATTACATCTGCTGACGGTAAATCTGGTGTCGATCATTTTGTTGTTGACGATAACTATAAAATAGTGTATGATGGTAAACCGATTCTTGGAGCAAATGGAGGTGAATTTTTGGTAAAAATTACTAAAGGAGACAACCCAGCTGAAATTCAATGTAGATTGTAAGTATTTTATAACTATAGATAAATAACATTTACTAAATTTAAAAATATCCTCTATTTTCAATGAATAGTGCTCTTTTTGCCAGTGGACAATATAAAAATGCTAACAAAACCAATATTGAAAATATGAGTTTGATAGATACTCAAGCTTACTTTGCTTGATAAGTAATAAAAATTGTATTAACTTTAAGTATTATTTTAGAATATCAATCATTGATTTTCTATTAAATAATTTTTTTTTTTTCCAATTATTTGATAAATGAACTTCAAAAAAAATTAAAAAAAAATTTTGAATTACTTTCTTTCAAGAGAATAAATCATTTACACCATGAGAATCTAACTATCATTGCAACATCGAAGAATAGAGCAATTATTCAACAAATTGAATAACTTATATCTTAAATTGAAGAAAAGGGAGAGAGCAATTGCAAGAAAAAAAGAGAAAGAGATAGGGAGGAAAGAGCCAGACAAAACGAAACTGAACAAATCATGAGAGATTAGCATTGTTAAAGAACAAATTCAAAATATTAGAGTTAAGAAGGAGAATAGTTAGATAGATGTTAACTATAGTTCAAACTTTCCATTAAAATACTACATTAAATAGGTAAGATATAATATTATAGTGGGTAATAGCCATTATTACAATATATTCATCTTATTTATTCATCAATTACATTTTTATTATTATAATACATATAGTGGATCTACCATCTAAAGGAACAAAAATTTAGTTGTATCATATTGGTGGTTCTGCTATTTTTTATATAAATGTACATCGATTCCTTCACATCTTCTTGATTGTCCTCTGGTTCCACAGAATTGACCATCAGAGTAGAATGGAGTATCACCGATATCTTGGAGATGTCCTTTATATCTGATTCCAAGTTTCTCAGAGAGTGGACCGTTCAGACGGATTGCGAATCCTTCAAGACGTCTACTTTGACCACGGGTGCCAATGAATCCACCTTTTTGCCAGCAGATATCACCAATTCCTTCGAGATGAGCCATATATTCAATAGTAAGCAGATTATTATTTGGAACGTTCAGTAGGTGTATGTCAAATCCTTCGAGGCGTCTACTTTGACCTCTTGTTCCAATGAAACCACCTTCACTATTACTAGAATGTATATCTCCAAAGCCTTCGAGATGAACCAATATACTCAATGAAATATGATCAATATTGAAACTGTTATTTACATTGTTTTGTTTAATTCTATCTTCTATTTGTTTTTCCTGTACATATCTTTCAAGATCTATCAATCTTCTTTCAAAATCATCTCTTTCTTTTTTCAATCTATCGATTTCTTCTTGTTGTTGATTTGATTGATAGATTTGCATGCTTTATATTATAGTTTTAATTTTATATTACAAATAAAATATTTAGTTTGACTGTAATTAACAATGTTCTAAATTTAAATAAACATTTATCAATTTTTTTTTTAACTTTTCAGAATTTCTAGAATTAGAAAATAGATTTACAAGAAATTTTCATTAATTAATAATCAGTAAATTTAATAAGGTTCTAAAGTAACTATCATGAAAGCAGTTACTGAATCGGACTTCAACTCAAATTTTTCTTTTTTTTTTTTAACATTTTTTAATTTAATTTAAGAAAATTGATTATTATAATTTTATTTTATATTTTTGCAGAGAATTCTGATGATAGAGTTGGAAAATGAAAAAAGAAGAGGAAATAATGGTTTGTTGACATTTGTGTGATAACTGGTTATTTAAATGTCAACAAACCATTGTAAGTTACTGACACTGTTATTTACAATTAATTTCATTACTGATATTTGTTGTATATATATTCATTTATTATATATTCGTTTGATAGTAGGTTGTTTTCGTAGAGGAATACCTCCAAAATAGGATTTACAATATAATTTCCAGATTTGATGAAAGACCAATGAAGTGAGAGTAGTAATGTTGTCTTTACTTCTTACTCCTGATACACCTCTTCAATTGTCCAACCGAATTTGACTGGTCAGAGTAGATTTGAAGCAAAGTTCACATTCTTTGTTTTGTTGTAAGCTCAGACAGGAATTGAACGAGAAGAACCGGAAGATGGTGTTTCGACCACCCTGGTATTTTTTAAGAGATACATAGGTTCAGATGTTTGGTAAGATGTATTGTCAAATTTTATTGGTGGAGGAGATAGTTGGAATTGACAATCAGATAGTAGTGAAACCATTTTTGATGATATTAGTAAAACTCACTTCTAACTTTATATCTTCTATGCCATCAGGGAAAGATCCACGATTTACATCCTCATTGAAAAAGTATCCAAATTCGAGTTTCTTTAGTGTCTGTGGTAGTGGATATTGTAATGTCTTACAATATTTGAACGTTGTAACACCCGAAGTAATCGGTGAATTAGTTAATTTTAAATGTGTGTTGATGGTGGTTTTTTGGTAGTCCACTTATGAAAATTCATTTACTATCAATGTATTTTCCTTTGATCGGTTGATCGTATTGAGTTGGACGATGGACACAACCGTTGCACGAGTAATCTGGGTAGATCTTACCGAATCAATTCATCTCAACACTACCCGCCTACACAATCCCCTTGGTTGCTTCACCAGGTACTCCAGCGGGATCCACCAACATTCCTCTCAACACCTATATTACCTATCCAGGTGATCTCAACAAACCATATCCACCACTCAGCGCCAACTACGCAGTTACACTCGATGGTTTCGTCTACCACGACAAGAACAACGAAGGTTTCCACCAGGGAGGATATGAATTTTTTAAGGCAATACTTAAAAAGTTATTCAAATTTTACTTTATTTCAGCTTTAAATAAAGATATATATTATAACTTATTATATACTCATTTTTAAACTTAAATGTTGTAAATTACAAAAGATATATAAATATTATAATTCATTCTTTATTCATTTTTTAACTTTAATACATTATCACAGTGAGACAATATATGACATATCCATTGAAATTAATTTTACATATTAAAACCTAATAATGTATAAGATTAATAAATCGAAAAATCTATATTTGTTTAACTTGTATGACATATAATATTTAAACTTTATCCTAATAGTAATAGAGTATTCAGCGTATAGAATAATATTAATATATTGTTTGCAACATTTCTTTCTAATCGGGAAATCAATAGGGGATTAACAAAATTAGAATTTTTTTTAAATCTTCAATTGACCACATTTGGCTTTGGATGTAATTTACTGTGTTTCTTACAAATTTTAATGATATATATTTTTTAGTAGTAGATCATTTTTAGAATCTGATATCATATTTTTTCTATTCTATTTCAGTTCTCAATTTATATATATCTGGATTAATATATATCTAGATAATGGTGTATATTTCATTGTGCCACAGCATCTATCCAAAATAGGAATAAAATTAGAAAATACTTTAATCTAATATATTCTCCAAAAAAGAAATAAAATCTGTATTTTGAATATCCATTTAAATTTTCAAATACGAATAATATTCAAATAATAAGTATAATTAAATACATTAAAAACAAAGTTAATAAATATTTTAAAGATTTAAGTTTTAACTTTATTTGATCTTTAATATATATAGATAATAACATTTATCTTTATATGATTTTAAATGTAGAATATTTGCACAATTAAGATAAAGTTAATTGAATCTTTCTGAGTATTGTTCCAAAGTTGGGTTCTTTGTAACAGGGGAGTATGTAAGAAGGTCCATCTGTGTGGAGCAGATGATAATTAGTTAACTTCCCTTTTGGCATAGCGGGAAAACCAATTGGTTATACATTTCCAGGTTTGATACGCATGCGGACAAATATTTTTAAAAGATTTTAGATGCGTTGTCCGGGAATCGAACCCGGGTCTCCTGCTTGGTAGGCAAGAATTCTGCCACTAGACCAACAACGCATTATGAATTTTTTCTTTCCCAAAACTATTTTTTGAATTTAAAAATACGCTACATTTAAAATAATTTTCAATATTTTTCATTTTGATATATTCAATTATTTTCCTTTGATAATTTAAACTTTCTTTTTCTTTGAATATATATATGTAATAGTTATTCAATGAAAATCATTAATAAAAAACGAATCATGATGATAATTTTTCTTTCTTTTTATTGATCAGCAATCATGATTAAACAAATTGCATCTTCTATCAAAAACAATCATTTATATAAACCCAGAAATACATCATTGGTTTCTGGATCAACATATCTAAGTAAATCGAATAACTTTGGTAATGATAGCATTAGATTAGTAACATCAACAAGTTTATTATCGAATATCAGAAGTTATAGTAGTACTACTACTACAGATGTCACTGCAGAGCTAATTAAAAAGGATCTTACATCGAATATCGATTATACTGCAACTATACCTCTGAATGGAAACATTCCAAATACAATCACAGAGAAACTCGGTAAGAATCTTCACTTGACAACGGATCACCCACTGAATCTGATCAAAAAGAAGATTCAACATCACTTTGCACAACAAAAAGACGGTCCAGCTTTTAAATTCTACGATGAATTCTCACCACGAGTCACCAGCAAACAAAACTTTGACGAATTGCTCTTCCCAAAGAATCATGTAGGTCGATCGGCAAACGACACCTACTATTACTCGCGAGACCAACTCCTCCGAACCCACACCAGTGCGCATCAAACTCACTTGCTACGCGACAGCCAACGCGCTTTTCTAGTAACCGGTGACGTCTACCGTCGTGACACCATCGATTCCGTTCACTATCCAATTTTCCATCAGATGGAAGGTGTCCGTACTTTCACACCAGCCGAACTCGCCAAACTTGCACCCAACTCTGCCAAACTGGAATACAACAGCGCCACCAACTACTACGAGGATGCAGAATACAAGAACAACGAAGAAGTCAAGCTCGTAGAAGCACATCTAAAGAAGTCGTTGGAGGACATGATCCGTGATGTCATCGGTCATCCCGACATGCAAATCCGTTGGATCAACGCTTACTTCCCATTCACTTCGCCATCGTGGGAGATGGAGATTCTCTTCCAGGACAAATGGCTCGAGGTTCTCGGCTGTGGAGTGGTGCATCCAAGCATCATGACAAACTGTGGACTCATCGACAGTCGTGGCTGGGCATTCGGTCTGGGTTTGGAGCGTCTGGCAATGATTCTCTTTGAGATCCCCGACATCCGTCTGTTCTGGACACAAGACAGTCGTTTCCACAACCAATTCCGTGGCGTCGACAAGAATCCAAAAGAACTCACTCACATCGATATCAAGAACGTCAAATTCCAATCGTACAGCAAATATCCCTCGTGTTTCAAGGACATGACATTCTGGTTGCCAACTGAAGGATTCCACGAGAACAGTTACTATGAATTCCTACGTAGTATTGGCGGAGATCTCATTGAAAACGTAGAGATGATCGACCAGTTTAAACACCCAAAGAATGGAAAGACCTCCCAATGCTATCGTATTCACTATCGTTCCATGGAAAGAAATTTAACCAACGAAGAAATCGATAAGATTCAAACAGAAATAAGATCTAAAATTGAGAAACATTTAAATGTTCAATTAAGATAAAATAATTATTAATTTACATATCTTTTTTTTTTCTATTTACATATATTTTTTTTGTATTATCTATCTATTTTCCTTTTTCCTTTTTTTACTATTTTATTTTTTTTATTTATTTTTTTGATCACTACTGATCTTGGATTACAAATAATATAGATAATTAAATTTATATCTAACCACATCTTGATCAAATAACTAATAGTATGATCACGTCATGATGTTCTCAAAATGTTAATATGATCAAATACGATTGAAATGATCTAGCAAAAAATAATTGGTTAAAACACAATTTGATGTCATATCTCTATTTTGAGCAAAATGGTTCAACAAAATAGGTTGTACGGTTGGTGGTTCTCTCAGCGATTGCAAACTTAACCCCTATATTGTGAGATGATGTATCCAATGATTTTATTTGATTTAGATATATATTAATGAAACAAAAAAAAAAATAACATGATTGTGATTGAGCAATACCCACTTTGTATTTTTGATTGATTTGGAAAACATAACACAATTCAGTTAAATTGGAAATGATTATAAAAGGATAAAACGTTTGTAATCCATTAAAAATATATTCAATGATTTAATTTGATTCCATTAAAGGAAATTTTCTTCTTAAAAAAGAAATTGAAAATGTTTTGAATAAAAAACTGATATTTTGATTGAAAGATAGAATAAAATAATTATTTTAATAGAAAAATAGATTTTTTTAGTAATTTTTGAATAATTATGTTTATAAAATTAATTTTATTAAATTTTTATTAAATTTTAATTGATTTACAAAATCGGATAAAATGTAGAATCAAAATTAAATATGTTAGAGATATTTGATTTCAAAAAATTAAATTGATAATTCTATTGGTTAAAGTATAGATTCATTAACAGATAGATTGGAATGAATTCAATAATTGGATGAACTGACTTTTTGGAAGAGATTAACAAATGATCAAAAATAATTTTGAAATATTGTAAAACAACAACGATAAACAATCATAAAGTAAAGATGTAACTCGACGATTGTCATAGTTTACATTTAATCTATTACTTTGTCAAGTTATATTATGTATGTGAATTGAATGTATAGAAAAAATAAGTGTGTGTGTGTGTGAATTAATAATTCAAGCAGAATATGTGGTAGATGTAAATTAGTGAGAGACAGAGATTGAAATAACAAGTTCCCAAATTGGAAATAAATAGTTTGGATTTTACAGTGAAAGTAAGAAAACAATTTTTTGATTGATTTGAGTAGTGATGATAGATGTGGATGTGGATTGATGATGTTGATGAAAGTGTTGTTAATGATGACGATTTGATAGCTGTAGTACTACCTTTTTGATAAAATTTTGTATATTAGTAATTTTATTTTTTTTTGATTTCTTTACCATCAATACTGTTACCAGATTGATCAAAATCTTCATCAACAAAAGATGGTGGTGAAAAGATATTTACAAAAAAAAACAAAAAAAATTAATATTTATAAAAAATTAAAAAATAAAATAAAAAAACAATAAAATCATTGTCAAAATTTGTGGTTAATTGTTATACATTAAAATTTAATAATCAAAGATTAACTTCTACTTACTACTACTAATCTGGTATGATAGCATGATGTCTTTCCTCCACCTTTTCACAACACTAAAACACCAACAAACTATGTGTATTTTCACACCCACATTGTGAACACTCTTGAGTCTACAAAAAATAAACAATGGAAATTGAATCGACAGTTTTTTGTTATACGATATTTATTACCCCATTGTTTTTATCTATTTAAAAAACATTTATAAATGTCTTTTATTTATATTTAAGTGCCCCCATTAAGTTAATAATATCTTAATTGAACCAATACTGATCTATTTTCCACTGTGGAAGGCACCTACTATTAATAATTTTTTGTTTTATTTCTCAAATAGTAGATGATTGGCTGGATGAGTGAATAAAGAAATGAAATGAAGGGGTTTTAACAAGTCGTACTATAACTGTCTCTTCACCAACAACATCACCAATAGCAAATATCCAAACACACATATATCTTGAGCAACAACAAATAGAATAGTAAAAATGATATTGTTGTTAGAATTTGTATAGTTCTGATTTTTATTACGGAATTTATTAATATCAAATTAAATCGACCAACTGACATACCCTCCAAATTCAAAAACAACAAGAAAAACAACAACAACAACATGTCAGTTAGAATTAATATATAATATAAATAACAACAATACGATAGATCTGTTCACAATGATGTATATTCAAGATTTCATTATCTTTTCTTGAAGTGGTAAGTATCAACTCTTAGTATATATTTTGTGGTGAATAATAATGTGGGTGTGTATTTATGCTGTGGTGTATAAAAGTGTAGTTGTGAAGAGGAAGTGAATGAAGTTTTGATGCTTATCAAATTTTGATTCGCTCTCTGATTTCCATCAACTCGTCGACAACCACACTAACAACATTCTAACAGTGTTTACTAATGAATCATGTATAACACATATAACAAATAAAACGAAACCTTTTGAATTGAAATGAAATTCAAAAGCAAAAAAGAAAGAAAACATTACCAATATTGTTATTTAAAAACAGAAGGGTAACAGCAGTTAACACCATTGAAACACATATGTTTTGTTTTGTTATTAATATCCAAACAACCACACTGTTTAATTAAGAACACATCGTGTTAGCAAATTTGTTTGTATAGGTTTTATTAGTATGATATGATTATACTTGATGTGTTTGTGGTTAGATTCTTTTACCTGACCTCACCATATTAAAAATAAATTCTATACATATAAATAATTTATAATAACCAACAACATAATAAATAAACACCACTCACACACAATCAATATTATTATTAATAAACAACACCAATTCAAGTTAGTAGTATAAATATATCTATAGGTACAAAGGGAAAGAGACAGTCCAAGTAGAAAGAAAAAACAAATCTAAGTGGTGTGTTATTGTTTGATCCTTTTTTTTTTATGTTTTTTTTTTAACCACATATATATAAATAAACACACACACACCACATTCCCTCAATTCACATGGCATTGCAAAGAGGTGAACCATTCATTCATCTCTCTCTCTAACAACACTGGTGCTGCTGTTGCAGTAGTAGTTGTTATTTTTGTTGGTATAGACATTATAATTAATTGTTTTTGTTTTTGTTGTTGTTGTTGGTAATGGAATTGGTGTTGGCTATATTGTTGGTATTGGGATTTGTGTATTTGTTTAGTGGTGCTACTGTTGCTATTGTTGATGCATAACCACAACTTTCCTAGTCAGACTGATAATGACTGATAAGATTGTACTGCATATCACACCCCCAACTATAATATTTTAAGCAATAATATTCGGCTAACATAATAATATTTACAGTAATATAACACAGCACCATCATGATAGATATAATACAAATAAAATTCCCGAGCGCTTGCTCACCTTTCAACACTATAAATATAAATATATGCATATGAATCCAAGATAGTTTGAAAACTCAAAAGGTGAAATCAAATATTTCAATATCATTAAAAGTTAATTAAAAACAATAATAATATTAATATTTATATAACTTAGAGATCATTTCTTCTCAATTAAACAAATATATAAATATATAAATTCAAATATAATTATATTACGAACTATTTCTCTTTATATTCTTATTTGTTGTTGACATTTTGTATTTTGTATAGTAATTTATCTTGTATTAAAAGACCATACCATACAAAATAGTATATTTATTATTTAAAGCTTGTTGTTATAATAATTATTAATAAATTGAAAAATAATTTCAATTTTAGTTATCGTCAAAATATAATTTACTACTATTACTATATTTGTAAAATTAAATTTATCAATATTACAACTCTCTACTATAACCAAAAAAAACAATTCCACTAAACTCACACGAACCACATCTACAAGAAATAAAATCATCCATACAGAACATTATAAATTATAAAATAATAACAACACATCAAATCAAACAAATTCAGTCATTCAATCGATCAATTAAAATTAATATATTATTTTTAGCTTTTCGTTTGTTAATAATTTAATCGTCATTCGTATATTTGCTTTTAGATAAATAATTATTTGATAGAAATTGTGAAAATCAAAATTATTCTCAAATTATATATAATAATAATATATATATTAGAATAAGATTCAAAATAATATATATCTCAAAACAATGAAATATCAAGAAAACAAAGAAACCTATCTATTGATAGCAGGTGGATGGCAAGGTGCCTGGTGTTGGAAGTATCTTTCAAAGTACCTACGTAACCAAGGACACAGTGTACATGCAATTTCACTTCCAGGTATGGCCGAGTACTTTCCAAAGTGTAATGAACAAATAGATCTCCAAACACATATAAATGCCGCAGTCGAATATATTGACAATCATAAACTTTACGATATTAATTTGGTTGGACATAGTTATGGTGGTATGGTCATCAGTGGAGTCGCTGATATCCGTGCCAACTGTGTAAAATCATTAGTATATCTCGATGCATTGGTTCCAGAGAACAACCAGAGCGAAGCCGACTTGTTTTTAGATGGTGCCTCTACCAGCCAGGGTTGGTACGAACAAGCCAAGAGCGCTGGAACCTCCTACTTGCTTCCACTCTGCTCGAGTCCACAATTCCTCGGAATGACCAACAAAAAAATGATTCGTTACCTCAAGAAAAAAGCCACTCCACATCCAATTGCAACTCTCACCTCTCCAATAAACTATGTAAACGGTGGATACAACTCTGTTTCCAAAAAGATTTACATTGAATGCACCAAATCCAGTGGTGTCAAAGAACTCATTAGATTTAACCAAGAGAGAATTAAATCATCGTCCGGATGGATCTATCAATCCATCAATTCCTCTCATCAATGTATGTTGGAAGATCCACTATTATTAGGTAAAACTCTTACCAATTTGACATGTTCAACAGCTGGTCAAAATTTAAATTAAAAAAAATAATAATATTTTTTTTCTTAATTTACAAAAAAAACAAAAAAAACCAAAAAAAATTATTATCCTTAAATTGGATAAGACACACAACTATATATAATCATATTTAATACCAATATTGTAATTTATGTAATATCTAAAAAATCGAACTTAACCAAATATTAATATTTGAAAATTACCGAATAAATTTCAAGTTTTTTTTTTTCTTTTAAAGGAAATTGAAAACTCTTTTTTTACAGATCTTTTTTAAAAAATTATATTATTTTTTTTTTTTCTGAACAAACCTGGAAAAAATAGATTGAAAACCAAATATTTGTTCCAAATTAATTAATTATCTTTTTAATAGATATTTTGGATATAAATAAAAAAAGAATGTTAGAAACTTATGTATTTGTTCATGGAGCATTCCAAGGTGCTTGGATTTGGGATATGGTTTCCAATTTAATCAAGGTAAAAGGACATCATTGTTATTGTCTTACGCTACCTGGAATGGCAGAGAAACACTCTGAGGTGAACAATGCCATTCGTTTGGAGACTCATATCGAATTTGTTTGTGATTTTATCGAGAAGAATGATTTACGTTATATTACATTGGTTGGACATGGTTACGGTGGAATGGTAATCAGTGGTGTAGCAGATCGCGAACACGAAAATATCAAATCGCTGTTGTACTTGGATGCCTTCTTGCCAGAGAACAACGAATCGATGGCCGATCTGCTCTACGAGGATATTCGCGACCAGTGGTACGAGAGTGCCGAGAAGAATGGAAAAGGTTTCTTGATACATCCACCACCACCATCGTACTTTGGCTTACAGAACGATCCGATGCAAGCAACCTGCTGTGAAACACTCATGACCTCACAGCCACTCTACACTCTCACCACGCCGGTACACTACAAGAACGGTGGTCCTTTTGCTGTTCATCGCAGATATTATGTCATCTGTAAAGATATCAATTGCGAAGCAAGTCGCTTGGTTAGCAAGTCTACAGATAGAGTGAAGAACTATGCTGGATGGACAATTAGCACATTAGATACTTCACATGAATGTATGCTCCTTCAGCCTATGTTAGTTAGCAATAAAATCCTCCAACTTACTTGTGATACAATTCCATATGGTGGAATAGCTACAGAATAAAATAATCATAATTAATAAAATTTTACAAATCACCAGATCAAAAAATCACCAACCAAATTTTATTTTAATTCTATTTTAAGAATTTTTTTTTTTTTTTTTTTTGTCAAAATATTTCTATTTTTTTTGGAAAGTTACAAACGTGGAAAGAATATCATGTGATTCATATGAATATGTAAACAACTCTTTGTTTAGAAACTGTTGCAAATATTATAAATTAAAGAGATAGAGTTGTAATGACAAGAAGAATAGGGGGAATTTCACCTTTTACCATTAGAGTACTATGGTGTTTGATTGTTCTAACTTTGATATCATCTATCTCCACCTTTTACTTTATTGGAAGAGCTCAAGATCAGCTTGTTACCAAAGATTCATTAACTATAGATTCATATGAAACCAACATTGATTTAGAACAACATAAAGAAACATCAGTTATTGACAATAATAATAATAATAATAATAATAATAATAAAGATGAAAAAGTACAAAATGAATCACCTTCATCTTCATCATATTTAGATATCATAGAAAGTAGAATACCTCCACTTGAAAAGGATGATGTTAGATTCGAAGATACTATCGATGTATACAGCAAAATAGAACCTATGGAGAAACATACACTTCAATGTAAATATATAGATATAGTTTATACATGGGTGAATGGATCTGATCCTGCTCATTTCGCCAAGCGAAAGAAAAGAGAAGAACAGTATGTTGAATAGAAGTACTTTAGCAATTTTAAACCCTATAAAATAACTAACATTAAACATTATTATTATTTAGATATGGTGTTAGAAAATCATCAGAAGCTAGAGTTAGAGATTTGATGGGATTGAAATATTCATTGAGAAGCATCAAGAAACATGTTCCATGGGTCAGAAAAGTATTTGTGATTGCAGATGATCAATACCCATATTGGTTCAATCAATCAAACACCGATATTCAATTTATATTTCATCAACACTATTATAAGAATATGTATGTAAAATCAATATAACAACACTTTTATACAGGAAAAACATCTAACAATGATTTAAATGATACTTTCAGATCACATTTACCAACTTATAACTCGAACAGTCTTGAAATTAACTTTTACAATCTTCCAGATTATGTTTCTGATTGCTTTCTTTATTTTAATGATGATACTTTTGTTGCAAATGATTGTAAGTTTATAACTATCAAGTTGAACATTTAAATATTCTCAAATCTAATTCTTTTATTTTGTTTTATTTAGTACCAATGGATTATATTTGGGATAAAGAAAAAGGACAAGCATTATATTTCTCAAATTGGAAAGCACCACAAGAAGATCCAAACAAAATTAAAAAGAATTCATGGCATTTGCTAAGGTTTATTGTAAATGATAGTTTAAATAATTAATATTAACTTGTATTTATTATGTTAGGGCAATTCACAACACCAATTTACTTTTAGATGAATTATGGGGAAATGCAACAAGAAACTATCATAGCCATACTATTGTTTTCTACAATAAACAACTACTAAAGAGAATCGAAAAAGTGTTCCCCAAACAATTTGAAACAACATCAAGCCAACCATTTAGAAAAGGAACCGATCTAAACAATCCTTTTATGTATCATCAGTTTGCAAAGAGATATTATAATCATTTCAGACCGGATCGAAAAGATTACTACTCGGTACTAACCGACGACATTGAAAAAACACAGAAAACAATGCACAAAATACTTTCACAGAGACCTCACACCGTCTGTCTCAACGATGGAATGGGTACACCTCCCAATCCAGATTCACTCGCACTACTCCAACAAACTTTTGAAACACTATTTCCCGATAAACCTGCATGGGAATTAGATGGTATAGAGTAATATTACAATAAAAAAAACAATCGTAAACTTTATTTGATTAGTTATTTTTGTGGAGGTTTGACCCGCGTTGGTTTTTCCGATATCAAATTCGAAAGAAATTCTAAACCTTCGTCTACACCGAATCTTGTTGTCGCTATGATTTGTTGTACTTTCCAAATGTGATTGGTTATCATTGGCAACTCGAGCAGTTCCTCTATCTCTTTCACCGACATTGTGTTGGGTCGATCCTGTTTGTTTGCTAAAATCAATATAGGAACATCTCCAAGAATCTTTTCGTGAGCGTCACTCTGTAGCATCATCCAGAGATAATCGTGACTCTCTGCTATTCTCTCACGATCCGAAGAATCGACTACGAAAATCAATGCATCCGCCTCATCATAGTGCCGCCAAAGCGGTTTCACCCGATCCTGCAAACTGATATCTAAAAAGAGAAACTCAATATTGTTGTATATAACCGACTCTATATTGAAACCTATCGTTGGTATTGTTTGTACGACTTCACCTAATTTCATTTTATATAAAAGTGTTGTTTTACCTAAAAGTTTTTAAATTCATTAATAGAAGAAAAAGATATCGATTAATATAATTATCGAAAGCGATAGTCATATCATAATAATATATACCTGCATTATCATTACCCATAATAAATATTCTATATATACTTCTTTGACCAAAAAGAGAATATAATTTACTTGTAAAAGATCCCATTTATAATAATTATATTTATTTATATTGACTGTGTACTGATTTAATCTACATATTTAAGAAATGCAATCATATGATTTCTACAATCATTGATTTCTAAAAGTTAAAGAAATTATTTAATTAACAAACAACGTCAGTTTTTTTGACAAACAAAGCAAAAAAAGGTAAGACCTTTTTTTCTCACATATTAAATTCAAATAAAAATAAAAAGAAATAAATGATAAATATTACTAGTATTGTAATCTTATAATATTTAAAAGATAATGATCTCTTTGTTTATTGTGCGTTAGTTTTGATATCTTTAAAATCTAATTAAGAATGGAGTAACACATTAACTCGTTGTAGTAAGTTGATTGGCTAAAAACTACTCTCCCAATAAAGGTTTCTTCTGCACACAAGGTAAATTTGATTTAATAAACCATATGTGCGTTGCCAGAGAAACCAATTCAAATGAACACTAAATCCTCATTAAATTGTATTGATAGTTTGTTATTTCGGAAATTTTTAAGATAATAATAAAATTAAATCTATAGATTAAAAATCGTGATAAAATTTGTTGCTTATTAAAGAAATCTTTGTATTTTCTTATCAAAGATGGTTAATGTTGATAATAGTTCAAATTTATTTGTACAGTTACCCCACACAATTTTAATATTGATCACCAACAAACTAAAAGAGAACATCGACAAAATTTGCTTTAGTTTAGTTTGTAAAAGATGGTTTTATGAAAGAGATAAATATCTATCGTTCAACATTGACAATCATATCAAACAACGTTATCTAAATGATTGTCAATTCTTTACACAATCATATAAATCAATCTTTACCAAAGCACTAGAGACTTCAAAGAAACAACAGTATATACTTTACGTTGGGTATCTCGAAGAAGAACCATTTCGTGATCACTTTGCTAAAATAAAAGATCCTCTGGTAGAATATGATTATTTTATAGATTACCGTAAGTACAGTAAACATACCTATCTTAAATATGTTTAATTAAAAGTTATTCATTTATTTAAAACAAAAAAAAAAAAAAGGTTACTATAAAGAATATAGAAAGTATTCCAAGTAATGTTACCAATGTAGTATTGAATGTTTTTAATAAATTGTATGACGATGATTCAAAACATCTATTTAGAATGTTGGCGCAGTCGAATGTGACTCAGTTGGATGGATGCTATACGGTTGCATACCAACTACCAAAAACTCTTAAGAGATTGACATTCGATAGATACTTTAGTAGACCATTGCCTGCTGGATGTTTTCCTCCCGGCATAAAAGAGATAGAGCTTCCATTCTTTAATAAACCGATACAATCCGGTGTCTTTCTCGATGGTCTAGAGAAGCTTGATCTAGGAGATAAATTCGATAGTCCAATCGAAGACAACGTCGATGTCTTCCCATCGTCTCTAAGGTATCTGAGTGTTGGTAACTACCGGCTGAATCTACACCTCAATATGTTCCCTCCAAATCTTGAATACCTCAAGTACACTGGATATCGTAGACCGTTCATTGAGGGAATGTTGCCAGATTCCTTGCATACTCTGATCAATGCACCGGATACATGGTTGGAACACATCGGTAAATTACCGAATCTCACCAATCTGTCGATTCTCGTAAACTCTGCAGATGTCATATACGATGCAGATACCATAGGTACAATCGAATTGGATCTCAATGAGATTCCGCGTGGTCTAAAAACACTGATTCTCGGTAGTCCAGATATTGACTCACGACAAAATACCTATCCAAGATTCAGACTGCACGGTGCTCTCCCAAACTCAGTCGAATCATTCAATACGGGAACATGTATTTTTCAGTCTGACATCTTATTTCCCAGTGGTACACAATATGACTTCAAAGAGCTGTCGATTGGGTGCCATGGACAATCACAACCGATTCCCGCTAACGTTAGAGCCAAGAAACTGAGTTTCTCCAACCACTCTGAAAAAACTATCCACCAAGGTGATCTCCCAGTTGGTGTGGAATACATTGCCTTTAAATATTGCAGCTCCATTGAATTCAAATCGAATTCCGCACTGCCAGAATCAGTAAAAGAGATTGTTGTTTACAATCAGAATGAGGAGGATCTAAAGTTTCCAAAGTCATTCACATCAAGCGCGCTACAGACTATCAGGTTTATCAATGACTACCATCACGCAGTGAAAAAAGGTGTAAAGATACCGTCTTCAACAAGAACATTATATACGGTGTTCGATCGAAATAACTTCCCTTATATTCCAACAACTCTCACCAATATCAATTTCACCAACAGTATAGAATCAGATTCAGACATTGACTGTCAGATCAGAAAATTAGATAGCAAATACTATTTAATATTTGGAACTACCAATCGAATCAATTTCATTTCGACAATTTTCAACAAGTCAATGTTTCTCGACTCACTTGCCAAGAAAATAGAAAAACCGGAATCAAAAGAATCATTTACAAGCTGTCAAATTCAATGATTATAAAAAATAAACTTATATTGTATTTTAAATATTTATCATACTTTGAATTCATTTAATAATAAATATTAATTCATCTTTTCAGCTCACATATCAAAAAATTATATTTAAATTTAGAAAAAATACATTTTATTTTAGTTTGATAGTACAAATAAATATTTTAAATAGTATCAGAAGATACTAATGTGAAATTATTATATAACATTATATTTTCAAAGAAGGATTACCAGACACTCCAGAATGGTTTTGAAAATGAAGCTGCTGCAGCTGAAACTTGATTTAAACTTTGATTTGAATTATTATTTATACTTTTAGATATATTTTGTTGATTTGATTGTTTTTCAAAAGAAAAATTGATTAACTTTAAATTGTCTATAAATTAAAAAAAGAATTAAAAATTTATTTTAATATTTTATTTATTAATTTTTTTAAAACTTACTGATTAACATTTTTAATTTAAGTAAAATATATTTTTATTAATAAATTTCTATTGGATTTGTTTTAGTTGTAAATGAAATTATATAATGTTTTTAAAATGATTGATTTGATTGGTTTTTAAACTCAATTGGAAAAAGAGAACATTTCCATTCCCAATTGACATTCCCACAATGATTGATGATGTGATATTTTAATTCATATTATTAATACTACTACAAGATATTTTTTACATTAATGTTATGAATATTAGATCGTGTAAAAACGATTCATATGATTTTTAGATTTGAAAGATCAATTATGTCATGACATCATTCAATTTCAAGAATAAGTGTAGAATCAATTTACATTGTTTATTTCAGTTTAACTTAATTTTATTTTATTAAATGCGTTGATCGATCAAAAATTATAATATTTGATCGAAAACACAAACACAAACACAAACACAAATTCATTTAATTAATATTTTATTAAAATTAATTATTATTTAATCATTTAATTTCCAATGTATTTAAAAAATTATGTTTCTAGTTTTTTTAAACTCATATTATTATAACATTTTTAAATTGTTTAAATAACAAAAGAAACAAACTAAGACAAAATTGTTCAGTTTGTGTTATATAATAAATGAAAAAAAATAAAAAATAAAAAAAAAATTACATAAAGTGTGATCGAACACAAAAATTAAGTTGTACAAATATTAATCGATTGGGTTTGGTGTATAATACTTTCTACCTAATATAATAGTTATGATGTGGTTGTGTTTACTGATGCTGATTGGAATTGAATACACACTCAACACACTCATTCATTATGAATTCATAATATTAATGTAGAATTAAATAATTCCTTATCAATTTGATAAGCTTGTTAAAATCAATAGATCTACTAACTATTTTCAAGAAAGTAAATCATTAACCAAACAAATAACAAATAACAAATAACAAATACATATGAAGTGTATAAAATAATATATGTTTCATTTAAACTTGTTATTTATTTGTATGTATATCTATTTGTATTTGTATTTATTATTATATATTATTATTACTTGTTTTAAATAACAATTTATTATATTTATATATTTATTCTTATATATTTATATCTCTATCTATCTTATCTATCTATTTATAGATTGTTGTACATTTTAAAATAAAAGTAAATTAAAAGAATGAGGAGATTAGTAGGTGGTTCACCTTTTACAATGAGAATATTATGGTGTATTTTAGTATTATCAGTAGCATCTGTAGTTTGTATATATCTATTTATTTCGACGACAAACGATAGTCAGGAAAAAGAGAAATCTCTATTCGTACACAATCATAATGATCATCTCAATGGTCTACCTCAAAAATTTATTAAAAACAATCATCTACCAAATATAGTTGTCGATCCAACACCATCAGCATCATCTAAACCAAATAGTAAAAATTTGAACTTTCCAAAGATTATAATTGATACGGGTGGTCCAACAAATGAGATTATTCTAACAACTCCTACAAACACCAAACATCATGATAAAGATCAACAAAACAATGATACTCATCCAACAACTAAAGTAAAAAAAGAATCAATCAATACACTTTCACAACATTCTACAAATAAAAATTTAACTTCAAAGACTGTAGAATCAAATATTTCATCTTCTAGATCGAATAATCATAATCAAACTCAACTACCACCACCACCAACAACTAAAAAACCAGAAATTCCGACCATTATATTTGCACCTGGACAAAGATATGAAGATACTATCGATGTATTCAATCAAACAGAACCTTCTCTTAAATATACATTACAATGTGAATATATAGATATAGTTTATACATGGGTGAATGGTACCGATCCAAATAATATCCTAGGAAGAACAAAGAGAGAAGAACAGTATGTATAAATAGAAAAAGAATATTTCATCATCATCATCATCATCATATTTTTATTATTATTAGTTAGCTTGTAATTATTAACTTGTAAATTTAAAAGGAAAAAGATTAAACCTTTAGCAATGAATAGAGTTAGAGATCTGATGGGATTGAAATACTCATTGAGAAGTATCAAGAAACATGTTCCATGGGTTAGAAAAGTATTTGTAGTCACTGATAGTCAGTATCCCTATTGGTTCAACACGTCAAACAAAGAGATAGAGTTTATTTTCCACAAGGATTTCTTTAAGAATACATCACACATTCCTACTTTCAACTCGAATGGTATAGAGTGGAATTTCCACAATCTACCAAACTCTGTTTCCGATTGTTTTCTATATTTCAATGACGATACATTTGTAGGAAATAATTGTAAGTATAATTTGTTATACTATATACTATATATATGTTAACTTCTTTCATTATTAAAATTTAGTACCAATTGAAACTATTTGGAATAAAGATAAAGGACAAGCATTATATTTCACATCTTGGAAAGCACCACAAGAAGATACTAGTATGATAAAAACTAGTTCATGGCATTTGTAAGTTTATGTAAACAAGTAAATATGTATGAGCGCTAATAAGATTGATTTAAAATATATAGGTCAATTCACAACACAAATTTACTATTAAATAGTATTTGGGGAAATGCAACACGTCCCTATCATAGTCATACCATTATGTTTTACAATAAACAGCTGTTAAAGCTAATAGAGCGAACATTCCCAAAGCAAATAGAAGCAACATCAAACGAACCATTTAGAACGGGTGACAATGTTAATATGGGCTTTATTTATTCACAATTCGCTCAACGATACTATAATACCGTACAACCAAAGAGATACGACTATTACTATGCACTGGTTGACGATGCAGACAAAGTTAGAAAAGCAATGGAGAGAATTCTAAAGGATAGACCAAACACTGTTTGTCTCAACGATGAATTCGGAGCAATACCCAACCCCGCTGCACTATCAATATTAAAACAGACCTATGAAGCTTTATTACCTGAGAAACCATCTTGGGAATTGGATATAGAATAGAGAGTTAATAAAAAATCATTAATGCGCAGCCCGCCAAAATTTAAATTTTTGAATTGTTTTTGTTTTTTTTTTTTTTAATTAATAAAGATATATCGATTTTATTACTTTTTTTTACTATATTTTTAGTACACATTTAGATTATAATCATGAGTGATAGTGAAGAGGAATTAGGTTATATTAAAAAATCAAATAGAGGCAATATCAATAGTAATGATAATGACGAAAGTTTAGATTTTGAACTTGGTAGCGCTGCAACTAGAGATGACGATGACGATGATGTTAGCATAAAGAGAATTAGAAAGAGAAAGATCATTCAAGATGTTAATAGTAGTATAGATAAAAGTAAAGATATTGAAGATGATCCTTTTTACACTCCAACAAAGAGCAGCAATAAAATATTAGATGAAAGTGATGATGAACAACTTAATGAAAAGAAAATAATAGATTCAAGTAGTAGTGATGATGAAGAAGAACAAGAAGTAGATAAAGAAGAGAATAAAATAATAGATTCAAGTAGTAGTGATGAAGAAGAGGAAGAAGAAGAAGAAAAACAAAATAAAATTGTTAAAAATAATAATAATGATAATTCTGCAAATAGAAGAAATATCGACAATAGCGAATCAGATCAAATTAAGAAAAAAAGAAAATTAAATAATAATAATAAAATAAAAGAAAGTAATAATGTAAATGAAAATGAAGATAATAATGATAGTGTTGGAGGAGATGGTGAAATACATAGTGAAGCAGAGGAAGAAGGTGTAAAGATAAAGAGAAAGCCAAAGTCAAAAGTTGTAAATTTAAAGACATCAAAGAGAAGACAAAAGACATTCACAGAGAATGATCTACGTTATGACTACGGTCTAGACAAACTCTACAAGCAATGGAAATCCGCAAATCTAAACTCAAACAAACCTGTAAAAGTAATTATTATTATTATTAATAAGAATAACAAATAATAATAATAATAATATTCAATCTAATATATATATATTGTTAACAATTAAATTATAGGAAAATTTAAAGAAACTATTAGATGTGTTTGATCGTTGGGCAAAGGATTTATCACCGGGACTTTCTCTGGTGGATGCCATCTACACCGCTGAGAAATATGGTAAACTGTCCACTACAAACAGCATCATTGCATCGATAGAGAATGGTATTTGGCATCCATTGAAGCAAGAAGCAGATGCCAAGAATGATATTCAACTGCAACGCATTGTTGATGATGGTAAATATATTAATATGAGCTTGCTTATCTGTTGCAACAGCTCCAATAACAAACTTGTAAACTCACTAACTAACTAACTAACTAATGTTTATTTAAAAATTATCAATAGAAACAACAAAAGATGATGACAACAACAATAACAATAATGATAAATTTAAATCAAATGTAAATAAGGTAAGTGTTTTTAACAAGTATTCGTTTAACTATATAATTATTACTCCTCTTTTTCATTTGTACATTTGTTACTACTACTGCTATTATCAAAAAGTTTGTTACTACAATTACTTTACAGTCATCGTCGTCCCCGACGATGTCGGATATTTTACTTTATTTTTATAGATACACTTATAATATAGTTGTTGTTATTATTTTATTATTGAATATAATAATGGTAAACATTGGTGGATTATCAATGTTGGGTAGATTCTGAGTGCAATTCTTATAGGTTTATTGTCACCTCGTTCCACTACCCTAAAATAAAATGATAGTTTGACAAGCTTGAATAGTCAGGTCTGGTGTACGATATGATATCTTGTATTTGTTCAAAAGAAGAACAACTATAGGATATTATATCTCTACAACCAGATAGGCTTGATAGTTTTCACTATCTCAGCTTCTTTTGACCTGTTTTATAAAGTCACATAAATTCAGGACAGATACAGCTGGAACAATTCAATATAATTCAATAACATACAACATATATTTAGTAATAAAACAAAAAGTAAAAAGTAAAAGAGTAATTGTAATAGTTATATCATAGTGCTTGTTGTTAACATAAACAAATAGAAATTATGAATTGATTTTATCAATAATAAACTAACTAACTTACAAAACAAAAATTATTCATCATTCTTACTTTTATTTAGATTCCAAATATTAATAACAATAACAATAACAATAATAATATTGTTAGTAGTATTCCACAACTTGCAAAAAAGATCGTTACTCCATTACCCTTACCCAAAGCACCCCTTAAACTACTACCATTATTTCGACCACCAACCCAAAACTTATCAAAATAGATTGCACTACCCTATCAATTTTAAAAGTTTGTTATTCTTGTTGTTTAAAAATTAAATAAATTATTGCAATAATTTATTGAAATATTATTAGATTTCTCTTGGATTAATTGTAAACAACTCATTATTAACATTTTAAATGATCTATATAATTCTAAATTTACAAGTATTGATTGATTCTTTAAAAGGTAAATTTAAATGTATTAGTTTTTTTTTTTTTAAAGTTTTTGACATTCTTAAAATTATTTTATGTTGATTAATTAGTTTATTGATTTGATTTCAAATTAAGAATTCTCATCTTATAATGATTCATTTATTTGATGGCAGATATTCAGAAATTGAATGAAATCCATCTTTTAATATGATGTTGGACATCTATCTATTAGTTAAATTATTTGAAATCATTTGATTTTAAAAAAAAACAACAATTTGGTTTGATTTAAAGAAAATAATAACTATAAAATATCTTTTAAAATCAGGTGTATCTATCTATTCATTAGTAAACAGAAATTAACGAACTAACCTAATAAAAAGAAAGAAATGAAAACAAACACTATTATTGATTGAATGAATTCAATTCATTTTCATTCTCATAATAATAAAACCAAATTTAATTTGATTGTACTACCTACTCTATTAGATTCTCAAAGAATTAGTAGATACAGAATGACTATATAATCAAATGTAACTATTCTAGATTTAAAAGATATAACTTTAAGAGATAGTGCAACCCTAGATAGGTGTTAAATTTAGAGTACACAGCATGACAGTACTGTTGCTGATGTTTGTTTATTCTTTACTCTTCTACTACTAATGGAAAGTTTGAAAAAAGAACAACTTCAACCACAAGTATACCCACACAACAATTACCTAGAACAAAACAAATAACTAAATCAAAATCAAAGATATCCACTTACAGATGAAGTTAGTTTCTACCAAACTCAACAGCCCATTGTAATGAACTAAAAATAATATTTTTAAAATAATCAATTGTTTTATTTTCAAATCTCATATACGGTTTACACTAAACACATAACCACATCAAACTCACACACAGTCAATCAACTATTACTGTAATACAAAATAGGTATTAAAATCATTATGTTTTCACCCAAATCAATTGATTATATTGTCAATATTTACAGATTAAACAGCTCATCTCTACAATCTAATGGTCAGTGTTTGTGGTGTCTGCTCATAGACTATGGTTTGGGGTGGTGTGGTGATCACAAAAAAAGATAAACAAACTAAATGATTCGACGTAATGTTTTTTTTTTTATATCTATTTCATCATTCATTAATAATTGGTTTATTTTAATTTTTTATATCTCACCATGTGATTTGGTGATCAAAATTTATTTTTTCTCCAACCAAACACACACACCACAAAGTAACTACAATATATTACTAAAGTTGTCCATAACAGTATCATCAGATTGCTTTGATCGACATCAACTATCATGATTCGTTAGGCATTAGTTAGAGAAAACTTGGCAAACAGAAGACAGTAGAGATTATAAGAGCGTTCAGTAGCATCTCACCCCAATCACCATCAAAGAATCATCAAAAGTCTATAACGTGTTTGTTATCGTTTTTTCTATTTCTTGTTGATTTAATAATATTTGTTTTATTATTAATTGATTGTTGTTTTATTTTTGTTTTTGGTAATAACTAAACATCATCACCACTAGCGATAGCCTGTAAAAAGAAGTAAAAAAAATCAAAATTAATATTGCCAATACCACTTTGTTAACAATCCCCAATAATTAAACCATACAACAAAAAATAAATTGTATTTTATTTCCAGATTTGCATTTCTACTTTATTTTCTTCTATTGGAAATATCATATTTATAGTAGTGGTAGAAGTCACATTTAAATAAATTGAAGCCAAAAAGTATGAGCATAGGGTAATACAAGGCAATCAGAAAGCAACACATCAAAAAATCATAAACCAAATCAAATCAAAGCATAGCAAAACCAAAAATTACCAAATTTGTGATTTAAAAAGTGCTGCTATATGTAGGTAAGATTTATGTGGCTACTCTTAAATGATTTAAACCTGTTGAGTTATCCATCCTGTAGAGGACAACAATAGTGTCAAGACAGACTTTATTTTTACCCCTTAACCCTATAACTAAGAATTATACTTCTTTCACTATCCAACAGAAAGTAAATTTGAAAAATACAATTTCTTTTTATTTTACTTTTTGTTCTCTCTCTTTTGTATGTATTTAAATAGAATCAAATTTTAAATGTTGTTGAAACCAAAGCACAAACAACTATAAATTTGTTTCAAGAGTATTGGAAATCTGTTAACACTGCTATAAGGGTTATTCATATTGTTTTGTATATTTATTTATTGTGTTTAAAATATTCTATTTTCTGTATATACTTTTTATTGGTGCTTGAAGATTAGTGTTATAATATTACATTTGATGTCTCTTGGACAATCCACCACTCTCACCCAATAGATTTTACATTGCTGTATAAAATAATTATTTTATTTAAATTATTAAATTTTAAGAACAAAAATTGGAATAAAGGGGAGCAACTAGAATATTCAATATCACAACTTTCATAAACCAAAGAAATTATAACAACATAAATTGTCATACCTGGGCAATGAATTTTATTATTTATGGTAGGTGTTTGTGGAATTTAATTTGTGTGTCATCCTCACCAAAAGTATTTTGTCCAACAATATACAAATATCTAATCTATAAATATCCATTCTTTTAATTTTTAGATTCATTACCCATTTCAGTGCCAGATATATAATATTTATTTAACATTACATAGTGTAACCAAGAGATCCGTTACCCCCGCCTACTTCACAATCTATCTAGGAATATTATTTATTTAGAATCTACATATACCTGGAATCTAGTGGTAACAAAATATAGAATCAACCAATCTTCTCCCCAATCACAAGTATATTGCCACCAATAGTTTAACTTTCAACCATTTAATTTTTAAAATTCTCTCATTGTTAAAATTCTTCTCATTGTTGTCTTTAAATATCAGTTTTGTCACAAGCAAAAATAATTAGTTACTACTTTCAATAATTCAATACAAATAACTAAACCTTATTATTTTATAACTCCAATCTTTTTCATCATCATTCATTTACAAGAAACAAAAACAACAACATCAATTGTAACCTAATTAGTTTGCAGACATTTTAAAATTTTATTGTTTTTTTCTTTTTTCCAACTTTCCCTCCTACCAACACCTGTTGTATTTCTGAATTCAAACAAACATTGTAAAATGTTGTCCTTAAACGAAATCAAATTTCCTTCTCATTGGAATCTAGTTCCCAATGAACCTTCGTATGTCGACTATGTTTACAGAGAGGGCTTAGATCTTGGTGTCTGGAGGCCTGACAATCAGAGAGACAGAATGGCACACAACAATGTAGTGTCACTTACTAGATTTTTTTGGCCAAACGTAGACTTTGAACGCTTGGTAATGGGTGGTGAACTCATGCTTTGGTTCTTTACTTTTGACGATGGTCTAGATGCCGGTATATATGATGATCAAAAGAGTGTTGATCTAGTACGTAGAATGGAAATCGTTTTCATGGATGGTATTTTGCCTGAAAATCCCACAGGACCAGAGAAAGTTGCTTTTCGACTACGGAGCAGATGCTTAGAAATGTGTGGTAAGCGTCGAGATACTTTTAATAGATTTATAAGTAGTTGTGTTCAATGGGTTGATTCAATTATCCCATTTAATAAAGTCAAGGTAAGTTTAAATAATTTGAAAATTATAAAAAAAAAGTTTTAAAAAATAAATAACTAATTAAGATTTTTTTTTTTTATTCTTTCTTTCGAATATAGGATGGTGGCTCACCACATATCGAACTATATTCATTCTTACGAAAGATTAATATTGGAGCATATCCTTGTGTAACCTTAACCGAAGTCATGCTAAATCATCATTTGGAACCATACATTTGGTCAGACCCAAGATGGCTAAAAATGAACGAAAACATTGCTATTGTGGTGACATTAATAAACGATTTGGTTTCCTATGAAAAAGAAGTGAATGATAACGCCGGTGTCTTGAATCCATTATATTTTTTCCAACACCAAAATAATCAAAACCTACCTGATTCCTACAGAAAGATGGTCAATTTAATCCATCAGTACGTCAATGACTATTTGCACCTCGAGGAAGGATTTCTTCGATCGATGGCACCGTTCCATGATGCGTTACAACACCAAGAAGTTCATTTCATGCTGGATCATCTACATTATTTAATTACCGGTTCAAGAATGTGGTCAATGCAAACTCCACGATATTGCTCTCCGACTTCACCTTTTATCGAAATGCGACCTCCCTCGAAAAGCTATCTATAAACACAACATAAGATAACACCAATTATTGTAATTATTTGTATATATACTTTACCTTCTTCTTTTTTCTTAGAGAGATAAGCTATTTACATCTGAAATATAATATAAGTAATAAAATACTCTAAATTATTTTTCAATTTAATTAAATTGCGTTGTTGTACAAAATAAGAAAATTTTTATTTAATTATAATGACAAAAATTTAATACCCAACAAAGTACTTTTGGATAGTTTAACATTGATGAAGTTTGATAGAATGAACTATTGACTCTCTATCATAATGTGTGAAAGTAGAATAATGAACAACATTGAATTACCAGTTGAAAAAGAAAGAAGAAGAATGAATTAATGGATGATGAACATTTCTGATGATTATTATTATTAACATTAAATATTTTTATGTAGGAAGGAATTGATTTCGAGATAGAATGATTGGCTGTTTCATGGAAAGAGTCTATTTATCTGATTTCTTTCTTGTTGGTGCTCTTTTTTTATCTTCTTGAACCATTCCCTGAATGGCATTTTGAGTGAGGATTTCGTTCTTCATATTGTCAAACTGCTTTGTCATTGAGGTTTCGAGTGATTCCAACTTGGCTTCCACATTGAACAGTTTGTTTGAGAGTGCGTCGATTGGAAATAGCTTTTTCATGACAGAGCCATTCGATGCATTCTGACTGGCTTCTGCTACTCTTCTCAGCTCGGTATTTACAGAATTGATTTGGTCTTGTGAAGCACAGTTCTTGACGGCACCAGAGATTGATCTGAGCTCTTGCAAAACGTGATCCAGCTTAGAGTTGCAGTCTTTCATTTCCATTTTCAATGAGGTTATATCGGATTTGAGAAAATTGATATCCACTTGGAAGCTTGATTGAGCACCTTGAAAGTCCTTTAAATTTAAATGGTTCGATTCAGAGACACTAGAGATTCTACGAAGAAAAGATAACTGCTCTTCAAATTTTCTTAAAGTATTTTCATGTTTGTTGGTTGTATCTTTACGGTGGCTGTAGATATCTGATTTCAAAACATCGGTTTGAACATAACACTCTCTTGTATAATGTTTTTTCATTTCATCAAATAACTAAAAAATAAATAAAAAAAAGATAATAGAATGAATATTAATTTGCTGACAATATAATAAAATAAAATAAAAAAGAATCTTACCATGAAAACTTCTTTGATAATATTATCTTTGGTGTTACGAATATCCTGTGATATAGACTCGTTGACAAGTACACCACCAGACTGATTAGAGTGGGATGAATGTTGGCTATGAGAATGATGATTCGTTGATGGTTGAATGGATGACGAGTGACTGGAAGATTTCTTTTCTTCTTTTACTTTGGTTGAATAAGATTGAGATTGAGACTGACTTTGGGGTGAAGGGACCGGATGGTGTGATCTAGAAGTGGAAGTGCTTGTCGAATATTGCGAAGAAACATGTTTTGGATTTGGAGAATGCATTGGCGACAGTGATCTTCTGTGACTTGAAGCGGAAGTGCTTGTCGAATATGAGGGACTGGCAGCAATATCTTCAGTGGAATAGCTTGGTTTGCTGATTTTTTCATCGTCTTGGATCGAATCGGTAATTGCAGCCACTGGGTGAGTAATATCAGCAATTTCGCTTGTTGGGGTGATTGAAAATTCACTCGAGACCATTGGATTGCAATCGTCATCGGAATCTTTAGTTGGCGAATTGGTGTTTACTTTTGTTGAGATAGAATCTGTCTCGTCGTAGGGGATTGTCATTTCGGCTTCGACACTCTGTTGTGGTGTTGGAATTGGAGATCTCGATCTTGAGCGAGACTGAGATTTTGATCTCGATCTTCTTGAACGTCTTGAACGTGAATGAGATCTCGACCTTGATCTCGACATTGAAATCTTTGTTTCATTGGCTATCGATGTTTGATTTGTATTATTACTACTATTGATATCTTGGCTATAAGTATTACTATTTTGATTTGAAGAAATATCATTACTCTGATATTGTTGACTAATATTACTGCTGTTGCTATTATTATTATTATTGTAGTTATTATAATTGTTGTTGTTATTATTATATTGTTGTTGATTGTTATTGTTATTATAACTACTACCTTGATAATTATCGTTGTTACTCACACTGCTTCTATGAGAACTTAAATACTTGTTTGGACGGTATTGATTTTTATCGGCATTATCAATGTGAGAACTATTATTATTACGAGAATTGTAATTTGAATTACCAATGAAAGAGTTATAGTTATCTTTGGATGGCGAATAGTTTCTTCTGATTGGTGAACGACCTCTCATTCCACCACTGTTATTACCACCGTTGTTGGTATTATTGTTGTAGTTGTTGTTGCTGTTCATTCTATTTTTGGAATCTGGAGAGTTTGATCTACTTCTGGATCTACCCCTGACAGGACTTCTACTTCTACTTCCGCCACTTCTCATATTGTAGGACTTTTGATTGGTGAAATTACCATTATTGTAGTTGTTGTTGCTATTGTTGTTGGAATTGCTATCAAAGCTATTGTTGTTTGAATTAAAAGATTGGTTCAAAGAGGAGCCACTCATGTTGTTGTTGTTACTTGTTCCACCAGGACTTCTACTTCTACTCATACTTCTACCACCTCTTGGACTATGATATCTTGTCCTCTTTATTGAACGAGGAGATCTTGATCCTTTAGAAATAAGAAGAAAGAAGAATTAGTTATTAGTTATAAGCTTTATATTTATAAATATATAGTTAAATTATTAACTTACTTGATCTTGGTTTAGTACCTGGCATTGTTGCATAATTTACAAGTAGTTTACGATTGTGAATTTCGTAACCATGATATTGGCTGATGGCACGTTCGGCTTCTTCAACGGTGGCATACTCGACGAATCCATAGCCCTTCTTGTCGACAAAGTGATTGTGGATGATTTCACCGACACTGGAGAACAGTGCTTTCAAATCATTGGGATGAGTAGATTCATTGTCGTAGTTGATGTAGACACGAGGTGCTTTCGGAGTGATGATAGTGGACATTGGATGACGCTCTCGCTTTGAACTCGAAAAGTCAATGAATATCTTTTTGCCCATTACCATAGTAGATTGAAGTTGGCTGATTGCATCCAATGCTTGATTAACACTTTGATATTCCTTTAAAAATTTAATGAAGAGGAAGAAGATTAAGATGAAGAATCATTTTTCCATCATTTTGTTTTTTTTTTTTTGATTAGATTCGAATTGAATTTGCCAATAATTGCATAGTTATTAGGTTATAATAAATAAATAAAAAAGAATGAGAGAGATTTTTTTTTTTTTTTTTTTTTTTTGATCATCTGAGGCAAAAAAAAAGTTTTTAAAAGTTTAAAATAAAAAATTAAAAAAAAAAAAATCTACAGAGTCGATCATTGCTCACATTAAACCAAAGTTTGACTTGACTGTGATTGACCAAACATCATATGATTTTTGATATTGGAGAGAAAGAAGAGAGAGAGAGTTGAATGATATGATAATATATGATGATGATAAAGATAATGATGAAGAGAATGAATTAATGAAATGATACATACAACAAATCCAAAACCAATCTTCCAAGCATGATTTGTAATTTTGCCATATTTGATAAAGAGTTCATAGAGATCTTTGTCAGTGAATGAAGGCACACCTTCCAAGCGAATATAGAGTTTGTTTGATGGCTCTCGACTTCCCATATCTCTACCTCCCATGTCTCGACCACCCATATCACGATTACCCATATCACGACTACCCATATCTCCTCGAGATCCATTGTCTCGAGAGTCTCGAAGATCACCACCACCACGATTCTGTGAAAAAGAGTTACTGTTGTTCATCGACATAGTTTAACAGATTTTGAAGTCAGACTGAATGAGATTCGATATCTTTGATGCTATTGGTTAATGTTATTGTCTGAATTGATTTCGATTGAATATTTGAACGCAAATGTTGTTATATTCGTTGAAATATGAATGAAAGAAAGATTTGTTAATAAATCTACAATAGTAAACCGATCTATATACAATTCTATAAGAATTAATTATAGATGAATGATTGATTGATTGATTGACTAATTGAATGATGAAAATCAATAATGATGACAATGATTTTATATAATTGATTTCTTTTTGTAGGTTTATGTTTTAAGTTTGTTGTGTTAGAAAAAAAAAGAAAAAAAAAAAAGAGAAATGTTAGAATGAAAGTTAACATACATGTTTAATATTTAGATGATTGAATTAGTAAAATATATTTTTTGAATCATTAGTGAAAAGTAAATCTAATCTATTAAGAGTACTTTATATACATACAGTATATTTTAAGTGTTCAACAACAATAACAACCAACGCAATAAAAACCAAAGACAAAAATAACAATGTCAGTAAACTGTTGGGTAGTTTTTTTTTTTTTTTTTTTTTTTTTTGAAAAAATTTGATTTTTTTATTTTTTTTTTTATATATTTTTTTTTTTGCAATGTTTTGGTTCAAAGATCAACATTATTATATATCAGTAATTTTTGAATTTCAAATGAAAATTAAGAAAATGAAGGGAATAAAATAAAAATACGGTGGTAGAAAGAATTACTGGAATTGAGGTATGCGAATAGATTCACCATTTATATTTTATAATATGATGAGTGCCAACATTTTACTTTATTTTGAGTTGTTTACAATTGGTGGATAGGAAACTATTTTATTTTCATTCTCTGTCATTTAATATTGTTATGTCCAAGATTTTCATTCAAACAAATGATATCAAATTATATATCAATAGGATTTAAATTAAAAAGATTAGATAATGTCATTGAAAACAAGATGAGTCCTGAATTCACTTGCATCATTAAGTTTAAGAAAAACTACAGAAATTTCAATGATTATTAATTCTCCCTGTTTTTGATCATTAAAAATTAAATTTTTTTTTTGTATATTTTTTTTTTAACAGTTCACACTTTTTTTAATTTAATTTAAACTTTGTCAAATATATAATATTTTTTCATATTTTATTTATAAATAATAATAATAATACTACTAAAATGACTGTTATTGGTATGTATAGTTTAGTTTAGTTTATTATTTACTTGTAACAAAGTTTAATACAATTGTACTTATCTTTTTATTTTGAAAAAATCTTTATTAAATAGAAATATCTGATGGACAGTTGCATTCAGAGTTAAAGAAAGCAGGTGAAAAGTTAGTTATTGTAGATTTCACTGCTGTGTAAGTTTATCATTAATATTAGCTATTTAATAAGAAAAGATTTCAATCATTAATCATCATCATCATCATCATTATTTAATATATTTTAGATGGTGTGGACCATGTCGTATGATTTCACCAGTTTTTGAACAACTTGCATCTCAACCACAATACCAACAAAAAGCTGTATTTTTAAAGTGTGACGTTGATAAATGTCGTGTATGTATAAACAAAACTTGATTATCATTAGTGAGAGAGAGAAAGAGAAAGAGAAAGAAAGAGAGTGAATGGGAAGTAAGAGATTATCATCATCATTTTAGTTTTTTTTTAATGGAAATAATAATCTAATTTATAATGATAATATTTTTATTGCTCTAATTAGGCAACTGCACAACAATGTTCAGTATCGGCAATGCCAACTTTCCAATTCTTTTTGAATTCAAAGAAGGTTGCAGAGTTTTCAGGTGCTGATCCAGGTCAATTGAAATCGACACTCGAGAAGTATCTACCTGCGAATGTATCGTTCAATACACCGGGACATGCTCTAGGTAGCGGTGGTTCTGGTACCTCTAGATTGTTGGACTTACAGAATCAGATGCCAAAGACCAGCAACGAACCATTGAAAGCAAACCCACAGATGTTATCAGAGTTGAAGGAAATGGGATTCCCAGAGAATAGAGCGGTCAAAGCACTCTTGATCGTAAAGAATGAATCGACCAACGCCGCCATGGAATGGATTTTCGCAAATATGGATAATCCCGATATTGATGAACCTTTATCAAATGATAATAATAACAATAATAACAATAATAACAATAATAATAATAATAATAGTTCAACTACAACAACTACTTCATCAACAACAACGGATTCATCTTCATCAACTACAACACCATCATCTTCAACATCCGAACCAACTTTACATAATGCATTATGTGATATCTGTACACAACAAATTGTTGGTATCAGATACAAGTGTAATAAGTGTCCAAACTATGATTTGTGTCAGGTTTGTAAGGATTCCGGTAAGCATCCGGCTGATCATGATTTCACTGCACACGAAAAAGACATTGTAAATCCACAGTTGACCGACGAGGAGCGAAAGTTGCAGCGTGAAAAGTTGGAGGCACGTATCCTCGAGCTCCGTAAGAAGAAGGCAGAGGACGAAGCCAAGCGTGAGATTGATCGTGAAATCACTCGTAGATCCAGTGGCAAGATGCAACAGGAATCACTCACCAAGTGGCAAGAACAACAGATCAAGCGTGAAACTGAAAAGGCCAAGAAGGAGAAGGAAGATGAACTCAGAGCCAAACAACGTATTCGTGATAAGATCGCTCAAGACAAGCTCGAGAGAGCTGCCAAGAAGACCGGTACTCCAGTTCCTGAAGCCGCTCCAGCTGCCGCACCTGCGCCTGCAGTTGTAACACCAACCGCTCCAACTGCCGTACCAGATCAAGTTTTAATTCAAGTATGTATTATCATATCGATACGTGTAGAATAATTATTATGTGATACTGATATACTATTTTTTATTCTTTTAGATTCGTTTACAAACAGGTGAAGTTGTTAGAGCAACATTTAAACCAACCGATACATTGAGCACTGTTCATGCACATTTGGCTGCCAATGGACAGAGTGGATCTTTCAAACTTTCGACCACCTATCCAAGAAAGATTTACGATAGTGCAGAAATGAAATCAACAACATTGTTGGCAGCTGGATTGGTACCAAATGGTAAATATGAATTCAAATGTTATCCATTTTTTTTATTTACATATTGTAATAACACTTTTTTTTTTTTCTATTTTAGGTACTTTAATGGTTACTAAATAAAACAATCAAATAATACACACAATTTATTTTAAAGAATAATAATAATAAATTTTCAAACTGATCAAAAGTTTAACTGCAATCTGAGTTTCCAATTGGATTCACCAGACCTGTAAAATAAAAAATCAACCACCATTAAAATCATATTTTTAATATTCTACAAAGTTGATTGATCTGATTGGTTAAAATTTTAATGAGATTAGATTTGATTAACAATATTCTAATTAATATGTTACTAATATATTAACAAATTAATAAATTACTAATTTTAAATTTTTAAATATTTATTTATTATAATTTTAATTTTGGATTTTCAATGATCAAGTGATACTGACTGATGTGTTGTTAATGTCAATCTATTAATATAAAAATATTTGAAATTAATAGTTTTAATTTGGTGGTGGTCTGATTTTATTGGGGTGAAAATATTTGATTCTGATTTTAATTTTATTTATTTATTAATATAATCAATTTACATATTCGTCGTTCAAAAAATAAATACTATTCCAAATAATATACTTAAAATAAAATCTATCTATTTTAAAATAATAATATTTCAGTTTGAGGAGTGGTGTTTTTATGTTTACCTTTGATTTTCACCAACAGTAAAAATGTGATGAAAAAACCAACACTATACAAAAAAACGAACCAACCAATTAAAACAATAATACATCATCTTGAATACCACCACCAACAACAGTATGATATTTATCACAAGAGAAAATGAGAGTGAGGAGAATGATGATGTTATTGGTATTGTTATTTAAGATGGTTTGTGATTGTTTTTGTAAATTATAGTAATATATAAAAATAGTTCATTTATCAAACAAACAACACTAAATAATCCAACAATAAAATCAAACAAATAAAATTATTTATTATAATATTCTTTTTTTCTTATCTTTCTTTTTCTTTTTTCCTTTTTTTCTTTTTTTTTTTTAATATTTAAATATTCAAATAATAGTATTGTTTTAAAAAAATTGTTGTTTTAATATAGTAAAAAAAATATTATGAAACAATCATCATTCTTTGTATAAAAATATATATAAATATATAATAATGTTTAATCTAATAAAAATAATATTTTTAATGTTAAATTTTAATTGGATATTACCAGTTTTTGGTGGTTCCGATCGATATGCTGACCAACAAAAATATACATATTTTACATCAGATTTGAAATTGAGTAAATATCCTCAAGGCTATTGTGGTGGCACACCAATAGAATCGTGTGACTATGAAAAATATGGCGAAGCTGTAATCCTTACCTCTGGTGTAACACTTATCATTGCATTCACAATTCTCATCATCTCTATTTTCTTTTGGCTTGGCAGATCAACTTTGTTTGGTGGTTGTCACGGATCCCGAGGATTCTTTGTTCCCAAAGGTAGATTCATCGAGCAATTTGGCGAAGGTTACACAAATTGTCAAATATTTACACTAAGAGTTGTTGTTATAATTTTAGTTGGATGTTCAATGTAAGTGGAGAAATAGAAAAAAAAAAAGAAGAAAACAAATAATATTAATAATTATTATTTTCCTTTTTATTGTATTTAACAAAAAGTCCATTATTTATAACTTGTTTACATGGAAATGTTAAATTAACAAATGGATTAAAAAATATAGGTAAAGAGATTTGTGATAAAGCAGACGAAACCTATAAGGAGGTTTATAACATTACACAACAATTGAATTCGACGGAATTCGAAAGATTGGAAATCTATGCCAACATCACTGACAAAGAGATACTCTACCAACAAGTTCAGAATATCTTGCAAGATGCTATTGGCCTAAAGAAAGATGCACATGGAATAAATGACCGTGTCATTCACTATAACACTTATCGTAACAGTATTACTCTTGTTGTATTAATATTTGCTCTCATAGCATGCGGTGTCTTGGCTTTTTCTATTTTTAATATTCCACAACTAGCTTTTATGTATGTACATATATATTGTTGTTAATTTTTAAATTAAACCTAAAAAGTACTAATTATTTCCAATGAAATTAATAGGTCTGCGATTATCATAATTATAATATTACCATTGATGTGGATTACTTTCAGTGTCCACTACTCTAGTAATTTCTTAATTTCCGATCTTTGTCAATCCTATACTATTAACTATGGAAACGGAACCGTTTCACAAGCCAACTTTACCAATCCTCTTGTAAATGAGGTGTTTAATGGCTGCCAGAATGGAAGTGCCACGATGTCTGTCTTTGATGATCTGGTGACCACCGTTACTGGATTGTTGAATAGCTCGTACACTGAGGCGTGTGGCGATGGTGGTTTCGGAAGTTTGTGTGACTTGCAGTTCGACGACTATCCCGACGGCTACCAACATCCACCGGTCAAGAGAAACGTCCTCGATTGCAGTGGACTGCCGGCGTGTAACAACAAAACGATCGAACTCTACACTAATGTTTCGATCTACGATTTTGAATATGGATGCTATCGTGGCGCCGATCCTGCGGAATGTCCGTTCAACGCTGGAAACAACGCACAGCAATGTCTGCAATCCGGTGGCAAACTAGTGACCTGCCACGTCAAACAACTACCATCTGTCAAAGACTGCGAAGCCCAGTGTAAGAACCAAGACATCGCAAACTATAGTCAGACCGCAGTCGATGGTGTCGACGCACTCCTTATATTCCAGGGCATCTGGTCGAACCAAGTACTACCACTAATTAGCTGTGCCAATTTGGTGCCATTTGTAAAATCAATTGAATATCAACTTTGTGAAGAGGAATAGTAAGTGTTTAACCGAACTTTTTTTTTTTGAAATCGTAGTAACAACAATCTCATTCTAAACTAACTATTTTTCTTGTAATTTTACTAAAGTGATTATGTTCAACAATTAGTTGCTCCAACTTGTTTGTTTGCAATATTACTTATTGCTGTTGGTATTGTGTCAGTGTTGGCATCAAAGAGGTTCAACAAACATAACCAAAGATGTCATAATGAAAAAAAACATTAAAAAAAAATTAATAAAATTTTAATATTTCTTAATTTTTTAAAAAAATGTTCAGATTTATTTTTTGTGGGTCGACTGTTTTTTTGATGTTTATTTTGTGGTGTTTAATCACATATTCTATTAATAAAATTATTCAAATTGATCAGTTTGAATGTTTTTTATGTTAATGCGAAAATTGACAGTTTCAAGTTTCTTAAAGAAATAAACTAATAAAAAAGTTTTATAGTTTTCTGTTTATATAAATTAAGTTGTATCTAAATAGAAATCATTCAACAAACAATCAAAAAACCATTCTTATATTTAATATTTAAATTCACAAACAATCATTATTATTTTTAACTTTTATATTCACAAAATAAACAATAATTGTCTAACAAAATGTCTATTATCAAAGAAAATAATAAATTCATATACACTAAATCAGATTATACTGATATTCTAGCCAATAAAGATTTTCATATGCCTGGTTGGATTTGGGTAAACTATCAATTTAAATATTGAAACTTGCTTGCAAGAAATCTTATTCTAATATTAAAAACCTTAGGCACATTCTACAATATTTAGAGCTTTCGAACTAATTGAGAATAAATTAAATTCATGGAATCCAAAATCAGTTGGTGAAATATCCACTGTGGTCAAGGCAATTCGTAATGTTTTCGAATTTCTCCATCAACATCATCACCATGAAGATGAATTAGTATTTCCAATACTAAAAGATCAATCAGAGGACATCAAGAATCTCTTGGTGAAGCTAGACGAACAACACGTAGAGTGGGACAGACTACAAGGTGAAGTAAACGATATCATCAACAGTCTTCTCTCTATAAAATCAGTACAAGATCAAATAGAGGATGTCGATCGAATCATTAGAGAGCTTTGCTTGAAATTCAGTGAAACAAGACACTGTGTTGTATCTCACTTTTTGGACGAAGAACAAACTCTTCTACCTATAGTAGTGACCATACCAAAAAATAAGCAAAACGATATAGCCAATCATATCCAAACACAGTCAAGAAAGGACAGACTTTTTAAATTCTCTGTTTGTCTTATAAATGATGCTGCACAACATGATAAAGCAGTTGAAAACTCATTCAACAGCGAAGTTCCATGGTTAATTAGAAAGTTGGTTGTTGGTCTTTGGAAAAAGAGTGAATACAATTGGTTCCTCAAAGCTCTTGAGGTATAATTTTATATATTAAATGAAATTTGTAAATATTTATTTTTCTATTTTTATTGTAATAAAATTTAAATTGTGGTGAAATCAATAAGCTTTCCAGTTTCTTTGTACACTCATACTTTGAAATCTAATAATGATTTGATTTTAATATGTTGATATTTCTTTCGTTTCATTTAGACCAAGTAAGAAGATAAGAAATATTGGTACCTGTACAAACTACTTAATTATATTGGCAACAATGTAAATCCATTACCAAACTTAAAGAAAAAGGGATAAAAACTATTTTTTCTGAATAAGCTTACATTTATATTTATTTTATAATTTAACAGTTATCTTGCAATCATTTGATTTTATTCGAATAAATTACTCTTCTTTCTATCCTTCTGAGAACTAAGATAACTATCGATATCGAAATCTTTACTTAAACCACTCTTTTCCTCAAAGTCACCAAATAGATCGTCATCAATATCCGCTACTTTCTTTGTTGTCGATGTTGTAGATTTTTTCTTTGAGGAACCAAACAAATCGTCTTCGTCATCATCTACGAAAGTAATAGACGAAGCTTTCTTTGGTGCTGCTGCTGGCTTTTTCTTTTCAAACTTATTCAAATCGTCATCTGTGCTGAACCTATCAAAGTAGTAAAGTAAAGTAAAGTATTAAAATTACATTGAAACTTTTGATATTTTCGTTGTTGTTGTTTTTGTTGTTGTTGTTGTTGCTGCTGCTATTAAAATATGTATCATAAACTTACAATGAATCATCAACATCATCCTTTTCAAATGAAATAGATTTTGGTTTTGAACTTGATTCAAAGAGAACGTCTTCGTCAATGACCAACTTCTTCTTGATTTCTCTGTTTACTTCTCTTACGGTTGGTTCAGATGAAGCTGCTTGTGCTGCTGCTGCTGGTGTTGGAGATGGAGTTGGAGTTGGCTTTGGTTGTTCCACTGGCTTTGGAGTTGGTTTTGGTTGTTCAACTGGTTTTGGAGTTGGTGTTGCTACTGGAGTTGGTTTTGGTTGTTCGACTGGTTTTGGAGTTGGTGCTGGTGTTGCGGCTACTGGTGCCGGTGTTGACTTTGGTTGTTCAACAACTTTTGGTACTGGCTTGGCAACTACATGTGGTTCATCTTCCTCTTCATCGTCTTTATCACCACCGTTTGACAGTGGATCTTTTACAATTGGAAGTTTAGATGCTTCTCTTTCTTCATTGGAGATTTCTCTGTTTTCATTAAAATATATTGTGTTAGAAAAGATAAAATAACAAAATTGATCAATCAATCTAATACATACTTTCCATCCAATACTTGTAAGGTTGGAATGCTACCAACAACGGTATGACGATAGTTTGGTGCTTTAGTTACTGGATTACCAATTAGATTGAGTTCACGAAGCTTTGGCAAATCAAAAAGACCTTTAATATGACGGATTTGTTGAAGACGATTCTGACTGAGATCGAGAACTTCCAAACACTTTAATCTAGCGAATGAAGATACCTCTATAACACCAATTGAATCAAGTGATAATTCACTGACTGATCCAATATCGATTTTCTAATGAATGATCATATATTAATAATCAAAAGTAATCAATTACTATAAATGTTATAAAATTGCTACATACTTTGCCTAGTTTTTGACTAAGATTGTCTGGTGTTAACTTCATTCTTTATTATTATCTACTGTTTCTATATATTATATCAAATGAATCTATTTCAATTTTAAAAATGATTTATATATTAGCAAAAAGAAGTTATATAAAAAGAAGAAGCTTTGCTTTTTGAGAATTAAACAAAAAAAAAAAGACTCTTTTCATTATGAAAATTCATTTAATTTTTCATAATATCTTTGATCAATCAGCAGTGTGTCAGGAGGCTTTCATTTTTAATTTTTTTAATTTAGTTTTAAATTTATAGTTGTTTTTTTATTAATTATTTATATATATTTCAGTGTAAAGGAAAAAGATGACTGGAAATAAATATCATAGTATTCAAGGTGCTTCTAATCAACAAGAGTTACTCTATGGCGATTTAAAGTTGGTGAATTCAATCACTGGTCAGAATCTCGTACAAACATTGATTCACAGTGTGATCGATCATATCTGTGGTAGAACTATTCCCGTTGACTTTTCAATCTATGGTTTACAGACAATCCGAACACTCTTTGAACGTTTGGCTGTGTTTGTCAGTCGTGTTGTCGGACGTGAACTAAAGAGAGAGCAGATCGTGGAGGATCTAAAGACTGCTGCAGTTCAAGACGATTCAATCAATACGATCGCTGATGCCATTGTATCACGTTATCAAGATATCAAACGTGAACTAACAGAGAAACTATCTTCTATTTCATCTTCATCTCTAACTGATTTCGATTGGAAAATGAATGTATGTTTACTAAAATCAATCAATCAATCTATAGAGCTATCTGATCAACCTTTTTTCGATAACAGACTAACACTCAATTGCTTTATTTAACAGCTTATATTATCAAGTGATAAGATAAACAGTGTAAATGAAAATGTATTAATGTTGAACCTCACTATTGATCACCATGAAGAAAAGAAAGAACAATTGTTGGTTGAACTATCAAAGAAGGATTTAGATCAATTACTTTCGCAATTCGAACAAATCAATAGTGTAAGTATAGTTAGTTAGTTAAAGAATGTTTAGATATGATTTACTAATAAGAATATATGTTAATTTTTGTTGTGTAGGTGGTACAATCATTAAAGATTTAAAACTACATTAATATTATTTGTATCAATAAAAAATAAAATAAATTATTAAAAACAACAACTTTTGTAAAAGAAAGAGAATAAACAAAACAATGTATTTACATTAACTGACTTTCTTGCTTATCTTTTATCTTTTTGAGTTATTGTTTGTTTGTTTTTAAATATTTATTGTTTTGTTTTATGTTTTATTATATTATATTATTACAGGGATTGTACAATGGCAGCTACATCATTTTGAAAGATCTTTGATTCAATCTTTTTATTTGCTTTGTAGAATGGATTGCTTGCTGTTCTTACATAACGTAAATGTAACTTTTTAAAGAACTATATATAGTTGTTTTTTGATTAGTATAATATAAATATGATAACAAATTGTTAACAATCAACAAGACTCCTCTACTTACAACTTTAATATCAGAATCTTTGATATCAGTAGTATCTAATACTACGATGATAAACTTTATCTTTGTATTTGTCAAGAATCCATATACCTTGTAATCCTCTGTTGGGTATAGCAAACCCAAATACATATCGTTTGAAACTTTCTTTACACCGGCTGTTCAATAAAAATAATATTATTTTAGTTGTATTAGTAAGTAAGTATATGTATTGCTAATCAAACGAGATTAAGTTCTTTAAAATCATCGATGTGTACATACGTTTGTCTTCAATGATATCCAATGAACAATGTACAATATAATGTAGTTTCAATCTATTCTCTTCAGTACCACCTGAAAAGTCTTGAAAATATAATGGATCATTCTAACATTGATTAATCAAAAATATTATATTATAAATATTAATAAAAAAGGTGCTACTTTTAAAAGATCGATCTATTCTTATCAAAACCTACTGCTTTTCCAACAACTGCTACACAAACAATCTTCTTCATCTTTTATTTACAGCTTTGTTATGTTGATTTTGAAATTGCGTTTTAAAAAGAAATGTAAACAACAAAGTAATCTTCTACTACTCTTTAATAATATGTATAAATAATTTTATTTTTAAATCAATGATCAATAACTATCTTGAAAATGATCAAATTAATTTAATATTTGATTTTAAAAAAAATAAAAAATTTGATTTTTATGATTTTGGAAAAGGAGAAAACGACGAAAGTCATTGTTTTTCCAAACAGATAAATTAGATTAGGTTATATATATATTTTAGAGAATGGAGGCATTTCAAAAGATTCATCCACTAGAGTTTTATAGAAAGTTTCTAGAGAGATCGGTGAGACCAGATGGTAGATCATTACAACGTATAAGAAACACAACAGTATCGGCAGGTTCAATTCTGACTGCTGACGGTTCATCATTCGTAAAGATTGGAAATACCTCTGTCATTTGTGGTGTACGTGCTGAGATTGCTGAGAAACAACAAGATCAAACAACATCCAATACTTGTAAATCTCAAATTAGTATGTACATCTAGATTAATTACTAATCGTTTTTTTAAAAAGAAAGAAGAATGAAAGTGAGTGAGTGTATACTAATATCAAAACACAAATTGCTATTAAAACTACAATATTTTTATATTAGTTGTAAATATTGAAATGGGACCAATATGCTCAAATATATTTTCATCGACTAAACCATCAGAGAAAGCAATGTCGTTGTGCACACAACTGAATCAATTGGTACAACTGTTGGATATCGATCCGAAACAACTGTACTTTGATGTCGATGGAAAGTATCTTTGGTATCTCTATGTCGATTTATATTGTTTGGATTACAATGGTAATATATTGGATGCTGCTATCATTGCAATGTTGAGTGCTCTAAAGAATGGTATGAATTTAATTATATAAATAGTTATTTTAACAACAATATAACTTTAGATTATTATTAACCTATTATCATTTTAGTTAAATTACCAAAAGGTGTAGTTAGTGATGATGGTAGTGAAGTATATAAAGAAGAAGATACAATGAGAACATTGATTATAAATTCATATTTGATACCGTTGTCGTTTGCGGTGATCGATGAGTACGTGCTGTCAGATCCATCGTTGGAAGAGGAGAAGCTGTCTAACGGTAGCATATCGATTGTATATAACGAGAAGAGAGAACTTTGTTTACAACTATACTCTGGTATCACGCCACTAGACGAAAAGACTCTACAACAATGTTTAGATCAAACAAAACAACGTACTCAAGAAATCAAAGATTTAATCGATCAATCAATAAACGACTCAAAAGATAAATAAATAATAAACTAATATTAAAAATAAATAATAAAGAAAACTTTATAACTATAAAACTATAAAACTAACTATATATAACAAAAAAAATATACTATTAAAAACTCTTTTTTTTTTAATATTTAAAAATGTATTATTTTTTTAATGTATTATTATTATTATCATTTATATATAATGTTGTTTTGTATTGTATTGTTTTGTTTATGATTTGTTATTAATATATATTATAATTTAAACTTTTGACATATCTGAAGCAATATCTTCTTTCTTCTTTTCTCTTAACAACTTTGCATATTCGATAACATTCTTTTGTCTTTCTAATTCCTTCAATTCCATAGCCTATATTTAGTTATGAATAAAATCAATAAAACAATGATTAGTATACTAAAAACAAACACAAAGAATGATTATTATTATTATTGTTATTATTATAATTACATTAATCTCTTCTAATTTCATCTTTGCGAAATCAAACAATGGAGAGTTTTCACCTGGTTGATAGAAGAATCTAGAGTTTCTCTTTGATTTCTCACGTGGATCGATTTCGGAAGCGGCCAAAAGTTGTTCACGACGTTTGTAGAGAGCGTATTTGAGTTCACGGTATTGTGTGAGTTGGAATGTCTCTTCGGCGGTGTAGTCGTCGTTACGATGTAGGTCTTTGTACTCTTTGATTGAATCACGCACTGCAACCAGTCTGGCATTGACGACATCGATGTCGTCGATGTTCTCTGGGTTGACATCGGCATACTTCTCTGCCAACGACATGTCTATCTGTTCGCCATCGACCAACTCGCTAATCAACAAATCGTTATTCTTCTGTTGCTGTGAGTTCAACATCTTCTTGACCAGCGAACGAGCGGACACTGCACGAACCTGCTGCTTGCCACTGGCAATGTCTGCCTCGAGATGTGCCTCCTTTGTTTCGTACTTGATCTTGTTGATCATATCGAGCAGGTCGGACGATGCATTCTCGTAGGCGACGGCCTGCTCCTGTGTCGAGATGATCTTACCGGTGTTGGGACCGGTCAAGTCATGCATCGCTTCGACCATAGCATTGACCTGTTGTTTGATGTCACCAAACTGATTGATAACGGGTGGTTCCGAGAGTCTCTCTAGGATCTTTGATGATTTAATGGTATCCCAATCGACTTTTTCACGTTTCAATTGTGTGTATATCTTTTTAGAGACCATACGCTTTGCATAGTTTCTTTGTTGCATCAAAAGACCACCGTTGATCTCCAACAAACATGTTTTTAATCCTGTTTTCAACATTTTTACTATATTTCCTAGGATCTATTTACTATAAATATAAAATATGAAAATAAATATAAAATATAAAATAAAAAATTGAAGTTTATTGATCAAAAAAATTTTTAATCATATTCGTTTTTCACTCATATCACATTATCACAATATCATTCGATTGATTGAAAAAAAAAAAAAAAAAATTACAATTTTTTTTCGTTACAAATTTTTTTTTGGAAAAAACAAAAAAAAAAATTAAAAGTACTACTTTTATTTGTAATAATTTCATTTTATTAACAGATAGAAATCAAGTTCACGTGGACCTTCATTCATGAATTTTGAATAATTAAACTTATTTCCATTTCTGGATTACATCATGATGATTTACTGAAATCAGAATTGATATTGAAATTGTATTATGATTAACAATATGTAGTAGAAAAGTTTGACTTTGTTAAGAGTTACAAATATTTGTGTTTGATATAGTTTTAATTTTATTTATATAGAAATTTTGTTATACAGGTTGTAAAGCTTTGCGAAATTGGTTTTGGTTTTGATTTTTTGTGTGTTGATTGATGATCTCTTTAGTATTTGAGTTGTAACAAATATCTTAAATTCACTTGAGAAACATCGTAGACTACATATTGATGTTCGGAGCAAGATGTTGATTTGTATGGTGATGGAACAATCTTTCCGTATGGGATGTCAAAACCGTCGGCATGTTTGTGGACCATGGAGGGATCTGGCTCCTTCATACCGAGTGCCAATGTACTGTCTGAACCGGGTTGTGGCTTCTCCATGTAGGTATCACGGTAGAGATCGGCGGTCTTGCCAAGAGCGACATCACCCAAGAACATACAGAAATCGTCGGTTCCAGAGGTACGACAGTAGGCGGCCGACAACGACATGATATCGGCAAAGTAGATACCCTTACCGAAACGATAACCAGAGACCGGTGCTTCTGGTGGTGCAATTCTCAGACCCTGAGAAATGATACCGACAAAGTTGGTCAATCTACTACCGTGCCACAATAACTTTCTGTTTCCAAGTGATTTCTTTGTCTCGAAACGACCGGTCTCACCTTCTCTGTTGATTCTGAACAAACTGATGATCTTTGGTGTCTTTCCGGCGTAGGTATTCGAAACGTAGGTAGCAATGTTATTGTACTCTTCGGAGCCGACTTCAATTGGTTGAATATCACATTTCAATTGTTTGTAATGAGCATCAATAATATTGGAATCATCATTATCTGATTCCTTGATAAGATTTGCTGCAATTTCAATATCAGCAAGTGCCTACAAGTAAATTTAAAGTATTAGTTCTCCATATAATTATATTCAATTTTATAAAAATTACAAAAACTTACTGTTAACATATCCATCTTTTCTTTTACCATGAAAAGTGAGTTGATGACGGGTGGAACTCTCATACCGAAAGCATGTGGAATGGCGGTGTAGAATCTACTGGAGAGATCGACCAACGTGTCACCTCTTGCCGATGGCTTGGTGATCTTCTCTTCTATTGCCTTCAACACTTCGTAACCCTTGAGAATCTGATTCTTTGAGAGTTTACCGAGTGGCATCTTTTTGAGATCGTAGTCGGCTTCAATCATAGTCTTCTTCATCATCTTCAAATCAAAGATCAACTTGATAAAGTTTTGAACACGATTATCGAGTTTACTCTCACCCTGATGAACGGCCTTCTTCTTCTCTGCCTTTGGCTTGTCGTCCTTGACGGTATAGTCAATCTCTACCAAATCATATTTACCTGGATACTTTACAAATGGTTTTCCACTGTTAAAATCATTCTTTGTTTTCTCTTTATACCTGTACAATAAAAAGGGTGTTAGCATATGTTATTTATAAATTATCATTATTACTATTATTATTTTTATTATAACTTACTTTTTCGAGAAAGATGCCATTGCTTGGTTCTTGTTGGTGTATGATTCAATCTTGCTTTGACCGACCAAACCTTCACGTCCCCAACGATTCCATACGTAATACATTCCACCATTGTCAGCTTCCAACAATTGGATGATATAGAATTTATTGTTGTTATTCTTAATCTCTGTTTGGTTCAATGTAGCATCCCAAACGGTACCATCATCATACACATGAGTCTAATAGTTTGTGAAAAAAAAAAAAAAAAAAAAAAAAAAAAAAGTTAAATATTAATTTCCAATGGTTCTTGTTGTTGAGTGTGTTTTTCAATATTTGATTAAACTTACAACATTAACTTGTGCACAATTAATATCTACAGCACATCTACCCTTAATCTTAATGGTGGTTTTGGTTGATACCTCTTCTTCGTCGGATGAATCCAAGTCAGAGTCGACCTCAGCCATGAGTTTCTCTTTCTCCTTCTCCTCTTTGGTCTTTTTTGGCTCAGCTGCAGCCTTGGATCTCTTTCTGGTTGTTGGTTTCGCTGGTTCCTCATCCTCTACATCTGGTTCTTGTGCAACGGGTGCAACTTCTGGTTCTTTTTCTTTCTCTTTTTCCTCTTCTTCTTCTTCTTCTTCTTTATCCTCTTTGGCTTCAGCAATCTTAATGGCATAGTCCTTCTCTGATTGCTTGGCATTCTTTTCGATCGATTTCAAAAAGAAATCCTCTGAAACGATTTGATTACCATTTTTGACACCCTTGAGGAAATTGAGACCGGCACGATGACCGACCGACTTATCGTAATCTGCTTGAGTTGTTACGATGTGAGTTACTTTGGAAGCGTTATAGACTTTGGCGACCGATCCACCTTTATCAGTGATCTTGCCTAACAATACGCTTTGAGTGGTGGTAAACGATGATCCAATGGCCATCACCACCATTCCACTGAACATTGAATTTGATGCCTCAGCATCATCACTTGCACTGATAGTTCTCTTCTTTGGTGGCATTTCTAATTAATATCCAATTTCTAAATACAATATTAATTTAACTAACTAACTAATTAATTAATAATAATAATTATGTGTTACAAAAATAATGATGAGGAAAGTTTAATAAAAAATTTTGTTGGGAGTTTTTTTTGCAATAATAAAATTGAGTAAAAAAAAAAAAAAAAAAGGAGTATTTAAGTTTGCAAAAAAAATAAATCCATTTTTCCAAAAAAAAAAATCTTCTTCGAAAAAAAAACTTTTCAATCTTAATTTGGTGATTTTTGCAAAAATGCACAACCGAATGATGACAAACATATTTTTAGTATAACAAACTTTCATCTTTGCAATAAACAATCATAATTTATAATAAACTGCAATAAACAAATATATTTGTTTTGGTTTTTTGTTTGTGTTTCTTTTTTTGGTATTTTTTATTTTTTTAATTGTCATTATTCTTTTTTTGTTTGATTTTAGTTTTTTTTTTACTAATTTCTTTTTTTTTTTTAAAAAACATTTATATGTTTTTATGTTTTTGACTTTTGGCTGAAAGCTTTCTTTGTTTTGATTTGATTATTATTATTAAATTTTTTTATGGAATAACTGGGAGTGGACGGATATCACCCAGATGGTCTTTGTACTTGTTCTTGATGGTGGAAAGAGTAGATTCGCTTCGGTGAAGATTCCATAATAGTCGGACAACATTTTTGAAAAACGGATCGTCGGGCAATACTCGGGTGTAGAAGGACAACGTCGAAGTCCATGGGTGATTGGTGGTGATCATTGCCAGATAGACACAGGCCGCTGCCACAAACGATGGTAGGTAGGCAACGAGGTTGTAGTCCATCAGCGAGAGCTCACCGTAAAAGTGGGAGAGTGCCGATACGCGAGGATCAGCGGTGGTGGCAGCACGCAAGTGCCGCGACAAAAAGAATTTAACAGTGGGTGCGGTCAGTCGGAAATCGATGGCCTTTAGGATGAGCGACTCTGCTTCAAACAGTTGGTCGATCGAAAAGTAGTTGCCGGCCAGCGAAATTACCTCGTGTGGAGTGGGTGCGTGCACCTCCTCGTATTTACAGGCGATGAGGAACGATGCTGCTCCAATCATCTGGAATTGGTCTTTCTTGACCTTGACGGCGGAACAATAGCGATCGAGGTAGTTGATCGCCAGGAATATCGTTTCATTCTTGATTCTAATGTCAAACGCGATATCCACTATCCAATCGACTAGAATCGAACGCATATTTGGTTTGATATCCGGTTGAAATGGCATGTAATCTCTTGGTTGAGTTTTAATCTAATATATAATAATTAAATGAACAACAATATTAATATCTGTATGTATGTATTTCCATATTCTTTAAAACAATAGCTAATCATACTTGATTCTTTCTCATATTATCTTGAATGTCATGAATGTATTCTGTGCAATAGACTGGATCGCCATCTACTTCCATATCGATGTCATATTGATAAAATGAACTCCAATCTCCCCAAATATGATGGGCCATTGTCATTTGAAATTCTGTTTGTCGATCTACAATGATTTGATTACCAAATACAATATTATTATTATTTCTATTAATTTGATTATCACTATTTGAATTATTATTATTTATTACTGTTGCATTATTATTATTATTATTATTATTTAAAAAAGGATTTACTACTATATTATTAGTATTATTATTATTTCGATTGTTATTATTATTGCTGTTGTTGTTTTGTGGTGTTAAATTATAGTTATTATTGGTTGATCTTGAAGGTTGTACAACTTCACTCCTAACATTATTATTTTGAAAACTATTATTATTATTATTGTTGTTGCTGTTATTATGTATTCTTTCGGTTGATGCCAATAATGATGTCTTGTTGTTATTATTATTATTATTCGAATCTTGGGTGATTACACTATTGACTAATGTTAGTTTTGGTGGCTGAGATGGTTGATGATTTGGTTTGGCTGTTACCGCGGTGGCGCCAACCGAAAAAACACCTTTATGAGAAATGACAGTGCTGGATGTGATTTGAAGCAGTGATTGCTTTTGTTGTTGTTGTTGTTGTTGTGGTTGTGTTTGGTGAGGTTGTTGTTGTAAACCAATCACTGAGTTTGAATTAACTTGCTCAGTGTGGCCAATATGTTTTGGTGACGGACGACCATTATTATTATTATTATTTTCTTGTAAATTTTCTTGTAAAAGAGTTACTCCATTATTATTTTGATGATTATTACTATTATTATTATTATTATTATTATTTAAATCCATTTTCTAAATGATGATGATGAATTAATTAATTAATTATTTAAAAAGTTAGTAATATTAAAATATTTATATATAACAATTTAAACATTACCTGAATATCTTCGAATGTAGAAACAGCCACAACAACAGCAGCACTGTTGGTTGGCTTTATCTTTATCGGGTGAAAAGAAGATGGTCTGTTTGTAATATCACCGAGGGCAGATCTTTTGTTTGTGATCTTTGCCTCTTCCTCGATGCTCGGAGATTCTCTTTTATATGGTGGTCGGTCAATGATGATGTCGTGTCTTCTGTTGGACATGATTTAAATTATTCTTTATCTGCAAAAAATGAAATGAAAATGAAAAAAAAAAATGAAAATATCATAATTTAAGAGAAAAAGAAAAAAAAGTAAAATGGAAATTAATTTTTTGAGATTAGGTCAAACTCGTTCACCAAAATTATTATCATAATAAAAATCCCAGGAGATTTTGTAAATTTATACATACTTTTTTTATTTTAGTTTATTTTGTTTTTTTTTTATGATTTAAAGGATGTCAAAGCAACTATTCTATTTAAAAGAAGAAGAAGGATTCCTTTTCGATTTTAAAATGAATAAAAAAAAAAGTATAAATATAAATATAAATATGTATTATAATATTAAAATAATAATCTATTGAGTTTAAAATGTTTTTGAATTTTAAGATGTATTATAAAATTTGATGATGGCCCTAGTAGTATGTATTTATGAATGATGAAGTTGATATCAAGTGGTTTTAGGTTGATGACAGTGGTGGTGATGATGATGATGTTGATGGGGGTAATAGAGTGTCTTTTTGATTTAGATATGGTTTTTTGTTTTTAATATGCTATTATTTTTTGTTTGTTTGTTTTAAATTGGAAGGGTAAAGCTTTAGATTAAAGTAATTTAATTTAAAGATATGGGGATGAATATGAAGTGATGTGAAAAGTAAAATGTGTTTGTGTGTTGGTTGGTTGGTTGAATAGTTAATGAACTAATTTTAAAATAATCAAATGTTATTGATTTTTTGATGTTTAAATAAATGCTGGTGATAATTATATTATTATTATTGTTATTGTTGTTGTTGTTCTGGTTATATAATGTTTTTTTTTATGTTTTACTATTGGAGAGTTCTGGAAATGGGCAGAGGTTTGCAGATTTATATAAATATAAAATGATTTTGTTTTTTGTTTGTTTTTTTTATACCTTTTTTTCAATGATTTTAAATGTTTGGTTTGTTTGATCCTGTTGTTTTAATTGATTGATTGATTAATTAATTGATTGATGATTTAAGAGGTATGAGTAGTGATACTGTGATATTGAATATAAAGCAAATAGAAAATTGGAAAAAAGAGGCAAAAACAAAAAAAAATAGAAAAAAAAAAGCAAAAAAAGCTTGGAAAAGATTTAGATATAGATATGTTGTTTTGGTATGTTTGTTTGCTTAAATTGCTTGATTGTTGATGGAATTGGATGATGATTGATGATGTTGATTTTGATGATGTTGGTGTTGATGTGTTGTTGATGCTCCTACTACTACTACTTTGATATAATAGGTTTAGGTTTATTAAAAATAACTAATACTAATAGTATTAGTTAGTTTGTTGTTGTTATTGTTGTTATTATTATTATTGAAAATAAATATGAAAAAAAACAAGGATATTGGGTTATTATTTTAATTATTATATATTGTTATTGTCGACCCAGACACACAGTGTTGTTGTTATTGTTGCTATTGGATATATTGTTATTATTGATATGTGATTATTATTTATATATATATATATAATTAATATTAAATATTAATTTATTTATTTAAATAGTAGTTGTTGTTGGTTTATTTGTAAGAAAGAGTACTCTTTCCTTTGCTATTTGTACTTCTTTTCTTCTTCTTGTTGTTGGCAAAGTTGCATTGTAGTTCAAAAGCATCAGCAGCAGCAACAACAACAGCAGTATTATTTAGCAATGTGGATAGATTTGTGTTTTTATTATTTAATTTGATTTGATTGATTTGGTATTATAATATATAATAATAAGAATATTAAAAATGTAATAAGTATGGAACTATAATTATATAAATATGAGGAGTGAGAATGAGATGTATGAATTAAGATGTAGTTTAGAATATATTCTGTTGTGTCAGTGTTAACACTACACCTTTACGACGATAACAATTAATATTGTCAGGTGCAAGATCACAATAACATCAAATTACTACTATTACTACTATTACTACTACTGATAATAACAAGAAAGAAAAGCTCTTCTACCTTCAACAAAAAGGTCAAGTAGCCACCAGTTATCTAATTCAATGTATCAATGTAATAATGTGCAATAATAATAGATATAATAATAATTTATAATATTTATTGTTTGCTACCCAATCACTTTACTATTAATAATCACTCATCAATAAAGTGAAGTGCACTGCAACACAACCAATTAACTACTCCTGAAAAATCAATGCGGAAAGTAGGAATTACTCTATTTTTATCAAAAAATAAAAATAAAAATGAAAAATATATTTATAAAAACAAACAAAATAATAATAAAGATGTGAGAGAGCGAGAGAGAGAGAGATGAATGAATAAAAGTGCTGAATTTTACTGCTTGCTGATCCAATTGACTGAACTGAACAACTAACTAACAAACAAACAAACAACTAACTACAAACTAATTAAAGTCGAGCAGAGTTGATTGATTGAGTGGTTGGAAATGAATATTGTTTATTTGTTATAATATTGATTTGGGGTGGGTATTTAAATAAATAAATAAATAAGATAAATATTTAAATTGTGGGCAAAAAGTATATAATTATAAATTAAAAGCAAAAACAAAGCAAAAAAAAGTAAATTGTTGTAATGTTTTAAAAAAAAAAAAAAAAGCAATAAAAAAAACAAAATGATTATTTTAATAATAGATATGTAAAGTAAAAAAAAGGGTCAGATGTTCGATAAGCTCAACAAAGCTTATTAATTAGGATGATGATAATGTTGTTAATGTGCGCTGATTTTATTGTTGTTGGTTGTTGGTACACAAGTGTAGTAATGGTGATAGATTGATTTTGGTTTTTGATGTTTCAGCGTATTTTGCTACTGAAACTGAAAAGGTGTGCGTGTGTGCTGTGTGTGTGTTGATGGTACAATCATCAAGTTCAGCATCAATAAAAAGCTGAAAAACAAAAACAAAAAAAACTCAATCAACAAAAACTAGTAAAAAATCATCGAAACACACCAAAAATAAGTAAAAAAACAGACTATGTTATCCCCACTACTAGTTCAAAAAAGGAGCAATGTGATCGACATTTTGATTGTTTTTCATGCATTTTGTTGTTGTTTTGAAAACGTGAGATCGTTGAATTGGATACTGATGATTTCAATTTATGTACTTTTTTGTTTTGTTTTGTTTTTTTAAAGTATCTTTCTATTATTATTATAATATTATTTTTTTTTTTTGTGTTTTGTATTACTACTACTATTCTTAGTGAGCAGGAATGATGACCACAAGTATAGATAGATAAAAAAAATGATTGATTGAATGATTTGAGCGGTAATTACCAATCAATAACAAAATATGATTGATTAAAACAACAAATCTACAAATATATGTGTACATTAATATATTTTTGTATATGTGTGTGTGTGTGTGGTATGATTGTTTGAATGAGAGGGCGAGCTCTGTTTATTTAATGATGATGTTGATGATGTTGATGACATTGCCAACATTCATTGATGCTGTGTATGTGTAAGAGAATGGAAGGCGGCGGCGGCAAAAACAAATACATACATATATAATGTCATCAAGATTATTCGAATGGATAGGAGTTATGAATTATTGTGAACATCACTGTAACACTGTGTGGTGTTTGTATGAATGTAAATGAATGAGTGGTGTGTCAGAGTGATTTATCATATTTTAGCCCCAAATTCAACTATATATGGTATAATGAAATCAAAGGCGCTAAAAAGAGACAAAAAAAAATAAAATAAAATAGATAATACAATGACAATAACTAAAAAAAAACAAACAAAAGCAACTTATTAAGTTTTAAAATTAATCTATCAATAACATATCAAATCAAAAATGACCAATATAAAACCATCTAATCTATTTTATGTGATATATACATGCAAATATGGAGGAGATGAAGAGTGATATAAAAATATAGGGGTGATATGAGTTATATCTGATGTAAACTTTGATACTTACACTTACATAAATAATTTATTTGTTGTTGTTGTTGATTTATTTTATTGTTTGATAATAATGTAGCAATTATTCAATGATGTTATGATTATTCAAACAATGCTAGCACTTTGTGAAGTGCACTTGCTGCTCACTGAATTTGATGCAACTATGCATTAAAATTCAAATCAAAAACTTCTAAACAACTATAAAACTCTGTGTAAAAACCTGTAACTATATAACTATGTACTTTAAAAACTATATTTCAATATATATATATATATATATATGATTATTATACTTTGTTAAACTATTACTATAACTACTACTACTATTACAATATTATTATTTATTATTCTTAAATACTACTACTATTACTTAATTATTTATCGTTGCAATGTAAGTGTTGTGTATGATGAAGTCGGTGCAATGTGTTTTGCTGGTATTGATGTCAGAAATGCAAAGATAAAGAAGAAATGTAAAGTAATGATAATATAATGCAATAATTAAAAAAAAAAAAAGAAAAATAATGTTTTTTAAATAATAAATTTATGTATATATTTATATATATATTGTACAATGAAATGATGATGTTTTGATTGAGATTTGAATTAGATTACACTGTGTGGAATGGAAAAAAGAAAAGTAAAAAACAATGGACTAACTAAACAAAGTTGGTAGGTAGAGGAATAATGATATGGATGTGATTGATGGATGGATGGTTATGATAAATATTTATTAAAAAAATTGTTGGGAATTAGAGAACTTTAGTCAGAAGGTTCAATTTAACAAGAAAAAGTTGGAAATGTATATTAAAAAAAAAAAACAAAACAAAATAACAAAAAGAAAGAAATAGAGTGAAAAAAAAGAAAGAGATTAAAAAATGATGTTGATGACAGGCTAAAGAAACAATCAATTAATTGCACTTCATTTATAAAAAAAAAAATCATCAAAAAAAAAAAAAAAAAAAAAGTTTTCATTTTTGAGCGCTCAAAACTTTGTTTGTGACCCGGTTCTTCGCACCATAAACAACTTATTTGAATTTGACAATTATAGATTATTTATGACAAACAAAACAACAACAAGTTTGTGTAAATCTTGCAAAATTATATGTTTGTATGTGTGTGTGTTGTGTCATATGACATATTTTCATTCTTTTAGTTCATATGAATTCATTCGTTTAGTTCATATGAATAGTTTTCGTTTGCAAATTCCATGACACCAGATCTTTAAAACAAATAAATTTATAAATTCTTTTTTTTAAAAATAAAATAAAAATAAAATATCAATTTTTATAAAATTATAATTTCTATTTTTTATTTATTTTAAATATCTAAACAACAACACTGATGAATAATCATTTCATTACTGATCAGATAATTTGGTATAAAATTATCTTTAAATTGATTTTTTTTTTTTTTTTTTGTCGTTTTTCTTTTTTTAAGCATACTTATAAGATGAAAAAAAATCAGTTTGAAAATCCAAGTGAGGGGGTGCTTATGAGTCAACTCTCACCCACGTGTTAAATTTATCTTTGAAAACAAAAAAATATATTATTAATAAATTTTAATTTTTTCATATTTTTTTTGAACAACACCATTGAGGTATTGACCAAATTTTTAACTATGCATTAACACACACCACGCATTCTTCACCATATTAATTTAATTTTGACTTCCACACACTCACTCACCGGTTACAGCACCTGACCACACACCTAAAAACTGTTGTGCAATAATAATAAAATAGTAGTAAATTTAAAATAATATTAAATTTCATCTTCGAACCAACAACAGTTAATTAATTTTAACTATATACACACACAACATCACAATCAACAATCAAACAATTGTTGACTCACTCAACTAAAACAAAAACTAAACTAAATACAGTCCAACAATTTTTGTTTGTTCAATTTCAAAATAGTTTTTTTTTTTATTTTTATTTTTATTTGTGTATTTGCATTTTATAAAAATAAAATATAATTATAATAATTATAATATAAAATTATAACATTACTATATTTCTAAAACAGGTTTCTATTTATATATATAAAGAAAAATGAAAGCTTTGATTCTTGTAGGAGGTTTCGGTACTAGATTACGTCCATTGACATTGTCAGTACCAAAGCCAATCGTCGAATTCGCCAATAAAGCTATGATTTTGCATCAAATTGAAGCACTCTGCAAGATTGGTGTCAATGAAGTCGTTTTGGCCGTAAACTATAGACCACAGCTAATGTCTGCTTATTTGGAGCCATACGCTGAGAAGGTATGTAAGATAAGTTAAAAACTTTGTTTGTTTGTTAGTTTGTTTAGTTGGTTTGTTCAATAAATAGTTAGTTAGTAGATAATTGTAGACAAATGATGAAAGATATTAATGTTTAAAATCACTTCTATACTATATAGTTGGGTATTAAAATTTCATATTCACATGAAACAACACCACTTGGTACAGCAGGTCCACTTGCACTCGCTCGTGATCTTTTGAATGATGGTCAACCATTCTTTGTATTGAACAGTGATATTATTTGCGATTTCCCATTTGGTGATCTCTTGGCATTCCACAAAGCACACGGTAAAGAGGGTACTATCATGGTCACCAAGGTAGAGGAGCCATCGAAATATGGTGTCGTTGTTTATAAAGAAGATGATGGTGCAATTCAAAAGTTTGTAGAGAAACCACAGCAATATGTGGGTAACAAGATTAATGCCGGTATTTATATTTTCAATCCTTCAATTTTAGATAGAATAGAGGTATGTTTATTATTACAACATTAAAATTTATCTATTGGAATACAAAGAATAGAGATCAATTAATAACTAACTAACTATCTAACTATCTATATTTTATAGCCAAGACCAACATCTATTGAAAAAGAGATTTTCCCAAAGATGGCAGAGGAAGGTGATTTATATTGTATGCCACTCGATGGTTTTTGGATGGATGTAGGACAACCAAAGGACTTTTTATCTGGTATGGGATTGTATTTGAATTCTTTGAAACAGAAGGCACCAGAGAGACTTGCCACTGGTCCAGGTATTATTGGTCCAGTGCTCGTCGATGAGACTGCCACCATCAAACCGGGTTGTCTGATCGGACCAAACGTAACCATCGGACCAAACTGTGTCATTGAGGAGGGTGCTCGTCTGGTCAACACCACCGTGCTGGAAGGTGCCACCGTAGGAAAGAACAGTTGGATCAAATCTACAATCATCGGTTGGGAGTCTACAATCGGAAAATGGGTCAGAATGGAGAACACCTCCGTCCTAGGAAAGGATGTTCACATTGCCGACGAACTATATATTAACGGAGGAAAGATTCTACCGCATAAATCGATTACCTCTTCCATTCCAGAACCAGAAATTATTATGTAATATCACAACAATATTTTTAAATTGCAAAAAAAAACAAAAAACAAAGAAAGAAAACAAAAGATACAAAAACAAAACAAACAATAATAAAACAAACAACTTATATTATAACAACATTAAATAAAAGCAAATATAAAATAAATAAAAAAAAAAAACTAAGTATATACAATTAAAACAAAAAAGTTAGATTAAGTTATCTTTACAAAAGACTAACTTTTTTATTTCTTTGTGCAAGTTCTCGTTCAACTTTCTTCTCTTGTAAGTCCTTTTGGAAAGTGGTGTGAATCTTTAGAATCTTTTCTCTGGTTTCAATCTTGTTGACGTGATCTTTCATTTTCTCTTCGAGGAGCTCACGTCTCTTCTTGATACCGGAGGATTCGAACCAGTTGCTCGATGCCAACTCCTTGAGTTTGATCAGTTCCTCTTCAACTTTATTGAGTTTTACCAGTTCCTCTTCGATTCTCGATTTCTGTGCAAAGATATCCATACCGACACGGAACTCCATGTCCTCGACCATCTGCTTGAATGCCGATTTATAGAGTGGCGAGTAGGCGGTGACCATTCGTTCGTTGTCCGTCTGTTGGAAGCTGAGCAAATCCGATTGAATCAGATTGTTCAACGATGTTTCATCGCCCATGAACACATTGAAGAGAAGATCGTCGTAACTGACCATATCGGATTCAGCAATCTTCTTGATTGTCTCCCAAATCTGTGGTCTCGTCCATTTGAGTGAGGATTTCTCTTTCTCCCCTTTGCCTTTGGTGTCGGTTCTCTTTGACAAACCGAAACCTTCGGCTCTGATTTCACCCACGGTCTTGGCAATCATCGATCGCAGTACCACGTTGACCGGCTCGCCAGACATGACACGCTGCGAGAGGTAGTTGAGGTCAGAGTATCTTCCACCCAGAGTTTTCACAATCGTTTTGTAGTCGCCATCCTGGAGATCTCTACCTAAACGATGACGCATGTATTCCTTGGCAGACTTGGGAGGCACGTCATTCAGCTGAATCGTTGTGACTTGTCCACCACCACGATTGACCAGATACTTTTTGAGGATGTCGCCGGCAAACGGGTCGGAACTGATAAACACAACGTGTGCTTGGCTTTTCATGGTACAGGTGATGGACCATTGAATGATTGAATCCATGATGATGTTGGCTTTCTCCTTGTTTTCCATGGCGGCGATCGTTCCAAAGAATCCATCGATTACGATCAGCGGGTAAGGGAACGGTTCGTGTGGATCCTGAGGGAAGGTAGCTTCCTTTGTCTCGAGAGCCGAGTCTAGAATCTTTAGAATCTTTTGAAGTTGTCCACCGGTCGACGAATGGAATGCACCTTTTCCAGTGGGAATGAGAGCGTCTGCCCAACCGACAACATTCGAGTAGAGACCGAACGAAGGGAAGAATCCGATATCCTTTGACAGGTTCTCAATGAATTCCTCATCGTTGTTATTTACATCTTGTGAACAGTCGATCAATAGAGTATTCAATCTTCCCATGAGAGTACGATCGATAAGACTACTCTTTCCACTACCCTTTGGTGCACTGATCATAACGATCGAGTTGGGACGATAGTTGAAATGTGAATTCAAAATATCCTCTTCACTTCTAGTTTGCCATTCTTCAACCTCCTCCATTGTATATGGTTCATTAAGTTTCTCCAACATGAAATGTTTTCTAAGTGGATCGAATAATACAATAGTTAACAATGTAGCTAAAACACCAAGTAATGGAATCTATTTTAGATATTTTACAACCATATGGTTGGTTAGTTTAATATAATAGCTCTGACAAAAATATGAACAAATAAAACCATACCATAATTCTTGGATGATTTGTAAACATATCTTTAATCTTATTTATATTCTAGAATATTGAAAAAAAAGTAAATAATATTAGTATGATTTATAATCGAATATTAATATTTTGTTATCGCTCAATCAATCGTTTACCATCATTGCTTCATATTCAATAACTAAAGTTGTACCAAACTCTGGAAAGTATTTGTTGTGTAGACAATTCTTGGCAGAGACAGCACCTTCCATTCTCTTGAATTGTACAATCATGTATTTCGGTGAATCTTTTGGTAGGTTGTTTGGAAAGTACGCTTGTTTGATGTGTCCATACGGACGAAGTTGACGAAAGACATCGTCGACCGACATCTCTGCACCCTTAAAGTAGACACGCAGTGTTATACTCGGTAGTCTGCTTTCCATGTCTTCAACGAGCGGACGTCCCTGCACCAGTTTCGAACGAGCCGGTGACGATGCCAAGAAAAAGTGTTTATTCATCTCACGGAAACGCACTTCTATCTCTTGGGCGACAGACTCTAGCGTTTCATCGGGACCGGTATTGTGTTTTCTGAAATGAATGTATGCACCACCCTCCTTGATTCTCTTTTCAAACGATATGATCTCAATATTCTCTGGAAACATTGCACGAATTCTCTGGGTAATAGGTATCTTGAAAAGCAACGATCTAAAATCCAATCTAAAAATCTTTATAGGATACAAGTTATTCACCCAAACAATACCTGATATTATATGCTTTAATGATCATATTAGTTTTAATCAAATATATATGTAATCAACTTGATTAATTAATTACCTTATCTTTTTCATCTTGTTCTTGTTCTTGAGTTGAAGTAATATTGTTTACAACTTTCTTTTCGAAATCTACCTCCCAAGTTGGAGGAATATAATAATTTCTTCTATTGAGTAAATCGAATTTATTGGTATACACCGTATTGTTATTATTTAGATTGTCTTTGTTTGAATGATTTGACAATGATGAAAATGATCTTAATGTCGATCTATTGTTGTTGCTATTGAAATGGTTGGCCTTGTAGATAGAATGTGTCAAACCACCAACTATTCCTATACCAGACCGTGGTAAAGAGTTGTATATATATTGATTTAATGCTTTATTATTTATATATTTTAACATATCTTTTTATTTATTACAAAATTAATTTAATAATACAACGAATCAAAGTGTTGACTGATCATCAACTTATGCTTAAATTAATTCGGAAAATAAAAGTTTTAATAATTAAAAACAAACAGTCATCTTTTTTTGATGACCAAAACAATCTTTTTTTTTCTGTTTTTATTTGAGTTTATATACAAATTACGTCATTTTCATTGTTATTATTATTATTTTGCTGTGAATTATAATTGTTTAATGATTGACTATTATTATTATTATTATTATTGTTGTTATTGTTGTTATTCTTTGAAATTGCAATTGTGATATCACGATTGAGTGATTCAATTGGTTGTGCAAAACTATTTCTATAGGATGGATTGTTGTTGATGTGTAACAGTTCTTCAAGATCTGTATCTTGTATTCTATTGGTCATCAGTTCGTCAAAGAGTTGTGGTGAAGGATCGGTGATAACTTTTACTCTTAGAATGGTTTGCATGTACAACAGGTAATAGTCAATGAGTGTGGTATCCATATGTTCACACTTTAACAGATTACTCGAAATATAGTAGTGTGAGATTGTTGATTTCCTTTTCATTCCAAAGTCAATATAGTCATTCATCATCTGATTGATCTTGATATCCAATTCATCTTTCAGGTCGTTGATACCAGTAATAACCAATGTGATATTATTATTATAGTTAAAATTATTGATATTTTGAGTGTTTCTTTGTTGAATAGCAGTTTGAACTCTTGACCTATATTGATCGGAAACAATAAACTCTTTCAGAAACTCAATGTCCAAGAATAAAATTGATTTCTGAGTTGTAGGTATATTGTTGTTGTTTGTCGATAGTTTGTTCATGAATGGATTCTGTTTGACGGCACTGTTCAGTAGCCGACCAGAAATCACCATACGTTCGTTACTAGTCCAGCTTTCACTCAACAACGATGCAAACATTGAAATGAAATTGAGTGTTTCGAAACTGGATTGTGTTTTCACCAAATGAAACTCTTCGCTTGCCACCAGTTTGTCGAGTGACTTTTCAATGTCTTCGATTGGACGCGCACCACTATAGGTGTGTTTCGAACCTTCGAGTACATAGAACATTCCACCGGCATTGAGTATCTCTACAGAGAGTGTACGGAATCGCTTGAATTTGTTATCGTAGAGCAAGCTCTCCACATCGTTCCAGGTGATTCGCTCAACGACAAACGGAAACAAATTCAAATTGTCCATAGTGAAATTCATCAGGTTTTGCTGCGTCGTCGTAAAGAGAAAGTCACCGAGAGCAAACTTCTTGTAGACAGCGGTGATCTGCATTTCCTCGAGTGGCTTCTCGAATGCCGTCCTGTTCTTTGCGCTGTTGGTATCGCTGAGGATACTCACGTATTTCTGTGTCAGTTTCGGTACCAGGCTGTTTGTCTTGACAAACTTGGTTCGCTCGAATGAAAAGTCGTGCATCAACTTGCCAATGTTCTTGCCGAGCGCCGTCTGGTAATAGAGTTCACCATCGGCAGCAATAAGGTTGCGCTCCACCAAGCCAGACAGCCGTTGTTTAAAACTACCAAACTCTTGCGATTTCAAGTCGTATCCACAGAATCCCTGAGAGTATGAGATGACATCACGCTCCGACAGTCTCTTATTGTTCTGAATGGAGACTGCCGACATACAAGCGAACCAAACCGATTGAAATATAGGAAACATAACATCGTCATAGATTAAATCTTCATTATCGCTACCAATCATCATACTATCATTGTCATTGTCATCATCTAAATTCATATCGTCACTAATTCTAATAATACTACTATTGTTGTTGTTGTAGGTAATATGATTACTATTAACTAAATCTAAAGCAAATGGTTGCTGTTGTGAACGATTCAATATTGAAACTCTTGGAATAATTGGAACATTTCTATTTGGAAACAACTTTAACCATTTGTTGTTCTCTGCTTCTATTTGATGAAGTTTCTCTAGTAATACCTGATCTGTACTATTCAATATGGTACCATTTCTCATTATGACTTCAAAGGTGACGACTTCTCTCGTTGGCAAAGGTATATTGTATACTCTCCTAATGAAATGTTCAATAGGATCATCTTTATCCCTATCGAATCTACAATACTCTTGATATTGTAATTTCAACTTTTTTAAATCAACTAAAAAATAATGTTGTAAAAGTACAATGTTGTATTAATTAATTATGTTGTTCGAAGAGTATAAACCATTTAATAAAAATAATAATAAAAAAAGAGAACATACCTACTTTTTTTAAGATATTGTTTAATTTGTAATAGATTTCCCTGTAGCGAGATAGGAGGAATTGATTCATTTTCAATTAGCTCTCTAATTGATGTCATTAAATTGATATATTTCGTTTTAATCAATGAAATATCTATGTAATTAATATTTTCATTATTTATATTTTTATTGGTGGATGTGTTGTTTACTTGTTGATGTTGTTTTTGAAGTTGTCTTAGTTCATCTAGTTGTTTATATAACATTGCAAGTAGTATTGGATTCGATACAGATTCAATGATATCATTGTCGTTGAATGAATGTTCACCGATCAGTTGATCGGTGTTCACAGACAATCTCGTATTATTATGATAATAGTAGTCTTTCTTTTTAATCTGATTCTTGAACAACACTGATACTCTATCATTCCTATTGAATGCAATAGATTTCACCAGATACTCTAAATTTGGTTTATCATATAATGTATGATCTCTTATCTTTAGATTTATCATTATTATTTATTTCTACACCTAACAAACTAACAAACAAAACAAAACAAAACAAACTATCTATTTACAAGCATAAAACAACAACAAACAAATTTAATATGAATATAAATGTCTTACAAACAATGACAGCAACCACACACTTTAAATTCTAACGCTTAAAAAAACATATAAATGGACAGATATTTTTGATTTTTTTATCGACAATTAAAATAAAAAGTATTCAGAAGATTCGGATCTTTAAGTGAATTCATTTGCCTTTGCTTTTTTATTGAAACTAAAGTACAGCAGCAAACAATACAATTGTGTTTTATTTATTTATTTATATAGTTTGCATATATATATAAATTGATAAATAATACTTTTGTTTTTTTTTTTTTGTAAATAGTAATAATAATAATAAAATGGTTAACTCTAGATTTACAAAGAAACAATTGATATTGTTATTCATTTTATTTGCTGCAATATCTTTAATGTTTGTAGAGTTTCAACAACAAAATACAATTACCAATTCATCAAATTCATTTTCCACCTCTCACTATGAACAACCAATAGATGAAAATTATGAAAATGAAAATAATAATAAATTAGATTTGTTAAATAATAAAAAATACAAAAAAGATAATAAATTAGATAATAATAATAATAATAATAATAATGATAATAATAATGATATTGATGATAATGAATTTAAAGATAATTCATTCTTTGATCAAAGAAATAAAGGACCATTTGATATTACAAGAGATGAATTAAATAATACAGATTCTGATACGAATATTAAATACCAATCAAGTAGTGGAAATAGTGGAAGTAGTAGCAGTAGTAATAGTATAAATATAATCAATAGAGATAGTGATAATCAAGATTCAGGTGTAGATATAGATTTTCCAAATTTAAATAATAAAAATGATGAAAATAGTGAGGATAGTGAAGAATTTAATAAAAACAACAATAATAAACATGTTGTTTCTACAGCCACTCCAAAAGTTGATGTCATAGGAATGAAACGAAAGAGTGCTTATCAGGAGAAAAAAGAGAGAGAAAGACTGAGTAGAGTTGAAGAGTTGCGATTGTTGGATCGTGTCATCGTAGAGTACAGAAAGGAACGTATCTTGATCGAAGAGAACACTCTCGAAGATCCAGAGTGGAAGGAGAACTTTGGTTATGTCGCATGTCCAAACTACACTTGGTACCAAACTCCCAGTGAATCCGATTGGCTAGCGCTATTCGAAGATCCGACTTGGAAGAGCAACCGTTCACTCAACCCATTCTACTTGCCGAAACCACATATTTTCATCCACATTCCAAAGACCGCCGGTACCAGTCTGGTGGAGCTGTTCAAGGCGAATGAGATAGCGGAACGATTGTATCACACTATTTCACATCCTCAGATTCAAGATATCCCGGGATTGGCAAGCAAAACATCGATATTTGGACACATTCACTTTGGATTGCATCTTTACTACGAGGACACCGATCCTAGTTTGGTGGCAGAGAGACCCGATGGTTTGATAAAATACAGCTATCTGACTTGGTTTAGAGATCCGGTCGATAGAATTATATCACATTACTTCTTCCTCAGAGACAGTAGAGATCATCCTGCACACGGTATATCAATGATATATAACATTTCAGAGTGGATCGAAAAGTCACCGATTGGCGACAACGAACAGACTCGAAGAATTCTTGGATCCAGTAGAAATGAAAAGTTCACAGATGAATCGATAGAAATTGCTTTACATCATTTGAAATAGTATGATATTCATAAATTATTATAATTTATCTTTTTTGAAAAGTCAAAGAAAGAGAGAAAGAAAGAAAACTAACATTTTTTTAAAACTTTTATAGCTCAATGAAATTTGTTGGATTGACAGAGAGATTCGATGAATCAGTGGTTTTGATGTCACATTTCACAGGATTTAAAAATATTAGCTTCCCAAAGACAAATATTGGAAAACAGAGAACCAAGGTTGATGTTCCAGACGAAATAAGAAGATTAATTGCTGAAAAGAATTGGATGGATGTCATCATTTACAACCGAGCAAAAGAAATCTTTGAAAAACAAATTGATATGATTGGAAGAGATTTTATCAATGCTGAAGTCGATTACTATAGATCTATCCAAATCGACAGTTAAAATATAATTTTTTTTAAAGTTTATTAAAATAAAGTAAAACAAAGAAATATTTAAATAGTTAGGTGGAAAGGTTTGAGTTACAAAAAAAAAACATTAATCAAAAAAATCTATAGATCTGAAAAACATCAGCAAACTCTGGGTGGACCATTACTCTTTTATGTAAGAAAAATTGTATGATTTTTTTTGGGCAGATTTTATTCTAATTTAAAAATTCAATTGTTTGATTAAATATTATATGGATTTACCAGAGTTCAAACTATCAATTTTTTTGTAATCCAGATTTTCTGTTTATCTAAAAAATCACATTTGCAACTAAATATGGATTGAACTGTTCAACAGTGAAATGATATCTTTAAGATTTGATTTTCTACTCAATTTTATTAAAGAATGTTGAGTAGTAAAAAGAAGAAATTATTATTTTTTATATTTTTTGTATCTATATCTTTGACTTTATTAGAATTTATATCTCGCCCCAAATCAATAAAGATTGAAAATGAAAATCCTTATAAAGATAAAAATAATTTAAAGTATCCTCTTGAAAAAGAAATAAATAAAGAAAATAAGTTAATATATGATATTAAAGGAAGGGATGTTGAAAATAGATTGAGTAATGAAAAAGATTCTAGTATTAAACTAGAAATTAGAGGTAAATATCAAAAATTGATATAATTTTTTAGAAGAAATTAAATTTTAACTTTTATTTAATTAATAGTCTTAAATGAATATACTAGAATGGATATTGAAAATGAATTTCAAATTCGAAAAGAAAAAGAAAGATTGGGAAGGGAAGAAGAAATCAATTTATTCAAGAAAGTAATTATAGAGTATAGAAAAGAAAGAATATTATTTGAACAGAAAACACTAGAGAATCCACTTTGGATAGAGATGGTTGGATATGTAGCACTTCCAAATCATACACGGTACCGACCACCAAAAGATTCAGAGTGGGAGTCGTTGATTAAAGATCCATCTTGGAAGGTTGATTCTTCTTTAAATCCCTTTTACCTTCCAAAACCACATCTATTCATTCACATTCCAAAGACTGGAGGTACAAGTTTAGTTGAGTTGTTCAAAGCCAATGAAGAACCAGAGAAGTTACTACATTCTACCAATCCTCAAATTTTCAATGTCCCAGGATTAACAAAGAAGCAGTCAATATTTGGACATATTTTTTTTGGAGTTCATTTATATTTCAAAGAAAGTGTAGATTCATTAGTAGTTCCAGAAAGAAAAGATGGATTGATAAAGTACAGTTATTTGACTTGGTTTAGAGACCCTGTAGAAAGAGTAATATCCAACTACTACTTCCTCAGAGATAGCAAAAGACATCCAGAGCATGCTTTGGCAACAGTACATACTTTAAAAGAATGGATAGAAATTTCACCGATTGCAGACAATGAACAAGCTAGAAGAATTATTGGATGTGGTAGAGGTGATAAATTTAGCGATGAATCAATAGAAATTGCTTTACATCATTTGAAATAGTATGATAAGATTTTTAAAAAAAAATATTATCATTTAAAAACTAATGAAGGTTATTTTTAAAACTTTTTTATAGTTCTATTAAATTTGTTGGATTGACAGAGAGATTCGATGAATCAGTGGTTTTGATGTCACATTTCACAGGATTTAAAAATATTAGCTTCCCAAAGACAAATATTGGAAAACAGAGAGTTGTAGTTGAAGTTCAAGAGGATGAGAGAAGATTAATTGCTGAAAAGAATTGGATGGATGTCATCATTTACAACCGAGCAAAAGAAATCTTTGAAAAACAAATTGATATGATTGGAAGAGATTTTATCAATGCTGAAGTCGATTATTATAAATCGATTAATAATCTTTTATAAATCATCATTCACATCCACAAAAAGTTTGTGGACAATTGTTGTATCAAATAAAAAGACTCAGCAGTTGTTATTTTTTAAAAGTTTATTTAGTTGTATTTTATTTTAAGTTATATTATATTGAAAACAATGAAAAAAAAGGTGGAGTTGCTAGCTATCTTTGGAGAAAAGCTTTACTAGTAGGTGATCGATCTATTTACTCTTTTGATTTTTTGGATGATGATTTCTTCTCTTCCTTCTTATCCTTCTTTGATGATGACTTCTTCTCTTCCTTCTCCTCCTTCTTATCCTTCTTTGATGATGATTTCTTTTCTTCCTTCTCTTCCTTCTCTTCCTTCTTCTTTTTCTTTGGCTTTTCGTCGACCTCCATGGCGTCTTCCTTCTTTTCCTTCTTGTCCTTCTTTGATGAGGATTTCTTCTCTTCCTTCTCCTCTTTCTTCTCCTTCTTCTCCTCCTTTTCAACCTTTTGTTTCTTTGAGGATGACTTCTTTGATGGTTTCTCTTCTACCTCATCCATATCGTCTGCTGAACGTTTATTTGACTCGGAAAAATCTTTAAAAATAAAATTAAAGTAAATTAATGTTAGATATATATGATGAATTATAATATTATGTTTTAAATAATTACCTTTTTCAACTTCTTTAATAACTTCTCTCATAACATCTAAATTTCTCTTTGGAGAAACACCGCTGGTGAAGAACTCTAATCTGTCATCAACTTGTTTCTTTAATGTCAAACCAAACTTGTCAGTTGGATTCTCAGAGAAACAATCGATTCTGGTGGCAATTGATACTTTATTTGCGAGACATCTGGAAATTCTACCTTTATTCTTTGGTGTTGCTTTAGAGATGAAACCAGATTTATAAATAATACCATACTTTGGAGTCTTTCCACGAACTTTGATAGCTCTATAATTATTTAATTAAAAAAAAAAAATAAGAAAATAGAAAATGAAAAATATAAATATTATTAATAATTAATTATATATATATTAAATTATAATAAATATTAGTTTACCTGAATAAAGCTTTCTCAGCACCAAGAATTTGAACGGTGGAAGCTGGATATTTGGCGAGATTGGTGAGTGAACCGGCACGGGCAATCAATTGAGCACCAACACGGTCACCAATGAGGGTTTGGAGATTTGGAGCGATGTCACGCATCTTCTTGGTGAGATATTGCTCGAGGGAGTCACGGTACTCGTGGAGCGAGATGACACGATCGGCAAAATGTATAATTGATTCCAAATCGATGGTGGAGATGTCGGTACCCATAGAGGACTTTCCGGCACTGAAAATGTCTTTGGCGAGTTGTTCGTCGTCACCGACGATCTTCTTGATGTCATCGATCATCTCTTCGTTCAAGGAGGTCTTGTTCTCGATCAACTTGACCAAACGTGCGAAATGAATGTTCTCCTTGACGATCTTTATCAACTCTGGGAAATGCCATGCGTACCACTCACGGACACGCATATGGAATGTATTGAGATCTTTGTCCAATTGCTCCAAAGTGCTGATGGCTTGAATAATCATATTGTCGACCTTGTGAACGTTGAACTTTACCTTGGATCTAGAGTAACTGTGACCAAGACCAAGTTGTGCTTTAACTAAATCTCTATCCTTCAATTTAGTGAATGAATTGACATGTAATCTAATACAACGTAATACTTCCTATAAATCAATTGTTTATTATAATTATTATATTAGTTTACTATTCGTTTTGTTATTCGTTTCATATAAATTTTTACTTACATGTGTGAGAGCGTTGGAAATACAGTTGATAGCGGTTGACTCTTGGATGGAAGCAGCCAATTTATTGTCAGAGACACCGAGTACGACACCCGATGATTTCTTCAAGGTTTGTTTGAGGAAAGACTTGAGAGAGTCAGTCAACATTCCTTCAGAGATGGAATTGATGTTTTCGAGAGCCTCTTGTGCCGATGTGAATGGCAACTCACCGATCAACTTGGCAGACTTTGAGAACTTGTCAAAATCTTGCATCGATTTCTGTACGGAAGCATTTTGAATTTGCTCGGTTTCGCTCAAACTGAAGATATTGAATCCAGTCGATGTTTCAAACAAGATATGTGTGGCCATTGCTTTACTTTCTTTTTTGATCTAATTATTATAAATGTTTTCGAAACTACTGACAAAAATCTTGATTCTATTCAAACTCTATTACTATTAATTTAAAATATATTTAATTTAAAAATAATAATATAATATATAAATAGTATAAATATATATATATATTTAAAAGTGAGAATAAGTGGGAGCTGTGAAACAAAGGTTCGAATCAAAAAAAAAAAATAATAATATTAACAATTTCTTATTTTATTTTAAAAATTATTTTTGACGAGTAAAAACAATCGTGCGTTTTTTCGACAATAAAAAAAAAAAAAAATGAAAAAAAATATTTTTTCCTCTCTCTCTTTGGACTTGTAAAAATTAAAAAAGAACTTCCGGAATCATTTTTTTAAAAGCACATCATCACACTATTATTAATAAATAACATATTTGTTTTTTTTTTTTACAACCACAACTACTGTTTTATTTATTTTTACATTATTAATATATTCAATTTCAGATTTTTTTATTATTTTAAAATCAACACTTTAAATTAGCATTAGTTTAAATATTTATTTATTATAGTTTTATATTTACACATAAAAGATAAAGAAAAATGACAGAACAAAAACAACATTATAGAGGAAAGATTGATAAGTTGAGTTCAGAAGTTGTAGATTCAAATCCATATAGTAGACTTATGGCTTTGAAAAAGATGGGTATTGTTAATAACTATGAGGTAAATTAAATAAACATCTATTTAGTAAAACAAAGTTGTCATTTGACTTTTTATTGACTATATTCTTTTTTGATAATAATAATATGATGATGATTGATAATTTGATTTAATCTTAGGATATTAGAAATAAAAGTGTTGTAATTGTTGGTCTTGGTGGTATTGGTAGTGTAGCAGCGGAAATGTTGACAAGATGTGGTGTTGGAAAGTTATTGTTGTTTGATTATGATACCGTTGAGATTGCCAATATGAATAGATTGTTCTTCAGACCGGAGCAAGCCGGTATGACAAAGACAAAGGCTGCAATGGAGACTCTACAATCGATCAATCCAGATGTCGAATTTGAAACATACAACTATAATATTACTACTCTCGATAACTTTAATCATTTCCAAGAGCGTATTAAATGCGGTGGTATCGCTGAGGGTTCGCCAGTGAGCTTGGTACTCGGTTGCGTCGATAACTTTGAGGCAAGAGTCGCTATCAATCAAGCTTGTTTGGAGTTGAATATGGAGTGGATGGAGTCTGGTGTCTCGGAGAATGCCATCTCTGGACACATCCAATTCATCAAACCCGGTGAAACCGCTTGTTTCCAGTGTGTTCCACCATTGATTGTTGCTAGTGGTATCGACGAGCGTACACTCAAGCGTGAGGGTGTCTGCGCAGCATCGCTACCGACCACCATGGGTATCGTCGCCGGTATGTTGGTACAAAGCGCACTGAAGTACTTGCTTGGATTCGGTGAGGCATCGAATCTACTCGGTTACAATGCACTCCAAGACTACTTCCCAAAGGACACTATCCGTCCCAATCCAGAGTGTGTCAACAGCTTCTGTGTAAAACTACAAGCAGCCTATCAAGAGTACCTAAAGAACAAACCTGTAGAAATCAAACCAGTCGAAGAAATTGTAAAACCATCCACTGAGAATGAATGGGGAATTGAATTAATTGAAGAAGAAGTTGTACCAACACCAACAACAAAACCAACTCAACAACCAAGTAAAGGAATCGAATTTGCATATGAAACAACACCAACTGTTGATGTAACTATATAACAAATTATTATTAATTTATCAATAACTTTATTTATATTAATATAATATTATCTTTATTATTTTTTTAGTTATCAAAAGAAACAACAGTTCAAACAAATGAATCAACAAGTCTTTCTGATTTAATGGCAAAATTAAAATACAATAGTAATAAAATAAAATAAAAATCATAATTGTTTTAAACATTTATATATATATATATATATAAGTACTAAATAATATTTATTTACAAACTGTTCGGAGTCTGAAAAATAACTATTGATTATTTTCTTGCTTTAGTTTTACCAAATTTAGCTAAATCCTTTGGAGTGACTTCAACACCATTGAGGAACTTGAGATTGGTTTGAATCTTTGAGTTTGTTAGTTTCTTAAAGAATCTGATTCTGTCTTTCTCGGTGTCTTTATCGTAACAAGAGTTCTCTTCGATGAATAGAGTCTCTACATTGAGTAGATCAATAATTTTACAGAGCATTGCAAGATCTTTAAATTTGTTGTTTCGAAGATCGAGTGCCTTCAGTGACTGGAGATGGTGGATAGCGCTCTCCTTAAGATTACTATCGGTGATAGAGTTGTCAGAGAGATTCAGCACGACAAGTTGTGGTAGTTTGTTGAAGAAGAGCGACGACAAACCACAACCACGTAGGTCAATCTCTGTGAGCGTAGAGTACTCGAGACTGGAGGCACGTCTTAGAAGTGCAATGTTGAAGAGATTCTCTTTTCTATCGATCGAAGAGTCGGCTTTAGTGGAGTTGATCGATGATTCGTAGATCTCCTCCGGTGTGATCTCACTGACATCCAAAACAGAGAGTGGATACTTGTGTGTCTGATAGATTGGTGGTAGTAAGCATAGGAACTTTACGCGATAGTTGTTAGAGTTCTTTGTGAATGGATTACCAAAGATACCCAAAACTTGAAGATTTGGCATTTGTAGAATATGTGTTTTTACATCTTCAGCCGATGCCAATTCATTATGACGAATATCCAATGCCTAGTATTAAGTTAACAAATGGAGAGATTAATATTTTTTTCAAAAAAAAAAAAAAAACAACATTAACATTATTATGATTGTTAATACTTACAAAAAGTTCAGTTAACTTTACAAGTGAATGTAAATTATCTAAGGATTTAAATCTATTGTTTGGTAACAATAATGTTTTCAAATTTACATATGGTGATACATCTAAATACTCTAATGCACAATCACATAACTCTAAATTGACCAACTTTAAATTGTATACAGTTAAAAAGAAGTTGTAAGTATATATATTTGTTGATTGAATAGCTAGCTGGTTGGTTAACTTTTTAGACTTACAGTATGATCATATAAATTAATTGATTTAATTCCTGTGATATAGGCTAGCTTAAATTGTTCGGCATCTTTGAGTGCACCTCCAACCAACTTCCAACCTTCGACTTTATCGTATATGGTGATTTCGGTATCAATGACTTTGAGTGGTGCATCGATTTGCTTCATCGAGTGCATCAAACCAATCAGTTGTAGACGATCTTGTGGTGACTTCATGTTTGGATTGCCGCGAATGGCAAAGATCTCGAGATTCGATAGGTTATCGAGTATCTGTGCAATGATTGGCAGCGGTGTTTGAATGTGGTTATTTACAAATGACAATCGCTTCAACAGCCTTAGATTCTGCAATCCAATGTTGCTTATATCAGTTAGTTTGTTGTTTGTCAAATCCAATTCTGTAACATTGACCAAAAAATGAAAAGTTGACAGCATCCGACACCAAGTTCCAATCTCTCAGTCTTCTCAAACATGTAATCTGGACGGGATCATATTGTTTGCCAATCTCTACTTGATCCGGATGAATTCCCCTGTTAAAGTGCATCGTACAGTTGACGGTAAGAGACAAAAAGAAACGATACTTTTCAACTACTTCAGTTGGGTATCCAGCATGTGCATATGCATCAACTCTTTCATTAAAGTTGATTGTTGTCTACACAGAAAAAAGATATTAGCTATCATATTATTATTTAATATTGATTATTCTCCAACTTACACTGTCGATTAATAATAGATTTCTATTCTTTGGAATAAGTTGTTTGAGTATGGATGCACGATATTCACGTGATCCAGATAATCTTGGATGTGTGTTCTTGTTTGAAACGTGGAAGGAGAATGACTCTAGTGTTTCGGTGTTGGCCAATTGCTGTAGGACTGCATTGGTGTCTAGATCTGGATTGTCGTTGAGATAGAGAATTCTAAGATGTTTGAGGTGTTGTAGACCTGTGAATGAAGTCAGCTGGTTACCGGAAAAGTCGACAACCTGTGCATTTAAAAACATGGAGACATCGCAAAGCGCGAGATTCAACCGAGGGAATGTCACTGATTTCACCAACGACAAATAGTCGGGAATGGTTTGGAGTTGTTTGTGACCGAATCGCTCGATCAACAGAATCTTCCAACGGAAGATCGACGCTGAATTTGGATTGGTCGGTTCGTGCACTTCGATCGCCTTGATACGCTCCTCCTTGGTGATCGGTGTGTCGTCGATCTGCACCAGACCAATCATACGGTTGGTTCCTTTGAGGTTGCGGGTGATGTAAATGAGTCGCTGACGATAGGCATCCATACGAATGTTGTCATTCAAATTGACGAACCTCATCGATGGTGTCAACTCAAAGATGTTGATCATGTCCTGGCGGTTCAGCAGCTGATTGTTTCGGAAGCTGCAGTAAAAGAGTTGTGCGCACTTCTCCATGCCAGATTTGGAGATGTCGGTGAGCAAATTCGAGCTGAGATCGAGGTGTTGCAAGTTTGGAAAGTTTCCAACGTAAAAGAATTTCAACATTGAGTTTTGGAGTACGAGATGCACGATGTTCTGTGGTGACCAGCCAGCTTGCACCGGACGGAGTGTACGCACCTCCGCCAGATTATCGAGGTACAATTGCCAACGAATCGTATCGATCTGTGACTTTTGCTCGAAGGAGCCATACATCATGATACCCTTGACTCGCTCATCGACACTCAACTGCTTCTGACTGATCGTTTCCAATACCAACAGCTTTGCACACAATCTCAACTGATAATCATCTCTACATATTGGATTTCCCAAAAGATTGAATACCTCCAAATTCAATGAATACTTTGTAATCTTTCTAATTGATCTAAATGTTTTAATTCTATTTTGTGATAAATCACTAAATATATAATAATATTTAACTTAATATTAATATCGATTTTTTAAATATATTATTAATTAATAATAATAATAATAATATGACATACCAAAATCTTAAATTTGGGAATCTAGCATTTTTACCAATTCCACCAATTCCAACATTCTTTAAAATGAGTGTTTCAACTAGTGGACATAAAGTCAACTAAATTTAGTTGAAAAAGATAACATGTTAATAATGATGATTAATTTGATAAATAAAACCATTACTAGTACTACTTACTCTTTTCCATAGTTGTTTCTTTGTTTTATTGTTTAAAGGATAATCGACAATACATATATAGGTTAGGAGTGAGAGGTTGAAAGCCGATGAGTTTAGATCCTGGTAGGTTAGAACTTTCTCTTGTGGCGGTGTCTGGTTGAATGTTCTCATTGGGTTGCCCTTGCCAACGAGGAATCTTGGCTTGATGTCTTGTACTGCGGGTTGTGCGCGACGAGTGTTTAGATCAATCTGGTCGAATCCATAGGGATGCATACCCTCCTGTGGTTCTTGGATGATCGGCAGCTCCGTCTCTGGCACGACGGCATTCGGCACCGGGTAGGTCTCCTCGATCTCCTCGTGATAGAAAGAGAACGGTGCACTCGAGTACTCGGTGGTTGGCTGATTGAACAGATCCTTGTTCATGCCGACCTGTGGCAGTGCAGGTGGATACACCACAGGACTACTGAAATGCAAAACATAGTCACGCTTTCTACTCTGTTTCGGTGAAGTCTGAACAACAGCATCCTTAATCTTTACTTTTATACTATTTACTTTCTTTTCGAAATCTGTTTCACTTAGATTTTTCTCTAAATAAATAAATAAATAATAATCCAATGCAATCAAATTAATACACTTTATGAATTTAGTAATTAACAAGTCGTTTCAATTTCAAATTTACCTAAAAAATTTTTAAAATTATTCAACATTGTTTGCTCTGTTTTTTTTTTCGTTTTTGGTGTCGCTCTGCTTTGATCACTGCAGATATGTATATTGGTTGGTTTCTCTGTATTTATTTCTGTTTTGTTTTATCTAATTATAATGATGATATACTAACTAACTAACTACTAACTAAACTAACTCTACTCTATAATTATTAATTAACAAACTATCATTAACTACTTTTAATTATTATTATTATTCTAATAAAAAAAAATAGAGATATTATTTATTTATTTGAAAAATAGATAAAGATATGATATAATACAATAAAATGATTCTAATATTACTACTACTTAAAAAGAGTAATCAAAGATAGATAATTATGATTTGTTTGGTTTAAGTAATTTAAGAAACTCAAAAAACAAAGAATAAACTAAACAATCAAAAATAAATTAATTAAAAATAAGTTTTGATGGTGAAAAAAAACAAAAAAAAAAAAAAAACAAATCATTAATCAAAAAAAAACTACATCAAGTGTGAAAATGTGGTTATAATTTAAAACAACCTTCTTTTAAAATCAATGAAAAAAAAAAAAAAAAGAAATACAATGGTAAAAAAACTTAAAAGACCCAAACAATAATTTATTTACATTAGAAGGTTTTTTTGACTGTTCGTAGTCGTGTAGAACAATTATTTCAACTAAAATATCGCAAATATGATAAGAAAACAAAAACATTTAAGATTATCATATAATCGATCGTTAAATGAAAGGTGCAGGTGTGGGCGCAGTTAACTCGAAATCAAATCGATCTATGCCAAAAAAAATACATTTTTTTTTAAATAAAAATTGTTTTCACATCTTTTGCGTTTTGTTCTGTTGGGCAATATGGACATTTAAATTTACTGTGAAATAGTAGTAGTAATTAGTAATTATGAAATTGAATATATATTTTTTTACTTAACAACATACCCAGATGCACCTTTAATTAATTTGGTCATTGAATTCTTTGAGAGTAGATGTCCACATTGAAGAAGAACGGGTGGATTGTTTTTAGTGCTTTGTTCACGTGACACTGGACATGAGAAGATCGAGTGATATTTGTAGCGTTGATCGACGTTGACCTCGACGGTGAGTGACTCGTCGTTGACGTCGCGCAACACTGAGAATGTTGAGAGTTTGATAAAGGTGGGCAGTGCCTTCATACCGACGGTGACAGTGATGAACAGTGGCGACTCTTGTGGTAGTCCCATCAGAGTGAAGCTATCCTTTGAGAAGCAACTCTTGATGTCTCGCCACTGATTGTCAATCGAGCGCTCATTGAATATACTGGCATACGGTGAACTCTCTAGCCTGTCGGCATAGATAAACGATCCCATCAACGTTTGAATATCTTTCATCTTGTGTCCACTGAACTGATTAAAGTGCTTCCTAGCATAGACGAGAGCATCCTGACGCTTATTCGTCGACATCAAATGAATGAATTGCAATCGATGTAATTTAAACTCCAAATATGAATCCAACTTTGAAAGTTGTAACTTTTTATGTTTACACCAACTTTTCAGTTAATAATTATTAACATTTAATGTTTAGTTTGTTTGTTTGTTAGTTTATTTGAATATTGATATTCGTGATGATGAATAATAAGTATTATTATTATTATTATTATTAATTACTTACTTTATTGCAGGTTGTAAATCTTTTCTATCGATTGAATTCAATATGTCGTGATGATCTACAAATTTCGATTTGAGTTGATCGTTGGCATTCGAGTCTAGGTGCATCTCCTCAGAGAAGATATCACCAATATCAAAGCGTCCCTCTCTGTAGAGATGATTGAGTATCAGCTGGTTCAGTGTATTGTTGTCGAAATCGATATCTTTTGTCGATTGTTCAATGTCGGATCGTACACACTTGTCAATCGACTTGCCCATCTTTGAAATGGGTGCATGTAATTCTTTGTGTTCAGACTGCATCTTTAAACATAACTTTGATTCCGATATAGTTTTATGAAGGTTATTTATAATCATTGGTAACATTGTATTACTACTATTATTATTATTATTACTATTATTATTGTTATTATTATTATTATCATTATCAATACTCATTGTATTATTACTACTACTATCAGATTCTACATTTGATAGTAATTGTAATTGATTCTTTGATGAGTTCAATGTTGAAATGATAGTATCTATATCTTTGATTGTTTTTGACATTGTAGTCTTTTGCTTCTTTGCTATTCTACCTATATTATCCTCCAATTGGTCAAAGTCAATTCTATTTCCACCATTCCCTCCATTGCCACTTCCTGTATCCATTTCTGACATGTCTTTACTATTTACTTTTTATATATATTAAATACTAAAACTACAAATTAACAAAATAAAACACAAAACAAAATAAAACTAAACAATAATATGAACTAACTATATACAAACTTATTTACAAATTATTTATTATGAATTAGAAATGTTAAATTAACGTTTTTTTTTTGGTATTGAAGATTAATTTTAATAATTAAAATTTTTTATTTAATGTGAAAAATATGAAGTTTACTTAATAAATATACATCAAAAAATAAAATATCATTTTATATGCATTAACATCAATGAATCATACGAGTCACAGTATAAAATTAATAATCATTTAAGTTTATTTAACCAATAAAATAACTAAATATTTCTTGAATCTCACATTCTATTATGATAGAGTTTACATCTTTTAACTTTTAGGTAAATCTTATCAATATACAAATTATATATTCTTATTATAAAACAACTCAAATTTATAAAGTATGAAAGATTCAATCAAAATCTAAAATGGTAATACCATCATCATTATTGAAATAATAGTTATAGTATGATTGAGGAATTTAAATAAATATATTTTTTTTTTTTTTTATTTATTCTAATTTATTATTTTTTTATTTTTTTATTTTTTTTCTAAGTTTGTTGTCTATTAATACACAGGAGCAGAGCAATGGGTTGGGTTTTAAGAGAGTGGAGAGGTGTTTTAAATATGATTGAAAAAAAAAGAATGAAGATTGGGAAAAAAAGTAGTCTAAAAAAAAAATATAAATAATTATTATTATTATAGTTGGAATGAAAAAAAAAAAAAAAAGGATTTGGGAAAAGCTATATAATGTCAAGTTTGTGTGAGTTTGGTTGTTTTGGAGGTTGGTTGGGTTGTAAAGGTGTTGTATCTTTTTTTTTTTTTGTTTGTTTCCTTTCTTTTCTTTCTTTTTGAAGAATTGTTGATTGTTATTTGTTGTTGTTATTATTATTATTATTATTGGATTGTTGTTGTTTTAATTGTTTATCTTTTTAAGAGTTTCTTTTCTTTTTTTTTTTTTTGTTGTTTGTGCTTAAGTGGTGGTGGTTACCTTAGAAGTGCTCCAATGCCTGACTAAGAATGGTTTGTCGTACGGCTTTGAATACAAATTTAATGTTTTCTGTATCGACGGCACAGGTGGCGTGGGTGTAAATGGTACGAGGTGATGGTCCTTGGGCGAGGTACTGCGATTGGATAAACATGGCTGCGTCTTTATATTTGTTGGGACCGGTATATTCAGAGAAACACGACTGTAGTGGTACACGCTTTAGCTTTTCCTTGAAGAGATCCTTCTTATTCAGGAAGAGTACGATCGGTGTATCTTTAAAGTAGTCGCAATTAACAATCTCTTTGAAGAGAGCCAGCGACTCTCTGGTACGGTTTACAGTCTCATCTTCACGCAGCACCTGATCGTAGTCACTCATGGCTGCCACAAAGATAACTGCAGTGACACAATCGAAACAATGAATCCACTTACGACGTTGTGAACGCTGTCCACCGACATCGACAATCTTTAATCTAATCTTTTCAAATGTAAACTCTGACTCTTGAATACCAGTTGTTCTTACACGACATCTAAGTACATCTTGTTCATTTGGAATGAAATCCTCTTTCATATATCTATCAATATTTTCAAAGAAACTAAATAATTATAATAATAATAATAATAATAATAATAATAATAATAATAATAATAATAATAATAATAATTAAAAGTTGATTAATATTTCTTATCTTTTTAAATATTATTAATTATTATTATTGATTTACTACTTACTAAGAAGCTGAATCATTCAGTTGGAAATATTTATCTTTTTGTGCATATGTATCTTTAATTCCCTTGTCTTCCCACAAGTGTTTGATGTCTTCGGCCAACAATAACCATGGTTCATTACCAATTGTTCGTCTTAAAATATTAGCTGCTCTTTGCTAAAAATAAATAAATAATAAATAAAATATGTTAGTTTATTTATTTACGATTATAGTGGTAGTAGTTGTAGTAGTAACTATTGTATTAAACTTACTTTGTTCTCTGGTTTCTCCAACTCAATATTTAATTTTGCAGATGCTGTCAATAATGCCTCCATTTGACTTATACAATTTGAATATACAAAAGCACGATACTCCATCAGTTCATCTCTAGAATAACCACCATCCTCTTGAATAATCTTCATTTGTTTAAAAATGGTTGATTTACCTATAATTATATTATTATATTATTATTATTATTAATATTTGTTTGTTCATTCTTTTACTATTTATTATTATTATTATTACTATTGATATTTACCTGATTCACCTGGACCCAAAAGTAATAATTTGACAAACTTTCTCAACTTTCTTCTATCTGTTTCGATCATTCTGTCGATCTTTGACGAGGCTTCAGTCTCCTCAGATCCAAAACATTTGAATCTCATCTTTGATTATTATTATTATTTATATTTATAAAATAAAAATATATATATATATTATTGAATTATTAATTATATAGATAAATGTTGTACAATTGTTTTTTTGCTTTTTAAAAAAATATATATATTATAAATTAAAGTTTGCTTTTACTGTTGTTTTGTTGTTGTTGTTGTGAAGTTGAAGGTTTGCTTTAAAACAAGATTTAAGTGGGGAGTAAAAATTTTTGTTTTCCAAAAAAAAATACCCTTAATATCTGTACAATTAAAAATGTTAGTGATTTTTTTATTTTTTTATAAAAAAAACTTTTTTTTTTTTTTTGTTTTAAAAGTTTGTTGTTTAAAAAAGCTATATAATGAATTAAAAATGTATATAAAAAAACTATATATCTAACTAAGAAACAAAAGAAAAATGTATTATATATATATTATTATTCTTTTAAAATGAATGCTACTACTTTTACAACTTTTTTTTTGTTTGTTTGTTTGTATTGATAAGAAACAAGTTTATGATCTTGTTCTTTCTATTGTATATTTATATATAATATGTATTGTGTCAAAGAAGGAAGTTGAAGTGATTTGTGTGTGTGAAGTGAAAAAGTGATCGTAAATTGATCGATATATGTTAAAAAAAAAAAAAGAAAATATAAAAAAATAAATAATTATATAAATATATCTATCTATTTAAATATTCTATCTATATCTATCTATTTTTGTATTTGCACTCTATTAGGAGTTAACCAACTGAGTTTGTGTGGCTAAAAAAGTTAAAATATTCTTATGGTTTTTTGAAATTATTAATAAGAGAGTGTTTGTAATTAGATGAGAGGCACCTCTAAATGGTTAAATGGTATGGTCAATAACAATATTATTATTATTATTTGTTGTTTTTTGTTTTTTTTTATCAAAATTTATTTTAATTTGCACAAATCTTTTTTTTTTTTTTAATGTTCCACCTTTCAAACCTTGATAAAAAAAAAATTGTTCGAAACAACAATAACAACAAAGAGTTTAAACCATGGTTTTGTTTTTTAACTTTTTTATTATTGAAGTGTGATGTTGTGTTTGTGTGTTTTTTCCAACGATCGCTTTTTTTTTTTTTTTTTTTAATTTAGAGTTCAAAAGTGTGTGAGAGTATGGCACATTTATGCCAAAAAAAAAAATAATAATAAAGACTCTATGATCCCTCCCACCACTTGGGTGAGTGTGATAGAAAAATAAAAACGTGTGTTTTTCACTACGATTCCGATTGTTGAGCGAACGAGTGGGTTTTTTCGAATTGTGATCAAAAAGATGATTGGTGATAAACTTTAAATTAATTGGGTGACATGGTTAGTTTGTAGAAAATACAAGATCTTGAAAGGATTGGTGGCACCCAGTGTGATAATACTCAACACACTAAAAAACTACAACAGTAACTAGCAGAAAAAAAACAATAAAAAAAAAAAAAAAAGCATGCCCTGTTATTATGAAAGAACAAGAGAAACAACTAAAAAACATCTAAATTTCAGATGGAGTTTATCAAACTCACATCATTAATTTTGTTTTTTTTTTTTTTTGATTCTTATTGGTGCCCACACCAAAGTAGAGTAGTGCTCTAGGAACGTTTTATATGATATATTTCAATCGTTTGTTTTTGTTGTTTTTATAGATGTGATGTGATGTGATTTAATGATAAAAAAGGTCTCGTCCAAGGAAAGGGACGGTGTGCCGCGACGGTGCTTGTTTAGTGAAGATTCTAGATGTAGATCATTGCTTTGTTTAACAAAAGAGAGAGAATAGAGTGTCTCGAAGTATCGGTGGGTGTTGGACAGATATATATATCCAGTCCATCATCATGGTCACAAAAATATAGTGATGAGTTTAACAAACTGACCAAAACACAATAAACTTTGTTTGGTGTAATATACATCGAAAAAAATATATAAATGCTTTAAATCTTACTCTTAAAATGATAATTGGTTGGTTCGAAGGCTGGTTTTTTCTTTTTTAAAAAGGATGGTTCGTAATTCGCTGCTGACTTGTCTGGTCTAAGAATATTATTTAGAGATTTAAAAGTTTGTTTGTTTGGTTTTATTTAGTAAACTATGGAACCAATTTTATTATTTTATCCTAATGAAAATGATAGATTTGACAGGTGACAGGTTTTGTTGGAAGTGTGAAAACTTGGTGTTTTGTGAATGTTTGTTGGATTTGTTTGATTGAATGATTAATTTAGTTGAAATGTTTATTGTTTTGCAAATATTGTGAGCACTACCCAGTTTTGATGATTTGTTTTGCAAATAGTTTGTTTTTTTATTTAATTAATTATTGATCAATTCCAAATTGAATAAAAGTAATATTGACCAGTTGAAATTGTTTAATGATTACAGTAATAATTGTAAAATTTTTTTTGTTGTTGTTGTTGCGGATAGAGTAGTAAAATAAATAAAATGTTGTTTGTTTATTGTTAACAACAAGCGAGCAAATATTTTGAATGAATATGAGTTTACTGATAACAAAGTTCAAATACAATTGTAATGATTGATTTGCTTGGTTTTAAGAGGATTAGAAAGTGGATAGCGGAGTCAAACAAAACAAAAAAACAAAAGAGAGAGAAAAAGAGAGAGAAAATAAGAGAACAAAAAAAATTATTATTTTTTTTTAATTAATAATAATATGATTAAATGATTATTATTTGGGATGTTTGTTATCAGACCCTTATCCTTAACCACCACCTCCTCCACCACAAAACCACAAACTAACAACAACACAACAACAGCAGCAGCAACAACAACATAAGAAATAATAACAATATTATTAAACACAATCACAGTATGCCAATAACTACTAATATAATCATAATTATAATCAGCATCTATCTGATTGATTTCAATGGTGGTATGCTGACACTTGTTGAAGTGAAAAAACAAAAAAGAAAAAAGAAAAAATTTGGATATGAACAAAGTGTGGGAGATTTATCTTATAATCAAAAACTTTGAGAGTATATCTGATTCTCAAAAAAAAAAAACAATCATAATATTTAGACAACAGTTAACCACTACACCAGTAATTGTTAATATTAATGGTTGTGTGTGTTGTATTTATGTGTGTGTGTTATGTGTTGGTTAACATTAGTAATGTCAAGCAAGTTGAAGATGGAGTAGGATTTCAATAAACTGATTTATGATAGTTATGTTTTTTGGTTTGTTTATTTTCATTAGGATATTGTTTTTTTTTTCTTTTTCTTTTTATTACCTTTTTCTTTGTATTATTTAAATAGATGATGATGATTTAAAAATTTTAAATATTATTGCTTTGTTACTAAATTGAACTTAAGTTAAGTTAATATCTATGTTTGTTTAAAAAGTTGGTAGGATGATTTTGAAGAGATTGTGTATTTTTGTTTTGTTTGTAGTTGGTGATGATATTAAATAAATATGTTTAATGTGATTTTTGAATCTGGATCTCAAAGTAATTATTATTATTTGTTTGTTGTATCTATATCTTTTTTGTTGCTTGAATGTGACTTGACTAAAAATAACTTGAATTCAAAGTGGTACCACTTTTTTGGTTGTTGGTGTTCCATCTCAATCAAGAAGAACAACAACACCAAAACAACCCCCAGAATACATAAATATTAATATTAATAAAAATTAAGAAATTTTCTTATTTGATTTCCAACAACAACATCTTTAGATTGTAGTTAGTTGATCAATAAGTCAGGCACTACTCTGACATCACATGGGGTGGGCTCAACATGTATTGATTAACAAAAAGCTTTGATGCCATTGCTATATATATTAAATTATATTAACCAAATCAATATAGAGATCGAAATTATTGCAAAGCCTCACCGAATTCTTGTTGATCACTTTCCATGTTTTAAAAGAAATTCTGAATGAATGCTCCAAACTATGACCACGCCCCATATCAAAGAATCTTGTGAAAAGAGATCGTTTCGATCATGTTTCTCTAATAAATCAGCGTTGGCATGATCATAATATATATGTTACTATTTTTTACAAAATTTCTATTTCTCTAAAATCTTAAGAGGATCTATTGATGGACACACCTAAATATATACACCCAATCAAAAATGTCGTTAAAAATAGTATCCATTGAAAAAAAAACAACCACAATTACACAAAAAATTTCAAAAAAAAAAACTAAAAGAAAAAAAAAATCTCTTTATTTTTGTTGAAAACTAAATTATTTTAGATTTTAGATAAATAATATTTCTTTTTCTTTTTTTATTATTATTTTTTTTATTATTTTTCTTTTTTGAAATTTAAAACTAATTTAAAACTTATTATTATTATTGCAACTTTATCACATTGTTATAAATTCTGATTTTCTGTATTACACATTAATTTCCTTTTTGATTTGTGGAACCAAAAAAAAACAAAAAGACCAACGTTTAAAAATTTTTTTTTTGAATTATTTTTTATTAAAAATTTTTTTTTTCACCAATATGTGTTGTTTTTGCAGAAGGTAATTAAAATAGTATTCTGATCATAATTAACTGACTGAATAAAATAAAATTTAAAATCAAATCATTTTATAAAAAAAAAAAAAAACCTCCTGATTCATAATTCAAAAATCTAGGTTAATTTTTTTTATCATTTTTTATTTTATTTAATTAAAATTCATAGATAATTCATTCATGTGTGTAAAATAATAGTAATAACAACAACGAAAACAATATTAATAAAGAACTTTCAACAACAACAGCTGCTCTTTACACATCTTGAACATAAAAAAAAAAAAAAAAAAAAAAAAAAAAAGAAACAATAACAATAACCCCCCACCCATACAAAACAATAACAACAAAAATAACAACACTACACACTTATATTAATATAGTAATATAACAACAAGCAACGATATTTAATAAACAAACAATTGTATAATTTGAATTTAAATTTAAATTTAACAAGCAAAGAAAAGAAACAAAGTGTGCCAACACTACTGTGATCGACTACAATATAACAGCTAAACCTTTCAGTTCATTTTTTGGTTTAGTTTAGTTTTAGTTCAATTCAATTCAGTACAGGTTAATCTAAGCAAAGCTCACCGCATAATAACCAAAAGATAAAATAAACACCACCACAAACAACACTTTAATCAACAACAACATCATCTTCACATAAATAAAATATATATTTATATATAAATAACATTTATTTTATCTCATCACAACAATAATAATAATAATATTTTAATTTCAAAGTATTCATTGTATAATAGTAGTAGTATCTATCCATTAATTAAACTTTTAGTAGTAACATTCAAAAAGTAGCAAGCAACAACACACACAAAAAAAAAAAAAAGCAACAACAACCAATTTTTATTTGTTTTTCAACAACCTTATTTGTTTTTTTTTTTTTTAGTTAAGTGTTTCCATTATAAAACATTTAATTATATAATATATTTATATTTATTTATTTATTTATTAAGTTAACAACAATAATAGATAGATAGATAGATAGATAGAAATCTTTGGTTTTTTTAAAAAAAAAAGTTAAAAATTTTTTTTTGTTATTAAAAAAATGTCAACACAAACATCACCCCAATCAATGATTGTGCTTCAGTATGATCAATTACCACACTATAGAGTCGCAAATTTAAAGAGTAGTACACATAGTATTCAAGTGGATGGCGATACAGACGAGCCATTCTTGTCTACACGTTCGATTTCGACATATCCCTTGCTGCCTGGCGGCGAGAAGGATGGAGATCCAATAGCAGACAAGCTATTTGTACAAGTACACAGAAACCGAGCGATCCTAGCTGTCGCCGATGGCTGCAACTGGGGAAAGCGACCGGCTCTCGCAGCGAGCCATGCAATCGCTGCATTTGCAAACTATTTCAATCAGAGACAATCAGAGATCCTCACACTCCAGGATGCCGGACACTTTCTTCTGCGAGCGTTCTGCGAGGCACACAACAAGATCGTAGAGGGCAAAAACGATATATGGGAGGCTGGAACCACTACACTGCTGGGCGGTCTCGTGCTCGAGCTCGAAGACGACTCGGGCGTGCCAAAGTGGGGATTCCTGTGTGCGAGCGTCGGCGACTGCAAGGCGTTCCTCGTCTCGCTGAAGCGTAGAGAAGCAACCGATGTCACCAACGGCAACAGATGTAATTTAAATGACACACGTGATCCTGGCGGACGTCTAGGACCATACGTCGGACAGGGCTATCCCGACCTCCGAAATCTCAAATTGTATTTCACATTCTGCGAGGAGAACGATATTGCGCTGATCGTCAGTGACGGTGTGCACGATAATCTCGATCCAATCATGCTTGGCAAGGTGCCGTCGGAACTCAACATCAACGCACAGGTTTGGGAGGATTTGAATCACGAGGAGCTACTGAAAACAAAGACAACGTTTATGAAGAATTTATTAGAGGAAATAGTTTTTAACGAGGGAAAGGTCAACCCATCGGATATCACACACAAACTGATCGAGCACTGCTCCACAGTCACACATAGAGCACGTGATTTCATGGAGAAGTTCCCAAAACAAAAAACAACCAAACGACTACAGAGAATATCCAGGTAAAATGGATCATACTACATGTGTAACTTTCCAAATCGGTCGTTCCAAATAATAACTAAAAACAATAACAATAATATAATAATAATAACTTTTTTTTTTTTTTTTTTTGTTTTGTTTAAAACAAAAAAAGATGTCGACACACACATATAATCATAAATTTATAATAAAATAAAAAAAAGAAAAACACATTTAAAATAATAATAATAATAATAATAATAATGGTAACAAAGTTACCTTTTTTGTTTCTTTTTCTTAATCAATAATAATAATTGTGATTTAATTAAATTCAGTATCATAATTCTTAATTCTGTTGATTGTATCACCTATATCTATATCTTGATTCTCTAGATGCTTGGCGAATCTTGTTGCTCTTTCAATGGTTTGTTTGTCGACTTTGGATGTGCTGTTTCTTGATGACCAGAGTTTTTCACTGATTGCTATGAGTCGATGCCATACACGATCGGAAAATCCTCTTTCCACAATGGATCCATCCTTTTCAATGGATTTCTCACTGAATTGTGTAAGTTCCCATGCACATGCTTCAACACCAATCAGATTCTCCAGATCAAAGTCAAACACTCCCGAATAGCAATCGTCGAATGATTTACATCGTTGATACGACGGATCGAGATAATGACCGTACGAAAAGATAAATGGTTTCTTTAGTTGTTCGATTTGGTGTAGTTCATCGGTGCCTTTCCAGACCTGGTAGATCGGATTCATAAAGTTGTTCTCCGGTGTCGTTACGAGCGTAGGAAGAGTGTCCTCCCAAAAGACAAATTGTTTGTTTGGCATCTGTTCTTTGAGAATAGGGAAGATTCTCTTGAGGAAATACTTAAAGTAGGTGTTGGGATCAGAGTAGCCGTATGATGCCATTCTCTTCATCATGGCAAGATCCTCTCCCCAGCAACCGACCGGTATTTCATCGCCACCCAAATGCACATAGGGATCACGGAATAGAGTGGCAATAGATTTAATGATAGCAGTGATAATCTCATAGGTCAACTCCAATGAAATGTCCAAAGGAACATTCAAAGTGTAATCAAAGCTAAGTGTATTGATAAAGGGTAGCAGATATCCAGGACAAACCGTCGATATATTGTAACCCTTTCCCCAAGATCTCGCATGTGCAGGCATATCAATCTCTGGTATTACCTTTATAATTAAATTACAAATTAAGAGTTTAATCTTTTGAAAGTTTTACATTTGTAGCTTGTTAATTAGTAACTTACTCTTACACCATAGATTGCGGCATAATCAATAATACTTTTAATTTCATCAGTATTATAGAATCTTGTTTGAGGTGTTTGTATACCATTATGAATGAAACTAATAATCTATAGATTAATATATATATATTTGTTATTAATCTAATAATTATTTAAAAAAAACATACCCTAGATGACTGGCACCTTTAATATGTAGATATGGATACTCCATAATTTCAAATGGGAAAGATTGATCATCTGATATATGCCAATGTAAAGCATTCAATTTCAATGAGCTCATTCCTCTAATAACAGATTTAATGAAATCAACTTCATAATATATTCTACCTATCATTGATTATAATGTTAATATTAATTAAGATAGCCAACTCTTTTTGATTGATGATATTTAAATATCAATACACTTACCGGTATCTATCATTAAACCTCTATATCTATAGGTTGGTTCATCTCTAATGGAGAATGGCAGAAAAGTAACACAGATTTGATGATCTGAATTGATATAGGAGAGTTGTGCAATCGTTTTAAAAGCATTCTGAACACCAAAGGTAGAGGGTGCCACTATACGTATGTATCCTTTGTTGGCGTAGATATCGTATCGCTCATTGCTTCCAAATGGTATGGTGTTGTTGTAGGCAAAGTCGGTCTGTGTCAGTGAAGGATTCAATACGATGTTGATTTGCGGCACCGGGAAGTCGTAGAATACATCCCTCCAGTGAGTGGGATTGATGTTCAGAAAGAATACATGATAGAATGCACGTATCGCTTGACGTTCGTCGAGAGTCCAGCCACCTTGAAACTGTAGTGTTGAATTGACAGCTATTCTTATGCAATCATGGTTGTTACTGCTCGACTCTACATAGAGTGGTTTCGGATAGATGTTATCTTCTGCTTTACCCTCTAAATATTGAAATGCCAAAACATTGTTGTTGTTGATAGCAATTATTATCAAAAAACAAAAAACCAATAAAAATCTCATAAAAATGGATCTTTTTATGAAATTTGTAGAGGTCAATGTTGAATTGCTATGGAACATTGAATTTTATTTATAATAATAATTTGTTATTATTATAAATCCTTTATATAAATAACCAAACCAACCAACCAAAAGATATTGAAAGAAATGTTAAATATATGTTATTGATTAAAAATAGTTTTTTTTAATTTCAAATAAATATTATAAATTAATATAAATAATATATTTAGAATCAGTTAGTTAAAAAAGTATAATAATTTTAGATTAATACATGAGCTGAGGGTGTATAATGAGATAAAAAAAATAAAAATAAAATCATTTTGTTTTTGATCAATCAAAATAAACACACACAAATATTACTTTTAGAAAAACAAAAATTATCACTGTAGCATCTAAGATCATTGGATGATGAATTATATATTAAACACTTATTAGTTTTAGGTAAGTATTGTATATTAAAATTAAAAGTTAATTAATATCAATTTCAAATTCATTTATTTTATTTATTAAACTATCTCATAAATTTATCGTATAAAGTAAAAGTAACTTATTGTGGTTATGATGATTATCGATATCATCATTAAAAACGTTATATGATTTTTTAAATAATAATTCAAAAAAAAAAAAAAAACAGATAACGTTTATTTATAATATTGAAATTTTAATGAAACAATATTTATTATGGTTTGTTTTTTTTAATATTGGATAATTTATGGAAAACATTGGATATGTTGATACTAATTATGTATTTATTTTATAATCGTTGAAAACAAAATAGAAAGCAAGGGTATACGGCTTTTTCATGAATCACATGTGTGAGATTGTTGTTGGTTGATTTTTTATTAATTGTATTATCATTATTGTTATTGGTCATCATATCTTTTTTTATGATATTCCTAAACTTTTCGGTACAGATATATTAAAAATTTAAGAGCAGTGTTGTATATTATAATTATTAAGCAATAGGGGAATGATTTTGATTAAAAAATCATTACCACTAGATTAACAAAAATAAAAATAATAATAAAATTCAGCTCTGAGCTGGTGTCCTGAAAAATAGTTAAAAACATATGATCTTCAATCATTTGAAATGGAGGGGTGTGTTAAATTCATCTTCTTCTTTGATAAAGTACAAATAATAATATCAAATTATTTTGTAGTATGTTAAGAACTCAATTGTATGAAATCGTTAGCCAATATTTTCTCTCTCTTGGATATGTATATTATTGGAATATTTGTGATATTAATTTTCAATGTTATTAATGACCATGGTTGCTCGTTTGGTTAATAGAGTATATATAAAGTTTGACCACTTTTACTCGAGCTGTCACTATGTTTTGCTGTTGTATTGAGAAATCTCATTTTTTATATGAGAGGTGGTGTTGGTGTGTTTGTACAGTGTGTTCGGGTTGTGGTGAAGAGAGTGTGTGTTGTTTTGATGGTGATTTTGGTTGTAGAATTAGTGATGATGATAGTGGTGATTATCTTCAAGTAGCAATTCATCAACTTAACTTAAGATATGTTGAACATAAATATTATATATTATTGTTGGTTGCATTATTTATAGATTTCCTATTAGATAACACAAAAATATTAATCCCAATAATAAATATAGGAATAACACTAAAAAAACAAATTTAACTTTCAGTACTTAATACTCAAGTTATATCTCAAGACAAAATAATCAATATCTGGTGTTCTCTTTATCTTTTATCATCAAACCATTCATTTCTCAAAAGGTATAGTTTTATATATTCTATAGAAACAATAGCAATAATTGTGATTTCATTCTTTTACAATAACAATAACAAAAACAACAATAGAAAACCAAAATAAATTAATTCCTTACCAATATATATTGAGGTTAACCTCCCAAACAGCAATCTACTATCCACAAAATTTATTTTTAATAATCAAATGATAAAAATAAAAAAAAAAACAACAATTACACAAACATGAATGATCATTTTTAGAATAAATAATGAATGTCATTGAATATCATTTTTATCTTGTGAATAATAATAATAATAATCAAACTGAAAAAAGATTATTATATATATAAAATCAAAAACTGAAATGTTTCAATAATTATAATAATAATAAGAATTAAATAATAATAATATTCTCTTAAAATATTATTTGTTTTAAAAAAATCAAACTATACAAATTTAATAGTCTACAAAGTAAAGTTAAAAAGAATTCAACTTTAGTTGGAAAGTTTGGAACACATCATCTTGTTCATACAATTAATCAATTTGTCATATCAAAAACAACTTTCAACAGAGAAGTTTGGTACTAAACCAGCCTCAAATAATTTATTCATTCATTTCCTTACATTTTTATCAATCAATTCTACATACATATAAAATGTATACTTTACTTTTTAATAAGTCAACAAAAGTTTTATTTATAAAAAGACATCCAAAAAAAACAAACATAAAACCAATTATTTTTATATATATCTATAATGTTGTGTTTGAAATTTGGCTAAGTGTGTTGTTTTTAGATTGTGTGTGTTAGTGTTTAATTATTATTATTTGTTTTTTTTTATATGTATATATATCTATACTAGGTGTGTGTGTGAGATTTAACGTTGATTTTACTTTTTAAAAAATCAAAAGATAGATTTTTTTTTTCTATATCCTTTAACTATCGATCAATCAATCTGTCAATCAATCAAAAAAAACAAACCATCATTATTAAATCAAAAAACACCATACATACTTATATTAAATTTTTATTTATATTGTATAAATATTTGTAAAAATACATATTTTCACACACAATTCAAAAACTGTTAAATAACTTTTTATAATAATTTTATAATAATTTCAAATTGAAAAATTAAAACTGATGAATGGTTGTATGATTGCAATCAATATCTCAAAGAAATCTAATATTTGATTTAAAAAAGACAATCATTCAAATTTCCATATACATATTTACATCTCTCTCATTCTCACAATCTTTATATGTCAATATTTAACTGTTTTTACTATCTATCTCCTGATTGCAAATAACATTTTTTAAAACCAATACAAACCTAACCAGACCAGACCAAACCAAACCATATCATATATATTCACACAATAACCACTGCAACAAACACACACTTATACACACATGTGGAATGATTCTCTAATCGTGATACAAGATAATAAATCATTAAAAGTGTAGAAGCAGTAATATTAATAAAAATTGGTTGCTTTTAATCCACATTCGATTGATTGATTGATTACCCACATATATACACACAAAACAGACTTATTACCCATAAACCTACCTTGATCAAAGTTGATAACAAATGTGGTAATATTATTATTAAATAATTATTTGTTGTTTAATTAATTTATTATTTTTGTTATTTTTGTTTATTTAAATTTAAACGTCAAAGTATATATTTCATTCTTTACACTTTTTGTTATATTAATTATTATAGTAGTAATCTGTTGTAATATATTAGTAAAATACTAATTCTGTATATTAATTTATTTAAATAGATATAATTTCTATATCTTGTAGTTTTAGGAAATAAACTTGTATTTTTTATTTTTATTTTTTTTTTCAATCAATCAGATTTCTCGAATAAAAATGACATCTGAAGTCGCACATTCATATATAGATCAACATTTGGACTCCATTCAAGAGGAGACTGGATTTTTTATAAATAGCTTACCAACTATTACAAAGACTGCTTTGAAGGTCTCTAGTTGTAAGCGAATCGGCAATTATATACTTGGAAAAACCATTGGTTCCGGAACATCCAGTAAAGTAAAGATTGGAACCAACATCATCACTGGAAAGAAAGTTGCTATAAAAATAACCAAACCAAAACGAGTAAAGGAGAGAAAGGAAATTGAACGTGAAATTTCTATTCTCAAGCTATTGAAGCATGGAAATATCATTCAACTATACGATGCCATCTATGATGAGGAGAGAGGAAGAATATGTTTAATTTTGGAATTAGTTTCTGGTGGTGAGCTTTTTGATTACATTGTTGCCAGAGGTCGTCTCTCTGAGCGAGAAGCAAGAAAGTTCCTACGTCAAATTCTAGCTGGTTTAATATATTGTCATTCCAACAATGTTTGTCATCGTGATTTAAAGTTGGAAAATTTATTAGTAGATGATATGGGAAATATCAAAATAAGTGGTAAGTTATTAAATATTTAAATATTTAGATTTATAACTATTTAATTAATTATTATTCTTTTTTTCTATTTTATTTAGATTTTGGATATAGTAATATTTCGAGACCAGGATTTTTATTATCAACTTTTTGTGGTTCACCAGTTTATGCCCCACCCGAAATACTTTTAGAAAAGAAATATAATGGTCATGAGGTCGACATTTGGAGTGTTGGTGTAATTTTATATGCAATGGTAACAGGTCAACTTCCATGGAGTTTAACCGATGGTGTTCAAGTAGAGGGTTTAGATAGATTATTAAAAGGTGAATTTAAGTTTCCACCAAATATTTTATTAAGTAGTGGTAAGTTATAATATAGTATTCATAAATTTTTATTTTTTTTTATTAATAAATAATTCCCATTTTTTTATAGAGGTTAAAGATCTTATTAATAGAATGATTGTTGCCAATCCATCGGATAGAGCAAAGCTATCTGAAATTAAAAGTCATGTATGGACCAATAAAGGATACGAATTAGAACCAGATGAAGAATATAATAGAAAGAATAATATTAGCAACAATAGTAATGATGATTTGAATCACTATGGTACTTCTGCAGAACAAAGTCAAGGTAGTAAATTCCTCAAGGTAAATAGATCGCCACTCTATAATAGTTCACCTAATCTTCAATCTCCTGCATCACCTCGTGGAGCTTCCATTTCCATTAATAGTGCATGTTGTAGTAGTCCTAACCTTATGGGAACATCACCAAACATGGGATCACCAGCAGTCCTTACTCCACCACTTAGCCCGATTTCCTCATCCTGCTCCACAGCCTCTTCACCAGCATGTCAAAGTCCACCAACACCATCCACTCCAAGTCTAAAAAGTAGTCTATTCCATGGATTATTTAAAAAGAGATCTCCATCATCTAGACATCAACAATTTAATAATATAACAAATAATAATAGCAATAATAACAATAATAACAATAATAGTAATAACAATAATTCAGAAAACTCTTTTGATGAATCATCAAAGATTTCAACTTCACCATCATCTGAATGTTCAACACCAAGTATGAGTTCACCACCTAACAATCCTGGTACACCTAGCAATAACTACAGTAACTATAATAACTATGGTTATAGTAAGCGTCGTTTCAGTTTGGAGGACGTCGTCAATGTGATACGTGGAAAGAACAAAACACCAAAAGACAAGTTGAGATCGATCAAAGGACCATTCACCGCAGGAACCACTACAACTCTTCAACCATCGGACATCAGTCGCCACCTTGAAGATATTCTAATTTCACAATCGATCAAGTACCAACAGAACGGCTATGTATTTGAATGTAAACAATCGCAACAGGATCTCTCTTCACTTAGTTCCTCATCGTCAACCTCTTCATCGTCATCGTCCTCGACTACCTCGGCCACCACAGCAGAGCCACTCTCATTTGAAATTGAAATCTGTCGTGTCAGTGGAATGGATCTCTATGGTATCAAGTTTAAGAGACAAAGTGGTGATGTTTGGTTTTACAGTGTAATTTGTAAGAAGATTACTGATGCCATTCAATTTTAATAAATAAAAAAAAACAATTATTAAAATTTCTAAAATATACTATTTGATTTTAAATTATTAAATCAACACTATTTTGATGTTGTCTCGTCACCACACAATATTCCATTGAAATATCAACAATTCTTTATTTGTTCTCTCTTTTTGTCCGACATGCATGAAACTAGAAAATTAGCAGAATGAGATGAAAAAAAAAAAAAGTTGCCAAAAAAAATAATCAATCAGATTCTTTTAAAAAGAAAAAAATAGAAACAATGTTTTACTTTAATTAAAATTAATTTAAATACATCATCAATTTATTTGTTTATAAACAATTTATATAAATAATTCTTTATATAAATTTTATTTTATTTATTATAATATTCTTTGAAAATGTTTGACGATACTCAAGAACAACTTGAAAAATTAGATTCTCTTTTGAGATCATGTTATATCTCTGAGCAAGAGTACAGCACAAGAAAAAATGAGATTTTAGGTGTTAAATCTGTTGCAAGCACTGCCACACCGGCCACTGCTAACAACTACAGCAATAACAACAACAATGTACAACAGTCAACTTCATCATATTCAAACAACTATGATGATCAATACAATTATCAGCAATCAAACTACCAACAACCAACCTATCAACAACCGACCTATCAAAGTCAATCTTCTACCTTTAAAAATATCTATTCCATCGGTATAGACACAGATATGAATGATGATAGTGATAATATCCCAGTTTTAAATGAAACATTCTCTAGTGTTTCAATTACAGATAATAGTCATCATTATAATAATAATAATAATAATACTAATAATAATAACTATAGCAATAATAATAATAGTTATAAAAATAACAATAATAATAATAAGAATAATAATAATAATAAGAATAAAAATAATCAAAGTAATTCAACACCAAAACCAGTATCTGATCAACCCACATTTGCATCAGCAGTATTTGGTAATCCAACAAATAATCAACCAACATTTGCATCAGCAGTATTTGGTGGTGCTAATAGCAATCAAACACCGAGTAATACACCAACATTTGCATCGGTAGTCTTTAATGGAGTTCCATTACCAGCTCAGAAGCAAGTTGCTAAACCAACTCAAAAGATTGCCACCTCATCCAATACCTATAACGGTCGAGAATATAAATTTGATGCCTTCCAAACCAACACTGTTTTGCATGTGGATATTTCAAATTGGTCAAAGGAGAAGGACAACTACGGTAGACCAAACGATCCCGCTCCAGATCAAATGAACAAATGGAAGGCCGAACAACTCAAAATGGCTGCCTCCGTCGTCAAGACCAACTCAAACAATTTGAAACTCTCGGATTTGAAATACATTGGAGGTGTCGATATCTCTTTTGCCAAGAACAACAAGATTGATGCGTGTGCATCGATCGTTGTCATTGAGTATCCATCACTCAAGGTCGTCTATGAATCATACAAGATGGTAAAGCTAACACAACCGTATATCGCCGGTTATCTTGCATTCCGTGAGATTCCACATCTGCTTCCACTCTGGAACGACCTGAAGAGAAACGCTCCCTATCTCGTCCCACAGGTGATGGTGCTCGATGGCAATGGAATCAATCACATGAGAGGTCTGGGAGCAGCCTGTCATTTGGGTGTGATGATCGATTGTCCAACGATTGGTGTGGCCAAGCAACTCCTGGTTTGCCACGGTGTGACAAATGAACTCATTGAAGATCAATTCAATCAACGTGGAAACAGTGCAACCATTGAGATGCGTAATAGCATGAACAACGAACTACTGGGATACGCCATGAAGAATGTTGACTCTGAAAACATCTATATCTCACCAGGACACAAGATGGACGCGAAATTAGCATTGGAAATCGCGAAAGCGACACTCAACAACCGTCCGATTCCAGAACCAACCTTCCAAGCTGACAAGTTATCAAGACAATTCTTGAAACAATATTATTCAAAGTTTAGATAGGGTGTATTTTAATAAATTTTTTATTTTCTTTTTTTTTTTTTCAAATAATCTAAAATTTGTTGTTAAATCATAAATATAATATTCTTTTTTTATTTTTGAGAAAATATATATAAATTTATTATAGAAAATAGAATGATATTTTGGTTGTAAATAATTTAAAAACCAAAGCCACCACAACCTCCTCCGAATCCGCAACAACTTCCACAACCTCCGCCAAAGACATTGACATCACCAAAGATAACATTGGTAGTTCTTCTTCTTCTACCCCAACATTGCACTTGATTCTCAGAATTGATAGTTGATTTTCCATAGGTTCCTCCAATGTCATAGGTAGAGTTGTTCTCCAAACCAGAGAGTGAGTTGCCTAATAATGAAATTGATTCTAATAATTTATTGAATTAAAAAAATATAATTAGGTATAGATTTTGTTATTATACAATTTTTTATACTTACTGATAAGAGTCATTTTATTTGTATAGATTATTAATTTATATTATTTTTCAATAAGAATGATCTTTTATTTCTCTCCTTTACCATTTTTTATACAAAAAAAATAAATATAATTCATTAATATTTTGGATTAAAAATAGATAATTTGCGTCGATTGGTTCTAGAACCTCGAGGGTCAGGAGTTCTCACCGATCGCCAACAGCACCACTTTGAAACAGATCAAATTCAACGACTTTGAACACTATTATAAAGATGATCTTAAACCTTTCATCTCTATAGAAACTTTGTCAATCAGCAACAAAAAATATTCAAATGAGGAATTAATCTATATGTTTCCAAACTAAAACATATTGTAGGTGCAGGTTTTTTAATATATTTTATTGTTGTTATTTGGTTGTTGTGGTAGTAGTTGTTGTGGTAGTAGTTGTTGTTGTTGATTTCTTTCTTTGGGAGAGGTAAAACAATTCATCATCTGACATTCTATCAAAGACATCAGGCAACACCACCTTGGAAACCACTTTACGTTTCTCCATGACTTCAAGGAGTTCCGATTTCCTCTTTCCAAGGAGTTGTTCTTCTTTGGCTATCTTGTCGAGCTCACCGTGGATCTCCTGGTCTGTAAGCAAACTTATAGCCTTGGCTTGTGGCGCAGACACTTCTTTGGACTGGACACGTGGAAGATTGAGTTCTAATTGGTTGTTGAACAAGAAGTAGTTTTTCACCTCATTCATAATGTCTAACATCTCTTGGTCAAGTACAACGTTGTACCACCGGTTGGCTCAGCAAATAACCCGTTTTCAACTCCGATGTTGATCATTCCACGGTGAAGGAACAGGCGAAGCAACACAAAAACTACTTCTTGTTCAACAACCAATTAGAACACAATACCAACAAGAGAAAGCTGATTTGTTTTTTTTTTTTGACGTAGTTCATGAATTTTTTTTACCACCACAAAAATAACACGTTTCAAAGATTGAATTTTAGTGAAATTATTTAGAATAAATTCTTTATTTAATCATGTGATCTATTTCAAGCGATAACTCTAATGAAATGAGTCATTATTAGTCTTTAACAATTTCTCTTTATTATCAAATTTCATTTATATATATATATATATTTTTTTTATCAATATAATCTTTTTTTTTTTTAATCTTATAATATATTTTTAGCTTTTAGAATATGGGTGTCAAACAATCAAAACCATCTGATCAGTTAGGTGGTGGAATGAGTAAAGAAGAGAAACAGAAATATGATTGGGACGTTGAAAGATACCAAAAGAAAAGAGAGATGTTGTCGAATCTACCAAGAAACTATGCTGTTGAACAATGTAGAACTTCGGATGCCGCTCAGGTATTCTCTAATAGACGACCAAACACCCTTGATTTCTCTAATGTCAGAGTGCCATCTGCCATGTCTAAGGGACTTACCAAAGGAGAAGACAATACAGAGTACTATGACAGTGAAACAACTATACAAGAAAAAGCAGCAGAGGTAGCGAGATTATTGATAAGCTCGAGACACTGCGTTGTTTATACAGGTGCTGGAATCTCGACCACTGCAGGAATGCCGGATTTCCGTGGCCCTGAAGGAGCTTGGACCAAGCAAGATCAAGGAATCTACGAATACTCCAATGTTCAACTAAATGAAATCGTACCGACTCTCGCTCATATGGCAGTCGCCAAGCTGGTGGAAGTAGGTCTTGTAAAATTCGTAGTAACCACCAACATGGATTGTCTGCATCTGAAATCGGGAGTTCCACACGACAGAATAGTGGAACTTCATGGAAATTCATTTAAACAACGTTGTACCGTTTGCAAACATGTGGAGCATCTACATGAGGAGATCTACAATTCACCGGTATCGAGATGTAAGCAATCCGGTTGCACTGGACTCTATGTAGATTCGATAGTTAACTTTGCAGAACCGATCGACGACGATGACTGGCGTGTAGCTAAAGAGCAATCAGAACGCTGCGATCTATCGATTGTTCTGGGAACCTCAATGAGAGTTTTACCGGCATGTCTGCTATGTGAGATGGGACCAATAGCCACCGGTGGTAAAATGGTTTTATGTAATCTCCAAATCACACCATACGATGATAATTCAACACCAAGACCATTTTGTACAACCGATGAATTTATGTATTATCTTATGAAGGAATTGAATATAGAAATACCAATGGTAACACAAAAAGGTAACAATCAATCGATTTATAAACAAATATTATATAGATATTAATCAAATTTCTTATTTTAATTAACAAAAATATAGGTCAACCTATAAAACAAACTATTTTCCCAATTGAAAAGAAATCTTATTGGAAACAAAGTTCTGAAATTGATCAAGCTAATTATGATAAGGGTTTTAGTTTCCTTTTCTAGATAACGACACAAGTAGTGTATTTTGTAAATTAACAATAAATTTTATTTATTTCGTAACTATTTATTAGATTTGTACAAGGAACAATTAATGGAAAGGGTGAAATTTCCAATCTAACTGTGGTTTGGTACAGTAAGCATAATTTTCAAGTTAGTTTAGACAACAAATGATATTTAAGGATAACAATACACCACCAGCAAAGTAGAGAGTCGAAATGTGTAACGAGATAGTAAGGATGAACAACACAATTCAAAAATAAGAAACATCAAGATATAGAAAAATCAGCTAAATATAATATTGAGCTAAAAGCAAAGAATCTTGGACATCTGAGTTGGAATTGGATATCACCTTATAGATCTAAGCCAACAACAACAACTTATATAACTACTATTAGCTCGTTATCATTTTTATGAAAGTCCCTTCAACAATACTTATTTAATTTTGATTGAAATGGAAAATAAAAAAAAATGAAAGTTTCCTTTTCTTCAAGATGATATTAATAAAGACAAAGTAGAAAGTAGTGTAGTGTATCAATGTATTACTATTTTTGTAAACTATCAATAAATTTTATTTATTTTTTATTGTATTTCGTGTGTGTATGATAACACTCTCGATTGTGTGGTTAAAAAAAATAATTTTGAGTACATCAATACATCTTTTTATCAAATGTGTTTGTATGATGTACATAAATTGATTTATTGATTGATTGATTGATGGAAATGGTGGGTATTATGTCAGTCAATATATCCGAATATCTATTTTGTATTTTCATAATTATTATTATTTGATTATACAGATACTATATATTATTTATTATATTATATATTAGATAGGTAGATAAAAAGATTACTTTTATATAGTTATATATTTATATTATATTAGGATGATTAGATAAAAAAGTAAAAATGAGAAGAAATGTTTTAATTAATATTATTATGATATTTATATGTATTACTAGTTTAACTATTATTACAATCACATTATATATAATACCAACATCACATCAATTGAAGAATCACAATGAAATAGCAGAGACTGTAATGAATAACTATGTTTACAATTCATATGTTAATAAATACAAGGATACCGGTGTGAAAGGTATTCATCCAAACAAAAAAGATCATAGAAAACCTGCTAGCAAACCAGTAAAGATCTCAAGAGATTTACCAAAAGTTGAGGTTTCCGTTAACAATAGTACTGACAATGAAGGACCATCGGAGATCTCTGTGTTTTCAATCAATTGCGAGAATGGAGGAATTGGATTCACTGATAAATGTATATGTTCACCACCTTATCATGGAGATCATTGTGAGCAAATCGACCAGTCGTTGAACGATCCTTGTTTGGCGGTGGATGAATCAGCCAAGAAACTAATGGGAAGAACTGATACATATAATGATACCAATGTTCATTGTCCTATTAGCGCCACAGTCGATTGTTGCTGGAAACGAAACAAGAGATCCAGTACCAAGGTATTCGACCAACAGGAAAGCACATCAGATCACCAGTACCTTGAGAGAATCCTATCTTCCTATGGACCGTGGAATGAGAATGACAAGATCATTATTGACTATCTCTTTACTCAAAACAACAACAAACACTACCATTTGAAATATAAAAAGGATGAACACCAACAAACATCATTCTCTGACAAACCAAGCATTGCCTACTCCATTAACATCGAAGAGTTGGATATGGAAAGATTTGAAGCATTGTTAAAAGTTATTTATAGACCAAAACATTATTATATTATTCATAGTAAGTTGAATTAATTATATAGAAGAAAATAACTATTTAACTAACGATTACTATTATTGTTTTAGTTGATAAAAGATTGAATGATATTAAAGGATTAATGGATGTTGTTAAATTATACAATTCAAAATCCGGTAATATCAGAGTTTTGGATAAGAGATTCGTTGGTTCTTGGGGATCCATTGCATCGGTCTATTATGAGATTGCATCGATTGCTGTTGCACAAGATATGGTCAAACAAAGACAAAAAGATGCACCAAACCACAAACATCCAGAGTGGAGTCATTTTATTAATCTATCGCTTGACGATTTTCCAACAAAGAATGTTGTTGATCTTGAGAGATTCCTAGGATCCAAACCAAGAATGAATTATATTGAAAAACGACCAAGAACAAGTGAAAATAGAAAATCAGTAAGTTTAATGATAAAAAAATATCTATATTAAAAAAACATTTTTCTAACTACTTTTGTTTTATTTTTAGAAAACATGGATGGAATGTGATGATAACCAAATGATAAATATTGAATATCAAAATACTGATCATTGTGGTAGTAATGATTATTTCTTGAGTTCCTACAATAATGAAACATTGGTAGAAGGATCACAATGGCATTTCCTATCAAATTCATTCGCCAACTATCTTTTATCATCGAGGAAATCAATTGAAAGATTGTTTTCAATGAAATTTACATTGATTCCCGAAGAAACTTTCTTCCAATTAGCTTTGTTGGAATCAAATTTATCTGATGAATGGGTTGGTAAGTATAATTAATTAAATTTTAATTTATTATTTAATAAATTGCTAATATTAACTTTTTTTTTTTTTATTCTATTTTCTAAAAATAAAGACTATAATTATAGATTTACACCATTACATAAAGAGAATAGGGAAGTTGATGAAAATGATCTGGATTTCAAATTTGAAAGTTATTTCACAAGTAAAGTAAAGAGTAAAGAGGTTAGAGATTCAATCACGGAGAAACATTTAAATTTTAGACATAACATTAAATAAAACTTGATCAAATAAATATTTTTTAAATAAAAAAAATTGTAATCATTTTGTCATTCCAAATTTGGACACATAATTATCACTTCTCTTTTAAAAAATTATAAAAAGTTAGTTTCGCTAAAAAAAAAAAATTAATTTTTTTAAAAAAGATTATTTTTAAAATACAACAACATACAATAATTGTTGCTTATTAGTTTAGTTTTGTATAGATATAACCAATTTGTATAGATAGAAAAAGATATAATAGATAAATAAATAATGCATAGATTAGAAGGATCGGAATTAGATGATTTATATCGAGATTTAGGTGTTCAGAGACCAAGACAGTTGGGTAGCGATGTACTTAATAGTCGATATAATAATCTTGGTGCTATCAATGCAGTCAATAACGAAGGTGGACCTTTAGGCAGTAGTTTTAGAATCAATCAGGTAGACCTACAACAACAACAACAACAACCATCCAATGTAATTAGACAAACGACAACGAAATCATCGTCAATCATAAGAAAGAAGAAGAAAACAACAACTTGGCTAGGCTATTCTCAAACACTGCTCAAAGAGTTTTGTTATGGTGCTATATTTGGTTTTGTAGGCTATATGTTTAACGCATTCAATCAATATAGAAAATTAAAAGCAACTTAACACAAATCATCAATAATATAGAATATATAAGATATAATAATAATAATAACAACAACACTTTGTAAATATAATCGAAAATGTAAACTATATAACTTTCAAAGATATATAATTTTGTTTGTCAGTTAGACTATATAGTTATTTCACAATTCACAAATATTTCTTGAAATAAAATAAATAATATAAACAATATAAACAAACAAAACATAAACACAACAAAACAATATATTTATTTGTAAATAACAACACAATTTTTAATTAAACATGTATTTATTTGAGTTTATTTATTTTATATTTTTTTTTTATATGACAAGAGTAACAAACATGTTATAAGTTATGATTTGATTTGATTTTATTTTAAGAGAAAGGTAGTAGATTATTTATATTAATACTAATTTAAAATGATTTATTATTTATAATTTATGATGATGATGATTTTGAGTGAATTATTATTATTATTATTATTATTATTATTTAAAGGTGTTGAAGATCAATACAAAGATTAAATTAAATACTATCTTATTAATTTTTAATTTGATTTGTTGAGACTGTCTTCGTAGGCCTTAACATCGAATGAGAAATATTTCTCCTTAAACTCGTTCTTATCCCAGACTGGGGTATCGGTGACGGCAGCCTCTCTCAAATCGTTGAAGAAATCGGAAAAGATTGCCTTCTCCTCACGTTCACTCTTTTCGATTGCTGCAGAGAGGGTGGCATTGTGATTGAGGAGTGGTGATTCAATCTTGTAACCACTCTTGATTGATGCATCAACTGAATAGGCGAATTGAATCTTGGTATCCTCAGTGAAATATGATCTAACCAATTGTTCCAATTGTTGTTTCTCTTTGTCGTTATATTCCTATATTATTAATCAAGTAAGTATATGTATATCTATAAAAAACCGATTATTACTATATTATTTAAATGATTCATACATGTGCAACAGTCAATCTGATATTCATCTCGGTTGAGAGTGAAGCAACCAAACGTTGGAAATCCTTCAAGGTGTTAACCAAGATACCAAAGTTGTTCTCATTTGACATGTAATCTATTTATTAATAGTTAATAGTTAGTTAGTTAGCTAGTAAAGATATGTTCTGTTATGTTGTTTAAAAATTATTAAAACTTACAGAGGAAGAATTCACCGATTGGTGACAAGGTGACAGAGTCAACAAAGAAGTCGATGAGGTTTTGCTTGTCAGCGTTGGCAATATCTGGTTCCTCGACGATCGAACGGAATGATGGGATGGTATCGAAAGCCTTGAGAATCATATCGACATCCTTTGAGACGATGTTGAGTGAACGAGCTTGAGAAGCACAAGCAAAGAGGGCACGAGCAACCTTACCAGAGGCGGTTGGGATAATGATGGTTGGTTTGACTTCGAATTTTGGTGAGGAAATCTTTGATGTTTCCTTTGATTCCATCAACGAGGAGATGATCTCTTGATATTGTTTCTTTTGAGCCAAACGAGAGTTCTCGAGACTCTTCAAGACATCAGCTGGGATCTCTTGATTGGTATCGTACTTTTCCAACTCTTCCCATTCCTTTTCCAAGCTGTTGTTGCTCTTTGGTGGTTGTTGTGGTGGTGGTGGTGGTGGAGTTCCAGCAGATTTCTTGGTTGAGAATGTCATGACATTACCACCCTATATATATATATTAATTTATTTTAATATTATTTTATTGTTAATATTAACATTTCTTTTGATTTGTTTTATTTTGACTTATGAACATCTGATCTCTATATATATTATAATATTTTCCCTGTATTTTTCTTCTTTTTTTTTTCTTTTTTTTTTTTCTTAATCCTGTTTTACATTTTCTTTTTTACTGTTTTATAATATATTATAATTTTTTAATTATCTAAATCTAATCTAATCTGTTTTTCTGTATTCTAAATCTTGATGATCGATGTCATAGTGATAGTAATTAATGAAGACTCACCATTGGTTTGAAGGTGGCAACACGACGTGAACCAACAATTGATCTAGTGATTAAACGTGAGAACATCTTTATTTTCTATTTATATATATCTAAATAATACAATCAACAAACTAAAGGAATTGAACACTACTACTGTTAATAAGTTAATAACAATGAATGAGGTGGTTGTCTTTTATATTGTCGAACTCAAAACAAAAAAAAATGATCATATTTCCAAAAGTTAATAGTGTGTGATATAGTTCGAAAAAAAATTTAAAAAAAAAATCAAAAAAAAAAAAAAAAACAATTTTTTATTATTGCAATATTATTTCAAATTTTTCATATCCAAATGAGAAATCGTAGTTCAATTTGCAAAAAAATAAAAACAGAAACATGAATCAAAAAAAAAATCAAAAAAAAAATTAAATTAATAAAAAACGTTCTCAATTTATTAAGTGCTATGATATTATTATCATTATTTATGTTATTTAAATTGATAGTTTGTTTTGATTATAATTCCAAATCTTAATAATAATATTAAAATTACATTTTTGCTATTCTCTCAACTCCACTCTCTGACTGTCTGTCTGTGGGATTTCATTTGTGTGTGTTGTGTTTTGTTTTGACAACCAAAGAAAAAAATAATAAAATAAGATTTATTAAATTTTCTATTATTACACAAACAAAAATAATAATATCAAATAAATTTAATATTTATTTAATTAATTAATATCATTATTATCATTATTTCTATTTTATTATAATTGTCATAATTGTAATTGTTTATATTTATGTTTATGTATTATTATTGCTGATTATTATTATATTAAAATCAAATCACACAGTGTACACTTATATATTTGATCAAAAAAAAAAAAAAAAGCGATAACTTTTATCAATAATAATATCTTTGGAATGATTATTATGATATTTTAATTATCATTATCTTAAGATTTATTTTTAGAAAAAAAAAAAACAAAAACTAAAAAAACAAAAATGAGCGAATATAAATCATCGATTTTCAAATCTATTTCATCTCCAACAACAACAGCCAATCAATATAATAACAATAATAATAGTAATAATAGTAGTAGTAGTTTTAATAGTTTTAATTATGGATATGAAAGTAGTATGTATTATTCTGATATAAATAAGTTGGAGGGTATGAACAACAACAGCAATACCAACAATAATAGTAGTATTAGTAGTAATAATAATGATGTTTCTTATGGATGGAGTTATAATGATATTGTGAATGGCGCCGACGAGTTGAAAACAACAGCCTATCACTCACCGACAGCCGCACCCACCAGTGGAACATCAATGAATTCATCGCCAATCTACTACAACAAGGATTTAATCGATAAGCTAAGTGATGACTCTCAGCCACCACCTCATCATTCACCACTCAATCTCTATGGTAAATCACTAAGAAACAGTTATCAAAATGGAATCGGTGGTGGTCACAGTCGTAACAATAGCGGAAGTGGAAGTAGTCACAGTCGTAATAATAGCAGTGGCGGTGGAAGTAGTCACAGTCGTAATCACAGTAGAAATGGCAGTATAGGTAATAATTCAACTACTGCTGCAGAGTTACAATTATTGGATCATGATGATAATAATGGTAATTCACATTTCAATGATGATAATGATGATAATGATGATTCATCTGATGTTGATCAAACTGACAATGATGATAATGGTTATCTATCTACATTACCACCAACAACAACAACATCGTCAAAGTCATACTCAGCATCGAATCTATCGATATTTGTTGAAAACAACTACTCTGAGTTGCCAATCACAAAGCCAAGTGGATCTTGCACACCAGGTGGTGGTTCTTCATCGTCGCCATCTTCACTGCAAGTGTCACCAAAACTCTCAAGTAAAACACCACCCACAGCTTTTCCATCACATTTTCCACCACTATCACCATCGATTGATGTTCCATCACCATCGTCTTCATCATCGCCACCACCAGTTCCATCTCGTACACACAAACGTTTCCATTCCACTTCAAATTTACCAAACAACAATAATAATGAAAGTAATTCAACAAATAATAGTAATAATAATAGTAGTAAATTAAATGTATTTAGTAATCAAAGAGCCAACTTGACAACGTCGGCCAATAATATTAGTCAGAGTTTGAGTAGCAGTTTCGGTAGTATCTCCAGTAAGATTTCTCAGTCACCGCTCAAGTCCAAGCTGCTCAAAGTCATCACCAACGTCAAGAATAGCTCGCCTGTAGAATCTATACTCACCAATCTCTCTATATCGACAAGTTCACTCTCACCCAGAAATTCATCTGATATTTCAATACAACCAATAGCCTCTTCCACCTCCGAACCATCATCAAACTATCCTTCATTACAATCTTCAACAAACTCTACAGTAGATATTGAATATGAACAACAACAAAATCAACAACAACAACAACAACAAAGTCAAGATGGTAATAATATTAAACTACAAGATTCAATTGATAAGATTGTAAATGAATTTGACTTTGATCTAATAAAAATTGAAGATAATAGTCAACAACAACAACAACAACAACAACAGCAACAACAGTCATCTCAACAAACTAATAGTAATAATATCAACGATGTAAATATTGAGAAAACAACATTAACAAAGAAACCACAACAATTTTTATCGATAGACGAGAAATCTGTTATTCAAAATAGTCGAAGATCATCACTTTTACATCTCTCCTATAAATCATCGTTATTAAATCAGATTTCACAACAACAGAGTCGATCAGAGAGATATAGATTCAGTTTACCTTTACTAGATATTAGTCCATATCCAAAGTTGAATAATGATTTTAACGCCACAAACAACAGTAGTAACAATAATTATAATAATAGTAACAATAATCAATTTATTTCTTATGATGAACTATTTGATAATTATAAAAATAGTAGTAGTAGTAATAGTAACGGTAATAATATCTATTCATATCCATCATTAAAGAATACAAATGGTAGTACAGTTAAACAAGATATTACACTTCAAAGATTTAAACCACTTCCACCAAGACCACCAACTACTCAACATCTACAACATCAGCAACCATCAAATAGCAGTAATAACAATAATAAGATGTCATCTTTACTACAATTCATATCTATATCATTGCCTGATATAATTACAAAGAATGGAGAGTCATCAGCTCAATCGACATCAACTGCTATGATTGACGATGAGCAATATCGTAATTTCTCACAGTATCTAAATGAGAGTGGTGATCGTCACAAGATATATCAACACATTCAATGGCATCTTGAGCAACCAGTCGTTAACATTGAGATTGTTAAACTACTGGGTACTCACTATGGATTCACCGATTCCTGTAGAGCAATCTCTTGGATGCTTATGACCGGTTATTTACCACCAAACAAAGATCAAAGACAATCTGCATTACAATCAAAGAAATTACAGTAAGTAAAAATTAAACTATAAATCAATCAATTAATTAGCTAATTAATATTTATTATTAATCATCTATTATTTATTACCTACTTAGATATCGAGATTTAGTAAAGAAATACTATGGTGATTGTAAGCTGTTTGAATCGGATGAGAATAACTTTGAGAGAAATACCAATAAGCTATTGAATAATGTGGCAGTGTTGTGGTCTAATAATACACAATCTGGTCAGCAAGAGAAGGAGAAGTTCAATGAATTGGTACAACAAGTACATATCGATGTAATTAGAACCAGACCCGATGGATTCTATGATCTTTTTGAACTTAAAGAGATTGAACAAGTAAGTAATAATAATATATTGTTTAATGATGATCATTAACTAACAAATTAATTTATTCATATTTATTTCATCTAGATGTCAGAAAGAATATTGGTTATTTGGTCAAGTGAGAATAAGGATGTTTCATATTTCCAAGGATTGAATGATTTGATATGTCCGTTCCTGATTGTATTCCTTGACTATGCAATAGAGGTTTCAAAGGTGACACAGGATAGCTTCCCATCGTATCCATCGTTGGTTGACACTCTGATCGACGACGAAGTGTTGCTCTCCAAGAAGATTGGTGATGGTTCACTGGTGAAAGAGTTGATAGAGAAGAAACGATTCGATATACTTTCACGTGTGGAAACCGATGTCTATTGGTGTCTGAGTAATCTAATGAATTCATGTAAATCGTACGCAGCCAACACCGGTTGTGGATTACCTGCCGAGGGTATGATGAAGAATTTAGAATCACTCATAAAAGAATCAAATGGTAAGAGAGAAACAAAACACATTTTTTGATTAAAATTGTTTATAAAGTTTATTTACTAATAATAATAATAATAATAATAATAATAATATTTTTTAACAGAGGAGTTATATTTACATTTCAAAAAACATGGTTTGGATTTTAGTCATTTTTCATTTAGATGGATGGTTTGTTTTTTAATTAGAGAATTATCATTTGTAAGTGTTTTCTTACTACTACTATCATAAAGATATCATTATTTATTATTATTCTTAATAATCTTATTAATTAATTGATTTATCTATCTATCATTCTGTTTTAGGAAACTGGAATTAAACTATGGGATAGATATATGTGTGATAAAAACAATGAAGGTTTTTCAATACTACATATATGTTTCTGTGCATCTATATTATCCTATTGGAGTAATGATCTGCTGAATATGGAGTTTATGGAACTTGTCACCTATTTACAACGATCCGATATTCTTCCAAGAGATCAACTCGATCCAATCCTAAGAAGTGCCAATTCATTTAGACATATTTATAATTATTTATTGTAAATTTATAATACAATACCAATCAAATAATATGATAATAATATTTGAATGAATAAAAAATAATTATTGTTTTTTTTTACAAATTAATTTTTATTTTAAAATTTTTAAAAAAACGATTATTTCGTTTTTTTTTTTTTTGTATTAAATATTAAATAAATATTTAAGAATTTTTTTAATTAGATCAAATTTTAAAATATATATATTTCTATATATAGATAGATAAAGAGAGAGAGAGAGAAATGGTAAAACCAAAACAAAATATAGATCCAGAGGAAGCTGTTGTAAGACACACTCCACATGATATAAAATGTAAGGCAAGACGTGTTTTGCTGTCACAGAAGCTGAGAGCACAGAGAAAGAAGGCAAAGGAGTCTGGTCGTAAAGAGAGACAAAAAGAGAGACAAAAGTTGGGTGAAGACGGACCCGCAGCACAACAACCACGTACTATAGAGTCGATGAGAGTTGCCGATGACACCATCGTCGACGAAGAGGATCCAGAGTATCAAGACGAGATCGAACTCGATGAGTTCTCAAAGTACTTTGAAGGCAAAGAGCCAAAGACTTGCATCACCACCAACGAGAAGCCCGGAGGAAAAGCTGTGGGTTTCGCCAAGCTATTCCCACGTATCCTTCCCAACGCAGAGTATTTCCCAAGACAACACTTTGAGCTTTCAGAGATTGTAAAGTTTTGTAAGAACAGAGATTACACTGATTTAATTGTTGTAAATGAAGATAAAGGTGAAGTTAGTAAGTAGTAAATTGATAATTGTTTATAAATAGAGAGATCTATCTAAAGAGAGAGATAAAGATACAGATTACTTACTTACTTATTACAACGCTATAATAATACTACTACTATATAGATACTTTAATGATTTGTCATTTACCGGATGGACCAACAGCATTGTTTAAGGTGACGAGTATAACTATGCCAGATAAGATACCGGGTGGTGGTGAGATGACCAATCACAAGGCAGAGTTGATTGTTAATAATTTTACGACTAGACTGGGACACACCATCGGCAGAATGTTTGCATCGCTGTTTCCACAGGAACCAAACTTTAGAGGTAGACGTGTATGCACACTTCATAATCAACGTGATTTCATTTTCTTTAGACAACATCGTTATATGTTTGAATCAAAGTCAAAGGCAAATCTACAGGAATTAGGTCCACGTTTCACTCTTAAACTCATGTCATTACAGCATGGTACTTTCGATACTAAATCCGGTGAATATATACATTTACATAAAGCTGGAATGGATGTCGATAGAAAGAAATTCGTACTTTAAAACTAATAATAAAATTTTAATTTATAATATAAATAGTTTGTTTTATTTTTGTTTATTTCTATTATTATTATTCTTTCTATTATTGTTATTATTATTCTTTTTTGAATTGTTATTATTATTTGAATTATTATTTGGTTGTTTAACATCTTCTAACATTATATTATTTTTATTATTATTAATGTTATGATTATTATTGTTATGTCTGTTTTGATTAAATGTTGTTTGTTGTTGTTGACTATGTTGATGATATTGTTTTTGTTGTTGATGTTGTTGTTGAACATTGTTATTAAATGTTTGTTTCATTGTATTGTTGAATTGATTGATCTGTTGTTGATTAGGTCTGAGTATAGCAGGGAGAAGATGTGGTTTCTTAAAGAATAGGAATGTACCAAGTGCTATTATACCAACATTACCACCTACTGCTGCAAAATATACCTATATTAATCATAATTATAAAAGTTAGTTTGGTTAACAAAACTTATTCATAATATTCTTCTTAAAGTTGTTGAAGTATTATTATTATTTTTTTGTTGATATTTACATTTTTAAAAGATTGTTTTGCTCTCTTATGTTTAAATTGTTGCATTGCCCACATACCACCGATCCAACCACCAGCAAGAGCGGTAAGTTGTAAGGTTGACTCTCTAACACGCCATTTATGTAAAATAGCTTGTTGTTTATCGTAATAGAAAAGACCTGCAGCACCTGCATTCACAGCGACACCATAGGCAGCTAAATATTTCAGTGGTCCTCTCATGTTCAACATCTGTTGTGCCATCCTTTAATATTACTAATCTATATATGTACCGAATTCGGATTCGCTTTACTGAAATGTCGTCTTGTCATATTCATTAGCAAATTTTTATCATATTTCAAAAAATTCAAATGAATATTCAATGCTTGATGCTGCTGATAGATCTGATTAATAAAATGTAGAACAATGATCGATCATCTGATACTACATTTAATATTTTAATTTAATTTTAATTTATTTAATATATTAAAATAAAATTTTTGAATGTTGTCAAGATCTAATATATATTTATAAAAAAAATAACAAACAAAAATAAATTCTATTTGTATTCTTAAAGAAGAAATATCGATCTATAACCTTTAACTACCCAAAAAAGTGATCACTTTTGTTTTAAAAACATATGATTATATGAAAGTTCTGGAGTTCTGAGATACTTGAGAGATATGATTCTTTGAAACCTAAAAAAATTAATTTAATTATTAATTTTTTTTAGTGGTTGATTTAAAGTGGGAGTTGTCATTAAAAAACAAAATAATAATTGAAATTATTTTTATTTTATAATAATTCTATCTTTTTTTTTTTTTGTTTTTGTTGTTTTCAATCTTATCTTGTAATTTATTTATTTTGTATATATATTTCATTTTCATACTTTCATTTTATTAAGAAAATAGCTATGGCATTGGTATGTAATAATAATAATAATGTTTATGATGATCGTTTTTGATGAATTGATATTTATTATTATTTTATTTTTATGTATAGGCATTTCCACCACATGCTATTCAATCGATTTTAGAGATTGCCAATAATTTGGCAGCATCAGCAGGTACAAGCAATCAACAAACAGGTAGTGGTGATGCATCATCGACATCCAATATAACTTCAGCAGCATCACTTGTAAGGATAAACGATGATCTCACACCAAATTGGATGTCGGAACTCAAGATGTCGCAAGCGAGAAACAACAACAGTCTTGCTTTTAAGAGTATATTGGATCAACCCGTTATCAACATTGACAGATTACGTGCATTGAGTTTCGGTGGTATTCCAATGGAACATCGTCCAATTGTTTGGCAAATCTTATTGGTATGTATCAAGCTATATAACAGTTATAATAATAGTTATATTCAATCAATTATTAATATTTGTTATTGTTTGTTAAAGAATTATTTACCACCAGAAAAGAAATTACATGGTAGAATATTAAGTGATAAACGTAATCAATATGTTCAATTGGTACAAAAGTTCTATCAGAGTGAGATGTCACCCGATGACAAGACACTGTTGAATCAGGTCAAATTGGATGTACCAAGAACAATGCCAAAAGGATTCAGTCAAACACCACTCTTCAAATCAACGATCTTACATTTGGTGCTGGAGAGAATTCTCTATGTTTGGTCAAAGACAAATCCACTGATCTCATACTTTCAAGGTTTAAATGATATTCCTGCTCAATTCTTACTTGTATTTTTAACTCAATATATAAGTTTGTATTAATAACTAAATAATTAATAATACATTTTTAAAATGTTATACAGGTTATACTTATTATTCTCTCTCTCTCTCTCTCTTTTTATATAAATCAAGATATTCATGGTAATTTAACAGATTTAAATTGTGATATATTAGATAAAGTCGAAGCTGATACATTTTGGTGTTTATCTTTATTAATGAACAACCTAAAGGTATATACTCATTAAATATATAAATTTAAAACAACAACAACAACAACAATAATATTAAAATTTACTTTTAATAATCAAAATAGAATCGATTCATTAATTTCCATGATGGTATCAATCGAATGGCAATGAAACTGGAAAGACTTGTTAAATTAAAAGAAGGTATGTGAAAATAACAAACTTTGATTGCGCTTATGAACATTAATGTTAATTAAGTTTTTACTAACACTAAATGTTTTATTATTTATTATTAAAAAGAGAATCTATCTAAACATTTACAAAACGAAGGATGTGATTTTATATTGTTTTCACTTAGATGGATGATCTGTTTGCTATCGAGAGAGTTTGAATTTAGATTGTGTAATCGTTTGTGGGATAGCTACATTGCTCACGGTCCAAACTTTGGATACTTTCACATCTATGTGTGTGCTGCGCTGATCACAACAAAAGAATGGGTACCAGTACTACAGAAGCGAGAGTTTAGCGATCTCATCGTATTTCTACAGCGATTGCCCACCGATAGTTGGAACATACATCACATCGATCACCTCTTGGTAGGTGCCTACCAGATATTCCTATTGGAGATACAATCCGCTGTACAAGAATCAACAAAGAAAATAGTTCAATTCTTTATATCACAAAATACAAATAGTAGTAGTAGTATTGATAATAATAATAATAATAATGATAATAGTAGTAATGATGATAATAATAGTAGTAATAATAATGATCAATCAGTTCCAACTATTATTGAACCTATCGATAAGAATCCATTGTTATTAGAGAATCATATGAAGAATATCTATTTATCATTCTTGAAATCACAGAATAATCATCAACTTTCTTCATCAATTAATCAAGTTCCAATTATTAATAACAGTAGTATAGCAGCATTCAATAATCCACAACAACAGTTGGCAGCTGGATTTTCACTATTGAACAAACATTTCTTAAATAATCAAAATAACAACAGTAATAGTAATAACAATTCACCAATTGATTTAGAACAAATTAAATCAAAGATAATGACAGAGTTCCTACCTTCGTATCTCAATATTTCACAGATATCACCAGAGTCTGCAGATGAAGAGATGATCAAACATATAACACTTCATTTAATGGTGATCATTGGTGCACTGCTTTTTGTTGGAGTTATCCTTTTAGTTGTAATCATTTGTACATGTCTAACAATCATATCTTTGGAATACTATAATTCGAGTAGATAAAATTAATCTTTAGATTAATAAATTAACAATAATATATAAATTATATAATTAATAAATATTTATGTGTGTGTTAACAATCTAAAAAAAAATACTTGACTTTTTCTTATAATTTAAGATTCAACGAAAATCAAAGATTCGTTTAATTGTTTGCATGTTGTGAACATTCACAAAGACAGACTATTGAATCAATCAACAATAAATATAATCAATAACACGATGATTTAGTTTTAATTAAAGTTATTAATAAACGAAAATTAGTATATTTAATAATAATGTATAATTCAAGAAACTATTTATATTTAGTTGATGTCAGTATATCATTAGATCAACATAGATTTAATATTAGAAATATTATTACACAAATCGATGATATTCAAACATTAGATATAACTATTAATTTATGTTTATTAAATCAATCAATTGAAAATGTAAGATTAAAAATCTAAATTGTTGTTTAATTATTTCTTTTTATTAATATTTTAAATTTTAAATTGCAATTTAATCAAGATTGAAGAATGTATTGATATAATGATTATTTATTATGAATTGCTACACAGTGTTGTAGTGTCAGCCAATGAAAACACAACACTTTTGGTACACTCGAAATTCAATGTACTGATATTGCAGCTATACAGATCTATTGGCGATCTACTCGACCGACTGAACCCTATTGACAATATATTCATTCCGTCCAACTACTTTGATATTCTCAAAGGTGTAAAATTACAATCTACAACATCTATATCAATCATAGAGTCGAACAACAACAGCATTACAATGAGAGATATTGAAATTTCAAAACAATCAATAGTTACTCTCTACCAACAAGTTTTCACTGGTGGATATTTTGATTATCTACATAATGGTCATAAAGTAATTATAAACATGATGTTTTTTAACAACTCAATTGATAAAACACAGTATTAGTTATTAATAGATAATTTGTTATGTTTGCAGTTATTTTTAAGTGCAGGTGCATTGATATCTTGTGATACATTCTTGGTGACAGTACTGGAACCTAATGAAAATGGAAAGAAGAAACACAACGAGGAAATGATGCAACCGGTTGGTCTGAGAGAAATCAATGTCAGACAATTTCTGAATCTTTTTCATCCTTATCATCTAGCGATTCAAGTGATATCTAATCGGCGATGTAATGATATCAGACAATGTCCATTAGTAACAAGAGATTGTACATCATCAACAAATAATATTGGAAATAAGAAATCCGCTATAATAGTAATCGATGAAACTTTATCGAGCGGTCAACAACTAAATGAAATTCGTGTCAACAATAAATTGGAACCACTGGCAATCTATCAAGTTAAAGAAATTAAATGTCCAATTAATATAGATTTAAATAATAATAACAATAACAATAACAATATAATCAATGGTTGTAATAATATAGACAATATAAGTAGTAATAGTAGTAGTAATAGTAGTAGTAATAGTAGTAGTAATAGTAGTAATAGCAGTAGTAATTGTAGTAGTCGTAGTAGTAGTAGTGGTATCACAAGTTCACCAACTAAACTATCATCATCGTATTTAAGATCGATAATAAAAAAGGGATGACGATCATTGGATCAGTCAGATTGCAATTGATTGGATTGGATGGCTCTAAAAAGTATCCACACCCACCAAGTGTCTTGCACATAACTCAACAACACACTTCTTGTTTTGCATAACCAAAAAAAATTATTTTTTTTTACTAAAACATTTTTTTCTTTTCTCTCCTCTGATGATGGTGAGTTCCTTTGATTACAATTTTTTTTTAAATTTTTTTTGTTATTATTGAAAGAAAATTTTTAGATTATTAGTTCAAAGAGAAGAGTGTTTTTGAAGAAAAGGAAAGGAAAAGAAACTAATTAGTTAGTTAGTTAGTTTAATTTATAAGAACTAAAAGTTTATTTATATACAATATATACTATTTTTTTTAAATATATATTTGTTTTACTATTATTATTTTTTTTTTTAAAAAAAAAAAAGACTAGAAAGAAAGAAGAATAGTTTATTTTATAGTTCAGCGAAGAAAAAGATAATATATAATATTTATTAAATCGAATTTGTACAGATAGATATAGATATACATATAGATTTGTGAGTAATAGTAATTAGTAAGAGAAATTTTTTTAATAAAAAAAAGAACAAAGAAACAAAAGAATACAGTATATATTTTATATTCAATTTTTATTGTTAAAGAGAAATATAAGAAGAAAGTAAAAGTATTAGTTAGTTAGTTAAAAGTAACAAGTAATAATAATAATATGGGTGTTCCTAGATTTTTTAGATGGGTATCCGAGAGATATCCACAGATTATACAGAATCTTGTAGATTCTACAGCACCTGAATATGGTAATATCAAATATATATGTATCTATGACTAAATATATATATATTAATCTACTTTTTAAACAAAACAAAACAGATAATTTATATCTTGATATGAATGGTATTATTCATGCATGTTCACAAGAGATCAGCAATAGTCTATTGACATTTTCAGAAGAAGAGTTGATAAGAAAAGTTTGTAATTATATCGATAAATTATTTCATATAATAAGACCAAAGAAATTATTGTACATGGCAATTGATGGTATGATGATAGTAATGATGTTGATCATGATAGTATTAGATAATAATGAACTTGTTTATATTAATAATTAATAATATTTAGGTGTTGCACCAAGATCAAAATTGAATCAACAAAGACAAAGAAGATTTTTATCAGTGTTTTTAGAGGATAAAGCAAAGCAAAAGATGATCAGTGAGGGTAAAGAGATACCGGAAGTAATATTTTCGAGAACTGCAATCACACCAGGAACAGAGTTCATGTCGAACCTCTCTGATTGTTTGCAGTTCTTCATCAAGAAGAAGATCAACGAAGATATGAGTTGGCGTGAAGTCGAAATCATCTTCTCCGGTCCAGAGAATCCAGGTGAAGGTGAACACAAAATTATAGATTACATAAGAAAGAATAAAGCATCTCCAGATTGGGATCCAAATCAAGTAATTATCAATCAATCAATCAAATAATAATTAAATCAAATTAACTAACTAATCAATGATCTTTGTTTAGTCACATTGTTTGTATGGTTTAGATGCAGATCTGATATTGTTAGCATTGGTAACACATGAACCACACTTTAGTATCTTGAGAGAGGAGATTTCGTTTAGACCAACAAAGAGACAACTGGATTTTCAGCTGTTGCATATCTCGCTGCTAAGAGAGTATCTCGATCTGGAGATGCGAAACGATTCGTTGGAGTTTGGATACGATCTGGAGCGAATCATCGATGATTTCATTATGATACTCATTATTTTCGGTAATGACTTTGTGCCGCATCTTCCATTCTGCGAGATCTCAAAGAGTGGATTGAACGTCGTGATGGATCTCTACAAGAAGCTGCTTCCGGACCTCGGCGACTACATCACCGACGGCGCAGAGATCGACTTGCATCGTATGCAGTCGTTTTTCAACGCCGTAGCGCAATTCGAGCTGAAACAGCAGAACGTTTCGTCGGGTCTCGACGATGAAGAGGAGCTCGACGACTCTGCTGCGGTGGCCGCCGCCATCGTCGAAGGCGAAGATCCCGAGGACGCCGAAGCCAGAAAGGAATTCGAGCGACAGGCTCTCGAGCGTATTAAACACCACTTTAACGAGCTGGATTTCAAGGATGAGGAGCTCGAGGACGACATTTCCAGTGCCTGGAAAAACGCGTATTATCGCGCGCACTTTGAAGACTTCCCCGATAACTACGATGAGATCCCGCAGTTCAAACGAAACCTGGTGCATTCCTACCTCGAGGGTATCGTCTGGGTGCTCAACTACTACCACAACGGATGTATATCGTGGGTGTGGTTCTATCCACACTACTACTCGCCACTGGCCTGCGACTTTGTCGATATTGCATCGATCGAAGTCAACTTTGAGCCTGGCAGTCCGGTGACTCCATTCCAGCAGTTGATGTCGGTGTTACCACCGCAATCCGCTTACCTCTTGCCGGCTCCCTATCGTCGTTTGATGGAGTCTGACGATTCGCCAATCGCCGACTTTTATCCAAAGGAATTCGAAGTGGATACTAGTGATCCTCACTATTTCGACGGTATTGCCATCATTGGTTTCCCAGACTTGGCGCGTCTTGTCGAAGCCACCAAAGACGAAGACAGCTACGACTTGACACCGAGAGAGCGAATGAGAAACACTCTCAGACACGCAGTGATCATCTATCACGATGCGCAAATCGAGCAATCCGTTGAGACACCAAATGCCAAGCTGTTTGACGACCTCGAAAAGTCGAATGCCACCATCGAGGAGTTGATCTTACCCGAGCCAAACGAGAACAGTCTGAAACCTTTTAGACTGTGTGACGGTGTGCTCGTTGGAAATCACTCACCAAGCGGTTTCCCAACGTTCCAATCGATCGACTTTGACTGGGAGTACATGAACGGTGTGGCAAACCTCTGGGGTAACACCAGCAGAAAGGATTCGATGATTGTCAATCCGCCACTGCCAGAGTTGTGCACTCTCCGTGATTTGAAACCACTGATTGGCAAGCGTTGCTATGTCAACTGGCCATATCACATTGAAGCGAAAATCGTTGGATTCTCTGACTCTAACCAGCATATCACTCGTGACAGTACCATCGATTATGTTGCCTTCCAGAAGATCCAGTATCTCGACCAACTGAAAAAGTTGCCATTCGATTACTTGCGTCGTGGTATCAATATTAAGGATCTCCTCGAGAACACAGTGTTGGTTCACGTTCAAAAGATTGTAGGTGTCGATACGGAAGTAGGTGGAAGACGTGTCAAGCGTTATAGCGACAAGGAGGATACCTTCCCCCTCCAACTGATGGTAGAGTACGACCGTGTCAAAGCTGATTCGCGTTACGAGGAATGCGAGGAGTTGCCATTCGAGAAGCGTTTCCCCATTGGAAAGCAAGTCATCTATGTCAATAGTGACCACTATGGTTCGGTCGGAACCGTGCTCCATCACTTTGACAATACTCTAGAGTTGGAGCTAAAGGTGCAAAAGATGGATACCAAATTTGGACACCAGTGTGCGCGTGAAGAAGATGAATACTACCCGATCCAACAGGTCTGCAAGATGACCAACCTCTCGACACAACAGATCTCACTGTTGACCGGTGCCTTGTTTATCGACAAGCCAATGACTGACATTGGTCTCAACATGAAATTCACTGGTAGACAACAACAACTGCTTGGTTATTGTCGTGGAATCACCATGTCTGACAAGACTGGAAACTCCTTTAAGAAATGGGAGTTTAGTTCGCTCGCTGTCGAAGTCATCAAGAAGTATCTCGCTGCATTCCCAGTGTTGAATTCGATCTTGACAATGTATGCCGACGACAAAACCGGAAAGAAAGCAATCGACATCTCTTCGCTGATCCCCGAGAAGAGTGATCGTGTCGCTCTCATCAAAAAGATCGACGAGTTTATGAAGGAATCAAAGATCAGACATCAGCGATTGGTTCCATGTGATACCATCACAATGAAGCGTGAAGCCATCAAAAAGGTGGAGGATTTCTACTTGAAACAATCGAAACACGAAAAGGTTTCGGTGATCACTCGTACTTCGCCAGAACACGTAATCGAACCGGCATCCTATGAATCTGTGATCTCCTATGAACGTCATCAATCACAGACTCATCTCCAACAGAGAAACAATAACAGTCCATCGCTCGCCAGCAGTAACATCAGCAACGGCGGTTTCTTGGAATCCAACAAATCAAAGATCTTCAATCTAGGTGACAGAGTTGTCACTCTATTGGAAAAGGGTAACATACCATTCGGTTTGTACGGTACAGTTGTATCGGTACAAGAACACAAGGTCGATGTTGTATTGGATCAAGAGTGTTTCAGTGCCAACAGTCTTGACGGATTCTGTTTGGAGAAACGTGGTATCTGTATTTCAAAGTGGAGAGTTTACAATCTTTCACAACCAACCGCAGTAACCAACTATAGATATAGATCAAACAAACCAAACTATTCAATTGATTCTTATGAACATTGGAAGAAATATGATCATCAAAATAATAATAAATCAAATAATAATAATAATAATAATAATAATAACAATAATAATAATCATAATAATAATAATAATAATAGTGCTTCAATTCAACAAAAGATAAAAGAGGAAATGCCACCCAACTTGAATTGGCAACAACAACAAGAGTACTATAAACAATTGCATAGAAAGAATTATTATAATCGTCAAGAACAATATACAAAGAACTTTACTCCAGAAGAACTTGTTCATTATGCAAAGAAATATCCACATGTCCATCAATCTATGTTATGGCAACACCATCAACAACAATTACAAATTCAACAATCTAAACAACTAAAGAATAATAATAATAATGTTGATAAGAAACCACCTGGATTAGTACAACAACAAGGACAAGGACAACAAGCTAAACCACCAAAGCAAAAGAAGGATAAGAAAGAAAAGAAGGAAAAGAAGAATAATACCTCTGGAGCTGAACCTGCCAAACAATCCGATTCAACCAGTCAGATCCTACAAAAGATGTTTGAATCGCAAGCACTTCCAGATCCACCTGCTTCACCTCCTATCACAAGCTTCTTTATGAAAGCAGCTGCTCAGTCTCAAGAGGGTGCTCCAAAAGCAGCTGAAGTCGGTCCAGCAGAAACAGCTCCACAACAACCTGACCAACAACAACAACAGCCACCACAAGGTCCACCATCGCAATTGCTACAGATGATTCAATCATCGTTGCAAAGTGTTCCACAGTCTGGTCAACCACCAGCCATGCCCATGCAATACCCACCACCTCCACATATGGGTATGCCACCATTCCCTCACCCACCACCTCCTCACATGGGTATGCCACCATTCCCTCACCCACCACACATGGGTATGCCAATGTTCCCTCCACCCCCATTCGGTGTACATCCACCACCACCCATGCCAATGGTTAATCAACGTCCTAACCAACATCATCATCAACAACAACATCAACAACAATTCCCACAATTGTCAGAATCAAACAAACAACAAAAACCAAAAAACAATAACAAACAAAACAAAGTAAAGCAACCACAACAACAGGTATCAAAAGCTCAACCAAATACCAATACAAATATTCATACATTGAATGACTTGAAACAAAACAACAAACCAAAGAAGGATAAAGCCAATAAGTCTCAATGGGTTCAAAAGAACAAGCCAACAGCAGGATCCTCATCTGCAGTACCAGAGAATAATGACAACAAGCCCAACAACAACAACAACAATGATGAAAACAATACAAATAATGGTGATAAAGATCAATTAAATTGGCAACAGAAATTAGAAAAATAAAATCATAAACAATTCAATTCCAATTATTAATCGAGAGTAGTAGTCTTTACGATTAACTAATCATTACAGAATCACTGATTTCTAATTTTTATTTTATTTTTGTTAAATTGTCATTTTATGATTCATTGATGGTTTGTTTTGTATTTTTTTTTTTTGTTTGGTTTCAAAAAGACGAAAATCGGACCGTATTAAAATCGTTTATACCGATATTCGGAGGCAAAAAAGGTCAGCAACATCTGAAAAAATAAAAAAAAATAAATCATAAAAATAAAATAAATGAAATTTGGAAGTGGTGGGGGTGGGGGTTTTATTCGTTATTCATTCATAGTGTTTGCTTGGGATTCTGTGCTTGTGTGTATTGTGTGTTGTTTATTTAATGAGTTGTTGTTTTTAGTTTGAAACGTGTGATTTCATTATCTCTCAATTCAATTTTACATTGTTATATATATAAATAAAGTTATATAATATATATATTATTATTTATATATAATTATCTATTCTATCTTTTTTTACATATTTTTTTTTTTTTAAACAATGTCATCTACTCATATACCAAAGGCATTCGATACAACCGATGTAACTTTTATTGCATCTGGAAAGACTAAATCAATCTTTAAACTCAATAAGGAAGATCAATATGTTTTGATTCTCTCTAATTCTTCAATCACTGCTGGTGACGGTGCCAAGAAAGACGAGTTACCAATGAAGGGTATTAACTCTACCTCTACCACCTGCAATGTTTTTAGAGTATTACAATTGGCTGGTATCAATACTCATTATATTCGTCAAGTATGTTAATGAATTAACTTAAAATTTTAATATATATATATTTATTAATATGTTGTTTTATTTTACCTATCATTTTTTTTTTTATCCTTTAGGAACAAAACAATAGTTTTATTGCTAAACGTTGTTCAATGATTCCATTGGAAGTTATTGTTAGAAGACTTGCCACAGGATCATATTTAAAGAGAAACCAACATATAACTGAAGGTACCAGATTCAACCCATGTCTCATTGAATTCACCTTCAAGGACGACGTCCAACACGACCCATTGGTCACCGAACAAGATATCCTCGAGATGAACTTGAACATTGGTGGTCTCCAAGTAAACTCAAAGGTTCTCTCACAGATTAGACATGTTGCAAACCTTGCATTCGAAGCATTAGAGCGTGCTTGGGCATCAATCGATGTTGTTTTAGTAGATTTTAAGGTAAGTTAAATTATAAATTAAAATAATTATTGATCACTCATTTAATCATTTTATTATTATGATTATTTTTTGTTAGGTTGAATTTGGTGTTACAACAGATGGTGAAATTATATTGGCAGATGTTATCGATAATGATTCATGGAGAATCTGGCCACATGGTGATAAGAATCAAATGAAGGACAAGCAAGTATATAGAAACATTCCACTCCAATCGGGTGCCCCAACTGTTGGAACTCTATCCGATGAGCAAACCAAGGTTTTGGTCGACAATTACTCCTGGGTGGCCAACGAAAGCGCAAAATTAGTTGATTACATGGTCACTTCCAACCATTCAACTTCCAACACTACTACTACTACTCCATCGGTATAATATCAAAAATCACCCTTTACCATAAAGTTTGTAATAATTCATAATATATATACTTTCTATATAGTTATAGTTATTATAATTTATTTATCTCTATATAAATTGCTTTTTGTCTTTTATTATTATTATTTGATCAATGTTTTTTTAACTTTTAATATTTTATAATTTATTTTTTATTTTTTTCTAACTAAACTACTTACAAATTAGAATCAAAGACATTCAAATGTTATAAATAATATCTTATCTCCTGTTCCATCTTATTCATCACCTCTAACACGTCATATAAATCAATCACACCAGGTCGGTCAGCCATGTCTTTCAATGCCACCAGCAAACGGTAATAGTCCAATGGTTGGAATTATCATGGGAAGTCAATCCGATTGGGAAACAATGAAGTAAGTAGAAAAAGAGGAAAAGTAAATAAAAGTACATGCTAATTGGTTATTATTATTTATTTTTTAGGTTAGCTGCAAATACATTAACAACTCTTCAAATTCCATTTGAAGCAAAGATTGTATCTGCTCATAGAACACCAGATAGAATGTTTGAATATGCTAGAGCCGCTAAATCTAATGGTTTAAAGGTTATTATTGCTGGTGCAGGTGGAGCTGCTCATCTTCCAGGCATGGTCGCTGCTTTGACATCTTTGCCAGTGTTTGGTGTACCAGTACAATCAAAGGCTCTCAGTGGAGTAGACAGTCTATTGTCAATCGTTCAGATGCCAGCTGGTATTCCAGTTGGAACCGTTGCAATCGGTGCTGCCGGTGCTACCAATGCTGCTTTGTTGGCTGCTGCCGTTTTGGCTCCATTCTATCCGGCCATCGATGCCAACCTTGAACAATACAGAAAGAAACAAACCGATGCCGTTGCTGAAACACCATCTGATAATCCAGCTGCTGCTGCTCATGGACATGCCATTTCAACCCCATCATCCAACGATATGGTTTCACATATTTCAACACTTCTCTCGGTTCAACCACAATCATCATCTTCATCATCGTCGTCGTCGTCGTCGGTTTCATTGACCACCTCAACTTCTTCTTCAACAGTATCAACATCACAATCATCGATCAAGACAGTTAAACCAACCATTCAAACACAATCGACTACATCGTCGTCACCAATGCAATCACTTCACTCACCATTGACCGGTGTCAATTCACCGATTCGTTCAACTTCTCCATCGATTGTTGTTGCTGATAAGAGTCCATTGTCAACCTTTGTCCTATCGACATTGCGTCCATCTGCTTTGGTTCTCCCACCAGGATCTACCATTGGTATTCTTGGAGGTGGTCAATTGGCACGTATGACAGCGATTGCCGCTGCTCAGCTCGGTTACAAGACACACGTTTTCTGTCCTGAAAACGATGCATCTGCTTCACATGTAGCCACCTTTACAACCAAAGCCAACTATAACAATTACTCTGCACTTGAACTCTTTGCCTCAAAGGTCGATGTTGTCACCTATGAGTTTGAAAACATTCAAGTCGAGCCAGTCGAATACTTGTCAAAGAAGGTTGCTGTTTTCCCTGACCCCAAGGTTTTGCGTATTTGCCAAGATCGTGTTCAAGAAAAGAAATTCATTCAATCGCTCGGTGTTGGAACTGCCAACTTTGAACCAGTCGAGTCATTGGAAATGTTGCAAACCGCCATTCAAAAGATTGGTTATCCATCGATCCTCAAATCCAACACTATGGGTTACGACGGTAAGGGTCAAGTAAAGATTACCGATCCAGTCGATTTGGAGTCTGCATGGAAGAAGGTATGCGCCGACACCAACACTTCTAAAGCTATTTTGGAGCAATATATCGAGTTTGAATCTGAGGCGTCAGTTATCGTTGCTCGTGGTCTTGACTCTATTGAATTGCCATTCTCTATGGTTACCAACAAACATCGTAATCATATCTTGCGTCAAACTATTGCACCAGCTTCCCTCCCAGAATACGTCCACAAAGATGCCAAGGAGATTGCCAGCAAGATTGGTAAAGGTATTGGTTTGGTTGGTGTATTGGCCGTAGAGTTGTTTGTCGTCAAGCGTGGCGATACCTACCAACTATTGGTCAACGAGTTGGCACCACGTCCACACAACAGTGGTCATTGGACCATCGAAGGTTGTGTTACCAGCCAATTTGAACAACTTGTTCGTTGTGTCTGTGGTTTGCCACTTGGAAGCGTTGATCTCATGAAACGTGTCACCGAAAAAGAATCGTTGGCCACCGATTCACCAATCATTATGAATAATCTTTTAGGTGCTGAAGTAGATCAATGGGAGAAATGTTTATCTCAAAAAGGATCTCATTTACATATTTACGCAAAAGGTGACGCCAGAGAAGGCAGAAAGATGGGTCATGTTACAATCATCCCATGAAAAAGGAAATAATAAATAAATGTAAACAAAAATAAATAAAATATTAATAAATAACTTTTTTTTTATTTATAAATTTAATTGGTTTTTAAAACTGTGAATTGAAGTGATGTACTTGTTGGTTCTGCAATAAAAGAGAATGTGTATGATTGTCCAGGTAATAGTGGTGGTAAGTATGATGGCATTGAATAGGTACCCGGTTGAACGGTATCCATTCTCCACATTGTGGTTGAATCTTTCAAAACAGCTTTAGAAGTTACCACTACAGTAGAAACAGCAACACTTCCAGAATTTTTGATGATACCATTAAACATTGACCAATATTTTCCATTTTCAGTCCATGAGTTTACTGTCTCAACGGTAACAGATACACCACCTCCACTTGTACCTGTGGTAACTGGTTGAGAGGTTGGTGCACCACAATAACTTCCAATTTCCTCATATGGAGTAGCTGATAATTGGAAAGTATATAGTTTTCTATTGTAATATCCCAAGACAACATTACCCTGACATTGTGTTAAATTAAAAGTACAGGTTTGACCTTGGGAAATTAATTTAACATAACCTTGTCTACTGATAGTAAAACTTCTTGAATCAAAAAACATTGGTGCTGCTTTTGAAACATCAAATGGTTGATATTTTCCTAATATTTTTTTAAAAATAAATTTAATAAAAATATTTAGAATAGAAATATAAAAATATAATTATTTTATTTACCTGCATTACATATTTCATTTACAGAATTAATTGATTTAAAAGAATCAACATTTGCCAAATCTAATGAAAAACCTTTTTCAGACATTGAATTTCCACGAGAATACTGAACATTTCCATAACTATCTACAATGGTCATTTGAATTCCAACTTTTGGAATATTAAAAAAATAACTTAAAACTTGAGCGCATTGTTGATTTTGAGCAATTATACTATCATATAAAATAAATAATAAAAATAAAGAAAAAATTAGTTTTTTCATAGCTATAAGTTTTTTTTATAAGAAAATAAATAAAAAATATAGTTTATAATAATAAAAATCTAAAGGATGATTGATTTCAAACAAATACGTAGATTTAAACTCAATTGAAATCAACCCAAATTGAAGTAAAATGACATACCACAAATATATATATCTCAGACACACACATACCCCTTAATAAATATTCATAATAAATAAAATTAACAGATATATTTCCAATTTCACATGATTTTGTGGATAATTAAATTGGTAATAAAATATATATCAATGATGATGGGTTAGAGATTGGGGTGGGATAAAAAAAAATAATATTAAATAAATAAAACAAAAAGATAAATCAAAAATTTCAACACATTTAAATTTTATAAAGAATGTTTAGTCAGTTATTAATTAATAAGAGAGAGAGAAAAAATTATTCTGTCTTTATAAAAAAAAAAAAATTAGTTGTTTAAATTAATAATTAAACTTTTGATGATCATTAAATTTTCTTTAGTTGAGTAAAGAATAGGTAACTTGGAATATGGTGAGCAAAAAGTGTTCAAACATCAATAAAAATTGGATTACTTTCTTTTGATAATAAGAAATTTAAATATTTAATTCCAAGTTTTAACACCACTCATGCATTTGTTAATTATTTATATATTTTTATTTTACTTTGTTTTTGCGCTTTGTGAACTTGAGGTGGTTTTGGAGGAAAAGTTAATTAATTTAGAAACTTGACCCTTGGCAGCAGCTGTAATGAGGGATGATCCAATACAAAATGGTACAAGATATAAAAGTGCTGGCTATAAAATTGAAATATTAAATTGTTAGTAATTTAATTTTTTGTTTTTGTATATAAATTTTTTTTTTTTTTTTTATGATAATTACTTGAGCGGCTTGGAATGTATGCATTACAAAAATGGTGGTGGCAAGACCCATGGCGTAGGCGATGAGACATGATACGAAATAGGTGGTTTTCATTTGTTTTCCACCAGAGTTTTCCTTGTCAAACTTGAGGAGCAAGGCGATAAAGATACCTGGCAAAACGATATCACCAAGACCCAACATGGAGAAGTGGTATACCTCTGCGAAAAGATCCTTTGGGAACAACAATTTGATTGGAGCTTCAAAGCTCTTTGCTACAGTAACCATAACATCTGTTCCAAATACCCAAAAGATGTCGTACAAAAAGAGACCGCACAACAAGATGACACCGACCGAGTAGTCGTGCAAACCGATCAAGGAAATACCTTGGATCGAGAATGTAATACCAAAGATGTTGTTGGCGATCCAATGTTTGGTGGTGATATACCAATATGAGATACCAGCCGAGATGACAAAGGCGATGATATCGAATGAATCGATTGAAACCTTTTGTTGGTCAGTGATGAAACGAATGGCTGGGATTGTAAACTCAATGAGTGGACGCTTCTTCTTGGCGGCACTCTTTGAGAGGAACAAACGTTTGAACACGTCACTGAGGATTCTAGTGAGTGCAACAACTCCAAAGAACAAGAAATAGTATGACAATAGCATATTGATAAGTTGTTTATCGAAAAACTTGAACAACAAATACAATCCAAATAAAAATACACTTCCAAACAATGGGAATGCCCATGCATCACTCTTTGTCATTGATTCTGACTACATATAATAATAGATTTTCAAAAAGAGTTAGTAACAAGAGTTTAAATTCAACAAACAACTTTAATCATATTTTATATATTTACAGTAGTATCCTTAAGAGACATATAGGAACCGATGTAGATTGGAACTATTGCCATTGTCCAAATGGCAGCATATGCAACCATTAATCCTGTTGTTAATTCTAGTGCCATTCTATTCTTTATATATAAGAAAATAAATAAAATTACTAAATATATAAAAAAAATAAAATGATATTCAATAAACAAAATTGAACAAACAAAAAGTTTAAAAATTTTTTTTAAAAAAACACCCCAAAAAAATTAAAATAAAAAATGGTGATGACTAAATTCAAAAAAAGTCAACCAACAAAAAAATGATACAAACAAAAAAAAAGACGACTTGTTAATGTTTTTTTTTTTAGTGTTAATAACATCCACTCATTAAAATTCATATTACCTCAAAATATCTATTATTGTTGAAAGTTTATTGTTATTTTGTAATTTAACTACTATTGGTCTGATTTTTTGAAATATAAAATTAAATTAAAAATGCTATTTTTACTACGTTGTTACGCAATTTAAAAATACTTTCATTGTCAGGATTCGTAGTTTTTGGAATATGAAACCTTAATTTTTTAGTTTTGATTGATCTCGGAGAGTTGAGTGTCGGAAAAAAAAACTTAAAGTTTTAATTGTGATTCATTAAAAAACTACAAATATTTAATCTACAAAACATCATGTAAAAAACATAAACAAAGTTATAGATGACTGTCGATTGCCCTATATGTCTATGTGATATTGATAATCAGGATTATCATCAATTAAGTAGGTGCAAACATGAATTTTGTAGAGAATGTTTACAAAAATATATAGTTAATAGTATTCAAGAAAAAAAGTATCCTTTAAAAGTAAATATATATAGAAATTAATAATTGTTTTTTATTTATTAATTTTTGTTTTTTTTAATAATAAAAGTGTCCTTGTTTGAAATGTGATATTGAAATAGGTACAACTGATTTAGAAATATTGGTAGATTTAAGTATTGCAGAGACTTTTTATGACTATGCAAAAGAAAAGGCAATTGATAAGGATAATAACTCATTCTATTGTTTAACCCCAGATTGTAAAGGAATATACTTTAGAGTAGAAGGTGATCCCTTTACCTTTGAGTAAATATTATCATTAATTAATCTTATAATGGTTTAAATTAACTTTTATTTATTTATAGTTGCGAGATTTGTAATATGCAATATTGTTTAAAATGTAAAGATATTGATCATGGAGAAATGACTTGTGAACAATGGAGAATAGAAAGTGGACAAGTTTGTGATAGTTTATTCCAAGATTATGCAAATTCTCAAAAATTTAAAAAGGTAAAGATTTATTCTCTTGAAAAACAGAAAAAAATAAATCCAGTTATATATATATATACATATCAATATATTAATATATTTTCAATTAAATTTATAAGTGTCCAAGTTGTACGAATTGGGTTGAAAAAATAGATGGATGCAATCATATACACTGTATTTGCGATCATAAATTGTAAGATATCAAAATATTAAATAGTAGATTTTATTCAAAGATTAATTGTATTTCTATATAGCTGTTATAATTGTGGGAATTCTTACCCGTGTACTTGTGGACAAGATCCTCATGTAGTACAAGAACAAATACCAGAAGAGATTTAGCTGTAGTATTTATCCTGTAAAAAATCAAAAAACAATCATGTAAAAGATAATCAATCATGTAAAATCATTAAAAATCAAGTTTATAAAAATTAATAAATTATTTATTTATTAGATATTAGGTAGATAACGAGTTAACTATTTTTCAGAGGTGTTATTCTTTGGTACAATTCCAATGCTTATGGGTATCCATTTATCATTACCAAATTCATAGATTGTTGATGTGAAGCAACGGTAACCACTTTCACCAATATCATTGTCTACTCCTTTGCTTCCTAAATGGTAGTCTTTTGATGGAATAATAGCAAATTTCACACAGAATGGAATGAGTTGATCCATATTAAATGATATTACCTTTTCATTTAAAGTGTCTTCAGTGTTGTCGATATTGTTGTAGACCTTACTAATATAATTGCTATGTTGTGAATGTTTCATTATGTTTTTAGATATGATTGTCATATTGATATGATCGTGAACGGTCAAGATTCTCTCATTGTCTTGTCTGATACCATCGTTATTCAAATCTTCAAATACTATTCCACGAACCTTTACAGGATCTAATGCCAATTTACAGTCTTTTGTGTAGATCAAAGCATAAAACATAGTCTCCAATGAGCATTTTTCAAAGAATTCAAAGTTATATTGAAGTAACAATGAACTAAGTGGTGAATCAGGTCTCCAAATTGAATATTGTTGATGATATTTTCCTTTAAAAATAGAACCATCCTATAAATTAGAATAGTTATTATTATATTTAATAAACTAAAAATTAATAATTAGTTAACTTTTACTTACTTTATAATGTATGAATCTAACATCTGGTGAAATGATTTCAAGTGGAAGATGATAAACATTTCCAAAAACGATAAAGAAAAAGTCTGCTGTTGGGAATGAGAATTTGAATTCAATAGATTGATCACGTCCAGGAGTAACACTATGTTGAAGAGCATGGTACTCCTTTAGATCAGAGAATAGGTCGATACGATTGTACACTTCTTCTGGTAGTATTGTATTGGAAACTACTGAATCTTTACCATAGGTTATAGTAATATTTGGATAAAAAGTGTTATTTGGAATTACCATAGATTCCTCCAATGTATTATAAAAAGAAGATACATTTTTAAATTGTACAATCTCTTCTATATCACATTTTATCATAGGTTCTTTCTCCAATGTATTTAAATTATATATAGTATTGCATTGACATAAATTAATAAAAAAGATAAATAATATAATATTTTTATAAATCATCATTATAGATTTGTTATAAAAAAAAATAAATGAATAAACTTACAAATTATAATATGAATCTCATTCAGTCAATCAATCATTGCTTAATTATTATGATAAATATGTTTTAATATATAAATATATTTAATTAAAAAAATAGAATATACATTGATCATCATATGATTTTTTTAATATTAGTAGTGGTTTATTTTTTTTATTTATTTAAATAAATAATTTAATTAATAATATATTAAATGATATGAGTGTAAATGAATAGATAAATGATGAAATAGAGTTACCGGTTGTGCTATGTTCATCGTTGATATCTGTGGTGGTACCACTATTGGTTGATGGATGATTGTTGGTGGTTGTTGATGGAATGATTGTAGTGCTGGTGGTGTTTAGTGGTGAAAGATTATTAATGATTGTACTATTATTGATTTTAGTAGGATCGACAATAAATGATATATCATCAAACCAAAGTGTTACATCACCGTCTACCTTGTTACCAAAGTTGATGGATTTCACATTGGTTGAATGTGGTCCAAGTGATTTAAAGTCTACAGTGTGCATCGACCAGTCTTTGGTGATTGGTTCAGTTGGTGTCCAAGCGGTAGAGTCGTTGCTGAAAAACACTTTTAATCCACTCCACTTTGGTTGATTACATTTCACAGAGAATTTGATACCGGTAAAGTAGTCACTATTGAACTCACCTTGTCTTGAGAGTGAGAGGTACGAGTTGATACCGACGAGAGTGATCTTGAGCGAGGAATTCGAACCTGCAGAGTGCTCAGAGAAATCGGTAGTATTGAGATCAGAGTATGATTTCGATTGGAAAGTGTTGAAGCCATCGGCCAATGAATCGTTGTAGATGGTAGCTGGTGTCTGTGAGAGTGTGCAGGTTTCTGGTGGATTCTTAATGACCTTTTTATCGGCGAAATTACCACTGAATTGGAATACCTTCATCTTTTCAACACCGGACATCACCCAAGATACTTTGTCACCAAAGATCGAGGTGGCGGTAACTGTGGCTGGGAAACTCATTTTCTCTTGACCGGTCCAAGAAAACTCGGAGCTATTCTGTCTTTGCATTGCGATGCTTGATTTGGCACCCTTTCCTTGGATGGTAACCATTGAGATACCAACGTTGTTGTTGAAAAGCAACAGCTTGATGTAATAGTCAGAGGTATCGTTCTGTTGGATTACACTCAATGGACCAGACGATGAACAACTGACACGTCTGAAACCTGCATCGTATACAACGGAATCAGATGAAATCTTGGCAAAAGCATTTTGAGTTAACATAAAGAATGGACGATCCGATGGACAGTCTTTAGCAGAACAGAAATTGACTACCTTGATAGTGGTAGTACCATTTGGTCCAGTGATTTCGAAACAATCTCCACAACGTGCACCGGAATCATAGAACATCTCATTAAGAGTAGCAGTATAAACACCTGGATTTACCAATCCATCATATTTTCCATATCCACATGAACCTGATTCTGTTAAAGGTTCAGTACCTTGTACTTTTGCTGACTTTAAAAAAAAAAATTAATAAATGAATGAAAATATTTTATTTATAAATAATAATTTACTTACCATGCATACTGTTAATGGAGTGGATGAAGAATAAACAACTAAAAACTTAAAACAAAGTAAAATAGTAAAAATAAAATAGAATTTCATAGTTTTTTTATTAGATTCTATTATTAAATTGTAAGAACAATGATTATATTTGAAAAGACCTACTTACTTTTTTACATATTTATAGATTTTACATAATGTTACAAAATAAATAAATAAATATTGAAAATATCTTTAAATATTGGAAATATCTTTAAAAATTCAATAACTAAAGATATTAAACAAAGTCATACAAATACAAACACTAAAAAATAAGTTGTAACCAAATCGTCATTTAATGTGTGTGGTATTAATTTTTCCAACTATTTTTAAAATAGAATTTGATTGATTGTGATTGATTGTAACTTGTTATTAATTAATAATATTATTATTACTATAAATGTTAAAAATTTTAAAGTATGAATGGAATGTGAATGTCTTTTTTTCTTATTATTATTAATTGTTAAAAAATAATAAATCTTACTTATTGGGTTGATTTTGATTTATAATATTATTTATATTTTTATTTATTAACTTATTATTAAAAAATTAATAAATTATTTATTCGTCATCTTCGTCATCGTATTCTTCCATATCATCATCATCCTCGTCGTCGTCGTCTTCCTCATAATCTGGATCGTCTTCTTCATTATAATTTTCATCGATACCATTTTGCTCTAGAGCACGTTGGAATGAATCGGCAGCATATTGAGACATAATCTTTTTAAGTAATGCATTTGCTTTTTGCATAATCTAAATTATTAAGTATTAAAATACATATTAGTGTTATTATTTATTATTAGAACCCAAAAAAACATTAAAGAAAAATATAATAAATGTGTAAAATATAAAATTATCTATGATTATCTATGATTATATATATATTGATTATTATTATTATTTACATACCATTCTATTCTTTACATCACCCATCATGTTGAGTAAAACAGTATCGGTATATTCATTATTTAAAGTATTTAATGCGGTGTTTCTGACTAATTGTACGTCAGAAGGCAATGTCCTTCTGTGTATAGCGGCTGGATAAAAGAATCTTCCTCTCATCATATTCAAACGTTTATAAATATTATATTTCTTTTTTAAATGTGCCATAACTCTATCATTTCTCTTTGCTGCATGATATGCTGCAAACATATCAATCACTTTCTCTGTTTCTAGTGTCATTGTCTATATTAATAATATATAAATAAATAAATAAAATATTGTTTCTAAAAAAGTAATAAAAAAAAAAAAAAAAAACAGCAACAGTTTTAAATAAATTAAAAAAAAAAAACGAAGATGATAAAATTTTGAAAAAAAGAGGGAAATTTAAATTATGTATTTTTCTTTATTTTTGTTTTGCAAAAAAAATAATATATATAACTAACAACTATAATAGTTTATTTTGTTGGGAGATTATAATTATACCATTGGAACTTTTTTGCCTTCTTCTTTGGTGATGTTTGTTGTGGTGGTATTTGTTGTTGTTGTTGTTGTTGTTGTTGGTGTGAAGTATGATGATGATGTTGTTGATTTTGTTGTTGTTGTTGTTGATGATGATTATTAGTTTCTAAAATATCTAAATGTTGTTGTTTAGTTAAAGGTGGTGCTTGTTGTTGAATATTATTATTATTATTGTTATTATTATTATTATTATTATTATTATTTGGTAATAAATCAACATTAATTATATTTTGTGGTTGTTGTATAGGTGATGATATATTGGTATTACTAGAACTTGGAGAAAGTTGTGGAGAAGATTGAACAATGGGTGATCCTGAACTTGTTCTAATTGGATCGATCGATGGCAATGGAGGTGGTGGTATATTATATATATTTTGATAGAGATTCTCGTAGGTCGATAGGAGGTTCTCAATTTGATAGTTCTGGTTTTGTGGCGGTGCTTTGATCTTGTTTTGCATCGACTCTAGGAACATCGATTTTCCATCTTCGTTCGGGAGGAGTCGTTGGATAAAGGTGGTTCCGTCCTTGTGTGACTTGTGAATGGTACCCCAGACCTGTGTGATGGTGTCGACGATACCAATGTCGTAGCAAGCGACACTGTTCAAGCGTAGGATGAGCTTGGCGTGTTGAATCGGTGTGAGGATGGTCGAGAGCACCAAATCGGTATCGCAAATCAAATTACGGTGCTTGACAAAGTTCTTTTTGAGTTGTTCGAGTTTGCGAGTGAGATCGAGTAGCTCCGATATGTTGATCGATCCTTTGTCAGTGAATTGCGGCACGTCAGAGATGCTGGCGGAGCTGTTGTTGGCGGCAACTAACGATGGAGTGCGACGGTGGTATGGTGGCTGCACAAAATGATCGTTTCTCGGTGAGTCAAGCGATGGCGACGACAAACTTATTGCCTGCGGTGACGATGAAGCAGAGTCTGGAGTCGGTGGCATCGGTGTTGAGATTCCACTGAGAATATCGTTGTTTGGTGAGATTGGTGTTCTTGGACGATCCGCTTGATAGGCACGATCACTAAAATCACAGGCACCACAAATAACCAACTTCTTTAGGAACAAATCCTTGATCTCGCGATCCAGAGCATCACGCTCCTCTCTCAACTCATTGTGAATCTTCAAGTGATCATTCCACAATATCTCAGAGGCATGTCGCTGTTGTTCATTCATACCGACTTGCTCCACGAAATTGGGCCACCAAATAGCAGATGCCATTGATCTACCACAAATAATAGATGCGTCAGATGATGATTTATATCCCATTAATGCTAATCTTGCCTGTAAATAGAATTAATAGAATATTAATAAAAAGTCGTTATAATTTTAAAAAAAAAAAAAGATATCTTACTTGAGTATAAGGATGAACAATCTTTTCAACTTCTCTTTCAATCACTGTAGATCTAAGTTGTGAAGAGTAATAATAGAGTTGTAGGAGGTATTCGATTGATTTTTCATCGTTCTCATTGATTGCTTTGGCGAGTTGAGACATGAGTGCTTTGACTTCGTGAATGACCTCATTGAAGGCATCGTCAGGTCTCATAAGATCGCTCATATCACCTTTCTTGAGAAGAGTGTTCTCCTGTCTGAGTTGCTCATTCTCGAGTGAAAGTTGTTTTACCTTTTGTTCGATCTCGCTGATGTGATCCTTCTTTCTCTGACGATAGTTCCTACTGGCAGTGTTTTGGTTTGACTTCATCTTTCTTGGATCTTCCTCCTCTTCTTTTGCCTTTTTCTGTTGTTGTTGTTGAATCAATCGTTGTCTCTCTGCTTGTTGTTGTTGAACTTGTTGTATTTGATATTCAAACAATGTTTTTGGTGGTGGATTTGTTTGTACATTTGAAAAATTATTTGGTAAATTAAGAACATATGAATTATCAATATTACTTTGTTGAGATGGTTGTGATTGAGGTGGTGAAGAACTACCAGATGAATCACTACTATTACTATTTATATTATTATTAAAATTACTATTAGACTGTAAAGGAGAAATTTGTTGTGATTGTTGTTGTTGTTGTTGTTGTTGTTGCTGTAATAATGATGGTTCACCAATATTTTGTTTATAAATATTGTTATTATTATTATCATTATTATTTATATTTACAATTATAGGTTCTTGTTGTTGTTGTTGAGGTTGTTGTATTAGTTGTGGAGATTGTTGCTGTATTTGTTGAGGAGGTTGAGGTTGTTGTTGTTGTTGTTGTTGTTCAGGTGGTGTTTGTTGTTGAGGTTGTTGATAAAATTGATATGGAGATGGAAATTGTGTAAATTGTTGTTGTTGTTGTATTCCATCTTGTTGTTGTTGTTGTTGAATTAGTTGTGTTGTTTGTTGCTCTGAAGAAGGTGAACCAGTGGTACCTTCAAGCATTTGCTTCAATAGAGTTTGTTGCTCTTGTAAGAAAAGGAATTGAATCTGTTGATCAGAGAGAAGAGAGGCATGATCACCCAGCTTCTTCTTGAATTGTTCTTGTTGCTGTTGGATCAGTGATTGTATGAAACTAAAGTCAGAAGAACCGGTGGTGCTGTTGTTACTACCGCCATTGCCAGCTCCAAGACCACCACCACCGCCACCATTAATAGTCGGTAACTGGTTATTGCTACTACTGATCTGATTGAATAGATCACCATACAATTGTTGTTGTTGCAGATTCAATTGATCATTATTCATTAAGATTTGTGAAGATGTTTGTAATGAAATTGGTTGTTGTTGAATAGTTTGCTGTTGTTGTTGTGCTGGTTGAATATTAATATTTTGTTGTTGTTGTTGTTGTGTATTTAATTGAGAAAGAAAAGAACTTGTAGAAGTACCAAGAATCTGTGAAATCGATAGTTCATTCTTTGCTGATAACAACGAAGCAGATGATGATGTATCGTTGTAAGAGAGTGAGCTGAGTGGGTCAATACCGACACCTACACCATTGAACGATTCATTGTTGAATTGTTGTTGATACTGCTGATACATGCTAATTAAATCTATCTTGTGAAGAAAATCTTCCATCTTTTATAATAATAAAAAAAAAAAACAAAAAACCACCAAAATATATAATATAAATACTAGTACTATTCAATTACATAAATGTATAAACTCGTTTTGTTTTTTTTTGTTTGTTTGTTTGCTTACTAATTAATTATAAAAATAGGAGAGTAATATTAACAACGACAATAGTAATTACTGCAGTAACAAGTACAATCTTAAATTAACAATAGTAATGTAATTAATAGGGTGGTGATTATTTAGTTTTGTTTTTTTTTTTTTTTTTTTTGTTTTCCAAATTTATCTTTAATTTTTGAAAAAAAATATAAAAACAAAGTTTATTATTTATTGCAAATGATTTAAGAAAAAAAAAACCAATAACAACAAAAAACTAATAAACTAATAAATAATTAAATTAAAAACAATTAATAACAACAAGTTAAGTTATTGTCCATACAAAATCAGTTTTTTTTTTTGGTTTTTTTTCTAAAAGTTTGGGGTTACATTTCTACACGTAAAAAATATATATTCAAAAAAATGTGATTTTTTTTAATTAAAAATTAATTTATTTTCAATTTTTTTCAAAATTTTTTAATTAATTTATTTTGGAAAAGATTAGAGTTGACTGTAGATGAGTGGTTATTGCCTATTGATGATGGCAAAAGAAACCATCTTCCAATCAACGAAAAAAAAATCTTTTTTATTTTTTCCTTTTTTAAAAAGTAACTTTTTATAAATTATTCTTCTTGATTTTCATTTATGTAAATACTTGATACTCTATTGGAAACTGAAATCTTTCCAATGAATACATGATCATCATCAGCCAGTTTGGTGTTTCCAAAGATTCGAACTGCTGTGTAGGAGACGTCTTCTGGTATGGCCAATGAAAAGTGGGTGAAATCGTTGGTATAATGTTTGCTTCCGTCCGCCTCGGAAACTAGATCCTTAACAACGGCACTCTCTGCAGATGCCATTGCTACTTTAAGGTTTTGGATTCCCCGGAGTGATCCCTTCACGAAAAAGTGGAATCCGTCGAAATATTTACCGGTGAAACACGGTTGGTCATTGGAACAGAGGAATGTCAGACCACCGTCTGGCTCTGGAACCATCTCGATCGTGTTCATCTCTCTGAACTTCATTGGCGATGACCAAACTCTGTTGGGTGTCCAAACATCCTTGACCATGTCGTGATTGAATTGGCCATCCTCCATCAACAGTACTTCAAGTAGCGTATGATAGAAGAGGTGTTCGGCTGGCTTGACCACACCAAACAATGGAGTATCTCTCTTACTTATAATTGGAACATCTGCTGGAATATATTGTTGAGGCTGTACAGCTGGAATATATTCTTCTTCTTTGACAGGTATTGGATTACCGTTACCAGCAATTACAATATCGGCACAGGTCATATAATATTCTTGTGGATTGAATTCCCAGAACCATTGAAGTGTATACAATCCATTCTCTACATTTGGAATATTGTAACAAGCAGTGCAAGTTGCATTATTGGTATTCTCATAATATTTTGTACAATTTCCAAATGGTCTAGAAATAATTGGATGATTAAAGAATTCTTCTTGTGTATCATCTTCAGCCTATTATTTAAAAATAAGAATATAATAAAATAATAATTAATATATAATTATATATATATGTATTTTTTTAATACTTACTTCATAATCACCTTTTTTATTTGAAAGATAAAAACCAACGGAACCAGCACGTGGTTGTGTAGCATGATTTCTTGCTGGCCACTGAGAACAAATCTTTTGTCCTTGAGAAAATATACCCATTGGGAATTTCTCACTGTATTGAGTATAAACTGGAGCATAACGATTTTGTGATGGTCCACATGCTTTACCAAGACTGGTTGGAAGTGGTTTAGTGAATTTTCCAAGTTGATAGAGGTATTTATCTCCTGAAAATTCGACAACTCTGAAATTTCTTGGATAAGCACGACATCTATTGGCTCCAAAATCATAATCTACACAATTCATAAATGAATGTGATTCAACAATCTCCAAAATTCCATATATTAAAACCAAACTTAATATTATATTTTTAATTTTTATTATCATCCTTTAACTAGATCTTTTAATAATAATAATAAAAAAAAAAAGAAGTGAAGCTTTATAAATAAATATATATTAAATGATTTATATTTAATCCTCTATTATAATGTTCTCAAATGCATCATTATGATAATAACAAATAGTATTAATATTTATTTTTTTTTTGTTTTTAAAATTTTCTATTCTATCATAGTATGTGAAATGATGATCATATTGATGATGATCATAATACAATGTAAAGATGTAAAAAGAGTAACGGGTTAAGATAGATATGAAAAACAAATCATAACAACTTTAATAATTATAATAACACGTACAAATTTATTATCTTTTTTTGATTTGATTTGATTTTTTTTTTTTGTTTGTTTTACTAACAACCACGGAGTTGTTATATTACACACGTTGTGATAATTGATGTGTGTTTTAGCTCAATGTTCATTTATAAGAGAGTGGTTTGTTGATATGATCTTGAGAGTGGTCAATCTTTGTCCATTCCCATCCACCTCTACCATCAAACAAAAGTTGATCATCATGGTATGCACGCAATTGTTGTCTATGTGATACAGTGACTAAAAAAAAAAAAAATAACAATAACAATAAATATTTAGAATATAATTAATCATCTTTTTAAAATACTTACATAATGTAATACCAAGTGTTTTACATGTTTCATAAATCTTTCCTTCAACTTCATCACTGACAGCACTAGTACACTCATCAAGAATAGCGTATTGTGGTCTATGATAGAATAAACGGGCCATAGCAATTCTTTGTTTTTGTCCACCCTAAAAAATTAAATAAATAAAGATAGATTAGTAAATCAAAAGTTATATATTAAAATTATTAATTTCTTACTGATAATGCAGTGAACCAATCTTTAACATCATCCCATGCCCATTGATTGATGATTGTGTTGTTTGGATCGACGGTTGATAAGAGATGAACGAGATCATCATCGGTGATACCAAACTTTTTCATGTCTTCGGCGTTGTGTGGGTAGATGATTTGATCTCTCAATGTACCGAGTACGAGATATGGCTTTTGTGGAACAAAGAGAATGTCTTCCTTTCTTGGCTTGATGACGGTACCGCAGTGCAATGGCCACAATTCACCCAAGATACGGAAGAGTGAACTCTTACCACTACCGTTCGGACCGGTGATCATTACGTTTTGTTGTGGCTTGACCTCAAAGTTCAAGTCGGTGACGAGCAACTTACCCTCCGGTGAGACAATAGAGACATTGGAGAACTTGATGAATTCACCCTCGACAAAGCTACCACCACCGGTGACCGATTGCATTGTAACGGTCTGGGAGAGCGAACGCTTCAACTGACGGAGATTGTCGGAACGTTTCTTCCACTCGACCAACCAGTTCGAGTCGTTGGTGAGATACTGATCAGAGGTGCCACTGCTCGATTGAATGGCTGGACTGCTGATATCGTCGTCCTCAACAATGACAAAGGTCGATGATCCACGCTCCTTCAGTGACTTTATCATTTCGAGCAACTCTGAGACACGCGAAGTGTAACCTGCCATATTGGTAATCTTGTTTCCGAGCAATACCAACTGACCGATCGCTTGTGCCAACGCCATCATCAGCTGAGTATTTCTAATATAATCCTTGGTCAACTCTGTTGAATCTTTTCCAGCAGTACCTTTAATACCTAAATAAATTGGTAATGCCATACAACCATATCCAACAATCGATGCACAATATTTAACTAAAAATCCATCGAAAACTAAATAAAGATAGAGGAAATTAGAATTGAACGATAATAAAGTTATTAAATTAATTGTTTTTACTTACTTCCAACTAAACATCTTAGATAACTAACATAACCAGTATGTCTATAAATATCACCAAATGATAAATTAATGATTTGTCTTTCCTTTCTAGCACCATCGTAGAAAGCAATCTCCTCGGCGTTGGTAATCAATCTTTGATGAACGGTACGGTAGTTTCCTTCGAGTTCCGATTGCTTAGCAGTGAGCTTACCAAATGGTGGCATGATCAACTTTTTAAGTGAACCAGAGATAATAAAGTAACCAAACATCAACAATGGTGATCCCCATCCCATAACACCGACCAACTTGCTTGTGAAAAGTATCAGATCCAACACTGGTTTAAATACCGTTGTATATAAATTACTCATTGAATTACAAAACATTTCAATATCAGATGTTACTCTTTGATCACTATAATTATGATATGATAAAATGTTAACTAATTAGTTTATAAATTATTATCTTAATATCTTAATTACTTACGCATTATCAATTCTATTATTTCCACCTAGATGAGATGCTTTGTAAAAGTTTACACCTTCCAAGTATTCACGATGAACGTACTCTGATAGTCTCTTACGGAAACGCAATGCCAACATGTCGGTTTCATATTTGAGTGTGCTGTTGACGAATGATGCTGGAATGGAGATCAATGCAAACTTGAGTACACCATTACGCATTTCCTTCCATTTACGGGCAACCAAGTTCTGTGCGTTTCTACCGGCAATCTCTGCAATCGAAACTGAAAGCATGGTACGTGCCAACAGCAATACAGTCAAGAACATCAAACTCAAGAACTCCTTTGATCTGATCGATGGAATGATGATTCTAATGATTTTTGCTAAACGCTTGAAAAACACTGCATCCACTGTTACTCTAGTACTCTTTCGATCACCTGATCTCTCTTTATTTTGAACAACCAATCCACTTTGTGATTTACCTAAAAAATGATGAATATTAATTAAAAGAATGTTATTAACAATGATAGATCTATCATATCATAATAATCCTTTAACATACTATCTTTTTGAGTTTTATAAAACTTGATAAGTGTATATGCACCACCACCAAGAGCAGCTAAAATCATTAGTTTTTTGGTGAGTGAACCACTGGTTGGACCAAGTGAACCGAGAAGAGAGAGTAGCTTTTGTTGTGCTCTCTTTACGGTTCTATTGGTATTAGCTCCTGTCATAGAAGCTGTTAAAGTTTGTAATACCATACTACAACTACTTTTATTATTATTGATGATTAAACGATAGATAAATATAGGTAAAGATCAAAATTCTGAATAATAACCTAAAACTAAACTATATTTATAAATTTAATTTTGACAAGTTAATAAACTCTGTTTAAAATAATAAACTATATAAGTAAAAGTTTGCTCTTTTCTTTTATTTTTTTTATTTTGTTGTGTTGTTTGTCTGTGTGTTTTTTTTTTTAAGTTTAGTGTTGTGTTGTGTTGTGTTGTGGTATTGTGTTGTTTGTTTAGTGTGTTGTAAAAAGAATAAACATAATAATACACACAATGTATATGTATAATTTAAAAAAAACAACAACTAAACTTTTATATTGTTTTTTTAATAAAGTTTATTATTCTTACGAATCTTTTTAAATTATTACTTTATTATTATTTATATATCTTAATTTTTTTTCCAACTTACAATAATCTATCAAACAAATAATAAATAATGAAATTTAAAAGTTTTTGTTTGTTTTCGCTAAAAAAAAATAAATGTTGTTTGACAACTTTACATGTAAACTGGTTTGTTCTTTCTTTTTATTCTCACTCAGATTTTTTTGGATGAAATCGTCAATTTATTCCTTATTAGTGTTTTTTTGAGACTAAAATTTCGCTTTTCATAAATTTAATAAATCTTTGTTTGTTTTTTTAAATTAATTTCAAATCTCGCATGTTTGTAGGTTGAATGTTGGTTAAAGTTTTTTGTCAACGTTGTGAATGACGACACTTTTTTAAAAATATTTTTTTGTAATATCATTTTTTTTTTTATTAACAAGCTTTTGGTAATGACTTTACAAAGTTTTGAGTTTTTGTTAGTTGTTCTAGATCACCATTGCTCTTGTTTGCGACACACTGTTTATATTGGGCATAGTAACCGGATGCTGCTTCACAAGTGTAGTAATCGATGCAACTCTTGGAGGTGCATGGATTGCTCGATGCATATGGTGATTGTGCGTAAAAGAAGTTGTAATATTGATTGAATACTTGAGTGTTTGTGTTCATATTGTCGAGTACTGATTGCCAATCAGCTGCAAACATATTGGTCATGTTGTAGGCGGTAGTTGCATTGTAGGTGAGTTTCCAAGTGGGGAATCCTTTGGTGTTGGCATCGGCGACGTCACCATGGTATGTACTAGACTCCAAGATATAACCGGAATCTTGATCGATTGTATAGATACGATAGGATGGATTTTGATTGGTGTAGGTGGTGACTGATGGTGCGATGTAGCTAACTGCCATTGGATGTCCGTCGGTCTTGTCGTGGTAAACTTGGAATTGATCGTGGTGAGTGTGTCCAAAGAATAGCGCAATAATGGAATCTTCATAACGATCGACAATCTGATAGAGTTGTTGTGCCCAGATATCGATGCAGTCAGAGATACCTGTTGGGATATGTCCGATGATGTAGGCACGCTCTTTGGCAGCCTCGATCGACTCCATTGTCTCGATGAGCCACTCGAGCATTCCAGCTGGATCGGTGATATTCTGGATCATCCAGAGATTCTGGTTGTTACACCAGTTCATATTGAGCGATACCAATCTGGTGCCAGGCATCATTTCCGCACTGTAATATCCACCGAGAGAGATTGTTGAGGTGTCGACACCCGATGACAACAACCAATTCGACCAGTCCTTCTCGAGTTGACTGTACAGCCAGTTGGCTCCACCGGTATCTGGTAGTGGGAATGAATTTACTGGTACACCTTCGTGGTTTCCAATGGCGGGATAGACTTGAACGCCTGGGAAGTATTTATCGAGAAGATCGGTTATCAATGCCGATGCATTAAGCTGAGTTTCATGAGTTTGCATCCAGACATCGTGAGGTGGATTATCACCAGTCCAGAATATATAGTCTGGAGTCACTTGGCTTGCAATATTTGAGAGCATGCTGTGAACCATTGGCAAGTTTACATCGCATCTGTAGTCACCCCAGGCACCTGCAGCATTTGAACCGGAGCCTGGACCGTCGGCAGCACGGCAACAAACCGGCTGACCACAATCTGCATTCATTCCCTCTTGATAGAATTGATCGATATGAAAATCACTCAAATGTAAAATAGTTTTGGTTGGACCACCTTTTGCTGGTGGTACAGGTGGTACATGAGGTGGTTTTGGTGTTGGGAATACAATAGTTCCACTATAATTGGCTGGATTGAACGGACAAATTCCAACAAATCCACATATATAAACAGGTGAATATGTTTTATTTGCAACAATTTCAAATGTTTCATTTCTAAATAATGGTATAATTCCTTCACACTAAGATAATAGCAATTTAATTAATTGAAATTGAAAAATTATTATTTATCTTTTTTTTTTACTTACAACATTTTTCTTTTCAATATGGAATAAAGTACAAAAATCGATAGCAAATTTAATTATTTCATCTGCATTTTTACCAGATTCTGATAGATCCTGAAGTGATGTGACCAAAGTCGAACATAGATCACAAGTTACAGCTGATAATGCTGCAGTTTTTGAATATTTTTCGATATTCTCATTATTATCTTCTATATTGGAATTAAAACCATGTGAAAATACAAAATTTGAAAATAATAATATTTCTATTAATAAAATAAATAAATAATTTCTATTCATTTATTTATCTATCTAATATCTTTAAGATAATTTATATACAAAAATAATAAATAAAAGATTGAAAACCCCCTATTAGTTTATTATAGAAATTTAAATAATAAATTATTAATTAAATAAAAAATAAAATTATAACCATTTTTATCAATTTGTTTTTTTTTTTTTTAATTTAACAGTGATTTTATATAAAAAAATTTATAGTGATTTAAATAGGGGTAGATTGTTTATTATGGGGGTGAGTTAAATGAAATTCGAATGAAGCAAATTTACTCTGAATTTCATAACAAATAAAATCTTTGACAACTTTTCAGTTCCGAAAAAGATATTATACATTTTTTTTGTGGAAGCCCTCATGTCAATTAAAAAAAAATTGTTGTTGATTTTCATTAAATATTGAACAAAAGATATTTTAAGCTTTCAAAAATGAAAAGACTCAATAGATATTAAAAAAAAACGATAAATTTGTTTGTACAAACATAATTTCTTTGGATATTAATTGCAAAAAAAAAGCTTTTTTTTGTTTATTGCATTATATATTGATACATGATGTCGTTATTGATTGTTTCATCATCTTTTTTTCTTTCTTTTGGATTTAGAAAGGATTTTTCTTTTCTTTTCTTTTAGTCTATCTATTATACAAGTTTTTAAATAAATTAATTATTATTATTGTAACTTGATGTTTTTTCTTTTTTTAATCTAAAGAAAGTTTCTTGATATAATCTTCAAGTTGATCTATCTCTGTTATATTATTCTTGGTTGACCATTCCTTGACGATTCCAACGGCCTTTCCTATTTTTTGACCTGCCTCTGGATGGTGCTTCTTGATGAGTTCTCCTAAATTTGCGCCTTTGCTTGGATTGACTTCGTTTTTTTTTTTAGCACCAGCACCATCGACCAACTCATAGGTGGTTGGACCGACCTCTGTGATTACAGCATCCAAAACCAATTGTGACTTGTTAATCTTTGCACGGATACTAATGCTTGGGAATTCGAATGGTGCTTTAACTGGTTGTTTTTTCTTATCATTTGAAGCGGCTTCATGATTATTATTGTTGTTATTGGTTGTTGTTGTTTCTTCTTTCTTTGATGTTGGTGGCGCAATAAAATCTAAAAGATGATCAAGATCTCCAATCTCTTCAATTGGAATCCACTGACGAATATGATTGCTATCGACTGGTTTTCCCTTTGGATGATGTGCGAGGGTGACGTGGATGATGTTGTTATTCGATGGAACACCAGAGACCTTGAGTGCGAGAGCGGCACCAGAGATACCGACTGCCTCCACCTTGAGTTGAACCTTCTTTCCAACGGCAAACGCCTCACCATCCACTGGCTTTCCATCGTCTTGTGGCTTCCAAAGGTTTGGCGAGTGTCCACCAAGATTCATAGTGGCATGATGACACTTGATTTCCCAATCGGCTGGAAAATCGAACCAACTCTTGATTCTATGATGCGAGTTCTCATCGAGAAGCGCACAAGTGTAGCTAACGATCTGACGCATTCTATAGGAAGGAGTACCGTTCTTTGCCACCAATCTCTGAACCAACTCGACTTCGAGGTGTTCCTCGAGATATCTTGGTGGTTCGTTGACGTGAATGACATTGCTAGTGACATCGACAATCTTGGCAAGCTCCTTTCTGAACTTCTCGACGTGTTTGATACGATCTTCATAGACATTGATTGTTTTGATTCTGTTGTTGTACTGACTGAGTAAACTCTTGATATAGGAGATCTTAAAGTCAAAGGTTGGCTCTACTTGACCACCGCTTTGCTTATCGGCTGTACCCTTGAGACCGACATGATTCATTTCAATGGCGCGACTTCCGAGGATACGATGAATGATATCGGCGTAGAGTGTAGTTCTTCCGGTGAGCAAGATGGTGACGGTGTTGTCGGCAGTGGCAGACTCTTTGACGGCAGCCAAGACACCAGTGTTGAACCAATCCTCAGAGGGTGCAATCGGTACGTATGGGTGATCGAGAGTCAACGTATCTTGGAACCAACCTAATCCACCTGGTTCCGATGCCATTGCCTTGAGCTTTCCAATCATATTTGGATGCCATAACGATGGATTTGGTTCTGGTGACTTGAAGAGTGTACCATCAAAGTCGAAAATATTCAAAATGAGTTTACCTGTTGTATTCTCAACTTTCTTTAACACCTTTATAATACCACCACCACTCTCTACATTATCACCTTCCGACTCTGAATCATCGATAATAATAACTTTATCGACAATTGTCTTATTTATCTTTTCACTATCTGATGATGAATCATCAATAACTATTACATTATCCATATTAAAATTATATATAAATAAATAATAAAATATAGATTAATAAAATACAAATATCTATTAAAAATATAAAATAAAAAAAGTAAAACTATTTCGATTTATGTGATGACGATGGTTGACTATAAAAAAGAAATTAAAAGATTCATTTCATGTACAAAAAAAAAATATAAAAATTATTTTTATTAATTTTAATATATTTTTCTCAATTTATTCAAAGAAAAAAAAAATTTTGTTTTGTTTTTTTTCACTTGACCAAGATCTGATTAGAAAAAAATATTGTAATCTTTTAAAAGATCATTTTATCACATATATTTCATTCTTGATTATAACATTATATAGCTTTCTTTATTTCTTTCAATGTAATCAAATCATTGATCAATACTATAATAACAGATATCTTTTTAAATTGATTTTCATAACAAAAAAAGGGTTAGAAAGTGCAATTGTTATCACCACTGCGAGATATTTAACAAACAAGTGTGTGTGTGTTTTAATTAAATGATTTTTATTGAGTTAACTGAATGTTGATTATTTTTTCCAAACCCAAAAAAAAATAAATAAATAAATTTTTAAAATTTAATTTATTACAAACAACTTCATATCTTTATTAAGTTTTTACATTTCATTCAATCATTATTTTCTATCCAACTCTTTTTATATAAATCTAATAACTAGTTATAATTAAATTATAAATTAAATTAAATCTTTATTGTTTCAAAATGTCATCCATTGTTACACCATTACCTGCAAGTAAGTAATTTTATAGATTTTATAATTAATAAAATATTGATAATTTCTTTTTGAACAAAATAAATAGATAAAGCTGGAGGAAGAAGAATACCTTCAAAATCACATAATCATAAAACTAGCAATGATTCTACGATTATTACGTCATTTGTGTCTGGTATGGATCCAGTGACCAAAGTAGTCCAACCACCAGTTACCGGAGAATTATCATCTTCACCAAAGCTTAATTCCAGTTCCAGTCACAATACAAAATTATTTGCAAGCACCTACTCTCCACCTCAACCAACTCACTCTGAACGTCACGCTTCAAGTAGCCATACAATCAACCAACCAAGATAATCTCTTCATATGCAACAACCAACCCAACTTGATTATCCAAACTTGTAAATAATTGTAAAAAAAAAAAAAGAAAAAAAAAAAAATAAAAATAATAGAAATAAAATTTAACTAAAAC